ATACATCCAGTTCGCGCTCAACTCACACAGCTCAGCTTCGACTGGACATTCGCCCTTCTTCCTGATGCACGGTCAGCATCCTCGCACTCCTGCCAACACCGACATCATCGCCGAGTCCAACCCTGCAGCACAGTCGATCGAGGAGATGCAAGCGACTCTGGACTTGGTCTCGGACAACATCGGCAAGGCCCAGGACCGGGCCCTGTACTACGCCAACCGACATCGACGCGATATCAGCTACGACATTGGCGACCAAGTCCTGATCGACACGACCGCGTATCACTTCAGCACGGACGACGTCACACCCTCCAAGATGCGGATGCCGTACTTGGGACCCTTCAAGATCATCGAGAAGATCGGAACGACTGGATATCGACTTCGACTCCCGAGGACCCTCCGATTTACAACCGAACTCCCCGCTTCCGCCCTCGTCCCCTACAACACACCATCGACCGACCAACTTGTGTTTGATGAACCCGGACCCAACCACAACGACGAATCAGTGTTCGAAGCGATCATTGGACACAGGATCAACCGACGACGTCGACTTCCTGGATATCGACACGAGTTCTTGCTCCGCTGGCAGGGATACGACCCATCTTACGACTCGTGGGCACCACTGGCCGAACTCTTGGATGGAGGACTCGCAGATATCCACGACTTCCTCAGCCGCAACCGCAACCTTCCGGAAATGGACACACTGATCGACCTTTGCCAAGCACAAGTGCAACGCAACTCGGGATCGAAAAATTGATGGTTTGACTTGAGCACAATTTTTCTGGGGGGGATGTCACAGATCGCTCTGCCCGCCTAGCTGCACCGTCGCACTTGTGTCACTGTTTGCGTCGCACACTTTCCTTTTCCTTTGTCCTGTGACGCCTTTCCTTTTTCCTTGCTCTCATGTTGCACACGCCGCTCTGTTTTCCCTGCATTTGTCATCGACCATGCATTAGTCAGACGCTGTGTCACCCGCATTTGTCAGCCACCGAGCATTTGTCAGACTTTCACATGTTTCTCCGGTTAGCCGTTGCTGCCTGGCTGCTGTCCCGCCGCCTCCGCTGCTTCGCCCCCGCTGCGGCAGGCTTCGCCTCCGGGACCGCCAGACAGATAAATAGCCCGCCTTCACCCGCTCATGTTTCTGGTCATCACCTTCGACCCCAGACACACTTGACTCTAGATCCTAGCCTCGCTAAGATCAATAAAACCCTTCTCTATCTTTTTCTTTTGATCTCCTCTTGATCCCGTGATCTGACAGAGATGGTATCTCCGACGCTGTGCTGCGCGTACTGCGCGTACTGCGCGGCGCAGTGGGTCGTGACCTGTGCTGCGCTTTGCGTTTTCACGCACCGCAGGCAGGCCACCGCAGGGTATACCTGCGGGTTGCCCCCGTTCCCCCCGTTTGTCTGGAGTTCGGTTTTATCGTGAATAAACGTAAGTGCTCCCCGAGCTCACCCGTCCGCTAGAGTAGCCTAGCACCGCCCTGTTCTGCCCCGTCCTGTCTTGTCTTGTACCCCCTCCCTCCCCGTCTTGCCCCAACGTCCCAGTAGTGGACGTTACAAGACTTGTCCAAAACAAGGAGGTGAATCGGGGGTCTGGGTCACTGACGATCGACTTTGGGAGACCGTGGCGCTTGAACACATGCTTGAAGAACAGCAGTGCAAGGTCAGGCGCGGAGCATGTCGTCTGGCACGGCACAAAGTGTGCCATCTTGCTGAACCTGTCGACAAAGACAGCGATTGCATCGTGGTCCAACTTGGTCGTCGGTAGATGCGTGACGAGATCCATGGATATGCTGGTCCAGGGGCGGTCGGGAACAGGCAGGGGTTGCAGCAATCCTTGCTCTCGGGTCGTGCGTGACTTGACCATCTTGCAGGTATGGCAGGACTCGATGTACTTCTCGACGGTGCGCTTCATTCCAGGCCAGTATGCGACTTTGGCCAGTCGGTCGTATGTCTTCTCGACTCCAAAGTGTCCAGCGAGGGGCGAGTCGTGGACCTCTTGGAGCAACTTGGTCTTCAGCGACGGAATGTCCGGCACACAGACACGGCTGTCCTTCTTCAGGAGGAGCAGGCCATCACGCACTGTGTACTCGGACGATTCGTCGTCCTTGGGGAGCTTAGACACCTTTCGGAACAGTTCTCCGAACTGTTTGTCGTTGGCGATGTTGTCTCGGACAACATCCAGCATCGTGTTGTCGACACTGACAGTCGACTCGTACAGTGACGCCAATTGGTAGTCGTGGCGTCGGGACAGTGCGTCAGGCACCACATTGAGTTTGCCTTTCTGGTATACAACCTCGTAGTTGTACTCGGCGAGGAACTCCATCCATCGCGCTTGGCGTCGGACTCAGGTTCTTCTTGGTATCGAGGTAACGCAGTGACTGGTGGTCCGTCACAATCTTGAAGGGCTTGGCGGTACCGTGGAGGTACACTCGGAACTTCTGCAGCGCGTAGATGATCGCGAAGCTGCTCCTTCTCGTGCACGGGATAGTTGATCTCGTGTTGGGACAGTTTGCGCGACTCGAAGGCAACGGGCCTTCCCTCCTGCATCAAAACAGCTCCCACCGCAAAGTCGGAGGCGTCGGTGTGCACGGAGACATCCGTGTTCGGGTCGAACACAGCGAGGACAGGAGCGTTCGGTCAAGGCGTGCTTGAGGGTCTCGAACGCTTGGCGTTGTGGGTGGTCCCACACGAAGGGGCACTCTTTGCGGAGTAGGTCTGTGAGTGGACCGGCAGTGCGCGCCAGATCGGGGATGAATCGGCGGTAGTAGTTGACGAGACCGAGAAAACGACTGCACGTCAGAGACGCATGCGAGCGGCGGCCACTCGACCACAGACTTGACCTTGGCGGGGTCGACTTCGATTCCTCTTCCTGAGACAACGTGTCCCAGGAACGGGACTTGATTCTGGAAGAACTCGCACTTTGGACAGTTTGGCATACAACTTGTGTTCGCGTAGCTTGGCCAGTACGCGGGCGACATGACCTTCATGGGTCGCTTCATCCTTGCTGTACACAAGGATATCATCCAGGTACACGATGACAGAGTTGTCGAGCTCTTGGTGGAACACATCGTTCATCAGCTGCATGAACGTGGCGGGTGCATTCGTCAATCCGAACGGCAGCACTAGGAACTCGTACAGTCCGTAGCGAGTCCTGAAGGCGGTCTTGTGGACATCATCCTCGTGGATAGCGGATCTGATGGTAGCCTGAGCGGAGGTCTATCTTGCTAAAGACCTTTGCTCCACTCAGACGATCCATCAACTCGTCGATCCTGGGCAACGGGTAGGTGTTCTTGATGGTCTGTTTGTTTAGTGCGCGATAGTCGACGCACATCCTGAGATCACCTTCTTTCTTCTTGACAAAGAGCACTGGTGCACCATACGGTGACTGGCTCGGGCGGATGAACCCATGGGCGAGGAGGTCATCCAACTGGCGCTTGAGTTCGTCCATCTCCGTCAGCGACAATTGGTACGTCGGTCTTGACGGAGGCGACGAGCCTGGTTCGATGTCAGTGCGATTCTCCTCGTTTCCTTGGGGTCTGTCATGGACACCATTGACCCTTCCCACCTCGCTCGGACCTGGACTCGTACCATCCGCTACGATTGGTTGGCACGGGCAAGAATCCGGGTTCCACCTCTAGTTTCAATCGCGTTCGACTGCGGCGAAACCGCGCCGACGTCTTCTCGCCTGCTTCCATCGAGGCAAGGCGCAGGGTTATGATCACGGCGAATAAGCCACTCTCCTTGAGCTCGTTTTGCCTCTCGTATGCTTCTGTCGTGTTTCTTGTCCTGAATTCAATTATATTTCATACTTTACCCTCCTCTGCTGCCGAATATTGACAGTGTCTCAGATCCCGTTTCCTCCTTTGATGCGCCGTTTCACATGTGCCCCTGCCTGCGTCACACACTTTTCTCTCCCTTCGTCCCTCGTCGCTTTTCTTCTCTCTATTTCCTATGGTGCACACGCCGCTCTGTGCTCCCTGCAAATGTCAGCGACCGTGTATTTGCCAGATGTCAGTGTCATTTTCTTTGTCAACGACATTCATGTGTCAGATTTTTGTATTTTCTCAGGTTTGTCGCTGCTGTCCGTCTGCTATCTTATTTCCTCTCATGTTTCTCCCCTAAGGTGATAGGCGCTGCCTCCGTGACCACTTCACAGGTGAGTTGCCTACCATTGCCCTCCCTTTTTTTGATCACCTTTTACTCCAGTCACACTTGTCTCTCCGTCCTCGCCTCGCTAAGTTGCATCATTCACTGTCTTTATCACCATTATTTCACTCCTCTTGACCATGTGATTGGACACCCTCTGTTCCGCTGATTAGTACAGGAGCGTGTGAGCAGGGAGAAGGTAATGTCCCCAAATAGTAATGATCGTAAATTGAAATCGGAAGCTGATCATCCAATTCTTGGGCTTCCTCTTTCCGGCCTCGAACTCTTCAATTCATTACCTTTTGCCATCCATATTTTGAATCATCAAGCACAATTGGGCACGCTGTGTTAATGTCATGGATCAATCAATGAGCTTGTCTAATGTCGGACGTGGGAGCATTCCAGTCGCTGTTCAGCCCAGATTCTCCTGAGTATCCAGACTCAGCCTTTTTACCCCCCCCCACTCAGGCCATCCCTCCATAATCTTCTGTACCGGTACTGTCAATGTCAGCCTTGTTCAGGATGGCTCGTCCGGGGATCATGTTTCAAGCGAGTCAAGTTTACTGTATACCCCTCTTACCGCCTCTCAGTCAGCGATTCCTCTCCGTTTGCGGCCTATCGTACTCGTGGAGTATTTTGTATTTTGACCATTCTTTATTGACCCAAACAGTTTCACCTACTGTTCAACCCCCCCCCTCACCGTATTCTTCACTGGGTGACTACATCATCTGGACCCTAACGGAGTGACCACCCTTGCTCAAACAGCTGTTCAGCTTGGTTTTGAGCGTCCTGGGGGATACCAAGCCGAAGATTGTTGACAGGATTCAATATTCCAGGGTCTTCTCGAGGATCAAGACTTCACCTCCAATGATCGTCGATCGTCCACTCCATCACGACACACGCAGGACTTGCTATATCGAATGTGGGAAACTGTATTATCTCCAATGAATTCTTCGTATCATGCACTTCCATCCAACGTAAAACGTCTGAGGGTTCCATCGATTCCACAGCTGTATATCCATCCGTCGAATACACTGAGCTGGAGGATTCCGCATGTCGGATCACCGACTCTGTCTGATCCTGTGCTTCCTTTTGGGTCTGCAGGCGTCCAGTAATGTGTTTCCTGGAATGACACAAGATCCCAAATCTTGGAAAGAAGATCGTGTTAATCGAATAATATCTCATCAGATCCAGTGTACATCGCCGTCGAGAATCTTTCTGTCGAAGGCAAAACTAATTCCCGTATTCCTCACCCTTACTGGACTAACCGCCCGTCGATATCTTATCAGCGTCCCCCCCCCCAGTCCAATTCATCCGATTCCTCCGCCATGACCATTCCGCACGAGGTCGTCCGTCAGCTCACCTTCACCTCGCCACTTGCTGAGCCTGAAATCAAAAGGTCACGTTCTTCATCGATAGCAAGAGTCCGAATCGTGTTGTCATGGGCAAAGTAGTTGTTGAGGCATATTCTTTGTCTGACATCAATTACGGCTTGAACATTGGATAAACACTCATCAGAAATTCAACAGCTGTGTAATTTCTCAAATTGAATGGACCCGGCTTCAAGCGTGAATCGCGAGGATGCTCATCTCATAAGACTTACCTATGTCACCCCGTTTTCCCCCCGATATGACCAAATTGTGGCGAGGGGAGTACACCAAAGAATGGGATCCTCCTTCGTTGACAGTGAAGCCTATCGTAAACAAGTACGATGATGAGCACATGTCGGATACCACTGCTCAAGAGCGCCTCTCCAAGGAGAAATCGGCATCATACCCTTGACTCTTTGTTTCTGTTGAGGGAGCAGTGTGTCCCACATGCAAACATTTCTTGGCAAATGATGTCAATGGCGTCATTAGAATGCCCATATCCCCACGACATGCCCATGAAAGTGCAACTCGGATCAGCGAGCAACCTACAGCGATGTCGCGGAGCTCCCCGCAGTTGCCAAGAAGCTCCCGGAGCTCAAATAGCGGAAATCGTATGCTGGCCCATTATGGCAGCTCAGGGTCTGAGTTGGAGCAAGACCCTGGGAACTTGCGTCAAACTTCCAGAGATGCAAGTCTCCTTTGGTGTCGGTCGCACCAAAGCGAACACCGAAAGGGTCAAATCGAATCTTAGTCAGCCGTCCCGCCGATTTAAATGTGTACGAAACAAGTTCCTTCTTCTGTCCGTAGTGATAGAGGTTAATCGAGTTCGAAGTTTCACTCGATGGTGAAAGATCTGTGCGTGCATGGAAGAAAAGTAAATCGTGAGTGTGAATAGTATTTTGCCACCCGCGAGTTTGCTAAAAATGCAGTCTCCTCACTATTTGGACAAACTAACAGTAGTTTAAAGACGGGTGGCTGTCAATCGCGACAGATGCCCCTTCTCGCTGGAGCCGTTGTCCATTATCGATTGCTTGTGTTGATGAAACTGAGCAGATATAATGAGGTGAGGTCATGCCCCCAACATCAACTGTTTCGCGCTACATGCAAGGCACAAACACTGGCTTCGAGGACCCACAACCATCCTACTTACATCCTCGCCGTAAGGTGTGCATTGATTTTTTCAAAGCCTTTTGTAATGAATCAAAGCTCAAGTTTCGTTTTGTAGCACTGAGTCGATCTCCGTCGTCCAAGGACAAAGTCGCGAGTGACTCTCGACCTGGCAGTCCATCGAGATCGTCCACGGGCGCCTTGCTTTCTGGGATAAGGGCCGTCGATGTCTAGATAGGATCAAACGACGCAGCACCGAATTAGCGGCTCGAAGCTTCTCCCGAGTGCCGTTGTTATTCATGGCTTGGTTACCATCGCCCAAGACTCGGAATCCTGCCGGAACTCGAAGCTCATCTGTCTCTGATACCTTTTGATACTTTGATGACACTTCAACATCAATTTCATAAATTTCCTTTGAAGTTCCAACCGCAAATATCGCGCGATTGCCCTGCCGCAGATGGGTGAGGTTTAGTATACAACCCAGCAGGTCTTGGACGATCGCCACCATCTCCATCTCTGTCGTGCCAACTGGCGCCGCCTTTAAAGCAATGACCCCTTACTGCGTTAACCGAGAATGAATGGATGATATTCTTGGTACGGAACACCACTTGATTGTCGAGTAACACTGTGCCATCGCGTGCATCAGAGGCGACTCTTGAATCATTGCTCGCGTCTGTGTCAACTTTGGCGGTTACCGCACTTGGAGCCGCAGCTGAATCAGGGTTTATCGACGGATCCTCCAGCATGAAACCGTTGTCTGGTGCGATTTCGTCAGCCATATCCTCTGGCTTGGGTGTGTTTTCAGTCTCAATCGGCGGCAGGGCCATCTGCAGCATTCGATTGATGTTGACGAGATTCCCGAGGAAATTCCAGAGCTCCTTCACGTCTGGTTCTGATAGAGCCAAATGGACTTTCTCCAACGGCATTTCGTGCTGCCTCCATTCGGCTGCCATCGTCACTTGCAGTTGGTAAAGTTGCCGGGAGAGGCGTTTGAGGACAGCATCGGAGAGGAATATCATACTCTCTGGAAGGAGTGAATCGGTGGCCCTGGATTGCGAGACATACACCTCAAATGTCATGCCAATGTGCTGTAGTACCAAAGTTTGGACCAGAAGCTCGGCTGTCATTCGAGTTTCTTCCGACACAGCAGCAGTCTCATCTTGGTGCTCGTCAAAGGTTTCGCGATTATCATCGGCAGCAGCCTCCTCGGTAACAATTGCTGGCTATTGTGTGGTCAAACTCGTCCTGTTAGTCATCCGTCTTACACCATGCCCCGCATCATTACTTTGACACTCGATCCTGAGATCAAAAATACGCACCACATCAATTTCGTCATCACGGACGATCGATTCGATAATCCGCCAAAGATCGGACATATTCTTTCCGAGCAGAATCTCGAAAAATCCGTCACAGAGCGAGAGCAGCCACCTGATTTTTCGATAGCTTTTCTGTTTCAAGCGAGAGATGATAATCGCCAGGAAAGCTGTACATGAGGCGCCCATGATGACTGTATGAAGTGACTTGGTACACGACCCATTCTGTGCTTTGTCTTGCCATCGAACGATCGACCACAGCAAACGCCTGTGAGGGAAGGCCGAGGGTGTACAGTTAGCGTTGAGATAAGCGTGACCACATTCTCATCGAATCCGCAGGCGGTCCTACTTTGCCAGCCAAATGTGATACTCGGTTCCGTGTCCACTATCTTCAAGCTTCAATGGAGGCCCAAACACGATGCGTGAGAGGACGTTGCACTGGTCCTCAACAAACTTCACGTATTTGGTCGCGTACTCGGTGCTGGTTTCCTGAAGTGGAAGAAACTCGGAATATGTGATTACCGAGTCCATTTCCTTGCAACGCGTAATGATTCATAGAGAGTCAAGTTAAGGACCTTTGCGATAAGTAAGACGAGTCTGTCAATCAAGAGGCATCGCCTGAATAGAAACTGCAGCCATCGCCTCGACAAATTGGCGGGCAGCATCAACCGACGCCATATGCCACGCTGACAGAAAGGATATATATCCAGCATCTGTTCGATCAACGTTATTGGAATCGAGACCTGGCTCGAAAGGCGGCAAATACTGCCCCTCAGTCGCTCAAAGTAATCTCGGAAGGCTTCTTCGACTTGCAGGACGTCCATATTTAGCGAGACGACTGTTGTCGATTGGTAGACCGCCTAAATTGCAGATCCCGTTATTGACCATGAATCGCAATTACTGTGCAATCCTGTTGAGCAACCCGTTGTAGGGTGCGATTTTGCCGTCGCTGCTCGTGTATCAGAGCTAAACTCACCTGAATCGACCTCATCGCGAGCATCCATTGGTGAACCATGATATTCCGACACTCAAGTTCGTATTGAAGCCTCTGCTCGCCGCTGACATGGCCGAGCGCATGGTTAACATCCTCCAAGGCACTCGCAGCTTGGCTTTTGCCTCCATCGTCGCCGACCATCTCCCGCGACACAGTATCAATGCCGTCGTCGTTGTTGCTATCGTCGTCGTGATCAAGTGTACTTTTGTACTCATCGAACATACTGGCTCCTGTTCCAAGAGCCGAGGGAAATGTCGAGCCTATAGGCTGACCCCAGTCGAATCCGTCATCCTGATTGGAAACGGGCGCACCCCAGTCGAACTGATCGGCGCGTTGCGCTCCGCCGAGCTGGTTCCAATCGAGTGATGCAGAAGTTTGGGTGGCGACTGGTTGGCTCCAGTCAATACTTTCATGGATTTCGCTGGCTGTTGGAGGACCTGCGCCAGTGGTAGTAGCTGTCGCGGTGCCTCCAGGGCCATGATCCCTCCAGTTCATGACGCCTGTAGCTTCAGTAGTACCGATATCGTGACCCTTGTCTGCACACTCAAGGGATTTTGATGCGTCTTGTCGAAGTTGCTCTTCGCGCAGCGGCTCCAAACGCTTCATGATTTGAAGGGCCAAGAGCGGGCATCCCATTTCGATATAAGCTTCAGCGCACTGGCATATGAACTCGGCCTCTCGTGCTGGAGGCGTTTGCGGGAGAGCAATGCGTAAGGACTTGTAATACCCCTTCAAGTGGTAAAATAGGACAAGTAGCTCCGGATCAACTGGCGCGTGGACGCTATCGGGTTCTCTGTCGGGGATGAATGTGTCCATCGGCATCTGTGAAAGCATTTGGGCAAATCGTCAGCAGCAATACACCATTGCAGAAGTGATGATGATGACAGCCTTCGACAGCGTCCACGAACCAGGGTAACCAACAAGCTTTCTGAGCGCTTCTTTATAATGGAATAGGCAACAGAAGCAAGCCAACGATCGCCTCTCCGCAAAGCCTCGGGGATCAGCGTTGTTGTCACAACGTCCAACAAGAGTGAGCTTTCATCGCCTGCGACAGATTCAGAGGCTTCCGTGTTATTTCGGGTCGCAGGAAGCCGGCCTTCCCTTTCAAAGGCAAGTCGAATGATGAAGACAAACCTTCAAATAGTCTACATATCACTAATGCCAGTTGGGGGTCATTGAGGTGTTTGAAACAAACGTTGACGGCATCCTTTGGACTGTCTCCAAGAAGAAAAAACGCCACAGCGTATTCTGTCGATCGATGTATCAGTCTATTAGCGGTGTTGGCTTTGATAGCCTTGCTCACTGGCCCATCTTTCACGAGCCCACAGAGCGGGACAGAGCTGGAAGCATCATGTTGGCTATGAGATTGATTCGGCACCCACCGTAACGTTGCTTGCCCAACAAGGCAAACGCATTCTTGATAGCTGCTTTTTTCCATCGCTCCTCGGCAAAATCATTTGCCAGGAAGCGAAGCATTGAGGCCTGCTCTGGATGGGCATTTGCCAACTTCCACAGCCCCAAGAGAACATTCTTCTTCCTCATAGCGATGTAAAACAAGGAACAGTCAACCGGGTTCTTGTCATCGTTTGCCATGTACTGGTTGCGGGCAATCGATTCGATGACACGGCGCTTTCAAAGTAACGCGACAGCAATTTCATAGACGCATGATGTGAAAACATGACTGGGTTAGTTCCTCACATCGTCGTGCGTGACCAGAGACAAACTCTGCCGCTGGTAGCCAATGAGATACCTACCAGACTCTCCAGATTCTTGATCCAGTAGCCCATGCCGAAAGCCCGAGCATCTTTCCAATTCAACTTTGAGCCAAGTGCAGCATTACAGCTCTCGATGAGTAGATCCTGACTCTCACTGAAATAGGCCCAGGCCACATCCCTGGACGATAGCTCCATTGACCTCATTGCAGGAGGGAACGACTTTTGCGAAAATAGCCACAACTTCATGAAGAGCAGGAATCGGCCGCCATTTTCGTCGAGAGAGCGCTTCTGAGCCTCGATCTACGCAATGTCGGGACGCAGAAACGCGGGTACGCCAAATATACAACGTGTGGTAAGCGAAATGCGGACCTACAGCAAATAACAAATGCCTGAGGCGGTCTGTCCGTCCGTCCGCTCTCGATCAATGTTACTTTGTCGATACTCTCCTCCTCTCCGTACCACCAATCACTTTTGTCGATTGGCACTCGCTATCAAGAATCGCGATTCACACCCCCTGCAAGCTTCACTCATGCTCATCGCTGCACCTGAGAAAACGTATCAATGAGGGCAACGAGCAGCATTTGGTCGACGTTGGTGATTCGCGGAAGGGATACATATGTAAGCTGCTCGGAAAGAAAGGTCGCCTGGGAGGATGTAAATTCGCCGACGACTGTTTGATCCCTACAGCACAAACGATAGGGTTTTGCACACCCATCCCGATTGCAACGTTAACTCTTGCAGAAACGACAATGGCGCTGCGTCGTGCGGCCAAAACGCCGGAGGCGGACAACCAACGGCGCCCAAAGACCTTGTTTATCAAGCACATTTGTACCTTTGACCATCCTCGGCCGCGAATAGCGAATCATAATGCTGAATGCTTGCTGCCGGGGATGCCTGAAGGGCCATATTTCATCAGCAAAGCGAGTTATTTGCAACAAAATCGGAGGCAGAAGGCATAAGGCCCAAGACACAAGGCAGAGCCATGCAGGGCAATGCTGGACTGCCTGATTGGTACACCGGCACGAATGCACGTCGGCCGAGCTTGCTTTCCATATTCGGGAACAGAGCTCTGCGCATTCATACCTCGTCTTCAAAAAGTTTCCATAACGGCACGGGCACATCGATTATGGTTCGATTGGATTGGAATAACAACTGAACGAAGCGATGAAGAAACGACAGCTGATACTTGACAAGATCATAGTGACCTGTTTCGAGGCAACGTATTAGCATTTCAGTTGCCTGGCAGGGCCGACAATCTGCACGAAACGACTTGATCATCTATCATTCATACCCCAAATCAAATTCTGGATCAAAACAAGCGGATGATGCTCTGGGAGTGAGCCATTAAGTCGACTGGCTCCAACAAATATGTTGTATGGGGAGCTTGTATCGGACTGATCTTCAAACCACTTGTCATAAATGTCAATATGGTCTTTCTTTCCCACAAGAATGGACCCGTTGCCCAGCCAGGCAACAATCTCGGTTCTGGGGGGAGTTAGATCCGCATCAGCTGGCCATGGCTACGCATTACATTGCAAGCTGGATCAAGCGAATACCCCGCGCCAATAAATATGGCTGCTATCCAGAGCTGCATGAGAGCAGCCACGAGACGACAGCAGAGTCAGGGGAATAGCTCCATCTCGTCCTAGCCACTCACCCCAGCGCCGTGAAGTTGCTTATAGTCGACCAGCTTGGCAAATTTTCGTTGGCTCTCCTTCGCTGCTGGCCATATATCTCAACTCGGTCGGGGTGGCCGCAGAGTAGAAGATGCTGTCCATCGGAGGTGAAATACCAATCCAGACCAACAATATCATCCCTGAAAACACCAAGGCTCGAGTGAGTATGCTGTGCTCTCACGTGCTGCTGGGCAAATGTGACCCTCCAATTGCGGGACCAGGAGGTCCGAAGCAACTGATGTGACGCTCATGGAATGCAGAATAGAGCCTACCGTGTCGTAAGTTCCCATTCCTTTCGGTAAGAGAGGCTCGATATATTGTTGCACCACACCTCAACCCTTGAGCCACCTATGACTTGACGATCTATAAATCGGAAAGCAATAGCTTAGTTCGCTGCTCACTGCTCACTGCTCACTGCCCCCATTTGTTGGATGATTCCCACTGCCCCACAAATCAAGCCTCGCTCGAACCTCATGGTGACTCCGCAAATACAGGAGAAAGCCATCGAGGCCATTGAGGTCATGAAAAGCACTCGAGTCAGCAAGCTCACGTACGAATAGCCAGCTTGCCAAAAGTATGCGGATAGATCCCCAGGACTCCTTCGGCTTCCAGCTTAAATCTTGACACAGGCACCCACGAGGAGTTCTTCGCAATGCTTTGAAAGGAACCACCATTGATATGCCAAAGCGTCGCATCATCGCCTTCGCATACAGTCATGAATAAGTGGGGTCCGAGAGGGGCAACGGGGCCATAGACCGTGGACAGACTGTCGGTGGCGACAACGTATTTCAACGCCGACGAAAGTTCAAGACGATTTGCCGCCACTAATGTCGTGGCTACTTTCGTTGTTGGCCCAAGCTCTATGGTCCAGACATAAACCGTTGTATCTCTGGCCACGCCAATGAGGTAATATCGGGCTTGGACCAAGGACTCCACCGAGGCGACATCCTCGCCACCATCATGATAAAGATGGATCATCGCCAAGTCCGGGATCCAGCTGTCCACAACTGCGGTGCTTTGAATCACCCTTCCAGCTTGTACGTGAACGATGCTCAGTTCACTTTTCTCGTATGCAATGAGGAGAGGCACTGTTGGAGAGCGCAGCAGTTGGATTGAGGAACTGCAAAAACTTGGCTGGGATATAATCTGCACACATGAGCACGGCAAGGGCCATCATTGCACTAGTCACCCACCTCCAGGTATCCATGCTTGGAGAGGATGCTCTGAAAAGGCCCCGGTCCGGCCACCAAGCGCATCCAGCCCCGAGGTTGTACGTGCTCCGATCTGGAATTCGTGACAAACAATAATAGCATGAAGTACGTCGAAGCGCGGCGCGCATCGAAAATGTTTAGCGCAAAAGTCCAAGCGTTAGAATTGGCGGATCCTGACAGCTTACCTTGGGATTCGTCGTCTCGAAAATGATGAGCTCACCATCTCGTCCTGTTGTCGACACAAAGGGCATGTTTGGATGACGAGTGACACGTCTGACGCTCGCTCGATGCCCACACCACGAATACGTTAAGCGAAGATAGGTATTGCCGATTGAAGTTCCAAGGAACTCATCCAGCGACATAATATATGCGTTGACGCTTCCGTCAACTGCTTGGCCGAGGAAAAGCAGCTCGGCGGGGAAGTATATGGCTGTGGGCATTCAAATGTAAGAGTGAGCATTCGCAGCCACCTGTGCTTCAGCCACGATTCCCGCCCAATATGGCTGGTTGTGCAAACGCCGATCTCAACAAGACCTACACGAATGTTGTATCGCAGGCCTGTTGCAAAAAACAAAGACGTTTCCGAGGAAGAATTCGTAATCAGATCGGATCAACGAGTCTTCGGCGCGCATGATGACTAGAACTTTGGGTATGCACCTGGGCTTGCTGGTCAGATGCTGGAGGACCAAGAAGTCATTAGCACACAAGTCAATTCTCCCGGTCGTCTTGTTCGCCGCCATCTTGTTCGACGCCATTGGCTGCATTGGAAAGTGATATCGTGCGCATGGGCCATAAGCGTGTCATTCGATGGAAGCCATCAACTCATACCTGGACACCCCACACGATCATAGATCCGGTCGGCTCGATTCGAAAGAGCATGTCTGGATAGTCTTTGAGCTTTTCTTTCACTCTTCTACTTCGGCGCTCATTTGTGGTTCCTTTGGCATTCTTTTTCTTTCGATACTTGCTTTCCTCCATCTCGCGCAAAGCGAGAGCTTCATTGATAGCTTCGCTATGAATCCAATGAACGGGACTGAGCCCCTCATCAGCCGTTGTTAGGTCCTCATTCGAGCCAGGAAATGATCGTGGATTGATCAGTGCGGCCATATGGAAGACAAAGGGAAACTGCTGTGTCGTCTGACTCCAGAGTCGGCAGATATTGTCCAGCGAAAGGGTCATAAGGACGTTGTCCGCAGGAACCCTGCAAAGTGAAGTTGGTGGCCACCCAAAAGCATATATCATCGTTAGCTCTGAAGCCGTGAGCAGTCAGTCCGGTGATCTGAGCTCTGAGGCAACTGTTCTCGAGGAGTCCAGCGGCCTTCCATACCTAGTATACTTGGCATCTCTATATCGCCACTCGGTGCTGACGACAGACCGGGGATGCAAAAGATAGGTAAAATCGAAATCGACGTCTTCAGAATCAGCTCCGCTTGTTTCTTTGGAATACCAAATCTTGACTACCCGATCGTACTTTATCAGTGGAAGCACATAAAAGCAAAGTAGACTCAGATAATATGCAATGCGAAAGCCGGTGCAAGCACCAGAATGTGACAGCTAACGCGAGCTTCGTCCGCATAGCGAGGAAGCATTAAGGATTGGCAGCACAGAACTACCATCGAGAAAGTGCTAATAAAATGCCCGTCTGGAGAAAACTCGGCTTTGTGGACGTCATTTGCCAAGCTGCCTCACACAGTAGATTGCACCAGAGCACCCAGAAGGTCCCAATATTAGTATGAGCTGCGTTTGAAAGAGCGTACTGCCCGGTAGATATGCCTTGCTCATCCGCTGTGTTAGACATCTTGTGCAACATTCTCATCATACCTTGTCGACCATGCCGCTTTCCAACGATCCGAGCCAGCCGAGTCTGGATTCGGCGCAGAGATATCGGAAAGGTGACTTCGATCTGGCCTTTGCGTGTACAGCACCAGGTAGTTTCCGGCAGCGAGGAACGATCCCATCGGATGGAAGGCCAGATAACGGAGAAGAAAATTGGCTTGGAGCGTCTCGGAGTATTCCCAGGTGAATTTCTGGAGCAGAGTCATTGCAGAGGGTCGTTAGAAGGCTCGACTTTGGTCGATTGACCTCGTACAAGCCAAAGTCCACAAAGAACCAAAGCAACCCCCCACGGCGTCGAGGAATCCCAATTTTACCTTGGGAGCGATTTCATGAGGCAGATACAGGACAATTTGATCGCGATAACCAGCGATGATCTGTTGGTGGCGAGTGACTGCGTGTTAGAGCTGGTTTCCCCGAGCATTAGAATCCGTCACAAGCATTATCGGTATCAAAAATATGTTGAAGGAGCAGAGAGTGGCTTGGCATCAAGCTGTTGATCGTCGCCTCAACCGAGCCGCCAGCAGACCAGGCCTTTCAACACCACCACGCTCTACCATACCAGGCCGCTTGTGCCAGACATGGCGACGCAACTGACTTCCAAATCGCCATCATCGGGATGCGAAAGAGATTGAAGAAAGGTGAAATCGGACCGAAAAACAATGATTTTTGCGCCACAGCCGTATATCTAATCGATGGAAACAAGCAAGCATCGACGACTTTAATCGGATCGTGCGCTGAGGGCCGGGTTTGAGCATCGTCCCAGAAGAACACGCCTCAAAGACGCATGTACGATGCCCATGACGTCTATCAGACTCTGGCGCATCACTCGGGGATGGGACGGGACGCTTCCCGACTCTAGGAGAATATCTCTTGATACAGTGGTCATATCTTGGCGGCCGTTTTGTTCGACCGCAGCCTCCGATGCGAGGATTGCCCATACCACGTAACGCGTGTCACGGAATAGAGCCGTCGCCATCGATCCTGGTGAAGCATTGGGTTTGCCAGCAATAACATGCTGGAGAAGCTGCATTATTCCCGTTGCGCCTGATGGCCGGTACGAGCGAGTAGGTGATGGTAGCTTTTCGCGGCGGGTGGGGAGGAGATGGTGGAGGTTGCCGCAACCAGGGCCGCCGCTGGACGGGAATGCTTGGGGGGGGGGGGACACGTGATAGTGTGGCGCGGTCCAAGGGTCGAATGCACCTTGAACCACAAACTACACTTTATTCAGAAAAAAAACGGGACAACATAGCCGTTTCCATGAACATGTAGTATGTGCTGTGCTTGCGTCAAGCAAAGCCACAAGAAATAAAACAGATCACTTTGGCAGCCTCCGAGTGAAGACCGCCGGTCGCTCTCCGATCTCCACAATCGACCTGCATACTGTGATCATGTTGCGCGCCGCATTGACGTCGCGATTCCACACTGTCCGGCAGCTGGGATTCTTGCAGCTCCTGACAAAGTGGGAATTCGCAACACTGGGCGCATCGAGTCCTTCCAACCGAACTGGCTCCAGGCACTTGGAGCACACCTTGCGAGGTGTTGAACTCGTTCGTCGAGACTACCTTGACGCTTCCATGATGGTGATTGGGACGGCGTCGGTGGTGCTCGAATTGCTCAAAGTACCTGAGCAAACCGCTGCCTCCGAGGGCTGGATGCATAGCCCTTGCCTTGCCGCCATGACTGCATTGCCAAAGGCGATCACCACATCGGTCCGTATCGGGGCGTGCTTCAGGACGGCCTTGCACATCCTGTCGACGGCCACTTGGCGTCTCCTGTGGCCCGTGAATCGATGGTGACGGGCCTTCTTGCCAAGGTGGAAGTCGAGCTGCACTCGCAGCTCCGGTCGCAGGACATGGGTGAGATGGACCTTGAAAGCCTCCGAGGACGACACCTTGGGTGAAGGGAGTGGTCGACATCCAGGTCTCGATGTCGAGGCGATACTTCATGGTGTTGTGCCACTCAGTATTGGACTTGTGGCCACACATGTGCTGGTAGTGGCCATTGGAGAATGAGACCACCTCGTCTTGGTGGCCCGGTGCTTGGATGACCGCCGTGAAGATGGAGCCGACTCCAGGATCGATGCCAATCCAAGTGGTCTTGTCGGGGTCTGGGTCGCCGATGTGGGCCTGGATGCGCTGCTCGGCAGTCGGAGGAGGCTCGATGGTCTCGGTGTGATCGGTTCGAGGCAGAAACTTGACGAGACCGATGGTGCATCCAATGCCATCGGTGCTGATCTCGTAGTTGAACAGCTTCTTGTCCCTGACCCGCTCTTGGAAGAGGGAACTACGCAGCTTGAAGCAACTGCGCCAGAGACGATCCTGGTTGTTGACACCGTCCTCACCTTCTTCCTTGAGCTTGTCCCTGGTGAGTCCAAGGCGCTTCTTTGGACCCAGGAGTTCCCAGAGTGCGACGGTGTCGATCTTGACATACTTGGCCTTGGTGGTGCATAGAGGAACCATCGTGCACACGGCCGGAGGAGTGTCCAGAGCGAGCTGCTTGAGGCACCACTTGATCCTGGATGCCAGCTTGTTGATCTTGGACTTGGTGGTGCCGAGCTCAGACTTGGCCTTGGTGAACCTCTTGTCGTCGGAGGGAATGCCTTGGGTAGTGAGGCTGTCCAGCTTGGCCTGGCGCTGCAGCTCGGTGACTCGGAGGGCGGGCATGTCGCAGTCGATCCACTTGTGGACATCGTCGACCATCTTGTCTCGGGCGAGGATTCCCACATGGTGTGAGAGGCGATGGAGGGCCCGGAAGCGGTCCTGGTCGTTGCTGTACCGAAACTCGTCCAGGACGTGGCCAAAGTCTGGATAGAGGAACTCGAGATCGGCCTTGGGTGGAGTCTGCCCTGGTTTCTCGAAGAGCTCGAGACAGGCCTCGATGGCTTCGTGCTTATGCTTGTTGGCTGGGAAGACGGCAGCGCAGAAGCGGCGAAGGAGTCGCCAGTAGGCCAGGTCGAGGTGGGTGGTGCAGTTGGTGGCATAGGCATTGACAGCCAGTGTGAGAAGCTGACTGTGAGCACCATCAGGCAGACGAGGGGCCGGAGGCAGGTCTGCGTGCCGAGTGGTCTGGTAGTCGCGAAAGGAAGCGACCAGATGCTCGTTGTATTTCTCATTGTCCCCGGTCGGCGAGAGGGCACCGGCCTCGACAATCGTGAAGCATTGGCGGATGAAAGCAGGGGTGGACTTGGAGATGACGGGGACGGGAAGATCCTGCTCGATGCACCGGAGGATGTGCAGGTTGAGCAGCCTGGATGCCTCGAACTGGATCTGGGTCATGGCCTCGACGGTGGCCTGGATCTTGTCGCGGAGAGCGGGATTGAGACAACAGCCATCCATCGTCTGCTTGAAGCAGCTGAACTGAGGGGCGGATGACCTTCCATCCACGAGTGGGACGACAGAACTCTTGAGGGGCCGGTATTCGGGACACTTGTTGGTGTTGCAACGTTCGTGATCGGTGCCATCGCACTTGGGACATCGCTTGCCAGTACTCGAGGAAGTAGATGGACCAGGCTCGGTGGGATCGACATCCATTGGATCTGCAGAAGCAGTGGTGGTGAGCGACGGAGCAACAGACGACCAAGCATGCGTGGGGTCAGAATACGAACCAGAGACAGGCTCCGACTGTGACTTGGCTTTCTTGGGCCTGGTGGCCGAGGCTGGCCATCACCGGTACCCTTGCGCTTCGGAGGCATGGGGGCAGAGGATGCTGGATGCCTGCCAGTGGTACTGGTCAGAACAGAGACTTTTTTTTTATCGTACAATAGCGCGATGATCAGATCAAGGCGAGATGAGGGAAGAAAGCAGCAGGACGAAGGTGTGGCATTTATACCCGAGAGCAGGAACCCGTCTGCGCGGGCTGGTTGGGGAAGTGACCCTGTTCAAAAATCGCCGAGAGGTTCAAGCCAGGGATGTGAACGCGAAAATGGCGGCGTGATTGGGGGACTAAACCCCAAATTGGAGGAGCTCAACCCCAAATCGGTGGGGACTCAACCCCAAAGAAGTTCTCGATGGGATTGAAGTCGAGTGAGGCAGGTGGGGTGAAGATCACTGACCATCCTCGGCGCTCGATGCAGTCCAGGACAGCCATTGTCTTGTGCATGCTGACATTGTCCATCACAACCACAGAGTCATCTGGGAAGGCCGCTCGCTCAAAGAACTCGACCATCGAGTGTGTCTTGAATGATGTGGGGATGTACATGCGATGCAGCACACCAGAGTGGTTGATGGCAAATGCAGCTGAGACAGACTTGTGTTTCATGTGATTGCGCTGGCGAAGCGGAGCACCCTTCGGTGAGTATCCGTAAAGAGGAAAAATGGATCTCCTGATCCCTGTCTCATCGACAAAAACGAATCGCCGCGGGTCGATGGAGCGGACCTGGTTCCTGAACTGTGCCACTCGCTCATCCAGTCGCTTGGACTTGTAGAGGTGTGTTGCCCTCTTGTGTGAGAGACCTGCTCGGTGGATGGCAGTGTGGCAGAGTGAGAGTGATACTTTCCTCTGGAGGATGGACTCGAGCTTGCATCGCAACACAGGACCAGTCTGGAACGGGTCCTGTTCAATCAGGGTGCGAATGACTGGACATGCCTGCTCGAAGAAAGTGGATCTGCGAGCTGGGACCCGGGATGGGTCATCCAGCTTGCATCCTCGGTGCCATCGATGGATGGTGCTCTTGGATACACTGAATATGGAGGCGACCTTACGCAGGCTATGGATGAGATCGTAGCATCGCAATGCGGCGGTGCGAAAGTCGGATGTGTGGCGAATGGTCATGGCCAGCGCGCGATAACATTGGGTAACAAAATATTCGATGAATGGTCAAAAACCCGGGTGTCCCGTTTTTTATTGGATTGCTTGTAACCACAAGCAAGGGGCGACGCACCAGTAGAGCATAAATTGGCGCCGTCCCGTTTCATCCCGAGCAAACGGCTATAGAGCGGTGCTGGTTTCTCCAAATCGAAGTCTCAATCGAGACACCAGACACCGATTGCAAGAGTAATGCTCACGTGTGGAATCACCCCCCCCCTATCTCCGGCAGAGGTTCCGGCTTTGGGAAACACATATATTCACCTGGTGCAGAGCGGACATGTACTGGAAGGTCCTCCCATTCAATCCGATGCTGCACAATCAAGGACAAAGCTGCCATTTTGCATCCAACTTGCCATGGCAAGGAGGAAGCAACTTTCGAGTGGTGGTGGGGAGGGGAAGTCGGGTATTCAAGCTGGGTACTACTAAATTGGTGGCTGTCATCTGGCTTTCTTTCCGTGCGGCCTTAAATCTCAAATCGTACGCTGTGCACATCCGTCTTGTTCGGCGAACGTGGCCACGTGTCGTATGGAAGGGGTTAGTGTGACACTTCTGAAATTGGAGGGCAGCGTTGCCAACCCTGCTCTCTCACAGACAGAACGACGGATACATACCAGATAACCCGTGGAAAGTTGGGGAATTTGAGTGAACGTTGGTCTCAAAATGTCACGGATGTCTTGCAGGAGCTCAGTATATGTTGGGTGTGGTTTCTTGGCAAGGACAGCCAACAGAGCATACGTCAATGCGCCGCGCGCCTGCCCCGAGATCTTTGCGTCGGCAGAGGTTTGCACGTCTTTGCAACCAGAAAATTGAAAGATGGCGCCGCATGTCTTGTTTCTGGAGGGAATAGGGGCCGGTGTGGCGATCTGGTCGCGGGAAACGCCATGATGGAGCAGCACTTCGAGCATGTCTTGATGGTCAGTCGATTGAAAATGCTCTGTCAAGAGTTTGAAGAACCCGCCCTGGTTCATAGATCGAGATGATGTTAACGGAACCGCGCGGCATTTCCAATCGGTATTGATTCCAGGATTTACTTACTGTGGGATGAAGCGCATCAATGATGGAGTTGTTGCTCTTGACGACAATGTCAAGGGAGCCATCTGCAAGGGTTTTGTTGGGGATTCAGTCAGTTCAGTCCACTTTGCTCCTCTTCGCAGCCACAGCCCAAGTTGTCGACGAGCGGAGCCTTAGAGGATGTTCACCGAAATTCTTTCAACGTTTCCTCGGATGGAGACGCTCGCACGGTCAACAGCTCAAATTTCACCGCCCGCGCATCTCGTGCGCCCACGGAATGACTGGTACCCTCGTATGTTGAGCACATCCGAAGGCGCTTACCGGGGCGATATGTGTACGGGAGGTCGAAGATTGTGCCTGAGTGGCAGCAATCAACAAACGCAACCAGTTGCACCCCAGAGGCTATGGGCTTGCACAGTATGTCGTGGATATCGTCGTCGATAATAAAGCCGTTTGTTGTAAAATCAACGGGAACCATCGTCTCGTCGAGGCCGGTGGGCTCGTCCTCTAAGCTATCGTGAGATGGTGCCGTGGAGCCATGGCCAGAGTAGTGGAAAAAGAGTCGATCTCCGGGAGCTGTATCGAGAGCAAGCCAACGCATTGCGTTGATGATGTTGTTTCGTGTCGGATGATGCACCGGGTTTTCATGGTCATCACGGAGAACCACCAGATGCTCGCCATAGGCCGGGTCGCGCTTCAAGAGCCACGACTGAATGTTTTTGATGTCGTTGATACAGCCCTTGAGTTCGTGCTTGGAGCCAATGTAGTTGATGCCGATCAACAGCGCCTGGCAGCGATTGAACAGCCCATGTTAGGAGAGAATCCCCTTTGTCGGGAACAGTCGGGAACAGTCCTGTGCTTCAGGAACCATGTAAGCTTTCCAAGCAACACACACGGCGAACCTTTTTGCGAGGCGAGCGAGCAGCAGGGGTGCTGCTCGAGTGGCTCTCGTAGTGGTGCACGACAGCTCCATCCTTTGTCTTGGTTGTGGATGTATACGTCTCCTTTGTGAACGAAAACTGGAGCCCAGCGGACAAGACGGGGTGCCATCAGTGCCAACACAAAGCACTGCCGCTTCTATCGACTGGCGGCGCGCGCGCGGGACCAAACCTGTGTTTTGTGGCCGTGGACCGGATGATCCTCAAGCTCGACCAGGTTGAAGTTCATGCTGGGGATGCGGCGGGGGATATGCTGGTCGCCAGGCAGTGCTGGTGGCGGACTCGGAGACGAAGGCAGAGCGCAGAGCAAAGGCCGAGGCCAGACGCAGTCCGCCTCTTCGCCACCGGAGCCCTGGCAAGAGCCACCCGCACAGCACCGGGCGCGCTGCCGATTGGCGCATTTTCGGCCCCGCACGGGCCCTCCAATTTCCACAGACACTGGATGACACATCCCGCACTCGAACCGCCTGGGTTGGCCTTGGCCAGGGACCGCCCCCCGTCATCGGGCCAGCCCGTTCGCTCCATCTCCAGCCCATATCCGCGTGCCGTTGTCGACATGAGCCAGAACGAGAAGCTCGACCAGTTCCTACAGACCCACCGTCCCTTTCGGGAAGTTGGGCAGACGCTTCTGAAACTCTGGGCAACCGTCCAAGATCAGGGCGATTCAAAGTTTGAGGAGTTTTATCAATCGCTCCCGGCTCTCTGCGCGTATCTCTTTGGCTCTCGTGTTTACCCGTAAGTCCGATCGTTCCAGCAGCCCTCATGGCAGAAAAATTGTGTTCAAGTTCTTGTCGTGGATGCTGACTGGACCGTATGTCTTCCTCATTCGACCCGTTCAGCGGGGTTATTCATTTCTCGATGTCCCCGGATGAGCGACGACTCTTGATAGATCTGTTGTCGCCAACCGGACTCTTGCTCAAACTACTTCAGAACGCAGCTCTGACTTCTGGCCTGGCTTACGAGGTCCCTGTCGAGAGACTCCCTGTACGTTACTCCCGGTTTCGGTGTCTCGCCCAGCATAGTGGCCAGTCTTACGTGATGTCTACGGGCTCGGTTTCAACGAGCTCGGCATCGCGCCTTGCAATCCCACAACACAATCGATGACGCTGGTTGCCTGTGTGTCCCCGACTCGGCACTCTGTTTTACACCTGACTCACCCCGTTGTTCGGAGGCGACAGCTGGCCCTTGCATTTACCACCGATATAACACGCTCGGCGTCCGAACCCTGATCCCGATGGCGCACACTGCCTCGCCAAGTATCGATGACTCATGACTGATCTGCGTCCCATCGCACCGTAGAGCTATGTCACGAATGCCTTTGAGGGCATGGACTACAAGTCTTTGCCAGCGCTTTATCGACGAGTGCTTATAATGGACGAGCTATCTTCATCAAAGTCCCACGACTCAATTGCGAGCAAGTCGGACAATTCAAAGCCACGGATAAGCTCCGTCAAATCCGTCAATTTCAGTAGGGGCACTGATCGAACACGCGATGAGCTGGAAGTGCCCTGCAGACAGCTTCTGATCTACACCCATGGAAGCTAATCGGCTTTTCCCTCTCACACAGATATGTTCGAGTACTTCATGTTTAGCTTTGCGTCGTCTGTGGCTCAGGGCAGCGGCGAGCGAGCGACAGGAGTGGTCAGTGTTTAAAAAGCTATGAGCTGGAGCGACTTGATCGAGCGGCTGAATCTAAGCCTCGGCACTAAGTCGCACCCAACCCTTGTTCCTCGCATTCTGAAGGCGAGTGCGGCCGAGAGTACTGGAGGGCAATATCTGTCCAAGCTTTCGCGGGAACTCCAGATTGGTTTCAAGAATCCGCTTTCTACCAAGGCGGACAACATGCAGAGTTTTAGCGCTCTCTACCTTCAACTTGTGACAATGTATATCAAGTACTTTATCCCGCTGGTACCGCAGCCCTCTACTTTGACAGCTGCCTCGGCCGACACAGTTATCACGTCATTGTATGTCGCCGGCCTCACGTGTACCACGACGCATGCTTTGCTCCTCGAGGCTGTGCATGGATGGGTATTGTTTGTTTGCAGTGGAAGCGCTCATAGCACACTGAAATACTTTGATATACTTATAGAGATAGCCTCGCAAGCAACCCCAGTCAACGATTCATAATCCTGTCCATGAGTGAGGCTCTAGGCGTTATTCTCTCGGACCAGTGGATCACCCAAGGATACCGCGTGGCTGAGGATGTAAGTTGTAGTCAGCATCACTGCAGCCAGGATCGGGAGGTGCCGGTGCCGCAATACGATCGTTAAGGTGCTCCAAGGACATACCCATCTCTGATCAACTTCACGCATGAAACAATCCAGCGTTACGAGCGCCCATCATCACTCAGGATCAAATGCATACACACTTTGGTAGCCCATCTTTCCAAGTCTAATCTCCAAGATATCTTCACGGGGCTTCCTCTTCACGACGTCAGTCCATGGGTAGATCAACCTGTCGAGGTTATCATACAGCGACGGGTCATTTCTTCCCTCCAAAAGAAACTCTTTCATTTTTTCCACAACTCTCTCGAGTTCTGGCCAATCGATGAAGGTTATTCCTCAGTAAGATTCGTGATTTGTGACCAAAGACCGAGACTCCATCCCATCATGCTCTAACGACCAGGGAATCTCTGTAGATTGTCGAAATCTGGCTCAAATATATCACGCCATACGAGCCGAATAATCTTGATGAATCCTGGTAGGCTCCCAAGCCCTGAAAATCGCGAGATCACTGTGTTGCCTGTGGATCCGACACGGCGACCTCTCTAACACAAGATCAATCTACAAACTCGATGTTTAGGCTATTTTTCATTGTCCACAACTTTGCCTTTTATTCAGTTTTGCTCCGCATCTTCATTGAGCGATCTGTGCAATTCGACTTGTTTTCGGCGGTCCGACATACAGTAGACAGGCGCTCCACACATTCCGGCCACATTATCACAAAGCGATTGTCTCCAGGCATGGATTTTCTTGACATGTTGGAGAGGGTCATGTTTGCTTACAGCAGCGACTATTTGCGAAGCACTCTTGATGCCTTAGAAGGATCATATTCTGCGCTGTTGAAATCCTCCTCACCGACGTTGAGTCTTTCGAATGTCCCGGGCAATCTTCCGAAACCCCGTCCTTCAACTGTTTCCCCGCTTTCGAATGCTGGCCCTGCGGTTCGACAACACCTTCTATCCATGCTTGGCGAGGAAAAATATGAACCCGTGTTCCAGAAGGACGAAGAATCAGGAATCAAAACTACGGTAACAACAAGAGGCTGGATTGAGTGGCCCAAAGGGGGAGGGCTTTGTTGGAGAACTCGAGCTCCCTTTGAATTAGTGAGACAGAGAGTCACTGTTCCTCAGTCAAGCTACCGAGACACAGCCCCAGATGGATCCCAGCCTCTGAGCTACTGTGGCTGCGGCAGATGTAGCTTACGTGGAACTTGAGTCCTCTGGCAGAGCTACAGCGTGCACAAGCAGCGTTTCTACTCAAGCCACAGTTAACACGTCTCTTTCCCCGACTCTTCTAGACTGTTTGGCTGATGAACAATATCTACAACTCCATCGGCCGGCTGGAAACTTACTCGCCGCTGCTCATACCAACCACTTCAAACACACCATCCATGTCACGAAGTGGTTCATATGCGGCCGACGGCCCAGATCGGCCAACATTGGCACCTTTACGCCCCTCCGATTTCGAGAAGAACAGGCGACTGCCCAAGGTTTTTCCGGACTACCCCACCACCACCTCCGGAGTCGCTTGGTTGTTGTGGACCATTTTGACCGGCGTTGGATGGATAAGAAAGTTTTTCGATTTGTTTCATGGCTATATGAGCAGTGACGACCGAGGAAGCTCAGAAAATCTTCGCCTGTTAGCCGATGTTGATAGAGCAATGAACCGATTAAGAAAGCTGAGCGAATGCCTGCAAGAGCTCTGGCCTGCGCTGTGCAGCATCCGATACAACTCGGCCCTTTACACGACCAAGCCTCAAGCCAGCCCGTATTTGGATACAATTGATGCGGAATCATATGACATGCTGGACCATAGTCATCCTACGTCCCTCTCGGTGGAAGGCAGAGAGCAGGTGCGTAGTGAAGCTTTATTGCTCTTACTGTCGTCGGTGCTATTGTTAGGGATATCGGTGTTATCGCGTTGGAAGGTGGAGCGCGTTCTTCAGCATCGATCTACTCTGTCCGAAGGCTGTAAATCTGATGAACCCTTGGAGTACCGCATCACTGAAATAATGGCATTGCTGGCCGCCGACACGCTAGATCAAGAGCGGCAAAAGAAAATGCGTCAATGTTGACGTCAGGGTCATTGAGACCGAAAGGTCCGAAGCCATCGTTCAAACAGGCGAAATTGCGATTTTGGTGCATATTTCCATTTGGCTCACGAAACAGCTCGCTGGATGGGTAAGCCGTCCCTTGATGAAATGGATTGCGTGATACTTTGAAGTCGCGGTCGGACGAGATGAGACAATCTCGTGTACATATCCATCCATGATCTTTTGTTGGGGAGGGGGAGCTCAGAGAGGCTATATTGAAACTGACAGCAGCCATGTTGATCGTCGCATATGTAAGCCTGACTCGAAAGTCGAATCGAGCGCTAATATCTGTACTTGCCTCTCACCCAAAATCGCCCAAAATCAAATGAATCAAGTGGGCATGTCTGAAGGCCATCCTCCCTTGGATCCCCGACTATAACTTCAAATCAATCAGGATGCTGGCAAACGTTGTGAACGATGTTTATGCATTATTATTGTCGCTGTTGCTGCTGACAATGTTTTCATGGTTCACCTTGCTTTGTGCTGCGTTGGCCCTCGTTCTGATTGATGTTGTTGGTGCTGCATTCATAAGCCACATCACACGCGACCTTCACACGAAATAATGAAGTCAACCAATATAAGGTGCTTTTGGGTTCTGTGGATGCAATAGCGCACTGGTCGTTGTCGCTGCTTTGGGCAGGACTAGATCACAATATTCTGGACCCTTCATACCTATGCGAAATCCAATGTGTCAGGGAGATAGCAGTGAGTCAGATCAATCCAACGCTCAACCAAACGGAGCCCCGTGCACGATGGATGGGGTTTCCCACCACTTTGTGGATGGGACATGCATGCCCCATCGTTCCCAATGGCCATCCACACCGTGGAAGCTGTACAAGGGATATGCCCTCAGCCCTCGTCTGCTTCCTTCCATTCCGACAAGCTCCCGCGAGCTCCGCCACTGCCGCCACCACCATCACCAGAGAAGAATAAACTTCATGGGACCATCGGGGTGCGTTCATGTCGTAGTAAATGTCGTTGGTGACCCGCAATCCATCGCATCGGTGCACCACAGCCCAATATCGCGACGCCAACGCAATCAAGACGACATGGTCAAGGTGTGCAAATCGAGCGTCGCTGACGGATATCGATGAGTGGGGGGGGGAAACTTTGGACAAGCAAGATCCAAGGTCTTGTGGGACTCCATGGCCATATGGAATCCATTGGCACTCAGCCAAGATGGACTTGGCAGCAACGATGGGCGGCAACACCAAAGATACGGCGGCTCAGCGAGACGACATCGCAGCAAGAGCTCGACTGGTGAACACTGTCCAACTTTCTCCACACACAGGATATCGGGCGTCTCATTTACATCACACCCATAACGAGACACGTTTCTGGACGCAGGCGGGGGCTTTCTCCGCATGTGAATGCCCACAATCCATCGCCCATCGCGGCCAAACAGTGTGTCCATGGAAACTGACACTGGTTGCCTGTGGGAACGCATCGTGAAAGCAAGGAAAGGGAGAGATATATCCGTCGAGCCCACGGGGACTCAACTTTGCTTGGTATTTCGAGCAATCCATGCATCACCGGGGGTGTCCACCAGGCCCATCCGTCTCCAAGATCCATGTGTGCTCGGTGAACGAGCTCAACACATCCCAGGTGTGCTCACAGTGCCCGGAGGCCGAGCGCCTCGTTTGACCTGGCTGGCTTGATATCGAGAAACCATGAAGCTGTGCAGAGGGTCGAATGCATCCACCACACTCCCACATCGAGACATCAATGCCTCACGGATCATGATCTGAGTATGCCAGTCCCGTCGCCACAGGGAATCGGTCGTGTATTCATGACCATGCTTCCCAAACCAACCAAAAACAAAGAGATTGCCAACCAGGACTGGAAACAATCTCGCGGCCTGCTCACTGGGGCCTACAGTCAGTCAGCGGGATTCAGACATCTGAAGCCAGGAAGGAACTGTCCCGTTTTTTTTTTTTTTTTCTGGATCGACTGTATCAGCATTGTATTCTGCAAAAATCTGCGGTGGTCTATTGTGACATTTTCATCAACCAACATCACTCGAGACGAAGTCGCTTATCAAAAGTCAGGTGCACTTTTTTCTCAATGGGCTGGGTGAAGCGCAGTGCCTCTTGTCGTCGTTCCAGATCCGAGGGTGACGATTGGCGGTCCTTTTAAGCGATATCCACAGTATATGCTTAGTGGAGCTACCCGCCGCCCTATCTTACGTAGCGGAGAAATCCGGACCCAACAAGCCTGTAATGATCATCTTTTGTGGCTTTTGTTTCGTATCTTACCTTGTTTCCTTGATCAAGAGCCATGGAGACCCGGTTCATGTACCACTTTTTCTGTCGCGGAGGCAACTCCCTTGGAATTGCCGGTGGGCGAACAGTGTAGGGCTGAATATCAACGTCGGTGACGTTGGGCTATGCCGAAGAATCAGGATTAGATCGCGATGCCTGATACGGCACACACACCAAAGAATATTGATACCTGCCCTACCTGTGCACAAGGAATGGAGCGCAGCATGTCGCTTGGGGCGAACGGAGAGATGCGAATGACCGGCAGCAAAATCTTCCACAGCTCAATCTCCGAGTCGTATTTCCCTTCCTCTTGCAACATCACGTTCAGAGTTGTTTCGATGGAGTTGTCTGCTCGGGAAAAGGCTTTGATGCTATCGATCATCATAGCAAAGGCGTTGACAATCGTAGCCGTGATCTCGATGGGGATTGTTTTTGGTTTGGCGAGGGTCTTGGTTCGCAGCTGTAAATGGCATGTTGCTTCGCCTACCCGGATGCCCTGAGGATCGTTGTCGACAGCGTAAGTCGGGAAGTCCGTGGGAAGCCCATGGGAAGATAATCCGCTTCTCTCGTTCCAACAATCATCCCTCCACAAGCACACTATACCGACCCGAACCGTAACAGCAAAGCGGTGCTTGCTCTTGGGCTTGATCAGCGCGACAGAGGGACTGATGAGAACCGAGAAGTTCTCGCACCGAATCTCTGTGTCTCGCGCAAGCTCATTGCCGCTGTTGTCCACAATGCCAACATGGATGACAGTTTCTCCGCAATTCTCGACTTCAAAATGCTTTTTGGCTCGTGCGGACTCTGGGATTTTCGGATAATTGATCACTATTGCGGCAGTGGGTTTTCCCGGTTCGTCGCCCACGGATTGCATCCCAAAAACGCCCCCGGACCCAGTCAAGAGAAGAGTGCCGAGCTGTTTAGTTTTGCGTCCTTGTGCTTCGTCAAAGTGGAAAATGTGCACGGCACCCTCTGCTGGTCCAGTGACCTTGGGGTCAAAGTAAAGTTTGATTTCTGTCGGTTGCTCCGGAGGCAACGGTACCCTGGGAAAGCGGGTCGGTCAGATTCATGGCAAGTGTGCTCAATCTATTGACGCAATCCCTTACCGATCATACGATTCCATATAAAAGTCTGCGTTAGTAAGCTGGAATGAAAGTAATATTGTGACTGGGGTGGGGTTGATGATGTTGACCACGCGGAATTCTGGGTTTCCAATACCAACGACTCCAAACGGAAGCTTATTGATCTCGAGCTTGATTTCTGCAACAACCCCTGTGCCTTCGATGTAATCGCCAAAAATCGAGTTAAGGATCGGAACTGAATGTCGGTGGCATGAGAAAGTCAGACAGAGCCCTCGGTAGGGTCAAAATGCATATATGGGCGTCGCAACGATAGATCGGACCCATATCATTCTGACCGGTCTAGCTATTGACGCTATAAAAAGATATCTGAATGGTATGTGTTCCTTCATCGGTCTCCAGTGTGGCAGCGGCCAAGTATCCAACAGCAATCTTGGGCTTGAACTGAATCGGTATGGAGACCTCCCTCTTTGATTTTGCCGTGCCCTAATTTGCGCGCAAAATGGTTTCCATTGCGATTTTTCCAAATCGGAGACGAGGTTACCAATGGGCACGTCCTCAATTCCAAAGCTCGGCATGGGGAGGATGAATATGGGGCCCTGGAAAATGAGACTCGATTCGGAACACACCTGGACAAAGGGATAGTCCCTCGAGACAAGGAATATATCTCGATATGCATCTTCGACAAAAAACTTCCAGTTCAAGGGCCGACGAAGCGGGTTTTGAAAGGAAAAGCTATTGGAACTGATGTTTCCGAGGAGCACAGGTCCGAACTGGATGGCCTTTGCTTCAGAGAAATCCAGAGCTGTGATGATCTGTTGTCCAGCACAATGCGGCATGTCAACGTAGCGAGAGTGAGCAAACATTGGTGCCGCGCAGAGCTGCCCCACTTCGGTGCATCATATCAACCTACGTCGATAAGAAGCCCTCGGACTGGAAGCTCGATGGTTGCGATCGCCGGAATGTTGGTGTGGAGTTCGAGAACACCTTCACACAGAATGCTTGATGGAACTTCGTCATCCAAATCGCTTCCGATTGCACATAGCTCAAGCGTCAATTCTTTAAATTGGCGGGAGCCAACCAAGGCACTGCGATGGTAGAGCGAATATTCCTATGGCATCGCGATCGTTCGAGTTGTATAAGGGTCAATCGATGCCGATTTATCGTTGTGGAGCGATCGCCTCCCAAACACGCGCATTGCGGGGGATTGATCGCAAAATTACTCACACTCGATGTGATCGTGGCTTCGTATTGGACAGGGAATCGGTTTGGATTGAATACATAGATGCTCACAATCGAACCAGAGTCCATCGGCTGATACGGTCGATGTTACACGTGCGTTTGCATCAAGACCAGTGTAAATTAGAATTGGAGTACAGGATAGATGTCAACTGAACACGGTGTCAGGAGCAAAGTAGAGCAGCAAAACCCTACCGTTTCTCCAAAAGTCCAGCTGATCCATAGGCTCAGGCGTGTCGAGAGGCTCAGGCGCTTGACGGAAGAACAACAACTTGTTTATGCCATAACTAAAGAGGCACTGACGCTGATGCATCGTCCGCCATCACTCTCAGCCTGCAGATAAACTTCTTCTTGCCGCCTCCCACCAAGGCTGTTGCTTCACTTATGTCAAGGGTGGCCCCGGTGGCTGTCGGAAAGGGTGGAAACAACTTGGATGAGACCGAGACTGACGATCGACTACATAGAGGTTGATTCAGTGCCGATTTCTTGTCAGAACTAGCTCAATCAGTAATGTATACCTGATTGTTGCCGGGGTCTTGCGGGTTCGCGGGATAATCAAACAGCTCGGGGAAGGTCCGAAACTGTGTTGCGATTTCTGCGTCTGGATGCTCGTTCGGGTCGGACAGGAACACCGCCGCCGCAACATTGATTTCGAACTCACAGTCGTTCATAACTTTGATCTGGTTAACACAAAACCTATTAGCCCGACCTCGTCGCCTCCATTATTCTCGAATCTGTTACGGGGCTTGACACAAACTTACAAAGCTTTCACTTGTCTCTCCAAGATATATCGTGCCCATGTCGATGTAATTTGGCAATCCCGCCTCATATATTCGATATACCGCACCTGTGAATCGGTGGATGTCAGTCAGAAAACGCTAAACATGCATCGCTCGATTGTGACGCTTACCTCTCCCTGTCATGGCCACCGTCTGTTTGTCAACCTGGGTCTGTATCTCGATTGTCGAGGAGTAATCAATGTCTTGATCGGGCTTGAATATAAATGGGCATTTTCAAATACCCCCCAGGCTCAATATGGCCCTTCATTGGGACAGCTTCTCCTAGCCGAATTTGAACATCAAAGTCCCAGAATGGCACAAACTCATAGTCCAGGATTGCTGTGCCCTATTACGAGGTTTGGGCAAGTTCTGGTCAACATGATGTTTAGCCAGCCGCCAATAACCTAGAATATGAATTGGGGGGGGGCTTCCACAGCTCGTATCGGTTGCAAGAACAAATCCCTTGTTCGATGGCCCAGATAGGCCTTCATGCCTTGATGCATCAAATAGCGTCTCACAGATCGAGAAGAACCAACCTCATTTTGGAGCAGAACCACCGCGGTCTTCTCAGCCCCGATTCCAACGTGTCCAAAGTCCACAGCTTGAGTATCCAGAACGAGTTTTGGTTTACCGCCTGCGCCAACGAGCTTGAGCGAGGAGAGTTCCTCCCAAACGCTCCCCTAGTAAACAGATGTACACGAAATTGATGAGATCAGGTGAGCAAGAAGGAGGGGTTCATTCCATTCAACCGTGTGCTCACCTCGCACTTTTCGACAACAAGTCGGGCTTCGTGCCAGTCGTCACCATCTTCATCAAGCGATTCAAATATGGCTTCGATGTCAATGGTTTTATCGGGCTCAAGAATTCCCTCTAGTTTTGGTATGTGTCGTGTCAGATTGGGAGCAAATAAAGCAACTTTCGTATCTACAATGAAGGATATTTCGCAGCAAATCGCTTCACAAGCTTACCAGACAATCCCCTGATCTTCCATGGGGTTCTCGCTGGAACATGTTCTGACGATGCCAGGATTTTGGACTTTGATCGACCTTGTTTGAGACTCTGGGATCCCATCGAACTTCCAGCCTTACCCTTCTTGGCAAGTCGCTTGGGCACGCCTCCGCCTTCGGTGACGCTATCGAGGGACCCTTTGAGCGCATGCTCCGGGGTGTATACCTCTATTCGGACACGATAGCGTACTTCGGAGTTACCAAAGTTGGTGAGGGTTCGCTTCACAGAAGCCGTTTGGCCAACCATGATTCTTCCGACTGAAGCATCGTCGTCGTCGTCAAGAGCGACGGCCTCCGCATAGGCCCTGAATTTGTACGGGATTGTTTCGGTGATGGTTCCCCTCCCGAGATTTGTCATCAACAGCACGCTGCCATCGAAAAGTTCGGGCTTCTTTGGTGTTACCGTGAGATCGATGGTGATCTCCTGACCAGCAACAATCAAGCTCTTGTCGGCTCGCCAGCCTTTGGTTATGAAGCTGATGTTCGGAGAGATGGGCTGAGACATCTGAACCTCCAGAGGAATATCGAGCTCTCCATCGTTAATGACCGTGATTCGACCATTCTGAATATCGTTGATTGACATATTGACGAGACTGAGTCTGTTGTCGATTTTCCATGAGCACACCCCTGCCGTGGCCTTGAAAGGAATCGATACAAAGTCGTTCTCGGGCAGGGCAATTTTGATTCCTTCTTTTGTGTTCAGACTTTCGAGAGGCCGATAGGTGAGGGTCACAGGAATAGACTCCCCCGATCGAACCACTATTCCACCACGGCTGTTTTTAGGTGCCTCGATTTGTAGGAATTGATGCGGATTCCTGATTTCGATCTCGCCATCGACATTTCCAATGTTCTTGAGGTCAATTTTTTTTGTATATCCAACACCGACGACACAAGTCCCCCAGTCGAGGCCGCCGAATTGGATATCTGCCGGATCGACATATGTGGGTTTGATGCGTACACCGCCCCCGATGCCCTTCGTCTCGAACGATATCGGAGCCATACTCCACGTTAGTCGGTACTTTTGTTGGTATGGACCTTCATTGGTTGGACTGAAGCTAATGCCGACCTCCACGGAATCTCCAGGCTCGAGTTCGCCTCGCTGCTGCGCGCACTCGAAGGGGAGACGATTGGCACCGGAAGCCGTGCCAGAAAACATCGCCTGGGATCCACCATCAGCAATGATAGGCTCGATACGCCAGATATCCCGGAAAGTACCGGCGTTTGAGATCAAGAGCGTCCGTGTGCTCGTTTTTCGGCGAGTCACTAGTCCAAAGTCCAATATCGCTGGAGCGAGCTCGATTCGAGGGACACCAATGCGAGCACTGAGATAGAAGGACAGGACAACCTCTCCTGCAGAGCGCAGCTCGTATCCTTGCTGATAAAGCCCGGGAGTCGCCGCGAATACAGAAGCTGAGATGTTGATGGAGTTTCGAGGATCGATCGTACCAGAGGAGGGCGTGATCTGGAAGTATTCAAATCCGTCACCCTCGACTCCTGGAGGAACGCATGTCTGGCTGAGGATGGGCACTAGTTCAAAATCAAAGCTGAGGTTGCCGGTGTTAGGGAGGTTAAAGAGGAGAATGTCTTCACTCCTTTGATCGATTCTGAAGAGCCCGAGGTTGAATGTGTCAACTTCGTCATCGTCCTTCTTGGCAGAAACGGAAAGCTGAGTGAGGGTCTCGACCACATGGTTGGATGCTTGCAAACGTCGCAAGGTGCCTGTAAGAAATTCCCGATTTGGCACCCACTCTCCCGAGAGTTGATCTCGGACGTTCTTCATGATTGACTTTGTGCTCTCGATGACTCTGTTGTTGATAGCATCGATTTTTTTCTTGAGCAGCCCAATCTCCTCGCTGGTCTTCTCGGTATAGCCGTGCAAGATCATGCGCGACTGATTCATCAGACCCTGTGCCATGTTGATCAAGTTCCCGAGTGTATGCTCGATGCGCTGGGCTGCTTCAGCATGCGGCTCCTCCGAGCCTCCCTCGCTGGCGCCGTGCTCACGCAGCTGTCGTCCCTTCGCAGCTTCGGCACCTTCGCCATTGACTTCTTTACCCTTTGACGGTCCGGTTGGACTGGCTCCGGATGTTTTAGAATCGCCTTTGTATCCAGCTTGATCGGGCTCAGGAGTCCGGGAAGCAACATCTGGTTTGGTCGATCGATCCGGGAGTCTTCGCCGCTCTTGAGCAGGGCGATATCGGCCAAGTCCGCCGATCCACCGCCTATCCTGGCCATTCTCGCCTTGAAGGTCAGCGGCCATATCGATTTCGCTGAGGAGAGCCTTTTCCAGCTCAGCCTCTATTGCTGTGAGTTCGTCCATGTACTTGACAGCCGCTGATTCATCATCCAGCTCATGCGGGAGCGCCTGAGGGGCTGTACTCTTTTGAGAGCGGCTCGATCTGCGCTCAAAAGATCGTCTAGATTGGATGCCTCGAGACTCGCGATCGCCAGTTTCGATTCGACTTGCAGCAGTGCTTGAGGTATCCGCACGTCTCTCGGAAGCAGTGCTAGGGACATCGAACATGGCCCCATCCTGACCATCCTCGTCCGATTTGGGGGTATACCCAAATCGGACCTGCTTTCCGGATTCAGATGTAGCTTTGCCTTTGAAATCGGAGCCATCAAAGACCCGAGTTCCTTGTATGAAACGCAGCGCCTCGTCGTCCGTGGTACCTCTCCCGCCGACTTCGGAACCTACCGATCCCTCTCGTCTTCTGCGCGGAGTTCCTGATGCCGCTGTAGAAGTGTGAGCCGAAGTGGGTGTGAAAGGCTGGCGGCTGTCAACAGACTCGCGGCTGAAAGTCGATACCCGTGTCCCGTGTCTCTGATGAATTCTGGAGCCATCTGGGCGCCCTTGTCTCTTCGACTCGGCAAGACCGTTATCGAGCTCGGCAGCACGCAGTCCAGCCAGAATCTCCTGTAAATTTTCAATGTGGGAGAACATGGCCATCTGCCCGGCTTCGAAAGTGGTTGTGCTCCGCGCTGTCGGTGTGCTCCCAAGCCGCGATTGAGGGGTAGAGCGGGATTGCTCTGCGGTCGTCGGCTTGGTTGTCTCATCGGTTACTTTTGGAGGTGCGAGCTTGATGATTGCCTTCCCACCCGTGATACAGATGCTACCGGTATACTGCTCCCCATCCCGCGTACGTATCATGTACTTTGCGGTGTTGATTGCCCCGTACTCTCGTGGAATGCCATGGAACATGATCTTTGCCTTTTCGCCGGGCTGAACCACTCCGCTTGGCGGATCCGCAAAAAATATGTCATAGTCCTCATCGTACGAAGGAACCCCATCCTGGGTATTTTCAAAGATCGAAACCTCGAACTCGATCGGCTTGCTCCCCGTGTTCTCCATTTCGATGGAGCGCGTATGCGTTTTGTTGATAGCCGCAATGCCGAAATCAATTGCCATGAGCTCCTTGGAAATCATCAAATATGGAACTCCGACGATTCCGTAGCACATCGCAACCTTGTTCCCGGCATCCGTTTCAAAGGACAGCGATGTAGAGAGAGGCTGATAGTCCAACGGTGAGTATTTGACTCGGATGCTGAATGTTTCTCCAGGATTGATCACACCTGTGCTTGGAAACGCTTCGATGTTGACGCTCTCTGAACGAGAACTCCACATGCACACAGCGTTTCCGTCATTCGATACCAGAAGACTCAGCACTTTGTTGACATTAATATAGGTCGTTCCAAAGTCGAGCTCGGACTTATGGATCTTGAATATAGGTATGCCGATGCGGACAAACAGCGGGACCAAGGTCTGCTCCCAGATTCCTCCGGGAACGCGCAGCCATTTGATACGCAAATGGGCGGGCTTTTCGATAGGTGACTGGGTTGAGCACTCAACCGTAACAGTGGTGGAGCAGCCAGATTCCACCGAGCCTTCGTATTCGCTTGGGTCGCTCCCATGAAGCTTAAAGTCGCCGTTGCTTTGGCAGATATATATCCAGAACCGACAGATCATCAGACCGCGATTGCTGAGTTTGAGGGCACGCGTTCCGGTTGTGCCGATCTTGAGACTGCCAAAGTCGAGAGTGCGATCGCAGATAAGATCTGCTGAAGCTCCCGTGCCTGCGAGTCGGATGGTGGAGACGCCATGTTTGTGGAGGAACCTAGCTTCGCCCCGATATTGAACCTGCTCCTTTGGAGGATGGAAATCAACAGGAATATGAAGCTTTTCTCCGGGCTGAAGGTGCCATGATCGCCCGCTTATGGAAAACTCCGGATGAATATACTGGAGTGAGAGATTTTGGGTCTCCATCGACATGTTGATGATCTGCAACATCAGCGTATGTGATTTTGACTCGTCTTCCTGGCGAACGACGCCGTACGGGAACGAGGGAGCAGACTCGGGCTCTTTCGCTGTTTTGCCCGAATATGCTTCCGTCGCGACTATGCCGAAATCATGGAAAGGTGGAAAGAATTCGAGTGGTCGATATGCGTTTCCGTCCACATGCAGTCTCATCGACTTGAGCAACAGCGGGAGATTGTTTGTCGATTCCTCGGTCGTCACGGGCATGTAGTGGAAATCGATGAAGGTGTCCGTTTTGGTCTGATACTTGTTACAGTATCCGATCAGAAAATGATACGAATAAAAGGGCCGCAGAATGGGTGTGATTTCGGGGATGCTGCTGCCCAAGATATCGATTGTGTCTGTTTTGTGGATCTGCACCGATATTCCCAGATCATCCTTGCGATCGCCATCGCTCCAATAGTCGGACCGACTCTTTGCTCCCTTGGCCACCTTCAGTAGGTCCTTCAAGGCGTTGAAAACTTGAAACTTCCTTCTTAGGATGCTCCAGTAATCTTTGCGAATCCTGATGTGCATCATTCCAGCGCCGGAGGTCGTCCCCTCGTATGGCACGGTGGAGGTGATGTTCAGGAATTCGATTTTAACCAAGTCTGGGCTGTCGCTTGTTATTGCTTTCAAAGAAAGTGGAAGGGTCCCTTTGTTGGTGGCGTATATCGGGAGCCAAGCCACCGTACCCTCACGCTGGTATCCAAAGTCTATGGCCCTGTCTTCGTACTTCTCACATATCAACTGGGCCGTTCCACCCGTGCCCGAGAGATTGACAATGTAGAGCCTCAGGTTTGAGAATACCAGCATCTTGATCACAGTCGATCGGGACTCGGTCGGTTGGTACGATACCGCTATTTCCTGCTGCGCTTTCGGGGTCAGATGAAAGGACTTGATACCCACGTAGAACGGGGGCTTGACGAGGATTGTCACCAAAGTTTCGGTTGATCCATTGTTGGTGATGGTGAACTTTTTCTCCTTCTTCTGAAAGACAACGGTGCTCCCGAACTCGAGGACATCGGGACATCCAAAGAGTGAGGTGTTGACCATCTGTCCACGCAGAAGCACGGTTGCTACTTTCGTGGGCTTTGCGTGCCGATCAAGCGTTTCGGCTATGTGAACCTCGGCCATGCTCTCAAAAGTCCCGGACGAGTCGGCATGGAATTTGAATACCAACGGATATGTTTCGTAGGCGTGGAGCTCCCCGAGGATCATTCCGATTTCAAAGGCCGAGAACTTGGACTTTCCGCTGATCATCTTGACGCTCCAGGAATATGATGCTGGGAAGGTATTGCACAGAAGCAGTGTCTTTTGGCTGATCTCTAACGACGATACCTCCACGCGGCCAAAGTCGAGGGTGATCTGCTTATCCTTGTTTGGAGGTGGAAAGATCAAAAAGTCGGTATCGCTCTTGCCAATCATTTGAATGGCGTGAAAGCTGTGGTCATGCTCAAGCAAGGCCATTCCAAACCCGTAAAATCGCAATACATCCGGGCTTTCGAGAGGCGGGACGAACATGACGTCGACATTGCCAGAGTCGTGTGGAGGCATCGTCTTTGATCTTGGATCGATGGTGAACAGCGTGCTGGCAAGAAAAGATACGGTAAGCTCATGGTTGCTTCGGTTTTTGACGGGCACGGGCTGCAGCTGAGATCTCCGAAAGTTGTCGGACTGGCCGACGAGTTTGGCGCCCATCTTGAACTCGATATTGTCGCGAATGAAGACGGCCTCGCAGTAAGTGGCGCAAGCCGTGGTTTGATTACTTCCGGCGGGTGGAGTATACGGAACCATCGACCCGCGTGAAAGCGGCTTGAGAACCGGCTGCAGGTCAAACCTTTGGGCCATCTCCTCTGGCGATGGATACTCATCCAGCACGCGTTTGGGGTGCGACATCCACATTCTGAGAAAATCAATGCCGTTTTTATCTGGGAGCTCTCCGGGTCGATGGATGTACGGTTCAACACAGATTCCCACAAGCGAGAGCGGTTTCCCAAACATGGCACTTGGACTTTCTAGTTCAAACGGCGTGAGAAGTTTGAATCTGACTGACTGGAGAAGTGGTCCCCGCTGTCGAGCGTTAAACACAAACGTCACAGGTATAGCCGAAACTGGAGAGATGAGCGAAGGCGATGCTTCATCTGTCGATATGGATGAAATAATAAAGTTCTGATTCGAGTCGGGTGGTGGGGCTTCGATTCCACGAGCTATGAAACTGATGTTGTACTGCGACTCGTTGATGAGGAACAATGTGACCGATTCGGTGTCGCCGATGCGTGCGGGCTTGAAGAAGGCCAGCTCCCATGATGGAAAATACAGTGGCTGGCCAATGAATGCTCGGACTGTCAGCGGAATATTTTGAAACTCTGGGCAAATAACCTCGATGATGGTCTTGATATTCCCTGTGGCACGGCCGGCTAGCGAACTCGCCATGCTCAACACAACTTCGACGGTGTTGGCCATGCGAGGGGCTATGCGGACCAAATATGGGCATTTGATGGCCGGATGCTGGCAGTAGAGCCCGACGGTGATGGAGACATCCGAAAGATTCATCAATGTTAGGCATCTCATTTGCACATGTGAATCCATGGGCGATATTCCAAAATCCAAGGTGTGCGCCTCGCGTCGGGATTCTTGATCGGACGTGGCCGACATCATGTTTTTCAAGATGGCCGTATCGGTCGGAGACAAATTGAGATGAGGCTTGTCTTTGGAGTCGCCTCGCTGGAATTTTCGCATAAACTCGCATCGCTCGCGAGTCAATGCGGCTGCGCCGGCCATGGAGCTCTCGGCGTCCTCGGGATACAAGGTAATTGGGATTCCGGCGATCCCCACGAGCTGAACCTTGATCATGTCGCCTCCAGGCGAATGAATTTCCAGCACGTCGCTGCACCGACCGAGGCTGGCTGACTCAAACGAGATCGGGACAGACTTTTGTTCATACGGCTGAAGTTTGAGTGTCTTGAGTGCAACGCTAAAGGGTCCGCTTCTGGACGTTTGAGGTCGACTGGGAGCTTGCGGGGTCCCGCTGGTGGTGGCTGCATCGCTTTGCATGCGTAAATTGATGCTGACAGCGCCAGAAGATACATTCTCAATCTTGAGAATGCTCTCTTTGCGCCTCTCCGGAAGGATCCAGCCTGCATCGATGGAAAGCGGCGAGACTCGAACAAAGCTCTGCTTGAGGGCAACCAGTCGGCACATGGCAAGCTTCCTCCCAGAGTCGTCGATGAGGTGAAGAGAGCCATCGACCTGGTCCGCTTTCATCGCTTTGGGATTGAATGATACTGCCATTTCGAGTACACCTTCTCCTTGAAGGCGGAAATGGAATGATTTGACCGAAAATATGTCGACCGGCTCGACGGAAACAAAGAAATCGCGCTCTTCATGGTCGCCGCGACCCGCACGATAGCGCAAAACCGTACTGTTGGTGACAGGCGCGTGGACGCTTTGGAACTTGAGTATGTCTGGATCGATCATAACCTTCATTCCATGCGCTTTGAGGTAACCTGTGTCTTCGCTCTCTCGGAGGAATCCAATGATGTCGTCGGGATCCTCAAGATATTCGGTCCCACAGTCTTCGTCTTGCTGTCGCACCCGATTGAATTGTGAGACCCTGTTCAGATCGCCTACTGGCCTCTGACTACCGCGAAGAAAGTGGCCGCTAACTTGGGTCATAGACGACTCCAGGGAGACGACAAGATTTCGAAGTCGTTCCTGATGCTTCTTCTGCAGAATATCATGCCTTTGCCCAGCGTCTGCATCGGGCGACTCGGGCTCAGCACTCTTACCCAGCAATGGCCACGTTGCCTGAATGCTCAGTGAGGCTGGGAGGACCATTATTCCTCGTTGCTGCATCATGGATGGAATGTCGTAAAAGGCGATTCCATCCGGAGTGAATCCCGAGGGCGATGGAAGGTTGCAACCCCTCGGCAGGAATATGGGGAAACCACTATTATCGTAGCCGGCAACGAGATTTTTGGCCGAGTCATTTGGTGTGGACCGCCCTTCGATGTAAAATCGGGTTCCAAAGTTTGTCATTCCAGCTGGAATGGGTTTGATGCTCGCCGTTTTTCCATAAAATGGGATGCGGTTCGCGGTGTACCCGATAGGGAAAGGAGGTAGATTCAAGGGCGGTGCAAAATATGGCTCGTTAGTTCCACTATAGCCCGACGGTATGGGGAAGTGAAACAACCGGTCACTGGGCACTTTTGCCGCCTTTGTAGCGACTTCCGAAGCATTCGATGCGTCAACCGGAACTTGAATAGCATTTGAGCGGTACTTTGGGAGTCCAGGCGACATATCTTAGATGGACCCAATTCACATTGTAAAAGTCACGGAGAATATCACAGACGTGTGGGCGACGAACATGAGAAATACATATATAGTCCAGTTAGATTTCACAGCCGAATGAAATTGCAATCAGGTCAGCCACCCCATCCACACAGTCGACAGGAGGCCCTCCGGGCAATCTAGCGAATTGCGCTGCAACTGATTCAGCCATAAATTCAACAGCATCGACAAAATCACAATAACGCTTCATGATGGACGCCTCTTACCGTCATCATAGTCGTCGTCGATGACTTCTAGGTTGACGGATACCCATTTATCCGGATCGGCTCGTGATCTAATAAAGATATTGAACGTTGCACCTATTTCCAGAACATTGCTGAGAAATAAGGCTGGAGGCATCAGTTTTGCTGCATTTTCAAGCTTGCATTCAACACAAACAGCGTCATTGGGTACCCACGAGTTGCTGGTACTGTTCTGGACATGAATCGCCGACAGTTCTTTGTTGATACTGAGTACAGTCGTGAACACCCTCTGCAACTTCTGGGTTCTGGGCTGAATAATGTCAAAGATGACGGGACCGTTGACCAGAAAATCACTGGATGTGCCTCCGGCCTTTAGACCTCTGCATATGGCAAGGTAAGGTACTGGAAATCAGCAAAAGAGTCTTGAATCCTGCGGCCCCAGAGTATTCAGCCCAAACCTACGGAATCTGGCTTGGCCATAGCACCGGATGCCGATCTGATATGTATCCTTCCGGAATATCCTCTGCTACTCGACTCGGATTGTCAATGGGGCTTTTGATGGCCTTCGACTCTCGAGCTCCGCGAAGAAACATTGGTCCAGAATCGCCCGATATTGATGGTTGTCTGCCAATCGGGTGTGCCGATGCATTGGCGTAGATAAGCGACGGTGGCGTTGTATGCATTCTATCTGGGTCGTAGCCTGGGAAGGGACACACGCTGAAGAATCCGGGCGGCCCACGTTTGTAGTCGCTGACATCACTTCGTGGAGGCGTTTTCGTCATACCGGCCGGAACGACAGATCGCTCCAGGTCGCCTTCGTCTCGAAGACTACTCTCGACGGAATGGCATTCATCCCGAGATTCCTCCGAAATGGAGGGACGGCCTTTGACTGTGGAGCTTCTGCGAAGAGCCCCCATCGTCCCAGCAACTATCGAAACTCTTCTGAGGATCTTGAGCGAATTTTGCAAGGTTGCAGATTTTTTCTCATTGTCGCCGCCCTTTGTGTCTGTGCCTTCAGCATGTGGAGCTTTAACTTCAGTAAAGGGACCAGGGGCATAGGTAAATCCAAATGGTAGGCCAGGAACTCGGCCGGTGCGCTCCAAATACTCGTATTTGTGGGTTGGCGGTTTGTTAAGCTTATCCTGAGCAGATTGATCCTGTGGGCAGTCAAAGTCGGGCGGAAAAGTCGGTGTGAATAAATTACCAGCAAAGGTGATGCGCTAGCAACCGTCAGTCGACCCTTTTACATCTACCCGGGTGTCAAGTACGACTCCGATCCAAAATCTATGACAGAAAGCGCTCGATACAATCACAACACGGCTCGGGACTATGTCGTGCCCACAGAGTACCCGTCCAAAAATCAATAGAAAGTCGACGGCCACGCACTCTACTGCGTGCAAAGCACGAAGTTTCAGAAAATAAAGAGCATCCTCGGAGGCCGCCAAAATACTGTTGAAGCGCCATAGGTGCAGCAAGCCATGTCATCTTCGGTTGAGTACCATGAATGGATAGGGCACAGTGGTTGCTCCATTTGGGATCCCAGGAATCTGCGGCAACGGACATGTGATCATGATGTTGGATAGAGGATTGACAGGCAGGCTGACAACGATACTTTCTGTGTGGATCAGAGTAGCTGAATCCTCGGCGAAGAATCCAGGATAATCCTGGACTGGATGCAGCTTGCAGTAGGTCCCAGGGATTTGAAGCATTTGTCTCAGCAACTTTGCCCGAAGGGCCCGACGCGACTCAGCCGCCAGGCGTTTCTGTCGTCAAACGAAAGATAAATTACCAGAAATCACTGTTCAGAGGAGGGCTGTATCGTGGATAGCTTTGGATTTTCCGGTATTAACCGTCAATAATGGAACGTGTCCCTTCAGATCGTTGATATCCAATCAAGTGAAGCCGCCGCATTTGGTACAGCACGGAGATACAAATGGTTATTGCCCCACAGATATATGCAAACCTTCATCAAAACTTTAAGTTCCTGTTCCCACAACAAGGCGTTGAAGTTAGGAACATCAATATCCTTGGTAGACTTGAGACCCGATATCATGTTTTCGATCCCCAAGAGAATTGCATCCTCATAGACGACTGGGAACCAGTTGCTTGCCAAACAGAAACGAGCGGTGTAAAGATCCCCGAAAGTCAAATCCAAATGCGCTGAGTTGAAGTTGTGCAACTCCAGAACCGATCATTTTCCCTGTATTCCTTCCAGGACAACGACAAAGGATCAACATCTTTGGCAGTGATCAGCTTGCTCACCTGATGAATTGAACCGCCATCATTTGTATTGCGGGGTTTGGTGAGCGCATTAAAGGGTGCACATATGGACGGAAAAGAGCTCCAATATACTTTTGATTCGCCTCTGTTTTTTTGATCTGGATTGAGTGCAAGGTACAGATTGTGTCAGCTCTTGTCAATTTCTTTCTCGGAGCTGTGCTACATGATGGAAGCGCTGAATTACTACGATTGTAATCCACGTCTCTTGCAGTCACATTCCAGACTGTGAGCCAGCAGCTCATACATCATTATTCAAGATTCCGAGTAGAGCTCTTATGACAAATGTGGCGCCAGAGTCCTGCCGCTTTCCATCAGCCTTAGAACGGATCACTTTGGGTTTGTTGTCGCCCTGAGAAAATTCTTCGTGGATAATATAAATGACCATATCCTCGAAATGCTTTGGCTGGTACTGGAGACTGGTTGAAAGTCGTCCGATTGAATGCAGCAGATGAATCTTGAAAGCTCTGTTTTCGTCAGTGAAACGCGATGAATCGTTCATTCCCTACATTCGAACAAATTGTGATGGGTCAGTGTGCATTATGATGCAAACTATGGCAAGCTTTCAATCAATGCTCTTGCTACGGATCCAAATCACCGATTCCGTGAACAAAATATGTCAGGCCGGCCATCCCTCTCTACATCAGTACTGCATCGGTACTACGGCATACTCGTGCTACACCGATACCATCTTACCATGCGTTCCTTTTCGTAGATCTGAATTTCAAGAATTTTGGTGATCATTTGCTTGAAAGCCTGTACAGAAACGAGATTTCGCCCATATGAGCTCGCGTGCTGGCGATGATCGCGGTCGAATGCTTTTTTACGTAATGAGGAATGTGCTCCCTTCGGTTCCACTGGAAAAGCGGAAGCGGATGTCGAAGCGCTCAAGCATTGGACGATAGTTACCAGTTTGATGAGGTGATCATGCTCTCGTACCCTCCCTAGATAATGGCCGAGTTCTCCAAGAAGGTACACGGCTTTAAGGCGGTTCTCAAAACGCTCATCTGAGTTTACGAGATTGATCAAGATCCTGATAAGACTCTTCACAAGCGGAATCACGTGCGGTCTCGTCAGTACCAAAGCTAAAGAACACAGTCCAATGATCGCTCTGAACACTCTTGATGATATAGTCCAGTGATACCCTCGGAGCATCTCACCTCTCGTGTGGTCGAGTCGAGGAGAGTGTCATTGATCGATGGCAAAGCGATATGTAATGAGCACATATCGATGTATCGTGCAAACGACTCTGCCTGCGTGAGACCAAGGAGCAGCAACTTCCAGCCCCGATTGAAATGAACTTGAACCGTGTAAAAGTCGGCCTCCTCTGTAGAACAAGGTCAGACACATGAGACACGCAGTTTCTGACCAGCGACTGCAACCGAGCTGCAAAGGAAATACAAGAATAGCATCCAAAGTAGACCAAGCAGCTCTATCGCGGTATCAACAATACTATACACAAAAAAAGAATACAGGTAAACTTGCGATATTTGCCTATAATTTGCGACCGAAGCCCCTCGGCAATTGTTTTGAGCTCTCCATTGATATTTGGATAAGGCACAGAGTCGAGGCTCAGGCCTTCTAAACCCATTCCGCCGCTTGTTTGAATCGGAATGTGATTGTTGGTTTGCTTGAAGCGCTCGCCCAAGTTCAAGGTGCTCCCAGCGGCGACATCATCGTCCGGAGCTGTGGACACGTCATCCTGTACTTTCACGGCAACGTTCATAACTCGAGCCGATGAACTTTCTGATACGTGCGTCGCTTTTTGTTCGGTCGCACCCCGGGCAACTGCATGCTGAGCAGCCTTGATCTTGACCCATCCAGCCATTACAAACTCGACAGTACTGTCTCTTTGGATGTTTTGGGTGCCACACGGGGCGTATTTATGAACCGCTGTCCAGAGTTTGTCCACCATGGCCATGAATGTGTTGGTGGATTGGGCCCTGTGGTTCAGAAGCGAGTTGAAAAAGCCGAGGCGCTTCAACGTTTCGGGACATGTTGAAAGAGATGGCGGGATGGTGAGTTGAATAGGAAATCGCGTGGCAGCTAACCAAAGCCATGATATTACTCGAAAACGGTCTGTGCCAAGAGAGAGTGGGTGTTTACCACATGTTTCTTCAGACGATCCCAATCCTGCCGCGCTTTGGCACGTGCGGACTTTGGACTTCGATGTGCTGAGGGTGTCGCCGTTCGTGACTGGCGCCGTTCGCCTGAGAGAAGACCACCTCCGGCTGCCCCGTAATTGAATGAACTTTGACGTGACGTCCCACGCTTTTTTGAGCTTTCTGAAGGAGCACGCGGGACTGATTTGGAGGAATCGCTTCGCGCACTGGCAGGATTGTCACCGCCTGTGCCGGGGCTTCGCTTGTCCATCGGCGGGTTCCCACGGGCCCCAAGTTACCACTTGGAACCGGATCAAGAGCGAGACGCGTCAAGTGCCAATAGCCTGATATTCCGCGCTGCAGATAAATCCTTGGAATCGAGGTAGATACGCCTATGCTTCAGAGCCAAATGCAATGCAAGTAGAGCTCGACGATCGATTGTGCTTTGATCTGTGTAAATGTGGCGAGTATAGTATCGGAGCAGATATTCTCGATCGCCAAAGAACGTAGCAAGCACCCAGATGGAGGATGAGATGGGCCAAAGTCGGCATCTGCAGGGCGGGCTTTCTTCAATCTTGGTGGAGCAACACCTTCTAAAGCCGCCACTTGCAGTGATGGCTCTCCCGCGTTTTCCCGCCATCGCCATCGACAGCCAGGATCGAGTGTTGGACACATCACACCCATAACGAGACACGTTTCTGGACGCAGGCGGGGGCTTTCTCCGCATGTGAATGCCCACAATCCATCGCCCATCGCGGCCAAACAGTGTGTCCATGGAAACTGACACTGGTTGCCTGTGGGAACGCATCGTGAAAGCAAGGAAAGGGAGAGATATATCCGTCGAGCCCACGGGGACTCAACTTTGCTTGGTATTTCGAGCAATCCATGCATCACCGGGGGTGTCCACCAGGCCCATCCGTCTCCAAGATCCATGTGTGCTCGGTGAACGAGCTCAACACATCCCAGGTGTGCTCACAGTGCCCGGAGGCCGAGCGCCTCGTTTGACCTGGCTGGCTTGATATCGAGAAACCATGAAGCTGTGCAGAGGGTCGGATGCATCCACCACACTCCCACATCGAGACATCAATGCCTCACGGATCATGATCTCGGTATGCCAGTCCCGTCGCCACAGGGAATCGGTCGTGTATTCATGACCATGCTTCCCAAACCAACCAAAAACAAAGAGATTGCCAACCTAGACTGGAAACAATCGCACGCCTGAGGTGATGCAGCCGTAAACGATCATCAGACTTCAGACTCATGGTTACTCTAGTAATCATCGGCGCTGCTCGTTCATGTTCCGAACAAGCTTGGTGGTGGCGGTTTGGATTTATCAGGGAACCATTTCAAACTCGCTATGCCAATTAACAGAACAATGCAAGGTTCCAAGAGTTAAGCAGAGAGAACTTTCTCGAATCTCTTCAATATCTCGGGCAGTTTAGAGCGGTGGATGACAAAGACTCTTCTGGACGGATCGATGCCGTATTCCTGAAAGGCTCTCTTGGAATCAGAGGACGAGCCCTCTTTGGAAAACTTGTAGTCGTAGCTGAAGTCGGCGAACTGATAAACGTGCAGTGTTATCGGCATACGTCATCACATTTCGATCTGCGATCCCAGCGGATAGCTCCATTGCTCCTAGCGGATGGCTCCTTTTGCCCCTAGCCGATGATTTGGTCATTCTTTCAAACTAGATCTCCGATCGCTACAGCCTACTACTGACCTCCTCAATCAGCTCATCCTCCTGCTGAAAGTAGTAAACCGTGACCTTGGGAGAGTTGAGTTCGTCGATGACGAAGTGAGTCAGAGGATACGTTCTATGGACTCAAGTCGTTATTGTCGATAGCGCTAAATCCGCGGGACTTACCAGCCTTTGCTTTTTATTTTTCTTCGATGCTTCCTGCGACTCGACTTTGTCCTCGCCATCGCTATCTTGTTCCAGCTGCGACTCTACCTCTTTGTACGTTTTGGATATCATGATGTAGTACTCGAATTTGAACGGTTTGCTCTGGGCGCGTTTGATCCCGTGAAGAAAGGTCAGCCACAGTGATCGCCGCAGTATATGAAGGCACCTGAGCCTCGCTTCTCTTCGCCAGCCCACCCTTGCTCCCAGCTATAGATGGTAACCTCTTGAATGGCCTTGTCAACTTCTTGGAGCAACATTTTGAGCATTGCTGGGACAACTTGGTGAGGCATATTGATGAGACGCTCGTTGATCAAGAGCCCAATGTGATGATCGCTGGATTCCAGAAGCGCTGCCAGTTTGCGCTGCATCTCCGCGTTTTTCTTGGCCTTTTGGAGAAGATAGGCTCGAATTGACGAGATACTCTCTCGGTCCTTGATGAAAAATGGCAACGGATCCCAGTTTCCTATTAATGGATCGGACTTTGAACTCTGGAACGATCGAGAGGTTTCTATGGCAACACACTCTGTACCTTCGGTGCTGAGAGGTTTAGGACTGACATCACTGCGTAAGGGTCAAGTTCCCCCTCGACCTTGACGCAGGACCCAATATAGCTTTGATCGATCACAGTGCTGGCCAGCTCGGAGAGAGGCAGGTTATCTGCGTCGTCACCAAAGGTTTGTCGGAGGAGCGACTTGAGGCCATGGAAGTCAATCTCTTGGGGCTCGGAAAAGACAAAATCGACATCCACAAGCTCCTAACCGACGATCGTGACCAGCAAGTCCCAGTCAGCACGCAAGATTCGACTGCCTTTGCGGCCATGGCGTGGTCGTTCCTCGGGAGCCCAAGCTGCATCTCTGAACGATGGGGCACAGCCCGTGCCGATTACCTTCTCGCTGTCATCGTCGTCTTCCACCTCATCCATGGCATTGGAGGTGTCGGCGTGTGTCATCTCCACATCCTCGTCGTCCCGCCCCTCTTCGCCTCGCGTCTTCCGCTTTGCTTGTCTCATCGTATCGCTGGAGTGTTGCATCGAGCAAGTGCAGGCGAGATCGGCTTGTGGCCACGGCTTCCCTGTCCTGGCCGTCCCAGCCCGTCCATGTAGCCTGATTTGGCCTCATGAAGTTTTCATTTCCGGCGCGCCTGGCCGTTACGTAAGCGCGGACTGTGCGCGCTGCTTCCACAGCGCGGGGCCTGTCGCAAATTTTTTCGCCACAGCGCACGCTGCCACCAGCATCAAGGACAGCGCCAAAGGTCCAGTCAGACCTGCTGCTCTCCATCTGCCCTTCCGTGTCGATACCGCCGATCCAAGCACCTCCGTCGGGACTTGAGCACAATGAACAACCTCCTGCAAGCCGTTCGCCAGTTCAAGGCCAGCAAGGCCTTTGCCAGTCTCCGCGAGACTCATGCCAACCTCATGGGATACCGCAAGTCGGGTAAAGTTGCGAGCCGCAGCCCTAATATGCCTCAACCAAGCCGGCCCACAAATCCGCATCCTGGGCCCGCCGAGCGGATCTGGCATCGGCAGAGCGGCGCTCCGTGCCTGGCAATTCCTTTGGCGTGCGTCCTGGATGTATATCCTGGCGCGATTTGTTGCCGAGGAAGCGGGCGTGTCCCGCCAACACGTTTGCATCAGTAGTTTCTGCTCTGCCTATCGATACCTGTGTACATTCCACATTATTAACGCATGTCCCGACTTTCTCACGGACAGGTCTTGTGTTCGACGATCTTATTCCCGACGAAGGCCCCATCGTCTCTGAGGCCCTGAAGCGCCTGACTCCTCAGGAGTTCAACGAGCGCACCTTCCGTTTCCGCCGCGCTCTCAACATTTCGCTCCACCAGACCGTTCTCCCCGTTGCCGAGCAGACCAAGCCCTCTGAGGTGCGTATTACGCCCTGGAAGGTTCCTTTGTGAACCAAAGTCAACGGAAATTTAGTGGCTTTGGCTGTGAGGGGGACAAGGCGTGGGCAGTATTGGCCTCAGCACGATCTCAGCCAAACTCAACAAGATCAAAGCGGCACCATGGATTCGTTTTGGTTTCGACTGCAGCTCGACAAGTACCCGCACAAAATCAGCTTTGAACTGCTACCAATTGAACCCCGGCGATCGTGTCGTGTCTATCAGTGTCGTCATCTCTTGCACTGGCTCGCCTTGCTCGTGTGCGATGATACCAAGCACCACCGAAGACACTGTTGGTCAAATCGCTTTCTACGCGATTGATGTGACTTCCGACAAGACAATCAAGGCATTCGATATACAGTCGATCGAAATCCGAATGCTAAACAGCACGCGGAACCATGACCTGTTGCCAACTTGCTATCAGGCAGCGGCATGCCACTTCAGACGCTAACCAATACCTGACCTTCGTCTCGTCAATTGCCACAGGACGTCCCGTACCTGCGCCCCATCATCGCCGAAGTTGAAGCCGAAGTCGCCTGCAAACAGACTTTTGATCTTTTGACCGGCATCCCCGAGAACCTCCGCTCGCGCAACAAGAGCACCTAACGATGTCTAGCATCCGCGACCCTGTTTCATTGGGACGTCAGCGAGATGTCCAATGATTTCGATAAATATATCTATCTCATGAATTCAGCCATTATCAACGAAAGGAAGCGCTCTCTGAACGGACCGACTCGCTCGCGGGCTGTCATCAACATGTGACCTCGAACGCACGTCCTTGCGTCGTAGCGGCCCTGACCCGAGCTGTACTGTATTCAGCAGCCATCCAGGATCTAGCGATCGGTCAGTATGCGCCGCCACTCTCGACCCCGAGGCCATATCTTTGTCCGCGTACTTCAGTTCGCCGATGTGGCCACCCAAACGAGTCACCATCCCCGATCGCGCACGGCTGCTCAGTAGTCGTCGCCACGACTGAGAACCTGTCAGAGTAGCACCGATTCAGATGTTTTCAACGGGTCGACATGAGTACCTGTCGCGCGCGAGCGCAGGGCCAGCATGTGCCAGCCCGATACCAACTGAGCCCACAACTGCAGTCTCGCATTTGTCGCATAGCCGACATGCATTTCCACACACTCGTGGCCCAGAGGAGAGCCACCGAGTCAGCACATACCTCCTTGCGAGTTGGGCGCAAAAGAATGGTGTGTTCGTACTGGGCCGTGAAGCTTCCTTTGACATCGCAAAGCGGGGGATAGGGATCGACAACACCAGAGTCGACAAGGTTCTTGAGCGCAAGACCATACTTTTCTTCGCCGATTCGGTCGAGATAGCGTCGACAGAAGGCCAGGGTGCCAAAGTGCTTGTTGATCGTGGTCAGAAGCTGCTTGGCGCGGGGAAGTCTGTCCAAGCGAGCGATTTGGCATCAGAACATATGTGCTTGGATTTGGTATGGATGCCACGTCGCCAGCTCAGAAGCCCATTGCACAGCTACAAGACACACCGGACCAGCCGTTTGTAGGAAATTCATCGCTCACTCGCCGCAACAAACCTCAGAGGCACATGCCCGGCATCGAATCGCTTCATGTAGTGGGAGCACTCGAGATCTTCGTGGACAAACCCACGGCCAGTGCTGCCGAAGGTTTCAATCGCATAGCTCTCTCCTTCCTGTTTGATACAGCCAGAGGAACACATCCATGATATGGTCAATATGGGCTCACGTTCACACGCAAAGTCGGCTGCACAGACAACAATGGATCGCCCTGAGCTCTCGTCTCACACAAACATCCTATACCTCCATCTTGGTTTGGTCGCCACCCTTGACAATGGGGACAGTTTTGCCGGCGTGGATTTGGTATTGTCCAATAAGATGGCCGTTGAGGTTGCGGATGGGTTTGACTGATCGGCATTCAAATGCACCATTGATCGGGCGGAGTGATTCGGATCGGCGATTAGCGCAACGGTGCAACCAACACATACATTTGCCAGGCAGCAAAATCTCGAGGCAGCAGAATCTCGAGGCAGCAGCGAAACGCATCATCGGATCGCACCTTGATATGTTTTTCCATCGAGTGTGACTTCATACGACTCCATGACTTCCTGGATGGCTGCTCCAATATCGCAGAGGCGGACGTCGATACCAGCTTCCTGCAGAGGACAACCGCGATTGAGCCACAGACAATCAGTTGCAGCTCGAGAGGACAGGCATGGCACCATGAAGGAAATCCAGCGCCACGTTGTGTCGAACAGATGGCCACATCGCCAAGCAGTGCGTGCGCCAGGCGTGCCCGAGGTGGAAGTACGACTCGAGACAAGCGGGACATCATGGCCTGGTGGCCAGCTTGGGCGATCGACAGCTGCCCAGACACATCTGACCAGATTCGACCAGGATAGTAAAGCCTAACCAGAACCAACCTTGATACCCGTGTTGGTGGCATCGCGAACGGCCTCCAGAAGGGGGTCGTACTTGGGATCAAACGACATGGTGAACGCACAGTCGATGATGCGGCCATTGATGTGGGTGCCAAAGTCGATCTTCATGACGTCGCCGTACTGCAGGACGGTTTTGTCGCCGGCATTCGGAGTGTAGTGGGCGGCAACGTGGTTCAAGGAGCATCCGGTGGGGAAAGCAATGCCGGCCTGCAAGCCATTCGCCTCAATGAGGTTGCGGGTGCCGTTTTCGATCATTTCGCAAATGTCGATCATGGACATTCCTGGCTTGATCGTCTTGCGGGCATACGAGCGGACTTGACGATGGACCTCGGCAGCCTGGCGCAGCTCGTTGTACGTATCGTTCAGAGATCGCTCCAGCGCACGCTTCTCCTCGCTGGTCGAGCGCCAGAGGTTGCTATGAGCAAGTTGAGAACAGTGTGTCAGCTCATCAACTACACATGGGCCAAGCGGGACGCCGGGGAACAGGCAAGCGTTGAGGGGCCCCAAAGCGGGGAAAGGCATCGACAGAGACTCACTCATCCTTGTAGTCCGAGAGCTCGCCTTCGGGATAGACCTTATTCAAGAACATTTTTGAAACCGGGACTGTTGGGGGCTCGGTCTGGACGACACCAGAACGGATGTTCTTGACGGCCTCTGTAGCGCCAGCAATCAGCCCCCCAACCAACACCACCAGCAGCAATGTGAGCCGCACGATTGAGTCAGTCCATGTACGCGAACGAGAGAACGAGTATCGACACACGCAACGAACCTCCAGAGGCCTTCTTCTTCTTGCTCTTCTTCTTCTTCTTCTTCTTCGCAGCTGTTGGTTGTTGCGTTAGCAGCCGGGCATTGACAAATGCGAGCGGTCCCGGCGACGGTGCTTGGATGCAAGGAGCACAGCATGCCATGAGAGCAGAAGTAGAGCTCAGTACCTCACACGGCGTGGGATGGCCAGCCCGCAACAAGCATGTTCCCACCTTCGTTGCCGCCCGGGGCGTCGTCGTTGTCTTCGCCACTGAGCTCTTCGTCGTCATCGATGGCCTCAACATCGACTGCCTCCTGGGCAAGAGAGTTCCTCAGAGGCGTGGCCGGGATGACGTTGATTTCGGGGACACTGGGGACGACATCGGCAACAGCGACAACCGCAGGCTTCTTCTTCTTCTTCTTGTTTTTCTTCTTGTTCTGCGTGGCTACTGCCTCGCCGAGATCCTCTTCTTCGACATCAGAGAGATCGAGAGCCTCGGTCTTCTCGGCGAGCTGTGCTGCGTCTTCGAGAGCCATCGTCGTCGGTGTTTGCTGCGAGATGAGCCGGTGCGCCGCGGGCGCCGAGCAGCGGACACAAAACCCAGCCGCCACAGGCAAGAAAAAAGTCACGTGTTCGTCCAAGCTCGAGCGCACGGCCCGGTCCGTGGCAGCACGGGCCGCGCCACAGAACGGCACCAGCGCAGAAGGACGATCCGCAGCGCGACAGCGGCCCTGCGGTCTTGCCATCGGTCGACAATGATCTTGCTGCCCGTACACATCGCTTGGGCCAGAGCCGGCGGACCGATGGGTTCCCGGGCTGTATTTTCTTCTCGAGCGTGGCCCCGTCTGCAGGGGTTGCCAAGGTTTTTCCACGCATCTCCCAGCAACCTGGAGCACGCTGGATCCAAAAAGACACTCTACCATGTTCTGGGAATCCCCCCGTCGGCCTCTCGGAAGGAAGTCAAGGCCAAGTTCTTCGAGCTCTCCAAGCTGTACCATCCCGATCGCAACCCCGAGGATGACGAGGCCCACAAAAAGTTCCTTGAAATCAATGAAGCGCATTCCATACTTTCCAACGAGCAAAAGCGGGCCGAGTATGACCGATCGCTCGACTATGAAGAGGCAATTTCAAGCACGTATCGACAGAGCTCGACTGGAACAGGCCCACGTCGATCAACATATCGCCGGCGCGAGCAAATGCGACCGGAGGACTGGATCATATTCAGAAACGACCGAGCACATCAGCGATATCAGGCGAATCCCTACAACTTTACCGAGCACCAGTCACAACACTACGAAGGTAGCGCCAGCCCAAGCGGCCCAACAAGCAATCAGCACCCCCGCTCGGAGGAGTACTACCGGGGGCTCAATCAGGCGCGCAAGCTGCAGTTTCGGCTCATGACGAATGTGGGAATGATCACTTTTGCAGTGTTTTTCTTGTTCCACATGGGATATTTCCACATGATCTTCATGGATTCCTCAGATCAGGATAGTGGGGAAATATCGGGTCAAACGGGTCTGGACATTATCCGAGCCAACCACGCTATGGGATCGTCGCATCAAGGACCGGTGGACCACGAACACGCATAGGTACGGTCAAGGCATGGGCACTCTATTCACCAAGCAAACAGGACAGTTCCTTCCTGGCTTCAGATGTCTGAATCCCGCTGACTGACTGTAGGCCCCAGTGAGCAGGCCGCGAGATTGTTTCCAGTCTAGGTTGGCAATCTCTTTGTTTTTGGTTGGTTTGGGAAGCATGGTCATGAATACACGACCGATTCCCTGTGGCGACGGGACTGGCATACTCAGATCATGTTCCGTGAGGCATTGATGTCTCGATGTGGGAGTGTGGTGGATGCATCCGACCCTCTGCACAGCTTCATGGTTTCTCGATATCAAGCCAGCCAGGTCAAACGAGGCGCTCGGCCTCCGGGCACTGTGAGCACACCTGGGATGTGTTGAGCTCGTTCACCGAGCACACATGGATCTTGGAGACGGATGGGCCTGGTGGACACCCCCGGTGATGCATGGATTGCTCGAAATACCAAGCAAAGTTGAGTCCCCGTGGGCTCGACGGATATATCTCTCCCTTTCCTTGCTTTCACGATGCGTTCCCACAGGCAACCAGTGTCAGTTTCCATGGACACACTGTTTGGCCGCGATGGGCGATGGATTGTGGGCATTCACATGCGGAGAAAGCCCCCGCCTGCGTCCAGAAACGTGTCTCGTTATGGGTGTGATGTAAATGAGACGCCCGATATCCTGTGTGTGGAGAAAGTTGGACAGTGTTCACCAGTCGAGCTCTTGCTGCGATGTCGTCTCGCTGAGCCGCCGTATCTTTGGTGTTGCCGCCCATCGTTGCTGCCAAGTCCATCTTGGCTGAGTGCCAATGGATTCCATATGGCCATGGAGTCCCACAAGACCTTGGATCTTGCTTGTCCAAAGTTTCCCCCCCCCCACTCATCGATATCCGTCAGCGACGCTCGATTTGCACACCTTGACCATGTCGTCTTGATTGCGTTGGCGTCGCGATATTGGGCTGTGGTGCACCGATGCGATGGATTGCGGGTCACCAACGACATTTACTACGACATGAACGCACCCCGATGGTCCCATGAAGCTTATTCTTCTCTGGTGATGGTGGTGGCGGCAGTGGCGGAGCTCGCGGGAGCTTGTCGGAATGGAAGGAAGCAGACGAGGGCTGAGGGCATATTCCTTGTACAGCTTCCACGGTGTGGATGGCCATTGGGAACGATGGGGCATGCATGTCCCATCCACAAAGTGGTGGGAAACCCCATCCATCGTGCACGGGGCTCCGTTTGGTTGAGCGTTGCAAAAGTTAACCAGTCCATCGTGATCATGTCGTTAACTGATAAACACGTCTATCCGAATTATGCCTGATCATTACAATTCGCCCGTCGCTGAACTCAATAGAGGCCACTACTCTCGTCGTCGCCAAAGGGGACGAGAATTTGAGAAAACCACTAACCCCGGTTACATGAGGACAACGGAAAAATGATTGGACACAAACTCTGTATTTGTGTCTGGGAAGGGCGCATGTGCACAGAACAGAGCAGGGTCGGCGCAGGACCTTGCTTATGGCGGAGGAGGCTAACTGGAGGCTCGAGTCGGATTTGTGACCGGGACGGCGACACCTGGCACAGAAAGTGCGGGCACAATAAGATCCGGAACGATGGCAATGTCGTCGGATCGGCTACTTGAATTCGAGCCTCTCAATCGGCCCCGTTTGAATTTGGAAATGGCTTGTGATACTATCAGCGTGCGAGCTACATTTGAGAACGGCGTGCTCTTTGGTGCAGCTTCGCGCGACTCGGTTGACCGATTCTGGAGACTGAGCCGATGCTCAGTGATGATCTTATCCAAGGAGTCTTCCACGTATTTCAGGCGGGCCTCAGCTGCGACAGACTGGTCTTCGTTTAGTGAGATGGCTCGGTTTATCGGGAAAATCGAGAGGTCGTGCTGGGCGAATTTTTCAGAGAAATATGATTCGTGTGAGGTGTACTCGGACACGTCCTTATTTTCCAAATGAACCAGGAAGAAAAGATAGTTCCTGTAATATCAACGAGCAAACAGTCATGGTAGATCGTGTTAGAGAGCTTCCTCTCCTATGCAAGAGGAAGTAGCGAGGCGATCGCACGAACTGCCAGCAAAATGGCCTCGATAGCCGCGCTCTTGCATCAGATCCCCGCGGCTCCTCCTTAGCTACACGATACTGAATCTCAGCGCCGTTGCAGAATCCAACTCACCAGATATTGTGCTCATGCTGAACGTGATGCTCGAAGCCCTTGCCGTGGCGCTGGAAGCGAGGGGCCTCGATAGAGCATATGAAGCAGCACGACTTCAAATCATCGGCGATCGCTTTGTGCTCTTCTCGAAGTTGGCCAAAAGTATCAAAAATGATACTGAAGGTATCAAGGAATGAGCATCAAGTTAATTGAGGCTCATGCAATCGATTTGGATGATTGCATCGCCAGGCAGACGGCGTTGCGGCATAATCGACGCACTCCCGCTCAGCTTACCCAAAAATCGCATTCAAGAGGAACACAACCACGACAAGGAAGAAGCTCAGCTCGAGGGCAACGCGGGCCGAGTAGGACTCAGTTGCCAGATCAGGGACAGCCATGAGTTCACCGATGCCACCGCCTGATCGGATGCTGCTCGAATTGTGATGAGGGATGCACAGCAAACGATGGCAAGAAAATTTCGGGGTGCCGAAGAGAAAGTATGGATGAATACCCAGCGGCAATATGCGAGTGGGACACTCGCATCCACCAATCAATTGAATCACATGTATCTCAAGGCATCCTGGGTACGTATCCATCTTGCCGAAGCAATCCATTCAACCACAACATGCTGACGTGCGGCACAGCGAGCTCCACGATTCAATCGCTCACCCGTAGTTTAAAATGGTCGCAAAGCAAAAGAGCACCGAATCGCAGTGCTTGCTTTCTTCAATCTTGAACACTTGGCCAAAGAAAACAAATGCCACGACCGAATATATGTAGATCACAATCACACCCAGCAGAGCTGTGCGTGAGAGCGATGTTCCGTTGACGGTGATGGACTTGATGACCTCTTGGAGTTCAGCATCTCTGTAGACAAAATCCAGCAAATGAATGCAGAAAAATGCTGGCTGGAAGAGACCCAAGAACGAAAACAGTAGCATGATGGTGTGATACTGAGACCGCGGCCACTTCAGGAACGAAAGAGCAGTCTCGACCCAGTCGGAGGGCTGCGGGGTCTGTTGACGATGCAGAAATGTGTGCGCCATTTGGCGTTCGTCAGTGCCAAGACACATGTTGATGCCGACAAACCTCGTAATAAACTGCGACTGAGCCAAAGAACGGCATGCCTTGGAGATAGATAGTCATCGAGATGGCGAACTTTACCTGGTCCGCGGAGATCGGCGCGGTATCGTTCAGCGCTTCTGAATCCGACCAGTCACTCTTCAGGCGAAGGGCCCGAGCCCTTCGCATCTCGTCAAGCTGCAGCTCCATCCTGTGGCGGTTTGAGTCCATCGGATATTGTGTCCACGAATACTCAACGACGGACACGCTCTGGAATGGGCATATCCAGATCAGCATTGACTCTAGAATCGCCGTGATTTTTGGGTAATAACTACTAGCAAGGCCCTCCAACAGATCATGCCCGTTGCGGCATCGATGCGACCCCTCGGTCTTGGGCATCATCGTCATACTTACCCATAGTAAAAACTGTAGCAGTCCCAGAATCAGCCGAATGAATTCAAACCGAAGCGAGCACACGGATTCGGTTCGGAGACTGTCTTTGGGGCTCTCGATGATGCACCATAGATTGGCCAGGTTCAAGGCGAGGGTGATGGTGTACATACTCCTCCACCATATATCTCGATTTTCAGCCAATCGCCGGAGGAATCGATTGGCTAGTGTGTTCATCAACAGAGCAGAGTGAATATTCGCCAGCAAGGTGTGCGGCGGAAGCCATGGCCAGGGGCTGGCTTCTGCCAACGGCTCTGAAACACCAACGTACCTGCCACCTTGGCGTGGAATCGGATCTCGTATATCAAATCAGACGAGCTATTGCAGAAGGCCTCGAGTTTTTCTTGTGGGGACACGCTGGAGGGGCAGATATTCCGTGTAGATATTACTAGCTCGTCCACCAAAAGCCAGGCCACTGCCGGAATGTACGCAACAAGCTGGTCTTACCGCTCCTTCTCCCAAAGAAACCGCGACTTTGCTTCCGACTGAAGATACTTGCATATTTCTGGAATGGGGAAGAGAACCTGGAGGACGAGGCAGGAGCGGGTTCAACATTCACCACTGGCGAATTCAATAGCATAGACGACAACTTACTGTATATAGACGCTTCTGGCCGCTTTCGTGATGATCACGGATGATTTCAATCCGCCCTGTGTGCTTCCGGAACCACAGGAATGGGGCAGATCCGTTGCATGCTTCAGCCTGTAGCCGAGGGAATAGCTGCGTCAAGATGCTGACTCGTGCCTGAAAATCCATACACATTTTCGAAGCACCCGGTCTTTACAGCCAGGCAGTGCGAGGGACCAACCTTTTCGCGCGATAGATGTGGCTCCAACGTCACAAGCAGCATCGCGCACAAGAAGCCACAGTCCATCAACAGCGCTCGCTCCGCAACATCTTCTGCGGATTCCGTCTCCTCGTCGACGGAGAAAAAGTCGAGGAGATCCTTGGGCGCACGAACGTAGTCAATCAGTTGCCTATTGGGCCGTCTCTTGCGCCGAGCCTCGATAACATCGGCGACGCCCAACTTGTAAATCGAGTTCCTGTATAGCAACGCCAAGACCGAGTCAGACAATTGAAGCTCGGGTGACACTGATACTAAATGCTGTGTCAAGCACGATCCAGGCCATCGCAACTTCATTGATGATTGCATTGGGTACTATCAGAGTAGGATCACACCCACCCATTCGGCGGCCTTGCAGCAGAATTACTTACAGAATGCGCAAGAGCGTCTTGATATCGAGAGTGGTACTCATCTCCTTGAAGATATACTGTATTTTGGGATCTTGATCGTCTTCCAATAGCGACAGTAGTGAGAGAGTGGCCTTGGCCTTCATATCTGACACGGTCTTGCGAGGCAGGGTTTCAAACGTCTCCGCAAGTATGATGTTGATGGGCTGGATAATCTTGGCGTTGAAGATATTGACCTGGTTGGCCGTGCAGCCCTTTACATAGAGGGATGTGAGCATATGATCCAAAGGGAGTGGCAACTATCCAGCAATTCACATATTGACGGGCCTCCCACGACAGCGTTCCGTGTCTTGGACAAAGTGCCCTCTGGACATCTCCATACCTGAGCCAAATCGATGATGGTGTTCAGCACCTGGACGATGACGTCAACATTGACTTTGCTCGCCACAGGCACAACGGCGTGCAAGTACTCCACGGTGTCTTTCACGAGATCAAAGGTCTTGATGTTGTCTGGCTGAATTCGGACATAGTCCTGCAACGGCAAGTTGTGTCCTTCAACAAGCAACTGCAGCAGCCTCATCACAGACCGGGTGATTGCCCAGTCTCTGTGGCCGTCGCTGTCTTTCGAAGTACCGGCGAAAACATCGCTCTGGATCTGAGCCAGGGAGCTCATGGAGTCTTGCAAAGAAAGATTCTGGGGATAGCCGCCGAGATCAACAGTGGACGCGTGGCGGCTCTCCTTGCGATTGACATACTGCATCAAGTCTTTTGTTTCCTTGAGCAGATTGATGGATCCCTGGATGCGATTGTGGATGCAGTAGAAAAAGCGTTCCTCCCTTTCCAGTGCAAAGTCGACAGCGTCCAACGCAGAGTGATCACATCGACGTGAGTTGTCTGTGGCTGAGGTATCTGATCGCTGTCGAGTGCACGCCCGGGCGAAGCAAAAACGGATCCCAATGCTGTACCCATCCAACGCAGCTCTCGGCAATCAAACAGACCTTGTCCCTTGCCAGTAGGTTTGCAGTGTCCGCTGCGCCTCTGCATTTCCTCCGTCGAGGATCGCGATCATGAGCTGGAGTGCCGCCGCTAATATACCTTCATCTGTCGATGTCAACAATCGCTCCGCCATCAGGGTGCATCCGATTCGATTGAGCTCGTTCTGATACGAGACCTTGCGCTTTTCGAGATGGGACCACTTCTCGGGATCGTCAGCTCGGTTGCATGTCTCTAACTTCTGTATGTGCCTTTGAATCGACGATTCTAATATGGCGAGTGTCTTGATATCATAATAAACATCCCGATGATCGCCGGCGATCGCTGTTTCTGATGCTGTCTGCTGAGCACAAACGTCGCTCGCCTCGCTGGATTGAGCGAGGGATCGGCTTCCATCGGCACTGTCATTGTAGACATCGCTCATTTGGACCAAGTGCTGGATCAGGGACTTGACTGTCGTGATCCTGAGCGACTTTGTTTTTTGATCGATTTGGCCGTCGAGATGAAACAGTTTTGCTGGGACAACAAAGCACAAGTTAGCTGCGGTCAAGGTCTGCCAAAATTGATCCGACACTGCCGCGAAGGATTGCAGTAACAGAACACGCTCGACGCTATGTTTGAAGCGTTGGTCAGAAACAGTCCCGCGTATCCTACCAAGGTTGCTGCGCTCGGACTCCATTATCTGAATTACATCCTCGTCTTCCTCGAGGAGATTGATACATTTTTGAAATGCTTGGTTCATCCCAGCAACGTCACCACCAAGAGTTCGTTCGTGGACAAGATCCCAAGTGAGTAGTGGGGAGTCGACATTCTCGGCAAAAGTCTGCGTCTTGGACAGCCGCTTCGTGGTAGAGACAGTGTGCTGCTCGGAGTGTCTCAGGTGGCCACGGAAGCCAGAGCCCAGCATTGTCGAGATACAACGCTCGACGCGTCGCTGGATTGCGGAGGAAACACGGGGGTTGTCTGCCTGTCTTTGGAGCCACTGAGAAAGCAGATCAACATATTGATTACTGATAGCCTGCGCCTCTTCATCAAAGCTGTCCGTAGAGGGCATCTTGGAGAAGAGCTGCTGCAAAAAGACAAGCACTCCGTCGAAATAGTATTTGACGGCCTCTTCATCCAACACAGAGTCGCCCTGGAACGATATCGTCTCGAGATGGTGCATGGACTCCTTGATCAGCCGCCATATCAGCGGATGCAGCTGGATCTTATCGTTGTTTTGGAACGATGACTGTCGGACGATATCCCAGGTGTGAACTGAGGCCAGGAGACGGAGCAAGACTCGCTTCAAAGCTAGGGGTGATATGGGCGAGCTGAGCATCATAAGCACGTTCTCCGTACTCAAGAGACTGTTCGCCATCTTGAGCCACCAGGTTGATTGGGTTGTCGGTGAGTGAAATGAGAGTATATCGTGAGCTGTATGCCGAGCCATATAACAAAGGGCAAGCAGGGACCAGCACGCCAGCGCAATCGAGTTCACGCTGCCAGAACAAGCGATGTTGCTCCGCTTACCGTCTGCATAATCTGGTTTTTGTCTTCGCAACAGATGGCCAGTGTGTCGATCAACTCAACAACATAGTCCACAGAAATGCTTCGATCCGAAAGCGGTATCTCCATTCCGCGCCTCGAGCGAATAAAGTCGGCACCGCTCTGGAAGAAACGGACCACCTCGCCGACGGGCACGTACAACTCGCCCTGTTCAAGCAAGAGCCGCATGACAATGCTTTGATTCCGCTTGATGATCTTCTTTTCAGACTTGACAGTCCGACGCAGCAGCTCCATGTACGCTGCTCGCTTTCCTCCGCTCAGCTCGAGAATGCGCCGGTATTGGCGCTCCGTAATCCGTAAGCACGCGGAAAAAGATTGACTGAAAAGCTCCCCGAGATAGCGAATACAAGTGCTGATGGCTGCGAGGCTGCAGCAGCACCGCAACGGATGCGTCGCCTCGAGAAGAAGGTCCAGGTTGGAAAACACTGCATCCTGGTGCTCCTTGTGTTGATTGGCGTAGTTGCGGAGGAATTCGAAACATGCTACCAGGACGGCATCTTCGATCGAACGGCTGTTGTCGTTATCGTTTTCGTTATCGTTGTCGTTGTCGGCATCGTTAGCATTGGATAGCTGAAGAATCGAGGACAAGCCAGCCGCCTGGGACTGTGATGTCGAAAGGCTCGGGGTCTCAAGGCCAGAGTTGTGTGCTTGGCCACGGCGACGGCTCGCGTGATCCACACGCTTCTGGAGAAGACGGATCACAATGTCGAACAGATTCAAATTCTTCATCGACCATTGGTTGATTCTGTCGGGAGCAAACTCGAGATAAACCGAGGCAACGGGAGCTGGAACGACAGTATCGTCATCGCTCGATCCTGTCGTTTTGGCCCCATAGATGGCGAGTTGGGCAAAATCCCGCAGCGTCTGTGCGATTTCGGGCGCAATCTCCTCATCAAGATCGCCCATGAGCCGCCGGTCATTCGAGGTGCTGGTTTCAGCGTTGATGAAGATCCCCATCTTTTCCTTGATCCAGTCGTAGGTATTGATGTACTCCTCGTTGTTCAAGAGAAGCGACCGCTTCAGAATCGCGATCAATTCTTCTGTCGAAGAATGCAAGCGATGAAGGAGGCGAATAGCGACTTTTCGCAACGCCGGACGGTCGTATCGCAGCAAATCCAGTAGTATCGGAGTGAGGCGGATCGCAAGTTTGAAATACTCTGTCTCGTGATACACCGACGAAAAAAGGTCCTTCGCGGAGGCAAAGCCCAAGGTATGGAGCGACGAGCCCTTGGTGGCTTCCGGGTTACTATAGGCGAGACAGTCCGTGATGTTATGATGCAGAGTCATGTTAGAGCGAAACCCTAAGCCACAAAAATCGCCGCCGGCTATCCCATTCGATCCAGCTCCGACAGATACAGCGAGCCTTTGGACAGGGGCGGCTACGTCCAGCGTCCACACTTGAATTGCATAGCATCTGCGAACCTGATATATCTGTGCCAGTAATGGCAATACCAGTAGACTCTCATCTCAATGCGAAGTCCCATGATGATTTCAATAATTTGGATGATCTCTATCTTGCACTGGATCACAATCGCCGACTGGTCGTTGTTCTGGAACCGAGACTTGCTCCACCATGCATCAGACGCCTTATCTTTGGACTGGAGCTCTTCGTAATGTTTTGGGTTTCTACGTTGGACAAGCCCCCCCCCGTTCACGACAGTATGAGATGTAAGCAGACCAGAGATTCCCACAGTCCGCTATGATACTGTGATGCTGTGGCCCTGCGGTGCTGTGAGCCGAATCACATCACTGCTGCCGACTCACGTTCGCTGCTTTGCTGAACGTGAAGGGCACGCTCGGTGAGATCGGTAGCAAGAGCATCAATTATCTGCGTGGCGTCGGAACGCGTGTGCCCTACCTGGAGTCCAAATTTCCGTCGAGGATGCTTATCAGGGTGGATACGAAGGTCAGGATCAATTCAGGCTCTTTATAAAAGCCGTACTTGACAAGGAACTTGATGAGCTTCAGCACAGACAGCAGGAACTCGTTTTCGTGCTTATTTTCAAAGTACTGAACCGTATTCCGAGGCAGATACACCTCTGCCCATTCAGTCACCCGACAGAGGGACTCATCCGAAATCAAAGGCTCGTCTTCACCAAGATCGGCATCGTCCAGGACATACTTGAGGGTTGGTGGATTTTCGATCGTCTCGAGTGGGAAAACGTAGTCAGACTGCATAGGAGAAACCGGGAAGCGATCCAAAAATATCACTGAAGGCCGGATAAACACACAAACATGGAGGCATGAGCGGCGATTATTACCATATCTGCTCATAGTCCATTCGCCAACCGCTGCGGAGAGTCGACCATCGCACAGGTCTGTGGCACCACTCATGTCTGAGCAGTAGACCCTTCCCACGGTTCTCACACACCAAGGGTGCATATCACTGCTCGTCAACAATCAAAGTGTGCAGACTCACCTCGCAGAAGTGAACAATAGCGGCTACGGATGCTCAGTGGCAGACCCTCATCGAGCATCCCAGCAACACAAATGTCCTCGGTGATGAGTCCGAGACCACTCGACAACAACTCAGCACAGAGGCGGTTGTGGCCGAAACAGAGCGCCTCATAGAGCTGCATGAGGGCCTCGAAATAGGCGGCATTGTCCTGAAAATGTAACGATGCACGGGCTCCTGGAACAACCCGCTCGCCACTCGGCGGCGTGCGTTGTCCATGCTGAAACAGCGAGCTTTGTGCAACCCAGACACTACAGCCAGCCCGGTTCACACGAGCTTCGAGCTCGTTGCTGGAGCTGATGCGGATCGGGATGATGGAGCCATCCTCAATCTCCAAGCTTTTACGAACCAGCTCTTCGGCAATGTAGTTTTGATGCTTGGGAATGGCATATCCGTCACATTGACAGAGGGCAATCAGGAAGGCGATGTAGCTTGGTTCTTTATCGCGACGCAGAAGCTCCAAGAATCCCTCGATCTCGTTGTTGGAGATGCTCTGGACAATCAAATGATTGCCCGAAATCAGTTGCATCAGCGTCTCGGCAGCGCCAATCTTCAGGTCGACGTGACCAGCGAGAGTGTGGAACTCTCGGGAGACATACGACTGGTTCTCGTGATCCGATCCCAGTAAGAACTGCTGGAGAAGGCGGCACGAGTATTGCATGACCATGGAGAGCTGGTATTCGTGGCCTTCGCGAACGTCGTCGATGTCCAGGTTGTTGTCGAGCTCATCCCTTGCTTGATCAATATCAGCAAACTCAGTCTCGATGATACAAAGCGAATCGACGATCAGGGGCTTGAGGAGCTGCCTGGCTTCCAAGCGGGCTTTTCCAGTGAAAGGAACCTTGAGCAGATGAAGTACGATGTCGATGATTCCAGTTTCGCGGAGAAGGGTTTGTTGGACTGTGCGGTCCATTCAGAAGATCACAGGAGAGCAATGTTGGGAGGTATTCAGCAGATGATCGGTTATTGCGAGACCACAAAGGACCACTACTGAGAATGAGGCTTGTCTGGCTCGGGCAGCAGTCATCAATCTAGATCGGCCCATTCCACAAATGAAATCAAGCAATTCGCTAGCACCGCCATGTGAGCATCGATAACGTTGCATCTATCAGTTACCAAGCTGGGGCTGGCCTTGTCGCGACAAAGGATTGACATCGTTCGAATTGGTACAAGAGAAGATAAGGGCCGTCTGTTGGGGGGGGGCAATGGGGCGAACGTATCGGCAGTCAGTACCCCGCGCTGTCCATATTGGCCCCGAGCTGCGAATACACCCATGGCGATCACGATTGCAGCCCCAGAGCCGACACGAACAATGCTGGCAATATCTCCATCATATGTAGCATCAGAATCGCCTGTCAAAGAATAGCGCAGCACCCATCAAAAGCCGACGCACAACGGGACGAAGAGGGAAGCGAGAATGAAAGGGTGCAAGGGCGATACTCACCAAAACGGCAATAATCTGGGTAAAAGCTGCTTCCGAGGCTCTGAATCGAGGCTGCTTATCGTCGCGTCTTGGTCGGATGGCTAGATTGGTCGTGAAGAGCGCGAGAGTTGAAACAGCGGACTGGCTAAAGTTGAACTTTTGAATAAGCGATGGGTCTACGACGGAGAGCAGGAAGTAGTCCTCCAAAGATATGTCGCTGGTGACTGCCAGTACATAGCGAGGACAGCCGCGCGAGGATAGTCGGCCGTTGATCGACGCTTCGTATTGCTCGCTCTCGGGTACATCCGGGTTTCGCACTATATGCAGCCAGGTGCCTGTACGGACGTGTTGAATCCGCACGTGTGATCCAACGGCGAGCTGTCGCTCGTCGGCATTGACTTGAAAAATCTTGAAGAGTGTATCATCCCCGGTGGGAGAGACGTGCACGTCCGTCGTAAAGTCGACCGTGTGTCGATATGTGTGCTTGGACTTGGAGGAAGCGATTTCGCTAATACGGAGGTACCGGTTGAGCACACAGTTGCGAATGCGAACAGACCGTCCCCATCCGACGCTTCCGCCTGTGTATGAGTCCTGGGCTTCGATCTGCCAAAAAGTCAGGGATGACGACGAGTCCTGTGGGTTCAAGGGATCATATTTGAAGCCCATGAGCGAAACAGCGGCGTCGGTGCGTCTAACGGCTGTAGCCGAGGAAGTGACAAGATATCCTTCTGTTTCGCGGTGATAGAGCTGAATCGTGTTTCCAAACTTGATGGCTCGACTGCCGGAGCGATCGCCTGCAGCTGAGGATGGCTGGCTCGAATTGAACACTGAGAGGGTCCAGCCATGTGGGTTGGACGACAGACATGCCTCATGAACCAATTGGCTGAAGAGATGGTCGGGCACAGAGCCGATAGAGGGGTCGGGGCGATGCTGAGCCACATGGAGATAGATTTCCGATTTGACAGACTGAAAGATCACCGTGTCATTAAGTCGAACGGGATCGCCTTCGTTACGAAGCCGCAGCTTGGGCATGATTCTGAAGCCGCAGCCGCGCTGAGGACACCGCGTGAGCTCGACGCGCATGCCCGTGGAGTCATTCAGACAGGTTTCGGTGGAGTTGGCTTTGAGAAGCTTGTTGGTGTGCAGATTACGCAACTGGACGATTGTCCCGTAGGTCACTAAGGCAGGCAAACACGGCCCATGTTGATGACACGCCGATGGACACGCCGATGGACACGCCGATGGACACGCCGACAAAGACCAGAGATGTTCAGATTAAAAGCCATATCGGTATAAGGCAGTGTCGGAGATGATCGGCGGCAAGTCGCGAGGTCGATCCAGATGAGGACGGCAGCTTGTCGGTTCGGGACTCGCATGCACGCGAAGTCTATCATTTTCGAACGAACAGCGGCCCAGGCGTTCACTCTCAGCGGAGCCCTCACCTGGCTTGGATCGAAGCCGCTCGTAGTCAGAGAGATTCATGTGTGTCTCTGCCTTTGCCAAGGCGCGGAGATTCTCCAGACTGTCGTGGTCGACTTCGGGTAGAGATATGTCGAGGGTGTCAATGTTGAGAAGTTCGGGATCAACGTGTTGCTCGACTGCACTGCGGAAGTTCTATGTGGGATCGTTGCGGCATATGCACGTGAAGCGGTTGGAAAGGTATAAGTAAAATATGTCAACGAAACTCGCGGTCAGGTCTGACCAGCCACACTGCGGCGAGTGTTCTGGTGCAAAAAAAATGGAATATTCGAGCCACCAGATCGGAGATGGAGGCAGAGATGGGTGGCCACCAAGGAGAAACTGTCGCGGCGATGGCGCAGACAGCAGTAACCCACCTTCATATTCGAGGAGGCCCAGTGGGGCTCGACTCGAAACACAGATTTCAAGAGATCGCCCGATGAGGCAGAGCGCGGTTCAAAGTTGGGGCGGACAAAACATCGCTCTTGAATAGGGCCCTCCCCAAAGAGCTGGCCAAACTTTGGGGAGTCGAGCACAATCTCATCGCCGATGCGGAGGGTTCTGGTATGGAAGTTTTGGAGCAAGTCGGGACAAAAATGCGCAACGGCCCCGTCCCAAGGATACGAGCGTTAATTGATGCAAACTCCACCTCGCTAAGAGAAGGGTCGTCGCAAAGAAACATGCAGACCAAACTCCCAAAAGCAGACAGGGCTGGAGCCGGGGGCTGAGGCTGAGGACCGGGGGGAGGCTGTGCCACATCGAAGTGGACCGTGAGCTAGCAACCGGCTCTTTGAGCTACTGGGGGCAACACGCAAGACCTCTCAGCTGGGCACGGGGGCGGCAACTACCTCTCCGCAGACGCCTTGGACATGCTTGTCGGGGTGGAGGGGCAGTCGACGGACACGGCGGGAGATGGAGGAGGAAGCCGACACGACCCAAGCCCGGCTTGGCAAAGCCACGTCGATTCTGCCAGGGAGGATACATCCTGCGCAATGGTCACGTGCCGTGTCACAGATCGGATCTTGGGCGGCCCGGCCATGACCATGAGTCGGAGCCCTGTGGCAGCCAGGAAGACGGCCAACAGCACCTTCTATAAGGCATCTTCTATGTTTGAGTCCGATGGTTCACTTTGGATTTGTATCGCGAATACAGCCACGGCCGTGTGGGTCACGAAAGCCAAGCCACCCGAAAATACAGCGGACTCGTGTGGGGATGGGACACTCCACCACACAGATGACATGTGGATTGTGTAGATTGCGTGGATTGAATGAGATTGATCGATCGCCTGGTTGAATGAAATCAGTCAGTGCTGGCCGATGAGATGCCACGGACACCCAGAATGATCTGATTCGACCACGACGCGTTTTGTTCGAGAGAGTGTGTGTCCCCACTGGTTTATCTGCACGCTGCCTCGCCTATCGTTTGAGACGGTGATATCGGTATGCCAGTCGATGGATACCGTGAAGGACGGATAGGGTGTTTTTTGCAGTTGAGTGTCTTTGAGGTCGAACGCATTCCGAACATGCCCAGCAGTCACAATCCCGCCCGCACTTTGTCTGCACTTGACCGAACACACTTGTATTCTCATTCATCCTAAAGGCCAAGCCAGACGGATGGTCCAAAAAAAAGGGGGGGAAGGAAGGAGAGGATCGAAAGGCACGGTAGAGATATGAAACGATGGAGAGATGGAAGGATAGAAATAATCATATGGTGTTGACGAGGATGAGGTGCCGGGACAAGGCGAAGCAAATGCAGTCTTCGTCTATTCAGGAGCTATAGAAATTGTGACTCGGGGGCGATACCGAGGCTTTGCGGAGCGGTCTTGGGTAGCATCAGCTCTGGCGCTGCCCGTAGCTGTCCAGCTGGATCGGTGAGGAGCTTTGGAGGACTCGGGGTCCGTGTCATCATCGCCGGGTTATGCAGAGACATCTCTGCGGGAGGTGCTGGGCTATATATAAAGTTTGCGGACTTTGCCTGTGGAGCGGCGGCAGCCACATCGACGGTATGGGGCTGGGACGGATGTGGCGGTTGGCGTAGCGATGGATTGGCCAAAGCTCGAGCCCCAAAGGCAAAGGCTTGGTCATGAAGCGGATCACCGATGGCACTCGAAGACACGAGCGGGTACTGACCCGGGGCGCCGCGATGGGGCTCGGCGAGGTTCATAAAGTTGAGTGACTGGCCCGAGTCTGTGGCAGCCGGAATGTGTCCGCCGCCCCAGTTATGGACATCCAGGAACTGCCCTCCTATTTCGCCGCCGGACATGGGATAGCCAAGGACGTGCCCATGTTGCGCCGTCATCGCATCGATGCCCAGGAACATGGTGTTTTGAGGCATTCCAGCATGCGCAAACGAGGGGTTGTAGGCCGCCTGTGACGAGGTGCTCATCAATAGGCTACTTGAGTTGGAGCTTGTGTGAGGTAGGGCAGCACTGTAGAGCTGAGAAAATGATCCGGACGACGCCATGGGGGGCGCTCGTACTCCAGTAGGATCAAACGGCATCGGTTGGGAGAGCTGCAGCATATGGCCAAGCGCCTGAGGGTCCGGGTGGGACGACTGAGAGACAGAGCGATGAAACTGGGGCGAAGGCGACGGGTGGTGACTACCGCTGGCAGGGGTTAGACTCTCGCTAATTGAGGTCTGGGGGGAAGGTCGTTGGGAAGAGGTGGTCGGAAAGGAGGACGAGGAGCCCGTCGACCGTGCGAAGCGAGCATCCATCAGGCCAAAGTCAGTCGGCGCCCCTGACATCAAAGGTTGACTAAGATGGCCATACGGGCCGGCAAACGAAGGGCTTGTGAAAGGAGGCGGGCGCTGGCCGCTGGTGTCCAGAGACAAAGTCGGGGGCACCGTTGCAACCCGACGCACACCAGCGGCCGCGACCGGGTCGTCAAAGGGTGAGCCAACGGTGCCGGAAGGTGAGGTCGATTCTCGCAAGCCAAAGTGCCGGTAGTCCGGGAGTGTGTGAGTGCGAGTGATGTTCCCGGCCGAAGGAATGCCGACGAACTGAGAGCGAGGCACGGGCGGAGCCAGGCCGCCGTTGATTAGGTTCATGACAGTGCCGTCGGCATAGGCCTTTGATTTCGGTATACCATCGATACCGATATATGTGCCAAAAGCCTCGCCGAGCTCGGAGCCGTCCATCAGGATCGAGCTGGGGTCCGAGGAAAGACTGGGGCTGGGGACAAACGAATGAGGCGATACAGGCGAAAGGCTTGGGGTGAACGACGGAGTTGGCGACGACGGCGACTGGTAAGGCGACACCGATCTATACTTTGACATTGACCTCGAGGAGCCCCGACGATGACGACGGTTGAGGCTGTTGGTATGGTGGTCGTACGAGAAAACATCATCACTGCCGTCTGTGGTGGAGCATCCGGGGCTCAGCGATCCGCCAGAGGGGCCAAAGGATATGAGCAGCGAGCCCGAGGTATCCGAATCATGGTGGGAGGTGGTGATCTGCAGAATGGGTGTGGCTTTGGAAGGACTGCCGATGAAGGACTGGTGCATGAGCATATCTCCAGGATTTCCGTCGAAGGATCCAAGAGGGAACGGAATCGCGGCGCCTTCGACCATGCCGGGCATCGGGCTTTGCCTCTTGGCACTCTTTTTCGCCTTTGAATCGCTTGTGGATCGACCGAGAGTGATTTTGCCAAGCTGGTCCTTGATCTCATCGGTCGGGGTGATGGTGGCTAGCTCGGGGAACTGCGAGGGTGCTTGCAGCAGGTTACTCTGGACATCATCGACGTAGTAGTATGAGACAAGGTGGAACTGTCGGCCGTACACCTTGATGGAGAATGTCTTTTTGACGAGTCCATTGGGCTTGAGCTGCATGTTGTTTTTGAGCTGAGCGGTAAACGCAGGCTGTGCGAGCCTCGAATCGGACTCGGCATAGGCAGTGTTGGGCGTTGAGGAACTGCTAATGCTGGGGTTGTTGGCCAGAGCAGTCGATTCCTCCTTGACCTCATCCTGCATGGCGAGCTCTCCGCCAGGTATCTTTTCGAGCTCGCGGTATATGAGGAAGGTAGAGTGATGAATTCGGCTCGGACTCCAGTTGTATTGGTCCTACACAGGGCGAGATGGAAGCGAAACGAGCATGGATGAGTGAGTGCGCAGAGCGGAGGTGTTGGCAGCAAGCAAGCAAGCGACACTGGCACACCGTCATATTCCGGTGTGCTGGTGGGCAGGTTTGCAGGCGTATGCGGCTGCTACTCCGTTCTCCAGTTGTCGTTACAAAGAGGAATGAAAAAAGGCCCTACGGTCCATCGCTTGATCCCGGCCTCCTCTTCGTCGAATATGTACACCGAGCCCGATCGAGTGGCCGCCCGCTGCTCGGCTGTAAGTCTTGCTTGAAGCCGGGGAATCATGTTGCGGTGGACAGCCTCGACCAGCAAAACGGCGTCATCGGAAGTGTCGACAAAGCCATAAAAGGACTCTCCTTTCGACGGCTTTGGGGACGCCGCTGGAGTGAGGCCAAAGGAGGGCCGCCGAAGGTTATCTCCGGGAGGGGCCAAGACGCCCAAGGATGGCTCTGCTTTGGGGATAATTTTTGGAGTTATCGGAGGGGAGAGGTGATGAACAGACAGACGACCAGCAGATCACGACACTGCGAGCAGAGAGTCCAGACGATTGGCGAGAGAATAGAGTTTGATGGTGAGCGAGACGATGGATAGATATGAGCGAGGGTCGAGAGTCGTCTGGTTTTGAGTTGGTGGCGAGCAGGAGTCAAAGGTGAGTCCGGGATAGAGGTTGGAGGGCGAGAATGACCTGACCGGATTGCCTTTAACGAGGGACAGAGGCGACGACAGGAAGCAGATCCGTTCGACGCAGAAAAGCAGTCGTCAGACGAGAGGAGCCAGGCAGGGCCGCTGGCAAGAGGGAAGGGCGGTGGAAACGGGAGGTTGAGGGAGGCAAGGTTTTGTTTTCGAGAAAGTGAGGGTTCGGCGATTGGCTTCCAGGATCAGGGAGAAAGATCCGCAGGAAGCAGGCTGGGAGACGGGGCGACTGGGGCGAGGAAGCGGGAACGTGGGGGGGCCAATATTTAAACGGGATGGCCGATCAAGGAAGCAGGGCCTGGACGGGCAGCCGACAGGGACAGCGGACAGGAAACGGGACAAAACAGACGAGGCCGGCGCACAAGAGCAAGAAAGGCGAGCCGGGGAGGGGCGACAGCCGACAAGGCCTCAAGGGGGGGGGTGGGTGCTCTGGCTGGCCGGGAACGGCGGTTGCGAGAGCGGTTGCGAGAGTGGTGAAGTGGCAGCGAGAGCGGCAAGGAGGAGGTAGTTAAATGGAGTTGGTGGAGTTGGTGGGCTGTTAAAGTGGTGGTTAAAGTGGTGGTTAGACGGAGTGGTGGTTAGATGGAGTGGTGGTTAGATGGAGTGGTGGTTAGATGGAGTGGTGGATGGAGCGAGAGACAGACACCCCGTCGCAACAACGGCTAATGCAAGCGCCGGCATGATCGCCGTTCCCCAGCAAGCCCAGCACGTCTTCGTCCCGCAAAGGCCGTGGGCGACGACCAAGGAGTCGGTGCACAGCCACAGGCCGCGGATAAGGTTTCGTCGCACGGGGAGAGCATACAGCCGCGGCGCCAGCCGCGTCCCCCGGTCCATCCCTCCTCTCCGCGAGGCTCCGGCCTGCCGATCGACCGATGCATCGGATGCGCACCGTCCCGGAGGCAGCTATTCTCGGCCATGCTTGGGCATCCTCGGCCACCCTCGGCCATCCTCGGTCATACTCGGGCATCCTCGGGCATCCTGCCTGTCGTCGTCGAGGACATGGCCCTCGCCAGCATCATCGCCGATGTCCTCCGCCAATCCTCGTCGCCGCAACCTTGCTTCTCTCCCTCGCGATAGCACAGCCCGTCGGCGACAAGCCCACCGCCAGCAGGTCCGCCTGCCGCTAAAACCTTCGCGGCCCCGGCCCGCCAGCCCAGCCAGCTACTTTGGCGACACTGTACCGCTCTGTATGTCCACACAAGGGCGCCTGAGCACGCGGGGCCCGTTGCACGTGAGCCGTGCACACCGGCCCGAGAAACCTGGGGCCACCCCATCGGCGCGGCAAACCGCAAGCACCCCTGCCCAAATGCATCTCCAGGACCGCCAAATGCATCCACAGCACTGCCAAGGGCATCTGCAGCCGTCCAGCCAAAGAACAGACGGCGTCGGCCGTGCGCTTCAGGTCCAGCATGCCTCCTCGCGGTGGCCTCTGTTGCCATGCTTTGCGCCATGTCCGGCACACGCAAACACACCCGGCTCCACACAGCCCCGAATCACCAGGGCAATCTCCTTCCAAGGAGCAAGGCCCATTTGAGGCACCTCGTGTCCCAAACAGGCCGACAGCTCAACTCACCCCGGCTCAGCCCAGCTAATGGGGCGCCCGCGCCTTGCTTCCACCGAATGTAGCAACTCTCGATGCCACGGTGTGCCATTCGTACCCGCTCTTGGCCTTGGCTGGCCATGCAATCCTCTTGTTCGTCCGTCGGCCCAGTCAGCTGTGTGTCGCGGTCATGCTCCGGGCCACTCTGCTGATGATACCCAACAATCTCGACCGTCCTTGCTCAGCACACAGCTCGGCACCAGCCGGTGGGGGTCATGGATATATGGCCAGATTGCTTGATGCGATGAGATGATATTATACTGCTCCACAGCTTGCGCAAGGGCGCCATCTTCAGTGTGTCCAAGAGCATCATCCATCGCTGGTACTCCGAGACCAGTGCAGCGACCCACAAGCAGGTCGCAGATCCACTTTCGTTGAGCAGGCATGTCCAGTCATTCGCACCCTTATTGAACAGGATCCGTTCCAGACTGGTCCAATGGTCCGCTGTCTACTCGAGTCCATTCTCCAGAGGAAGGTATCCTGTGTACTCGGTAAACGAGTTCAACACATCCCAGGTGTGCTCAGAGTGCTGGAAGCTAAGCGGCTCGAGAAGGCCGAGCATCTTGATATCGAGAAACCATGGAGCTGTCCAGATGATCGAGTGGATGCACCACACTCCCACATCGCCACAGGAGATCGACCGAGTGTATTCAAGACTGTGCTTCCCAAACCAACAAAAACAAAACGATTGCCAACCAGGACGGGAAACAATCGCACGGCTTGCTCACTGGAGCCTACGGATCGGCAGGCTGCAGGCCGCTGAAGCCAGAAAGTGACTGTCCCGTTATTTTCTGGATTGACTGTATCCGGCACTTCCGTGAATCAGCCAGGAATATATGCGGCATGCTCGGATTCGCCATCCCACGGTGGAACTCCTCGGCCAATAGCGGTATCTGCAAGCACGGCGAACGAACGAACGAACAAAGCCCCAACACAGCAGGCTACGGCTACATTCACGGAACCGGTGAGCAACACCAGACAAACACAAGATCAGCATTAGACACACACCAGACAATCACCAGATCGACGACAGGTCGGCATCTGTTCAAATCAGGTTGTGGAAAAGGTACGAGATCGACTCTCCGTTGTGAGTTCTTCGAATTGCCTCGGAAAGTACGGAGCTGATGTCGATCACCTGGAGCTTGGTGGCAATCTTACGCTTCTCTTCCGAAATAGGGTAGGTGTTGGTCGCGATGATCTGCAGAGACGGGTCGTCCGGCTGTGAGTTCTCATGCCGCCAAACGCCCATCCACTCTCACACACACAAAACATACTCGCACACCATCGTCAAGATACACTTGGGCCATCCGGTGGCCATTCCTGCCCTGTGTCGGGGCAGAACCTACCTGGTGAACGTGCGGACACTCCTCGATCTCCTGTAGCGAGTTGCCCGAAAGCATCGCGTGGGTGGCAATGATGTAGACGGTGGTCGCACCGCACACCGTTTTGAGGTGTTGGGCCGCGTCGAGATACGATTTGGGACTGTCGATGATATCGTCCTGTGCGCCCGATGAGCGATTTCCACAACGCAATCGATGAAATGCTTAGCTCACCAAGCACAAAGTCGCGACCAGAGCACGAGTGTAGCGAAGCGTGTGTGCATGCGGGCCTTGAATCAAGTCGCTGGCCACTGGAATCCGGAGGGGACGTGCTGCCTACCACCAAGAAGCATATCTTATCACGGACGTCTCCCACGAGGGTCAGCCTTGTGAAGCCCTTCGAGCCGCCCTTCTCGGAATCGGCCGCCTTTTGCTCGTTGATATGGTATTTCTCTCGGTGGATCAGGCCAAAGTCCATGTTCAGACGGTCGGCCAGGGAAGTCACTCTGCGGCCAGATCACATCGCAGTCAGACACTGAGCGGCTCATCCCGGTCCACTTGCACCGCAGTCTCAGTCGCAGGCAGAGTTCGGAGGGCGTCTTGCATACCTCTTGGTGGCACCCGCATTCTTGGAGATGATGACGCCGGTCTCGTAGTTGGGGATTTTTTCGTGAATGTACTTTGCAATCGACGGCTCCGCCACGAGATTGTCCACGGGCATGCTGAAGAACCCCTGCATCTGCGACGAATGCAGATCGACCGTGATGATGTGCTGGACGCCGGCCACGGCCAGCATATTGGCCACCACTGTTCAGCGCCGGGCCGACGTGCCGAGACACAAGGACGGTGAGCCCGCATGGAGGAGGCAGGCAAGCAGAGGTGGTTGTCAGCCACGATGCCGCTTGATACCGGGCATGTGTCGGGATCACGGGCAGTCGTTTGCCATTTGTCTCCGGGAACTCACATTTTGCCGAGATGGTTCCTCGACCCTTCTTCTTGGACTGCTTGTTGTACGGATAGTACGGGATTCTGCATCGCAGGATTGTGGGCTCAGTGACGGCGCCGCTCATTCTCTGCACCCAAAATCAGCACTCGCAGTCTCGGTTCGGTCCCAAATTTCACCAGCTCCTCTCCTCTTTGCATCCTCCGCTCGGTTTTGCTCTGCTATACAAGACCTCCGCTTTTCACAGCGTGGCTCAGTCCGTGCCACTGTCCGAGGCACACATTTCTCGCGAGCACTCACACCGCTGTGATGCGCTTGGCCGAGGCCGCCTTGCAGGCATTGACCATCATCAAGAGCTCCATGAGATGATCGTTCATGGAATCGCTGCCCGATTGGATGATGAACACATCCTCGTCACGGACCGAGACTCCGAGCTCGACCGTGATTTCCTTATTGGCGCTGTGCTTGAGATGAACGAGGGAAACAGAATGCCCGAGCTTCTGGACGATCTGGTTCGAGAGCTCGGGGTGGGAAGTGCCCGAAAAGATTTGGACCTGGTATTCGATGGAGAAGCATGGCGAAAGGCGTGGTGGCGTTCAGCAACAACAAAACCAATAATAAAGACACAAAGCTTTCAGATGATCGGTATTGAGCGGCACATCGATGAATGTGCGAGCAGCACCTCCAACGAGACTTCAGGCAGAGGAGGGCATCCAGCAACGCATAGCAGAGCGAGGCCCAGGGAGCAGCCAAGCGAGCCGATACTCCCACCCTCCACGACGACGACACCGCCTTGCCAACGGCCGAGTGCGGCATTCCGAAGACCCGCCCAGCGACCGAGCCCTGCGGCGCAATAACCGGCGCAATAGGCTGTGGCTTTGACATCAAATCCAAAAATCCAACACAGCCAAGAGCACCATCAAACGAACCTTGCGCATGGCTATGGAGGATCTATTCCACAATGAAATCCGGCGGCAGCGGTTGAGGTTGCGGTGTGGAGGAGTTTCGATGCCCGGCGAATGGAAGTCGTCTGTTTGCGGCCGCAGAACGTCGATTGCAGATGGGTCGGTTGGCAAAACGAGCAGGACAAGCAACAAGCGGGCAGATCGATGACGAGAGGATGGACGGCATCCAGGCGAGAACGCGTGTGCTCTTCTCGCCTCGTTCGCGAGAGTGGGTCGGGGCGAGAGCGAGAGCGCCTTCTCGACGAGAAGAGCATGCGTTCTCGCCATGGCTCGGCACCAACAGCATCCCAATCCTCGTCTGCCACAAACAAGCATCCAGAGCAACCCATGCGAACCGGCTCAGTCGTCTGTCGATGACACGCGCAAGAGCCAACAATATGCGCTTGGGAGACCATTTTTCTCTTTGAAGTGTGCTGTATTGCCATATGCTTGGCCCAATCAACTCGCTTCATCCACAGGTGCAACGCCGATTCCGCGCACCACCGCCCAGTCATCGTCAATCCAGCCTCACTCTGGAGGAGGAGGAGGAGGGACATCAGCGGGCGGCGGTGGTGGCGGCGGTGCCCACGCAGGAGGAGGGGGAGGCTGGGGCGGATATCCGTACATGTACGAAGGCGGAGGAGGGGGAGGCTGGGGGTAGCCGTTGGATGAATGGAACGGAGGCGGAGGAGGGGGCGCCCAGGGATTCGCACCAGCGCCAGGGACATCGCTGGGATAGGGTGGATAGCTCTGTCCATAGTCGCCGCCAGGGGGAGGCGGTGGCGGAGCCGAGCCAGGATATGAGCCTCCGGGAGGGCCCGGCGGCATACCGGCAGACACAGAGGCGCCCGGCGGGGGCGGCGACCTGCCTGGGGAGTCAGGAGGGCCAGGGGGAGGACCAGGGGGACCCCGCGGCCCCCTGTCTCGATCGCGATCGCGGTGCCAGGGTGCAGGACCACCTCGGTCGAAATCGCGGTCGCGGTCACGATCTCGATCTCGATCCCGATCGCGATCACGGCCCTGTCTCGCCCATGGAGGCGGTCCTCCCGACGGAGCAGGGGGAGGGGCAGGGCCAGCAGAGCCCCAAGGAGGACGACTGCCTCGCCCGCCACTTGGTCCGTAGTGGCCCTGGCAAAGCGCGAGAGCAAACAGTCAGTGTCAGCGCAGCGCATTTCAGCGTCAAGCAGATGCACGGCAGATCAGTCGGTGCTAGCCAGACCCGATACACCGTCGCTCTGTGGACATCAAGGAAGTGACTTACGCTGCGTCCGGATCCAGGTTCGCCGCCGTCTCGGTGTCCAGAGCCGATCATGCCACCGCCAACACCACCACTGCTGATACTGGCGGCGCCGCCGCCGCCAGAGGACGGTACGGCTTCGCCAAGCTCAGCCATGAGGTTGGCATATTCATCGTCCAGCTTCTTGTCACGCTGGTCGGCCTCACGAAGGGCATCGGGGTTGTTACGTTGCATGCAGTCGCGAGCAGTGTGTCCGACACCACCACAGATACGACAGACAAGGTTGTTGGTGAAGTTTCTTTGTTCGGGACACTCGAATCGGCGATGTCCTGGAAGGCATTTGTGTTATCACCCAGTCAGTAATGAGCCGATCGATGCCACCCGTCCAACCAAGCCGATGCCAAGACGAATCGACTCAAGCGGGAGAGTGGCATTTGCGATCCGAATAGCTTGATGGGACGCGCTGGCAAAGCGCTGCGCAGACACACACCTGTTCCGCCGCAATTGGCACAGATTTGGTTTTCGTCATCGCGGAGCGTGCCGTTGAGCGATGCCAGCTCACGAAGCTGCAGCCGCTTTAGTTCGTTTTGTCCTTCAGGAACGCTGGCGGCCTGTGGGCAGAGGGGGTAGATAATGAACAATAATGAGCGATGGCGCTCGGATTAGCAGAGAGGTGAGACGCACACAATGAATCAAACGGGCGCGATGGGTTGGGCGCTTGTGGGGAGCTCGCTCGCACGACGGAGTAACAATGGCAAAGCTCAGGTCTCTCGGGCGTGTGTCCGACACGACGACATATCGACACGACGATATAACGACACAGCGGCAGTGTCGGAACTTACCGTTTGGATGATTTCTTCAATCAGCTCCATGGCCTTCTTGATCTTGGACTCAGCATCGGCACTAATGAGACAGTGCAGATCCTCCTCCTCGCCTGGAGCCGGCCCTCCATCGGCGCGAGATTTGCCTTCCTTGACGGAGCCCTTGCCGCGGATGCTGATCTTGGCCCCGGAATCCGCCTCCATCTTCTTGAGAGTATTTCCGCGCGGACCTGTCCAACGATGGAGATCGGGTCGTCCATAGACATGAGCACACGCACCTATCAAACCGGACATGGATCCACCGGCTCAGGCGCGATGAGCAGCCCGTATGTCGTAAACGTCACCCAGATGCAAACCTACCAATTAAAAGTCCGATAAAGTTGATTTCGGGATATTCTTTCGCGGGAATGTAGAGCTTGTCCATGAGCTTGGTTGGGCGACGGTAGTCGGCGGGGGGTTTGAAGTCGGGGATCTTTTTCAGCCCTTCCTCCACAAGGCGATGGCGCTCATCTTCCAGCTTCTTGCGATATCGATATTCTCGTGTGTTGATACGCTTGCCGTCGGCGCCGTAGATGGGCTCCGGAGACTTGGATCTGCTCAAAGGTAATCGGACGTGCGTCAGATAGAGGGTGCGAGCGAGGAGCAATCGGCGCGATACCACCGATCGAAGGCCATCCGTGATATCCACACACTATCCCAAGATCACCCCATGCACACGGGCACGCACACGCATGCGTCTCAAGCTACCCTTTCACATATGCCTGCATCAAAGACACGTACCGTTCACGGTCCGACGGAATGTAGTCGCCGCTTCGAAGCTTTCGACCGATTTCCTCCAGTCGAAGGTTGATCAGATAGGACTCGAGTTGCGTGCCAGTGAGATTGGAGGGAATGACGGTCGTCAGCCCAGGGATGTTGACCTTTGCTTCTTCGTTGCCCCAGCGAGACTTTCGTTTTCTGGGGCGCCCTTCGCGTTCTGGGTCTATCGAATGCCCGGGTTGACGAGGAACGAGCATGGTTCCGCCGGGACGTGTTTTTTGCGGATCAAGAGCGTCCATCGTTGTGTTGAGGAAAGTGGGCGCCGATTCCGTTCAGGTCAGGTCAGGTCGGTTCCGTTCCGTGCGCATGAGGTCGTGCCCAAGCGGTTAAGCGGAGGGGATTGTGCACATACGAGGTTATACGATCGGGAGATTAGAACAGCACCCGATCCGAAAGAACCCGACGACACACGAAAGGGGTTGGCCGAGAACATGAGCACAAGGAAGGATTTGATTCACAGAACAGAGCTGCGAAGCAACTCTGAGAGGCACTCTCTCTTGATCGGGAAGATCATAGCGTTGCGATATGGAAGGGCCGCTCGATCGGTCGATCGATGAGAAAGCCGATCAAAAGAGCAATAGCATAAAAGAGGAAAGTGAACCCCAGAGAAACACAAGGAGCGCCGAATGCAATGGGGGGAGATCAAAAGGGCGAGAAACGAGATCATTTTCTCTGCTCCCGATAGCCATCTACCGTGGCAGAGCCCAGGCAGCCCAGTCGCCCAGCCAGCCGACGAACATGCCCGCTATCTATCGGCCCACCTCCTCCCTCCCTCCATCCGTCCCTCCCTCTCTCCATCCGTCCCTCCCTCTCTCCATCCGTCCCTCCCTCCCTCCATCCGTCCCTCCCTCCCTGCAGCTTTCGCCCAGATCTCTCGGGATCGATACGATCCGTACCTTCATCTTGATCGTGTCCTCTACTCGAAGTAGAATCAGCATGCGGCTCTGGCCGATCGTGCGTGCTCTGGCTGTGATAGCTCCTCACAGGACTGTCGGAGCGCTGGCTGTCGCCGTAGGACGGGTGGTGGTGATCGCTTGGAGACGGGGCTGGTCCGTCGTCGGACTGGCTCTGAGCGAAATTGCGGCGCCGAGGGACGACGGGGATGGCGTTGGCACTCGTCCCTGAGGAGTATCCACCGCCATGGTTGTGGTACGACATGGCCCAGTGCTCTCGGATGAGGTGGAGCGGCAGGCCCAGCGGGGAAAGGGGGGGAGGGCGGGAGCAGATGAGACAAGACCGGGGCAAGAAACGGATCTGTTGACGGGCCTGGTGTGCTTGTCGATTCGAGGGCGGCGAGCGGCGGTCAGGAAACGGCCGGTGCACGTGACTGCACCAAATGAAATTCATTCGCGCCAAGTCATTGCCGGCCTCTGTGGGAAACGGAGCGGATGCAGCGGCGAACCTGGCGGCATGTGGAGAGTATGCAGCTGGTGGAAGTGTCGAACATGAATTGGGCCGTGTAGCCGCTCGACAGCGATCAAGAAACAGCTGGCGCAGCAATGCGAATGCTGCATGGATTCAGATTGCAAAACGAGCCAGGTGACAGGCTTGGTGTCGCGAAGAAGCAAGTGCGACGAATGCATGTATTGATGGTGGCCAACGCCGGGATCACAGATACTTGTTCTGAGGAGTGGGATGGCAATATGTATGTATAGGAAAAGTAATCAAACGGAAATGGAGCAAGCGAGACTCGAAAGAGAGTGGAGTCGGTGACATCAGAAACACACCCGCACAGGCGTATGGATGCGGACGAACGAGACACCGTGCATTTGTGGAAGGGGGGGAGGAGGAGAAAGCAGAGGGCAGGTAACAAGTAAATTTGTGGATTTGAGACCGGACAGATCAGGAGACGAAGAATGTCCAGGCTCCGTTGCGGAACACGGCTGGATGAGTCTTGGGGACAGCTGCAGAGGCAGGCTCTGAGCAATGAGGCTGGGACTATCGAGTAGTCGCTCTTTTGATCAAGACAAAGACCAGCACGGCAACAATCAGCATGATGGCATTGCCATCGAAGCCTCTGCTGGGAGGGGCTGTTGGTGCTGCGTTGCCGGGGGCAACAAAGCTCTGGGGAGAGGGGATGAACTCCTGCTGGATTGCCGCAGAGCGAGTGCGGTAGATCTCCGGAAGGAGTCTCCGAAATACATCCTCGATGCTGATGACGATTGGGGGCTGTCCGTCGACGATCATGGGGTTGGGAATAACGACTGGAGGCACAGAGGAGGACGGAGGAGCGGACGGAGAGGATGTGCTCCTCGTGGTGCCTCGAACAACGATGTCCCCAATCTGTACTCCAAGCGAATAGAGCATCCCCAGGAGCTCGAGCTCGGTTACTCCGGAGACGGCGATGCCAACCATCAAGATGTGCATCAAGTAGAGAAGCAGCTCGAAGCGGCCGTTGATTCTCTGGAAGCCGATGCGGGCGTAGTGGTGAAACAGCTGATTGCGACTCTGAGTCGTGGGCCACTGGCCTGGAACCAGGAAGACGTCGTAGCGCACGATGGTCGGAGTGGTCGTGGCGGTGGGATTGACTCCGAGGGCGGCGGGATGTGGATTGGGCTGGGCAATTGAGTCGGAAGCCGGCGGAGACGGCGGTGGTCGTCGCGGCGGCCTTGCCATAGAGCCACTGCTCGCAGCATCGGCCATAACGCTGCCGGGCTGGAAGTACGTTGACATCCGCGAGGGCGGTGTTTGGCCTAGAGTAGTCCGCCGCCGCATGGCCATACTCAAGGGCCGACGGAGCGAAGGTGTGCGTTGCTGTGCGCTCGGGGGAATCTGTGAGGAACGAAAGCATGAGTGGTCGGATCGAGAGCACAACTATTACTCAGCGAGACAGCCGACAGCATACCATGAAAACGCGCGATGGAATGTCGGCTCCGTAGGTACTTGCAAGGCCGTCAAGGAGAGTGCACAGATTTGCAATGTACTTTTGGAAGTGGTCGATCGACTCGCGCCGAATAAGGTCTGTGTAAATCACAAGACATCGTGCGTAGGTTTGTTGAGATAGAAGTACGGGTGAACGGATGAAAGGATGAACGGATGGACAGATGGACAGATGAACGGATGGGCAGATATCCATCGGTTACTGTCCGCCATCGGTGCAGACAGATGAAAAGAGCGGCACGAATAGGTGTCCGAAAGTCCGTTTGACAGATCAGCAGATGATGGGGTGGAGTCAGTGGTAGTACCTGCAAGCAACAAGCTTCGTGTAAACTCGACTCTTGCATGGACCTTCAGGCGAGCCGTACCGCCATCTTCATGGGTAATGCAGTAGCGAGACACCACACAGTTTGAGTGGCCATAAGGAGCGTGGGGACATTTGTTGGTGCACTCAACAGTGCGCACCCTGGGAGACCAAAGGAGCATCGAGAGATTGCATATGTGCGGAGAGAGTCAGCAGCGGTGTTGATGAGGACGGCGTGCACAGCAGCGGTCTGTAGTTGGTTGTGGCCAAAGGGCTCCAGACAGGCGATGCGACGGAGACACCATGCATACCACGGGTTGGCATCGATGATGGTCTGGTCCTCGATGTAGGCCGTTTTGATGGGGCCAATTAGCGCTGGCAACATTAATTTTGGTGAGTAGCCGGACCAAAGAAGAAAGTGGGACTTGACCCCGCAAGACTGTCGGCACTGCAGCACTTATGGGGCCCCTATCATCCTACCAAATGATTCAACGAAAGCCCGATACAATGAGCAAGTAGCAGCCACGAGCCAAGAATACTTACGCATGGCGATGTGACCATCATACTTGTACTGTACTCGACGACTGAGGTTGATGGAGGATGGATTTGAGCCGCTGCTGCTGATGGACTCCCAGTTCCCAAAGACAATGTCGGTGCCGCTGTTCATGGTGATGGCCTTGTGGACGACACTCGAGCCGCCCTGGCAGAAAATGGCGTCATAGAGCGACTCGATGGTCATGTTGAAGACTCGGTCGACGCAGGCGGTATCGTCGAGGTGCTGGCAGCTGCATGTGTGTGTGGGAACGTGTCTGTCGGATGGAGCGGTGGAGAGAGCGCCCCGCAGCAGAGACGACGTCTCAGTTGCCGCTTCGGACTCGACCTCTAAGGTGGCTGGGACACCGTGGGGTGGAGTAGTGATGCTTTGCGAAACTTGAGTTAGAAGCGCGGCAGTGTGTTGGGGCGTTTGAGACGCAAACGCCCTGGAAATGGCAGCCATTTGGCCCTGATTCGACAGATACTCTTGTGAGTCGCCAGAATGGATGCTTGAGGATGTGGTGGCGACGCCTTCGTTTGTTCTGATGGTGGCTCCGTCGTTGGCTTCGATGTGGGGCTCGGCGGAAGCTTCAAGAGGGGCTCTGTGTGTGTCGTCCATTCCGTCGCGCGCCTTGATGGAGGCTTCGTCCGAGAGACGGTGCTGTGACGAGGAATTGGATGCAAGCGTGGTGCCGGTGCTGGAAGAAACATCGGGCTGGACCTTATCTGCTGCCTCTGGATGGGCGGAATGCCCGGTGGGGTTGGACGAGTGTGTGAGGTTTGAAAAGTTTTGTGGAGGTGCGTATGGCGAGACGATGGCGGAATGCACCCTTGAGATGGGGATGGTCCCGATGGTAATCGTGGTGGGAGGGATGGAGGCTGAATTTAGCCGAGCGTTGGCGGTGTCTGTAGGATTGGACTCGCTGTCGTTCCGAAGCACGGGCGACGACCCCGTCTGAACCAGACTCTGGGCCGGGGGATAGCAGAAGGGAACGGGATGCGAGATTTCGACAATATTCGGACTGAAAATGGGCGAGACGGGAGGGGTGCCGATGGGCAATGCAGAGGTCGAGCTCCGGGGCGACTGGGTCATGCGAGCGTCGGCCACGACAGGGATATGGATCTGGTAGTGTCCGGGAGATCTGCTGTGGATGGCAGGTATTGTGGCATTGCCGTTCGAGTCGGAGGTGGCGGGGTATGTGCGTGGGAGGGTAGCTGGAAAGCCGGCTGGGGGAGTCGCTGGAGGAGTGGCCAGAAACGACTGCTGTCGGTGGTTGGTTTGTCGGTGCCGGGTGGCGAACCAGGAAAGAGCACCATTCAAGTATTGCCCCGGTGGATGGAGGCGGGGCAGTGCTGGTGAAGGAGCGAGGGCGTTGTGGGTATCCAGAGGGGTTTGTGATCGGTTGTGAGCAGCGACGGTCAGCGATCGTGTTGAAGAGGTGTATGAGTGTATGTGTGGTTCCGTTGGTGTGCAAGGGAAGAACGGTGGTATTTGGACAGAGTAGGGATCAATTGGTGAGTAACCCGGCGATAGATCGGCCCAAGAACAGCAAGCAAGCTACCAAACAACCAAGCTGGTGGACCAAGAGCAGGCAGAAATGGTGTTGGGGAAACTGCGTCCCCGGACAGGCCGTGGAGATCGGCTCATGGGTATCGGGAATATCAGCGCGTGGAGCGACGAGTGATGGGATGCTTACTCCGTGCCTGCTGATCACGCATTCTTGTACACCAGGCTATCGAATCTCTGAGTTTAAGCAGGCGAAACTGAGATCGGGGTGGTGGCCACGAAGAGTGAGATTTATGGAAGGTTGCTGCTCAGGATCGCGGCGCAGGGACGAGAGCAAGCGAGCGATAGAGATAGAAAAATGGAAATAGGAATGGGAATGGAAATGGGAATGGGATTGCAGGATGGGATTGCAGGACAGAGTTAGAGATGCAGATGATAATGGAGGGAGGGAGAGATGGAGATGGGAGGTCCGCCGGACTTGATCTCGGGCCTTGGCAAAGAGTCGACAGCGGAGCCCTCGGCCTTGGTTGTGAAGATGAAATCCAAAGGGACGGAGCAACAAGATCCAGCTAGGACCGTCGTTGAACAGCGACAAGAGAGAGCAGGCCGGGACTGGCGGTGATCCGAACGTCGAACGTGCGACAGAGAGGACGGGATGCGAGCGAGGAGACGAAGAAGGGCTGTCGGCCGGAGGGAAGCTCGCTGAGGGAAGCTTTGGCGGGTCCTCGTCGCGATCTTTGGGGCAGACGGTGCGGCCGCCAACCGATTAGTGTCGAAGAGCGTCGGGGGTGGGAACAAGCTGTTGTCGATGGCTGGCCAAGGGATGTCGATGCCCGGTCAGCTGCTATCGGCGATGGCCGCCAGTACTGTGATGGTGATGGGGGGGAGATGGCTGTGGATGTGCCGCCGTCCGAGGAAGATGCCTGATGTGCTTGGCCGAGGGGAGCGGACAAGACTGGCAGACCAGCGGGGCTTGCAGAGCGATGAAGCTGAGGTGGGAGAGAACCAAGTGGCCGGACGAAGGTGGTACTGAGTGACTGAGAGGGCTGATACCGAGGACAGGTCCAGATGGGAGCAAGAGGATATGTTTGGCTCGCCGAAAGCAGCCAGGGCTGGTTTGGGCCACTTTGGGGCCGTTTTGGGGCCGTTTTGGGCCGTTTTGGGCCGCGGGAGGCAGTGCCCGCACGGGCGACCATCTCCGCACAGTGTCCGGAGGAAAGTGCTGGAGCCATGATTCCCCAGGCCGCGGCTGGACATGGACATGGCAACACAAGGCGGGACGGCGGACGCGTCCGGCTCGAGTGCGGCTCGAGTGCAGTGGATCCAGCCAGCACAGCCGGATCGAGTGTGTGTTGTGGATCCAGCCAGCGCAGCCGGATCGAGTGTGCGCTGCACTGCCTTCCCGTCGCCGCCGCGCCACAGGCCGGCAGAACGGCGCCATATCACGGCGCCACGGCCAGCCACGGCCAGCCGAGCGGACAAAAGCGGGAATGCGGGAAGCGCGGCCGTGCACACGTGAAGCCTGGCGTGGAGCCAATCCGATGGCGATGGCGGTGACACTGCCTGGGCGCGTGCCGGGTGGGCAGCAGCGGCCTATTTCCCGCATCCAGCAACAAGGCCACGCATGTCCCCGCTGGCCTTGCGGTGATGGGCCGGTCCGCGGCTCCCGTCTCGGATTCTCGGTGGAGTATGCGGGATGGGTGCGAGGGGACGAGCAGGAGGACGAGCAGGAGGACGAGCAGGAGGAGGCGAATGGGACACCGGTTGGGGGGCGTGCGCTCTGCAACAGCCCAGCGCAGATGGGACCCGCGATGGGACGGCATTGCGCCATTGCCTCGCGCGACGGCCATCGGTGTGCCTCGGTGGTTGGCGGCCCATCGGCGCCACAGCTGATACCGATAGCGGAGGAGGAGCAAGCGCACGCGGGGCGATACGGCCGGGCTGGGCTGACCCATCGTGAACGACGGCGACGGACGAGGGCGGACGACCATGGAGGGCTGTTTCAAAGGAGCTGTGTATTGGCGCCAGACATCATCACCGTGCCCCTACGCATATTCACGATGGCAAGAGTGAAAGAGAGCCCGAAGCTCGAAGACAGGAGGCGGGGAACGAGAGCAAAACGGGTTGTATATATACAGATTGAAACGGACAGAGTAATCCCGTGTCGTGGGAGAGGGGGGGGGATAAGGCCAAATAAATAGTTGGACAGCAGGCGAGCAGCAAAACAGGAGAGAGAGAGCGGGGACGAGGGATGGTCACATTACTGGTTGGTTGGGAGATCGGAAAGGCCCCAGGTACAAAGACAAAAATTGGCTCGAGCACGAAACGCCGTCCGTCCATTAAATGGCATTGCATAGGGCGAGCAGAGCCGCCGCAGCCTCCGAGTCGGCGCTGAAGTCGGGCGGAGCGTCGCCGAGCGACGATGGCGAGCTGGGAGAGCCAGGCGACCGGGCCGGATGGCGGACGAGATCGTGGGAAGCGGCCCCAGGAGCTGCTGCTGCGGCGGCGGTACTATTTGATGGCAGGACAGGAACGGGCAAGTCCACCAGGGGCACAAGCCGGTCGTCGATCGGAGGGGAGGGCAGAATCCGCGAGGAGGTGAAGAGCGGCGGAAGGGTGACGGGTTCAAAGGACTGGAGACCGAACGGAGGGGGATTGAGCAGCTGATGCGGGCGGCTGTTGTGCTGCAGCAGGGGTTGCTTGATGATGTCGGCAATAGGCGGGAGCTGGTGCGGGTGTGAGTGTGAATGCGAATGCGAATGCGGGTGCGGATGAGCATGTTGGTGGTGGGCTTTGGGGGCAGCCGAGGCCGCAGGCAGGTTGGGTGGCGAGACCATAACTGGCACAGCCGGCTCGGACAGAGTCGAGCGGGGAGCCTTGGTGGTGCTGGAGGAGTTGACAGGGGCGAGTTGCGGTGCGTCGGTGCCGGGGACAGCTTTGTTGGAGATGCGCTTGCGTCTCCGGATGACGGAGGAGTGCATGCTGATGGGACGGTGGGTGTTGTGCAGTTTAAAGTACAGGCCGCAGGCATTGCAAGTGGGTTTTCCCTGGAAGAGCGAGAACAGGCCCGGGTTAGAGACTGGTATGTGAATATGAGCAAGAAGGGGGGGAAGGGGATCTTGGCTCGATGGTCGTCGTTTCATGGGCAGATATGGTTCTCATGAAACCGAGAAGGGGACTGCGCTGCCCAAGCCCGCCAAATAGAAAAGGAAGCAAGCATGCTCGATATTGGGCCGAGTGTGTTTGTAGAGCAAGTGTGGGAAGGCCGCATTATCAAACTCATTGGGGTGGCTCATGTACCTGGTCGTCTCGCCGCCAGAGCGGCGTCTGGGTGGTGCCGCAGTTGACACAGACTTGGTCCTTCTGGAGCGAGACCGGCACGGCCATGGGATGGACGGTAGCCGTCTCAGCACCGGGGTTGCTGTGGATGGGATTCGGGAATTCCTTGGCAAGGCCATTGGGGCTGGCGAGGATGTTCATGAGAGCGACCCGCGAGTGCGGATGCGACGGAGGGCAGAAGCCCGAGTGTGGAGATTTTTGGGTGGTTGTGAGCCACGAGGGCCGATCGACCGACTTTGCTTTGACATAGAGACCTTCGGGATAGACCATTTTGGACCAGGAGCGAGCGATTCAGGAGCAGACAGAGCCAAGGAGGAGAGGACAGGCCGAGTTGATGGGGGGGGAGGGATGCACGGCCAGGGTTATAACAGGCAGGTCGGTGCGGGGTGGATGCCAGGCAGGCAGCGGATGCGGGATGGGACGGGAACGGGGGCCAACGGGAGGGAAAGGAAAGCCGATCAGACGGGAGCCAGAGAAGCGGAAGCGCACGGGAGAGAGGGGAGGAGATAAGCAGGCCCAGGCATGGCCGTTTTATCTGATAAGTCGCAGCGAAGGCGAAAAAAACGGGACGGCAGGGGCGACAAAGCCCCACAATAAGGGCGCCCGGCCGAGCCGGCGGACCAACGGGGGCCGCCAGCCGCCAATGCTGCCATCGGAGCCGCGGCGAGTGTCATCGCGCACGCCCCCCCGCCCGGCGGCGGCCGCTGGTTGGTCGGACGCGCGGAGTCACGCCGAGGCCCCCGCGGATGGCTGGTGCGGACGGGGCGGGCGTGGAGCCGTGTGCGACCGAGCGTGTGACTGTGTGTCTGCGCTGTGTGTGTGTGTGTGAGTCGATTTCCACTGCGTCTGTGTGCGTTGATTTCCATCTCGATCTCGTCTCGATTTCGTCTCGATCCCGTCTCGCCTCCTCTGTGTCCGCCTTTTCCCTCTTGCCCATCGTCCTTGTGCCCGGCCTTTGCGCTCCGCTGCGGCTCCATGAATCGCTGGTCATTCGACCAGCCCACTCCTTGTTCCCGTGCAAGGGCGCGCTCATTGGCTCGCCCCCCCTCGCCTCATGTGCTGTATGTGCGCGAGCCTCCCAGCCCACTGTGTGGTTTCCGCCCTGGTCAGCTGCGAGCCGCCTGTCCGCGCAGCCACAGCGCTGTCTCGGGCTTGCCTTTGCGGGTGCTGTTGTTTGTTGTTGTTGTGCTGTTGCCACTGTTGTTGTTCGAGGTGCTGTTGATGCCCCAGCCTTCCCGGTTATCGCCATCAGCAGACAACAATCCGCAAGCATCGCTGCGTTGTCAACTCTGCAGCTCATTTCTAACGCCTTGTCGCTACTGCCTCCGTTTTTGCGCTGCATTGCGTTGCATTGCATTGCGCTGCTCCAGACCCGCTCACCGCCGACGTGCTCGTGGCTGGTTGGTGGGTCTGTTTGTTTGTGTTTGCAGCCCCACTCCTTGGGCGTGACACCTCCTCCTTGCCACTTTCTTGCTGTTGTTGTTGTTGCTGTTGCTGGTGTTGTTGTTGCCATTGTCTTCCACAGCTCCGCCGTTGCCAAAAGTTCTGGCGGGGAGCAAGGCACGCGCCCGTTGCCGGTGCGCCCACACTTGTGGGACACAGGCGGCCCACCCGATCTTGGCACAGCGCCCTCTCGTTCACGCGCACCAACCCCATCTGGTGCCGCGCTCGTCGTTGCTTTTGCTTTTGCTTTTGCTTCTGCTTCTGCTTCTGCTTGCTCGATTGCTTGCTCGATGCTTGCTCGATTGCTGGCTCGATTGCTGCTTGAACCAGCTGTCGTCTGCATCCGTCGCGCTTGTCGCAATCCAGTTCCGGCCCGTTGCCAATCGGCCTTGTGTCACCAGCCAGCCTCCTTCTATCCCACGGCGCGGCCTTGCTCGCCTCTATCGCTGCTGTTCTCGCTATCGCACATCCAGGAATAGAGCGCCCACCCCCATCGGGCTTGTCGATCGCCGCGGCCCGTTCTCGCAACCACTTTTCCACCTCCGTCGCCAACAAGATGTCGAGACATTGCCCCCACACTGCCCTGCCAATCGTCGCCGTCCCCGTGTCTTTGGCGATTGCGCTTCATGTCTTCCCGATGGCGCTCCATGTCGCTTGTCCTGCGGCGTGTCAGGCCCCAGCCGCGATGCGTGGCTGCTGTGTCTTGCCATGGGCCTGTGGGAGTCGTCGCCCGTCGCGAGCCGGTCCAGGCCCAGCAGCTCGGGTGTGTCCGCGCGGTCGCCGCTTTCGTCCTGCCGCTTTCGTCCTGCCGCTTGGTCGTTCGCTTTGTCATTCGCTGCATCTGCGCGCCTGGCTCGATCTCCTCGCTGCATCCTCTGGTCCCAGTCGTGGGGGAATGGGCTGGTGCGTCGCCAGCCAGTCCTCCGATCGATGTTTCATTTCCACATGATTGCCAGCCGCCTGTCCTTGTCTGGGCTTGACACCCTTGCCAGCCCCGTTGTGCCTCGGGCTCTTGTTCCTTTGGTTGTCGTCGTGCCAGCCGCCTGCGTCCGCCCGTCCTGGCCTCGGTCATCCTCGATCATCCTGTCCCGTCTGCCCAGGCTTGACGGTCCTTTGAGGTGCGCTGCACAGCTCGGTCGACATTCGCCACAGCTCGATCGACACATTCGCCACAGCCGACACGCCCAATCAACTCGGAAGAGGCTGCAACTCACCACACGCATTGCACATCAGCTCGTTCTGTCGGCCTCGTCTCCACAGCGGCGTCGTATCGGTTCCGCAGTTGGTACAGAGTGGCTTGGCCTTTGATCTGCCTTGCTTGGGCGTGGATCGCTGGCTCTCTCTGCTATTCGACTCAACTTGAGGATCTGCGGATGAAGCACATCAGCACTGCGCGGAGGTCGGCCTTGCCTGATTTTGCACCAATCCCGCATCAATCCATCCCCCGTCGACCACGCGTGGCCTTCGAATCGGCAAGTCATCTTCACTCCCAGCCCTTTTCAACCAACACCTGCCGAATGGCATGCGGCACCTATCAAGCCTGGACTCCGTTCCATCCAAGGACACGATGCTCACCATCCGCACTGCCAGAGCCTCTTGTTGGCACATGGACGAGGCACGAAGGGCCGCTGGAAGCTCGAATCCAAGACTCCCGATTGGCTGACGCATGCGGGGCATCAGGCAAGGCGGCCGCGACGCTTGCGAAGAGCACAAACGCCGGATTTTCCAAGAGACTCATAACGCTGTTTTGGCAGCTGTCGCCGGAGCTTGAGGCATGACCAAGGACAGGATAAGCTGAGGGATCGACGGTCATGCCGTCTGAGTTGCGCGCGTCACTGCCGGAACTGTTGCTGTCGGCCATGACTGCGATACTGGAGGACACAAGCGTCGATACGGATGCCGCCGCTGGTGGGTTTGCAGACGATGCTTGTTTCATCCGTGAAGTACTTTGTCAAGGACAGCAACCTGTGGTAAAATAATGCCCAGCCGATGAGGGCCGTGGCAGCATAACAGGCGACAGCGAACAATGACCAAGTGGCAAAGCGGCAAGAGTCACAGATGGAAGCAATGTCTGGCCAGATAAGAGCGCCAAAGACGATCGACAAAGGAACTCACGGCTCGGGGACAACACAGCGGCCGATTTGCAAGCTCAAGGCCCGATCGATGATCGTGACAACACTGACCACGAAGGGATTGCGGCGATGGCCGACACAGTAACGATGATGCAAGAACGCCAGCGACCGGCTGATACGCGCGACGAGAGATTGACCGCTGAACCCAAGGGATATCGATCGGCAATGTTTGTCCGGCGATGGAATCGATAAGGGGAGCTGCCGACGACGAGAATCCGACCTGGACGACCGACCAAAGGGAGGAGGGAGACACCCCCCGACACAAGGCCGATCGATCCCCTTGCGGAGATAAGAGGCCGGCCGAGGCTGATTGCGCAGATGCCGACACCCTCGCTGCTCTGCTCCCCCTTCGAACACTTGGGAATCGCTCTCGGGCGATGTTGCGCGAGGCGCTTGGTTGCGCCGCTGCGGGATACCCCAAGCCCTGTTCGGCTTGCCATTGCCCACCCAAAGCCGGCGGTTGGACGGACACTCGCACGGCCTCTCCGGTGTGGCCTTTGCTCAAGCCGCTCGATTGGTGCAGCAGGACCACGACGCCCAGCGGGACTGACTCTCCATGGTTCGGCTGAGCCTGTCCGCCAGGGTGGTTCCCCAACAGGCCATCCGATCGTGTGATGGCGACTCATTCCTCCACCTCCTCTTGGCGGATGCTGCGTTGGGGTCAGGCCGCTCCACGAGATCAGATTTGCCCACACCCGCCCACATGCGCATCAAGGCTGACGATCCGCCACGAGGACCAAACGCCGCCTGCCTGCATGGCACAATTCCCGTTGGGTCAGTTGCCAGACTGGTGCGCGCGGGCATGGCCGGACAGGATCCTCTTGCTGGGCGGGAAAAGGGGGGGGGTGGTCCCAGCAGGCGGACCGGCGGCCATGCGACGGCCATGCGACGGCTGGAGCACCAAATGAGCGTCGGCTCCGAAATCCCCCGAGGCAGCAGCAGCAGCAGCGCATTTCCTGGGTGCCAAATCGCGGACCCTGGGTCATGATCGAGTTTTCCAACCCCGCCCACCAGCCAGAGGCCCAGGGGACCTTAGGATGGCCCTGAAACAGGGCATCCGGACAATGCCATCGACATGAGACGGCGGCAGCGGACTCCGTGGAGGTGGTGATGGCTTAATCGCTCTTGGCCGAGTATGACATGATGTGAAATGATATCATAACCATACGATGATTATCCCAAGGAAATGGCGTGTCCCGCCGTTTTTCCAACACGCTGTCTCGCCTTGGTATCGCCTGTAGCAGTCATGTACGAAACTCTACGCAGATTCATAATATCGAATCCAAGACAGCCGCACGAACTCGGCAAGCAGTGCAGTCCCTTGCGGACGGTTGGATCAGGGCTGGTGGAACTTGAACCCCGAGTCGTGGATGCGAGCCTGCAGGCCTTGGACATCTCCATCCACCCATCCATCCATCCATCCATCCATCCATCCATCCATCCATCCATCCATCCATCCATCCATCCATCCATCCATCCATCCATCCATCCATCCATCCATCCATCCATCCATCCATCCATCCATCCATCTATCCACCCATCCACCCATCCATCCACCCATCGCATCGAACGGGACGTGTCCAATACTGGCGGTAAAATGTGTTTATTGTCGGACGGTCGCAGCGCATCATTGATCCGTCCTCCGCCATCACAGCCCAAGTCGGACCGGACCATCCACCGCGCTTCGTACCTGGCAGAGCGAATGTGCTTCCTTTGCTGATCCATCAGTATCCAGACCTCCGATCGTTGACGCAGCCAGACCTGAGACAGGAACAGGATGGGGGAAGGAGAAGCCGTCAGCACCAATGGCAGTGGTTGGCGACACGTCGCAGCTCGCAGCGACCGCACATGTCGAAGGACGTGTGTGTCGTCCGAGCAAGGACTTCAGAAGGAAGGCAGACATATGGTACATCATCACGAATGATATGACATTACACATTATCCATATGGTTTTCATCAGTTGTCCCGGTGCTCCAGACGACATGCACCACGGGAGCGACAGTATTTTGTGCATACCTTTGCTTGTGCAAGACGGGGGGTGCTGTTCTTCGCGCACGGATTCGGGTTGCTGCTCGCTTGCCTGCCCTCCGGTCGACAGCATCGCTGATCTTTCTGCAGGCGTGCAATCGGCAAGAGGTGTGCAATCGGCGAGAGGTGTGCGAGGAGCCAAAGGAATGTATTGCGTGCTCACGTGCTTCCATGATCAGCGCGTGGCTTGTCTGTGGCGCGCGTGCAGGCCGGCCATGCTCTGGCTGGGCGTGTGTGTGTGTGTGCTACTTGAGGTATCCACATCGAGGATCATACTCCCACATGTTGTTCCAGTACCCCGCCGCAAAGACACCGCCGGTGCCCTTGGTGCCAGCTCCGCCGTAGGCATTGCCGCTGCCGGCCGTCCAGCCCGTCGACGGGTCGCCGTACTCGTCGCCCACGACGAGGTAGTCCGGGACAGTGAGCCCCGTTCGGAATGGCAGCGACCACAGCGCACGATGGAACCCAATCTCGTCGGTGCCGGCAATGAAGACACCCATCCGGGCGCGAGTGGGGCTTGGTGCGAGGAACAAGATGCCTTGGGAGTGCAAGAGCAGACCGCAATCGTGAGCCTGACGGTCGAGGGAGGCTGTGTCGCTTGGCACGGCTCAAAGCCATATCCAAGTTCGCGGCCCGACAAGGGTGCCCTCCCTCAGCGACACCTGCAACAGAGCATCGCCCATGAACGCGATCCTTACCTGTCCCAGGGAGCTCGTACTTTTTGTTTGCAATCTGAAATCCTCCCGATGGCAAAAAGTGCACTGAGGGCCAGCAAGGGGTCAGTGTGCAGCATTGACAGTGTGCGCAGGGCCAAGCCAACTCACGCCACAAGTACTCCCCTCGACACAGCACTCCCACCGCATACCCAGGTTGCTTTGCTTGATCTCATCTTCGCGCCGCTTGGCATAGAGATTGACCGAGGGTCCGCCAAGAACAATCAGGTTGAATCGAGCTGCAAGACCGTCCAGAACTTCGGTGTCGCGGACAATCTGGGTCGTGCCCCGGCCAAACAAGTACCACGAGGCCGCCAGATGCTGGGCGGCTTTGCGAAATATGTCGGCCTCTTCGGGCGGCGGGTTGGACGGTATCACGATTCGGAACGGATGGTTGAGGATTTGGTGAATGGGTCCGTATGTGCTGGGATGTCGCTCCACGCTGAGCCAGATCAAATCCTCCGACAGGACCCACGTTTCCGATCCCTCGGTGCGAAGATACGAGCGGCCAAACTGAGGCGGGTGAGCAAAGTCGGTGCCGTCAATCGACCAGCTCTGGAGCTGCTCGTCTCGGATGTCCTCCACAAACATGAACCGGCGCACGTTGGTGGTGTTGAAGATCCACTGCGTTCCGTGGCGATGGACTCGAATAATGCCCAATCTGATCCAAAGTTTGAAACAGAACCGGGCTGATGAGATGGTGAACTCTACCAACCCCCGTCTCCGAGCAGCTCGCTGTAAGTCTTGAAGCGGATTCCCACTGCACCAGCCTACCTGAACGGGACCTCGAGCTGGAGGATCCTGATGCCTCCCTTGGACCCAGTGCTGGCAGGGTTGAGAGTCTGGATGGTGAAGGCGTCCGGAAGGCGGGGCAGGGGAAGGCCAGGATTGATGTCAAGGTCGATATGGCGATCCAGGAACTGCTGGGTCTCGTCATCGTCAACGACACCATCGAACCAATGGCCCTGACCAGGAATTTCTGAAAACCTGCCGCCAAACAAAGGGGGGCGGTCACAGAAGCGAGTCAGCTCGGCAAAACGCCATCGATTGTGATGGAGGCAGTGCCATCGCAATCGAGCTTGCTTCAGAAGCGCCGCAGAGAATGCATCAACAAGCGGCAGATGCGAAGGGGGGTTGCGCAGGAGGCTCACTCGATCGAGTTGGGCATTTGATTCCATTCGTTGACCATGCGGACGATGCGACGGGTGTGCAGTGGCGGAACATTGTCGTCTTCGGCACCTGTGCGGGCATGGATCGGGATGCCGGCCTGCGACGGGCGACGCCAAGTCGGGGGCGTTGAGCGATGGCGAGCACCTTTGCGGAGCACCCATTGCCGAAATTGCCGCCATTGTGCTCCTCCCTTGGTGTTTCATGGCCGGTAATCGATGGCTGAACAACACTCCTCCCCGCATCACAAGCGACACATGAGCACCGTACCATGTTGGCAGCATATAGATCGATATCATTCTCAGCGATCGACGACTCCAGGACCTGTCGTTGGGGGGGGTCAAATAGCGAACCGAAGGTTCAACTGCCAGTCGCGCAGCGGGGTGTTGTAATCACGCACAGTGACGCTACCGCACTAACATCCAGTCCCAGACTCAAGCCAGCCCAGCCACGTTTGCGACCCGGGATATGCCAGCAAGTACTCACGGCGCGTATTTGCGGATCAGAGTAGGCCCATCCGATTCGCATGTAGTAAGGCGTGTACATCTGTATTTTCATGTATCCGGAAGCCGGCAGACCTGTCGCGCAGAGAGAGAGAGAGACGGGGTTGGACTTGGGCGTGGCCCACGGGGCAGCTCTTCGCGACGATTCCCGGATGCACATCCGCCAACTTTGGTTACTCACCAGCAAGAGCCTTGTCGGGATAGTGGCTGATCATCCACCAGGCTCCTTGGCCGCCGTTGCTGTGACCTGGAGCCGAGGCAGCAGCAGAAGCCGCGAGCGTGAGGACGAGCACAAAGATGACGACCCCTCCAAGTCGTGCGCAGAGTCGAGCCACACACTACAGCAAGGTTGCTCACCGGAATAAGCGATTTTTTCAATGTCGACAGCGACGGCAGCGCGCTCGTCGACTGGAACCCCGGGCAGCTCGCGCAAGGCCCAGAGGGCTGCCTCGACGTTCAGGTGCGATGGTCCGTGCCAATCGAATCCCCTAGACATGCACAGAGCCGTTTCAGTCGAGTGGCAGCGAGAGGCAACGGCTACTATTGCCGCTCCTTTCGGCTCTTGATCATATCCGCAGCCACAGACAGGGACGAAAGCACAACGCCCCTCGAGCGTGGTGTCGGCTGTGAATGGCACGGCCAGAGCACATCGCTGATTTGGTGCTCAAGACGACATGGTCGTTATTCCACCGCGCATCAAAGCGAGAACAGGCATCAGTCAGCCCGCGGGTGCCTACCAGGGCGTTCTTCCAGTTGGGAAAACGGTCTAGAGGCAGATCCGTCGGAAAAACCAGATCGTCGCAGTTAGAACAGGACCGGTGGCGGCTGGTGCATGATAAACCCAAGCGCCTTTACTTCACGACCAAAAGTCTGCCCATCAAAGCAGACAGCGGCATGTGCGGCATGCAGCACGCCACCAGCCAGAGCCTCTCCCACCATCGCCTGCTTCGGCACATACCCATGCGTATTTCTGCTGTCGATAGGCGTTGGTCCAAAACTGGGCACTGGCCTCGACACCGGCCCTGGTGTTGAGACGAACATGTTTCAGCTCAGGCTGCTCAAGAGGAGGAGGAGCACAAGTATGCACAACGAGCTTACCCGTGCAAAGCCAGGAGGACGGGACACTTTTGCGTGGCATCGCTCACGCACGATCTTGCTGGCGGCCTGACCATCGCTGTGTGGGAATGATGCGATAATCGGAGGAAGGAGATCTCAGAAGGATGCGGCGGCAAAGATACCATCCCATCCCATCCCATTGAAACAACGCAATCCCTCGCCTTGCAGAGGAGCCAGCAAACTCTCGTCCAGCAATGATCCTACCATAGTGGACAGAGTCGTCAAAGTCCATGAAAGTGATCTTGTAGGCCTGCGTGCCCCACTCTCGCGTGACGAGGTCCAGCTCTCCCGCGCTGACATCAAAGGACTCCCAGTCGTCCATGCACATCATTTTGATCGTCACTGCGAGCTTCTTTGGCAGCGGAACGGTGTCGTCCTTGACGCTGAGCTCGATCGGGATCGGTAGCACCTGGCCAGGAGCAAGACGCAGCGAATACAGCAGCGGAATCCGAGCCTGGATCGCTCGAGTCTGGTCGGGCGGGAGCGTCGGGTCGGTCACGACGACATCGGCGATTTGCACCCAGCCAAAGTTCATGTTGCCGCCGTGGTACGAAACGTTGGCGTTGAGGATCGTCACGGACGCATACGGGGTAATCAGCTGGCCGTTCATCGCCTCGGGAGCAATCGAGTCTCCGAGGATGGCGACAACGCTGTGTTGGTATGCCTCCGCTACAGTCTCGGCAGGAATGAAGCTGCCGGTGAACACAACCCGGGGCGGTATATGGCTAGAAGCGGCATATTGGAGAATGACGACGTGGTTCGATGATCAGCCTCGAGCGATCGGCGTAATGTCGCCGGACACATGGTGCTGCTTGCATCCCTCCCACGCTTACCCTCCATTGATTCGCACGTCCATGATGGCACAGATGTAGAGCTTGTGATTGCCCTCTTCCAGATAGATGGCGTTTTCGGACGAGTGGTCGTAGCCATAGACGTTGCCGACGTACGCATGTTCGTCGATCTTGAACGAAATGACGTTCGCAAACTGGACGAGATAGATGCCCGATTTGGGGACATGCAGGGTGCTGCGGAAGTACGTGCTGTGATGCAGCGATGTCCATCCTGGCCGACGTTGCCGTCAGTGATATGCCAGCCAAGCGAGCAACCGCGGACGCAACCAACAACGATACGAAAGCAGCAGCATCAGCAGCATCAGCAGCGGCAGAGACGGCCATCTCCTCTGGCAACGATTGCGCCGCGTCTGCCAATGTCGCCTTCCGATTGCGTGGCCGGGCGTCGTTCGTTCACGGATTCTGCGGAGGGACGGGAGAGGTTGGCCTTACCGAATGGGCCCTCGTTAAAGTCCCAGCGAACGTTGTTGTAGAGAACTGGGCCAACAGTGTCGCCATGCGAAACGACCTGCCGCCAGTAAACGTAGCCACCTGTCGCCAGTTCGGACGGATAGCCTTGGGTTGTCGAGTATGGTAGCTTCTCAAAGCCGCCTGAGCCGAGGGGCAAGGCAAGGGCAGAGCAAGGGTGGGAGAAGAGAAAGGTGTCAGGCTCGCCGGTCCCATCGCTTCCATATGCTATGGGCACAAACTTGGATGCTTGGCGGGTCTCACCATAGGCGCTGAGAGGATCGGCACCGAGTTCTCGCGGGCCAACTGGGAAAGGGCCAAGGACCTGACAGTATGGAGCACCAGTCAGACCGAGTCGCTGCATGAGGATCTGCATGTGTCGCCCCTGACAGCAGCAGCCATGATGGCGATGATGGTGGTGCTGGCGATGGTGGTGGCGGGAGAGCGGCCCAGGCCCGATGCAACGAGCCAGGGAGCGGGTCGTTACCTCCCAGATTTCGGGCATTTGAGGAGAGTTGTCCTGAGGGTCATCGAGAACCAAGGGCATCTGCGTCTTGGCGTGCACCTAAACGAGCCGGATATGCACCAGAGCGAAGCCGCATGGTCAGAGCATGTGCTTCAGAGATCGACGATTGTCCTCCATCTCCGAGCGGCGAGCTGGCACAGCGGGCTTCCCGACCTGGATGGCCAACAGGACGCACAGCAGCGAGACGATGGAGACGGGAGTCATGGCTGCAGAGGATCGGGAAAGAGAGCCGTTGCGGCCGTGCAGCAGGATGGACGGCGATGCGGCCGATGCGGGCAATGGAGAGATGCAGCCGGCAGGAGAGTCGAGCGAGTTTGGCTGGCTTCAAGCCCCGGCGGCAATGAAGTCAAGTCCGGCGCGGATGCTTGCGGAGGCTGCGATGGGTTGTGTGGCCAGGGCGAGCGGACCGGGGGTGGCGCGCAGGGCGGCCAGTGGATGGCTTCACCGACGGAATGTGCTGGTTCTGGATCGCATCGACAACCACACCGTCTCGACAACCGCACCGCGACAATCCAGTGCGAGCATAGATGGCTCGGCTCGCTGTGGCCCAGCAGCCCAAAAGTAAAGATATATGTATGTATTCAAGGGCCGCAACAGGCCGCTGTGGGTGCAGGCTGAGCAATCACTCGGAGGTGCTGCTTGCTGCATGGCCGCTCACGGCTCGCCATTCTTGTGTGCTGCGTGGCGCTTACTTTCCGCCCTTCTTCTTCTTCTTCTGGACGAGGTCGGCAAGTTCCTGTTGATGCAGCAGGCACAAGCTCGTCAGTGGGGCTGAGACAGGGTACCACCTCCAATAATACGCCATCCGAGTGCCTCCGAGTTCGCCGACACGCCATGAGTCTCGCGGTGAGGGAAACACCCATCCACACGCAATCCAGGACCACGCCAACGCTGCATCGGCCTTACCTTGACACGCTTCTGGACATCCTTGGCGCTCTTGCCAGAGATCTCGCCGGCAATTTTCTCCCAACGCTCCTTGGGGTTCTCGCGGAAGGTCATGGCCGGGAACTTTCGCATGGCGGCCTCGAGGGCAGTCTGCTGGTCAGTGGTCCAGTCACCACCCTCAGGGACCACAAAAGTCGACGCGGGGGTGGTCGGGGTCGCAGGGGTATCCTTGACAGAAGGCTGCTCGGTAATCACAGCATCGTTCTTCTTGCCGCCCTGGGACTGGAGCGCCAGGCGGTCGGCGGCACCCGAGGAGACCTCCTTGCTCTTCTCGATGCACTCGGCAGCCGAGCGGTTGGCGTTGGCGCCGCCGTGGGTGTTGACGTAGTCGGCAATCTTCTCCCACTTTTGCTGGGTGCCGGATGGGGTGTTCTTGACGGCCTTGATCAGAGCGTTGATCTCCTTGGGGCTCCAAGCAGGACGGGCAGCAGGGGCCGGGGCGGGCTTGGGGGTTTCGGCCTTGGGGGCAACCTGTCTAGTGGCGATGTGCTTGGCCAGCTCCTCAGCACGAGCAGCACGAGTGGCCTCGAGGTTCTTGGCGGCCTCGAACTGTGGCGAGCGAATCAAAATGCGGGGGGGGGGAGGGACAAAAGATCAGCAAAGATCGTCACAAAGGAGGCCAATCGGCGGCGATCAAGTCTAGTGTCGGCAGCGATCAGATCCAGAGTTGGCAGCACTCGTGCGAGATCAGGCCCTACCTCGGCACCAAAGATCTCGTTCAGGGCATCCAGTCCCTGGGAAACGGCATCCTCCAGGCGGGTGCGGAAGTACTCGATTTCGTCAGCCTCGTAGCCCTCGACGATGGCGTCGAGCTTGGCGAGCTGCTCCTCGATCTCCTGGGGAGTGGCCGAGTCGGGCAGCAGGTTGCCGTTGTCGCGCATGAAGCGCTTGAGATCCTTCTTCTGCTTGCGGATGGCGTTCTTCTTGGCCTCGCGCTCCTTCTTTTCCTGGGCGGCACGCTCCTTCTCCTCGGTCTCCTGGCGCTCCTTCTCACGCTGGGCCTCCTCGACCTGGCGACGAGCCTCCTCTTCGGCGGCCTTCTGGACGGCCTCCTTCTCTCGCTTCTTGGCGTCCTTGGCAGCCTTCTCGGCGTCCTTGAACTGCTGGATACGGGGATCGAGCTTGAAAGCCTGCTCGACCAAGCGGATGACGCGGGCGTTGTCCTCCTTCTTTCGCTTGGTGCGGGCGGCCTTGTTCTTCTTGTCGAGATAGCGTCTCTCTTCGCGGCTGGAGAAGGTTGGCGGGAGACAGCGATGAGCGCGCGGATCGGTCGATCGATGCACGATAGGCACAGACGGATCGACCAGGTCTTGGTCGCAGCATCCACAGCGTTCGCCAGGCAGCATGGCCATCGGAGAGCGCCCAGATACTTACTTTTCGATGCCATCGGTGTCCTCCTCGTCCATCATTTCAAACGAACGCCAGGACTCGAAGCGGTACCAGAAGTCATAGAATGCCTCGACCTCCTCGCGGGTCGAGTCAGCATCACCAACGGTGGGAACGGGGAGGATCTTGGAGAATCTATGCACCAGCAGCAATGAACAAACGATGAACGAGCGGTCAGCATTCGCAGGGCAGCAGGGCATTGCATCAAGCTTGGAGCCAGCGAAATAGGCAATGCCACCAACCTGGACTCGCGCTCAAAGACAGGGCCGTAGATGGAGAAGAAATCGCCCTTCTGGCTGGGGTTGGGGAGGCGGTCGTCGAACTGAGGGTCGCACGAGTCCCAGATGCGGCGGCGGGAGGGATCCGAGATGACTTCCCAAGCTGCAGAGTGTCGATTAGAGTGCGGTCAGTCGATCGTCGAGACATGCGGAAAGGAACAGTCGAAACGTTGGCGAATGGCCTGACCCGAGCACCGGACGAGTCATAGACACAGAGGCCTCAGGTGTCACTGCTAATGACACAACGACACAACGACACAATGACACAATGACACAACGACACAGCGGCAGGGGCCACCACAACGATCGTGGATTTTTGCGTTGCTGTGTAGTGAGCAGACTACTCACCCTTCTGGATGCACTTGAAGAACGAGTCATCCATGGTGTTTCCACCGGCAGCCTTCTTGTCAGGGTGGTGCTTCAGGACCTTGCGGCGGTCTGGAAGTTAGGCGGGAGTGAGGCGATCAGTGTCTGGCTCGCTCGGGGTGCAACTGTGGGATGCGGCTGAATGAGATCGGTTGGAGCGACAGGCGAGGGCTTACAGGCACGCTTGATGTCCTCTTCGCTGGCAAGGTAGCGACGCTTGGAGAGACCAAGGACGGCATAGTGATCTTGTTTCTGCAGGAGCGGACATGGACCCGATGGTGGAAGACAAGCCAGCCTCGATTAGACCGGAGATTGACAGAGATTGACAGAGGATGCAGACGCATTGTGTGCTGGGATGCGGGAGACAAGACGGCTGCAATTCGTCACCTTCCACTCCGAGGGGTTGCTGCGGAGCAGGGCCGGGGTCTCGGGCTCATCATCGTCCATGTTGAGATCGTCGCCCTCGGCGCCGAGCAGGGCGGCCTGGAGCTCTTCATCCTCCTCGATGGTGCGCTGGGTGCGGAAGCGGCGGGCTGAGGCCAGGAACTCATGGCCGACGGGCTCGACGGTCTTGTCGGAGCACTTGGTGAGCTTCTTGAGGACCTTGAACTCGCGCTCTTTGTCCCAGTCGGCAGGGGGAGGGGGGAGGAGGAACGACAGGGTCATGGTGCAGATATGGACGGGGAGATCCAAGGAGCGGCTCGTCGATGGAGACAAAAGACAGCAGCGAGCAAAACGATCGAGGATTGCTGCACAAAAAAAAAGTTGCTGGCTTGGTTGGCTTGACTGGCTGGATTGGCTTGGTTGGCTTGGTTGGCTGGATTGGCTGGATTGGAACTGTGTGACAATGCACGTCGCACGGCGCGCCAGCACGCCGGCTCTCAGTACACAACCGCACAACACAGCGCGAGACTGCACCGCAACACAGCACAACACAAGCACGCGGTCACAGGCGCGCCAGATCCCGTGCGGCTGGGACCACTTGGGCAGAACCGACATTGGACAGTACCGCCGACCTGAACCAGCAAGTCTGAACAGCGAGTCTGAACAGCGAGTCTGAACCAGCGAGTCTGAACCAGCGAGTCTGAGCCAGCCAGCCGGAGCCGTCCTCGCCAGGGTTGCCGCGGCCCTTCTTTGGCACCGGCGGCGCTCCCTGCGCCTGCGTGCTGTTTGGGTGCTGTTGTCGGGCTGGCCCGTGCGGGGGGCTGCTCGGTCGTCGCCTTTGCGGATGCATGCTTGCGCTCGTTCGCACCAGTGGCCGCTGGTGGCACCGGCTGCCGCGTGGTTGCGGTTGCCGAGTGCGTCTCTGCCAGTTGAATGCCAGCACAGTCCAACTGCACTGCTGGTGAGGCAGGTCGATGCAATCCAGCCGGCGTTGCTGGCCAACACAAACGACTGTCGTTCATTTCGCTCGTTTCGTTCATTTCGTCCGTTTCGTTCATTTCGTCCGTTTCGTTCAATTTGTTCATACAACCGTCGGCGTGTCTGCCCCGGCGCTCGCACCCCATCTTTCTCCTTCGCCCTCAATATCCGTCCATCCGCCCTCCCCCACCACCACCACCACAGGTCTCGCTCCTCGCGCCTTTCTCCGGCCCGTCTTTGCCTTCTTGCATCCTTTGTTGCCCCGCTTTCGTGCCTTTCCGTTCTTCCGCCGACACAGACCTGGCTGCAAAAACGCTCCCCTCGCTGCCTCGGTCGCCAGATAGCCTTGTCGGCCTCATCCGGTTCCCGTCCTGGGTTGTCGCTCTGCCCCGTCTCGATCAGCCTTCAAAAACCCAAAATCTGCGCCATCAGGCACCATAAACGCTGTCCTGGTCCAGTCCTTCGCTGGCTCCTCTGTGCTCTCGGCTGTCGTTGCTTGCGCCCCCTCCCCTCCGTCTTTCCTGCTCCTCTGTCTTTCCTGCTCCTCCGTCTCGCCAGCTCCCTTTCCTCGCCAAGATCCCATCGCTGTCCATGCCCTCCAAAGCGAGCAAGCTGTGGGCCTATCTGGTGAACCGCTACTGGCCCGCCGATGTCCCCGAGGCAAGTGTCTGCCTGGCTTCTTCTGTCGACATTGTCTGGCTTTGCCCATCCCACCAACGCTCTTTCCAGCATCAGTCCGGCCCGCTGATGGGACCGGGTCGGGGCCAGCCCCCCTGTATCAGCCCGTTGTCTCCCCTCACATATCCCCGAGCCCCCTCCCGTTCACCCAACCAGCTCCCTGCCACTCTTGCTGACCGTCTCCATGCGCCCTTGAAAAACAAACAGCACAAGTGGTCGAGGCTGTCGCTGCTGTTCTACAACGGCTTCACCGCCGCCATGAGCTTCATTCGGCTCACTAGCCTGGCCATCTACATTGCCATCTACAACGGCGGCTTTTGCAATCTCCCCTTTGGCCTCACGCAAGCCACCCTCGACTTCAATATCAACAACATCCAGGCCGTCATCGTGTAAGTTTGCTCTGGACGACCCTCACGAGCGATCGCTGGCCCGCTCACTCTCCCGACCCTCAGCCGGTGATCCGACGGCACTCCACAACTCAATCACATCATCTGCGCCTCATGTTCTGATCGGGATCTTTGATTTCTTGCCTCGCTCTCCGATCTATCTCGATCTATCTCGATCTCGATCTTGCTCCAATCCGGTCCTGCTGCACCGTCCATCTGCCACCGCCCACAGATTCCAAATCATCACATGGCTGTGGATCCACTACGGCTGCTACATGGTGTGGTGCGCCATTCTCAACAAGAACGTCGTCAAGATGTACTCGATGGCCGTCTATGGCATATTCGACATCATCGTCGAGCTCACCATAGCGATCCGAACCGGCACGAGCCCAGGGCAAACCCTGACCTGCATCAGCACATACGGCGCATCGTTCCTGGAGGTAAATCCTTGACTTGCACATTCGGCTACAGTCAAGAGAGAGGACCTTGAATCCGAGCCCAAGCCCTCCTCATCAAGTCTTCACTAACGATGCTGACCCTCTCGTTCCGGGACCTTTCTCGTGCAGATTCTGTTCATCATCCTTCGCTGCCTCAGCGTTGTGTCGCTGGTCGGATTTGCCGTGCCCCTGGCATTTGCTCGGACATTCGAGATCTATCGGTACGCCAACATCCTGCGTCTGCGGTGGTGATCGACTCTTGCTGGGATCCGTCCCACGTTGCCGTCCTGCTGTGCATTCTCTTACCACAACTCTACCAACCAATCCTCAACAGCGAAATCGGGCCCCTCTATCGCACCAAGCGAACCTTCACCATGTACCAAGTCCACCACATGCTGGTCGAGTTCAACAGCACCTTCCTGGTCACGACCATGATCCAGTACATCTTTGTGCTGACCAAGGCCTCTCCCCTCCTGGCCATCACCTCCTCAACCTTTGCTCTCTTCCGGCTGATCGTCTCGATTCCTGTCGCGGTGGCTACGGTCATCCTGGGCTTTGTGATCCTCCGGATCGAGTCCCGCCTGCTGCTGACGATCCACATGCTTCTATGTCTGGCCACGTTCCTGTGCGTGGTCAGCGCTCTGGGCATCATCGCACCGCTCTTTGACGGCACCCCCGCCCACACCCTGAACATGCACTACTTCCCGGTCCTGGCAACTGCTATCCTGCTGTCGGTGCTGTCGATCTGGCAGTGGTGCTGCATCGGGGTGTCGCTGTTTATCCGGAAGACGATCGGACAAGGATACAGCCGCTTTTTGTACTGCAAGGGCAAGGTCTGCGATGTCAAGCTCGAAACCGATGTCGTGCTGACCTAAGCGCTCACCATTCAGCCCCTCTCTCCTCTATGATGAGTGGTGTATCGCAATCTCTTTCAAGTCTGTGGCTCTGTCACACACAAGGATATCGCCACCCGCCCTCCAGAAACGAACGAGGATCTGTTCCCGCGTAATCCTGATCTCCATGACACAAAAGTCGCTGCGAGAGACGACGTGATACTTTGCAGCTCCTCGATCCGAGTACTTATGCACACCACCCGCACGCACACTCACACTCACACACACCCGCTCCCACACCCACACAAGGAGCCTGTCGACTTTCTTCATATTCCCTCTCGCTGCTTGATATGCTGGCCCGATTGGACCCCGTTGTTGCTAATTCGCTTCAGTCTCTGGTGGTGCTGGCAACAGCCACTCGTCTCTTCCGCTCTGTGTATGCAGGCCGGCTTTGCCAGACTGTCATTCCCGTCCCCCCAATATGAGTCACGACCATCACGATCCTCTGCTGTTTCATTTTCTGCACCCTTTTTTGGCCTGTTGGTCACTATCCTGCTTTTCTTCTCTCCATCGTTCCCTCTATTGTTCTCTCCTCCCACCCCCTCCCTTGTGTAAATGGCACTGCATCGTCCGCCATCCGAGAACCTGATGTTGTTTCCTTCCTGTGAATTGAACCTGCACACGAGAATCTATAGAACCACAACAGATCGACAATGGCCACGATGCGATCCGTGTGAGCTTGGTGGGTGTGTTTCTTGGGGCGCATCAAGCAAAGGTCAAGCTCTGTTGCACATGGCTGATCAAAGTCACCACCGATAGCGACCACCTCCTCTTCTCAGCGACTCTCTCTACAAGAGCGCATCGCGCCTCAGCTCCGGATAGGTTCCAAATGCATGGCATGCATTTGTCTGTATTCATCTCCAGGTTGACCCAATAGCACGCACAGATGTCGATGGTGGCTGCTGGCGTTGCAGGCGACAGGAAATACCACCGACGGGCCGAGGGGGGGGGGAAAGAAAGTGGTAGTTGCGACGGTGACGGTGATGGTCGTGGTGGTGGTGTCACCGCCATTGTGCAATATGTCACAGCACGCAGGCTTATCGGTGGCTCTTTTTTTTGCCTTTCCGTCCGCCAGCCGATCCTGTCGGTGTCTGCTTGGCGGAGGTCGACGCCTGAGGCTTTGATGGGGCCGGAGCGGATGGTGCTGGGAGGGAGGCCGTTGTCGCCACTGGTGCCATTGGTGCCGCTTGTTCCGCTGGAATGATGTTGTCTGCTTTGCCGATTTGCGACCCGATTCACCCCCAGCCCATCAAAGATGTGTTAGCGATTATCAGAGCATCGTGACTGCATGAGCAGTTGTGCTAGACGGTGCAACCAAGTGTCGCATCGATCGAGGCTGACATTCACACAGGACACTGCCCCGACGAACTGGCAAATAAATTAGGCCGGCGAGATCGACAGCAGATCCGCCGCCAGCCCAACTCAGCGAAACTCGGTCCAGTTCAGGTCCGTCCAGTGTCCCTCTCGGTCGATTTCACGTACCGTCCACCTGCATCGCATCAACTTCCTTTCGCTGTTGCATCTTGGACATCAGGATGCGGTTCAGCCGCTCGAACTTCTTCAGATCTTGGGACCGATCCGTCTTGTATTTCAGACACTTATGGCAAAGTGGGCGATTGCGCGATGGAGAACAAGGGGTAGTCAGGGCCCATCGACATTGAGGATATTTGGCGTTGGTGGAATCGAATTCATTCCCCCCCCCATTTGCGAGCGGGTTTGTCGAAGGATCCAAAGCAAGTGACAGCGATCAGATACGATTCCATGGTTAAGAGCGTTGCATCGTCAACGGCAGAGGCGTTTCGGCATGATATATCCGAGCGGACCATATTCGAGCAGGTTATATCGGAGCACGACATGTTCGAGCACCCCGGGGTTTGGCAGGACAGGTCCGTTGACGCAGTATTTGATCGTGGTCCCGAGCCCATCAGCATCGCCGACGGATATTCATTCACCGTTCCATAGGGTCACCGGGCCACCGATCGGCCGCAAGAAGCGGATCCGTATTTTGGATAGTCGGCGTTCGATTGAAAGAAAAGGCATGACGATGAGAATATGGCGGTGAGGACTGCATCTTGGCAAGAGAGGTAAGCAGTCGAGAGCGCTCTGGGAGGAGGGGGAAGCCCAAACTCGCGGCGTTCATGGACACGGGCGACTCAAGACGCAGCAACGAGCGATATTTACGACAGGGCCATCGGTGACCTTGAGTTCGAGCTTGCCCTCGCAATGCCGGTATTTCGCCAGATATCTGGTCTGAACGGAGCCAAGAGAGAGGGAAGGTTTGGTGGGTTCAGAAGAAGGGCATGCCAGACCAGCCCAGGCGAACTCTGGTGCATTCATGCAGCCCATCGCGGGATAGAAAACAGGCCTCGGGAGAGCGGTTCCATGGAGAAGGAGACAGCCAAGAGGTCCCGATGGCCACGACGGCCACCACGATCTCGAAAGGCTGCAAGGAGCAATCGCAGAATCCACAGGCATCCCGCCTGATCTGGGCCGTTGTAGTCGAAAACCGGGGCCAGGCCATCGCAAGAGCAGCCGAGGGAGCGACGGCAAGCGGAGGGGCAGCCATACCCTGTCCGGGGCAACCTGGTAGAGGTCGACGACGGCCTTTTGGAAATCGTCCCAGTTCTCGATGAAGACCATGGCGAGCGCTTTGGAGGAGTGGAGCGGAGAGGAGAGGACAGCGACAGAGCCCGAGGAAGCGAGAAGATCAACACACAAGAGCGAGGGCGCATTCGAACGCAGACTCGCCATTCGAGCCGGCAGACACACTCGATCCAGCATCCTCACGGAAATCTGGGCACAGGACGTGTGGCTCTGGGTCGAAAGCACGGTGCCGCATCGACTGCAGCCCGCAAGGCCGAGCCCAGGTGGGCGCTGTAGGCTTGCAGCAAATCGGAGCAGATCGCAGCAGATTGTAGCAGATTGTAGCGGGCAGCATATCTCGTCAGCCAAGGCTGTTGCTGGCAGGAACCGCGGCGACAGCATTCCATGCATTCAATGCATTTCAAGCATTTCAGGTTGTCCAGCCATGTCAAGCGGAATGCCCATGTTCGGTGTGCAGGTTCGTCAATACGGACAGGCACCGATGGCGATATACAGTCTGTCCAGGACCAAAGGGGTACCTCGCTTATTCCGGGCAGTAGTCTTTCTCTGGGTGGGAATACACATCCATTCATCAGAGATTCTCCAGGCCATAGACACACTTGGCGAGCGATTTGTTCGACCAGGCCATCCTGAAGCCGACAGACTGTGGGGTGTCCAGATGGTCGGATGCATATTGTATCTCATGACAAGGTCCCACCCCCACCAAACCAGCAACAGGCAGCGGCTGCTGTGCGAAGGAACACGGGCGACGCCGACCCGTTTCCCGCTGCACTTGCTATAAGGAAATATAGATTGTATCAAATGCCAAATATACACAGCAATGGCACTCTTCCACATCCTGCTCAGCACTGATAACACTTCCGTTGTTGATAACACTTCCGTTGTTGATAACACTCCTGTTGCTGATAACACCTCTGCCACCACCCGTCGATGCGGCTCTGCTCGGCCATCGCCCTCGGGCCCAAGGACCCCTCCGCCCGCGCTGTTGCGTCCGGGCACCTGCATCCGTCCGCCCACCCTGGTCCTGCTGGCCCGGTCGTCGATGTCCATCCACCGCTCCATCGCCGTTGTTCGTCCGGCCGCTCGCATACCCTCGTTGATCTATCGTTCGGTCGTCCGCACACCGCCGCTGGTCCAGCGCTCGCCTGCTTGCACGCCGTGCTTGTCTTCTCGTCGCCCAATCGTGCGGCTCGTCCCAAGGCGCCATTTTGCACACCCCTGATCCAGTGCCGCTTCCTCGGCCAAGGCCGGTCCTGCGCTCCTGCGGTCGGCTCTCGCATCGCTTCTTTACTTTCGTCATCTCGGTCTGCCCTCGGGTCTGCCCTCGTGTCTGCGTCGTCCTATCGCACAGCCCTTCGCTAGTTCCTCGCCAGTCCTTCGTCAGCATCCCTCCTCTCTCCCTGTTCGCCAAGGGCCAAACACGCCGCCCTCGCACCTGCCGCTGAACTTGGGCTCTGTTCCGTGCTCATTGATTCCCCCCCCCGTGGACTGGTTGGTTCTTCCATCGGCCTGGAAACTCATCCGCCCATCGGCTTCCCGCTCCCGCTCTTTCTACCACCACCGTCCCGACCCAGTCCGTTTCCCTTGGCCTCGGTCTTCTCGCACCAGTCGCCCCCTCCTGCTGTGTGCCAGCCATTTCCCGCCTCCGCTGTGGTATCTTGTATAGCCGTGGTCCTTCCCCCTTGTTCTCCAGATTCGTTGTGGACTTGGACGCCATTCCCTGCCCAACTCTGCGGAACCCACGCCGTTTTCTTCCCGCAACCAGCCTCTCCGTCTTCCCTTCCTCTCCTCTCCCTCCATCGCCGCTGCCAAGCTCGGGCACACCCATGATCCAGTCCTTCGAGTTTCCCTGTCTCGCCCAGGCTTCGATGCAGTACCGCACCGAGTACGACGGGCCGTGTGGGCTGGCGCCCTCGAAGCGAAAAAAGTCGACTCCCATGAGATCCATCTCTGCCCGCGAGGCGTACTCGCAGCCCGGGGTACTCGTCAAGCTCGAGTTTGGCAGCCCGTACGCCTACGACCTGGCTCTCCCGGCATCGCTGCGATGCAAGGCTCCCTCGGCAACAGCGACTGCTGCTGCTACTGCTGCTGCTGCTGCTGCTGCTGCTGCCCCATCGGCCCCAAGCTCGCTGTCAGAATCGGCCAGCGCAACCTCGGATCTTTCCATGGCCCTCTCGGATCCAGAACCTGTCGCTACGCCCACGGCCTTGGCCTGCGAGCCTCAGCGGCAACTGCCCCCGCTGGCCGCCCTGAGCTCGCAGCCAGAGTCGTTGGATGCCGCAGAGTCGCTGCTCGCTCTGCCAAGGGCCGATGAAACCCCGACGGATTTACATGGCGCCGATGGCCTCGCGGAGCTCCTCGCCGTCGCCAGCAAGTCGTCGCCCTGTGACGCTCCTGCCCAGGCCGAGAGGATCAGTCTGCCGGGCGATATCGCCAGCCCATGCGACTCATACTCGGATGGCTCATCGTCGAGTCTGCCAGCCGGCTCGGCCGATGCTCGGGCTCTGACCTGTCCGATGGCTCTCCTTCGCGCTCCCGGCACCAATGCTGCTGCTGCTGCTGCTGATCCGCTTGTCTCGACAACATGCTACTACCAGTACATTGGCATCTCCCGCTGGAACTTGCCGCGTCGGTACCGCTCCAGCGACGAAGAGTCGGTGCCAGCGTCGATCTACTATGCCCAGCTGGGCGACCGGAGGAATCTGTCGGACGACCTGGCCTCTCTGGCCAACGGAAATAGCATCCGCCTTCGATCGTCTGCATCGCTGTCGCCCCGCAAGACACCCTACAGCCGCCCCGTCGGCATCAGCGTCGGCAGCAATGGCAGTGTCGGCAGCAGCAGCGGCGGCGCTAGCGCAGGAGCTGGAGGCTCGCCCTCGAGAAGTACCACTGCTCGGTCGGCATCGCCTTCCTCGACAGGATCATCGCGATCACCCTCGTCGTCGCAAGCAGGAAGCATCGCAGCGACAAAGTCTGTGCGCTCGTCCCGCTCCAAGATACGGGGTCAGCGTTAAGCGTAGGTAATATACATACATACATACACATATATTCATAGCGACGACAAGTTCTCTGGTGGGCTCTTGGAGAGGCCCAGCCGTAGATGGAACGAAATGGCACCCATCCACCGAAAGCGATGCAAAGCTGGAACTGAGCAATCGGCTTTCGGCCACCCACAGTCGATGCTAACGCTCTGCACATTGCCTTTGGTATCGTATCGTATCGTATCGTATCGTATCGCCGGCACCGCCAGAAGCAGGCTCGTTCGGATTTGCTCAGATCCGTGACAATGCGAGTCCCCGCTTCATCCAGCATAGATGTCCTTGTGATGCGAATCCGAAAGTGGATGCTCTGATGCCACACTTGCATTTCACTCACACCAACACCAACAGCAACACCAACACCCTCTCCTCCTCCTTCATCACTTTCCAGTGTCTGTGCTGTGTGCTTGTAGCGTAGATGTGTCTCCCCCCCTCCTTTGCTTCACGCCACTTCCTCCATCGCTCGGATCCAGTAGAAACAGATGCAGAAGGGACTGTCTGGCGCCGAGTCAGATGCAGCAAGGCATATTTGCAGCAAGGCAGATGGACTGTTACTCCCGCATTCGCTATAGACCTCATGGACCACGACCATGACCATCACCCGTATCTCCCACACGCACATACGACATACGCACACACACTCTCTATCTATCTTTTGCTTTTGCTTGCTCGACCCGTTTTTTTTTTTTTTTTTTTTTGTTGCTTCGCGAAAGATAATTGCGAAATGAAAGGTTCAACCAAAGAAAGGAGAAAATTTACCGTGCCATCGTGATTGGCAGCTTGGTGGAGTGGGCGGCAAATGATCCGCGGCCTGCTCCCGTCCTGTCAATCTCACTCCCTCCATTCACCCGTTCCTCCTGCCCAACCCATCCCATCCACTCCATTCACCCGAGGAACCCCAGAAACCGCACACCACGAATGAGGCGTTTCCCACTTGCGGCAACGCCAGTCATATATGCAACTGACTCACTTCATTTCACTGAGAACCGAATAAGTTCATTCCCACACAGCTCAGACACCCAAGCAAGCACATGCAGACATTCGAGGCAGTATGATCAACGGTACCGCACGATTCCAGTGATGGGATGTGTTGAGCATCGTTCCCTTTCAAATCCTGGGCACATCGGCCCCTTCCTTCCTCCTCCCTCCACCTCTCATTCTTTCGTCCGCCCACTCGGTCTGAATTCTGTCTATCCGACCACCGGTATGTTATGCTCTCGAAATGGATTGAGAAGGGAGGGAGAGGCGTACTATACATTTAGTGGCCGGCGGCAAACTCCTGGGCCTCGAGCCATCGCTCGGCATCCAGAGCAGCCATACAGCCCGATCCAGCAGCGGTGATGGCCTGGCGGTAGGTCTTGTCCTGGACGTCGCCGCAGGCAAAGACACCCTCGACGCTGGTGTAGGTGCTGGCGGCACCGTCGCGGACCTTGGTGACCAGGTAGCCGACCTCGTCGGTCTCGAGCTGGCCCTGGAAGATGGCGGTGTTGGGCTGGTGGCCGATGGCATAGAAGAGGCCGTTGGCGGTCAGGGTGGTGCGCTCCTTGGTGACGGTGTCCTCGATGACGAGTTCCTTCATGAGGCGGTCGCCCTTGGCCTCGATCGGGATCTTGTTCCACAGGACCTCGATCTTGGGGTGGGCGAGCATGCGGTCAGCCATGACCTTGGAGGCGCGGAGCTTGTCGCGGCGGACGAGGACATAGACCTTGGAGGCATAGCGGGTGAGGAAAGTGGCCTCCTCTACAGCAACAAAGTCGCGGAGAGGGAGAATACGGCACCGATCAGTTCAGTGGCAACAAGAGTCATGGCAACGATGATGGGAGCACGGCGTGTCCAGCGGGGAATATCAGGACAACTGCAATCCGACTGGGAGTGGACTGCGGCGGACACTAACCCGAAGCAGAGTCGCCACCACCGACGACGACGATGGCTGGATGGCGTAAAGAGAAACAGTCGAGCATAGTTTAGTTGTCAGAATCGGAAGCGATCGCGTTGACGGGAAGATATGGCTGCCACGGCGAAGATGGAGATGGACAGATACATACGCTTGTTCCGGAAGATAGGGGCGGCACCGTCACAGACAGCGCAGGCCGAGATACCAGCCTGCCAGAAGACGTCCTCGCCAGCAATGTTGAGCTAGAGATTGCAAAGGAGACAAGACGAGAGAGCGTCGCATATGAGAAACGAGATCGATCGAGGACCCAGAGTCAGTCGGGGAGAACCAAAGGCTATTGGTAGGCACGCGATCAAGGCGTCCGCGGTGCATCTGCATCGCCTTGGTTGAGGATCGGCATGGTCTTTGCTTGGTCGGTGATGCTTGCTCAGCCAAGATTGTCGACGCCAGACATAGGATTGCGCAAAGCCGCCACTCACCCGCTTGGCAGTGGCACCGGTAGCAATGACGACGGCATCGGCCAGGATGGCCTGCTGGTCCTCGGTGTCGGCACCCTCGCGCCAGAGGCGGAAGGGGCGCTGGGAAAAGTCGACCCTGGAAATGGTCTCGGTGATGACGGTGGTGCCGAATCGAGTGGACTGCTGCTTCAGCTGTTGGGCAATGGGATCGACAGAGGCGAGACAGGGTCAGCATCAGCGACGGAGGGATCTGCGAACGGGGGCACAATCCTAAAGAAAGGGGGGATGACCAAGGTACCCGTCGACCAGCGGTTGCATGGCGATCCCTGCGATGGGGAGGGGATACGTACCAGCTCCATGAGCTCAGGGCCAGAGATGGCATTGGGAAAACCAGGGACTGCGCGGAGGATTTGCAGCGAATTAGCACGACGGACGGAAAGGGTCGCTGGATATTCCAGCAAGCCGGCATCAGAGCGATGGCGCTGCTTGGCCACTTGGAGCTGGCGCAACACAGCCGGCCATGATGCTTACAGTTCTCGACTTCGGTGGTGGTGGTGAGCTGGCCGCCAGCGGCGACACCTGGAGAAAGCACGGCGAGCAGAAAGTGTGAGCGGGAAGACTGCCTCCTGCTGCCATCGCCCATCCAGAGCATCGAGCGAGTCGAGCGACCGAGAGGCTGGGTCTGATGGGTGCAAAAAAGTGTCGATCTGTCGACGGCAGAGGCGGGCTGGACCGATGGCTGCCAGATCAGAGTCAAGCCGATCGTGTGGTGATGGAGAACAGGCAAATCGGACGACGGCTCGTCGGGTGGCCGCGAGATACACACCGGCAGCCATGAAGCCCTCATAGAGGACAGGGTTCATGTTGGCACGGGCGAGGTAGATGGCGGCGGTGTGGCCAGCGGGGCCAGAGCCGATGATGACGACCTTGTGGTGTTCCTGGGACATTTTGAACAGTCTGGAAAGAGAGGGGACAGATGTTAGCAAGTCAGCGGCGGGCACGATCGGCTGGCCAACATGCTGGCAGGAAGAACGAGTGCTGTGAAAGCGATGATCTCGAGTGTTGGGCACGATGGCCCAGGCGACAGAGTGCCGAAGAGCACGGCGCACACCAAGCACCGCTCCACCACGGCGCTCGTGGCGTACAGAGAGGGCAGAGGCAACGATGATGCAAAGAGCAGGTGAAAAAGAAGCAAGGGCGATGGATCAGGACGGCGACATGGCCGATGATCTCGGCAGCAACGGAGACATACAGCGATCGGGTGAGGTGGGAAGGGCAGGGATCGTGGATAAGATGAGAGACAGAGCACGACAGATCGATGGAGGCGAAGCCGGGGAGGGGAAAAAACGGAGAGTGGCGGATAAGCCCCCAGGCGCTGACAAACAAAACGAGGGGAAAGAGGGCAGGCGACGAGTGCAGACACGAGGCCAATCGGGTTGCTGGGTGGATCACGGAGGAGCCATCGGGGACGAAAGGGGCGAATTTGAAATGGGGGGGGGAGTGGGGGAAGGAGCGAAGGAGAAACGGCAGTCGGTCGGGGGGGGGTGCTGGGCAGCAGGACGTACTTGCTGGCAGAGTCTTGCTTGGAGGGCGACGGATCTCTCTTCATCGAGATGGGCCAAGGGCAGCAACAGACGAAAGGACAGGGCAAGGCGACCGAGCGAAGACCAAAGCGATAACGCCGCGAGCCAGCCGAGAACACGGCCGCGAGGGCGAGACGAGACCGCGCCGAGGCGGCGGGGACGGGAGTGGGCCGACAAAGGCCGCGGATGAATGAGTGAACGGATGAACGAACGGATGAACGAACGGATGAACGAATGGATGTAACGAGCATATGAGTTGACCGCGGAAATAGTTGATACAACCACTGACTTTATCTCCCCCCACATGGCATCGAGATCCCCGACACAGGTGTGCTGCATTGGCTCCTGGTGGCTGACGAGCCCGATCAGCCACCCCCTCGCAGCCGACAGCGCTTGGCCATGTAAACGACTGTGAATGGCTGCGAATGGCTGAAAACGCCCAAGCAGCGCCCTCAAGAGCCCAGGAACATCGGTGCCGGGATCGTACATCGATATGAAACATTGAGGTGCCAAAGAGTATATGTATTGAGCGCTGCCGAAGAGTACATGACGCAACAACCGCACCATCCAGACCCAACCAGCAGCCGCCCGCTGCCACCACCGAGTCCTGTCCGTTGTCGAAAAGCCGTTCTCCGGGGGTCATTGTTGCCATTGCCGTCGATCCAAACCACAACCCCGCAAACCATGACAGGCAAACGATGCAACTAGCGAACAACAGACAGAACCGGGCTCGTCCCTCTCCCTCCTCTCCTCCCATCGACAGCGCTGCTGTGTTCTTTGCCGGCAACAGAGCGAGTCCGAAACGTCTTGCTCGAGCGTTGATGGGGGAGAATCGGGCCAACATTGGGTAGGGTTCGCTCTTCAGCTTGACCGGAGCCATCCGCGAAAGAGAGAGACGAACATCCAAGCCCTGGGTTGTGTAGAAAAGTATCGAAGAGGATTACCGCTTTCAGGGAGCCACCGAGCCGGTTCCCATTCCGTTCCGACTGGTTTGCGGAGTGGACAACGGGAGATCCGCAGATCACCTTGCCCCACGGACGACCGGCCGCGGATGGACAAGCCCTTGCCGGAAGAGTTGCGGACTGCTAAACCGAAGCACAGAACCGAGGAAACCGTATTCGTTCTTCTCTTCCAGGACTTGCGGGTTGTCGACAGACAGCTTGGGCACCACAGGGGAAGGGGCTGGCAGGAGGGGCACACCGTGTTGGGCTACTCTTCGTCGTGGGTTCACGGCCACACGTTGACGAGGCAGGAGGGGCGACGCTTGATCGCGGGAGACCTTGGCGGTAGCTCCATCCCTTCGTGCATTCATGCATTCATTCCATTCCATCCACCGATCCGCGAGATCCATCCGTCATATCCACGACTGAGCAAGGTAGCAGCGGTTTCTTCGCGCACCCTTCATCAGGATGGATGCTCCACCGGTCGAGCGCAGATGTCCCAGTGCGATGAGCAGCGGAAGGACGGACGCGGCTTAGCAAGGCTGTTCCCAATGAGAGAAGCCATTGCTTCCGATCAGACGCAGCAAAACTCAAGACTTACCGATGGGAGGGCAGTAGCCTGTGGGGATAAACCCCTGCAAACCACGGAGGCGTGGAGACGTTACCGACGCTGGTCGGATAACTCGAGTGGCAGCCACGAAACGGCAAGGGAAATCGGCGATACTTAGCAGCTGAAGACGGGCTGCGGCCGACGCCAAGAGGAGGAGCCGCAGCCATAGAAGGGTAGGGGATGGGGAGCTTGAGTGTCTTGGTGTTCTTTGCTGAGTGCCTTGATGTTCTTTGCTGAGTGCCTTGATGTTCTTTGCTGAGTGCCTTGATGTTCTTTGCTGAGTGCCTTGATGTTCTTTGCTGAGTGCCTTGATGAATATCTTGATCCTTGATGCACAGACTTGCGCTCTCGCTTCATACAATCATCAAATGCTACATCCATCGAACATCGAACAGTTGCCATAACAGGGCGGACTACGCTTGGAGAGATACATTGATTGCAGAGCCAGGGTAGAAGAGGGGGAGCCAAAGTTGACATCGAGGACACGGGCCTCGGAGCAGCGGGATGCATGGCCAACTTGATATTTTGAGCCAGAGAAGATGCCGGACGAAGGGACCTCAACCGGAACAACGGAGCCGAACCGAAACTGAAACCGAAACCGAATAGCCGCGAGCCGAACCAATCCCGAAACCGGAACCAACTGAACCGAGTCAAGCCAATCCGAACCAGGGAACCGAGCCGAAACCAGGGAAACCGAACTGAACCGAACCGAACCGAACTGGGCCATGGGACACAGGGCAACACCCCTTGCGATCTTGAAACCCCACTAACTTTGACAACCTCAGCGAGCCAACCGGGGGGGACTGGTGGTACTTGCACGGAGGAACACGGGCCTCCAGAAACGGGGACATGGGCGAACAGACTTCCACGAGGAACACGAGCCTCATCGACACATCCATCCTTGCATGAGGAACACGAGCCTCATCGATACACCTTGCACGAGGAACACGGGCCTCGGATGCCACCATCGAGCGAGGAACACGGGCCTCAGACGAAAACAACCGGCGAGGTGAGTTGACGACGCGAGGAACACGAGCCTCGGCCACAAGCGCATTGACGGGAGGAACACGGGCCTCCGGTGAGGAACACGAGCCTCACGACCGAGCAAGAGGACACGGGCCTCTGAACCGAGCGAGGAACACGAGCCTCGCAGCCGAACGAGTGCATCCATCGGGGCAGAGGAACACGAGCCTCTGTTGGGAACGAACCGCTTTCGCTGGAACTGGATTGGGATCCATGTGTGGCAAATGCGTTGAGCTGTTTCTGCTGGATATGCGGTGTTGAGGTTGAGATTGAGATTGAGATTGAGATGGCTGGGGTAAGCTGGCTTGAAGATGGCTTGAGGCCTTCAGAGAGGCGACTGGAGAGATGCGGGCTGTACTGGAGACGGGGATGCGGCGTGGTGATGGACGAGCGACGGCGTTCTCACAGCTGCAGTGACGAGTTGGGCGACGCACGAAGCGGTTGGCACTGTTCAACACGAACCGAGTGGCGCAAATGGAGGTGGGTGACGCGTGCGTTGAGCGAGGTTCACGGGCCTCGGGGACGAGGGCTGACGAAGCCGGAAGCATGGCGCAAGTTGAAGACGAGCCGCATTGGCGGAGTTCAGGGGTCAGCACAAGGAGGGGGGCCAGGGCCAGAATCCAGTGATTGCTGCAAGGATGCAGGACCAGAGGCGGCAGGCGACAGACGTACACGAAGCGTCCACAGCAGGGGAGCTGCGACAGATGGGTTCGTGGCGGTTGTTCCTCCTGGGCGTGTGTGGGAGATTCTCACGGACGTTCTCAAGGATTTACTAGACGGGAGCACGGAGGCATCCCGGAGACAGGCGCAGGCGGCGCGAACGACGGCATGGAGACTTGCCGGACACGAGCGGCTGGAGGCAGGGGAGAATGCACTTGCCAGGATCGCAGCCGTCGGTATGGAGGCGGAAGGGAGCGAAGCCAAGGCGGATGACGCCGGGTATCCTCAGGAGGAAGGGGGAGAATGACGGTGTTGTTCGGCACTGGATGGTCAAGGGAACTTGCTCGGAGGCAGGTTGCGTTCTCGCGCTGGGTAGATACAGCGTAGGGGCGAGGCAGCTTGACGCAGGGAGATTAGAACGACAGGGACGCCCCCCTCTCTCACGGAGGAGCACGGGCCTCCGAATAGAATGAGTCGGACGAGGCAGGGTGGAAACTGAACAACCACACATGGGCACGGAGCATAGCACCGGCATGGAATAACATCATCGAGGGAAGGCCTGGACAGAACTGGCCGGAACAGGGAGGCTGTTGAAGACAGACGGGCCACACGGTGATGCGAGAGGAAAGGCTCTGCGACATCGATGAGAAACGGGAGGGTAAATGCGGTGCATGGGCCGAGGCGAGGGCGGGGGGAGGAACGATAGCAGCGTTACGCATCCAAGGACAGGAGCGAGCGAGCCTGGAGCGGCACCGGAGGCAACAGGATTGGAAGGAAACAGGAGGATGAGCCACGCCTTGGAGAAGGCGGGTGCGATGGAGACGAAGGGAGGCCGGCCGCCGGGGCATCTTTTATACCCCGAGGGCGAGGAGCAGAGCAGAGCGGGGCGGAGGCGGAGGCGGGCTGGGGGAGCAACAGACCGTCAGCCGCCGTCAACGCTGACGGGGCGTGACTGCGGCGGCGGCCAACAATGGCGGGTCACGCGGGGCGGGCGCGTCACGGGGGTGCTGCGGCTGCTGCCAGAACGCGCGAGAAGAGCACGTGGGCGAGAGTGTTGATTGGGTGTTGATTGGGTGTTGGTGGTGTTCGGTGGTGTTGTTCGTTGGTGTTGACTGGGTGTTGATTGGGTGTTCGGTGGTGTTGTCGTTGGTGTTGTCAGTGGTGTTGTCGTTGGTTCCTATCATTGTTTGAGTCTCTGCTCTCGCCATCCCCAAACAGACCCATCGCCTCCCGCAGCCCCAGCCAGCTAGCCAGCCAGCCAGCCAGCCAGCTGTCGCTCGTCGGTCATGCATCCGTTCCCATGAGCCTCTTGGTGGTCATGGCGCCAAGCGCAGCCTCGTCCACTCGCGCACACCGCCGTCCTGCTGACTGGCTCTTCGTGCTGCCGTCCGTCCTTCCTGCCTGTCCTTTGTCCAGCTGGCTCTCCATCCGCCACGCCCGTCGCCGCCCACAAGCCATGAGCGACCCGAATCTGATCGTCGACAGCGATTTCGGAATCGACGGTGAGCTGCATGTCTGTCTCGCGCGTTTGGGCCCAAAAGGGACTATCTAACTTGCTCCGAACACGGTGCAGATGCGACGGCGCTGCTTCTGGCTCTCCGGGTCGATCCAAATCCTCTCAAGGTGGGCCCTCCTCGTCTCTCGCGTTTCTCAGCCTGCCTTGCGCTGCGCTGAACTGCATTGGGGTGTCGTGGGATTATCCTGCGTATCCTGCTCGACGCCATCCTCGACTATGCTATGGGAAGCTGTCGCGGCGGCGACAGCCCTCTGTGTGATGCGTCGTGGTATCATTACTATCCAGGCCATCACCGGCTGCCTTCTGACCCTCCTCCCATGTGCGCTCTGTTGGTCCAAGGCCGTGACGGTGGTCTCGGGCAATGTGCCTGTCTCGCGTGGAGTCCGTAACTGCCGGTATCTGATTGCGCTTGCCGACCGAGAATCCCTCGGCATCGAGGTCTATGGCGGGGCAACTGCGCCCTTGGTGCCGTGCCAACCGCCTCCTTCGCAGTGGCCAGGCCATGGCAAGGACGGCTTTGGCGATGCTTCGGATCGTCTCCCTGAAGTGGTAACGTGCTGTTGAGCAAGCATTAGATGAAACCCCCCCCCTGCTCGATGCTGATTTCGGGCACATCGTCTGCGAATCCGACCCACAACCAACCAACCAACCCACAACCAACCAACCAACCCATCCATCCACCTCGCTGCTCATCGCCTTCTTGGCTCCAGTCCTCGACCTCCCTCCACCTGGATCCGCCAGATGAGCACGCCGCCAATGCGCTTGTCCGGCTGGTAAACCAACGACCCGGCCACTACAGAATCGTCGCTCTCGGGCCGCTCACCAACATCGCTCTGGCCATCACCCTCGACCCCGACTTTCTCTCCAAGGTTGCTTCGATTGTCATCATGGGCGGGTGCCTCTTTGCCCAAGGCAACTCGAACCGCACGGCCGAGTTCAACTTCCACCACGATCCCGAGGCAGCGTACATTGTCTTTGCAGCGTCCCAGCGTCTGTCGCAGCAGGACGATGTGCAGACGCCCACCGGGATCCCGCCCGCACCCAAGCTGACCCTGGTTCCTTGGGAGACCACTATTCGCCACGGCTTTGCCTGGTCGCTTTTCGACCGCATCCAGCAGGTCAGTCCAAGCACACCCCTGTCCCGGTTCATCGCAACCGTAGCGGCGAAATACCAGGATCAATGCCGCTATCTGTACGACGACCTCGTCAAGATCCAGAACATGACTGCCGCCCTGACCGATACCCCAAGCCCCCGCTCCGTCGCCAACCACCACCAAGAGTACATTATGATGGCCAACTCCTTCACCATGTGCGATGCCTACGCCATGCTCGTGGCCCTCGACGAAAGCCTCGTCACCGAGAGCAAAGCCTGGAACGTGCAAATCGAGCTGGGCGGCCAGATGTCCCGAGGAATGATGGCCCTCGACTGGTTCAGCTCGAGCCGTCAGGGCTCCAACAACACCGTGGTCGTCTTTGGCATGGATGTCTCGGCCCTGGAAGCCCGTTTCTTGCGAGTCTTTGCCTGAGCCGCCAGTCTGTATGTCTCCCTCTGCCATGTGCAAACACGAGAGCCGGTGCCGCCGGTCGTTCGAGAGCATCTGGTTTGGGAGCAGACCGACTTTTGCAGCAGAGCCTGGGGAGTCGGCACCATGGGGCAGGGAGCTGCCCCCAAAGCTCCCGATTCCGCCATCGCGCCGGCCGCTCGGGACTTGCCTGCGTCTTCCGTTGTCCTGCGTTTGTCCCGCTCCGTCCTGCTCTGCTGCTTGGTCCTGTCCGACTTTTGTCTGGCTTCCAGACCCGCAACGCTCTGCTGCTCCTCGCATCTACATCACCGGCTCGATCCGACCTGTCCAATGTCTGCCCTCAAGGCCGTCTCCAGAGCCTCAGTCGTCTCGGGAGTTCTGTTCCTGGCTGGTGATGTCTTGAGCCAGTGGTTGTTTCCAAACCCTGCTCGGCAGCAGCCCCATCGCAAGCTGGTGCCGCCGTCAGTCTCCGAGACGGTTCATGAGGCCCGCTGGATCCCAGAGGCGCTGAAGCCTGCACTAGAGAAATGGGATCTGGATCGGTCGCTCAAATTTGGTGAGTCCCGGCATTCCGGAGCAGGCTTGTGTCGACTCATGCCTGCTCATCGGCGCATGGCGCTCTGTTGCTGCTGCTGTTGATTGTTCTTGCTTGTCCGCTGCTGGCCTGCTTCCTCTTCACTGGATTGCTGCTGCCCCCGATCCACTGTTCTTGGGGAGCAGTGCCCACCGCACCGCAGTCCAGCTCGTCGCTGATCCGCCTCCTCGCTTTGCAGCGGCCCTCGGCACTCTGCTTCACGGCCCCTTCTTCCACGAGACCTTCCGCTTCCTCGACTGGCGGTTCGGCCACAAGAAAACCCTCGGCACCATTGCCCTCAAAATCGCCGTCAACCAGATCTTCTTTGCGCCAGTCTTCAACGTGGCCATCCTGAGTGCCTCGGCCTGGCTCGACGGCGAGTCTGCCGAGGACCGCATCCGCACCCGCTTCGCCGACATCTACACCAACTCGGTGATCGTGTGGTCGACATCGAACTTTGTCAACTTTCGCTTCGTTCCTCCGGCCTGGCGGATCCTCTACATCAACCTCGTCGGCATCGGGTGGAACATTTACCTCAGCTGGGCTACCTCAACCACTCTCCAGGTGGCTCCGGTCGCAGGCGTCCTGGCCAAGGAGCTGTAGCGTCCCGCATCCCAGTCTCGCCGTATTATCCCAGGGCTCCTCCTTTTTCTTCATTTCCTCTCTATAGAACCAATCCACCAATGCGTGATCTCATATCTGTCGATTGCTGGACGATGTCGCTTTGCTTCGAGCAGCCGGCAGTCCATCTGTCCATCCATCCATCTGTCCATTCTCCATGCCACGCAGTAAACGCTTTTCTATATCATAGCGAGATATGTCGACTGACAGCAGTCGGTTCAGACTCACCGGCCGATGCTGTGACCTGCCTGGCCGATGCTGTGACCTGCCTCTATGCATCGCCGTGTTCGTCGTCGGTCTCTGCTCGGCCGATGAGGCGCATGGCACCAAGCCGGCTGCGTTTTTCGGGCCCGAGCCATGCGATTCATCACATCCGTTCCGGCGGCTGCGCTTTCCAAAATCGCCATGCCCTTGAGGGTGGCACATCGATGGAGGGTGCTGCAATTCGATTTCTTCCCACTCCTCCATCATCCGGCGCCCTCCTCGCAGCCCTTTCGCCGATGAATCCGCTGCTGCGTTCGGTCGCCAGGGCCTCGTACACCTCCGCCTGGCTGTTCCTGGCTGGGGACGTTGCCAGCCAGCTCCTCTTCCCGGAAGTCAAGCCAACAAGCGTTCCCGCTCTTGGCCTTCGGGAAGAACCCAAGGTCGCCCCAAACAGCGCTGCCTCTGCAATCAGCACACCTGGGCTGCCGGCTGGCCTCGCCAGCTCGCTCGAGTCCTTTGATTCAGCGCGAGCCCTCAAGTTTGGTATGATCCCATGCCACTCGCTCCTGGCTCTCGATATTGCCTTCTGCTCGCGGTGTCCGTCCACAACACTTCCGTCGACAGCACGCATGCTTCGTGGGCTGATCTCGTCTTCTGTTACTCCTTGGCTGCGCTGTTCTCTCACTCAATTGCCGCGGCGCTGCGTCAATCAACAGCCTCCATCGGTGCCTTCTTGCATGGCCCATTCTACCACGAAGTATTTCGGTTCCTGGACGCCCGCTTCGGTGCCGCCAAAACGGCCTCGGTCATCGTCACCAAAACCGCCGTCAACCAGCTCTGCTTCAGCCCGCTCTTCATGGCGATGGTGTTGGCCTATTCGGCCGCGCTCGAGGGCGACTCGCCTCTCGAACGAGTCCGGAGCCAGTTCGTCGATGTGTACACCAACTTTCTGTATGTGTGGCCCGTGTCCAATCTGGTCACCTTTCGGTTCATCCCGCCGGCCCACCGCATCCTGTTCGTCAACTTTGTGGGCTTTGGCTGGAACATATATCTGAGCTGGGTCACAGCTGCTGCCGCTGCTGCCACGCATGCCGCCCTCGATCATGGCCCAAGTGTCGTCGACATGCACTCCGCAGAATGAGCTTGGGGGTCTGCTTCAGGCTTTCGGAGATGGCCAGCTCAATCCATTGGATGTCGAAGATGACGGCGCTGCGATGCAATGTTCGTGGATCTCAGGCGGCAAGAGAGTCCCCGCTTGCCACGAGAACGCCCTGAATGAGCAACTGGAGATCCAGATCAGCTTTGAATTGCGCCTGTGGATCGCCCGCATGATGGCTAAGCGGCTCTGTCCTGCTCTTTTGCGAGGCTCCGATGCCTGCATGTGCGCCTGTGGGCACCTCGCGAGCCTTGCCGCCCCGTCAATACACTATATCCTGAAACAGCCAACACGGCATCGTCGGACTCGGCGCATGATATGCCTGTCTACCTGTCTGTCTACCTGTCTGTCTGGGTCGTTCATCAGGAGCGACAGAGCCATGTTCGCTCACTCGCACACACACACGCGCGACAAACAATGACTCAGGCTACTGGCTCCAACCGGATGCAGCCGGCGCCCTCGCCTGCCCCGTCTCGCCCGCGCTCTCGCCACGCACAGTGCGCTCTCGCCCGCTCCTCGCGCCTCGCTCGCCTCTCGCGCTCTGTGCCCTTTTTTTGCATTTTTTCGCCAACTCGCCTCATCCAGTGTTTCCGCCTGCCCATCCTCTGTCGCTTGCCCTCTTCTCCCGCCGCCCGTCTTCGATCGTCGAGCCCGCCGCCATGTCCGAGACTATCGTCAAGACTGTCCCCTTCGATGCCCGTTTCCCCAACCAGAACCAAGTAAGCCAGTCTGCGCCCACTGACTCCCGGACATTGCCAGCCAGAGTCAGAGCCCTGGTTGTGGAGGGAGAGAGTGGTCTCTTCTCCCTTCCGCTCTTCCGAGAACCCGCTTCGTTCAGGGCGCCGGCGTCGCTCGGTGGCCTTGAAAGCACGTCCACCCGGTTCGTCCCAGACTCGAATCAGACGCCTCGAAGGAAATGTTCCGGAGTGCACGGGATCCGGGTCGGAACTTTGCCCTCGACTTGCGGCTACATCATCAAAACCAGCGACAGCCCTCGAAGAGCAGCCAGTTTGCAACTCTCTCTCCTGCTCCCTCCCCTTATAGCGACGGAGTGCCGTTTCGTGGTGCACCAACTGCCTCGACAGCGAACAACGCAGGCGCGACACGAGCACCCACCTCGAATCCCGATAGCGCCATTTGTCGCCCTGGCGTCGGCTTCTTGGGACAGCGGCATCGATACCACCACCGATTTCCCACCCATGTGAAATAGGTGGCGAGCGAGGTGAATCTTTCCATCTGACCAGCGTGACTAACGCATCGTTCTTGTATACCACTCTGTTCTTTCGCTTTCCCTGTCGCTGTCCTGCCTGTGTGTCGCACGCTCGTGCTGGATCGCCAGACCAAGAACTGCTGGCAAAACTATGTGGACTACCACAAGTGCATCAGAGTGAAGGGTGAGGACTATGCCCCGTGCCAGCAGTTCTGGCGCGCCTACAGCACCATCTGCCCCATCAGCTGGGTGAGTATCTCCTCTCCTCCGTATTGCCTCGTATTGCGTTTCCTTTCGCGATCGGTGGTGGAATCCGTCGCGCCTCCGTCATCGTTCATATCGTCTGCAACTGTGCAACGAGCCATTCAAGCCATTGGCGGCAGCATCTCCCGGCCCGCACTATACCAATATTCCAGCGCAGTGCGTATCCCAAACTGATCGACAATCCTCCCCTTCTCGCGTTGCAAACATCAGATTGGCAAGTGGGACGAGCAGCGAGAGGCCAACGTCTTCCCTGCCCTCTACGAGAAGCCCGAGTCCCACGGCCACCACTAAGTGCGCAGCGCCGTCTCGAGTCCGGTCAATTTTCACCCAAAGAAAAATACACCTTGGACTTTCCTAATACACCTCTTTGCTTTACCCCACCACCCGCTGCCCCACGGATCCAGAGCCGCAGCGATGCGTGTCGGGCTGCTTCGCCGGTCTTGCCCCACACTCTCTTGGCCGAATATATCGTGTCTGTTGCGCGCACCAGTCTGTGTGCGGTCCACGATCGGCATCCGCCTCGACCCGGGCTCATATCGTTTTCGCACGATGATGCCCTCGCCATGGAGAGAGAATCTCCGATCCGTGGCCTGAGGATCGTTGTTGTATAGAGCGAGTTGTATTGCAGAATCTTGGTCGGGAGCGCATCCCTTCAAGCCAGTCCCTGCTTCTTGAGTCGCAGGAGCTTGACCTTGGCCTTGAACACCAGGTACTTCTCCTTTCGCTTCGGGATCGGGATGTCCTTGGGGTCGGTGCCACGTCTATGCACAATATCCATCGATGTTGGGTGCAGGCCTGGTCAGTATATCTCCTTGCTACCTACATCATGCCCATGAAAGCGCGAGGTGGCGATATGCGGCCGTGTGTTGCACTGTCGAGCTGCACTGTCGAACTGCACTGTCGAATTGCGCTGTCGAGCTGCATTGTCGAATTGCATTGGCCAAAACAAGCCGCATCGCTGGCTCCACCGATTTCGCTAACGATCATCGGTGTTCGTTGCTTCCAGTCCCACCACTCGCCACGAGCAAGCATCGGCCCGGCCTCGCTAAGCCAGACGAGCTGCCCCGAGGTCGGTGCTTACTTGAACGACTCTCGCCAGCCAAGGATGTACTTTCGTCGTTGACAGTCGATGCCCAGCTCCTTCATCTCCGACGAGGTGGCCTTGAAAAGATGCTCCCAGCTCGTAAACTTTGCAGCAACGTCTCCACACTTTCGCCCGATGGCGTTCAGGAAGCTGGCCGGATCCGTGATCGCTCCTGCTCCAAGGAAGATGATCGGCAGAGTCGGTATGAGTGCAAGTCCATCGCTGGCCAAGACGACGTGCCGACTGATCGTGCGCCTGCTGGTCGAGCCAATCCGATCTGCAAATCTGGTCGGATATCGCCAGCACTTCCTCGTCCTCGCGCTTGGCGTGGCCAACGACAGATGCCGGTTGCTTGCTACTGCTGGTGTCGTATTCACCGATTGCCGGCGTCGTATTCACCGATTGCTGGTGTCGTATTCGCTGATTGCAAAACCTCCAGCACGACAAGCTGGCTGCTGTTTTACCTCGCGGAGCTGGCACGAATGTGTCCTTCTGCAGGTCCGACAGGGCAAGGTATTCCCATCCCTTCCTCAGGTTTTTGAATGGCACGGTGGCGACCGATCGAGCCTGGCTCAGGACGGGAGCGATTGCGGGGCGAGCCGACGAGCGGATCGAGATCTGGGCGAATCGATGTGCGAGGGTTGCGAGCGGGTTCATGATGCTGGGGTGTTTGGTGGGTTGCCTTGACGGTCTGAAGATGCGAGGCAGCGGCGGGTAGGCAGACGTCTGTGGGGACGGCGGCAGAGATCGTAAGGCGCTGTTGATTTGCTGCTCCCACGGCTGGCTCTTGCACGAGAGATCGAGATCAAGCGAGTCGCAGGCTCCCCAACAGGCTCGGTTTCGTGGGTCGGCATGACAGAGCCAACGACCCGAAAAAAAGACAAAACGGATGGTGTCACGTGTGGCTAACCCAGCCGGCTTGTGGCCGGCCACAGTCGGTCGGTCTGTGGCGGCGATTGGCCGGCATTGTGATACTAGTGTGTGTGGAGCACTCGACCCCTCTGGAGTGGAGCACTCGACCTCTCTGGTGTGTGGTGCACTCGAACTCTCTGGACGGCTCTGCACAAGTGCGGTTTCTCGATATCAAGGCGCGGGCGAATCGAGTCGCTTGGCTTCATGGCACGAAGCTCACCCTTTGGTTATGACGGTCGAGTGTGTATTCAGGATCCAGAGGATCCCACCATCTGTGCTCAGACACGACCTTCCCCGTTTCGTTTTGGGTACGCATTAAACCGGATGGGTATTGGCCATTGCACATCCAGAGAAACAAGTGGTCGACCAACTCAGAGCGTACAAATAGCCCCGTGCTGCTTTGTAGCTTCAGTCAATCGGGACGAAGAGAAGGTGGGGACAATCAGAGCTCATAGTTGCTGAGAGCGAAGATGATGCAAGAAAATGAGTTTGTATAAAAGGTAAAAGAGATGTTGTGCGGACGTGCATGGTGATGGATGGACTGGAATGGAAGCTGATGGTGAAGATTTGAGAGTCGGGCCAGAGAGTCTGCAGCCACATTCCCGGCGAGATGAAGGACGTGGGAACATGGCAGCCGAGGCCAAGTGAAATGCAGCCCGGGTAACTACACTTTGTGAGTGCCGGTTTGGGTCTGGCCCTGGCTGCTGGTAGCCGAAGAGTCCTCGTCGCTGAACTTGTTGTTGACGGTACTGAGAATAAGGATGTGCTGGGCTGCAAGTTCAAACGAGACGGGTCAGACACAGTCACTCTCGGCCCTGAAACACAGAGCGCTGGCGGTGGTATCGCTGCCGGCTACCAGAGACGATCAACAACCATGCACCAAGTTCACGTGGCTTGCGAAACGTACCCATGGTAAAGATGATTCCGTTGATGTACACGATCGTGAGACCGGTGATGAACTGAATGACGACCAAGATGCAGACGATGAAGCCCAGACCGGTAGAGAAGGCCACTCGGAACGTTTCTCGGCGCAGGACACGGGAAAGGGCCGTTGGGGTTCCCTTGGTGCCAGCCGCAGTGGCAGTGGACGGACGGCCCGAGAGCAGGCGGGACGAAGCCACATGGCTGGACAGGAACCAGAGGAAGACCACAGAGACACTAAAGTCGACGGCGAACCAGTAGAGGTAGAGGAGAATCAAAGTCCAGGTGATGCTGACGGTGCCGTTGCCTTGGCAGGTTCCTGTAGCCATCGGTATTGGATGTCGGCGGGTCAGCATATCGATGTGAAAGCCAGACCCATGACCAATCCTTTAATGCGATGATCGTGCTCTATCGCTGGCGGCATCGCCGACACAGTATATCTACCCAAGGCATGCTGGCCAGCCAGGTATGGGACAGCGCGGTTGACTTACCCGTGAGAACGTATGCCTGGGTCATGTAGAGGATGTAGAGGAAGAAGGAAACAATCCCCGTGGCGGAGTACATGAGCAGCTGCAAGTTCTTGGAGAACTTTGACACAACCTTGAGGACTTTCCACACTAGATACGCATTTTTAAACCCATCCTACGGAAGTAGAGCGGAGTGTGGTTAACTTTGAATTGCTTAACATTGTCGCGCTGTCATTGCGGTGACTCTTGGCCACGAGGATTGCAGCGGCTGGCTCCCAGACAGCCCGTCAACAGTGCCCTCCGTCACCCCGAATTCACGTTTCATGTTCAATGCCTCAATCCGCCCAGCTCACTGTTGCATTGGGGGGTCATGTCAGCGAAGCTTACTTTTGCTGCCCATACGAGGTCAGATATAAATCCAAGATATGTCTGCGAACACGGCGATAAGGTGTTGCCGAGACCGACTCCGGCATAGAAGAAGCAGAAGGCCAGGGCATCCGAATAGAGCATCGCCTGCAGGAGATACTTTGGCTCAAACTTGATCTTCCACTGGTCCAGGATCACAACGGTAAGGACACTGGTGAAGGTGATCAAGCCGTGGCCGTGCTGGAAGATGTAAATCAGGTCGTTGCTGGCCATTGCGGTGGTACTTGATTTGACGAGATGTAATCCGGCTGAGCGGTCTTGGGAGGTGCTCTGAGATCGACTTGAGGTGGCCTTCGGTTCGCTTGAATATTGGAGATGCCGAGGGGTTGCCCAGACGGAATGGGGGGGGGGGCACTTTTAAACAACCCTCTCGCTATCCGAGAGTCAGTCCGCGAGCCAGTCCGAAAGCCAGTCTGCGAGCTAATCTCGGCTGCTGATGTCAGATCAACATATTGCCAGGGCTGAATCAAAGGCACATAAATACCCTCGCTGGACCGCCAGACAGTCCTGCCAGACCACTCGGTGTTGCCTGGCGTATCGTGATGGAATATCACCCGCTAGTGCATATGAAGAAGACCTATTCCGGCTAGCCATGCTTCTTATGCCCACTCACTCATCGACTCGAGCGCTCGTCGATGGACGGCTGTCAAAACAGGATCATCCCTTGGCTCCACAGCCTTAATTTCTCCTGGCAGGCCCCCAGCCGGGAGCCAAAACGAGAGTTATTCAGCGACAAAGTTGTGTGTCAGCACTGGATTCACCGTCAGGCTCATATGTCAGCGAAGTGATTGTTGTGGATGACCATTGAGGCTCCTCTGAGCGAAATATGGGTCTCGCTGTCCAATATGTCGACAGTCATCCCCTCAAGATGTCAGATCAGTCCCTCAAACTTCGGTGCTACTATCAGCCGGCACCGTGATTGGCTTGCGATCTCTGCCAGGCATATATGGCTATTGTTGTTGGCCCTCATATGTCGCTCGGAGCATGACGTCGTCACCGACACTGCAGCGGCTATTTCCGCTTTCTCTCTGGATTCGTACTACACACACACACACATTCGTTCGGTGTGCTCATGATCCCAATTCAGCGTGCCTCCGCACCAGTAACCACTGATGGCCAGTCAGATATGGGCTTGTGAAAGAAGTGTGATATGGACGAGGTACGCTGGCATCCGCGCGTATTCGATTCAAAGCATGCACCATTCAATTTTTGCGATTGCTTTCTCCCAGTCAATCCAACTCCACCAATCCTGTTTGAGGCATTCTTATGGTCGATCTCCAGGGTTGTTGGACCGACAGGGTGTTCACGGGCGGCCGTAGGTCTCGGCGCCTCGGTTTCCAGTCTGGCTGTGGGTGCCATGGGAGCTCACCTCTTCGTCCTTGAAGGTATTGTTGACTGTACTGAGAATCAGGATGTGCTGGGCTGGCGTATCGAAAGATGAATCAGGGCAGTGCATGTCGGATGCAGGATGTGCTGTCTGCCCCGTGGACATCTGCGATGATCCTCTGCACAGATCCGTTCGGCGCAAAAGCTTACCCATGGTAAAGATGATTCCGTTGATGTATAGAATCGGCTGCCCAGTGATGAACTGGATGACGACCAAGATGCACACGATGAAGCCCAGGCCCGACGAGAAGGTCACTCGGAAGGTCTCGCGGTGCAGAACACGGTTGAGCGATCCGGCCGGAGAGCTTGACTGGGTTGCCGATGGCGTGCTGGCCTTGCGGGGAGTGAGCAGCTTGGATGCGGCGATGTGCTTGGACAAAAACCAGATGAAGATAACAGCCACCCCGAAATCGACGACGAACCAGTAGAGGTAGAGCAGGATCAATGTCCAGGTGATGCTGACGGTTCCGTTGCCTTCACATGTTCCTGACGGCATGGTTGACGACAAGCAAGCAAATGAGTGATCCATGTGAACAAGGCAGCCAACACCGTCGTGGGGATGTCGTTCGGTGGAATTGCAGCGCATTAGGCCCGGAATGCGATACGTACCTGTGAGAACATATGCCTGGGCCATGTAGGCAATGTAAATGACAAAGGACCCCATTCCCGCGCTCGAATACATGAGCAGCTGGGTCTTCCGTGTGTATTTGGTGACGACCTTGAGAACCTTCCACACCAGATAGGCGTGCTTGAAACCGTCCTGCCCACGTTTGCCGGTGTATGAAGCGTAAGTACAGGCTTCCATGGCATCATGGCATCATGGCATCATGGCATTGGCGCATGGCGCATGGAAGCCATAGCGATATCGGTGATGGGCTCGTTCCTCGATTCAAGCTGCGCGCGCTGGGGCTCTCCGGGGGTTGGGATCAAGCCCCGATCGCGTCCAAATCGAGATCCTTCGCATGGATGGTGATATGCGGCCGTCGCCAGAGAGGATAATAATGCGACGCGGAGAAGCATTGCCCACCTTTGCGGCCCATATGAGGTCAGATATGAACCCAAGATACGTCTGTGTGCACGGTGAGACGCTTCCGCCGAGGCCGATTCCCGCATAGAAGAAGCAGAAGGCCAGGGCATCCGTGTAGAGCATGGTCTGGAGGAGGTACTTTGGCTGGAACTTGATTCTCCACTGGTCCAGGATCACGACGGTAAGGACACTGGTGAAGGTGATCAAGCCGTGGCCGTGCTGGAAGATGTAGAGTAACTGGTTGGTTGACATGGCTGGTGCTGGTGGAGATTGCCAGTGTATTCGAGAGGCTTTTTGGAGACGACCGGTCGAGATGAAGGCTGCTTTGGGATTTCAGCGACCCTCGGAGTATTTATGGAGCTCTTCAGGTTGTTTCTTGAGCGCAGAATCATGGTCAAGAGCGGATCTCGACGGAGTCTCTAGGTGGCACTCAATCATGTCTCTCGAGTGTCCCAACAACGATTTGGCCTCAAAAGCCTCGCATGATTCTGCTGGAGGGTCGACCTTTTCTCAGCAGCGTGTTGGAAGTGCCTTGGGATTGGTTGATTGGCCGTCGATTTCTCCTGCCTCCCACACGGGAAGCTCGGGCAAGCAAAGACAGCCTATGCTCCCACCACAGCTGAATCATGGCAGGCCCAGGCGGTCCTCGATCAATGGACGTGTCCAGCCCCAGTCTCCACATGGCGGGACGGTGCAAGCTTGCATTTTCCGCAGTGCGTTCAGTGCACTAGTCGCGGCAAGATCCAGCACATGCGGGATATTTGGCCAGCCATCCAGTATTTGTTGCTTCACAACATTGTGCATAGGGTATGGCCATTTGCCCCACCCTCGATCTCCGCTGAGTATGCTGGGCAGCTCAAGCAGCGCAGCGGCAGCTCAAGCACCACTGCGGCAGCTCAAGCACCACTGCGGCAGCCCTCATCTGGGCCATCGGCCTATGTTGATATTGGCCAACGACCCGATCTCGGCAACCGGCTCGCCAGGTAATTGCTGATACAATAGCCCCGTTGGACGCAGGCTTTCCGTGACCACCTGGGCAATCTGGTGTTTGAAAGAGGCGTCGTGATTCAATCTAGCACTTGTGACAGGGCATCGATCATATCCATATCGCCCTTCAGACTCCGGCCAATGCCCTCGACTAGTACGCACGAAACAAAGAGCCCCACGAACTCCCCGTCAAGCTTGATGCGGTGGTATCGGATGAGCTGGCTGACGCTGTTGAGCACCTCGGCCGTGTGGATCTTGGAGAGCGGGAGCTTGCCGTCGGTGTCGAGCCGGAGCTGCCGCATCAGCGTTGCCAAGCGTTCCTTTGCTCCTTCCGGGTCGATGATTTCGGCCAGAGGCGTCGCACAGCGCGAGATCAGGAGCTCGGCGATCTTGGTTCCGTCAAACTCCATGCCCGCAACGAAGCAGTCGGTCACATTGCGCAGATTGCGGTCCGAGAGCGAGCACACCAGCCCTGCGTCGAGGATGATGCATTCGATGGCATATCCCTGCTTCTTGAAGCCCTCAAACAACGACGGCCACATGCGCCTGTCGTGTTCGAACAGGGACTTGATGAGTGCCGGAGGGTCGCCTGTTTCGGTGAGGTCGTTTCCTGCTCTGCTGATTTTGGGTGGTCGGAAGCTGACCATGATGTTGCCTAAAATATCCATCGGACGCTGGTCAGTACAAAAGTCACCGCTCGACCCAGCATGCTGCTTTACGCCGCCATCGGCATCTCACCTGCGTGCAAGTCGGCGTGGGTAAAATTATCACGGAACACCATTTTCTATGCAGATGAGAGCGTCGACTGTGAGTAGACGATGCGGCATCGCAGATATGTATGAGGTTGCGAGACACGCCACAGTTTCAAGCCATGCAATGTTCGCTTGGCCAAGATGCTGTGGAATTCGACCCCGCTGATCTTCAACGGACGATCCTCGAGAGGACTGGTCGAGGCGAGATGCTGTCCAGACGCCATACCCAATTTCCCACTGACTGTGCTTCATTTCCCACACATCGTTACGCCGCCGATGCTGTCAGCGCAACCAGTGCCATCAACAATGGTCATTCCAGCAATGGCGAGGGCTTACCAGAAATGTCTGAACACCCAGATTTGCCAGCGTCGAGTCGTAGACCGTGGGTCCGACATCCAGGAGGTCTTTCATCAGTATGCCGTGATGAAAGCTCTCGACCAGCACTTGTCGAGAGCAGAGGCCAAGAACTGGCCGTGGGAATGACAGCACCGGCTCCCCCACTTGAGGCGGCCGATCTGTCCCAAAGTTGTTTTGGAACCGAGCCAGGTTCTGGGCTTCGACTCGCAGGTCGAGTTGATCGAGCATCATCGAGTTGAACATGCGCATTTCGCTCGGTGCACTCAGCACGTCGAGGCCAGGGATGCGATCGATGAGTTCGGCAGCGATGGATGCCATCCAGAGGTCGAGCTCTATCCGAGAGTGCACTCCAGGGTGCAGGACTTTGACTGCACATTCGCGCAGAGCTTGAGTACCGTTGCCATGGTCGTCGCGATCGAGCGCTTCTTTCCTCAAAACGGCTCTGTGGACCTGGGGATTCGGCCGCCCCGTTAGCATTCAAGGACGCCTTGCCATGTAGCTGCGCGGGTGGAGGAATTACCTGGGCAACGGCTCCAACGCCGATGGGCTCGGGGTCGAATTCTTCGAAAATCTCGTCCATCGGGCGGCCGAGTGCTTCTGAGATTATCGTCCTCGTTTCTGCGATGCTGTGGGGCCTACCGCCGGACTGCAATCGCCCGAGGGCGGCTGTGACGGGTCTGGGGAACAGATCGCACCGAGTACTTGCCCACTGGCCCAGCTTCACAAACAGCGGTCCAGCTCGCTCGAGCGTGCTGGCCAGCCATGTGAGCCACCAGTCCGCCGGATTGTCAGTATCGGCAACATCGCAGCTCGCGAACATGGCCCGGCCCCTGGATATCCACCAGTATGGGAGCGCCGCCAGTAGAGGCACAAAGAGTCGCCCAAGCTGCAGAATGCGCCAGATGATGCGACCAAGCCATATCGCCTTGGATGCCAGGGTGTGGTTGTGTTGTTTGCTGGGTTGTCTGCTTGGTTGCGCATGAACAAGTCCGACGGCGTCGATGGAGAGGTCCTTGGAGACTGCTGTTGCTGCGGGGAGATGCTCGCCAGGCCCGCTGGGCTTGTGCGTTGAAATCCAGACCAAGCTGGCAGTCGATCCGACTGGAAGGAGATATGGAAGAAGCCTCCGGAGCAGCCTATGGAACAGCCAATCGGAGCGATCTTGATGGCGCTGAAAGGATGCAGACACGAGCAGTCGTTGCTTGAACTTGAACGATTGGCTTGCGGGGCCGGTGAAGTGCAACTTTGCTGGGCATGTCGGGAACAAACTCGACAACACCCCCGGGAGACGCGGCAGCCTCCACCGATCGCCCGAGAGCATCCGGCCCTGCAGCACAGAGGGAGTGCATGCTCTCTCGACGGCCCGGGCAAACATGCGTGCAGATCGGCGACTGTGTCTCTGTTGTCTGCGGGTGGTTGCGGGCTGGAGGAAGCCCGCTCGGCAAACGGCGACCAGCGCACATGGCAACCGGGACGGCTGGGGCACGGGCCAATCACCGCCCTGCACACACACACACGCGTGTTCTGTGGGCACGGAATATCACGGGTCTTACGTAAGCGGGACTCGCTCGCATTGCCAAGTGGGGACGCCTCTGGGCATGCTGAGGCGATCCTCCTTTTTGCAAACTGTTTGGAAAGCCCAGCCCCCGCTGCTTTTATCTCAGAGAACAATAAGACGAAATGAAGTGAGTACGCCTGGACACAGCAGCGCGGCTCCGAACCCGAACGAACAACCGATGGACGGATGGATGGATGGATGGATGGATGGATGGATGGATGGATGGACGGATGGATCGACAAGATAGCCAAGGACGAAAGCTCGAGACGCCGCCAGGGACAGGACATTCGCAACGCAGACACAGCCATATCAATCGACTCTGGGACAGCGACGCCGACACTGGATACACTCGGATGATTCTTTGCCGAACCTGGGACCGATATCGGGACGGCGTGCGAGCCAGCTCGGTTGCAGCGTCTCTGTGAACCATGGGCTTCTCGACCCTCCGACGAGCCGAGTCCCTTGGTCTCTGTGAATCGCTCGATCCATCTGATATCGCTGCATCGGCACTCGACTCGATCCGAGTAATCTTTCGATGGACAAGTCGCGAATAGGCACTCTGAAGAACGCCGTGGGCTCGCCTAGCGATATCAGCTCAGCCAGCAGCATCATCCTGGGCAGTGGTGGATAGCGTGAAGCTGCAGCGATTCATCCGACTCGCTCGATTCGATCACAACCGGATGGCTGCCGCCCACTCTAACCGCGCGACTGCCACCTGTATCTTCTCCTTTGGCGACCAACCGATTCGATAAAGGACCGAGGTATGGATCAGATCGATGCTGTCCAATACCGATGTGCAATGTCCGAGCTACCACAGCCCCGAGCGTGCCGCTAACAGCGTCCCTCGATAGATTTGCAACTTCTCTGGATTCCGTATCTACCCCGGCCACGGAAAGACCTACATCCGTGTTGACGGCCGTGTATGTATACGTATTGCATCGGCGCACAATCGTGCTATGGAATCTCTCACTCTGCCAGATCATCGGAGCTCGTCAGACTGACAGCACATCCTTCCGCAGAGCTTCCGTCTGATCAACGGCAAGACCGAGTCCTACTTCCTCCAGAAGCTGAAGCCCTCCAAGCTCAACTGGACCGTCGTCTTCCGCCGCCTGCACAAGAAGGGTGCCTCCGAGGAGGTCTCCAAGAAGCGCACCAAGCGCGTCGTCAAGGCTCAGCGTGGTGTCGTTGGTGCCGATCTCGAGGCCATCAAGGCCAAGCGCAACCAGAAGCCCGAGTTCCGTGCTGCCCAGCGCCAGCAGGCCTCTTCTGCCGCCAAGGACAAGAAGAAGCTGGCCCAGGACGCCAAGAAGCTCGAGAAGGCCAAGGTAGGGCCGCGATGGTGATAGAGGGCGCATTGCGATTCAGCAATCTGCAGACGGGGCTCAGCCCTCGTTGCGACGCAGGACCGGTATCCGACTCGACTGCGGTCCTCACGCATATCCGTTTGACAGACCAACAAGGCTCAGGGCCCCAAGATCAGCAAGCAGGGTGCCAAGGGTGCTGCCCCCAAGGTCCAGGCCAAGTCCCGCTAAGGGTTGGAGCTTGTAATCTCTCTCGAACTTTGAGGAATAAAAGAGCGGTGCAAAACAAACCGGATCGCCCTGTGTATGGGTCCATCGGCAACCTTGGCTGAATCATACATACGTGTCATTCAACTGTCGCCGTGTATTGCGGTGCGAGGCATTGTGGGCATCACTGGAGGCGCATGGGGCACAGCACAAGTATGGATGGCAGTATCGCAATTCACGATGCCGTGCTTATGGTCTCTTCTGGCTCAAAGCATCGCTCGAAGAACTTCTCGGCGCTCACAGAGCCTGCAAAGCCCAGTGCGTAGGTCTGGTGTGGTGTCTTCAGGCTGACACAGTGCCCGCTGACATCCAGTGTCGCTGAAACGCCCGTGGAGCACTCGATGAACATCTGTTTGGCCAACGAGGGCTGTGATGAGTTTGGTTGGCCCTGGCACCCGTTACCGCTCGTCTTCCACAACGACCTGAGCAGTTTTGGATGCTGCTTTACCTCGTCATCCTCCGAGTCGCCGCTCTGACCGCCCGACAGGAACAGATGTCCGCCCTCGAGCACCAGACACTGTGGCTTCTTGGTCAGCATCGAGCTTGATTGCCCGCGCTTCACTTGCAGTGATGCCAGGGGATACTTTTTCGCCCCCATGGTTGCTTCCAGGGTCGATTTGAGCATCTCTGAGATCGTAACGGGCTCAATGAACTTGCTGGGCTGTGGCGGTCGAAGTGCGAAGAACAGCAACGGGCCCACGATCGCACTCGGGGCGAATATGATCGCCAGAGTCCTGAGATATCTTCGGGAGTGAAGCAACTGCTGCGAAAATTGCGGCAAGCCCACCAGCAACGTGAGGCCCATGAGCTTGCTGCGGCACAGTAAGTATCATCGTCGACGCCGACATCAACACCGATTCCGGACTGTGCGGCAATACTGACCCAGCCGCCAGCAGCACCATCTGTTCGTCCATCCTGCCCGACAGCGAGTCTGAGTCAGTCCAATATCACACTAATCCGCCAGCCACGGCACGGATCCAGGCGCTTGGGCAAGTAATATGCACTATCCGAGGCAATTGCTGATGCCCAGGTCCCGCATTTTCGCATCTTACTTGAAGTTCGGGTGATGCGCCAGAGGCATCATGAGCGCAAGGCAGATGGCTCCTGCTAGCAGATAGATGCAGCCCAGTGCAACCAGTGTCGGAATGTCGCTTTGGCATTCGATAGAGATGCTGATCGGCGTTGTGTATGTCGCCACTGGCTCAGACGAACTCCAGTGCAAGGAAAGCCCGCAAACCAGCTGATTTGAACGACCTCGCTATCAGATATAGGAGATGCGGTCAGATGCTTGCACGCGTCACCATCGACCCAGACACTTACCGATCCCAGTGAAATGGTCAACAGCGACGGAAGAGTACGGATCCATCCTTCATCTGGATCGTCCAGTCGGTTTCTGCGAGGAAGGTTCCGAAATGTCCCTAAGCGCAAGTGGCTGCGGGTGAGTTCCTTGTGAGATCGGACTCAGCGCAACTATTGTCGATGCTTACTCCATGACATTGTCATCAGTGCCCTGTTTCGACGGGTTGCGTTAGCAAGATGATCCCACATCTATCTGTCCGACAGCCAGAAGCGATGGCCCCAGCGTCTTGTATTGCTTGACCTGGAGCTTGGGCAACTCACCCGAGAACCAGCGAATAGCTCAACACTGCAAAGATCTGGCGTAGCTGACAGTGTATGATACTCGGAACTCCAAAAAACAGGAACATGGTTGAATAGCCAAGCATTGCTCCCAATGCGCCTGCGTGGGGTTGCGACCCGCGGCAGGGCGAGTTAGTCTGTGGCGATCGTTGGCGGCCAAGGATGTGGAGCATTGCGGTACCAATGGTGCTTCTCAATGTGGAGATTCGATTCTTGGACATTGATGACAACTTACATTGCATAAGCGACCAGTGGTCCGTTTGGTTCGGATTGGCTTTGCCACTATGTGCCGTCAGGGCACACAAAGCTGCTGAGAAGCACACTATTCCTGTCGATGCAATGATAAGCTCCGGAAGCATGTCCAGGGCACTTGGGTTGGCGATGGTGATTGCTGGGTAGTCCCATGGGATCGCTGGGAGTCCTTTGGTTGACACTGTTGGGCGTAGCGACCGCTCTGGTGAGCCTCAACTCCGTTGCAACGCATCCGAAGGATCAAACGCACTCGTGTGCATCAAGTACCACGATCCACGATCCACGATCCACGATCCACGATCCACGATCCACGATCCACGATCCACGATCCACAAGAGCGTCATGAGTCCGGTGTCTTTGGTGGACAGGATTCCGGGCTCAGCGCCGATCGTGCCCAGTACATTACCGTTGAAGTTTTCGTAAAACACCGCCCATGTGTCGTTCATGGACATCAAAAACAGAGGCGACTCATATGGATGGCTGTAGTTGGAAAATAGCGTGAACTGCTGGGCAGACTCGGCCGATGTTCCTGTCGCATTCTGGTTCAAAGTTCACGCCAAATGCCAATCAATCTCTTGCGCTCAGAATGGGATGCCGCTCGCATGGTACATTGGGCCAGCGGCATTCGTTGCATACCACCAAAAACACGTATACGCCACTGTGTCGGGATACGTTAGTCTGGGAAGTGTTTCATCAAAGTCGACTGGTTGCCATCCGCTCACCCCGAGGTGATCACGCCGCAGTCTTTGTGGGGTCGTCGATGGAGACAAAATGGGACAGGGTCTTAGCACGGTCTGATCCAAGGAGCTCCTCGTTGGCGCAGACTCAGCAGCCACGTCAGTTGCGTTCTCAGTGTTGGTCTCACCAGTAAAGTCCAGGAGGCCCACCGCCCCCATGTAGCCGGTAGAAAATGCCGACGGAGAGGTCAGTGCTCTTGGGAGCTGTCCTTTGCGCATCATATCCAGCGACACGCTCCCAGGGAACTGCTTCAGCATCTAAAGTACAAACTTGTCAGGCGTTCGTTTTGCCAGTGCAATTTTAAAGCACTGCAAACAACCCTGACTTGCTTACGTTATCGATTCCGTATATGATGGCAAGAGCACAGTCAAAGACCAGTCTGCGGAGAGGAGAGTCAGACCAACAAATCAGATGCACAGGAGCGCTATCGTTAGCGCGGCAGATCACACACAGGCATGGTCACTCACGGGACAGACGACCACGGTTCGATTATCGTTTGCTCGGGTTTGAGATTGTATATCGACCAAGTTTCGTTGAGCAAGTTCCAGAAGGGATGATCCATCCACAGTGTTACTGGCCCATCTCTATCGGCGAAGGGTTGCAGGGGCGATTGGATGCAATAACACGATGAAGCAAAATAGCGCATATCAGCGACGGTTGAGAGGTCAATCAGGAATGTCTTCTTGGCATCAACAGCTGAGACGCCCGGGTGAGCACAGCGGAGATAGGATCAACCGAATACTCGCAGGGAATGCTGGCCCAGCACCACGACTGCTTATTCATTGCTGCGATTTGGCTATGCAACAGCACGGTGCATACAAAACAAAGTAGGGCCCACTGATAATGTCCAAGGGTATTCCGTCGAATTCTGTTGGCTCGTTCTCGGCCTGGATGTCGCTGAGGTAGCTGGATAGTGCTCCCATGCTTGATGACACGTACCAGACATACTCTGGTCCGGTCAGGCCGTGCTTACTGGTGTTTGGGCAAAACTAAACCATTAGTTCGGCCGTTAATCACGTTGTTCCGAAGCACACCGCATCCCTTACCTTGCCTATGAATATACGAAACATCTGATTAGCTTTGTGCCATGTTCCAAGAGCGAGCCATGTTCCAAGAGCGAGCCATGTTCCAAGAGCGAGCCATGTTCCAAGAGCGAGCCATCCCACGAGCAGCGACCTGAGCCATGCAGCAGCAGCAGCAATGCAACCTCCACAACGAAGCTATATCCCACCTGAAGATACAGCATGGTCGTGGGACCAACGTTGCCGAGAACAATCAAGATCCGTCCATATGTCCTCTGAATGCGCGCGACGGGCTCGGTCCAGTTATTTTTGATCAGCAGCTCGTTCTCGCAATACATTGGGATGGTGTCCAAGATGGTTATGCCGAGGAAGGCCGATCGATATGCGAATCCGGCATAGAGGCTTGCTCCATATGTATCGTACTGCGAGCACTATGAATGAGTGTTAGCGCTTGCGACCTGCTCGAGCTCGTCAACTTTCCTTTGTGCTATATTTTGCTGTGTCATGCAAATTTGACATCGCTTATGCACTCTGGCCGGCACTGAACTTACGCTTATCACCACGACGACTTTGCACCATCCCATGGTGTACACCCAGTCAGCGATACCTTGGGATGGCATGTCGAGCTTTGAAGTTAGGCCATAGATATGACAGACCCAGCTGTCGCTCGGATACTTGATGTGCGAGCTCAGCCAAGAGCGTGATGAGCTCCTATTTCAATCCAACTTACTGGCGCCCGCCACGCTGTTGTCAGCCACAACACGGAAGGTCGTCGAGAATGTACTGCGATCGTATATCTGCATTGCCATGGAGGCGCAGTGAGACAAACGCCACGACAACTCGTTCAAACTCGAGTCTGGCTGCATAATTCGAATATCGATTGATTCCAAAGCATGGATCCCAACTACACATTGATCACTCACATCCAAGGATCCAGACATATAGGTACAAAACTGGCAAGCATCGTGATGGAGACTCGTCAGCGATCATAGGCAGCGCTTCTAGCTCGAGCAGTATAGCGCGAAGTCCATCCATACCGGATAGTTGAACTTGCCAGCGACGATACCCTCCTCACGTATCGCTGTGGATACGCTTGTCTGCTCCGTTGTGTCTCCTGTCGAACATCGGGAGTGTCCGGAGAGCCCGGAGTGTCGGCGTCAGTATCTCAGTGGGGCTCCCTCTCCATATCGCTATCCGATATCTGACACGAACATACCGATGAATCCAACGTACTGCTTTGAGCCCATCGCTTGTATCGATGTCAGTATCTGTGCGATGCGTTGGTTGTTAGGCTGATGGCAGTTGCCGGGCAACTACATCCCACCACGAGCGCGTCCTTACTGAAGAGGCCTCGGTGGAGACGCTGTCATAAACATCAATACAGTCGATTTCGATGAGCTGATAAAAAGCAGATGAATGTAAGAATGTCCCGTGCGGGACGGCCGACAGGGACAGCTGCTCGCGACAATCGATCTCGCAGCCGTCCTGATCTTCAGTCGCGCTTGCAATTCTTCTTATAAATCGGCATCTGGTTCACGCGGAATACGTACAATTCCCGGAAGAATAGAGTTGCTGATTTCGAGATGGTATTAGATCTAGTCATAAACGTGCTCATGCGACGTGCTATCGATCTGATATCTGCTCAGGGTGAGGATGCCTGCGCCCGGTGCCCGGGACGGCGGTATTGGGCAAGTTGGGGTCTGCCTCGATGCTCGACTTACTCGCTATTAATGATATCTGCCGCAGCCTGGACGCCGTAGAACCTGATTTGCACGTCTTTCGTCAGGATCGCGATACCGAATCTACAGATATGATCAAATCGATCACTTGGGTGGCATAGACTCACTCGGAGATAGCGGCATCTCTGCCGTGTGGCTGACCCATGACTGTCGTATTGACGACTTTATCCGAAAACAGACCAAATACTCCGATCTTGACCACCTCGGCACTGGCGGCTTTCGTTGGGTGCACGGGATATGCTGGCTGGTGCGGCTTTCCAGTAAATGCGGCAGCATGATTCTCCGGATCGCCGACCAGACTCGCTTCGGCTGCGAGAGCGAGAGCCCAAGCACACAGGAGTGCGATCGCTCGTTGGCACAATAGCTGCACGCCCATGGCAAGGGTAGATTCAGCTCTAGTTAGCGCGAAACGAGTCAGCGATGTGCGGGCCGAGACGAATCCAGACCGACGAAACGGCAACACCATCCCGGAGAGCTTCAGGCCGGAATGTCCCGGACGACAATCCACTGACATCATCACGGACCAAGGCTATCGCAGCCAATCGAACCACTTCCGCAGCCATAATCCATTCGAACAGACTGGTATTGGACTGTACTTTGCGTGGAGCGCTCAAATTGAAATGTATATTCTCTCGTTCGCGTCACCAGTACTGTCGGTCAAGAAAGAAACGGGACAGTTCCTTCCTGGCTTCAGATGTCTGAAACCCGCTGACTGACTGTAGGCCCCAGTGAGCAAGCCGTGAGATTGTTTCCCGTCCTAATTGGCAATCTCTCTGTGTAGTGCATCCGCTCCACTCTCTGGACAACCCCATGGTTTCTCGATATCAAGATGCTCGACCTTCTCGAGTCGCTTGGCTTCCCGACAATGTGGGCACACCTGGGATGTGTTGAACTCGTTCACCGAGCACACATGGATCTTGGAGACGGATCGGTCTGGTGGGCGTCTCTGGTGGTGGTGGAACTGCTCAAAGTACTTGGCGAACCTGGGTGTCCTGGGACTGGATGCGTATCCCTTCCCCTGTTTCCAGGATGCATTCCCAAAGGCAATCACCACTTCGGTCTCCTTCAGTGCCTGGTCGATGGCTTGCTTGCTTGGCCATGAATGCGATGAGTGGGTGGGTGTATTCAGGTTCCAGAAAAAAACACTGTCCTGGTTAAAAACGGAGTGTCCCATTTCATTCTGGAAACCCTGTAACTCACTCGATCGTCAGTGCGCACGAGCATTCATTGTGCATTCAAGATCGTACTGCCCAAACAACTTGCTGCTCAAAACTAACGAAATCACTACCAAGATGGCTGGGCAATCGAAACCCATCGATCGGATCCTCTGAAGCCGACACGATTCGTGGACCAAATACTCCAGACGAATGTTTTCTGGACGAGCCGCATGCCACTGTTCCTAGTGCAATGTTCGACCATGAGTGGACACTCCGGCATTTCGAAACTCCATACTAACAAAGCACGCATCGTAGAATGCTGCAGCTACATCCGGGCTCTTAAAAACAACATCGTATAAGCGGTTTCCACTTGTGAGTGATACGAGATTGCTCTCCGGTTCGTATTCTGCAAACATTCCACGGAATGTCTCGAGCCGGGGCTGAGCCGGGGTGTTTCATACCATCAGAAGCAAGTGGCGGAGATGCATCCACATTTGCCAATAGTTAGTAAGGATCCTCAGCTCGGTTGAAATCGCATGCGAACCGGTACCAACCTGCTTCTCGCTGTCGCCTCTTCCCTCCTTCCCAAGTATCAGGAACTGATCCACGCCAAAGATCACCAGCCGACCCTTTTTGATTGTGAGCCTGTCCCTGACCGGTGCCAAGCACTCGATATCAACGTGGGTGTAGACGGTTCCGTGCAATGAATTGGAAGGGGAGCATTTTTCCACGGCCGAGATGGTCGTCTCTTCCTTCCCGGACAGGCTGTTCTCGCGCCAGAACATGCTGAAGAATATAGGGACGAGTGTCGTCGTTGGGATCACCAGCAAGGCCGTTGGTCGGATGTAGGACTGGACATTGAAGAACTGGCTGCTGAAGAGAGGTGGCACTAACAAGGCCGATAAAATTGCCATTTGACTATGGATATGCGGGTGCGTTATTCAGCAATATGCATGGGGAGTCTGGCTCGACGGCCCGGATCGCAGAGGCTTACAGCGGCACTCTTACATACCCGATTGACAGCAAAACCATTTGGTGTTCCATTCTGCCATAGGCGGATTCCGTTGAGTGAGCCATTCAATTCACTTCGCTGGATTGAGTCCAGGAACGTGTGTATCTCAATTGGCACGACCAAGGCACGACTGGAATGCTCTGTGCATACACTCACTGGAAATTGGGATGCTTTGCGAGACGCGCCATCGTGAAGAACGCTACCAAAGCCGAAATCATGTAAAATCCAGCCAGGAATGCAAACGTGGGGTTGATCCAGCTTCCAGACTGACAGGACGTGTAGTAACTCAGGCTGTTGACAAAGCTGACAGATGGGGCTTGGGGATAGATCGACTCGTTGACTCCGAGGGCGACCTGTTTCCAAGAGCCATTTAGCTGATCTGGCATTGAGGACGGAGCGAGTACCGGAGGACATACCAAGCCCAGGATCATATTGAAGCAGGCTGGAAGAAACTTGATCGACCACGATATACTCCGTCCGCCTTGATTGTGCTTGGCTATAAGCTTGTAATAGCCTGGAGAATGATCGGTGTCAGTCCGTCCGTTCGTGCATCGGCGGCGTTGAATGCATGTATCGCTCTACATACCCATGGTCATGGAGATCAAAGATCTGCAATGACAATGATGGTGGACTTAGAACAAATGTACCGAATGGGAATCGCCATCGTTCAGCATATGCAGATGACTGTTGCCGAATATCATCAATGTTTGATCGATATTGGAAGGCATGGAATGCTAAGGATGAGCTTACCCGATGGAAAGGCTGTAGGCGACCATGAGGACAAGGGGGCGCAGCTTGCAGACCACCACGTTTGGGGGGCCAATGAAGAGGAAGATGCACGAATAGCCCACCGTGCTTGCCAGCAACACTAGAAATCGGCAGGTGATCGGGACACGCATGTCAGCGGAGGAAGTGTGCGGCTCCGATCATATCGATAATGACATAAGGGTATTACATATGCTCACGGTTTCCCAATTTCTCTTGAGCATGGGGCGCGGATTGCTGTACACGATGACATAGCCGAAAGCCGAGACACTCATGGCGATGCCCAAGCACGACAGTATCACTGCCGGCGCCAAAGCGCGCAGTCCATCATTCAGGTTTATGGTTGGCGGAAAATCCACCGGCGGGGTTATGTCAATGTCTGGGAGCGTCGATGTTCGGGATGGTCAGAATTGAATGTTCGGGATGATCAGAGTTGGATGCAGAGTCACAATTTGGTGCCTCTGCGGTGCGATCGCGATGTACATCATAACGGTCCATGGTGTCGTGAACGAAATGAATGTCGCGAATGCACTCCGTACCCACGGTCTGAGCCGTCGCCGCTAAGTATGAACGAGAGAGACGATGGAGCAACGCTCGACAGCGTCAGCTCGCATGATATGACTGGCACAACCAAGCATTCACCCGACCTGGCGGTGAATCATATGCACTAAGGCTGGTATACACCAAGGCTGATACGCAGCACGACACGGCGACTCAACTTACAGAGGTTGTTGCTAAAGTACATTGCCCATGTATCGTTCAGAGAGTACAGGAACAGCGGCTGTACTGGAGGTGCGCTGTAGTTTGAGGACATGAGATACTGCTGGACTGAGATGGCGCTGTCACCGCCGTTGGTCTGTGTGGTTCGGCGTGGTCAGTGGCGCCGTTGCGATGCAGGTCGTCATGAGTGCGAGTGCATACGATGTGCTCACTAACCACCAGCGTAGCATAGACTCCACTGTCGTTCAGAGCGAAAGCATTAGTCGGCGTTCACGGTTTCTCTCGCGGAGGCTCGACCGTCTTGCTGCTTACCCTGTGAGCCTATCTCCGTATTCTAGATAACATGAGAACAGAGAGTTGGCGCCAAATCGAATCCGGTCCAATTCAGCGGCAAAACAAGCAGAGTTGATCCGAGTCGCACATACTGTCGAACAAGAGCGGGCCCGTTGCGCCCATCTGCCCTGTTGAGAACGCTAGCGGGCTTGTCAAGTTTTGTGGAAGCAGCCCCTTCCTCAGGATATCCAGCGTGATGGAGGGATGGGATTTGAGGATCTGCGATGAAATGCATCCGGTGAGGCTATAGTTGGTACTCCGCCGGGTGGGGGTGGGAAACCGTCCTGGACGATTCGGACATTGCAGAAATGTCGGGTGGCAAGTGTGACAATCCTTACGCTGTCAAAGCCGTATAGCATAGCCATTGCGCAATCGAAGGCCAAACTGCGAGGAGTCGGATGTATTAGTTGGGGGCCATTCAGTAGGTTGGACTTCAGCTTGGACGTCCAAATGGGTACCCGCCCGATAGGCAATGCAAGCTGGTCTCGAGCCGCGGACTGGACCCAACCAAAGCCGATTCCTGTGCACATACGGTATGCCATTCCATGGGTTTGCGGATGTGTATAGCGGCCCGAGGTTATATGTTGCCCAGGTCTGGTTGAATCGGAGCCATACGGGGTTGTTCGGCCATGTGGTCACGGGGCCGTTTCTATTGGACAGAGTAGTTAGCTGCACAGACTCTCCAGCCAAACAGGCATCGGCTTGCCTCCTTGTGCTTACATGCAAAAGTATGGCATCACATCCGAGCTCACTGCCTGTCGTCCCAAGCTGAACGACTTGTTTTGTGCCTCTGGAGAGCTTAGCATGTAGTTTAATGCTCCGGCGTCTGTTCCTGCAGTTGTGTACCACACATACTGGGGCTGCATGAGGCCGTCCTTGCTGGTTTATACCAGAGTGAGCAGTTAATACGACATGGGTCGACACGACACGGACTAAGGGTATGGTTCACCACTTCCACTTTCACGCCAGCGGTGCTGGATCAGGACGTGGGTCTGTTCTGTATGAGATCGGCGACGCCCCGTTGGCGTGATGGCGGCCGGACTGCCAGACTGCCAGACTGCCAGACGAGCGAGCTCCTGATGACCTACATTGCCTAGGTGGTGATTCGAAAGCAATGGCTTTAATTAGATAAGTGATGCCGGTGGGACTGTTGAGCGATGCGCCGGTGGGACTGCCGAGCGATGCGCTCTCGTTGTGAAAACACACCTGTAAAAACATGATATTTACGGCCGGCCAGTTTGCCATCAGAATGAAGATACGGCCATTGGAAGCCTTGATTCTTTGTGAGGGGGTTTCCCAGTCGTTCATGTATATGTCGCTGCTGCCGCAATATATGTATACTGTGTCCAGTATAGTGATGCCCAGGGCCTGGGCTCTTTGTAAAAAGCCCGGATAGAAAATGGGCCCGTATCCATCGTTGATCGAGCACTGTTGACGAGAGGAGAGGGCTTAGCCAAGTACGAGGACGACCGCTGACTGTGGCTCAAGATTTGGTGGAGTCATCCATGCACTGGAACTCACCGAAACGATAACCACAACGTTGCGCCATCCCATGGCGTAGACCCAGTCTGCAATACCTAATGGTGGTATGACCGGTTCATCGCCAAATGAGACACAGACCCTGTCGATCGCAGCGAAATCGAATATACGATGTCGCCTGAAGCAGCAATGTCCGACTTCAAATCTACAATTGGTTTAGTGAGGACACGTACTTCCTCCAGCTAATGCCGCAGTCGACAGAGGACGGAAGGTGGTCGGGTACGTAGACTTGTCTTCAATCTGAGACGGCAGTATTTGAGTTTAGCGTCCATGAACCAAGATTTCGCCCGATCCAGGTGCCCAGCTCGCTTACATTGATAACTCCTGAAAGAACCAAGCAAAACTGTAGAGAGATGTTCGACAATCAGCATCGCGTGGAAGCTGGCGTGATGCGAGTCAGCGAGATCGCCATGTCGACAGAGCCTTACTGGAAGATTGAATTGTCCAGTGATAAGGGCTTCGCCACTGTCACCGTCCTCGGTATCGGCAGCACTGGAAGTATCGCCTACATTGTCCCGAACACACGGAACGGTGACTATGGGATGCCAGACTCTATGCCTGGGCAGCATAGCAGCATCGCTCGAAGTGACCGGTCATGGTCAAGGCAGCGTGAAGGATGCAACGAGATCCAAGGAGCATCTAGGCGACACGGCCGACATACCAATGAAGCACGAGTATTGCTGAGTGGCTATGGCCGTGCTTGTGGAGATCAGCTGTATTGGTGCACATGTCAGAAATACGTCCCCGCATATGCGAAAATGGCTGCTTTTGCCGGCGACCATCCCACCGCTCTCGCCTACCGCTCGGGCCGCGATCGAGACACCATCGTATATGTCGATCGTGTCGACTTGAACCCGCTATCATAAAGAGAGGCGGCAGGAGTTAGCGGCGATTCTATAGCAATTATGTGCACATGCTTCGCCTACCGTGCCCGGGAGAAAATCGTTCCTGGTGAGGATATGGATTGCGGGTGTTAGTTGCATGAAGTCGCACGTAGTTGCATGTAGTTGCATGAAGTCGCATGTAGTTGCATGTAGTGGCATCGCATTGGTCGCGCTCATTTCTGGAGCCCATATTCAGCAGCTCAGACCCAGTGTCCAGATGTGCTGCAGGATATGATGAACTGGACGATGCTTACTGTTCATTGAACATGTCGACAGCGGCCTGCACAGCGTAGAATCTATCGACGGGTCGGCTGTTAGGGAGCAGACACGATCATGGGCATGCAGCACCCCACCGAAGCACGAGAGCGATGCTGGCGGTTGTGGCGACTCACAGCATCATTGCAGCAAGCTGGTCGGTCGGCACTGGAAAGGGGCCGCTGGGGACAATGTACGGCGCGGAAAATTGCCCGAGCAAACCGATTTTGAGGATACTGTTGTTTCCTTGCTTTTGGGGATGGACCGGATATACTGGAGTATAGGGCTGGCCGGTGAAGAGCGTCGCATGGCCAGAAAGCGCCATGGACAAGAGCACCATCCACACCGATACACCTGCGAGAAGCCAGCCGGGCATGCGCATGGTGACGAGAGTTCTGTTCTGGGGTGCTTGAAACGATGCAGGTGCAGGCGACCCAGACGAAACACCAAGCTCCCCTGACGGTCAAATATAGCCGAGGCCGATGCTTGCGGCCATGCTGCTGAGAAGCGATGGTCCCATCGGTGTGGACGTCACTCCCAGCCAGATCCCCTGGGAAACAGGCTTGTCGGCAATCACAATTGCGCCCGCCCCGCTCCATTGACTGGTGGATGGAATGAACCTAGACCCGCCGGCTGCCTGGCCCGGATGACTCCTGTAAGGCGATAGAGACCCATGCTACTTGATCAAAGCCGCTGCCCAATCTGGCTGAGAGACTGCCGAGACATTGACATCTATAGACTCTTTTCTAGGGTGTCGTCATTGCGCTGTCGCCCCAATCCCCACTGCCGGCCGGTGCTCTTGGCTGTCGTGCTGCCCGTCCCATGCCACCGCTGCATGTGCCGCGAGACTGCATCTGGTTCCCCAGCCCATGATATAGGACTGAGCCAAACGCAAGCCATTACGTTCCATCCAGAGGAGAGACGATGACCTACACCGCTCGTGCATTAGGATCATCGTGCATTGGCATCGCCCAACCACCGAGCAAAGCGCAAATGGGCCGTGCCTGTGGCGGGTTGGTCCGGGCGACGAGCGTCGATGCTCGTCGCTGTCCTTGGCGTGCCATGTGGGATTGAATGCTGCCCGTGCATACCTACCCTGCGGCGACGTCCATCTCCTGCGGCGGTGCACCTGTCGTCTGCGACGGTGCTCTCTCCCTCCCGGCCTCATGTCGATGCCGGCTCCGACCGGGGTGCACGCGCTTCTGGGGTGAGCGATCGTGACGCGCGGGAGCATCACTTCCCTCCGACCAGGCAGCCCGCATCCCGGCACCGCCATCCGCACCCGACAACTGCCCTCCATTCGCAACCTCGGTCGGTTCCTCGACTCTGCCTCTCAACACCACATTCCATCCGCATCCTGCGTCGACGCTCCATCCGCTTCCGCATATCATTTGCACCCGCATCAGCATTGACTCTCCCGTATATACATAACCATAATCAATATCATCATCATCTACCGCTCTCCTGTGATCGACACACGCCTCTTTATCAACTCACGTCATGTCGGAGCCCTGGGTAGCTGGAAAGATCTACACTCCGGGACAGATCGTCACGTATCAGGGCACGCAGTTCACTGCAACTGTGGTGAGTCTCATGGTTGCCAGCATTTGGTCGCTGCTCGCTGGATCTATCGTGGCGAGGCGTCTTCGATGCCATCGTCCATTCCAACGAGCTGCGTTCGCATCTGCCGCTGCCAGATGCCTATCGTTGCTTCGATATGGCTGATCATTTCTCTCTACAAACATCGTCGTCGCCAGCTGCATCACTCCAAACTTGGCGAAGAACCTGTTCGCAATACCAAGTCGTGGGAGCCGTCTGGCTTCGATAACAGCAGCCTGCAGGCCACGAGCATAGCGATCCATTCCACATCGCCCGTGGCCGAGTCCCTCCTGGTCCTCAAGAATCTGGGCAGAAGTGCCAGCGGCGGCAGTCCCACGACTAGCAGGATCGAATGGGTTGCCTGCACATTCGACTCTGTACCCCAGAATGCCATCAATGGCGGCCATGACCGATACGGCAAGGTGTATTACATCGGCCGGGCTATCCTGCCTTCGTCGATCCATGTTGGCAAAGTTCTTGAGGGCACCTTTGGAGGCGTCGAAGTGCCCTGGAGCAACCGCGAGAACGACCCCAACGGCGTCTCGATCTTTGATCAGTTCGAGATTCTCACCGGGTCGGCTCGTGGCTTGCACTGGGCCGACAGCAAAGGCAAATTGGTTGGTGTCGAGCTTGGTCTCTACGTCCGCGGAGGCACCAGCCCCGAAGGAAAGCCCACCTTTGTTGGCCGCGCCAGTGTCGACGGCGAGCTCATCGTGGGCGAGTGCGGCGAGCACATTCTCGAAGGTAAGCGACACGCTTGGAAAGTGATCGCATTGTGCATGGCCGCTGGATGGCTGGATGACTGGATGGCTGGATGGCTGGATGGCTGGGTGACTGGGTGACTGGGTGACTGGCATTTTGGAAAGGCATGTTCCTCAGTGCCTGGATGCATCCCAGCAGCCAGTGCGCTTACTTGTCCGCTTGCCTGCCTGCTCGCTCGCTCGCTATCTGCCTTGCGGTTTGTGGCGACTCGTTTGATCCATGACGATCTTCGTTCCGCCATTCACGGATGCTATGACCGCCATTGAGTACTCATGCACGGACTCGCACCGTTTCCTCATACACAGGCTTGCGGGTCGTTCACCAGGGCCGAGTTGTGCACGTCTACAACTACCAAGTGCTGGAATACAAGACGGTTGTATAGAGAACTGCAAGCGTGCCGTCGCACTGTCGAAACAGCGGTTCATCTCTCGATATCAAATGGCCAGCAGGCCGTGCTCTGGCGGTCAGCCGCCGTCGTCGATGTATTTGCTGTGTTCAATATAACCAGGTCAGCTCCGGCACCCGTCACCTTCGACTCGCTGGCTTTGCGATGCGGCCACTCTTGACCAGCCGTTGGTCCTGGAGTGGCTTCGGCGATGCTCGCTTAGACTTGGTCTTTGACGCTTGTCCTGGGGGCACGGCCGGCCTGGATGCCGTTGTTTTCGACGTCTTTGGTTTTCCGGAGGATTTCGAGATGGATGCAGGCGGGGTCTTTGGCGACTTATGGTTCGGCAGAGGCGCTGCCGAATGCCGTCCGCGATCTCGGGGCTTTGATCGAGACGAGTCGACCGACTTTGGGGCTGCTGGTTGTGGCTGTGGCTGGATGACGATGGCAAAGTTGTTGCGCCCCGGTCCTGGATTGATCTCGACTTTCTTCAAAGCCACGCCGCTTGGATCAACCGAGTCCGAGTCGGCCGACTTGCGGAAAAGATAGTAGGCGACCTTGGTGGCATGGTGGAACTCGATGAGATCGAAGCCGATCTGGCCCATCAGGCCGACGAAATGATCGTGCGTCATGTAGCGGGAGTTTGTGACGCACGGGAGCGGGATCACAATGTAGAACAGGCCCTCGGGATAGAGGAAGGGCAGTGTGCGCACCAGCATCTCGCCTATCCTCGGGCCATCGACGCCGATAGTGCGATTGGATAGCGTCAGCCAAGAGAGCAGCGATCGTTCCGCAGCGACTGCGACTTATCGAATCTTGGCCGAGCCTGTCGAGTGCGGATGGGGATGGCGGTGATGATTTGCCTTACCTCGCTTGGCGACATCGCCGACAAAGTTGATGACCAAGGACATGCAAACAACATGGAACTTTTCGTCGTCTGTCTCTGGAAATGGCCGCTCAAAGTAATCCTGCCTCTTCACCAGCAAGCACTGCGGATTCAGATCGATAGCCGTGACATCCACCCAGGCAAACAGGCGCTTGTATGTCTCGCCCGAGGTTGCGCCGACATCCAGCAGCTTGAGCTTGATCTTGGGGTTTTGTGTGGGCAGCGTGGCCTCGATGCGCTGGTGTTCGGCTCTCAGCTGGTCAGTGATCCATCGGCCGCTCGCTCCGCGGCCTTTGCGTTCGTCGCCGCCCTTGAGCGAGGCCCGCTGATAGGCATCCAGGCCGCCGAGCTCGTCCATCTTGCGCTTGGCCTCTTTGGCGGCCTCATGGTTGTTCTGGGACAGATGTTGGGTGAGCTGCTTGTTGAGGGTGTGATAGGTGGCGATGAGAGCCTGGGTGGCCTCGGGGTTGGATCGGACTCGCTGTTTCGAGACGGTGATGGGCAGCTTGCGCTTGGAGCCCATGGTTGAGGGAAGGAGCGGTCCGAGGGCGGCGAGACCGGATGCGGGAGCAAAGAGTAGCAGCTGGCCGAGCGAGATGGCCGGCAGACAATGAGCGACGGTGATTGTTGTGCGGGAGTGGCACAAGCCTGTTCGGCGGTCCTGGGCATGAGCGACCGAGCCGCCGGGGATTGGGACGACGAGATGCCCGCGCGGCGAACGAGGAGCGTCCGTTCATTAGTGCTGCTTCATATGCGTTCATGAGGCCGCTTCATATGCGTTCATGAGTGCCCACTTCATATACTTTACGGGACACCCTCACGATCCCATCTGTCAGTGTAGTGCGTGATGAGCTTGCGTCCAACTGAGCCGCACGCAATTCAACAAATCACCTCCGAGCGAAGACCACCGGCCGCTCTCCGGTATCCACAATCGACCCGCACACTGGTCTCGTAGTGCCAGCGGTGAATGGTGCTCTTGGACACACTGGCGAATGGCCATGGCCAGCGCAATAGTGTTGGGCAACAAATTATTTGATCAATGGTCAAAACCAAGGTGTCCCCGGTTCTTTCTGGAACTGTATCGACTTTTGGCATGCACATCTCATGCACAGTGGGTGTCACAGAGGCGCCCCGCCACCCCGCCAAAGCGCTTTTCGGATTTGCGCTCTTCCATCGCCTCCGTCTTCCCTCGCCTCCATCTTTCGTCTTCCATCGCACTTGCTGCCGCCGCCGCCGCCGCCTTCCAATCCGCCCCACTACAGCCATCCGATCTGCATAGCTACTGCCATGGCCGACGCAAAACGTCCTATCCCGCGATCCATCCAGTCCACCGTCTCGGGTGCCTTCCTGTTCGTCACAGACTCGGAACTGCGAGGAGCCTCCGATGTCTCGGATGAGGGCAAGAACGCCCACTTTTTCATCTCGAACCACCCAGGTGGGTCTCGGGCATGCCACCAACACAGCTCGTTCGTCTCTCGTTGCTTGTCTCATCTGCATCGCAGTCGTGCTCGCTTTGCCCTGGCCGAGTTGCGCAACCGTCTGACGCTGCAACGTCTTCTTGGCGCCGCCATCTTGGCATCCGCATCGGCCTGCCCCATCACCGTCTTCCGACCGAATCAACCTGCCCCGCCTGGCCAACCCGTGATGGACCCACAGAGTTTGTGACGCTCCGCAGCCGAGCCACAGGCGACTATCTCGCTGCCGACCAAGACCACAACTTGTACTTCACCGAGACCATCTACAACGAGAACGCCCGGTGGATCCGCAACGTCGCTTCGGACGTCCAAAAGACGGCCGAGGACAAGCGCGATGAGGTCTACAAGGTCACCTACAAGTCCTACAACGGCCGCTACCTGCACGCCCGCCCGCTGAACTTGACCGAGTCTGTCTTCAAGCGTCTCCGCCAGCTCCAGAACCAGGACAGCCCCAACTCGCCCGATCTCCAGTACGGCTGGCTCGGCTACCTGTCTGAGAAGGAGGAGTGGTTCTGGGAGCGCAACGCCGAGGTCGCCGTCGAGCCGTCCAAGGAAGACATCCAGGCCGGAGTCCTCGATGAGGCCCAGCTGGAGCACGTCGCCGTGGTCAGCGCTGCCAACGACATCAAGGACGAGGTCCAGGAGCAGCAGGGCGTCAAGCTGCAGGTCGAGGACCCCAAGCCCGAGCCGCCTACCACCTCGGCGGAGGCCCAGGAGAAGAAGGACGACGAGCAGGCCGCCCAGACGCAGCAGATCGAGAACGACGAAAAGTCCAACGCCGCTGCCTCCGCCCCCGCCGCCGCCCCGGTCGTTTCGCAGACCGAGATGGCCACGGCCGCCGCTGCCTCGGCCTCCACTGCCGCATAGGTGTGGAGCACGCACGATTGTCGGCCGTTGACCCTGGCCTGCGAGCGAGCAGGGCTTTTGTCGTCGCTCCCAGGCGATATGTCGGGCGGGCAGCCCCTCTGTCTATTTGACCATGTTGTCCAGCTTCCTCCATCCGCTTCCTGCATTTCGTCCTGCTGTTTTGATTCCACCTGGTCTCTCCCCCACCTTCCTTCGTCGTCTCGTTGTCGCTCTCTCGCTTCCATTTCCTTCCAATCGCTGCCCCCCCCCCGAATTGCACCCTTACCCTTGTCTGTGGCTCGTCGTGACAGCGCACTGTTCTGCCAGGCCGCACCCACTGTCAATACACGGCACCCATTTGTCCGAGCTGCGCCAGAGCGAGTGGGCCATGGCTGTTTGGAGATTGCAGCCCCGGGCACCTCGGCAACGGGATCGGGTGGAGTTCGGCTTCTGTCCTGCGCTTGCCTGTCTCGGCCAGCCCAGCACCCTCGACACCGGCTGCCCGCTCGCATTCCTGGGCAACATATTTGCTGTATTGCTGAATGGTGCAGTCGGATCGACTCTGGCGAACAGCTCGCATTCCATGCCGCGCTCTCCCCCGCAGCACGCTGGAGTCATGGATACCGGCTTGCTCGTCTCAGACGGTGGAGACGAGCAAGGCGATCGCTCTGCTTTGGAGGCCAGAGTGGATGGACTGGGTGTCGTCTTTTGTTTTTGGGGTTATGGTAGCCGTTACGCCACGATTACGTCGCCCGTCTACCAGTCCAGAGTGGCCTTCTTGGCCTGGCCCACGGGCTGCACCTTGACGGCGCCGCCCTGCTTGGACTCGCGGTATCCCATTCCATCGAGCCAGGGCCACTCCGTCGAGCGACGCTGCTCGAAGGTCGAGATGAGGTCCTTCTTCTGCAGGGTCAGGCCAATGTCGTCGAATCCGTTGACCAGGCAGTGCTTGCGGAATGCGTCGACCTCGAAGGCGATCGTCTCGCCGTTCGCGCGGCGGATCACTTGGGCGGGCAGATCGATTTCGAGCTCAAGGCCGTCCTGGGCATCCTGGGCCAGGATGTCGACCACGGATTGGCTCACCGGGATCGGCAGCATGCCGTTCTTGAAGCAGTTGTTGAAAAAGATATCGGCAAAGCTAGGGGCAATGATGCAGCGGATGCCAAAGTCGTTGAGGGCCCAAGGGGCGTGCTCGCGTGAAGAGCCGCAGCCAAAGTTCGGCCCGGCGATCAGGATGCGGGACGAGCGGTACTGGGGCAGATTCAGGACAAAGTCGGGCTTCTCGGCGCCGGTGGCCGGGTCATAGCGGATCTCGTAAAAGAGCGAGACACCCAGGCCCGTGCGCTTGATGGTCTTCAGGAACTGCTTGGGGATGATCATGTCCGTGTCGACGTTGGCCATGACGAGGGGAGCAGCAGCACCCTTGACGATCGTGAACTGGGGCATGCCGCCCGAAACCGCGCCGCTGTCCTGGCTGGCGTCCACGTCCTGGAGCTGGTAGGCCGGGGCCGGAACAACCTCTTGGACAAGGAACTCTTTGGAGTTTTGCGGCGCCGAGACCTCCACAGGGAGCTTGGCCTCGGCAACGGGGCCGATCAGAGAGCGCACATCAACAAGATGGCCGGCAATGGCGGCAGCCGCAGCCATGGCGGGGCTGACAAGGTGGGTTCTGCCACCCGGGCCCTGGCGGCCCTCAAAGTTGCGGTTCGAGGTGGAGGCACAGCGCTCCTGGGGCTTGAGCTGATCGGGGTTCATGCCAAGGCACATGGAGCAGCCGGCTTCTCTCCTGGAGATGTGCGATCGAACAACCAACGGCGAGATCGGGAATGGGGACGAAGCAGCAACGCGCAACACGAGTCAACAGGGAGCGGAGGTCAGTATATCACTCGTATCCAAGAAGCCGCAGCCTCCAAGTCTCTCCGATGCTCACGGGCCAGCACCTACCAGTCAAAGCCGGCGTTCTTGAAGATCCGGTCCAGACCCTCGGCTTCGGCCTGCTGCTTGATCAGGCCAGAGCCAGGGACGATCATGGCATAGACATTCGGGGCGACCTTTCTGCCGTAGGCAACGGCGGCGGCCGAACGCAGATCCTCGATGCGCGAGTTGGTGCAGGAGCCGATGAAGACCTTGTCGATGGCAACCTCGGTCAGCTTGGTGTTGGGAACCAGGCCCATGTAGTTGAGGGCGCGCTCGATGCTGGCCTTCTTGATGGGATCGGTCTCGTTCTGAGGATCCGGGACCGTGCCGGTGATGGGGGCCACATCCTGAGGCGAGGTTCCCCAGGTGACGGTCGGGGGGATGTCGGCGGCATTGACGGTGATGTCGATGTCGTAGGCAGCGCCCTCGTCCGACTTGAGGGATCGCCAGTAGGCAACGGCGCGATCCCACTCGGCATCCTTGGGAGCCAAGGGGCGGTTCTTCAGGTATTCGAAGGTGATGTCGTCGGCGGCGATCATGCCGGCGCGGGCACCGCCCTCGATGGCCATGTTGCAGACGGACATGCGGGCCTCCATCGAGAGGGCCTCGATGGCCGGGCCGCAGAACTCGATGACGGAGCCCGTGCCACCAGCGGTACCGATGAGGCCAATGGTGTGGAGGATCAGGTCCTTGGAAGTCACGCCTTCAGAGAGGTGGCCCGAGTAGTAGATACGCATGTTCTTGGACTTTTTCTGGAGAATGGTCTGGGTGGCCAGGACGTGCTCGACCTCAGAGGTGCCGATACCAAAGGCCAGGGCACCAAAGGCGCCGTGGGTGGAAGTGTGCGAGTCGCCACAGACGATGGTGGTGCCGGGCAGGGTAAAGCCCTGCTCGGGGCCGATGACGTGGACAATACCCTGTCGCTTGTCGTCCATGCCAAAGTAGGTGAGTCCAAAGGACTTGACGTTCTCCTCGAGGGTAGCGCACTGGGTTCGGGAATCGGCTTCTTTGATGAAGGCGTTGATGTTGGTGAACGACGAGCGGTCGGTGGTGGGGATGTTGTGGTCGACGGTAGCAAGGGTGCAATCCGGGCGGCGGACCTGGCGTTTGGCAGTTCGCAGGCCCTCGAAGGCTTGAGGCGAGGTGACCTCGTGAACGAGGTGGCGATCGATGTAGATGAGGCAAGTGCCGTCATCAAGGCGATCGACGACGTGGCTCTCGAAGATCTTGTCGTAGAGGGTTCGTGGGGTTGTGGCGACCATGGTGGCTTGATCGAAGCAGAAGGGAGAAGGCACCTGGATCCAAAGCCGTGGGCGGATTGGGGGGGGGCGATCAGACTGGGTGGTATCGGGGACTGGAGATGGAGGCTGATCGGAAAGCAAGAGCAAGCGACGCAGCGATCCAGGAGGGCAAGATGCAGAGGCCGATCGGTGCAGCGGCGAGACCGTGGCGGACTCGGTTCGTACCTGGCAAAGTCGCTGGCTGGGAGGACGGCGAGAGGATGGATGGGGGAGCAAACCAGAGGAGGGCGATCATCGGGCTTTTAATACTTGGGTCCTGCGGTCGGATAAGAGCGGTGACGCGGTCGCACAAGCATGGCGCATATCGGACGAACCCGGAGCGGTTATCAGATGGGTGTCACCAGCAGACAAATATGGCAGGAGCTCGGGCAAACACGGAGGGTCAGATGCTGTGTGCGGGCGTTTCCGGAAGGACGGCTCGCCGCAAGTCGGCGAAAGTCGCCGAAATGTCGTGGAAACCCGGGTCGGAGAGAGTGAGTGGGGGGGGGTGCGGGGACCAACAGCGAGGTGCAGACAGCCCGAGCGAGGGGAACGGAGGTGGGTGGGAAAGCGGCGGAGGGTCCGGGCGGCGTGGGAACGAGCGAGGGGGCAGGCGGGCTCGGGCGAAATCGGTGCGGGACGCGTCCGAGACAGAGAGATGGAGAGATGGAGAGATGGAGAGATGGAGAGATGGAGAGATGGAGAGATGGAGAGATGGAGAGATGGAGAGATGGAGAGATGGAGAGATGGAGAGACGGAGAGATGGGTGCTGGCCAAGCCTGGCAAGTGACAGCCGAGCACGGCACCATTGTGTCAGATCATAGTGTATTGCATCAGCCAACAGCCGAACAATGCTGAGGCAGCTGAAAGATTCCACACCCAGACACGCAGCGAGCGAACTGGAGACCAAACCGACGACCAGAGGAGAATGAGAGCGAGCCGGAATGCACAAACCGCTCCAAGCGAACAAATCACTGAACAAGAACCAAAGCGCCGAGCAAGAGCCGAGTCACCAAGCAAGAACCAAGCAAGAATAAACGTTTCAGAAGAACATACGGCCATGCCTCGGCAGAGACACAGCATACAAGCAACAGCTCCAAAAACAGCGAGACACTGGATACATCATTCGAGGGACAGATACTTGTCGATGGTCTGGTTGACCAATCCCGGCTTGGCTTCGTGTGGAAAGTGCGATCCGTCCGGAATCGAGGCCAAGAGGACTGGGCCCGCTTCAGAACCCAGCCCAGCAAGGCATGTGCGACGGTCAAGGGTCAGATCGCCCTCGCCCCAGATCACCAGGGTTGGCACAGCAAGATCCTTTCCCAGTACGTGCTTGGGTGCGGCCCATCGGTCGAGCATGAGGTTGCGGTAGTATGCAAAGGCGGCTTGGATGCTCCCTGGGTTACAAAAGAGCCGGCGGGTAATCTCCATGTCGACGACCGAGATTGCACCATCACCAAAGATGCGAAAGGCATCGTAAATCCAGTACGAGTCGTTGAGCCTGGCCACCCAGTCCGACTGCATTGGCGAGGCATTTTCGGATGGTGCATTTCAGAGAGCAGCGCAAGCAGAATGCAGGGGATGTGGATGCGCATTCATCCAAATCAGCAGTGTCCAGAAGACATGTGTTAGTGCGAGTCCACCGCGGCAGAAAGAGCGTGCCTTCGTGGTGGGTCGATATGCAGAACAGCTCCATGCTGGCAAAGCCGACAGATGCACTTACGATTCCCGGAAAGACAAGAACGATGTACATGTAAAACGACATACACAGCTGTTTGAGTCCCATGTTTCTCTTGAACAGAGTGGGGTTCAGCGTGTTGATCAGGATGAGTCGCTTGACCAGCCACGGGCATTCTTCGGCGAACGACCACGCAACAATGCCACCCCAGTCGTGGGCGCAGAGAGCGATCTCGCCTTTGCCATAGCCCAATACTTGGATTATGCTCTTAATGTCCTGGAGGATGGCCGAGCGGGTGTAGTGCTTGGTGCCCTCGGGCTTGGACGAAAGCCCATATCCGCGCTGCACAATAGAGCTGTGAGTGGACTGTATCTGTGCCAGAGCCGGGTGCAAGCGAAGCGAACAGCTAGGGAAGGATGCAAGTGAGCATCGTGGCCTTACCATATCCACCGCATAGACACGGTATTTGCTACTCAGACCTCGGAGCTGGTGTCGCCAGGTGTACCAGGTCTGGCACAATCAGCCAGACGGTGGGAACAGAAGGTGTGAGCCTGAATGGGTGTCGGCTCAAGACGGCTCCATAACCCTGCATCATCCGTCGATAAGCCTACCTCTGGGAAGCCGTGGAGAAGCAGAATAGGCATGCCATCACTTGGGCCGGCCACGACACAGTGGAATGTCATGCCGTTAGCTTCGATGAAGCAGTGCTTGCCATAGTCACTCAGGCTGCCTGTGATTCCATTCGAGATTGCATGTTAGCTTCTGCTGATCGGACGAACGACATGGATGGTATGAGGCAACACAGGCAGCACAGGCAACACGGGCAACACAGGCAACATGGATGATGCGGATGGCAGTATGCTACATACTCGTCTGGCCTGTGGTGTCGCGCAGATCGTCTGGCGCCAAAGACTCAGCGACCTCATCTCGATCGTGCTGGCTCTGCCCAGATATCTCCAAATACAGAGTGCGTAGGACCATGGCGATCGCAAAGCAAGGGGCTGCCGCAATCCCAAGCACCGCGACGAGGACGTAGTATCCAAGGCCATCGTTGAAGACAGCGTTGACAAACCGGTCGGCTGGTGACGGCGCCGAGAGGGGTGGGAGCGGAACAAACAGAGCGTCTTTGGCAGTCGGCTGGGTGGTGCCCCCGTGGGAACGGAGGCAATCGGCCTCGGCGAGGCATGCTTCGCGGTGCTGGCACTTGCTACCGCACAGAGCTTGCCAGCCTAATTTCCAGGAGGGCAAGCTCGAGGGAAGCAGCGTTCCAAGGGGCGCACAGGGCGGATTGGCAGCCGTGTCTTTCATGGCTTTGGGCTTGACGGCGAGAATCGGCAGCCAGAGTGGTCGACGAGAGTTGGCGCATCTGGAACATCCTTGGCCGACCAGAGCATATATCGTATGGCGAACAACTGCATGTCCATGAACAATCCCGATCCAGCTCGACACAAGATCGCAGCGGGCCACGCGACCAGGACGAGAGACGATTGGGCGCCGGCCGTGAAAGACGCACCGAGGTTTCATGCAACCTGGCTGTGCCTCACCATGTCGAGCATCCTCCCATGCACCCAGATGTCGCTGTCGTTGTTGCCCCCCCTTTGCCAAGACGCCAAGGCGCGCTTCCATTGGCGGCGCCACTGTAGCAGTGCGCTTCTGTTTGGACGGCCGCTTTCCATACCTGGCGTCCTGTATCACGCTCGAGCACACAGTTTCAGCGCCTCCACTGCGCTGTACAGCACACCGGCGCCTACACACACAGCTGTCGCTGCCAGCCGTCCCCGTTTCGCCCCGCGGTGCCCTCTGCTCCTTTCCGGCTGGGCTTTCGTTGTCTTCATCGTCACCCCGCATCTGCCGACCACCATCCCAGCCGAACCTGTCCGTCTCTGTGCCGCCGGCGTTCCCCAGTTCCGACCAAAGACACACCCGATCATGGCTAGAAACAGACTGCAAGATCTGGTGCGTGCTCGGGCTTGTCGTTGGCTCGAAAGCAGCCCGGATACCGTCTTGCTTGTTCACTGTCCCTGCAGTGCCGTGGTTCTTCCTCAAGGGCGGCCAGACGCTGAGGATGGTCTGGGACGAAGCATGTGCGGCTCCTTGCTCTGCATAGCGCATCTTCTCGATGGCGATGCCGAGCATGTCTGCCGCTGCTGCTGCTGTTGTTGTTGTTGCTGTTGTTGCTGCTGCTGCTGCTGCTGATCCTGCCGCCTATGCTCGTTTCGCCTCGGCCCCGACAGGAGGCTGCTGCCCCTACCGGAAGCAACTACGCCATCCAGATGGAGCCTCTCTCTGCAAGCCCGTTCCAGTCCAAGGTACTGTCGGTGTCCGGATCGGCTCGATGGCGGCCGTGTATCCTCTCCCCCGCTCGATAGATGTCCGGCCCGCCCGCACACTCGGGCTGGCTGCTATGTTGGAAAGGGACAGGCCGACAAAGTTAATGCAGAAACAATGCCGGTGCTGTGGCAGTCGCACCGGAGGACTGCATATCCGCACTGTGTCGTTCGGAAATGCCCATGCATATGCGCTAACCATCCAACCGCACCGTGGCGCCATTTTTGACCGCACCCTAGTCCTTCAATATCCAGCAAACCATCGAGCGGGTCGGGCAGAACGTCCAGGAGCTGGACAGACTGTACAAGGCTGCCTTGACCGAGGCGAATCCCAGCCAGGCCCAATGTACGTCGTCTCTGGTCTGATCCGAGCTTCTCGGTTTCTTGTCACTTTGATCGCATTGGCCGTTACGATGCACAACGGGTCTCGCCGTCGAGTCTCACAACCGAGCCCCACAACCAAGTCTCACCAACGCCCTCTTCCGACCATTTCGGCTTTCAGACCTACACAGGCAGATCGATGACATGACGCAGGCCACCGACGATCTCATCCAGAGCGCCCGTAGCGATATCAAGCAGCTCAAAGGCATGATCGTCCCTGGTCCAGAGGCCGCGCGCCAACGAGAGTTTTACAAGTCCCTCATTGGGCGGATCCAGCAGGCGGCCCGCAGCTACCAGCTGGTGAAGGACCGGGCGCAGAAGGACATCCGGGCCCAGGCTGAGCGCCAGTATCGTGTGGTTCGCCCCCAGGCGACCCAGGATGAGATTAATCGGTTCATCGACAATCCTCAAGGCAACGCCTTTGCTCAGGAGATGTCGGGGCTGGGACAACAGCGCCGCATGCTCGAGGATGCCCAGAGCCGACACTCTGAACTCGTCAAGATCCAGCGAAGCATCGAGGAGCTTGTTCGTCTCTTTGAGGAGATGCAGTTCCTTCTGCAGGTAACTATTTGATCGCTTTCGGCTGCGCAGGTCGAGGCAGTACGTCGGACCCACTGGGTGACCATGCTGGGCGACCGAGCTGGACGACCGAGCTGGTATTCGCTTGAGTTGGTTTGCAGTCCATCTTGGTGCCCTGCTGCTCCCCGCTGAACGGATATTGCGCCCCCGATCGTGCAGGAACAAGGCGAGATCATCACCAACATCGAGACCCATGTCGACAAAGCCGCCGACCACATCAACAACGGCACCACAGAGATGTCTCGCGCCATCACCAATGCCCAAAGTGCCCGCAAGACAAAGTGGATCATCTTGATCGTCATTCTTGTCGTCCTGATTGCCGTGGCCTTGTTCGTGTACTTCCAGTTCTTCCACAAGAACTGAGCCGTCGACCGCTCCTCTCTCTGCTCATCCTGTGTCCTGCGGGGTCCTATGCGTGTGCTATGCCGATCGTACTTCGGTACATGTCCTCTCATTCGCTCCGTGATCGCCCTCCCCCCCATAGTTTCCCTCCCTCCCTCTCTCCGTCGAAGCGGCGTGCTTTTGGGAGGCCATTCTTGTCGTCTGGTCCTATCTTGGTAGCGTCGTGCCGATGCATGTCGTCTCCCTAATGCCTTTTGTCTTGTTCTCTCTGCGTTTGATTCTGAGCCTCCCTCCCTCGCCGCTCTATCTCTGCGATTGCCTCTAGACCTTTCGGCTTCGCGCCTCCATGTTCCAGTGCTTTCAGCGTCCTTCCGTGTACTTCCGTCATCAGACCGTCTCTCTCCTTCTGGCTCTCTCGTTTCGATCTCGTATTTTGCCCTTGGAAGCTCCCTAGACCAATACAAGAGCCAGCTGGAACGTGCTAGCCTCGTATGTGCTGCGGTATTTCCCTCAGTCAACGATTTTGAATCCATAGTGCCATCTTCATTTGGATTGTCCAGGTTGTCCAGGTTGTTCAGGTTGTTCAGGTTGTTCAGGTTGTTCAGGTTGTTCAGGTTGTTCAGGTTGTTCAGGTTGTTCAGGTTGTTCAGGTTGTTCAGGTTGTTCAGGTTGTTCAGGTTGTTCAGGTTGGATCGGAACACTCGTTTCAAAGCACCAAATTGTCGATGCGGCCTCCAGCAAGCTGCGTCGGACACGCGGATGGTCCAAATGAGGGCTGCCCAGCGTACCCGACGGTGCAGCGGCGCGGAGATCAGGGGTGTGTCGGATGGCCATTGCAAATGGCGGATGTGCATTCCCATCCAACAAGAAGCAATCAAAGCAGTGTGTCGAGAATATGGGTGTATATTGGAGGTCGCTGATCGGTGCGCTCCAGACAGAGACCCTCGGCTCAGTTACCGATGCCGTAGAAGAGATGTGCGCCGCCAAACCGGATCAGGAACCCCAGGCAGCTTGACAGGATCTGGATCCACAGGACCCAGCGACAGGTTTGCTCTTCCGTCATGGGACCGAGCTTGACAAGCACAAGGTTGATCAGGGTGAAGTTGTTGCACGAGACCCATTCGTTGGTCTTGGGGTCTCGCTGGATCTTGCACAGGCCAAGGGCATTGAGAATGAGCACGCAGACTCTGCCGAGGGGCTTGATGCCCTTGAGCGACAGCTGGCTGGCTTCGAGTTTCCCGGTCTTTGGGTTGAGTCTGGTGTTGATGAGCCAGTGAGCGAGATGCTGCCAGGTTGGCACACGAGCTCACCCGCGGACACTGGTACTGGTGGACGTTTCATTGCCACGACAAAAATGCAACAGCCCACAAGTGGGTCGGACGGATGCCGCTTGTCGCCTTGAGCCGCTCCAACCCCCAGCCCAGCGGGTTGTCTGAAGAAAGCTATAAACAACATGCGCCGATATTGGATTGGGGCATCGCAGCTTACTTGGGCATCCGGTGTCGTGGACACTCGACCAAATGGAACAGCTGTGGACACGAGTAGATAAAGTTGAAAATCTGTGGGATCATAAAGATAATCACCGTCTTGCTCATATGGTTGATGATTCCGACGACGGCAATCGTCATTCCGGCAAAGTAGCAGAACGAATCGCCTCCAAATGCCTTGGCGGGGTACCTAAAGCGCCAGTGCAGACCAAAGGCAGGGTCAAAATTGGCACAGTGCTGATCCACAGGACTACCCTCGATTGGCATGGTGTCAAGCTGGAGAGGCATGCATTCCTCCCGTCCTTGCAGCCGCAGAGTGCCGAGATCCCCAGATATTCAGGGCAAACATATGAACCATCGCCTGCACAGGCGCGTTGAAAATGCCCAGCGACACTCTCGGTCTTTGTTCGTTCGCCGGACATACCAGTTGTGCCGCAGATAGCCCACGGTCACGCCGATGAAGGGCAAGAGGAAGTGCAGCGAGCTGAGGTGGGCCTGCCGTGTCGGATCCTTGGTCGAGAACGAGTACCAGATGATGTTGTTGATGGCAAGGGAGGAGGAGATAACGAGGGCTTGCCCGCCTTCGATGCCGTTGACACCGGCGAGGATGTTGATGGCATTGGTGGAGAATGTCGCCAGGCAGGCCATAAAGACATAGTACAAGACACCTGGACAGAGGCGATGCGGCCGGCAGCAAACAGTTTTGGCCGAGCAAGGCTCGCGAATGAGTTCATGTCTGCTTGGCTGGCGAAAGGGACAAAACGGCCCTCTCGATGCCGAATCTGGACGAGGCAGCCGTCGACGCTCCGTCGACAGCAAAAACATACCGAGGTCGATGGTGCGCGTGTCCATTACGGACCACAGGATCTTTGGGATCATGATCGTCGACAGGCCGCCGCTGACGTAGTAAACCATCAAGAGTGGGAGAGTAGCCACGAAAGGAAACCAGATTTTGACTCGCCATCGTATGTCGAGAACGTCGTCGGCAAAGCCAAGGAAGAGCATGCTGAACAGCGAAAGCAGTCCGCCGAGGACGTGGGCAAACTAGGCCGATGAAACCAAGTCGATCGAGCAGATTGAAGAGTGGGCGAAGCGTCAGAATGACCATGATCCGGACTGCCGCGTATGGACGAGGCTCGAGCCCGTGGTCTCGCTTGAAGTACTGCAGCTGAGTGATGACCATGAAGCCTGCGCTCAACTCTCGTCAGCAATCAAGCCAGACAGCCAGATGATGCTTACTCTCTGGTGAGGAAACTCGGCTTGGGCCTGCAGATCCAGGTCCGAGTCTTCCTTGACAAACCACGGCATGAAAGGGATGGGCAGCGTCAAAAACATGCTGATAAAGTAGACAGCGCCGACGACAACGCCCATGCTCTCGGGGCTGGCTCGTTCGATGGGTTCAGTTCGGTTTAGTTCGGATCGTACGGTTCGTTCGGTTCGGTTCGGTTCAGTTCAGTTCAGTTTGGTGGTTTTCGGTTGTTCAGTCGGTCAGATTGTTGCCCGGTTCCCCGCCCAGAGTTGGCGATAAGTTGATAGCAACAGCCCATAGCCAAAAGGGAAAGGATCAGTCAGCAACGAGTCCAAGAGCGAGTCCGAGAGCGTCCGAGATGGCTGGAGAGATTTTCTCTCCTCCAGATGCGTCTGATCCTGGCTCAGGCCAGCCCAGGGCTTACATCACAGGAGTGTTGGGCTTGAGCAAATCCTTGCCGAACCGACCGTGCTTGATGAACACCTCACGGACCCAGTTGATGGCATGATAGGTCAGCATCGACGCGATGAGGCCAACGAGGATGTAGACCGTCAGAGGATCGTGGATTGCAGTCAGGATGGCGACCAGGAGAACGCCCGAGGGCGCCAGGCTCTTCAGCATCACTGTGGGTCTGTTGCCGATGGCGAAGTGGGGGAAGCGAGTGCGAAAGGGATCGCCGCAAGGGTGCTGACGATGCTGCAGAGGGTCCTCCGAGACAGGCGCAGGCGATGCGGCTCGCGGATTCTGGTTCCTCGGATCGGGCCTGCTGCTGGAACGAGCTGGGATGAGATGGAGGACGAGAGCGCAGGGCGGTGCTGGTTGCGAGACGAGCGGGGGGGGGTGGTCGGCGACCAACAATCCGCCACGCGAGACCCTGACGCGGGATGTGGCTCCTGATGACTGGCTGATTTGTCGGGGTTGGCAGAATGGCCGCGGGATGCACCCAAGATGCGGTGGGAAGCACCCGATGCAAATACACTCGGGATACGATCGACATGGATCTTACATTTGGCGATACTATTGTAGATACGCGGGGACACAGACTGCTCATCGTCCAGCAAATCAACCCCGGGTGTCCAGTCAGGAACATGCTGTTGTCTGTGTCAGAGACTGGCCTCAGAGCGTCATGTTGAGGCTATGGACGGGATCGGGTGCAGGCGGGACGGTGCCTCTGACGCAGTGCATCCCGACAACGGCACCCTCGCTGTCGACGGAGCACTCGGAGCTCGAGTAGTGTCGGAGCTGACAGTTTGAGATGCATTCGCTGTCGCTGCGAGTCGAAGGGAAGGTCCGAATCGCTCAGTGACAGACAGAAGCAAGTAACATATCCGCCGCCTCAATCGGCGGTGATATAGTGCTTGCACAGCAAAGATATCCTCCCCGCAGCTTTCTGACTGGGAGTGAGGGGTGGATACTCACATGCATGTCCACAGCATTCCGCCAAGATCGTCGCATTTGGCCCGCGCAAACCAGCCCGGCTCGATGGCATGACATCGGTTGTCGGCCCGGAAGACTTTCTGGACAAGCTGGACGGTGTCGGTGGTGAGAGCACAGGTGTGGACGTTGCCGCGGTGGGTAAACTCGCTCACGACCAAGTGCGAATCGGCCGGGGCTTGTCCTGAGGTGAATGCGGAAAGGGCCGAGGACAGCGGCTCGCATACGGTCCTCTCAGAGGCCCCGAAAGGGCTGGAGCCGGTCCGGTCCTGGCAGGGAGACTGCACTGGGCCCTGACATGCTTCCGAGGGCCAGAACAGGGTAACTGTGGCCGACGACCCTATCGTTATGGGGTCGGGTCCAGAGCCTGGACAGGATGCCTCGCTGTAGTAGAAGCGTCGTTCGGCCCACTCCGAGGGCTCAGCGGAGACGATGGTGCCACTCCAGGCGAGCAGTAGCACGGCAAGGAATGAACGCATGATGGTTGAGCCGGAAACGTTGATGGCAATACAGAGCAGGCGTGGGACGACGGCTGTTCTGGAGGTGTTCGAGACGAATGACTTTTCTTGGTGCCGGGGGTCGATGTCGGTGCGAGAGAGCCAGTTTCGATGTTGGTGTGAATCTCATCGTTGCCTGCACCCTCATACCAGCCGGGCTGGGACAGTCCAAGGAATCATCCACGAATGCTGTGATTGGGCGAGTCATTCACTTCGAAAGAGGTACTTCTAGACTGTCCTCCCCCCAAAGGCTGGACAGCTGGATATCATGGTCGACACAGCGGGGATCAGTGCTCATCACAGTCAGTCCAGAAAGAAATGGGACAATCGTAGGCTCCAGTGAATCTCTTTGTGTGGTGCATCCGCTCGACCCTCTGGGCTGCTCCATGGTGTATCGATATCAAGATACTCGGCCTTCCTGAGTCGCTTGGCTTCCCGGCACTGTGAGCACACCTGGGGTAGATCCATTTGGTCGCCTGGGTGGAGCCTTCGCTTGCGGGAGTCATCGGTGCGAGAAGCGTCCTTGATTGGCTGTAATGGGGATTCACTGAGATACAGGTTCATCAGATATCCGCATGCCCATAGACGATGATCGACTCGTACTCCATGATCATGCTCCTTGGCTGCACTGGTCTTGCGATGCGGGGCTTTGGTGCATTCAAATCGATGGATTGTGCTTCACCAACTCGATACATCTTGATTATGGTGGCGCTGCTCGATGTATTCGAGGGTTCCCAAGTAACAAATGACTGGTCATAGTGGTGATAGATGTGTATATTCCGTTTCAATAATCAAAGCGGTAACCGCAGTGCATCCCATTCATTTTGGGAGATGCTCGTGTAGATCAAATCTAGGAAGAGGGCTGTAGCGGCGAGTAGTTCCATGCCATGACAAAAGGGAGCTTCTGGGTCGCGCAGCAAACCCGAGATCTCCATACTGGTACAAGAGGAGGCGGGGAGGGATGATAGTGGATAGAGGCGGTTAAGCTATCGGTCGCCCGACAGCAGACATAGGGTGGTCGTGGTCATGGTCGTGGCCGTGGCCGTGGTCGTGGTCGTGGTCGCAGTTTAACAGAACAGCAGAGCCGAGAGACTGAGGAGGATGCCGCCGAGGGTGTAGGTGGCGGCCGAGTCGAAGATGGTGGTGCCCGATCCTTTGACTGGGCTCGGGGTGGACGAGGTGGTGCTGTTGGTGCTGGTGGTGTTGGCAGAGGCGCCGGTTCCGCAGACGACGGAGGTGTAGGAGCCATCGGGTGCAGCGGTGCAGCTCTGAGTGTTGTAGGTCTGGGTAGTGCAGTTGGTGCAGCCCTCGCTAAACGACAGGAGATTGGATAGGATGAAAGGAGCCAGGAAGTTAGTGGGCGACGCAGAATCAACGATCCGGCAACACATGCAAATGGGCTGCCACGGCCGAAGCAAGCGATGCAAGCGATGTGGATGGCAATCCGCAGGCGGGAGCAACGCCGACTACACTCACTTGCAGAATGCGACAGTGCCGCTGGACTGGCTACAGGAGACCTTGAAATAGTAGCCCGGCTCCATGACGTAGCACTGGCCATCGGCGATGTAGGTGGTCTGGGTGAGCTGGGTGCCGGAGCTGAGGCTGCAGCTGGTGGACCCGACGGTGTAGTACGAGTTGATGGTCAGGAAGGCCTGGCCAGCGACGCGGTTGACAGGCAAGTACGGGGTATCGACCAAGGGGCTGCTCTCGCATCCGGTGGCCTCGGAGGAGAGATAGCCGGCGACGGCGGATTTCTTCTCGCAGGCAGCAAAGCCGGGTGCCTGGCACGGGGTGTTGGACCAGACCGAGATGATGTTGGTGACGGTGCCTGCAAGGGATCGAGGGATTGGTTGTGGCGAGGACGGGAGCAAGTGCGAGCAGGTTTTAGAAACCGAGTCCTACGGATGCTGGGTTCAGCGACGGAGACGACAGGCGAGTCTGAGGGCCAGACATACCGGTGCAGTCGTTGGTGTTGGAATAGAGGCGACGGTTGAAGGTCTGTGCTGTGACGGTGCCGGCGGCAGCAGCAGCGAGGACGAGAGACTTTGGGCAGACCATGGCTGTGGATGGATCGTGGAGTTGGAGGATGGATCGTGGAGTTGGAGGATGGATTGAGGAGTTGGAGGATGGCCGGTGGATGGGCGATGGAGTTGGGACGAAACCAAAGCGCAGAAACGGAGCAGGCAGCGGCAGTGCGGTGCAAAAGCTGGGACGGGCGCGCCGGTCCTGTGCGACGCGCTTGCCTCTTTTGGACGGTAGCGCAGTTTGAGTTGGGTGGCGGTGCGAGTGGCGGTATTTTGCCGGGGCGGATGCTTGTGGCAGTGCACCACGTGGTCAAGCCAACTCTCACCGACTTTGGCGGTTGGTTGATCCAGGCCAAAACCCAGAAGCAACTCTCCATCGCACCCGCAGCAGCAGCAATAGCAATAGCAATAGCAATAGCAGCCGCTCACTCACTCCTACCTGTCGATCCGCTCATCCGCCGCCGGGCAGACGGGGACTGGGGGGATGCGGGAACGACGGAGGGGGGATGTGTTTCTTGCGGCAGCCTTGGTCTTTGTCCCCTTGCCGTGTCTCGACTCTGGGGCATCTGTGCTCTGCGATTCCGCCGGATATGCTCTCCACCAGCTGCTTCATCGCCATCCACCAGCTGCTTCATCGCCGTATCTTGTCCGTCCGCTTGTCACGCCTGTGCTGCTGCACATCGCCCTTGGCGCGCTGCTGCATCGACGCACGAGCCACCCCGTCCCCCCGGCCCACGAACACAGAGCGGATGTGCATCGTTTGCCTCGGATGCACAGAGGGCCATGCCCGTTGTGCCTGGTCTCGGCCGTGGTCGCACGCTTGCTGCTCGTGGGGAGGCGCGCTCCCGTATCTCGTCACTGCGCCGCGGCCGTGAGGCTGGGCCTGTGCTCGCGCTGTGTGCCCTTGTGTGCGGGGCCGCTGGCACGCAGGCGACTCCCTGTGCGGGCATATGCTGCAGCACTGTGCCGTTCTCCGGCTTGCCTTCTCTTGCTGAACTCTGCTGGTCAAAGTCCTGCCGAGGGCTATCTGCGGGCTGCAGCACTCTTCGCGGCTCGTCCTTGACGCAAATGTCGTGCTCTCAGCTGCTCGCCGACTGTCCCTGTGCTGTGCTGTGTTGGCTTGTGCTGAGCTGTGCTTGGGCCTTGTTGTCTGCGGCGCTCTGGAGTGGCTCCCGGACTCGGTCAAGGCACGACTGCCGGGGAGGCACACAGCCGAGGCAGACGCAAGGGTGGGCACCGCTGTTGGACATCCGGCCGCCTGTGCGTTGGGGGAAGAGAGCGTCCTTTTGTCACAGGCCCACGCGGCGTTGCCATTTTTCCTGGAGCGCTGGCATGTGCTTGTCGGTCGAGCAGGCAGGAGAGAGAGAGAGAGAGAGAGAGAGAGAGAGAGAGAGGAAGTATGCCTTGCCAGGCTCAGGTCGTGGATCGCATCCTGGGAGGTCGCCGGCCATGCTTGCTGCCTTGCCTTGCCAGCACGACGCTGTTTTCGGCCTGCCCAAAGCCGCTCGTTGCCATGCATCCACCGGCACCACCACCATAGACTGAGAGCACCGTGATGCACAAGCAGGCCACAAGCGGCTGGTGCACATTGGCTCGCCTTTCCCGCATTTGCCGCTATCGGTCACCCCGACGATTGGGCTGCACGCAGCATGGTTCTTAGTCAGTCGGTCAGTCGGTCGGTCGGGGGAAAGATCGGCCAGCCCGCCTGTCCTTGCACTCTGCCTTGCACTCAGCCTTGTGTCTGGCCTTGGCGGCTCCCAGCCTCGACGGAGCAGAAATCTTGTGGATGTGTGTATCGATGGTGTCAAGGCCGGGTGTGGATACACACCAGAGCACGCGAATTTGCCCCCACCCTTCGCTCCTCCTCCTCCAGCAAACGAACGGCGGGTGCAAATGGAGGGAAAAGTAGTGTGACGATGAGGGCGGGGATGTGGGTGGACGGACACATCGATCGAGGCAGCCATGCGGGTGGGAATGGAACGAGGCTGGTGGGAAAATGCCAAGGTGCGCGATCGAGAACGGCGAATGAGTGTCAGAGAGGAAGGATGGCTCTCTCGCAACCACCGCTCCTCCTCGAACGACACCGTAGACGAGTAGGGCCTATGTGTGTGTCTCGGACATATTCTGATTCTTGTATTAAGCAAGCAACTTTTGAGGCAGACCAAAATCAAATCAACACGCGTGACGAACAGAGGTGGGAGTGACGAGCGGGAGAGCACTGGCATGCTGGGCAGACCCTGCAGTGGCTATTATGCACAAGTACGCACTGCGGCGATGGGCGAGTGTGGGTGGGGGTGAGGGGAACGGCAGTTGGCAAGCCGGCGGACGAGAGGAAGTAAGGTGAGAGGCGCTAATACGCACAGCAGTCCAGATCCAGCGGATCGCTGTTCATCAGCGACTGGATCGTGATCCTGCGCTTGGCAGCAGGCGAATCCGGGTGGCCGCCGCTAGATCCGTCGCTCGATCCGGCACTGGATCCAGTGCTGGATCCTGCACTTAGGCAGCCATCATCCGAGTTGACCGAGTCTTGATCGGGGCTTCCGGACCGCTTGCGAGAGTTCCGCGGTCTCGGGGCCACCGGGGCAACCGCGACGGGGTACTTGTCGGTCACGGCGTAGGACTCGAGCAGGCCCGACTGGAGGGCGTACTCGAGGCTTGGGCACTCGGCCAGGTTCAGCAACAGCTCCACAAACTCGGCATAGGAGGGCGACAGGTTGGACGGCGGACACGAGGTCGACATGGCGAGCAGCAGCTTGGTCAGGGCCGAGGGCTGCAGCCAGATCCGCCAGGGCTTGGACTCTTGCTCGCTGTAGCCGGACGAGAACCGGCAGCGGACGGAAAAGACAGCGTCGTCGGTGAAGCGATAGCCCGTGGGACGGCTCTGCAGTTCCAGGAGCTTGGACACGAGGTTTTCGATCCGCAGCGAGTACGAGTCGCCGAGGTATTTGCCAAAGAACCCGTTCTTTTGGCCGATCTTGAGGTTGACGGGATGGCCACGCCATTTGCTCTTGCGCGCTAGTGACGACTTGGGGTCGGCGACGTTGTGGGAAGGATCCATGGATAGCAAAGGTAGGCAGGGGCCGAGCAGGGAGTGTGAAGCAGGGAGTGTGGATCCAGGTCGATAGTAGCCTGGAGCGGGTGGCGGAAGGTAGTCGCGGCAGAAGGTGGGTGCCAGAGATAGTATATACCGGCACAGAGAGTATGTGTCGGCAGAGAGGCGAGTACAAAGTTCAGGCGACTTGCGCTGATGCGGCGGCGTGGGGATGGGCCGGTACAGATTCCAAAGGCAATATGATGGCCTATGCGAGTGTGAACGCCAGGGTGGTTTATGGCGGAGGCAGGCGCAGGATTGCGTATGGCAGGCGTTGGTGGCTATCGAATACAGATTGCAGCGTGCGTCTTGGACGTTTGGACGGCACAACAGGCGCGGAAGTAGTGCCGATGCAGACAGAAGGCAATATCGCCACGGATACGGATAACAGCGTGGGGGGAGGGGAAGGCGAGTAAGGTCGTGGGAGGACAGCAGGGTCGGACTCTGCCAGGAAGCGAGGGGGAGATCGTGCCGAGAAGCAGAAGAAGAGGGGAATGCGATGGGCGAGCTCGAGACAGAGGAAAGAGCGTCGCGGTGGTAATGGGGGTGGACCGAGCAGCGCAATGAAAAGCGGGAGGGAGGGAGGGCAAATGCGCGGAGATGGAAGGGAAACAGCCGGCGGGCAATCTGGGCAACGGCCAGAGGGCAATCGGAGAACGGAGCGACGCCGATGCAGCGGGGCGGGTGTGCAGCAAATTATGGGCAGGGCAGAGGAAAAAGCAGAAAGGAGCCAGCGTCTTTCTCGTTTGTACGCATCCGGAGGCCATGCGCCAGTGTATATATAGTTCCGAGAACCGACCGCGGGCGATACGAGACCGAGCGGGGTGCAGTGGTGCAGTCGCCGGCCTTGTGGGGAGGCAAATGAAAACCGGCAATACTCGCCCTGGCTTTTTCCACTTTTGTTTGTCGGCCCTGGCGACTGCCCACGACGAAGACGGGCGCTGGCGGTGGTGATTTCGGGGCCTGCTGGCCACGGGTGTGTTAACAAATCGATGCTAACGACCGAGTGTCGACCGAGTGTCGACAGCGTTGTCGGCCAGTGTATCCACTCAGAGTATCCACTAAGAGTATCCACTAAGAGTATCCGCTCAGAGTATCCACAGTTCCCACAGTGTCCGCACAGTCTCTGTGCTCTCCAACACAGCGCACGGCTCACGGACTTTTACCCGCCCCAGCTGCGTCGAGCTTGTCGCCCCGTGGTAGTCAGCACAACCTCCCCCATGAACGCTTCCCCAGACACCCATGCCTTGTCGTCTGCGACAGCTTCTGGGTCGATGCTCCTGGACGGCGCCTGGTTGACAGCGCCGTGCCCTTTCGCCAAGATCGCTGCTTCTGTCCAGAGCCACGTTGGCCTGGTGTGCATCGACTTGGGCTTTTGTCGCGACAGCGCTCCTTGTGTGCACCAACGCCTTCCGCTGTTGTCCTCCACATCGGCCCTCCACGGCGAGACAAACATGGGGCCAGCCGTGCAAGGCCCGCGGATGCAGGCCAAGGATGGGGTGGCCTGCACAAGTGGTGCTGCCTGGGGGTCATCTGCACCCACACAGCCCCGACAAGGCACACGGCGTGAACGAAGGCAGTGGGCTGCAGCGTCACACTGCGGGAAACCTCCAGCAAGCAATCGGTAAACAAATCAAGCTAATCAAGATAATCAAGATAATCAAGCGATCAAGCAGTCAAGCTAATCAAGCACGCAAGCTCTGTCGGCGGGTCACGGCTGTCTGCAGGCAAGCGCCGTGTATGCCAGCAGCAAGGCGGGCATGCTCGCGCACCTGCCCTCGGCGCACAGCAGCGCCCCGTATCACCCTCGGGGTTGCTTGGCGGTGCACAAGGCCGCGGGCCTTCATCTCGGTCGGCCGTGTTGCTGGCTGCCGCGTGGGCCGTCCTCCCCAGCTTGTCTGCGCCGGCAGAGTGATCCTCGGCCCGGCCGCCCATGCCCAGCTGCCGGCCGTGGTTGAGCCGCCCCCCGGCCCGTGGCGAGCCGAGGGCAAGGCTGCCGCCGAGCCGCCGAGCGCCTGCGACAAAGGTGCCTGCAGACCAACCCCACGCCGGGCCACCCTGGTTGGTCTGCGGGAATCCCTCTGCTTGTGGTGCCGGCCAAAGGGCTGCATCGCCGAGTGGTCAGCAGAGGAGGAGGGAGCGCAAGAGAGGGTCGCTGCCAGAGCCGCGGGCGAGCGCCGTGACGGCTTCGGCACGAGAGGAGCAAGGGTTGGCGCAGGAGTCGCTTGCAGGGCTCGGGCGTTGGCGCGAGTGCCTCGGCCCTGTGCGATCAGTAGACACAGCCCGAGCAAGTAACTCAAGCTGCCCTGGGAACATTGCAATGCACCGGTGCTGACAACCAGCGGACGCCGCGCTCCGGTGGTTTGCCGTGGGCAGTCAAGGACTCGCCTCCCAGACACATCCGGCAACAACAGACCGCCCGAATGGGGCTTCGTGCTCGCACCGGCATTTGTCATCGCCGACACGCCCCTGGAGCGCAAGGACAGCTCTCTGGTTCCATGCCACAGCCCCAGCACCATCAATTGCATCGCCAACACCACCCCCCCCCAGCTGCATCGCCCAGCACTGCCAACAGCACCAGCGATCCGCAGAGCAAGAAAGAGCGAAAAGAAAAGACCAAGCGCCACCGACGCTGATACCCACCGCCAGTGCTCGCTCGTCAAGGCAGGCACCGCCAGGGAAAGCGCCTGGGCACTACTTGCGCTCGTGCAGCCTTGTCGGGAAGCGGTCAGCCGGCTACTTCCGTTTTGCCAGCGCTGCAATCACTCGCATGCCGGGGCCCTCGTTTCCCACCCCTTTTCGTCTCATCCTCGGAGCGTGGTGCCAATCAGACGCACCACAAACATCTCGCGTGCCCTGTCAGGATCACCTGGCGTCACTCTGGCGCCGCCTTGGAGACAAACAAACACGCTCGCCTTGGATATCGGAGCGATTCAGACCCCGCTTTTGGTTGGCGACCATGTCTTTTGGCGCCGCCCCAAAGTGGATGGTGGGAACCCCGCACCCAGAAACGCCGTCGGCTGCTTCAATTTGGATGTCTCCACTTTGTCTTTCGCAACCTGCCGGAGAGCAATCCCATGAAGCCTCTTTCCCGGTCGGCGTCGGACCTCACCGTCCCGCCTGAGCCACCACGAGTCTCGCCTCCCATTACTTCGAGATCGCCATGGGAACCAGGTCCGCCTTGATCTTGGTGGCACTGTCGACAGGGAGGGGGGGGCCATGGCGACAATTCTCTCGCTTGACCAGAACGCGTCTGCCGTGAGAACGGGGCTCGACATCGAGTCTATGCAGTAGTGGCATCAGTTTCAGTTTCAGCTGCAGTCGCAGTCGCAGTCGCAGTCGCAACAGCACCACCCAGGTATCGACGCCTCGGGACGTTGTACATCGGTGCAGTCCGTTCCGGCGCCTCTCGCTGCAGGCGGTCCTGGCCATCCTGCTCCTTGTCCGGCGGCCGAGGCAGAGTCCGTCCTTTGAGGGTCTTTTCGGTTTGTCCTGTTGCGCACCGTTGCGCACCGTTGCACTTGCTGCCCAATCGGCCTCGTGCTTTGGTGGCTTTCGTTGCGCATCCTCCTCGCGTTCCGCCGCTGGCCTTTCTCCCACGTCCGCCGTCATCGCCTCTTCCACTCCTGCCTCGTCCCGTCGGTCCGCAGAAGTGGTCAGGCCGATCTGCAGCATGGCCCGACCCGTGTGGCAGTAGTAAGGGTGGGAGCTGATCACCGGACCTGACCGGTGCTGGACCTGCGTCCCCCTCATATACACTCATGCATATGCACCTGGAGAACAATGACGATGCCAATGGCGATGGCACGGACAGCGGTACCGCCAATGTAATAGGTCATCCGACCAACTGCACTTGCATCCCCCCCCCTCCGTAGCCTCGCCATGCGACTGACTCCCGTTGTTCCTGCTCGTGAACACGCATTTTGATTCCGTCACTCTCCCAAGCAATCACCGCGAGTGTGCAGCTGCAGCGGCTGCAGACAGTCCGGCCTGCCCTTGGAGCTTTCCCATGGCGGGCGATGTCAGGGACCACTCCTCCCGCAAGTCGGCAGATGAGACAGGCCGCGAGAGAGAGAATGGCGGAGGGAGGCAGACCAGGTCGACCAACAGAGGGACACGAAGGGACCGGTCGAGGCCGTTGCCGCTGCTGGCTTTCAGTCGGACAGGTCGTTGACGGCCGAGCCGGCCTTTCCTCTGCCTCATCTCTCCTGCCTTCCGCATTCTCCTCCCATCCACTCACTCGCGCGTGTTGTCCAAACTTCATTCCAATCTCTGTTCACAGCCATGCCGACGGAACCCATGGACCAAGGGCAAACTCAGACATGATATCGAGCTTCCTCCGATATCGCACCAGCTTCTCCTTGACCCCCGGCGCCAGCGGCTGCAGGTCTTGGCCGATGCGAGTGAGCTTGCCTCGCAGAGCGTCCGTCAGGTAATCCTGAAAGGTGGCCAGGAACACCTTGGCTGACGAATGCGCTGGCGTGTGGACGTGCGGCTCCTTGGGGAGTTTTTGGAATATCAAGGCACACTCTGGAGTAAAGATCCTTGGGTCGATCCGTATCAGCAGCAGGATCATCTGCATAAAACAGAGAGGGAGATGCAAGCACCAAAGTGGAGCAAATGAGAGTGGCATGTCAGCAACACAATCAAGTACATCGGCAGCAGGCGGAAAGCGCAGAGTGGAGCAGGGTCAAGCAAATGGGCGGTGCACAGTGGTTCGAGATGCAGGAGGAGCGGGATGGGCCAGGATGGTGTCGAGCAAGCCAAAGCCGCAGCGAACAGGCCCTGCAACCCACTTGCGCTCCATGCATTCCGATGCAGCCCGCGGGAGTCGACAGGACCGTCCAACCTCTGTCGTGCTGTGGAGCCCCGTCGCTGCTCGTCCTCGTCGACTGACCCCACATCCCATGTGTGCTCTGCTATCGTTCCCGTGGTGCTGGTTCACGAATCATAAACTCCTTTCCCTCCACGCCTCCCGCCAGTACCACATCACAGTGCATCACGCACAGGCTTACCATGACATAGACAATCACGAACGGACTGATCACGGCGCGGTTGATATGGGCTATCGAGGGGTCGTATCGGGTATAGGTCTTGAGGGTGTTCAGGACGGCGTTCGACCACTTGAGCAGCTGCCGGAACGAGTCGCTGTCCTGTGGCCGAGCTGCGCCACGCGTCCACAGTTCTGACAGCGAGGAGGCATGGAGTGAGGAGAACATGATGAGGGGCATGCACGGAGGAACATGGGGTGAGGGGGATGGAAGAGGCAAGAGGATGCAGGAGCAACGACCACATCGAATGCCCATCGAATGCTCGTCGACCATTGTGGGATCTCCTAGACGCCTCTCTCATACTTTCAACCACACACAATCACACACAATCACACACAATCACACACAATCACACACAATCACACACAATCACACACAATCACACAATCACACAACGACACAGCAATGCAACAGCACCAGCAGCGGCAACAGCAGCGGCATCGCCCGGGCCAGCCTACCTCGGACCAGACTCGGGTAGTAGAGCATGCCCGCACAGATGCAGTACATCAGCCTCAGCACAAAGATATCGACGATAGTCTGGCGAGGGTAGTGCTCGGCTCGGTCGGCGTGAAGCAGCTGCTTGGTCCACTCGGGCATCGAGTCGAACCAGTCGTTCAGACGCTTGAGTTCCCGGTCGATGCTCTGGTCATAGATAGTCTCCAGGGCCGTGTCCAGGCCATCCAATCCGGAGCTGTACAGGGTCATAAAGTACACGTTCTTTTGGTAAAACTTTGTCAGAAACAGGAGGCTCTCGTGGTACCGCTCAAACCGAGAGTCGGGCACCGGCGGTATGCTGATGACGTTTGAGGTTTCCGAGCAGGTCGCCGTCAGGAACGTGGCTTCGTCGGATGGAGGAGGCGACTCGAAGAACTGGACGGCCGTGGCCAGAGGTCGATCCGAGCCCCGAGCCGGGTCGGGCAGAGCATCGCCGAGGATGAAGAAGCAGCAGCTGTACCATGTCCGTCTGCGGACTTGGCCTTCGAACCACCGGCGGCTTTCTGAATCTCCCTCCACGACGTGGTGGGGCGGGCGCGATTGGAGCTCGACAGGTCGGTCGGACTGCAGACCCATCCGAATGGCCAGCCGGGTGGCGATGAACAGAAAGTTGTTGCTGACAGTCACTAAATGATGGAGGAATGGGACATGGGCACTGTGTAAGGCACAAGGCACAGCTAGGTTGCAATCGCCTCAGTCGACCACCAGACCGCAAACAAGATAGGAGTGGGCTTCACTGAGAGCAGACTTACGGTGGCCCATCACTGGAGAGCAAAGGTCATTTTGGACGTTTCAACACAGTGAGGAAGGCAAGCAGGTAAGTACAAACGTTCCAGAGAAGAGCCCACCCAAGGATCCCATCCCGAGCCGCACTCAGCGGGCGACGATGCATCGAGGGCAAGACCAGATCGTGCATCAGAGAATCTCTGGATCCAATCGCATATCATACACTTTGACAGTCGTGCCAGCAGCAAGAATCCTTGAACAGTCTCGAGTGTCGGATCTTCGAGAGCCTTGACGATCGAGGCGCGCGACTTCATGTAGTAAGGCACAATGGCCCGCTGGTCCGTCTGCGACCGAGCCATGTCGCTGAGTCCCAGGGCCACGATGATATCTTGCAAGTAGTCCGGCAAGGTGGCCCATCTCGCTGAGGTGACGGACGGGTTGAACAGGCGGCATGGAAGCAGCCTGGGTGAAAACGACTGATTATGTTTTGATCGAGACAAGGGTAAGCAACGGCACTGCTTACGTACAACGAGTGACTCGCTGTGCATGGGCCGCCCAAGACCTGGGGTGGGAGACGACATGACGACGGCGGCGGGCGACCGCAGCGCACAGCACTCAACGACAGCAGCTGCGAAACTCACATCGAAAAAGACCCGGATGGCCTCGGTCGTGGTGGCCCTGGACAGCTCGTACGAGGAGCTCAGAGGGATCAACCCGACGAGGTCGCAGGCGTCGTCCAGCGAATCGTCCATGTTCATGAGCGACTGGACAGTGATCCGCCGCTTCTGGTCCGAGGCCGTTGTCGCTGAGCCTCTGGAGCTCGAGTCGTCGCTCTCTGGCGACCCCGCAGACGGCCACGACAGCGCCGACAAAGCAGCGTCCTTTGGTTCCAGCGACGTCTGCCGGATCTTGTCTTTGGGAACATAGGGCTCCAGCAGTTGTGACTGGATGGCGATCGGGAGCGATGGCATCTCGGCCAGATTCAAGAGCAGCTCGATGAATTCGGCGTATGAGGGCGACAGGTTGGAGGGCGGGCAGGCGATGGACATGGCAAGCAGCAGCTTCGTCAGGGACGAGGGCTGCAGCCAGATCCGCCAGGGCTTGAGGTCTTGGTCCGAGTATGAGGAGGCAAAGAGCGAGCGCACAGACAGCACGGCCTGGTCGGTGAAGCGGTATCCGGTGTTGGCCTGTTGGGCCTCAAGAAGTCGCAGGACGAGCGACTCGATGCGGAGCGAGTACGAGTCGCCCAGGTACTTTCCAACGAAGCGGGTCTTTTGGCCCATCTTGAGGTTGACGGGATGGCCTCGCCGTTTGTGTCGGAGCATCATGGGCGAGCTGGATGGGGTGATGTTGGGCGATGCCGACGGCTGTGGGAATGCAGACGTTGTGAGCTTCATGGCCAGAGGGCGGTCAGAGATGATTGTAGGGGGCGACCTGTAGCAGCAGGACGTGCGGGATGGGGTGGTACGGGCAAGCGGTGGCCTTTCTGGGAGACGGAAGCTGCAGCAGAGGGAGGTCCAGGCAAACCGGCGACAGGGCAGGTTTCAACAACTGAGCGACGCTTTTTTTGGGCGGAAGGAGGGAGGGCCGAGCCGAGCCGATCGACGCCGAATGCAGATGTTTGGGGCGAGGACGGCTGCACACTTACAGCTGCAGAGATTCGTCCGGACGGATGGGTGGATGGAAGCCGGCAAACTCTGGGCGCTGCTCGGAGAGAATGTCGGAGCAGAAGGCGGTCTGATAGGCCAAGGCTATCGGCCCAGGCAGCCAAAGGCAGAGTGTCTGCTTTTGTGCAAGTTCCCACCCCGGCCGGATTACCGGCGACGCGCGGAGAGTGTTTGTTTACACACTTTCCGGTTCGCCCTTGCATAACAGCGGGCGAGCTTTGTCTGTTGCGTGGGGGGGGGGCACGGCAGCGAGTGCAGCGTGGCTTCAACATTCGTCCCTTGGAGCTGGCAGCGACAAGGCCTGGTCGGCAGGGCCTTGCCTGCCCCGGGGTTCGCTGAGGACGATCGGCCAGCGCCGCCCTTTGTGGCTGCGGCGCTGCCTTGGTCGGCGCTCTTGTTGTGGTCTTGGCTCGCAGGCCTGCTCGTCTGGCGTCACGATTGCATCCGCTTTGGCCAGAGCCGTCCTGGAGCCGTCCTGGAGCCGTCCTGGAGCCGTCCTGGAGCCGTCGGCCGTCGTGTGGGCTCGTGGGGGAGGTGGCTGCCGCCGGTCGGTTCGGCTGATGCTTGCCGGGCGCTGTTCTGGCGGATACGCCACCTTGGCAGGCGGGAGGGGGTGGGTTGCTGTGCCCTCAGGGCGCTGGCACAAACATGGTCACCAGTAAAGGACTTGGCGGAACTGCCTCCGTTTCCCACGAGGGTAGAGAGTACACCCACGGTGCAGAACATACACCCACGGGCAAATGCCGGGTGGCATCGATGTCCGCGTGGCTGTCGTCGAGGGCTGGTGGATCGGGACGCAAGGTCGGTACTCCCAAGACAATCGCGGGGCGACGGAGGCGACAGGGAAGGCTGGCGACTGGCGTGCCTGGGCGAGTAAGCCGGATGGACGCTTGGGTGTCGAGTGGAAGCAGTCGTGGGCTCGTGGACTGCCTTGTGCGATTCGGAAAGGCAGGTGGTTGATCCCCCCCCCGGAAGAGCGCACTCATGCACTCGGTCGGATGCAACTCGGAGCTCGTGGCAGCGCGGCGGGAGGAGACAGCCCGCCCGAGGGGCAGCGGCAATGTCGCCAAGCCGGAAATCGTCGAGACTGTACTCGGGATGGAGTATTCGATTTAATAGTCGATGGAGCAGTTGATAAGAAAGTTGATTTAATAGTTGATGGAGTAGTCGATGGAGCAGTCGATGCTGTCGATTTAATAGTCGATGGAACAGTTGATTTAATAGTCGATGGGACAGTTGATGCCATAGTCGATGGAACAGTTGATTTAATAGTTGGTGCAGTCGATGCCATAGTCGCTTGAAGATATTCGATCGATGCTCGCGGTCGTCGCAGCGGATCTGCCGCCGCCAACACTCCATCGCATCACGGCAATGCTCGGTAATCACACTCCGGGCTCGTTGGCTGCCCGCGCTGTCGTCCTTCTGGCCCCCGTCGGCCTCAGACTCGTCCATCTCGGATCGTGCTGACCCTTGTCCATCGACTGCTCCAGGGCGCCTTCCTTTCCCTCCTCCGCGCGCCATTTTCTCCTTCCTCAGGCGGACACCGTCCGTCTTCATCCCGCCCTTCGAGCCGCGGCCGGCCGCTCAAGACCTCCCTCCGTCGCCGGCTGCCGCCCCATCGCTCGTTCCCTCTTCTCCTAACGCTCTGCGGCTTTGGTCGCAACATCTCTGCTCGTCTTCATCGCTATCACTTGGGCCACGATCCTGTTCTACGCCCAACCCTGTCCGTCATGAGGCACGCGTTCCGTGGTTTAAGCTTGGTAAGGTCGCCGCGTTGGACGGGCATTTGTTCTCATACGGCACCGGGCGACTCGGGCGGACTAATTGCGCACGACAAGAGAGCTGCTCGGCCGAGGAAGCGAACGTGTCGCTGCTCTCCTCACGCTTCGCCGGTCTTGGTGGGCCAGTCCTGCTCGCTCCTCGGGCCCTTCAGTCTGCGCGATCTGGTGGCCGGCCGACTCCAGCATCGTGTCTGGCATCGTGTCTGGCAGTCTGGGTGATCGCCCATCTGACTTTCTTGGGCTCATGCTCCTCTGTTTCTTGCAGCGCTCGGTTACGCCGGGCAAGATCATGATCATCGTGGCTTTCGCGATGATCGCCATGATGCTCTTGTATCCCAAGCCCACCTATGATGGCCTGGCTCAGATGGACCATGCCTTCAGCCGAATCACCCACTTGGACTCGGACTACTTTGTCCGAAGCAATAATTTCTCGTCCGAATCGACTTGCGCGGACCCCGGCGTCTGGTCGGCCCGCGATGCCTCTGGTATCTGGATCTGCTGGCCGACGGCGGCCTCCAATGTCCCGCGATCTTGGAGATACGACTGGTGGCGGGATGGCCGCCCGATCCAGGGCCGAATCCCGCTCCGGCCCACCCTCGACTCCCCGCGCGCTGTCGCCGCCACCTTCCTGCAACCCTCTCAGATCGAACAGTTCAAAGTCAGCCTTTCCAGCTGGGCAAAATTCTTCTTCTCCGTGTACCCGTACAACTTGCTTGTCTTTGTCAACACCCCGCTTTCGGACCATGAGTACAGCGAGATTTCGCGACTGTTCAGCCAAAACATAGCCGATACGGCGAATGGAGCGGCCGCCTTGATTTCCTTCGAAGTCGTCGACACAAGCGCTCGGCATCGCCGAAACGCCCAAGCCAATGCCGATACGTTCTTTGCAATCAAGCTCGCTCTCCATCCGGCTGTCCAGAATGTCGACTTTGTCATGAAAATCGACCCCTACTTTCAGTTTCTGGCGACTCCCAAATCCGATCCGTTCCTCTCCATGCAGACCAATGCCCAACGGTATGCATTTGATATGGTCCACGCAAGACCTGCAGTCTATATCTCCAGCATCAAGCGCTACATGGAGATGATCATGGAAAACAATCCGACGCTCTCCAAGCTCAGCGGATGGTACAGTGGCTGGATCCGCAACCCCACCTTGGTGTAAGTCGATGCCATATTTCTGCTGTGACGTGGGCTGCTCGTGAGACCAAAGCACCGGACGACGAGACACCACCAGGCTTCACAGAGCACGTCTTGGATATCTGGGCCTGCTGTGCTCTACGCACGAATGTTTGGGTATCCCCAGCGCCGCACAGGGCAGACGCTGTGCTCAGGGATGTTTGAGCTTGTTGTTGGATCGCTGATCTTGTTGCGTGGGATTGATTGCTCTTGCAGATTTGAAGACATCACTTTCGGCGATAGTCTGTCGATCAAGTCCACGAGCATGTCCACTATTCCGTGGGTCACCCAGATTCTGTCTGATATCGAGGAAAACGACTATATCTAGTAAGTTTCCGAGCCTTACGGTCCCGGAGATGCTACACGAGCGCCATCGAGGTTGCTGTCGGCAAAGGTCCATCGCGGCAGTCCGATGACGATGTACTTGGCCCCAGCCACCGAGATTGGAACCGTGCACTCGATCGTGCTGATGATGTCTGGCGAACGTTTCGCCGTCGCTGGGAGCCGCAGCTGTTGCCCGAAATGAGCTCACCTAACGACGCCGTCGCACTCGTCTCTCCCCAACCAGCACCAACCGATGGTCCGACTCCCTCATCTCGACCATGCTTAGTCTCATCTTCTTGGAGCGCTCAGAAATGCGACTGCTCGCAGACTTTTCCTACAGCGTCATTCTCGATGGCGACCATGTCGAGAACTGCCCCGCCAACGAGAACTGCTCTCGCGAAAAGGAAGAGATTATATCGCTGGGCTGTTCCCACCGAATCTGGTTTCTCTATCCTCAGCTCTGCGAGAACCTGCTGGTGGATCAGAGCGTCGATAGAGATCTGATCAAGGAAGTTTCCCGTATCGAGTTGGACAGGAAGAAGAAGAAGGACGAGGAGGAGAAGAGGAGAAGGGAAGAAGAGAAGAAGAAGAAGGAGGAGGAAGAGAAGAAGAGGAAGGAGGAAGAAGAGAGAAAGAAGAAGGAGGATGAGGAGAGAAAGAAGAAGGAGGAAGAAGAGAAGAAGAAAAATGAAGAGGAGAAGAAGAAAAACGAAGAGAAGCAGGAAGAGAAGGTAGATGCCAAGGACGAGAAGAAGGATTCGAAGGAAGACAAGAAGGACGAGAAGAAGGATTCTAAAGAAGAGAAAGCAGATGCTAAGGAAGGGAAGAAGGAGCCGAAGGAAGAGAAAGCAGATGTCAAAGACGAAAAGAAGGATCCGAAGGACGAAAAAGCAGATGTCAAGAAGGACGAGAAAGCAGATGCCAAAGACGAAAAGGCAGATGTCAAGAGCGAAAAGAAGGACGCCAAGGACAACTAATGCCTGTCGAGCGCACCCGTTTGCGGGGCTGGTGCAAGCAACGAAACTCTGCCATGTCCATCGTCCTCATTTTCCAAGGGCTTATCATCCATAGACTGTTACTTGCAGACAACGCGAACAGCGACTCCTTCCCTTCCCTTCCTTTCCCTTCCCTTCCCTTCCCTTCCCTTTCCAGACACATTCAGAGCATAAGCTCGCATCATTTTGCCCTTGCACCCTTCCCTTCCCTTCCCCTTCACATCCCATTCACGATAAGCGATTCGAAATTTGACAAACAGAGTCCTTTCTTTTGAAAATGAGACCTTTTTGCCGGCCAGGCTGTTCCTCGATGGGAACGGATTTTGCCAACGGTATCCCACGCGCGGCCGATCCCACAGATCCAGGGTTGCGGCGACAGTCGGCAGGGACTGCCTGCTGTTGGTACCGTCAGCCCAGAAAGAAACGGGCGGTCCTTCTCTGGCATCGGAGACCTGAAACCTACTGAGCTTCTGTAGGCCCCAGTGAGCAAGCCATGCGATTGTTTCCCGTCCTGGTTGACAATCTCTTTGATTTCGTTGATTTGGGAAGCATGGTCTTGAATACACTTGGTCGATCTCCTGTGGTCGATGTGGAAGTGTGGTGCATTCACTCAACTCTCTGGACTGCTCCATGGTGTATCGATATCAAGATACTCGGCCTTCTCGAGTCGCTTGACTTCCTGGCACTGTGAGTACACCTGGGGTAGATCCACTTGGTCGCCTGGGTGGTGTTTTCGCTTGTGGGGAGCCATTTGTGCGAGAAAGCGTCCTTGATTCAGATCCCGAAACACATCACAGAATGGTCATGGCCAGCGCGCGATGTTTTGAGTCAGAACATTCACCAACGGCCAAAGCCTGTTTTTTATTGGATTGGCTGTCAGAGTGCTGGACACTGTTGGAGGGACTTGAGAGCACATCTGCAGGCAGAGTACTAGACAGAGACCACGGTCGAGGCGGCCTTGCGGAGCCTGTTCATGACGGCCAGACCCTCGCCTTTCTCACCGATGCCTTCGACAAAGATGTATGCGACCTTGCGCTCCTCCAGTTCACGCAACCCCTTGAAGAGCTCTTGAGCAACTTTGTGCGGATCGGACTCTGCACCGAGGGCAAGCTCGGCAACGTTTCCGTCGTAACGAAAGCCGCCCTCGGTATCCCCCGCCGCAAACCACGTTCGAAGTACCCCGATCGGGCCTGGGCTGGACTCCAGCCGCTTGGTGATTTCAGTCTGGACCATGGCTCTCCGTTTCGAAAGGACGGCCTCGTTCGGGAGATGGCCCTCGGTTGAGGATACTTCAAAGAGCACCACTTCGACATTGGGGCTGTAGTGGCGGTATTTCATGCCTGGTGTGGTGGGAGCAGCCTCGAGGGCTTCATCAACATAGTCCCGGCGATACACCCGCACGTTTTCCATGCCTTCAAAGGCCTTGATCTGCTCGTAGGTGATTCCGCCGGGACGCAGAATCGCCGGAGGAGTCGCAAAGCCGTCCAGCACAGTCGATTCGACTCCGCTGTCGCATGAGCCGCCGTCGATGATGAGCGGGATGCGGCCCTGGAGATCGGCAAACACATGCCCAGCGAGTGTGGGTGAGGGCCTGCCGGAGGTGTTTGCCGAAGGGGCCGCCAGAGGAAAGCCGCAGAGGCTGATGAGGGCCCGTGCGATCGGATGTGAGGGGAACCGCACGGCAACGGTATCATGGCCGCCGGTCACCTGTTTGGGGATCTTGCTGGACCTCGGCACCAAAATCGTGAGCGGTCCGGGCCAGTGGCGGTCGATGAGGGCTTGGTACACCTGCGGGATCCTGTGGCTCAGCTCGCTTGGCAGAATCGAGAGCAGCATCTCGATGGACGACACATGGATGATGAGCGGATTGTCGGAAGGACGGCCCTTGGCCAGGAAGATTTTTGCGACGGCCTCGGGCGACAGAGCATTAGCAGCAAGGCCGTAGACGGTTTCGGTGGGGATGGCGACGGGCTCGTTACTCCTCAGAAGCTCGACAGCCCTCAGAAGCGATGCATGGTCTTGCTGGGCCTTGGGGCTGTCCTTGACCTGAAGCACCGGCCTCAGCAGCGGCGATTCGGCGGGATCCCTGGGTGCGAACGAGAACGACTCGGGGTCGGCCGACAGGATCTCTGTTGCGAAGCGGGACGGGCTGCAGGCTGCAGGGGCGCTCATGGTGCGGGCCGGGGTGGTATCGCCGAGGCAGATTTGGATACCGAGCAGTCAAAAGCCGCCCAAGGCCAGGCCACGGCCGCGAACGAACGGAAATCGAAACAAAATCCGTGCGCAGCACATCGGTGCACTCATTTCAGCTGCGCAGTCGCTGGTCGCTGACTTTGATTTGTCGATGGCTTGTCGTTTGACTTGTCGTTTGACTTGTCGTTGTCGGCTTGATCGCCCATCGCCGCGCTGGGCCTCGGCCAACAACCCGATCTCCCCATCGCCCTGCTGTCGGCCGGGCCTGTCCTCGCGCATGCCACCAGCGTCTCTCCTCTCTGTCATCACCGTCGCCCAGATCGACCGCCATGTCGCCTCGTCCGCACCGGCGCCGCACGAGGCATCTGTCCTCCTGGGTACGTTCCTGCGTCGGCGGAAGGCCCTCGCAACCTTCCCGTCGTCGCCGGCCGCGAGCTCACCGAGCGACCTCTGTCTCTTCTTTGCGGACAGAACCGGATGCATTCCTTGTGTGTTTTTGCGGTTTGATGCTGCCTGGCTAGACCAGACGGTCGTGCTGGCCCGGTGGAGCCTGTCGGTGCACCGGCCAGCCTCGTCTCTCAGCGCGGCGACAGAGCCTACTGCCGCCGCCGCCGTCGCTGCTGATTCTGCTGCTATCGGCGATGATCGCGACTCTGGCTCTGCTGCAAATGCGCTTCCTTCCGGCACGTCCGTGGGATCCGACCGCAGCGATCTTGCTGCTCCTGCCTTTGGATATCTGCGGATATCCGCTATTTTGGCCCCTGTTGCCGCAACCCATCCCATCATGAAGCTGCCAACCTATACCCTCTCGGATGCAGACCTGGACATTCACCGGGAACTCGGCTCACAGCGACGGCAGCGGTGTCAGGAATCGCTTCGGTTGCTCCGACAACACTCCCCCGTGACCATGCTGCTCAACTCACCGACGCAGCCGGAGGACGGCAAGCTGCGGGCTCTCCAGGCCCTCGAGAGCCAACGGCGTGTCAGCATACACGGCCGCATCCATGCCAAGAGCGGGCTCATCGTTGCCGACAACCAGATCCAGTTTTATGTCGAATTGCGCTGCATGGAGGCTTCTAACGACAGCAGTACAGCCACCCACCAGGCAGAATCGTCATCGCCCATGATGGACATGCTTCACGAGGCCTTCCAAAGCTCGGTCCTGACGGCCTTCGTGCTTGTGGTCGATACCGTTGGCTCGGCCCAAGACACCAGTGTGCCGTACTACGACTCGCTCCAGGTCGGCGATGTTGTGCTCTTCACCGGCCTCAAAATCCGCTCGCTGCGAAGCGAGTCCGAGTCCAAGTCTATCTTGATGTTTGATCTCGGCGCATCCAAGATGTTCAAGCTGGAGGGCATCACACTCGCTGGCCTGTGCACCGACGATGGCCAAGACCCGTCCGAACGCCCAAATACTGCCTCCGAGACGGCGACAGTCCCGCAACTGTCTGAATCAAGGCGGCAAGCTCAGCAGAACAAAGTTCGGGACGAGCATCGAGACGAGGAACAGGACGAGCATCGAGACGAGGAACAGGACGAGCGCTGCTTCAGGCATATTGCCGCCGCACTGACAGCGCCCTTTCAGTCGTCGCGAGATGTCGCCAACAGGGACTTTCGGACCATGCACGTCTCGTTCGTCGGCCGCATCACCCGGGTTATCAACCATCTCTACGGCATCTACGAGATCGACGGACGCTACACCCTCTATCTTACTCTCATGTCCAGCCGGAGCTGCGGAGCGGGTCTCACCGCCAACGTCGAGCTTGCGTTGCATCACCTGCACTTGATCGTCCATACGCCGGCCGATGCTCCCGCTGTATCCTCTGGCGACCAACGAGGCTCGACCCAGCGTATTGTCTCCTTGTTCCCGTGCCTGCACAGCAGCATCGACATCCTGCGGTTTCCGAGCGATGATGCCTGTGCGGCCACCGACCACATTGCTTCCCACGAAACACGCGAGCGCCTGCGTTCTCGGTTCAAGCACATGAACGCCATAGATCTGCTCAACTATCTGGATCTCCAGCGCTGTTTGCACGAGTCCGTCCAGCTCGACGAGGCGGCGCTTCACAAGTCCATCTTATCGATCATGGGCCATTTCGGCCACTCGCCCTACCGCCCGCCAAAGGCCATCGAGTACTTTATCCATGGGCACGAGGAGGCATGCACCTTTGCGGAGCAGCGGTACCGTCGTCCTGCTCTCGTCACAGTCTCGACCATGTGCCGTCTTCCGGCCGTCCGCAAAGCACAGACGCAGCTTGACCTGTACTCCCCTATCCACACCTTTACGGCCGCCGAATTGTTTGCTGGGCGGCCGAACGTACTCTTGGTCGGGACTCTGGCGCTGTCTCCTGATGGCGGTTTGCAGCTCATCGACGCCAACATGCGCCTGGATGTCTTTGTCGAGCGTGCCCGTCCAGACGAGTGCTCTCCTCCGTGGCGACTGCTGGACCGTGGTACCGTTGTCGGATTGTCCAAGTTTAAACTGATCATCGAGGCCCTTGGTGCCTCGGAGGACTTTCAGAATCGATCGACGATCCTCAAGACCTATCTGTCGGCCAGCTGGACTGATGCTCTGATCCTGCGTCGGCCCAAAGGTCCTGACATCCCATCTATGCTTCCAAACCATCCAGGACAACAGCTCATTCGTGTGGACCATATCGGGCCTGTCGCCAGCCGCGAGTCGCAAAACGGTCAAACCTTCTCGGCTTACATGCAAGCTGTGATGTGGTATGTCAAGCGGAGCACCGCCACAGACAACACCTGCAGTATAGAGCCTCTGACCCGGCCGCACAGGGTGCTGGCTCAGATATCGGAGCGTGAACATCTCTCTGCCTTGGCCGGGCTTCAGGTAGGCGGGCTCTATCTGTGCCTCGGACTTGTTCCCATCCGCGAAGACGACGGCTCTGACCACGAGCAGCCCGACTACAGCACATATGCCTGCACGGCCTTGGACGACGAGGTATATATGCGGGCCACGAACTCTTTCGCGCTGCAACAAGTGCTGGTCGACGGCCAAGCAATGCCTCCCGACCTGGATCCAAAGAATCCATCGATTCTAAGAGCACGCCTCGAGTCGAGCAATCCGAACTGGTCCGTCTCTGAATCACCCTTCGACGATGCGACCGGCCCAACTCTGCATTCTATCGCGAGCCTAATTCGGCACTGCAGCGGGATGCGCGATGCGGGATTCGGCCAATTCTATGCACGGCTTTTAGATGTCACTGGGGTAATCGAGAGTAAGACGGTCTGCCCGGCCCCTTCAACGTCTCGGCATGGCTACCAGGAAGGTGCAGCTATCGCGGGACATGGCCTTGGACGTGCTGGCCGCGTTCTAGTTGTAGGCCTCGTTTCGCACCAGTCTCGCGAACGCATCGATGTCCATTTCGATCTGCGCCGGTTAGCACACCCCATAGGCTTGATTCCGGGCATGCAGGTTGTGCTCCGGCGGCTGGCTCTCAAGCGCAATCGGGCCGGCGAGCTCTTTGGAGTTTCCATTGCCGACACACGTCTGGAAATCTACTCTCCAGGGCAAGGGCTGCTGCCGTTTGTCAACTCCCGTGGCGCCGACGAGACCCGTGCGTCCTCCGCGCCAAGCTGGTTCCTTGCCGATTTTTTCGATGCTGGCCTGTCCGATTCGCACCGAATGAGCACCCAAACTGTGTCCTGCACAATCACCTTTCTCTGCGAAGCGTCGTTTTGGTGTCAGTGCTCGCGCTGTGGCCAGATCGTCACTCATCACGGATGCACGCCTCGATGCAAGACGATTCGCAAGTTCATGGCCCAGGCCAAATGTCTTGCCCACGATAGCACCTTCGAAGCTACCCTGGGCTTTGACTCGGTCGAGACTGTTTCGCAGCTGCTGCTGCTGGACAGTCGGCACATCCAGCAGCTGGAAGACACCGTCGCCGAGTATGGCAAAGCCCTCTTTGAGGATACCCCGCCCTGGTACGAGCAGCACCACGATCGCACCAAGGACGGTGGCGACTCGGCTGGCCGAGACTTTGGCCCGCCAGACCCAGACGAGTACGGCTCATCGCAGATCGACCCTTCAAACTCGTTCGAGTCGCCATCCAACAAGCTTCTGTATACGCTCTGCCACCGGGCACGACTCCCGCGCGTTGCCAAGATTCAGTGTCGCAACGTGTTTGCCCGATCAAATCGGTTGAAATCGGGATGGCGTCAGGGTGGAGTCGATGCCGCCGGCTCCACAGCATCGAGAATTGCGGCTGTGCACCACCGGGCAAGCGAAGCAACGGGAGCAACTCCCTTCCAGATATTGGTGCAGCCAGAATACCTGCGACAGCGGCGATTCAAGAACAAAGACGGTGACTCGGTATCAACGCTCTCGATGCCACGGCTGTTCCTCAAAGTCACGGAGCTGGAGAGCGTGCCGACGCAGCTGGAGTTGCGTGCGCTGCTCGATCGGCTGGCGAAGCTGTCACTCTTCTCAGGACCATCGGGGCGTACAAAGGAAGCTGCTGCCAACGACCCGCAGATGCAAGCGCAGGCCGGTGCCGGATAACGGCAGCGTCAGTGCTCTGGCAGGTCGATGCGGCGAGGCTGCGAGCGGATTTGGTTAGCAAATCCAGGGTCCTGCGAGCTGTCTGAATATATCGGCGATTGGCCTGGGACGTGCTAGACTTGGGGCTGCTTTCAGGCAGCTTTGGCCCGAGTGTGTCTGAATCGAATCGAGCGCTGCAGGAACGGTTGACCAGGCCGAAGCCTGGAGGGAGCACCGGCGGGACATGGATGGTTGTCTCGGTGCGACATGTGCGACATGTGCGACATGGGCGATGGCGCAGCCAAGCGTCCATCTCCCCGCCACCTTCTCGATCGCCTGTCTCAACCGTCGTTTCCCGCTGGTCTCTCGGCCATTCTGCCGCCATCGCTGCCGCCATCGCTCGCCCCTCATCCCACCATTTCATTTCCCGTCGGGATGGCCGCTGCCGCGGAGACACAGCAGGCCCTGCTGCAGAGCCTCGCCCGCTTCGACCTGCTCGCCATCCTCATCACAAACGACGAGTTCATCCGCGCCGCCAGCCTGTCGTTGTTTGCAAAGCTCTTGAGAGTATCAAAGCGCTATCGGTCCATCATCAATACCGACAGGACGTGGAGCCAGCTCATGTCCGGCAATTTGAAAATCACGGCCGAGTTTCTGTTCAGCGGCGTCGATCCCTCCATCAACCGCCAAAGTGTGCTCCGGGGCCTTTGCTGTTATATATCCCGCCGAGACCGATCGAGGCTGGTTGGCAGAGTCCGGCTCGAGCTGGAAGACGAACTTTGGCTCGAGTTCTACCGTGATGCTGTGCTGTACAGCCGGGTTGAGCGCTACTGTCAAGTGACCGATCCAGCCTTCCAGTTCCCTGGCAATCAAGATGCGAGCAGACCCAAGCGTCAATCTGTGGAGGAAATGGCCCAGATTGCCGAGAGCCAAGACTTCGCCATACTATCTCCAGTAGAATTCGACTCTCGCAACCAAGACGTTAGGATCCGACCCCGCCATATCCAAGATAGTAGCGGCTATGTGTCCAAGCTGCTTCCTTTCGTCACACCAGAGCCCATTGGAGAATGGGCATGGATATGGTGGCTGCAGATCGAGAACGTGTCCTTTTTGAAGGTATCTGGATGGCCCATGGTGCTCTCAAGGTTCCAAAAACTGAACATCAGGATTGGCAGTGATCCCGCAGCATCAAACGCCGATGATCCGCCCGCCAGTTTGGAGGGCATGCCGAAGGTGCTCCCGTTGCTCCGATACCTCTACTTTAATGGCTGTAACGGCCGAGTGTCGCTCAAGGGAATGCCCGAGATGCCGCACTTGACGATGCTCTCGCTTCCAAAGGCCATCGAATGCCTCGAAGGAATGCCAGCAGAGCTGCCCAGGCTTCAAGAAATCGACATGAAGCCATATGTTGGTCTGAGTTCGCTCAGGGGAATGTCTCGAATGCCCGTTTTGACCAGGCTCCATCTGCCAGAGTCCATCGACACCCTCCAAGGAATGCCGAGCGAGCTGCCTTCTCTCACGTACTTCAATGCGTGCGAGTGTACCAAACTGAAATCACTCATGGGAATGCCAGAGATGCCAAAGTTGACGATATCCTATCTCCCCAACACCATCGAAAGTCTGGTGGGGATGCCGAGCATGCTTGCCTCGCTCACGCACGTCAACTTTAAAGTGTGCGGCAGATTGAAATCTCTCGAGGGAATGTCCACGATGCCACGCCTGGGAACGCTCTGCCTTCCGGAATCCATCGAGACCCTCCGCGGAATGCCAGGCGTGCTTGCCTCGCTCACTCACTTCAGCCTTAGAGGATGCAGTAGATTGATGTCCCTCGAGGGAATGTCGGAGATGCCGTCGTTGATGGAACTCGAGCTTCCAGAACACATCGCCAGTCTAGAGGGAATGCCAAAAGAACTGCCTTTGTATCCACAATTCAACTTGAGAGAGTGCCATAGCTTGCGAATACTCGACGGAATACCTCAACTGCCGAAGCTGAAGGTACTCCACCTTCCCGAATCTATCGAGACACTGGAGGGATTGCCAAAGGAGCTTCCCTCTCTTGCACAGCTCGACTTGGAAAGATGCAGCAAACTGAAATCACTCAAGGGAATGCCCGAGATGCCAAACCTGACGATGCTCGTTGTCCCGGGGTCCATCGAAAACCTTGAGGGGATGCCACGAGAGCTGCCCTCGATTACCGAGCTCAGATTACCCAAGTGCGGGAGACTGGTGTCCCTTAAGGGAATGGCCAAGATGCCCAAGCTGCTCGAACTGGACATCCCGGTCGGTACTGAGCTCCTAGAGGATATACCCGACGAGCTTCCGTCGCTTTTCAAGCTCACGATCCGGTCCGACAACCCCCAAACTGTCGTAAACCAACTCCCAAGAATGCCGGAGCTCGGCCACCTCAAACTGCCGCGTCGGTTTGTGGGGTTGGACGGCCTCCTTGTCAGCCAGGGCACGCTCAAAACGCTTGATCTGAGAGAGTGCTGTGAGCTGGTGTCGTTGAAGAAAATACCTTCATACCCCAAGCTTGAAACCCTCTATGCTCCTCGCTCAGCAAGGAGTAGCTGGGGGCTGTCTGCGAAACTGCCGTCGCTCAAGAGGCTGTATTTGATACCGACGTTTCCCGCAAGCAGCCCGGATGAGTCCTTGGCGACCAAGCGGTACCGAAATCTACTCCACGATTCGGAACTGTTGTGGAAGCAAACGAGCTGGAGGGTATCGGGGCTCTCGAAGCGCTGTACTATCGGCTTTCTTGCTGAAGACTTTTCTCACGAACGGGATTAAGAGGCAACGACCGGCAGGAACAGGCGCAGATGGGCTGATAATTCACCGTTGGTGAGCATCCCTTCACAGTGACTGATTTTTCGCGGAATGCTCGGGGCGCTCGGTCGTCTCGGACAATCTGTATTGCGGCGGCTTGTCATGACCGCCGGCCATCGTGGCGGAAAATGGATGTTTCCGGAAACTCTCTATCTATAAAGTCTGGGGGCCTTGCCGTCGACGGAAGATACCCTGTCCGGAGTAGAAACAACAGGCACTTGGCGATAAAATGCGAGGGCGGCGGGCTCGGGACATGATAGATCGAGCGAGTGTTTATGTTGCTGATGGGAGCGGATGCGGTCGTCACCAGGTGCATGAGCTGGATGAGCGCATCGTCCATGGCAGCTGGCGACTGCGATGCATGCTCCCTGAATTGATCTCGGGTCTCAAAGTGGATGTCCCATCCAAAGTCGAGAACAAGCTCAAAGAGACTTCGTTCGGTAAAAGCGCTAATCGACGGGGTGGAGACGGGGCGGAGTGAGTCGATGCTGCCAAGGTATACGTCGCAGACACTCTTGAGTAGTTTCAGATCCGCAGGGGCTCTCACCTGCGCTCTGGGTCGCTAACGTGGAATACAAACTTGGAGAGGGCCGTCTTCGAGGCTGCAATCTCAGCGATCACTCGGGCGACATGGTCGACAGGATCGATGGCCAAAGCTGTGACCCCGACATGCGACGGTGCTGCGCCAAGTTGGATGCATCCTTTGATGTATCGCCAGAAGTAACTGTCGATATCCGAGACTGGCGAGCAGAAAGGATAAACCGAGTGAGAACTTCCGCCACCGACACACATCGTCATTATAGGCCACACGATAAACATCAATTGGGGCACGCCAGCATCGCCGTTTCCCCAAAGTTTACCTCCGTGGACGCTATCGCCGGCAATCATCGACGGTCGGATGATTGTCGCGGGCACCCCTCGCATTCGTGCCTTGCTGATGAGCTGCTCGGCGACCCACTTGGTCTGTGCGTAGCCGCCAGAGATGTTCCACGAGGAGTACATTTTCTCCTCAAACGGCTTACTCGAGCCCTTGGTTATCGGGATCGTGCCGATCGTCGAGATGTAGTGGATGGTCTTGAGGTGATGGGTTGTGGCGAGCCGCAAGGCCGTGGTTGTGCCAAGGACATTGATATTCTTGAGCACCGTATAGTCATAGAGCCAGTGGTTCTCGGCGCCGTTGTGGACAATCACATCTACGAGCTCTGCCATCTGGCTCCACCGTGCGTCCGACAGCCCCCACCTGTCCTTCGACAGGTCGCCGCACACTCCATAGACCCTGTCCATGATGTTGAATCTGGGGTCTTGGTGGTTTCTTGATGCAATCACTAGTGTTCGCGCAACCTCGCGGATCCGGCATTCGGCCCGGATTTCATCCGACGCTTGGACCAGGCAAATGATCTTTGCCCCCGGGAACTTGTTGGCCAGTTCAAAGAGCAGAAAGGCGCCAAGGAAGCAGGTCACCTTGGTGAGGAGAATCGCACGGGGCCTCTTGCGGAAGACAAAGCGGGGGAGCCCGCTGGCGGAGATGCTCGGATCGTCAAGTTGAGCAACCTCCTGCGCAAGGTCGGTTGTTGGCGGATACAGTGGTTTGCTGCAGCAAATGTCGATGATAATGCTGGCAATGTTTTTCGGGGTCATTCCGTGCGCAAGAAGAGCACGAGGCGAGAGCTTGACGCCGTACTCGCTCTTGATGGCGAAAGCAAGGCGGCAGACACTCAGTGAATCGAACCCAACGCCTGCTACATAGTAGTTGCGGCCGCTGATGGCCTCGATACCGAGAATTCGGCTTCCAAGGTATGCCACTTTGGCCGAGATGCGGGACAGCGGGCTGTCATTGATTTCGAGAGCGGCGTACGAGACGGCCAGCTGCTGCCGATCGGCATTCTCGGCGATCCGTCCGAGTTCCCTGAGATCGCGCTTGCCCGAGCCATTGAGGGGAATGTTGCGGAGCCCGAAGCAGTTGTGGATCGGGAGCTTTGGCATGTTCCGCAGCGCAAAGACGGTCTCGGCCATTTCCAATACAAACAGCGGAGTCAAGCGCGAATCCGGAGGGCACTTGGGGACGTAGATGAGCACTATCTTCAGGTCGGCGGTTTGCACGATCGCACAGTCAGCCAGCACAGATGATAGACTCGAAGACACAAGATCCTCAAATGCCTGTAGATCGACAAAGACTCCGTTGATCTTGATCTTTTGGCCGAACCTGCAAAAGCGGTACAATTGGTTGATCGAGAGACTACTGGGCACTGGGGCGGAAAGTCGAAACACATGGCGAAACTCATGGATACATCTCGCATATACGGATCTCGTATAACACGCCGCGTGCGCCGACTTCATCTGCAGCCCGCTTTCATATCGAATATACCGCTATATATGCAAGCCATATCCATGCGTCGTGTGCGCGGATCGTATATACAAGCGATGTGCATGCCCTGTGGTAGGGCCAGCGATGCTCTCCAATTACCTTCCGAGAATCATAAAGTCTGTGCCGGTTACCATTTCGACCCAATCCATTGTGCAAACTCGCGGAGAGCCATCGGGGAGGAGCCCAAACGGAGAGAGTCTGTCCTTGGGGTCGGCCTCAGCAAAACTGGAGGTATTGTACACCGATGCACTCTTGTCCACGGCGAGGCAGAGGATACCTGCTCGCGAGTGCCTTGCATCGACTGCGTTGCCGCTCTCGTCGAGCAAAACGCAGCGGACGCCTGGGCTGTGTGGGCGATATAGCAGTTGTCGCGGAATGCTCTCGGAGGGACGTATGGTGCAAAAGCAATATCCCTGTATGCAAGCCAGCTGTGTGGAGAAGCTGAGTTAGCCATATCTATACCGGCAGCCGATAGCCGTCAGCTACGAGGTTGATACTCACCTCGCTTGAGCCATAGCCGCAAACTATTTCGCTCTGAGGAAACATGCTTCTCGCCTGATGTAAGAGCGACACAGGCACTACTTCGGCTGCAACGAGGATGCGCTTGACACACGACCAGGCCACTGATCGTCTTTCGGTTTGAATGATGCTTGCGGCCAACCTGAGCTGTGAGGGCGTCTGATTGAAAGGGGGTGGTGAGCAGTTCGATTACGGATACAATGAACTCTGCCGAGCCGAGACCACAAGTGCTTCCCAGTGGCTTTGCAACGTTGTGGGGCAAGAAAACGTACTGTACTGATAGCCTCCATGCCGTGGTTGAGCAGCTGGCGAATTCCAGCAATCCTATCGATGGGGTTTGGCGATGACTTGGCGAACCACAGCGATCCCTTCCTGTTGGGACTGGCGACCAGATGACCCATCATCAGTGAAAACGACGGTGCCTGTCCGAGAGCACAATGTTAGTATGCGAGCAAATGCCCGTGAGCCTGCGGCAGACCGCACCTACCTGAAAAACACCCATAGACCCGCTGGGATGACCGAGGATGCCTTGCACCGACGAAACGAACTGGTGTCGAACGGGGTAGCTGCAACATACCAACGGGCAGATTAGATTCACATCAAGCGCGAGTACAAAAACTGAGCGTCAACAGGATGATCAGCAGCAATGTGCCTACATTTTGGGCATGCCTGGCAAAGTATGGCGAAAGCGAGTGATTAAACACGAACCAGTTAGACATCGGCATCACTAACAAACGAGTACGGCCGATACAGTGGCAGGTTCACTGCGCCGGACATGCTCCGAGGGATCGCGGTGTGGCTGCAACGCAGTCGCAGCCTCCGTCGGTCGCTATGCATCATGACCAACCAATTGTTCCGGAAGTGCTCAGGTAACCGATTGTGTCTGACAAGGGCTTGCAGACGGTAAGCGTGGGCTCTGGAACGCCATCGAGAAGCGGAAACAATCCGACATTGACGGCACAGACACCCTCAATGGGCTCCGGGGCAGTATGGTGGTAGAGGATGTGGCGGATCTTGAGGCTGTCGGCAGAAGTTGCAAATCGATGGGCAGGAGCATCACCACAAAGCCGAACAGCGTTGTGGGCATCCGACAATGCGCGATATCGCAGAGCGGCGGGCAAGATATGGGGTCCGTATTCAGCGGCAATGTTAAAAACACAAACGATAGCGGACAGAGGGACGATGGCACGGAGTCATTCACCAGACAAGGGTCGGTATGCAGCCCGAGATAGAGGATTGTGGGAGACAATCCCCATGAACACGGATGTGTGTCAGAGGAAGAAGGGGCGCCTCACCAAGAAGCAACTTTGTTCCGGACAACATCAGGCCAGGTTGTCGAAAAGAATATGGCCCTCCTGGTGACCAGCAGCATGTCCGAGCACGTTCGAGAACGAGTTGCAAGGATGTCAGCAACTGAAGATATTTTGGAGAATCAAGCGCCGGCCGCCGGGAGACAGCCGGTCCTTCATGCAGCGAGGCCCATGCAACGAGGGCTCACCTGCCAAGGATCCAGAGCGCATAGGTGCAGAACACCCAGGTTGCTTCGGCCTCGCATAGGATGGCCACGGTCTGGCGGTCGCCGTCCCAGTCTGGAAGGGCACCAAGTCCTTGGGCAATCGAGTACGATCTTTCCCAGAGCTGTCGGTAGCTGTGCCGCTCTGGGGTGCCATTTTCCGTTGTGAAGATGGCCAGGCAGTCGGGATCGGTGCCAGCGATTTGAACGGCCGCAGCCAGCGGATGCTGCCAAAGGCCATCGAGCGAGCAATCCGACGACGACGTTGCCTGCGACGAAGCGGTGGCGGCCGAACAGCCACTCGAGCGTTTTGAGCCGAGGACGGACTGAGCTTGCTGTGGACGCTTCTCAGCAGACGACACGGAGGAGGGCGGCATGATGGCGGGGTAGGCCGGAGTCTGTGAGAGAAAACTAACGCTGCCAAAGCGCAAGCCGGCGGGGGAGGCACTTTGGTGAGCCCAGTTCCGGCACGCTGCCATGATGTCCGAACGGCGGTGTCAGCGAGGGCGTGGGAACTCTGGCTGCGTGCGGACCTTACAGCCGAAAAGCGTCCCCACCCACCCACCAAAGCTCCGGGCTCAGCCAGCGCAGCGTCTTGGGACTGCAATCCCATGCGAAAGTGTGGTGCAGAACAGAGTCGGAGCCACTTGGCCCCAGGATTGTATTGGGCTCCGCTCAGCCAAACACACAGACAGTCATCTCGCTTTTGATCTTGAACCTTCGCTGCGCCTCCCTGTATCAGATTCCTCGACATGAGAGCGGGAATTTCGGCTGCTTGATCGACTCGGAGTGTTGTCCAACGCCCCGGTTGGTTTTGGTGGCCTCCTTGTACTCGAGCGCAGCTTGGCAAGCTGCTCGGCATTGCGCTTGGATCGTGTCGAGGTCCGCCGATTGGTGCTCGCTTTCGGTAGCGTGCTCTTTGACGATCCAGATTCCGTCAGAGTCGACGTCGTGGGAGTCTCGCTGTCATATGGCGGTTTAGCGATGGGCAGAAGCGTAGCCACTGCTACCTGCGTCTGATTGTGGACTTTCATGGGAGCCAGGACAGGATCGCAGTAACCTCGGTGGCTTTCGCCCATCTCCTCATCAGTTGCCTCATCAGTTGTTTCATTGGTTGCTTCATCAGTCGTTTCATTAGCTGTTACATTCGTTGCTTCATTAACTGTTTCATTAGTTGCTTCATTAACTGCTTCATTGCTTGCTTCATCGGTATCGAAAGCTGTGGCGATTATCGTGGTGTTTGGCCGCGTAATCGGCGATGATTGGACGGGCAAGTCGGCGGTATGTCCGGCTTTGAGCCCTCCAGCCTCCTCTGCGCGCGGAACCAACGAAGGCCAGTCCGCAGACAGGGGCTTAACCAAACCCGACTGTTCGGACTCTTTTCCTCCAGATACCCTGCGATTGAGAACAGGCAAAGCGTAGTTGGTGGGAATGGCCAGAAACTGTTCCTTTGGCATCGATTGGGAGAGTTGACTGCCCAATGGCTGGTCGGTGGTTGGTCCGGTATGCCCATGTATATCGGTTGAACTCTGTGTCTTGGTGTGCAAACGAGCGAGCGACATGAAGCTGGCGATCCTCAGCATGGATCCAACTGTCTGTGGCATGCGAGTTGGCGCGGGCTGCAGCCGCTCGATTGGGCGCTCCAGATCCTCGGTTGTCCAGGTGATGGCCAGGAAGGTCTTGCGGAGCTCGAACTCGTAGTTAACACAGCACACCCACGAGCAGATACCTGCGATGGGCACAGCCACGACGGCATACGACCACAACGCACTGTCTTGGATCGGAAGAAGGAAGCAGACCACAACGAGATGGACGATCACTAGGATGAGCATCATGGGCAGATAAGCAATCGTCAAGAGTCCGGATTGCGACGATGCCGAATAGATCGAGATCACAAGCTCGTTGAGTGTTTGATGAAAGCTTTGCAGCGTGTATGCATTTGTGAGCACCATGTTCACAAAGCACAGGTACCAGCCGGTGACGTTGGCTGCTGAGACAATGAAGATGATCATCTGGCAGAGCCGCGGACGCCGACGGACTGCGCCGAACCATAGAAGAGTTGATGGAATGATGAGTATAGAGGGAAAGTAGATGGCCTTGTATATCCACACATAGCAGAGCCGGCTGTTTTGGATGTAGAGTGGATCGCTGCGATTGAAGGCTAATGATGACGTCGCACTGCACAGGTTGATGATGGTTGTTATGCCGTGCAGGAACAGCGCTTTGGAGTTTGTCGTTCTGTCGATAGCAAGGCGCACATCGGTCGCCATCAGCAACCCCGTTTTGCTCCCACCGGAGAATATGACACGGCTGCGGTTCTCCATGGGATGCAGTGTTCCATGAGTTGCACTGGGCGGTGCTCTCTTCCTCCCTCACCAAAGCGTCTGCAAAGCGCTCCGAAAGGAACACCAGGCCGATCTTACTTGAGATATTTGACTTCGAGTTGCGAGCAGTGAAACCGGACATATATCCACCGTCTCAATGTGACCATTGTCGAAACCTTCAGCCCCATATCCTCGAGATTGAGGTCGTGCTCGATCATGTTCGGAAACAGATAGGCGTTGGTCCGGAGGTTTCGTTCCGCAAAATACAGCGGAATCTCAGCCACGAGCGGCTCGTAGTCGCTGGTGTTCTTGGCCTCTTTTGTGATGCACTGAAAGAGACTCAGCACCGAAAAGAACTGACGGCGAATAGTGTCCTGTGGCAATCGGCAGCATCCTGGCTGTGAATCATATGTGCGCTGGCCCCAAGCTGCCGTTTGGGTGCGCCGGATGGACATAACTATGCCTGCAGAGCTCGTAGGCTGATGCTGTTGGCACCAAAGATACCATGCATTGTGTCGGGGCTCAGTCGACGAGACGACTTACCATGGAGTAGGAATTTAGAGCACCCGTCAGCATAATCTTGAGGATCGAGACCGCAATCTCGAGTCCAGGCATTCCCGAATACTGAGAGGGGAGCGCAATCGCCCAGGTGCTTGAGGCAACAGCCAGAAATGCAAGCAGGAGACCGTGCAGGGTCTCGCACCGCCCGCGGAAGAAGGATGCGATTGCATACAGGAACGAAGTCTTGTTGGCCGACGCACCGGCAATACCGTCGCTGCCGTTCTCGATGCCATCCCATATCAGCGAGGCGAACACCCCGCAGATGCCAAAGATGATCAGCACCTCGTGATGGCGCCGAGCGTACTTTTGAAACTTTGTCAACGCAATAACCAAGAACATTGCTGCGAGACCGGGCAGTCCTGGAACGATAGAGGGTGAGTGTTGGTCGCTTGGCTGGAGCAGTCCAAGCTGCTGTCAGCGGCGGACGCTCACCAGTTCGAGTCACCTCCCCGGCGAGCAGATCGTAACTGATTGTTCCAAAACAATAGAAGGACGCCATCAGAATGTGGATGTGGTAGGATCGCTTGGAGACAGCTGCAAATCTCATCCACTCTCGCTCGATCTGTTCTTGTGGTGCCGGCCGTTCCAGGATCGCCGTTGGGCAAAACGACCACGAAGCACATGGAAGTGAGTACGGATGTTGCCACGGCATATGCGACATCGGAAACACCATCAAAGACATAGCGAATGGGCTGTTTGCCGGTGCCGGGCTGAACCTCAATGTGAGATCCGCCCTCTGGCTGGACTGCACCGCACACCCTTGGCGACTTCAGACCTGTGGATTCTTGAAGCGAGGAGGATAGAAGTGCATCTTGCGTTAGCGCCTGGCTTGTCGGTATGAGGGGTTGCTGGATCTAGTGCTTCGACGGTAGAATGCCGGGAATACAAACGGCAAGATGTGCGTGGATAGTCCTATGCAAGCTGAGCCCAGCTGATGTCATTGGCGCAAGTCAGTGATCGGTAGAAATAGGCGAACGTCACTCTGGAGGGGTAACGATTTATAGCCAATCCAGGATTTCGAGCATTGATCGATGACTTTGCTGCCTCAAACTATCGCGCTGGGTATGGCTGTTCGCCACACGCCCGACATTCGCACTCTTGGCCAAGGGCAGAACCAGAGTCTGAGAAACCATGTATTCATGTCGAAACAGTGAGCGAGTTCAGAACGAAGTGACCAGCGCCAATCTGCATTCTTTCGCACTGTCCGTTGTTGGCTTTGGGGCAAGCAGCCTCGAGGTACAATTGCATTTGCCCATCTGGACGGCTCCGTGCAAAATGCGGTTGCTCGACATCAAGACCATCGAGTCGGACGAGTCGCTCGTCATGTCTTCTGGGCCTTGGGACTCTCTAACGATGGATGGATGGATGGATGGGTGCATTCGCGTCTAGAGAAAGTGATCTTGACTAAACCCCAGGTGTTCCGCATCAGCTTCGGTGGACTGGACACTGTCGTCCTGTGTCCGTTGATCCAGGCGTCTATTCCACATCAAGTCAGCTTCAGCGACCCACTTCCGTGCCATTCATAGTCCGGGTTTTGTGCAAACACGCTCGTCGGCTGGTCATCCATCAGAGACACCGCATGGCCCGGGTCACGTTCCACTGCCGGCTTGAGTCGACGGCGCTGTGGATCGTCCAGTCTTTGGCTGGATCGGTGTCCATTTGGAAGGCTGTCTCGGTCAATAAGGTCAAGTTAGTGTGATGTGGCAGACGCCCGATGCAGGCGCCATAGAGCATGGAGCAGCGCTTGCTTGAGCCAGGCCGGTGCTCTGATTTCCGTTACCAAACCCACCTCCGTCATCCCGATCGCCATCAAAGAGCATATTGTCCTTGCTGAATAGGACGGCTTGAGCACGACCAGAACGCGTGCAGGCTATTACAACGCTCCATATGCTCGGGTCAAATCTGTTGGAGACCATGACCGGACCGGGACCCAAGTTGATGCAGATAGTTAGCCGAGGATATCCAGCGAGGGCAAAGATCACAGCCAGTCTCAGGCGGGCACAAACCTACCCTTGCTGCATGTTCTCGAGCAACTTGATCGATGCGCTGCCGTATCGCTGCAGTCGCACGTTGTATACGGTGTTTTCCATGATGCGCTGCAAAGCTTCGCTCTGTCCGAGCTCATCGTCGGCCAGAATGTCCTGCATCATGTGCTTGTAGTGGTCCAGCGCGCCCTTCACAACTACTTTCATGTGTTCCAGCGGAAGAATCAGGAAGTTGTCTTTGAGCAAAGTCCACAGCTCTACAACTTGGTGAAGACACTGAAGCAGGAGGATCTGCTGGGACATGCCGTGGCTGGCGTCCAAGAAAAACTCCTGCAAGTTCACCAAGGGTTCGGATGGGATGAGATTTTGATCGGGATCGGCATACGGCACTCGCAAGGGGACTTGGGTCATACCAAATCGCCCCAGTTGGCCAGATCGTTGCCTGGGGTTGACCGAGGTCCACCGATTTGCCCAATAGTACATATATGGCGTCCAGCGGCCCGTTTGGGAAGCGATGTGTGCATGACGTTCCGCAAAGCAGTGCGTGTACAAGCACCAGAGAGTGAGAATGACCGAATGCAGTGTGGCGGGACCGAGACAGTTTAGTATATCCCTTGAAACGTCCAAGACAGCAGGCGAGGTTTGATTGGCGATGAGCTCGGGTGGAACCAACAATACCTATCAGATGGTGGGTGTAGTCGCGTTTCAGCTTCCACACACCGATTTCAAGTAGGCAGTCGCCCGGGTTTTCTAGATACGTATCAAAGACCCCTTGCACCATCTGCTTCCGCGCTTCGTAATCCTTTCCAAGCTGATTCATACGCGACAGGGCCAGACATTCTCGGATTTGCTGTCCAAAGCCGGTGTGGTTGGATCGGTGGATCATTGGGAGTAGCTTGCCTTCCTCGAGCTCGCTGATGACAGAGGTGAGTGCGTCCTGGAAGTCTGAGAGGTCTGAGCAGTGATTCACCACCAGCTCCCAGATCTTCTCGACAAAGTCTGCGTCGCTGCGGCTCGGCAGCGGATCGCCTCCCAATGCGACCAGCGACGTCGTTGTTGGTGCAAAGTTTGATATCTGAAAACCTTGAGACTTGGCATCTGTGCACACCGAGCATCAACGCAACTTGTATCAACGCAAACACAGCATCGCCGACCAACGCTGCACGCTTCATCCACACGGCTTGCCAGCTCACCATCCAGGAAGCGGTCGATCAGAGATGACATTGATGCACCCTTCCCAAAGAATTGAAGTTGACTGGGATCCTCGGTCCCCACGCCCCAGCTTCGGATCATGTCAAGCTCTTTGCGTAGCATGGATGTTGGGTTGTGGTGCTCTGCATCCGCCTCGCCGTTAACATGCAGAATATGCTGGGGAGGAAACGAGTCGATGAACATAGGGAGACAGCCGGCAGTGTTCGTCACTATCGCGGCAGGTCTCGCTGTCGAGCGGGTAGTCCGACCAGCCCGAGCCCTGCTCTCCACGCACTACATACCACCGCTAACGAAGCAGACATGGACGGAGGCGAGAGCAGTGATGGCGGGCTCTTCCACTGGCACTCAAGTGAAATCGAGGACTCGATCATATCGCTCTCTGGTGGCGACAAGATGTCGTATCGTGCGTATGCCAAAGAAACCGGCTGGAACGGAGTAGTCAGGTGTGAGTACGTTGCTCGCGCTTGCTGCAGTCGTCGCTCGCAGGCTTTACATACATCGGAATCTGAGTCGATGGCTGTGCGCTTGAATGCGGCCATCTCGGACTCGAGAGAGAAGCTGTTGTGGGCCGAATTGACCTGACCTGCACATATACAATCGATGAGTCCAGCATCAGTTCGATCCGACCGGACGGCCATCGAGCTCTATTTCTGGTCTTCTGTCTCACAGCATTCCATCTCCGCAATCGACTGGGCATACTCGACATGACCCATCGCCTACCACAGTCTTCAATCCGATACACCAGCGGAAGCATGCCCGTGGCGAGGCGGCAGCCATGGTAGCAATGCCTGTCGCCTGTTTGATCGGTGTGCATCGTCCTCAGGCACGAGTACTGGTTGGTGGCAAGAACAAACATGGGCACGTTCTCTTCAGAGGAGCTTTGGTTACCGGGGCCTATCGAGTTGAACTTGCCAAGCAGCTGGCTAGACATGATCGGAACGAGAGATGGAGTTGGTCACGAAGATCCGATTCCTGGATCATGCGATCGTCCACCAAGAAACCAAACATACGCGGCTTTGCTGGGTGTGAGTGGGTGCAGCAGCAAGTCATATCGACAGAGCCGCCGAGAGTATCCGGTGGGATTCCAATCCTGAGGAAAGACGGTCGACATCAGCTCCGCATTCAAAATGGCCGAGATCGGAGCCGCATCCACGACAGAGCAAAGCAGAGTGCATCCCATCTGGGTCGGTATCGTTGCCTCACTTCGCACCTGCCCGAGTATATCCAGAGCGTCACGGCTCGCAATGGTCGTTCCAAGATGAACGAGGTTGAGCGTCACATAGTCGACATAGACGGGCTAAGTATTGATACGAATCGGATGAGCAGGGCTGCCAAATGGCATTGGCAGGTTGCTGGATCACAGACCACGATTGCTGTGATTGCGCAAGTGCGTTCGATCCTGACCTCGACTGGCGACTCGTCCGCTTCGACGTTGGGGTTTGCAGTAGCCAGGAAGAACGGCGAGCGACGGACGGTCTCTCGGAGCGGATGATAGACGCCCGGAAGGAGATACCAGATCCAAGCACCTTTGAAGGGCAGGCCGACAATCCTCTGCGATAAACACGAAGGCGTCGATGTTTTAGCGATATCAGTGCGGTTGCGGGCCTTTCCGATGTTGCCGGTGCCATGCTTTGCACTGGCCGATCATAACCTTGGAATCGCTGGCCGTCAACCGCTTCAGTCGGTCGAGGGTGTCGCCGAGCTCGTTGGATACGGTCATAATGTTGAGGGCCGGCGATCGGCTGGGACAGACGGCAGAACGAACACCAGCCAGCAGCGACCCCGCCAAAGAGCCCTCGCAGTCGGCCAATGGGAGTGCGCCTTCTCAAAAAGGACAAATCGACTGGCTTCATTTCCAGGCGCCGATCGCCCGTCCAGCCCGATGCTGTTTCCTGCAGTCTCGCCCAGTCGATTGCGTCCCCCGAGATCCTCTGTGGATCCGTTAACAACCCCTGTCTGCCCGATTCCGTCGTGTGGACGAGCTGCTCCGCCGCATCAGACTCGGCAGCTGTGCTCGCCGAACCAACCGCCGAACCAACCGCCGAACCAACCACCACCCCGCCACGTCTTGGATCTCTCCTGACCGAGCATCATGGACTTCACCGAGCTCTACAAGCAGTCGTCCGGCCTCTGCTACTTCTCACCCAATGGACAGTACCTCGCCACCGCCGTCCAGCACCGGCTGGTCATACGTGACTCGGAGTCGCTGCAGATCCTGCACCTCTTCAGCTGCGTCGACGAGGTCCAGGATATCGCGTGGAGTCCCGACTCGGATCTGATCCTGTGTGCCTCCTACCGCCTTTCGGTCATCCAAGTCTGGAGTCTGCGGGACCCAGAGTGGACTTGCAAGATTGACGAGGGCGCTGCCGGGCTTGCCTCAGTCAAGTGGGCCAAGGACGCCCGGAGCATCATGTCCTTTTCGGACTTTCAGGTGAGTCGGGACGAAGCTGCCATGGCGAGCCGCCACGGCGAACAATGCTGCAAGCGGTGCCACGGGGGCAGATGGCATCCAGCGGATCGTCTCGGAGGGAATATCCGATGCTGGAACTGACATCCTTGCCCCACTCCAATCCATTGTAGCTGCGGGTCACTATTTGGTCAATGGTCACCAAGAGTGCTGCATATATCCAATATCCCAAGTTTGCCGACAGAGGTATACTCGCAGCCGCTCGGAATGCCCGATGGACATGAGGAGGGATGCTCGTCATCCAGTCTGGAGGCTGGACCGTGGAGGAGGGCATATGTGTGTGTCGCTCATCAAATGCCACACATGCATTGCGATCTGCCCATAGGCTATTGCTTCCGAGGCGATGGACGCTACTTTGCACTCGCGGAGCGGAAGGACGGCAAAGACTCGCTGACCGTCTACGACTGCGACGACTGGTCGATACTGAAGGTGCGCCAGAAGGAACACCTTCGCTCAGATCGAATCAGATAGAGTCGGATCGGACCAGATAGAGTCGGATATGGCGAACATTGTTGCCTCGGGTGTGTCCAGCAGCGTCTATTCTGATACACTCCATCGGTGATCCCAACGGCCAGCACTTTCCACTGGAGACTCGAGACCTCGAAGATATTGCTTGGTCCCCTGACGGTCGGTACATTGCCGTATGGGAAAGCCTGCTCGAGGTGAGCATGGGCGTCGGCCGACACTTGAGGGTGATGTCGATGCATCTGGAATAGCGCATTCCTGGCCCGCCGACGCCAAGTCAAGGATGGAAGCTCGATCAAATCGGCTGACTTGACTGCAGTATCAAATGCTGGTCTACTACCCCGACGGCAGACTGGCAGCACGATATTCGGCGTACGATGAAGGACTGGGTGTCAAATCGGTGCGATGGTCGCCGTCAAGTCAATTCTTGGCGATCGGCAGCTATGATCAGCAAGTATGTGCAATCTCGCAAGATGGTCTTCTGTGCTCGCATGCTGCTGCCGCTTTATCTGTGCTCTGCCGCTTCAGTGCCGAGTCGCAGTACCCACGTTCTTGGAGATTCAGCCAAAACAGCAGCGTCCCACATTCATCCAGGCGACCGTTAACAATGTCTGTCGACCATGGCTTAGGTGCGGATCTTGAACTACTACACATGGAAGCCATTGATCACATTCAGCCATCCCACAACCTTGACTCCGCCAGACATCGTAAGCCTTCCGTGCATGTTGGCGACGAGCCTTCGAGCTGTTGCGATCGATCCGTAATTTACGTGACCCTCTGGTGCGCCTCACAACACAGGCTCTGTTCCGGGAGCTCGATCTGAGAGATATCCGCGACGATTCGGCTGGTGGAGTGTGGGCAGCCCAGGCTGCCGGGCATAAACCAAAGATAAGATGTACGTATCTGCATTGGGTAGGCATGTACTTTCTTGGTTTGGAGGGAGGGTATTGTGAGGCGGCGTTTACGATCGCTGGACTGTTAAGGTGTTCGAGAAGGATCATGAGTCACAGGTCTCCCTCAGCTCATTTGGCGTGCTCAGGGACAGATAGCTGGCTCGCCTGCTTGCCATCAACAAAACTGATTCGGCCGCGTGCTCATTCTCTGGTACATACAGACGAGGTGGCGAGGCCTCCTCTGACTATCCAAACCACCCGTATCGACCCCGACAAGCCAAATCCAAAAATGGGCGTTGGGGCACTCGAATTCAACTGCACTGGAAACTACATGGTCACTCGCAACGGTATGTCGCCCGCCACGATACACTTTTTGCAACAGAGCAGGAGAGGGGGTTGGCTTGCCAGAACCTCTCGCCATCTGCGCCACTCGCGAGACATGACAAGTCCGTCGACTGACGCCCCACGCTATCTCTCAGATAACATGTCGCAGTGCCTGTGGATCTGGGACCTCGTGGGTCTTCGGCAAGTTGCGCTGATCACGCAGCTGCTGCCCATCAAATCCATCAAATGGAATCCAGTCTACCCAGATCAGCTGGCGTGGTGCTGCGGGAACGGGTTTCTCTATCTGTGGGGTGGTGAAACGATGGGTTGCGAAGCAATCGAGATCCCAGCAGGTGAGCTCCCAGCTACAACCCGGATTCAGCGCGTGCTGGCAGCAATGCCCGATCATAGCACTAAGTGGATCTCCACATGGCTCGTGTCAATGCCTCCCCCCCTCCTCCTCTCGCAATCATACAGTCAACTTCCAAGTCGTGAGCCTCGATTGGAACCCGGACGGCAAGTCGTTGGTGCTGGTGGACAAGGACAAGTTTTGCCTTGCTTTCCTGGTAGATGAAGACGGCGACAATCACATGGTCTCATAGCGCACACATATTGGCTATGCGGCGACCATCACACAGCAGACATCTTGTCGAGCAGTAAAGTCGGTTTTGCAAGGGCCAACTTGCGATATATATTTGTCAGGACATCTGCATCTGCTCAGGAGCCGTGTCAGCCGGGCGTGGCTGCTGCTGGTGAGTGCCAAGGTATCATGCAGTGTCCACGCGCCAAAGGATCGACGTCTGTCTTCAGGGTCCCCTCGTCAATGCTCCCCATCTGCTGTCGGAGGGCGCTGTGTGTCATCCGAGCTTTGAGGCACTCTCGTCTCTTCTCGATCGACGGTTGTATACAAGATCTGAGCGGCCGCCATGCTGTGGGAAGACGAGCTTTTGTCGGCCTGCTTTGGAGAGCCCGTGATCCATGGAGTCAGCATGTTGACTATGGGATTAGCGGTGCCTCTTCGAGTCACTGCGCCTGATGTACCGGTATCCGAGAGGCTATTTTGCGGCGCAGTCGTGAGATCCAGGATTTCGGCCCACTTTTCGAGCAGAAAATGCTTGCGAAGCTCAAGCTCGCTACACCGACATACAAACGCAACCGATAAACACAGCTGAGTGAGGCCAACGATGGTTGAAGTGACGAGGTCAAAAGAAATTCGACTGCTGAGGGTGTCCTTGAGAAGATAGAGGGGAAGGGCTTGCACTGGGATAAAGAAGAGGACGGTGGGAAAGTAGAGAATCCCGAGCAAGCCGGACTGGGCACATGCCGATATGAAGGCTGTACTGAGGTTGGACAGCGCCCGATAGAGCATCAGACTGTTTTCGAGAGCCACGGCCGACCATATCGTGACCGAGACCTCCACGCTGCATCCGATGATGTTGCCCAGAAAGGTCAAGTATATGATGCCCTGAACAGCCAAAGGCGACGACCGGATCCCGGGCACCACCAATAGCAGCGTGGGGACAATGAACACCACTGGGAAGTACACGAACTTGCAGTGCACAATGGCGAGCAGAAGGCTGTTGTCGAGCACGATGGGATCAAGCAGCTGCATGCTCGCAGTCATCATGGTGCCAAAGAGATTGATTACAATGGTGACGAGATGCAGCTTGATGGCCCGCTCGGTGATGCTCCTGAGCAAGATGCGACAGCGGAGGATCACCGGAACAGAAGGGTAGCCGGAGTTGTCGTCAGTAGCAGCAACAACAGCAACAACAGCAACAACAGCAACAACAGCAACAACAGCAACAACAGCAACAACAGCAACAACAGCAACAACAGCAACAGCAATAGCAGGTACTGTGGCCCCCCTCTCTCCCAATGCAAATCGGGGCAAACTTTACACATGCAGCACCACGCCGGCGACGTACTGGCGGAACGTTAGCTCGAGTTCTTGTGAGGCAAAGTGGAAAATCCATATTTTCTGGAGCTGCCAGATCAGGCGTCTCCAGCCCTGCGTTGTGGATGGGTTCATACGCCTGGCCACGGGGTAGATGTACTGCCGGGTGCAAAAGTTGATCTCGGCAAAGTAGAAGGGCAGCTCCTCCTCGAGGGCTTTGTGGGTCGAGATCTGCTGCGAGTGGGCGGGCAAGTGGCGAGCGATGCGAAAGGACTGTCGGCGCAACACGTCGTCTACATACGAGGCCACGATTCCCGTGATGACGACCTTGAGAAAGTTCATCGAGATCGACAGACCGTAGAGGCCGACGTAGATGTCCGAGGAGTAGAACGACCAGACGACGCCGCAGACGGGAATGAAGGCAACCAAGATGAAGTGCAGGATGGCGGTGCGTTCCTGGTATGTAGCCGCGAGCGCAAACAGAAAGATGACCTTGCCCGGGGTCTCGGCCGGAAGCGAGTCCGGAGCGATTGATTCGATGCCGTTAAGGACGAACGACACAAGACCGGTAATGATGGCAACCAGCATCATGCTTTGGTGGTATGTTTTGATCTTGGGCACAAAGAGGGACACCAGGAACAGCGATGCCCCGATGGAGCCGGGAATGTCTGCGATGGCATTCGCCGTCAGTCTCGATACGATCCGATGCCGGCTCGAGCAGAGAGAGCAAGATCTCTCCGAATGCCAGCGACCATCAGCTCACCGGCTTCTCTGAGCTTGCCGGCGATGGTGGCATTGGAGGCGACTCCAAATAGATAGATGGTGCAGAGAGTCGCGTTGATTTTCAGACTCTTGGAGTTGTGGTTTGCGTACTCGAGCCACTCCTGCTCCAACTGGAGGTGCGGCTGGTTCAGCTGTCAAGGAAGCGTGGGAACTGCGGAGGAAACAACAATCCAACGCGCGGCTTGGAGAGAGAGTCTCTGGCAAGCCAGGCTCGAGCAAGTATGCAATGGCCGATTCGTCACTGGAAGGGAGAGGGATCGCTGGCCATGACTCACCCAGCGGTCTGCAAATCGCAATGGATAGTATTTGAGCGTTGCCATAGCGAAGCTGGAACAATGCCCATCGAGGATCCTTTGGGGGCCCAGATTCAATCGCGGATAGAGATGAATGCTGCAAAGGGGATCACAAATAATGCGCCGCCTGGGGATATGGCTTTGCTGCCTGATTGAGGAGCAGCCAAATGAGGAGGAGTGTGCTGGATGGATCCAAGCCAGAATCAAGGGAAATCGAGAGTTTTGTTTGGTCGCGATGAGCTCATCTGGGTGAAGCCGGTTTTGGTGCTGGGGTCGCTCGACCAGCGATTGGGCATGCATGTGATATTGTTGCGCAGCCTCTGCGGATCCAGCTCTTCCAACCAAGCGAGGGCTCCTGTGTATTTTCCATTCCATCGCTGGTATTCTTTTTCTTCCAATCTGGTGGTGGCGGGTGTCCTCGACACCGGAGCTCAGTTCTTGGACACGTCAACTTGGACACACATGCATCGCAATCGAACAGAAGCGGACTATGTTCTGAGCAACCAAACTGAGAACATATATTTTATTAACAAAAATTGCATTTCGCTCAAACAAATCGCCAAGCGACGCCTCTTTCAGGGTCTCCAGCGACACCCAAATGCGAGATGTGTGGGTCAAAGGGACACGGTCACTTGTTGCGGGAATCGGACTGATCAGCAATTGCATGATTGATTCCACCGTGGTGCAATAGCCTCTTCGATTCGGATGGTCTCCGAGACTGTCATGTCGAATGCTTCGGCCGGAAGAGCGACGTGTCTTGCAAGGAAGACGAAGATGTCCTCGACTTGCTCACCGGTCTTGGCGCTCGCTTCGAAGAACGGAAGGGGCTCCGATGGCGCAAACACAGATGGCGGTGCCGCCACGGGCTCGGGCGAGACTGATCGGATGCCGGGCTGCTGCCGCTGAGGTATCGGCAGGGTCGGTGGAGGAAGCATCGACACAGCGGGAACCGAGGTGGAGCCGTTGCCGAGCCCGGACCGCTGGGTTGACTTTTTGCCCAGCGGGCCTCTCTGTTTGGAAAACGAAGGTGTCCGCATGACGTTGACGCTTGGTAAAGTCGGAGGGTGATAGAACGATGTGTTGATCGGTGGCTCCTCGAGAAGCACATCGGATCCCAGCGACGGCTTCCGACGCACCGATGTGCGAGCCAAGTCAATGTCGCCATCGTCGAGCTCGCAGCTCGCATTGGAATCGATGCTGCGGCGCCGGCTTGGATCCCATGGAGCACTCGAGGATGTCTCAAATTGGTCGAGGGCAGTCATGTAGGTTGAGTTGGACTGGATGGAGGCCACCGAGTGCTTCTGGGCAAGGTCGTGTTCCCGTGTGGATTTCATGGGGATCGTCTGGACGCTGCTGGGTTTGGAGGAGTTGCCCAAGATTGGGCGAACAACAGACCATAGTAACGAGCCCGACTCGCTCGAAGGCGGGACCACGGACTGGGCCGGAGGATAGAGAGGCGTTGGTGGTCGATCGCCGAGAAAGCTCTGCAGCGAGCCTCGCTTTCTGAGGTTGCCCTCTGGTCGCAGCCGCGGCGAGACGAGACTCGGCGGATCCGAGAGCCCAGTCTTTGCGGAGTAAGTGTCGCCGCGGCCCCGCAGGCTGGGCTTGCGTGCCACCGAGCTTGAGAGATTGCCGTACGGAGAAGCCAGTGCCATCCAGCGCCGGTGCTCCTCTTCGCAGAGTCTCTTGAGCGTCCGGGCCATGTCGCATCCCTGCTGCTTCGATACGGCTCTGGCGACTGGGTCGCAGTCGACTTTGTTTGCGACCAGGAGGAACGGAAACCGGGTCGGGTCGGATATGTTGGCGTACTTGAGGAACTCTGGGATCCAGCGAGCAAGGTTGTTGAAGGACGAGGCGCTGGTAACATCGTACACCAAGCTTGAAGCCACGGATGTGGATAGGTCACAGCATGCAGAGACAGCGCCGGGGTCAGCGCCGGGGTCAGTGACGGGGCCAGTGACGGGTGGACGGCAGTCGTCGGGAGATTCCTAGGACCGATAGCAAGCGCATCTGGATGCAGGCGATATATGGGCTGGAGCCTCGCTTACATGCAGGCGTCAGTGCCACGGTAGAAGGCAGTGCCCAGGCTCTGGAAGCGCTCCTGTCCTGTGGGATGGATCCTTGATCAGTCGAGGAGCCAGCGATATCACCGAGCCGATGGCGTCTCGGCAATGTGCTTCCGGGCGCAACGGGTGATATTGGCAAATCGGACTGCCAACGACCCCCACCTGCAGTGTCCCATATTTGAATATGGACGGACTTGCCGTCGACGTCGATGTCCTTGGTGATAAAGTCTGCGCCGATTGTGGCCTTGTAGGCGTGGGTGAACCGGCTGTGGATGAACTGGACCGAGCCAAGGGTGTCAGTTTCGAGAGCGGGGCCAGAGAAGACCTGCGGCACTGTGCTGGCGAGCCGGGCCGGGCCGGGCGGCTCTGGGAGACGATGACGCTTTTGGCGGGAGTGCCGTCCGCACCTGGTTTCGGAGAGAGGTCTTGCCCACTCCGCCGTCACCGATGATGACGATTTTAAGGACGACCTTGTTGGTGGTGCTCATGGCGTCGGCTTGGCAGGCGAAAAATGGACTTGGACGAACGAGCCGATGGTGGAATGCGATCGAGGCGGCTTGAGTAACGAAGAGGAGCAGGGCCTGGTGATGGGGCAGCCGGAGCCGGAAGCCGTCAACAGTCGTTTGGCGAAAGGCTGTGTCGCTCGGGTTTGAGTGATCGGTGCTGCCGGGGGAGATCTGAGGGGGGGCTGCTGGGAGGCTATACGCAGATATCCGGACGAAGCCCGGGTCAGCCAAGCGCAACAAAAGTCGGCAACGGCGCTGATGCAAGCAGGCCAAGGACTCGCCAAAGGACGAGCGTGACCGAGGGACGACGGGCGGAGAAGCGGGACAGATGAGACAAATACGAAGGCCAAGGGCCGCTGGCTGGGCTCCGGTGGTGGTGGTGGTGGTGGCGGAGGGGATTGTGGAAACCTTCGACGGGGCGGGCAGAGAGCGCATGCAGCAATGGTCTTGCCATGAACCGAGTCCGTCACGAGGCAGCGCAGCCATGAACAGCGCAGCCGGCCAGCCCAATGCCACAGAAGAGCAGCACCGAAGCGACGGGCGATGGATCGGATACATCCGAGCAGCCAGAAAGACACCCGAGAGCCACCCACCTTGGCAGGCGAACAGCGACGGAGGAGATGGGATCGTGGGTGGGCGTCGCTGGGCAGTGAATACGTGGAAACGAGGCTGCAGCAGCAGGCGGTCGATGGTTGTCTGTGGTGAGAGGCGTTGCTGGCGGTGGCTGCCTCTAACGCTTCTGAGCTGCGGCTATGACGGCTGCGTTCGATCGTCGATGTCGTCGTTGATCGTTCAAGTTGATCGTCCGAGTTGATCGTCCGAGTTGATCGTCCGAGTTGATCGTTGACCGCGAACACGCCCTTTGGCGCCCAAAGTTGTCCGGAAGAGCACTCGCAAAGTTGTTCTGCAGGTGACACCCACGTGACGCACTCCCATTGGCCGAGTGAGTCCCCCCCACACACACACACACAATCGCAGCGCAGCGCCACACACCGCTCTGGCTCTGTGCTCCCGTCTGCATTTCCAGCCTCGGCATTCCCGTTTGGGTTTGCAATCCATCACGCAGGCTCTCATGCGGGCCAAAGCGCTGTTTTGGTCAAGCCTTTGCCGAGACGAGCGCCGAGACGAGCCGCCATGGCGAGCCACAAGACCATTCTCGTCACCGGGGCTGCGGGATTCATGTAAGTTCTTGCGTCCTCCAAGTGCAAAGGCATCGACAGCATCGACAGCATCGACAGCATCGACAGCATCGACAGCATATTGCCGAGCACTGGAGTGTTGCTTCGATACCACAGCTGCATCGGGGCATCGCTGCTGCTGCTGTTGCTGCTGTTGCTGCTGTAGGAGTACCGCAACATCGCATATCCTGCAACTGGATCGATGCCGTGGCTATTCCTGCGTCCGCTAAGGTCTAACAACCTCGAGCACCCGGTGCATCCGTCCTCAACCAGCGGGTCCCACCTGGCCATCCACTTGACAACCCACTTTCCGCACTACAACATCATCGCCTTTGACAAAATGGACTACTGTTCGTCGCTGAGGCTCCTGGAGCCCCTATTGGAACGGCCCAACTTTTGTTTCGTCAAGGTGCGTCCGTTTCTGTCAAGGTCCCCGCTCGCTGGCCATCGAATGAGATCGGCCAAGGACTTGCGGACGGTCTGCTCACCCCGCCCCTCCTCCTCACGCACGCATGTGTTCTCCAGGGCGACATCACCTCGCCGGACTTTGTGTCGTACATTCTTGTCGACAAGAAGGTCGATATCATCATGCATTTGGCGGCGCAGAGCCACGTCGGTAAGCAGCCGAGGCCACATCATCACCGCTATCATCACCGCTATCATCACGAGCAGCAAACTCAATGGACTTGGACAAGCCGAGGACAGCGAGCCTCCGAATGCGGGGCAGCCTTTTGTTCGCTTCAGTTGACTCGGAGCTGAAGCAGAGAAAGTCAGTTCAGACACGGCCAGGTTGGCCAGATCCACTGATGCTGGCCCTCACTGTTGGCGACGGCCCTCTCTTTCCCGGACTCGGCTGAGGATAGACAACTCGTTCGGCGACTCATTCGAGTTCACCAAGAACAACATCATGGGCACTCATGTGCTGCTGGAGGCCTCGCGCAAGTATGGCAAGATCGAACGCTTCATTCATGTCAGCACCGATGAAGTGTATGGTGCGATAGACCGATCCGAGGTGAGACCCTGGGCGATGGAGAAAGGGCTGCACTGGAGATGGTCTGTGGCCGGGTCGCAGATGGATGCCGCCTGTACATGCTTTAACATTGCTATCGCCATTGCCATCGCCATTGCCATCGCCATTGCCATCGCCAGCCCGACAGCAGGGAAAACTCGATCCTGGAGCCATCCAATCCCTACTCGGCCACCAAGGCCGCGGCCGAATGCCTCGTCAAGGCCTATTTCAAGTCCTTCCACACCCCCGTGATCGTCACCCGCAGTAACAACGTCTATGGACCCAGCCAGTATCCCGAGAAGGTCATTCCAAAGTTTATATGCGCTCTGATGAAAGGCCGCAAGCTGTAAGCGACTCTGATGGGATGGTTTTGCAGTTGGCTGTCACTCGAGCCCTGCGGTCTTGTCTCGCCTCGCCTCGCCTGCTGCATCTCGTTCGTTTGCCTCATCTGATTCGCCTGCTTCATCGGTCTCGCTGACCTCATGTTGCCATATGCGTCAATATCTCGCATGATGCACCCAGCCCCATCCACGGAAACGGATCCAACTCCCGCCACTATCTCTATGTCACCGACACCGTTCAAGCCCTAACGACCATTCTGGAGCTCGGCCAGATCGGCGAGACGTACAACATCGGAAGCGAGTTTGAGATCAGCAACCTGAGGCTCGCCAAGTATCTCATCCGCCAGTGCGGTATCGCCAGCGACGAGGCCGAAGCCGAGAAGTGGCTCGAGTTTGTCGAGGACCGAGCCTTCAATGACATGCGATATGCCATTGACTCGGCCAAGCTCAAGTCGCTGGGGTGGTCGCCGCAGGTGACCTTTGAGGACGGCATTCAGCGGACGAGTATGTATCGGCAGAATGGGCATGGCCCCGATGGATGGGTGGCTGGAGCCGCAGCTGGCGCAGGGGGAGGGCGATTGGGGAACTGACTTGGCTGATGCACAGAGGCAGATAGTCCTCAATCCGCATCGTTCTCTACTCGACACGGCTTTGGAATGCCCGAGCGACCGTCGGGCTCTTGCGCTGGCTGGCTGATCACTGGGACGTCACGCAGCGAATGTGACTCAGCACCCCGGTGATATCACTAACCAACTTGGTCATTTCTGCTTCCGCGACAGTCGACTGGTACAGACATAACCTTGATACCTGGTGGGACGAGGATATATCCGCGGCCTTGGTTGCCCATCCCCTCCGGAAGCTGCCGAATGCATAGCGACGAAAGCCCTGCCTGGTCCCGGTCCAGGTTGCGCAGGACAGGTGCTGTGCAAGCGCCGAGAAGCCACTACTCCTCCAAGTATTGCGTCCATGGGCGTGTTGTCAAATGAGTGCTGCTCGAGCGCCGCATGACGAGCGACTGACAGCCGCCAACTGGCAATACAATCGTCTTGCCTTCATCATGCCTGCGGGGGAGGGGCTGTGTCGCTGGCAATCCATATGCAAGCCCGTGATCCGTGCAGACGAGCCTGCGGTTTCCAAATCTGTTTGCAGATGCCCCGGACGATGTCGAGCCGGCAGGAGGTCGAAGAGAGACACAATCTGCGATGGTGCGATGGGGTCGTGGCTGTATTGGCGCAACGAGTTGATCTACACTTTATTCAGAAAAAAAACGGGACAATATAGCCGTTTCCATGAACATGTAGTATGTGCTGTGCTTGCGTCAAGCAAAGCCACAAGAAATAAAACAGATCACTTTGGCAGCCTCCGAGTGAAAACCGCCGGTCGCTCTCCGATCTCCACAATCGACCTGCATACTGTGATCATGTTGCGCGCCGCATTGACGTCGCGATTCCACACTGTTCGGCGAATGGTCATGGCCAGCGCGCGATAACATTGGGTAACAAAATATTCGATGAATGGTCAAAAACCCGGGTGTCCCGTTTTTTATTGGATTGCCTGTAAAGCTGACAAATCGGAGCTGCGGCTGCAAATCAAAGGGAGGCGTGCTGGTTGCAGATGCACGATGCGCTCCGGTCGAGTTTGCCCGATTCGTTTGCTCTGCAGGGAGCTGCCTGGTGATGCAGCGAGTTGTGTTGCGATTTGTTTCGTCACAGACGCTGTCGTTGCTGCTGTTGTGATCGCTGTTGTTGTTGTGATTGCTGTTGAGCTTTCGCTGTACTTTGTTGTATGTTGTATGTCATGTCGATTTTTGAGTCTGAGTGAGATTGCAGTGAAGCCATGGCAGGTGTTTCTTTCTTTGTTTCTTTCGTGTTCGTCTGGGAATTGCATACTGTCGAGAGATGTTCAAGTTCGTGCTACTGGGAGGCACATGGCGGCTTTCCAGACGGCGGGAGTCAGGACCGGGCAGATCTGAGCAGGGCATGGTGGCTCAGAGTTTGCACCGGTCCACGAGAGGGCAGGGCATTGCTGTGTCAAATGCGATAGATTTTACATTTGGCGATATAGAAGACAACCTGATTGCGCCAGCCAGCAACCGTAAAAAGGAGTAAGGGCAGGAGCTGGCCAAAGAACCAGCACGCCAGCAGCGGCTGCAATCGAGGCGACCAAAAAAAAGGGGGAAACTCGGGATTCAAGATGCGAGTATACGAGCAAAAGTAAGGAGAGTAAAATGAGAGGAGTGAAGAAAGGCAAGAGGGAATAGCCAGAGGGAAAGAAATGCGATAACCAGGGGGAGGGATAGCCAGCCAAGAAGAGTGGGCAGAGCACCAAGAGTACGGGGAAGGGGGAGGTGAGGCGAGAACAAGAGGGTCGAGAGCGCAAGCAGCCGGACTGGGGCTGCCCTCGTTCGGAAACAGAGACGCCATTCCGAAAGTCGCCGCTCGGGGAAATCCGTCAAAGATTCGAAGGAGATATGTCCAGCCAGGCCCTCCGCTTGCGCCGGCATGCAAAATCGGTTCAGAAAAGGATACCAAAAAAAGGAAGAAGAGAGAGATGGGATTCGGAAGAAAGGAGATGGGATTCGGAAGAAAGGAGATGGGATTCGGAAGAGCGGTGCAAAGCGAAGGAGAATGGAGATGAGATAGGGGCGGGACGGATTGGCGATGGGCAGCGGGGACGCCAGGCGGGACGCATGATGGAGGGGATGAGCCAGAACAGAGACAACCAGACACAAAACGCAATAATAGAGTACCCTTCATCGATTCGGTCCTTGCAAACTGGCAGATGCAGCTGCTCCTGAGCGGAAAGCGCCGGGGGAGGATGTCGGACCGGGGCAGGAGCTGGCGGTTCATGCCTGCGGCGAGCCGGATGCCCAAGCTGGAGTGCGTTCAGACCTTGCTGGCGACACACTTGCCCTCCAGCAGCTTTGAAGCATTCTTGTCAAAAGACGCTTGTCGACACGACTCGAGCTGACTGCAGTTGTGGGCCTCGGCCAGGCGGTGCTTGGAGCAAAAGTCCTGCGAGCAGTGCCTGAAGAGCAGGGAGACGGCGTGAGTACGAATACGGGGCGAATCGACAAACGAGATCCAAGGGGATCGGCAGAGACGCAAATGCGGGAGGCCGGACAGGAAAATGCAAGGAGGAAAGGAGCTGAGACGAAGGCAGGTCCACCGATACGCACCGGCAGTGGCCAACGATTTTCCCGACACGATCAGAGCAGCCAGAGAGAGCGCAACGGTTCTTTTTGGTGGTGCGGATGGGCGAGGCCGGCGACGAGGACGAGCCTCGAGACGAGAGCGTCGACGAAGATATCGAGCGTGGGGAGATGGAGAGCGGGGTCTCGGCCGGGGTCGGTGTCTGGACGGGCAGGCGTTTATCGGCTTCCATGCTTGGAGGAGAAGGATGAGGGGGGATGTGATGGCCGAAGGAGGAGAAGCTTGGCGTCCAGGAGGGACGACGACGAGGAGCGTTGATGGGAAGGAGCGGTGACGATGGAGAGGAGCCCGGAAGCAGAACGGCTGGATGCGAAAGAGCGTCTGATGCGAAAGAGCGTTTGATGCGGAATAGCGTCTGGATGGGATGTGTCTGATGGGGATGTGTCTGGATGGAGGGAAGAGAAGGGCGGCAGGCCGGGGTTGGGCGGGCGGACGGCTGATCGGGCGGGACAGACAGTGCTGCAAGTCGAGAAGGAATCCTGTGATATATTCTTGGGCAATATATTCTTGGGCAATATATTCTTGGGCAATATATTCCCAGTGCGATGTTCACTCCCAATGCAATGTTCGCTCACGACATGATATTCACACGATATGATATTCACACGACATGATATTCACACGATATGATACTCACTCCAACAGACATTACATTCACCACGTTCGACCTTCACCGCCGCACCCGCCACGGGTCTGCGTGACCCGATATGCAACCGCATTGCGACTGGGCAACCAAAGCCTTTGTTGTCCGCACGGTCGCTCTTGGCCTGTCGCCCCCCCCCGCTTCGCCGCACGGCCTGGCCTCCGTCCCCACTCGTCCCCATTCGCCCCTCGCTGATCTTCATCCGGCATCTTCCTGGCTGCTCTTGTTGGCCCGGTCTCTGCTTCCTTTGCTCGTCTGGTCCAACTCCCGGTGCTCCTGCCCGTTTCACTGTCCTCCTGGCCCACTCTCCTTGAGCCGTCGTTTATCCTTTTTCATCCACATCCACATCCACCCCCTCCCTCATCCACCAGACTTTCACCAAACCTCTCCCAGACTCCCGCCCAACCATGGCCACTGTCGTCGTCCCAATCGATCCCTCCAACATCCAGTGGGTCGTCAATCACCAGACCATCCGCCAGTCCCCTCAGTGCCAGCCCACCGGCTCATCGCCCATCACCATCGTCAGCGAGGCCGGCGACTTTGTCCGAGCCACCAACCGCTGCTACTGCTACGCCGCAAGTTCGACCAACCCCGGCACATGCTACTACTTTTCCCTTTCCACCACCAACCACACCATCAGCCAGTACGGCTGTGGCCAAGACACCACCTGCACCAAGGGCTGCACGATCGTCGATCAGTTCTCCACCACCACCTCCAGTCCCTGCTCCACCAACTATCTGACTGGAGCCTACAGCAGCAGCGACTACACCAGCACCAGGTGAGCGTCATCCACATCATCATCCACATCATCCACATCATCCACATCATCCACATCATCCACATCATCCGGTGCTGCTCTGCAGGCCTCGCCGACTCGATACCACCCATGCACACTCGCACTCACATCTGCACTCGGCCTTCGTTCTCTTGCTCTCGATCCTCGATGCGGCCATCCTGTTCGTCTCCCGCAGCGTCTGGGACTCTGCCCTCAACACCAAGTATTTCGTGTACTACACCTTCAGCTTGAACGACAACTCTTGCGGGGTCGTCAGCAACGTCAACCGAGCCGCCATCTACCCCACCTGCACCCAGTTGATCAACAACGTCTACTCCATCACCCTCCAAAACTCCAACGGCAACGTCGACCAATACGCCTGCACCGATGCCGGCTGCAACAGCTGTGTCCTCGCCAACACCCTGGCCGTGAGCAACGTGTGCGGCCTCGACTCTACCGACTCGGGCACCTACTTCACCCTCTATCGGCGCGGCGGTGTGTTCAACGACCCGTCGCTGGTCCTGCCCACAAAGTTCCCGAACCAGACCACCACCAACCCACCCACAACCACGCCGGGTACCGGCTCAACCTCCAACTCCAGCAACATTCCCATGATCGCTGGCATCGCCGGTGGTGTGGTGGGTATGTAAGATCCCAACCATGTCGCGCGCCGTTTGCTGCCGAATCGCATGTCGTCTCCCCCTCCCACACAAGTATCTCCCGTTGCCTGCCGCCCCGACACTCATTTCGTCCACCGTCTCCTCCGCCTATGCAGTTGTGATTGCCCTTGTGCTCGGATTTGTGTTCTGGAACCGCTCCCGCTCCAAGCAGGCCGTTCCTGAATCGACCAATCTTGGAAACACTCACGCTCATCCCGGCGTTTCCTATCCCCCGGTCTCCAACACCGACCCGCTTCTGCCCAAGCAACAACTCGCCAATGCCCCAGTGGCCCATGGCTACCAGCCCCAGTTTACAGGCGCTCCAGTGGGCGCTCCTTATGCCGCGCCCGCAGGATACGCTCCCGGCAACCCGTACGCTGCCCAGAACTACTCTGCCCCCTATGCCGCCCCCGGCACTTCTTATGCTGCCCCTGCTCCTGGTGCTCCCTACCCTGCTCCCGGCACGTCCTATGCCCCACCTGGCTCCTACCCCGCTCAGTATCCTAACCCTGCGTACGGTTCTTACCGCGACCCTGCTGTGAACGAGCCTGCTCCTCCCTACGCCCTCGTCGATCCCTCGTCCCACAGCTCTGGCCAGGCCCCCTCTACCGGCTACCAACCCTCGGCCCATCCCTTGTTCGGGGCAAGCTCCAGCAACGGCGACGAAAAGTCGCAGTTTTCCTCCCCTTACCAACAGCCCCGTCCCTAACGGCTGCGTCCTCTCACTGCGCCTCACCGATGTGGATGCATTCCTGTCGGACACGCACGATTGCGCTGCTGTTGGCTGTTTCTTGATCACCTGGCCCAGACGCCTCGACAATCTCTCCAAAGACCTTTCTACTCTATATTGTTTTCTTCTTTTTTCTTGACTCGTTTGATTGACTCTACTTCATCCAATGCCGCCTGACCTGACTTTGGTGGCGCTGGATGTCACTTTACTTGATTACAACTGAATGCTCGATTTCCACTTTGCTTGATTCTATCTGAATGCTCGGATTCCACTTTGCTTGGTTGCTGACAACTGAGTACTTGATTCCACCTTGCTTGCTTACACAACTGAGTGCTTTCCTCAAACCAACACCTCTTCCAGTACAAGCGGCCCCTGCACACTTTACAAAACCCGACAGCGCATGCGTTGCGGAGGTGCCTTTGGTCGATCGAACAATATCGAACATATCTTCTTTCTTTTTATTCACAATTCACTGAACAGACTGTGCGGTGCGCAGCTTAGGTTTGGGGGGTAGTTGTTAGAGAGTGTGTGTGTCTTGGGTGGACCATAGAGTAGGGGAGGGAGCTTACGGCCCGGCGAGAGCTCTCAGCACCATAGAGTCAATCTGTGGGGCTGACGGAAGGGATGGCAAGGCGCTGTTCCAGCAGGAGAGTCATGCCATTTGGAGCAGTCGGTTCGGATCTATTTACTGGCAAGGGTTGTTGACATCGCCGGTGCAGGTCGAGCCGTTGGGACAAGCATACTCCATGGGGCCAGCGGGGTCGCAGTACCAGAACTCGGACGAGTCCAGGCAGACGATGCTGTAGGGATCAGCGTTGGAGCAGTCGGCGGCCGGAGGAGGCGAGGGAGGGCCGGGCGAAGGAGGGTTGGGGCTGTTGCCCGAGACGGTGAAGCCAAAGGTCTCGCTGGTGGAGCCGATGCCGGCCTGTCCGTAGCCGATCCAGAAGAAGCCGTCGGTACCCCAGGAGGTGGTCCAGGAGTTCTTGCAGAGCCAGGCCTGTCGGTTGTCGTCCCAGCCAACGATCGAGACGGCGTGGCCACCCTCCTGTTGGTTGGATCGCTGCATGTACACCTGGTTGTTGGTGCAGCAGTTGCTAAAGTCGCTGTAGACAGTGAAGGCGGTGAAGACGGCGCCATAGGTCATGATATGCTGCTTGATCTCGTCGACGCTGCCGAACGAGGCCTGGGAGATGCCGCCGGTGCGCTGGCAGTTGCCGTCGTTGCACTGCTGGTCCTGGCCGGTGCCGGCAGTGTAAGGGAAGCAGTCGGCTCCAACGACGCCGTTCTGGGAGATGGCCCCGGCTGCGGCATGCGGGTACCATCCAGTGCTGCACTGGGCCTGGCCAGCGGCAAGGCAGAAGAAGATGTCGGCGGTTGAGACCTCGATGCTGTTGCCGGTCTGGCTGAGGAAGGTGCTCTCGACGGTGGCGGCCGAGGAGAAGGCGACGCAGCTGCCGCACTGGCCCTGGTCCTTGATCGAGGAGACCCAGTTCTTGTCGCGGGAATCCCACGAGGAGGGGAGCATGGCGGCACGGACGGCGGCGATATGGACATCAGAGGCATCGCTTCCCTGTGAGGCGGCGAGGACAGCGGAGGAAGGTGTCAGTCCGGGATGAGCGCATCTAATCGAATCGAAGCCAATCGAATCGAATTGTGGAAGAGTGCATCGCGTCGCGCAGGAGTACATCGAATCATGGGAATCAACGAAGCGTTTGGCAGTGCACCAGAAGCATGACAGTTGAGCGTGGGAACATTCCTGGGCCAGGACGACGCAAGCATGGACCATTGCAGCCCTGGAGCGAGCCCAGACACCCTCCATCCCTTCCCAAATACTTACAAAAACCTGGTTGGCAATGTTCTCGACGGACTGGTCGTTGGCGACGATGCTGGCAGCAAACTTGTCGGAGCTGGAGTGGTCCTTGACCTTCTGGACGAGACCCTTGAAGGTAGAGTCCTTGTGCTGGGTGGTGTGGGCCTTGAACAGAGCCTTGGCCTCGGTGGACATACGGGAGGTGCTCTCGGCCGAGCCCAGCGACTTGTCGAGCGACTTGATGTACTTGGACCACTTGCCGCCCTTCTTGGTGCGGGCACCTTCGACAGCACCCGAGAGGGCGAGGAAGGCCGTGAGGGCAAAGCCGGCGTTGATGAGCATGGCGGTAGTAGACGAGGGCGGCAGAGAGAGGAGGAGGGGAGCTGGGAGCTGGGGTCTGGCCTTGGCTTGGCTGGAGGAGTGTGTCTGAGAAAGCAGCTGGAGGGAGAGCAGACCGGTATTTATATGGCGGATTTCGTGGCTCGCGGGAACCCCGACATCAAGCAAAGCACTGGCGGCGCCAGTGTATTCTTCCCCACCACTGCCGTGTTGTGGAGGGCGATCGAGCCTGAAGGGCGATGGAGCTTGAAGGGCGATCGAGCCTGATGACCCAGCACTTTTCTTTTCGCCGCCTTTGCGACGCTGCGCCGGGACAGCGCCCAATAATCCAATCCAGTCCAGTCCGCGCGAGACTGAGACAGCACCGCCCTGTTGTCTGGCTGACGACGGACATGGGCCTCCCAAGAAAGAGGCAAGAGTCGGGGACGGCCATCCATGGCAGCGATGCTTGCTCATGGGACATGCGCCCCCACACAGGCGGTTGGTCAGCGGCTTTCGTTTCCCAGCGTGACCCAGAGCCGGACCTTGTTGGCGGTGTCAGCAGCAATCACAGAGCACCATCAGCCCGAGGCAGCAAGGCAGGCGACCGACACCAGCCTCGCTCTGTTTGGTGGGGGCACAGAGACTGCCGCCAATCGACCCGCTCATGAAACGACGGGCTGCGAAAACGAGGAAGGCAGGGGGCTGTGCTTTGCGAGAGGAGTACATTCGCCTGAGCGCCTCGGAGCGGCAATGCCAGGCACGCTCTTCTCCAACGAGAGCAGGACCACCCCGCACAGCCGCCTGCAGAGCCGCAGCTCAGCAAAAGTACATTGCCTGTATGTACATTTGCTGGGCAAGTACAGTGCGCCTCCCTCCCCTGTACGCAGCACGAGGTGGCTGCTTGGTCAGATGCCCAGGGTCAGATGATGGTGGTGCCGCTGGATTCCATGGACGTGTGCGAGGAATCGGAATGGCCGAAGCACAGATACCAGCAGAGCACCGAGACGAATGGAGACATGGGCTCGCCAAGTGTCCCCCCCCCGCATGACTCTGCTGCGAGCGCACCAGCCGCATGCATGAATGGATGGGGGGAGCTGGTGGGGTTGGTGTCGCATCCAATCGACAACGAGGCAAGGAATGCGAAATGACTGGGTCGGAAAGACGGAAAAGACCAAGGCCAAGGCCAAGAGAGCGAGAATGGAGGCTGGTACAATCCAGCAATGCGACGGATGAAACTGAGAAGGACCAAGGCGCACAGCCGCCCATGTCTCGCCGATGCTGCGCTGGCTGCCCTTTGTCGGACGCTCTGCCAGTCGGCCCGCTGCCAGGCACGTTGGTCTCAGCGGCTCCAGGGTGGTCATCTGCCAGAGCAAGCACCTCGGGATACGGTTGGGACATTGCCGATTCTGCCTGATCCGAGACGGCGAAGGAGCAATGAGACCCGACACCAAGGTGATGGACATGACCCGATCCATCGTCAAGACTTGCGAGGATCGGATCGACTCTATGCTGGACTTCATCTCCCTGAGCGTCTTTGATGTCAATCATGGTAACAGTCTCCTCCTGAAGCTGACAGACGCAGCTCTGTCCAAGAACTTCTGCAACCTTCGCCGCGGTGCAATCATCTGCGAGCAACTCAAAACATCCCGCACCGACGATGCACCCACACTGGCCCTCATGGCCATCGCCATCGTCTCTGAGGCGGAGAGGAAGGCCAATTTGTGTGAGCTGGCAGCGAAACAGGTCACCGTGATCTCTGCAAGTCTACCATCCAAATCGAGCCCAAATGGAAGCTCATGCTCGCCACCAACAACATCCAAATCATTGTATTCACCTCCGACTCGAACCACGCCACCTTCACAGGTATCGTCATCATCCATTTCCCCCATGGAGTTTGCTCAGAAGAAACCAAGGCTCATCCTGAGCCCAAACCAGCTTCCTGTGACAGCTTACTGGAATCAAAAGTCCTCATGGATGCCTGGAAGTATGTCTTCATTGGCGAGCTAATCCAACGATTCCCAAATGCCCCTGATCCCAGCAGACCCATCGACTCCGAAGCCTTGATTCCCATCGAAGTCCAGGCATTCACCCGCTCGTGCATCACCGACCAGGACTAGGGGCACATTCATCCGGCGCAAATTCACCGCCACTGACCCACAAATCCAACCCGGCGAAGTCAGGGTGCTGTTCATGAATCTCAACGATGGCTCGCCATACGCGATATGGCACAGCAAGTACTTTGATGCCGAGCAATATGGCCAGCTGGATGCCTTTGCATACGCTCGATTGGGCAGTTTCTCTCCGACATCTTGAAGCATCCACCCATCGCCAAGATCCGTGACACGTTTCCATTGTGGACGAGGCGATCGAGTAACAGATACATACTCGATGAGTCGGGGCTGCATGGTCTGTGCATTTGATTCTGGAGTGGGGTTGTCTGGACTGCGTTTCAGGTTCAGCATGGAGTGAAGGCTCTCTGTACACTCCTTTGTGTCAGTTTTCTGAATTAAAGTTGCCGCAGAAAGCAACACAGCACACCCGTTTGGCTGGACATTGGCCAGCTACTCGGGTGCCCAAAGCCATTGGTTGCTGGTCAGGCACATCAGGATGGACACCATCACTCTCTGGGATCTCCTTGGCCCAAAGAACCGCCTCGGACTCACCTGCTGTTTCTGTCTGATCCCACAGCATCGAATACAACCCCAAAGCCCCCCCCCCATATCCCATATCCCATAGCAGTCGTCGTCGTCCTTTCTCTGCGCCTGCATGTACTCCCTGCTGGCACTACCGCATCGTTCCCACACACAGCCACACACAGCTACCGCCGGCTCGAACCGGCTCCATCGAGGACCGCCGTTGGTGATCGTTCCCCACAGCAAAAGCCCGCCCTGGACAGCATCTGCGCCCGAGCCTCCCCCCTGCACCCGCTCGCCACCTGTCCAGAGACCCAAGGCCGGCGTCTGCACACGATGATAACGAAAGAATACGAAAGCCTCGAGAGTCTTATCGGGACTCTGTACGGGACGACATCGGCCTACAAGGACTCGCAGCTGGCTGAGGATCACTTGCAGGACATTGAACAGCAGCTCTCCCGGATCAAGCATGCCGTCCACCCCAACGCCAAAGTCCAGTCCCTGCTCGGTACGCTCCCCCCCCCCATGTATTTACTATCCCTCCAGTCCATATCATATCCATGTTCATATTCACATTTTTATCCATGAACATCAGCCAATACCGGCGTGCTCCGGCTGGCTGTGGGTGTGCTGGCTGGCTGGACCTGGTGGCCGTCACGATAGCGATGGCTTTGCGATCCCTGCAGATTCTGACTGCGGTGGCGACGGGTTGCCCCCTCCCTTCCAGCGCAGTATATGCACCTGCCTATGCGGGTTGTTCTCGTTCTTTTGACGACAGCGTGTAGGCAGTGTAGGCAGTGTCGTTTGGCTGACGCTTTTTTGCTTGCGGATCTGGCTGGGCGCCGTCTTGCCGGATGCAGAGAATGATCTGGACGAAGTCAAGTGCGAGCGGGACACCAAGCAACGGCTGTTCGAGCAAGAGCTCGCCAGCTCGGAAAAGATGCTTCTGAACTTCATTGACGAGGTAGCTTGATTTGATGTCGATGTCGATGTTGATGCTGATGCTGATGCTGAGGATGTTGCTTCTCCCTCGCGCATAGCGGCGCTGCAGGCATCGGATCTCGCAGTTTGCCTGCTTGGTGCTTGGTGCCTCATGTTTGCTTCGCGATCTTGGATTTTGGCCGTTCCACTGACGGTGCCTCGTCCGAACAAACGCCAGAGGTCAGTCGGCACCTTCAACCAAATCCAACAGGAAATTAGTGGCAGGCTGAAGAACTCTGGCTCGATTCTCACTTTTATGGAGCAGCAAATCACGAGCCGCGAGCAAGACAATGAGGTATGCCTGTTGCTACCAAACGGGCCTGCCCCCTCCAGATCTACTCTTTTTTTGAGGGGAGGGGGCAGCTCGGCGTAGCCCCAGACTGGCCTATTTGGTTGCCAACATTACAGCGGGAGCTGGCAGCCGCTGACCAAGACCCACGAGACATCCTGCCGCTGACGCCGCCACATCCGATGCAGCTCCTCCAAAACTTCAACAACAATCTGGAGAATCTTCTGACAAAGCAGGACGAGGGGCTGGTGACCATCGAAACCGAGGTCCGCGAGTTCCGGAACGAAATCGATAAGGAGCAGCAGAAAATCGACCCCGAGCTCGAAAACGCGCTGTCTCTTCTGGATCAGGAGCTGGAGCGCCAGAAGCTCTTGGAAGAGCGCATCGACCGGATCGAGGCTCTGCTCAGCAGCTCGGTGGACAACTCCAGTGCCCAGCCATCCAATCTCGTCATCCAGCAGTACATGGAACTGGCGCGCATGGTCGACGAGGCCGAATCGGCAACCAAGACAAGGATAGCCGAGTTTGACCAGCATATCACCAACCTCAAGGTAAGCGATGGCTCGTGGGTGTGTGGTGGTGGCCTGCAGTGCGGAGGGCGATGCGGAAGGATGCCGGTGAACCGGGAGACCAAGCTCCCACGTCGCCATCGCCTCGTCGCATCGTCGTCCTGCCGTCTTGCACGAAAGGCGAGCGAGTGCTCCAGCGCCACCCAACCGGAAACGCCTCGCTGCAATATCGGCCAAATACCAGCTCACACGCTCGCTTCTGCAGCTATTCCACGAGCAAGCCAAAGCCCAGGTCGAGGAGTACGAAAGCTCGCTCAACCATGTCAAGACCATCGCGAACATGACAGAGACGCCCAGCTCGATCCTCGAGGAGCAACTGAAGACCGCCCTCTCGTCGTTTGCCAAGCCCATCATCGAGCAGCTGATTCAGGACTACCACAGCGGCGTATTGGGCGACCTCTCGCGGATAACCTTCCCGAGCGAAGCGCCGATCGGAGAGCCGGCACCAATCGAAAACGCCGGACCGCAGGAGCCAGCGCTCGCAGGACAGAAGCGTCCGAACGAGGGCGAGGCAGATCCGAACCAGTCCCAGTCAAAACACTCGCGAGTGTCGTAGTGGTTGTTTGGTACATCGCCCAATATAGCGCATTCAGAACCAAGTGACGGGAGCGGGAAAGTCTGGATACGGGCCATCTGCAGTTTCTTCCGGATGGAGGACATGGCGCTGGTGTTGCTGCTTTGGCACTGCTGGTGCTTGCCTTTGAACGCTGCGCCCTGGACCACTGTTGCATCCCGCTCTCAGCATGTTGAGTCGGGATGGCTCTGTTCAGGAGTCTGGAGCCAGACCAGCGCGCTGCAGCCCCATCGTCAGGGCGGCAGCGGGCAAGGCACCGGACAGTCGCCCAATCGAGCGCACTGCGGGCATATGTACCGCCTTTCGCTCTCGGCCCGGAGCGTCCCTCAGTCCTTCCCATCGCCGTGGCAGATCGCTTCGCTGCCCTCGTCTGCGCTCGTCTCCGCGTCCTGCCTCCGCCCTGGCCTCGCCTTTTTGGGGATTCCTTCCTGGTTTGTCTTTGCCGCGCTTCTTGCCATCATCCATCGGTCCTGTCTTCTTCTGGCCTCATCGCCGTTCGTCTGGTCTCGTCTGGTCTCGCACGCCGTCCCATCCGTCATCTCGATCCGTATCTCGCCGATCCGTCGCCTCATCCATCGCCTCATCCACCCTCCTGGCTCTCTGTGGCATCAACACGCCAGAATCCGCTTCCAGCCAGCTCGACCGAGCCCTCCCTGAACACCATTGCCACAAATGAAGGCCTTCGAGGCACCCGATGCCAATTGGAGCAGCGCCGACCCTGCTGGGCTGTCCCTCAACGGGCTCCTCGCAACGAGCGAGCCGGCCCCATCCGCCGATGCCACAGATGCGCACAAGGAAGCTGTCGTAGCAACCAGTCTCGACGAGGCATCCGCCGCCCAGACCAAAGCCGCCGCCGCTCCCTCTGCTTCTACCTCTGCCTCTGACTCTGCCGCCCATGCAGCCTCGCGAGTCCATATCCGGGACTTTGCTTATGCAGAGAGCGACCCTCGCCACTGGACCAACAACCACTCGCATAGTCCAGGGCTCGACAGTGACGATGATCCCGAGTATGGGCCGGCCGATGAGGAACTGTTCTCTTCCGATGTCGAGGAAGACGATGTCAGCCCCGGCTCCGGCGCCGGCACTGGCGCCGGCACCGCCCACATTCTCAACAGTAGCGGCCAGCCGCTGAGCAAGCATAGCATCGATCTGAAGCGAGACATTGCTCCGATGCTGGCGCATTACCTAAACCAGGACTCGACCGAGCACCCGTCTGATCAGCTCGATTTTTACTGCGTCAAGGCCGCCTTTGAGTTCTCGAAGGTAACCGAGTGGGAGATGTCGATAAAGGAAGGCAACGAGCTAATTGTCGCTGAGATTGTGCCACGGAAGCAGCCGCATGTTCCCGAGACACAGACCCCTCCGACGAGCCTGGAAGCTGCCAAGCATGTCGATGGCAGCGCCAATGCTGCTACTGCTGCTGCTATTCATACACCCGAATCGGACACGCTTTCGGCCAAAGCCCCGAACTCAACAGCCCAACCGGCTGCGGCAGCCTCCGACCTTCCAGCCAGCACAAATCACTCCTCCGGCCTGCCTTCGGCCAAGCGCGACTCACTACGCGGCTCGGAGCCGACAAATCTCAACACTGGCAATAATGCCGGCCAGTCCGAAGAACGGGACCGGTGGGCGAGCGTCGACGATCTCGACGAAAGCGGCATGGGCGCACTCGTGGACTCGGGCAACTCGGTCGACTCGCAGCACAACATCCTGGTGAGCAGCGATCCCAGCGGCGACAGCGACATCCAAGCGCTATTCCCGTTCAAAGAAGTCGAGTTTGAGCCCGAAGCCAGTGTCATCGGGACCAAGCTGCGCGAGTTTGTTGGATACCAGAAGGCCTATGGCGAGGGCTGGCTGACGGGCGTCAAGCTGACGATCCGCGGGTCGCAGGCCCGGGTCAAGATCAGACTGCTCGACTTGGGACTGATCCCCGGAAACTATGTGCAAAAGCTCTGATGGTGAATCTCGGGACTCGATGCGATGATGCAAGGGCACGGAGAATGACTCTGGCTCAAGCCGGCCGGGCAATCGCCAATGTGAGATAGGCACACGCACAACGGGCATTCTTCAGCGACCCGGCAGTCGCCAGCGTTGGGGAGTGTCGCTGTTGTGCTGGGTCTGTCTCGTCTGGATTGCTTCAACCAGCGCCGATGAGCACCGCTGGGCTTGTCATGTCTACCCCTCCTCGAGCTTTCTATTGGTTCTCTCCTTCTGGTTGCCCTGCGCCATGGCGCTACCCTTGACTACAATTGATGCCGTTGCTTTGTTTTCGTTGCGTTTCTTTGCTTTTTGTAGGCGTTGTTCCTTGTCTGTCGTTCTCAAACTTGCCCCACCTTCCTTCATCCAGCCTTGGTTGACCAATTGCCTCCACCGCCGTCGTCGTGCATTGCTGCTTGGGTACCTGTTGCTCCACCCTCCAGCAGTGGCTCTCTCTTCCCCTTTCCTTGTCCCATCCGTGCCGAGTGCATCTCCCTCTCTCCTTTCCGCACCGACCCTCATCCTCGTCAATGACGACATAATAAGGCAATCCACTCGAGTTCCGCCTGCCCGGACCCGACCCGTGGGTCGTGGGATGTCTGCCGATTGGAATGCAAGGCTGCGCTGAGGGACGGAGGGCTGTGTTCGACCGGCATCGGTGTTGGCTGAGAGACTGGGCTCGCACGAACAGTCTCTAGCCAGGATACCGCACGAGGACTAGAGAGATACCGTGCTCCATCTGCCGCATGCTGTGCAAAGATCGGAATAACGGGCGAGTTCAGAGCCCAAGTAGCTGGGCTGACCAGGGTCTGTCTATTGTTTCTTGGGCTTGTCGGCCCCCTTCTTCTTGCCATACGATGACCGATAGAATTGGATGAACAGCACAAGGAAGATGAAGTTCAGGCCGGTGGTGAAGATGGCGGCCGAAACGCCCTGGCACCCGGGTCCGCCGGTGCTCTTGATCTTCAAGTGGTAGTAGGCAAAGACCACAGTGAAAAAGAACGAGCAGACAAACTGGACGATCTGGCCGGAAGTGATGTACTTCTGCGAAACAGGCGCACAGGGGACACGTTGCGGGAAAGCGACGAAGATCCACATGTTACAAGCCAAGGAATGTCGAAGGGCATGTTAGGAGACGTACTGTGGCAGGGGCCATTATGCTGGCCAACCAGCATCCACAACCCCCACCGACTATTTGGCAGGCCCGATGCACCTCCCGCTTGACAGGCAAGCAGCCGGAAGCACGTCCAACAGACACCCAAAGTACAAACCTTGAACCAGACCGACTTGCCCAACGAGGCCGCATAGTAGTAGTAGTACATGAAAACGTGCACGACGGTATTGAAGATCATGCCCCAGCTGGAGGGAGGTTGTGCGGATGAGACGAATGAGTCACAGAGCTGGGTTCACATGCGGCTCCACGGTTCTTTGGGTCGGCCTCAGGCATCGATGCCGAAGCGAGGCTTCGGAGCGACCCGGCGAGGAAATCTGGCACTTACGTTGTGACGACAGCAATGTCATACATCCAGATCCAGACCATTAGGACAACGATGCCGTGGTGGAACCAGTGGAGGAATATGATGGGTTTCTGGTGGGAGCGATGGTGTATGAGAATCAACGTTGGCCAATGCAGGAGCAAGGCCGTGGTGCTGCTGCTCGCGGACATCCTGGTCTCGGATCCACCCACCCACACAGTGTACTGCGTACCTTCTTCAGAACCAGGATCACCGTATCCAGCAGTTCGTAAAACTTGCTGATGTAATAGACGTAGATCCAGAACCACAGAGAGCCCCTGGCCGCGGAGTGGCTGGGGAGAGTGCAGAACATGGCGCGGAACTCGACTTGGCCGACTTGATAGACCGAATAGGACACACCAACGGCCATGATCAGACTCCAGATGCACAGGATCATGTTGTGGATGGCAGTAGCGTTGACGAGCTTGAAGGGCTCTCGGTTCTTCATGTATTGCTGGGGGCAGCAGGAGAGACAGCGGGTGAGTCCGGGCCCTGAGCAGGTGGCTCGACACGAGCTTGAGGCCGAGAAGCCATCGTATAGGGATGGGTTCTGCCTGCTGATCGACGACTCCAGCACACCCCGGGAGCAATCCCTGTGTATCGGACACAATGTGCTCGACAGCACCAGGACAACCACTGCCATCCCGGCCGACACATACCCTGAGTCCAAGGATGGTGGTGGCATAGATTGCCCAAGTTGCTCCGATGACCTGGACGCGCGATGTGATAGAGGCCGAAGAGCGATAAGGGGTTGGATGGTCGATTCCATGATGAAAGCTGTGCATATCCACGGCGATACGTGGCGGGCTTGGTCCAGGGCCACGGCAATTGAAAGACTCGGCCAGCCTCGAGGCGATGGCCAGGCGGCGGATGGTCGTGGACATACCCGGAGATCGGTCAGGGGCGTCTGGCCCGCGACAAACTGGAAGGTCTCAAGATTCATGGATGGCCAGGAAGGATGCGGAAGGGCGGTAGAACAGCAGCGCTGGGGAAGTGGGTGCAAAAGCGCTGAATATATGGGCGGGAGTTGGGGAGACGAAGAGAGCAATCTGCATGTGCCCGCAACATTGTTCCGCCACCAGCGGCGGAGAAACGGTGGCGGCATTTCGCCGACGCCCAGCCAACGAATGCGAACATGTGCATACCGGGTGGAGCGGGTGATCGGATTGCCGATCAATACTCAGCGAGATGCTGGCGATGCTGGCGATGCTGACGATGCTGGCGATGCTGGTGATGCTGGTGATGCTGGCGATGCTGAGGCGCCAGTGCATCATCAGAGCAGCCATCGGATGGCTCCAGCTGCCCCTGTCCGTTGACCTCCCTCTCGCCATCCCACATCCACTGACTCCACACCGCCCATCAGCAGTGGCCCCCGTGCCCAGGTCTGAGTCCGGTCAAGAATGATGCAACGGGGCTGTCTCCTCTTGAGAGCGGGCTTGCGATCGAGCCAAGTCTTGCGACGGGACTCAAGAAGCCATTGTCGCAGGCGCTCCTAGAAAGGCCGACGGGGGGTTGGGTGTCCCAGAGCCTCCCCGTCTCGCTCTTGAGCATCATCAGCACCGGCATGGGATGGAAGCGTGGGCCCAGATGCCGGCAATTTGACAAGATGCTCGAAGAAAACTCGAGCTGCCAAAGAGCGAGCGCGGGACGGAGGCGGTTTTGTTGGCGCCGACGCCGTGGCGCAGCCTGGCGGATCGAGCCACCGATCAGCGGCTCGAGTGTGGTGCGCAGCATGATCGACCTGCGCAGTCCCCTCGTGATGTCGCATCAATACTGTATTGTAGGTGCAACAAATCGAAACACATGTGCCTCCTGAAAAATGCAGCCTCCCTAGAATTCATCGTCGAGTCCGCCCTCCACTCCATTCCCACGGGCGAGTCCAAGAACGACCACGATTCGGCACACCAAGGGAGAGTTGTTGGCCTCGGAGAAGACCCCCGAACCGGATCTCCGGTCGACTCAACGTCGACCTCGATTCGCAAGCTTGGATTTGGCGGGAGCGACCTTGCGGCCACCCTGCGACATGTTCGGGCCGGCCGAGAACGGATTGTTGACGACCGCAGGCGGGGCAGCTCCTCCGCCCATCGGAGGCAATCCGAACGCAAGAGGCTGAGAGGCTTGTGTGGTCGCCCCAAAGGAGAAGGCGTTGCTGGCCGGCTGTCCCATTGAGCTGTCGGTCGCACCAAAGGCCGGGGCTGGGTTGGCAGGGGCACCAAAAGTAAAGTTTGATGTCGCGGTGGCAGCTTGTCCGAACTGGAAACCAGAGCCGGGGGGTGCGGTAGCGCCAAACACTGAAGCTGGAGCCACAGCCGCCGGAGCTGGTGCAGCTGGTGCAGCCTGAGCACCAAAGACGCCAGGAGCCGATGCTGGCGCAGACGAGCCGAAGCCAAAGGAAAAGGGCTGGGCACCGCCAGGAGCACCACCAGGAGCGCCGCCAAAGGCCGGAGCAGCGCTTGGAGTAGCATCCATGCTGTTGGCTGCGGCGCCATTGTTTGCGCTCCCGAAAAGATTAGCGGCGCCGAATGCCGGGGCAGGCGCGGCCGAGGTGTTTGAGGACCCAAACGAACCAAAGCCGGTGTTGCCTGTAGGCTGGCTGCCGAAGGAGCCGAATCCAGTAGCTGGAGCAGCTGCGGAGGCCAACGGCTGGCTTCCAAATCCAAAGGACGTGGCCGGAGAGGTGTTCATGCTCGAGGAATCTGCTCCAAATGTAAAGCTCGAGTTGGCAGCGGGAGTGACGGGGGTGGAGGATGCCATGGCACCGCCGGCCCCACCAAACGAAAATCCGCCTGGAGGGTTGCTGGCACCAGTTGGAGCCGAGCCGACACTGCCAAAGCCGGTCGGTTGTGTCTGGGCCGGGGCGGCAGCAGCTCCAGTGGACATGGGAGCTCCGAGAGCAAAGGATGGTGCTGAAGCCGGGGCCGCGGTCGCCGCAGGCACGCTGGATCCAAACGTAAAGTTGCTAGCAGATGAGGCAGTGCCACCAAAGGAAAAGCTTGATGCAGGAGGGGCCGAGGTTGCTGCAGGAGTTGATCCAAATGCAGGAATCGCTGGCGCAGAAGCCGCAGGAGCAGTAGGTGCTGCCGGTGTCGTCGATGAGCCAAAGCCGGTCGAGGCAGTGGATCCAAACATGATTGGGGCGCTGGTACTTGCACCAAAGGTCGGTGCAGGTGTCACCGCGCCAAAAAGCGAGGTCGGAGGAGGCGCTGTTGTCGACGCCAAAGTCGCTGTTGGGCCAGCTCCAAAGCTGAATGCACCTGGGGCAGGAGATCCTGATCCGAAAGCAAAGCTCAAAGGCGCCGGAGCCGCTGACGCTGCCGCAGCGGCAGTGGTAGTGATGGTAGTAGCGAAGGCAGCGGGGGTAGTAGCAGTGGGGGTAGCGCCTGGGCCGCTCGCACTAGACTCGAAGGGTTTGGTGAACCCGAAGGACTGTGCGATCGCTGGGAGGCCCGCGCCCGCAGCGGATGGTGTAGTTGACGCAGTAGGCAATGGCACAACAGGCGCAGGCACTGCAGTCGGAGCGATAGAGGCTCCCTGGGCAGGCACTGCGGTAGCCGCAGGGAGGGTGGCTGCAGTGCTTGCAACTGAGGCGGGGGTCGAGTCAACGGGGACCAAAGTGGTCGCTGGGGGAGCAAATGACCCAAACAACGAAGGGGTTGGCGTACTCGCGCTGGCAGCGGCCGGGATACTCGCCGGAATGCTGTTCGAAGCTGTGGTCGTGCTTGGTGTGGTGAAAAATGAGAATCCTGAAGTCGGGACGGCAGTCTCGGGGGTCTTGGGCTTCTCCGCTGGCACCGACGACGCTGCTGGCGGGGGCGTGAAGCTGATGGTTGGAATCGAGATTGCCGGCTTGGGATCTGGTGTCGAGGAAATCCCCGCAAACGAGAAGCCGGTGGCTTTGGGCTCTTCGGGTTTCTTGGGAGGCTCAGCGGCACTTGAGAAAGCTATGGCGGATTCTGTGGTTGTGGTCGTGCCAAAGGCGAAGGGTTTTGACGGCTCGTTGCTGCCAAATGCAGAAGTCGTCCCAGCCGATGTGGTCGCGTTGAAGTTGAAGGACACCGGCGCACTATCCTTCAGCTTTTCGGCTACAGCCAATGACACAGAGGATGTGGCTGGGGACGAGGTAGTGGGAGCAGCAAAGATGCTACCGGGAGAGGTCAGAGCCTTGTCATCAGGCTTTGACAGAGGTGGGGCTGCAAACAAGCTTGGCTTCGGAGGCTCCTCCGCAGCTTTGACGCTCTCAGGCTTGTCGCTCGGAAGGCCAAATGAAAATGCGGGTGTTGTGGCGGCGGATGAGGAAGCGGCGGACTGAAGCTCGCCCTGAGTCGACAGAGGAGTTGCCGTGGCCGCCGAAAGAGTCTCGGGGGACGGTGTCGACTCCTCGCCAAACGCAAACGTAACTTTGTGCCTGATCTTCTCGGGCACCTGCTCAGACCGCTTGATGCCCTCCAGATCAAGCCGGACTTCGCGTCGGCTCTCGCCAGTCTCGCTTGTGTTGGCAGCAGCAATTTCCAGGGCCTTGGCAAGAATGCGGTTGGTCTCATCGTCGGTCAGAAGCCGCTTCAGGGCCGACTGCTTGGGGACACTGGGGCTGCTGGTCGAGGCTTTCGGCGTGCTGGGTCGCAGCTTCAGACGGCCGCTGGCGGGCGAGGACGAGATCTTTGTCTTCATAGGTGTCTGCGAGACAACACGGAGTGGAGTTTTGGACACCAACGCAGAGCGGTCGACATTGCGGCGCTTGATGGGCGTGCCCTGGTGGAAATCGTGTTGGGTGGGTCAAAAGCCAGACATTGCTCCGTCAACGAGCAGCACCAAGGGAAAGCACTTACATTTCGTGTGTTCTCGTCATTCTCCTCATCATCTTCGATCATGAAGCGCTTGCGTAGATCGCCAGGTTTCTGCGCCGAGCGCACGGGCGGGACAGATGGCATCCTAGCATCGTTGCTGGAGCCTCGTTGGAGCTGAGGACGAGTCTCTGGGGTGGCTCTGAACTCTGCGGGGTTGGCAAACAGCTCGCTCTGGACATCGCCTTCACGCTCCTCCTCTTCTTCCTCCTCGTCACTGTAAAAGTCGCGCTTGACCATGACTGACTTGGCGAGGGGCGAACCAACATATTCGCGAGTGACTGAGACTCGAACGCGCGGCTGTTCGGAAGGCCGCGAGAGATGGCGGGGCAGGTTTGGAATGGGCCGCTCCGTCTCAGCCTCTGCCTTTGGAGCCGGGGCCGATGTCGCAGCCTGAGGAACATACTCGCGCTGAGGTTTGGAGATGGTCTGCGGAGAGTGAGGCGGATGAGCGATTCGGCAAAGACATTTGGCACAATACGTCAAGCCAGCGGTTTTCGGTGCTGGGCGATGCGATACATCCAAAACGATCAATGGAAGCAGCCTCGACGGGTAATATGACAGGCTGGCTCACGGCACCCACCAAAGGAGCCTCCCGAGGCTTCATATCGACGTGGACCCTCATATCATCAAGATCATCGGCGCGCCTCTGTCGTTTTGTGGCAGGGAAGGGGAGGCTGTAGTCGATGCGGTTAATGGCGGTCATTGGCACTCGCTCGCCGTCGATGAAAATGTATCCAGGGTCATCCTACATGATGGGTTGCAAGGAGCAGTTTGGGTCAGAAGACGAATGTCAGTGTAGGAAAGGGACGTTGAATGCGAGCCTGGTGCCCAGGGCTGCTCGTCGACACCACAAACAGCGTCGTCTTCGTGCCCTGTGCAATTGGAGATTGGATATGTAGGCTCCGGGCCGAACGCCAGCGTACCTCGTCTTCCAGGAGGATGCGGCGTTTGCTGAAGGGGGATTGTTCGTTGTCGTTGCCGGGGTGTCGATCCGCTGGACGCAGCGTATGACGGGGCTCAGGCTGCTGTTCCGCGGGCTCTGCCGGATATCGGATGCCTAGGGATCGACAGGGGTAGAGGATCCACAAATGTGAGGACGCTGGGGATCCGGGTGCTCTGCCGACACGAGATCCATCCAAGCACTGCGATATTTACGGTCTCGGTATTCCACTTTCGGGTTGGGGCGGGCGACCTGTGGTTTGTATTGAGAATCAACAGGCTGGTTCGGGGGCGGGTTGGGCTGAAGTTTGGTGGTTCGCCCGTCGTCAACGCCGTGTCGGAATCGGAAGGATGAGTTGCCCTCGTTGATGAAATCCAGCGGAGGCTGACGACTGGTTCGCGAGGACCGACTGACACCTGGGGGTGTTTGGGGGAATCGAGAAGCGTTGACGGCCGAGTCAGCGAGCGATCGACCAAGCAGCCGAGCGGCGCGGGTGAACAGTGTCAGCGACGGAGCAAGAGAGAGAGATCAAGGCGCCCATTGCAAAGAATCGGCCTCGGCGATTTTTTGCTGGGTCCGTATCGTGCTGTGTTGCTCTCGGAGAAATTGCACAAAGTCGCTGGGCCCAGCAGAGCGCCCTACCGTTGCGTGCCGAGCTCTGCTGCTGAACAACGCCATAGCGATCGGCTTTCCGACGAGATCTGTGGGCCAGAAATGCAAACCATCACATCAGTGATCGATCAGTACCGCGGAACGGCTTCAACAGCGCAGAAATGCATGCATCACAGAGTATCGATCAGCTGAATCAGTGGCGATATGCGAGACAAAGAGCGAAAATAGCTGGGAATCGAAAAACGCAAAAGCGATGCGGATTGCAAACTGACACCATGCTGAGATACTCCTTTCGGGCCTTTGCTTTTTGCATGGTCGTCCATCCGTACACGGCGGCACTGACAGCACCAACCGCGGCCGTAGCCGCAAGAATGGCGGGCGTGCCGAGCGAAAACAGCGTGCCGATGTCGGCCATGATCAAGCCAATCGAAATCCAAGGACGAGCGCTGGACGATTCGGTGGAGAAGGGAAGCAATTCGGAGCCGTGAGACGGATTGCAGGCAGAGGCCGCCGCGGACGAGGCCAGGGGCGACACAGCAAGCGCGGCGGCTGACTTTGGTGGCGGTGGCGGGGTCTGGCACGAGACACCGGGCGCAATCGCAGCACACAGCAGCACAGAGCAGGGCAAACGTACCCACGGAACAGACGAGATGACACCGGCCGATGGATGCAAGGAAGAGAGCAGAAACCGAAACGGCCGGACTCGAAGATCAGCGCGGCGTGTGTGTGTGGTGCGTGTTCTGTGCGTCTGTGTTCTGTGCACCGACATGCGCAGCAACTGCTTCTCAGCAACAATGTTTGCGCAGCATTCGGACAGCCGCGCGTCCATTGGCTGGCGCAAATCAATTCATTTCGCGGCCATCGCTCCCGGCAACGACGCGGCTGGCCCTGCTCTAGCCGGCCAGAACCCAGCCAGCCCCAAGTTGGCTGCCTCTGGCATCGGGTTGGCTGGCGATCAGCAGTAGCGACGATTGACCATGAGCTTCCCGATGCAATGCGCCGATACGGCGATGGTACGCCTGTGACATGGTAGCCATGGCTCGCAGCTGCGGCTGCGTTGTCTTGGTCAGCGGCGTCGTTCGGCTCGATGCAGCCCAGACCCAGATCTTGGCTGCAACACCGGCTGAGCCCCGCGGCCCCGACCCTTGCCTCCACCCCGATCATCTCCATCAACTCCATCAGCACCATCATCTCCATCCTCTCCATCATCTCCATCCTCTCGATCGCCACGAGCCTGCCCCCACCGCAAGACCTGCGCTGCCCGATTATGTCCCTGGAAGAGCAAAGCCCCGATACCCTCAAGCTCCTAAGCGACCATCTCATATCCTCTGTGGAAGGGGACGAGATGACGGCAATCCTCAAGACTCAGGAACGGATGTAGGCTTGAATGCATCGCAGATTGCGCCGCGTGGATCTGGCAAGCAGAGCTACCGTCGGCGATGGACGCACTGCCCTTGGAGCGATAAGCTTAGCGGGCTTCCGGCCGCTCTCGATGTCTGACAATGCATTCGGCTATGTGGCCACACGGCAATGCCCTTCGCACCATCCAGGAAGACCCAGCTTGCTCAAACCAACCATCACATGGAGTCGTTCAACAACTTCTCAGCCGCACGCTACGGCGACAACCTCAAGAGCCTCGAACAGTATGCCAAGCTTCTGAAGGATATGAAGGGAGACCTCGAAACGATCTTCCGGAGGATCCGGTGGGTTTCCTGTGTTGCTCGTCATGATATGTGGCCATAGCCGTTGTCCATCCCGAGTGGCCGTGGTCCTTGCGTATGATCGTCGTCAATAGCACGGAACTTGAGGACAGCATGTAGATCGCTTTTCGATAACACAGCCGCAAGTGGACAGCGAGATTCTGACTGTGCTGAGCTCCAGGAAAATCAAGGACAAGATGCAAGCCGAATATCCGACCGAATGGAGCACTGCAGCTTCGGCAATCAGCGAGACACAGCCTGCTCACGAGGATGCATGAACGCAATGTCGCTGCCGCAAATTCATACTGAATATCTCTCGATCATGAGGGAGCGATCCTTGTCCTGTTTCTGAATACACCCCCATCCGCCCAACGAGCACACGGCTCTGAGGCTCCGCCAGCGCTCAGGCAACACTTGATGCCCATGCTCGATGTGCTCGTGGGTGTCGCTCTCAGAGGCCAAGTCGCCTCATGCATCATTCGGTGGCATGTAGCATCTCATACCCGAGTATCGCCCCGCCGTCATCCAGCGCACCGACAGCCTCGCCACAGCGAGTCGGATTGGAGCCGCCGTCACCCCCGGCCATGACTCTCACCACCCAATCTGTTTACAGCACGGCCCTGGGCTTGCCGGCGCAACAAACCTCCGAAAGTGCGAGCATTCATCAGGCCGCCCAAGGAGGGCTCTTGGCCATCCAGACCTCACCCTCCCATCTGCTAGTGGACGCTACCATCCCCCAAAATGTACATTCTCATCAAGTACGGAGGTAATGCCAGCCCATTCCCACCCCGCTAAGAGCTCTCCAGAAACGGCCGAGTCTGCTATCTCGTGGGCTATCGCAGTCGGCTTCGATCCCGACTGCTCTGAGTCGCCGCATCGCTGCCCGGCCTGCTAATCGCTGTTAGCCCGACCCATTAGCCAACGAGGAGAAAATGGTCAATCCCAACTGCCTCAACCTCGTGATGCTGAATCATATCAAGCGGGTCTGCAAGCTCGATAACTTTCCGGATCCCATCGACCTTGCCTCCGACTCGGGCGAGGTCCTCGACTTGATCAGCAAACCCAAGGAGTATGCAAAGAACTTTATTACCCTGAGAAACACATACATTGCCGTCCGGGTGGTGCAAGTCGAAAAGGATGGTAAGTCCGGCCGAATCGGCAAATGGTTGCTTACAAAGTCGCCGGTGCCAGCGGTATGCTCTTGTCGCTGCCGGGCGGCATCGGAAGTATTGGATGGCATCGAGTTGTATTGGACGGCGTCAGATGGCGCTGTTCGTGAGATTACTCTCACAGGCCTTCTCCACGCACTAACGAGTTGACCTTTACTCCACCTTGCCCTTCGCAGACGACGCAGATGAGACTCAGCCAGCATACATTTCGCTGCTTGAGGGAACCGAAAAGATGAAGTTTACGGGTGAGCCTTGGTGTGCACAACCTTGGGCTATGCTCACTGTGCGGCTCCCAGTCGGACTCGTTGCAGCCGGACTTGAAGCCGGGCTGCTTCGACTGCCGAATCCAATTCCCACCGCTCCTCTGCCGCATGTCTCGCTCACGCTGTCGAACGGATGCTTTCCCACTTCATCTGGCACACAATATCCGATAACTGGGTCTCCAACCCAACGTCATCTGGCCAACCTCACCAACGGCCATCGGCAGTCCTCAATCCGACACAGCGGCGGACAAAGTACCGCGGTGGCGGCAGCAGCAGCATGATGTCGTCCATGGGCATTTCCACAACCGACTTCAGCGCCAGCAGCCTGGGCTCGCAGTTTGTTGGAAGCAGCGTCCTCGCCAGCGCCTCGAATATGGGTCTGCAGGGCAAGAAGCCCTCGCTCACACATGCACCCAATCTTGCGCCCGGAGCCGGCAAGCGTGGCGGAAACAACCTCCTCATGACGGCGACTCTCAACGCTGCAGCAGCGGCTGGAGGACCAACGCCCCCAGGTGGGCCTGGTCACAAGGCTGGCGGCAATCGGGCCCTGAGGCCACTCGACCTGAAGAAGGGCAGTCTGGGCTCCACAAACCTCATGCCTGGCAAGAGGTAGACGGCCCGACTGGCCGTTGGATCCGAGCGACGGCCCGGACGACAGACGCATTTGCATAATACCACGGTTGTATTCGAGCTCTGCATGGTTGGCGATGCTGGTGTTGCCACCTGCGCCTCAGTAACGGAGCTTCTGCTTCCGGATGTGCTCGCGAAGAACGTGCTGTTGACACAGGTCGAGTTCAGAAACGTGGGCCCGTATGTCAGCGGCGGCTGTTGCATGGCTTGACACGATGCAGGGAAATAGAACCGCACCAGCGAAGCGATGCAAAACCCACCTGTTTCTGGCTGAGCGAGCGCTTGGCCTTGCCTGCAACCGATCGCTTGTGGACCATCATGAGATAGTTTTTCTTCTTGGACTTTTCCTATAGCGGGTTGCATTGCCAGTATTCGTCGGCGAGTCAGCACAACTCAAAAGGGAGCTCAAATGTGCAAGCTTTGCTGACTGCTCCGCGTGCACTTACCCGGTTGGTCATACTGCCCTTCTCCTTCTTGCCCTTCTTCGAGCCGTACTTTTCTCGCCCTTCTCGTCCAGACTGCAAACAAATGCCATAAGGTGTGTTTTGGTGATTGAGTGGGTGGTCAGACTAAAGTGGATGACGAGCACCATGCAAGCAGCAGCAGACGCCACGAATCCGATGAGGAACTGTCGGCCTCACCTGGATACTCTTCATACGAGCTTCGTAGTCGTCCTTTCTCTTGATTCCGCTCATGATCGAGCGAACGTCCACCAGGTCCTTTTCGTCAGCATCGACATCGCTGTCGTCTTCGTCAATTTCGTCCTCGAAGCGCTTGCGGTTGGTGGGTCGAACTCCTGCCATCTTTTCGGCCTCTCTCTCCATGCGAAGCTCCTTCAGTCTGGCAAAGTCCTCGTCCGTGAGAATCTGCAATCGGGCCGAGCAGGAGGGTGAGATGGGTTGTGCGCTCGTGCTTCCGGAGTGCAAGACCACACGAGTCCAGCAGGGTCGCGGCGACTCCATGCGAATCTCGCTGGCATCAAGAAAGCACCGCCGCAGCGAAGGCCCCATTCAATGAACACTTTGACCATCACACATACTCGTTCAGCCGTGAGGCCAAGCTTCTTCGAGGACTTGGCATCCTTGTCGTCGAGCTCATCTGGTTCTGTAGAAACCTTCCTCTTCTTGCTGGCATCAGTTTTCTGGGATTTGGAGTCGGATCGAGCACTCTGCTTTGATGAAGTGGCTTCTTCTTGCTCATCATCCTCTTCTTCGTCCTCATTCTCCTCGTCATCTTCATCATCTTGGTCGTTCTCGTCGTCCTCGCCGTCTTCATCGTCCTCGTCGTCATTCGAGACAACTTCCCAATCTTCCCAGCCTGATGATTCAAGGCATCGGTAGTGAGAAACTGGCCCTCGACGCAGTGACTCCGCAAAGTGTGCTGTAGGTTAGCATACCTTCTCCAGGGTCGACATCTTCCTCGCCGCCGGCTTCGGACTCGACATCTTCCCAACCTTCGTCGTCGTCATCTTCATCTTCGGCAACCTCTTCTGCATCACTCTCGCCGCCGTCTTCGTCAATCTCCCACTCATCCCAGGCGCCGTCGTTATCGGATCCGTCGCCGGCGTTCTCCAAAAGATCAATTCCTTCAACGTCGGATGCCACACGGACTTCACCAAATTTGGGAGCCACAAAGTTCTTCATGCCCATTGTGGCGGCCTTGCCCTGATATGTGGTTCAGGAGTAAGCAGCCAGTAAGCAACACCGCAGCGTATGCTCTGGCTTTGGGATGGAGGGCCGTCGCCAGTGCCCTCGCCTGGCATATGGAGCACAGCCCAACAGAGCACAGTCGCTGGCACTTACCCGGTCTTTCTTCTTCAGCAGCTCAGGGTTGATCTCGCGGTACAGCCCAAGCAGAGAGCGAATGGCGATGCTGGGTCCCTTGTCTCGGTGCTTCTTGTAGTCGTCAACCAGCGACTGCAGCAGGGTCTCTGACATGGCCAATGGGCACCGCTGGCAAATCTCACGGAGACCGTTGAGGCTAGAGGCGCATCAGCAAATTGATCCTCTCGTACTGGAGCACGGCACACAAATCGGCTCGCCCCGCACCGCCCGTTATCAGAGCTGCTCTCCACTCGCCTATTTTCGGTCGACCGACTTACCCGGCTGTCACAACCTCGTTGGAGGAGTTGTTCCAAATAAAGTGGTTGGCGATGGCCTCGACCATGGGCGAGATGGCATCCGGCGGAACCATTTCATGAGAGCTCTGGGCAGCGTACGCCAGGATCTGTGTCACTTCGCGCTGGTGAGGCTGTAGATACGGAATCAGGTACTCGTAGAATCCAAGCAGGGTGAGCTTGTGGATTCCGATGAGTCGCGAGATCAAGTTCATAAACTGGAGGCGGAGTTCAAAGCGAAAGTAGGACTGCGACGTCGACGACTTGAGGCGAGAGAAGAGCTTCTCGGCAAAGCCTGATCAAGGACAGCAGCCACGACAGAGTCAGGTTGGATTCTGGGGAGATGCAATCAAGCTGCCTGATTGCCCGTCAGACCCGTCAGACCCGGACTCGGGTGTTGACTCTGCGGGACTCCAAGTACGACCGTAACAGCGAAGCATCTACCTTGGGGGTCGTTCAGCAAATGGAGAGCCGAGAAATTGAAGGACTCGTTTCTGCTTTTAGAGCGCTCTTTCTGCCGATGCCAGCGGCGGCGTTAATGTGACTGGATATCGCGGCCCGCTTCCACTAGCCATAGCACACTCACCTTCTTGATCGATGCCAGGGCTTTATCGACCTGGCCCTTGCGAGACTTCGTCTTCTTGTTGATTCGCTTCTGATGCAGCAGCTTGTCCATATCAACGTCCTGTAGGCCGTCATGTTCAAGGCGATGAGCAAAAGGAGCCAGCAATTCGCCCTATGCCGTCTCTGTGATGTATGCTACGCGCGATGCTCCAAAGCCTGCCGCGGCGAGTCCGACCAGGCCGCTTTGGCTGTGAATAATTCAGTGTGGCAACTCCACCGACCTCATTATCCGAATCCGGGGCCTCTTCTTTGTCCTTGCCCAGGAAAAAGTTGATTGCTGTGGCAGCAAGTTTGGACATGTTCGAGAGACAGGCTTCGGCGATGATGTTGACGGTCTTGGCATCATCCCTATCGAGGTGGATCGCAAGAGAGCGTTCCGGAAGGGAATGAGAAAGGCTTGCGCAAGCTCACGAAAGCAAGCCAGCTCGTACGTCTCTGATCGCGGTACACTCAGCCATGCCGACGAGCTCTGCGTACCACACATGCTTGATGTAAAGCTCGATCATGACATCGAGGGACTTTTTGGCAGCAACCTGCGGCAGAGGAGTTGGTGGTGAAGAGCATGCATGTGAGCAGATGTGCGTCGAACAACGAAACTTGACAAGTGGCGAAATATGCGTATTCTAATAGCCTCCACCACACCGGCTCTCAAATGCTCCTGATGTGCTCCTGATGTGCTCCTGATGTGCTCCTGATGCAGTTCAAGGTCGATGGGGAAGGAGTGAGTGTCGGATGCCTGCGACCAAGGATTTGGCGAACCTCGTTTGAGTCTTTGAGCATCGTGTACATAAAGTTCTGCAGAGTCTTGTTGAGCTTGTTGTTCTTGTGCTTTGCGTTGGCATTTTTGATATCGCTGACGATATGGTTGTGCAGTGTCTCTCGAAGCTGCTTGTCCTTGCAGCGGAACAGGGTAAAGAACAGCGACAGCAGGCTGGTTGATTTCGAAAGAAATGACAAGTGCTATCACTGTGAGTATGTCTATAGCGACAGGCGGAATTCAAGTATCGGGATAGCTCTGCATCATCGCGCACGTCTACTCGGAGCTTGACGACGAACATTCCTCCCTCAATCCGACGCCGAGTCTAGCACGCCCGACAGGACGCCAAGCAACAGATACCTGGTGGACGAGATCAGATCCTTGTTTCGCAAGAGCATGAGGGCCTGGACCATGGTTTTCCTGAGATCCGGGTGGATCTCTTGATAGTGGTTCGAAAGCAGATCCACGATTTTCTGCGGGAAGGTGGCACATTCCTTGGGATAGCACGACGACACCTAGATATCGATACTCACGGGATCAACACCTCGCGGTGGTCGCGGCTCGGCATAGTGCACGGACCCAGCCATCCAACAGAGATACTGCTTCGCATGAGAAACCAGCAGCCCAGGGTACGTACATGCGATAGGAAGGTTATGAGCTCCCCGAATTGCTTTGCCTGGGACGGGTGGGTCGGCGACAGAAGAATGCAGTATAAGCGCCGGCATCTTCAAAACAAATCCAAGTGTTCGCTGTGCCCGGACGACAATTGTCTCGGCAGCTGCATCAAGCCACTGCTGGTCGTGGCCACTCAGCCAACAACGGAGATCTGCAGGGCTAGCCAGCCAGCCCAGTCGCCCGGCACAAGACAAAGCCCACGATACCTCTTCGTCCGGTTTGAGGGCAAAGATGGCCAGGCCGGATTCAAAGTGCCGCCACTGCTGCAGAAACTCTTCCTTGTAGGATATGGGATCCCGCTTGACCAGGTTCTGCAGCTGCGGCAGGTTGGAGGCAATAAAGTCGGCGCGGTTCTTCTTAACCATGTCGGAACTCGGAGTCTCGTCGGTTGGATATGGGGCGTTCTCGGGTGCGAGTGAGACCGGCAGGAGTCGGTCGTGAGCTTGAGCGGCACCGAGTGGCGAAGACCAGAGCAGCCGAGCAGACAGAGCAGACAGAGCCAGGCGAGTCGATCGAGGGTTGTTGCTGGAACAGCCAAAAAAAAAAAGTGGATCGATCCGGCTGAGACGGCACAAACTCCGCCAACGCGCCGGCTCTCTGGAATCGCTTGCGAGGGCCCCAGGACAGAGGAGAGCTTCCGACAGGGCATCCTTGCGGCCCTCGGCGGTATCCTCGTTTCGCTGCTGCTCTTGTCCAAGGCTTAGGAGCGCTGTCGCCTTGTTTTTGGAGATCTCTCTCACAGACCATCTTGGCTTGATCACGCACTGGCTCGCGATCGAGTCAGCTCACAGATCAGTGCGATCATCTCCGACCTCTCCGACTCTCTCCATCGATGCTTGCCAAAACGCCCGACGTAGTGGTCCGGTCTCAAGGCATCATCAACATTCTGCCACATGCCGAGAGGATTTGGGATATATATGAACACCAAGGCGAGGCCGGCCGCGGAGTCTACGGCTCAGTGATCAAGGTCAAGCTCCGGGCCTCGACCGCCAAGGAGCCCGTTGTTTTTGCCATGAAGCGGACGTATCGCGACGAAGCGATCGCCGGAATCCCTCCAACGGCAATCAGAGAGATATCACTGCTGCAGGATCTCCGTCATCCAAATGTCATCAGGTAATGGTGGCATGGGCCCCCGTTTTGTTGCCGTGAGACGCTCCCATGCGCACCCAAGCACTATATCGCCATGCCGACTGCTTTCTGATCCATATCTGCGTTGCTACTCATCGTTGTTGTCTGAGCTGATTCAGGATCGAGAGAGTCTTTATTGCGCCAGAGTCGATTCTGGTTGTGATGGAGTATGCCGACACCGATCTGCAGAGATACATGGAAAAGATTGGCGGCCCGCTGGAGCCATGCGAGATCAAGACACTCACACGGCAGATGCTCGAGGGCATCAACTACTGCCACATGAACAGGACATATCACCGCGACTTGAAACCAGGTGAGTCGACAGCAGCCCGGGAGCGGGCCAATGGAGAGCAGCTTGGGCTTCTCTCTAATTGAGGTATTTGCTCTGATTCGATCGTGTCCCATCGGCGCAGCCAATATTCTCTTACAGCGCTGCGACGGAAAGCATGTCCTCAAGATTGCGGATTTTGGTCTCAGCCGACAGTTCAGCTACCCTCTGTCGCAAAAGCACACGCCATGTGTAGGTGATCAGCGACTTGCTTGGGTAGCTCACACATAAAACCGGGAACCAGGAAGGCATCCGTACCATCGAACCGGAAGCTGCATCTGGTGGGCAGTGGGCAGTGGGCGACGGACTGAACGAGCTCACCGATGAACAGCCAGCACGTTGTAACCCGCATGATGCAACCAGGTCGTTACCATGCTGTATCGGGCACCCGAGGTCTTTCTTGGTGCCGCTGAGCAACAAACCTATGCCCTGGACATGTGGTCTGTTGGCTGCATCTTTGCCGGTAGGTCTGTCCAGCACTCTACGGGATCAGCACGAGATCCCCATGGATGTGCGGTGTTGTGGACTGCAATGATGTGCCCCTCATCCCCAAGCGCTTTCTCCACAGAAATGTTCAAGGGGAAGCCGATCTTTGAAGGAGGTGCGCTCCGGGCCACGAAAGTGCAACTACTGGCTTGATTGAGCTGATGGCATGCGAGTCGAGCTGCATCTCGATGCGATCGCAATCGATGTAGATGCGATCGAGAGTGATCCGGTCTTGTTCGCAAGGATTTCTCACGCATTGTGTCTGCCGACTACGCTCCTCTCCGCAGAGACGAGCGAATTCGGCATCATCCTTAATATCTTTCTCCAAACAGTGGGCGCATCGCCCGACATACGAAACCTGGGCGAGAAAGGACAGCAGATCTGGACTGCTCTGGACAAGAAGCGAACCAAGCCGCATCCGCTTTCGGACCTGGAAGATGTGCCGCCAGGAGCCATAGACCTGATGATGGTAAGGATACTCTCTGTCATTGACCTGATGATGGCCGGGACGCTCTCTGCCATCGACAGAGCCGAGTACAGACACTGATCCTGGTATCACATTTGTGGTTTCCGACACCATCCGGACAGAAAATGCTGGCCCTCAATCCTCAGAAGCGCATTACTGCCCATGGTGCTTTGCAGCATCCTTTTCTTCTCTAGTCAAAGCCAGAGTCCAAAACTACAAGTGTGATTGCACTGGAGACCTGCCATCGGCACCAATCCGGTCTACTGACTCTGTTCTACTGCTTCGAAACAATGTGGATAATGGCGGCGATATCGGGACGAGTATGCTGATGTCGAGGGATCGTGTAGCCGCGAGGAAAGCGTGGCAGAGACGGAGGCCGTTCCTCCCGGCGCTACAGGATCTCGGGTGATGACGTCAATGCAGGCTCGGGTGCATTCTCCCAGATCAATACATCTATCGCATCCATTGATGACGGCCGGAAGAAGTGAAAGCTGAGGTTGTTGAAGACGTCGTTGTCGTGGAAGTTTGACGGTAGCGCCACCTCCGTTGTATGCGCTTGGATTGTTTTGATGAACGGTCCTTCCGCCGCGAGCTTTGAGTCGAGTGATCTACCAATGCGGGCGGGGGTCAGTGCGCACTACTGGAAGTCCAATGGCTAGCCAACGGCAAGAGTCGGGAGGAGAGGGGCGATCTGTAGACCGCCGCTATGCTCCGATCTGGGACACTCACGAGCAGCAGTACATGTCGAAGCTGTTTCCGATGATGGCGATGTTTGTGAGGCTGGATGCTCCCCAGTTGGCCCACAGAACGTTGTTGTAGAGAGCAGCGCCGCAGTGCGGCATATAAAAGAGTGTCGGTCGGCTGACGGTGCGCTTGCCCCTTTCGTTCGTGTCGATGACGGTCAGGTTGAAGTGATCGGCAATGGCCCGGTCCATCTCTGACATGATGGGGTCGAAGATGTAAAGATGGCGGAACTGAAGGCCGGCCAAGCCAAGCGAGGATGTCAGCGAAACCAACAAACGCACAGCAGATAATGAGGCAGGCGTCGGGGAAGACCTACTTCATTGGGAACAAGCACGATGCAAGTCCTTCGGGACACGCAACCGGCAGCAGCACTCACGCTATAAATCTCGTGCAGCAACAGACAGAGGGCGAATTGGAGCTGCGATATCCGCGATCCAGCGAGCGATCCGATGCCATAGCAGACAATGTCGAGGTCCCCGCTGCTGCTCCGAAAGGCTTTCATCTCGGTTGCCACCGAGTCTGGAAGGGCGGGTGAGTTGGTGGATGAATGCAAGGCGGTGGAGCGGGAAGGCAGCAGCAACCATGCTCCCTGTCGCTGCAGAGATGTGCCGCAGGACACATACCCATTGCCTGCTGGAAGAATGGGCTCCTTGCGAGCAGAGACCTATTGGCGACAGGGCACACGATGCGATCGCCATCGGTATCAGTGAGAGAGAGGGGCATCAGCAGCAGCGAAACGGCAGGAGAGAGGCCAAAACGGAGCAGCACCGGCGATCCGTACCGCTTCTCTTCGACGGCATCGAGAATGCCCTTCTTAACGCTTTCGGGGTCCTTTGGTTGGTTCTGTCGTGTCGAGACGTTTCTATACTGGATCGTGTTGCTGCTGCTGCCGGGACGGGCCCTGCCGCTGGGCTTTGATCCGGGCTTGCTGGACTTGCGTCCTTTTCGAACGAGCGCGAATCCGTCGTCTTCCATCGCTGCCAGATCAGATCAGGGAGGCCGTCCAAGCGGGTCTGGCAGGATCGTTCGTCCTCGTTTCTTCTGCACTCTGTGCAACACCGCGTATGATTCGTGAGACAACGAGTGGCCCATGATTTCGTGCTCACCTGATGGGCAGGACTCATGCAGACAAGCCGGGTGAGGGCCAGACTCGGCGAGCGGGAGTCTGAGTGTCCCAGAGACAAGGGCTCGTAGCGTATACGCCACGGCAATACCCGGCGTTGCTGCTGCTGCTGCTCTGAGGCATGTTGGAACAACAATCTATGTATTTGGGGGGCACCAGGGAAGGATGCAGAATCAAAGGGAATGGATGAGGAGGGGGGACTGGATCAAACTCGGCCGACCTGCTGGCCGGCCCAACAACAAAACGAATGACTCCTCCCAAAAAGAAACGTAGAATATGCCTTGTGCTTGCCGCACAGCAATGGTCATCGGCGCTTTGTCAAGCCGCTGCCGCTAATCACCATCCCAGCGGGTTTGCAGATGGTTCGCAAGCTACTCGACTCGTGCTCGACCAGGGCGCCATGTGTTCGCCCGAGAGTGTGCACCGGCACCTGTATCTCGAGACGCTCGTTCCGGTATCCAACGGCCACTGTGCTCATCCCTGGGCTGCCAAGGGTGACAGGCGCTTGGCTCCCATCGTCCGACGGAAATCTACCAGCTCTCAAAGATGCTGTCGTCGTGGTTGAGGTTGTCGCCGCACGGATAATCGGGATTGGCGCTGTCGGAAAAGTCCAGGTCGTCGATGCTGATCTCCTCCTTGGGGTCATCCTTGGCGGCGGCGACGTTGAAGGATGACTTGGAAGTGACTTGGAACGGTGGGCGAGCACCACCGCAGTCGACCACAGCCCAGTCCACGCCGATGAACCACGGATGGGACTTGAGGTCCTTGGCATCGCTCTTGGATCCCAAGCGCTTCAGGGGGTTGGCGGCGAGCAGCCCCTTCAGGATATCCCGGATCGGCCCCACAGGGACGTGTACCGGCCACTTGATCTGTCCCCCCAGGATCTTCTCGAAGCTCTCCTTGCTAGTCTCGCCCTGGAAGGGTGCGTATCCCGAGATCATTTCGAAGATCAGGATCCCGCACGCCCACCAATCGACTGCAGCTGTGTAGTCCTTCCGCAGGATCATTTCTGGCGCCATGTAGCTCGGTGTGCCGCAAAACGAGTTTGCAGAGGTGCCCATCTTTGCAAAGCCGAAGTCCGTGAGCTTGATGTGTCCTTGTTCGGTAACAAGGATGTTCTAAGGATGGGGCAGGTGGTTGGAAGGGAATTGGAGCGGGAGGAGGTGCAACAAATCAACAGTCAGAGTCGTCGATCCGGATGGTGCTGTAGTTGTCGTCGCTGCTGAGTCGACGGCCGCTCGCCGTGCAGCGAGCATATCGGCGCCCCTCCTACCTCGGGCTTCAGGTCTCGGTAGATTGTCTGATGTGCCGAATGGATGTACCCCAGCGCACAAATCACTTCGGCAGCATAAAACCGGGCCTTGGGCTCCTCGAATCGCTGCGTGATGAGGGAGAGACACATCAAGATTGGTTGCGAGCACTTGCACCTGAGACGGGAGACATTTGGTGGTGCACACAACGCTGAAGCAGGGTAGTTGAGCAAGAACGACACACGTGAAGACCACTACAGGCCTCATGCTGCAGCACACTTCAAAAAAGAAAAAATCGACTCTGGGACTCGAGAGGAACGATTGCGGGGTTAGGACACAGAAACATCGCCTACTGTTTGCTCGTGCAGATACTGGTACAAGTCACCGCCGGGGACAAATTCGAGAATCAAGTACAAGTGCTTGAGATCTTGAAAGGCGCCGTAACACTGGACTATCAGGGGGTGATGCAGCTTGGAAATGATCTTGCGTTCTTGCAGCACATGCCGCTCCTGGTTCCACTCCAGAACCTGTCGCTTGCACATGACCTTGACTGCCATAGGTACTGGTGTCTCCTCCAGTTTGCTGGTGGATGGCAGTGCGGTCGAGAGAGAGCTAGTAAGGGTCTGGTGCGATGGATTGGGTGAGGCCAAGGATGTGGGATGCTGCAGCACGGTCAGGACGTGATGTTGCATGTGTCGCGGCAGAGACGAGTGTGGAACTGGGTTGGATTCCACAAACAACGATGGAGGAGGAAGACCGTCCGTAGCAGAAGTAGTAGTGGTAGTAGTGGTAGTAGTAGTGGTAGCAGTAGTGGTAGGAGTGGTAGCAGTCGTAGTAGTAGCATCAGAGGCAGCAGAGGCGGGCTTCCTCTTGGAGCAGAGAAGCACTCTCGAGAAGGCACCCGATCCCAGGAGCTTCTGCAGATGCAGGTCGTGGATTGTCGGGGGCGGGCCGCTTGGTGGGAACGGCACATATGAGTTTGTGATTGCCAGAGCCCCGATGCTTGCCCGACGCATGCCCGAGGTTGGCAGTGATAGCGAGCGACTGCGAGTTTGCCGAGCGGGAATGGGCTGCGTCAGAAGGTCGGAGGAGTCTTGGGTTGAGGCGGACGAGTTGAAGCGCGGAAGGTCACCCACGAATGAGTTGACGGAGGTACTCGATCCCGTCTTGGTGAGGTTGGTCTCGAGAGCTGTGTCAAACCCATCGAGCTGGACTTCGCCGTCCACCATGATATTGGGGATCTCAATCGAGGGCGAGGTGCCCATCTCGAGCGTCGAGGGATCGAGTTCTGGCGGCTTGAACTGCGAGATGTGGGGCGAGGTGAGGCGGTTGCGGATGCGCATACTGGAGCCGAACGGGCTCTTGACGAGATGGACAAAGCTTTGGACGAAGCTCTTCTTTCGGACGTGGCGCAAGGTGCCGTCGGGAGTGGTGAGCAAGTGCGAGTGGCTTTCGCTCGATTTCATCGAGATGACCGGGTGGCTGCTCTCTGGGGGCAGGGTCGCTACCGACGGCATTCCTGCCTCGGCCGTGAGCCTGGCTCCTGAACTGGCATGCCGGGTGAGGACACCTCTCCCGCCGGGTCGATTGGCGGTCGAGCTCCGCGCCGAAGGCCTGATATCTGTGAGCGGCGCATTCGACTTTGTCGGTTCGTCGACGCGGATGCCGGTGAGGCTCGATGAGACGCTCGAGTGATTGCTGCCGTTGGCATCCTTCTTGGGCAAATGTATCTCGCTCTGGGCCGAGGCAGCGCCGGTTGTGGCGCTCCGGTGTCTGGGCTTGGCGACGCTCTCGTCGCTGCCAGAGAGCGATTTCTTTTTCTGGCCCAGAAACGACTTGCTCCTTATGACCTTTTGAAAAACTGACAGTTCTTTCATTTGCTATGCATTGCCGAGACGGACGCGACGGGCGGGGGCGTGGATCTGTCCGGCCAGGGGGCTGTGGCAGATTCTGGTGGAGGACGGGGCTCGCTCGACAGGTGGGCTGGAGGACTGTGGGCTGGGAGAGGGGCAGCCGGCAGTGGAGAGAGTGACAGGGGAGCTGTGGGGAAGGAAAGTGCGTGGATGCGAGCGTGGGAAAGTAGAGGATGGCAGCCTCGTTGGCGACAACCAAGGGGACGACCCAGGCGACTGCTCAGCACCAGGTTTGTGTCGACAAAGAGACGATGGGCGACCAACAAGTGCCACCGCATCATCAAGGCTGCTCGACTCCCCCCCCCGCCGAATCAGACGAGTGGTTGAGCATTGGCGGAGCCAAGGGCAGGGACGCAGGTCGAATTCTTGAACAAAGGCGCGGCCCGAGACAATGCAGCAGAACCAGCAGAAGCGACAACAGCGACAGAAACGACACAAGCGACGGAATTCGAGACTCGGCCCTCAATCAGCCGGAGATTGGCCCAACTGCCGCCCGGACAAAAACAGCGCAAGTGCACAACAGATCCATCTCGATCGAGCTCTGCCTCCAGGTCACTCGCAGCCATCGGGAGATCATCGGCGGCCTCGAGTGGGATAGCCAAAGCCTGTCAAGTGAATGCGGCTGCCTGTGTGCGCTCGACTTTCACATGCTCGAGCAAAGCCGCGAGCAACGGCACCGACAGTCGTTTGGCAGAGTCCATCGATGTGATCGAGCGACGGATGCATCTCATCGGGGCCAAAAGCGCTCGCCAGAACCATCTGTCCACTCGTTGCGAGATCATCCGGTTCGATGCCAAAAGAAAGAGAGTGGTCGTCGACTTTATTGCGACGGGCTTAGAGCTTTCCGGTCCAGAGGCGCTTGACAAAGGCAGTCAGGCCGACGTCGTTGGTGTTGAACTGGTAGCATCCATAGAGAGCCAGACCGGTGCCGATACGCAGACCCCAAGTGGCCAGGATGTTGAGGACCTTGGTGCGGCGAGCGGGGAGATAGTCGACGATGACCGAGTCCAGGCCAAGGTGGATGTGGAGGGGGATGACGACACCGAGGGCGAAATCGATGAGGGCGTTGGGGCCAACGACGGCGGCAGCACCGAGGAGGGGAACCGAGACGATCGAGAGGGCACGCTCAAAGTTCCAGTGGTAGGAGCCGCTGATGCGCGACTTGTGCTCGATCTCGGTGGCAGCGCCTGGTGGATATTAGGACAGTAGACGTCAGCGGACGGATCGACAGTGCTGGATCCAGCGACGGCGATGGCGATGGTGCATGGGCAGAGGATGAAGGCGGGTAAGGCCGCTCATATGCCGACCAACCACCGGGACGAAGCTATTCTACGAAACTCAGGGGCCAGAGAGGCTTACTGTTGGAGGCACTGGACTTTTCAAAGAGGTTCACGCGAGCTGGATGGAGTATAGAGGATCAGCAGTGGACTTTGGCATCGATATGGTCTGCTGCTAGCATCTTCACCCCCCCCCGGCGCATGTCCGGCCATGCTGCGTGAAGCGAGTCAGCGCCATCGCAGAACATGGCTGCTGCAGCCGGCCCAACGCTTACCAGAGTGGAAAGTGGCAGCGACATGGCGAGGGGCATAAAAGGCAGCGGGCGAGACGGCCGTGAAACGGGCCGAGGCTCTGGCGCACTGCAGTCCAACGCGGTTGATCATGGTGAAGACTGGGAGAAGATGATGTGCAAGTGGAGGAGGGGTAACAGGGAACCACGAGACAAGGCAAAGGTTGCTGCTTCGTGCTTCTGATGCTTCTGATGCTTCTGATGCTTTGGTGCTTCTGATGCGTCTGGCTCTGCTGCTGCTGCTTTTGTTGCTGCTGCTTCGGAGATATGCCCGCTGTGTTCTCGTCAAGGCCAAGGCGCCGTATCGAGCGAAAAAGAAGGACAAACCGAGTACGGCGCCCGGCAAGCGGCCGAGTGGCAAGGCCAATATGCCTGCGCAGCCGGTGAATGAATTTCATATGCCGTGCAGCCGCAGCGTGGCTGGCCGCGGGTCGCCGTTCCTTCTCGCCGAGAGCGGCCCGTGTCGCCGAGAAGGCCCGGTCGCTCTCGTCTCATGTCTGCAAACTCCCCAGATTTCGCGCAGGACCCGCAACGACCAGGGGCTCCCTTGCAACCGCCATGATCACCGACGTCGAGAACCAAGTGCCGGGCACCCCGCCGTCGCTCTACTACATCCGAGAATTTATCACCGTTGAGCAGGAGCAGGAGCTCCTGGCGCAGGTCTATGCGGCGCCCAAGCCCAAGTGGACAACGCTCAAGAACCGCCGGCTGCAGAACTGGGGAGCCACACCCTCCGGAAAGCAGCTGGTCGGACTGCCCGAGGACCTGCCTGGCTGGCTGACCCGGCTTGCAGGGCAGCTGGGTCAAGTCGGGTCCTTCACGGAGGATATGCGTCCGCCAAACCACTGTCTTGTGAACGAGTATGTATTGGTTGGTTGCGTGTGCGATCGATTCGGCTTTCCATGGGGTCGAGACCACAACAGCATGAGGGGGGCAATGCCAGAACCCGGCGACGACATGAGCGGGCAACGAAAGAAGCAGGTAGCAGTGGAGGTGGGCGATAGCAGGAGGATCCGCTTATCGATCGCCCTGGGAAACGTACCGCCGGTTTGCTGAGCCGTCACTGCTGCCTTCCTGGGCCTGTCCCCAGATATTTGCCTGGCCAAGGAATCATGCCACACGAGGACGGTCCCGCATACTACCCGACGGTTGCAACGGTCTCGCTCGGCAGCCACTGTGTCCTCAACTTTTATCGCCGGCGCTGCGATGGCAGTCCAGAGGCGTCCTCGATGCTGGACGATCCCATCGGCAGCGAGCAACGAACGCCCGAGTTTTCGGTCTGGGTCGAGCCCAGGAGTCTCCTGGTCCTGAAGGACCAGGTCTACACGGCGTACTTGCATGGAATCGACCCGATCGAGACTGATCGGCGGGCTGGCTGCATCAACCTGCCGCCGGGCCCAGAAGCGAACGATGAGGCCGAGTGCAGACGGGAGACACGAGTTAGTCTGACATTCCGCCTGACACAGCGAGTGATGAAAAGCAAGCTGTTTGCGCTGGGCAAGCGGCTGTGAGAGCGCAGATGTGTGAATATGTCTGACGTGGGAATCCGGGGATGTCGGGAGGGAGGCATGGGGTGGCCTCCGGGAATGCAGCGATGCGACAAGCGATTCTGGGCAAGCAACGGAAATACAGGCTCGCCGTCGTGCTCATGCCGCAATGCTTCTCTCCTGGGGAGCTTATGACCAGAGGGCGGGGAGCTCGAAGCTGAGCGAGGCCGGGCCGCTCGTTCGGTCGCGCGGCCACAGACGGTGCTGACGAAAGCACGGCCCTGTCCTTTCGCCAACAATCGCTGCTCTTGGGATTTCCAATCCATCCCGCTTGAGCCCCATCAGACCAGCCCATACGACATTAGCGGTTCTTAGCAACGATGACCGTAATCTCTGACGGAACCAGCGTCTCCATCCGCGACGACGCACGTCCTGCTGCAGATCAGGAACTGGACCAGAATCGGGAGAATCCTGTCGCTGCGACGCCGATCGAGGGGCATGTCCATTCAGCTCAGTGCTCCCACCAGCACCACCACCACGATTCCGATGGCCATCACCACCACCACCACCCGAATGGAGACCATTCTCATCCCGCGGCTGCTGACGGATCAGCCACGCCACCCTCGTCCTTTCGGGTGCCCACTCGAGCGATCTTGACCAAAGAGGATCTGGAGCGATTCCAGGCGTCGGAGACCCACAGGGAGTTTGTCGACTTTATCCTGCGCCTCAACGAAGCATCCAAGGGCCGGACGCTGAGGCAGGAGTACCATCAATCGCAGGTACGGCATCGGCTTGTGGGCAAACAGCGGCAGCAACGACAATCGACCCGTCCAGCGGTTTGGCGGTTGGCGGTTGGCGGTCGAGCCGTTGGTGGACGACAGCCAAGACAACCCCGAGTGATGCGAACCAGCAGGGTCGAGGGCTGCTCCCTCATGCCGGGAAGAAATGCATGTGCGGCGATCTGTCTGAACGGCATCGATGGCGATGGTGCTACTGCAAAGAATCCCTTCTCTGGTCACTAATCGGCCCGCTCAAACGCATCCCCGCGGCGATCCCTGCCATTGGGATCGCCATTCTCGTCCGGATCACTGGCAATCGCACTCAAAGGTAGTTAGCGATATCATCCATGTCCTGGACACCTTCGAGCAGTACTGCAGCCAGATTCCCGCCCAAGGGAATCTCAAGTCCCGCTTCGGCAACCCTGCATTCAAAGACTGGTATGATCTTGTATCGAAGGTAGGAAGAGTGGCTCCGGAAAAGTGCAAGGTGGAAGCCAGATGCGGCCAACCCCTTTCTGGGCTCGACTTGGCACCACCGTCGCTCACACTCGCACTGGGCCATCCAGAGAACTCACGATTGCGTCTTCATTTTGCTTCTGGGGGCCCGCCGGCCCATGGCTTGCAGAATATTCAGGAGCTGACGGGCAAGTTTATTCCTGCGGAAGCCAATGCGGAGGTTTCATCGTACCTGCTTCTGAGCTTTGGCAATCGCAAGCGCATCGACTATGGCACCGGACACGAAGCCAACTTCATTTGCTTCCTGTGAGTGTGCCGTGAATGTCGCTTGGCTTGGAGTGAAATGGTGGGCAGCTGGCGATGGAGGTGGACCGAAGCGGCGGTGTCGGTGGTGTCGGGATGGGGATGCAGAGATGCGCTCAAAAACGATTGTGTGTCGCGAGATCAAAGCAGGCTTGCAAGGACGCTTACTGATCTGGTCTGCACTGGGCTGGGGACGGCTGCAGCTTCTGCCTCGAGAAGATCGGCCTGATCACGTCAGATGATTACCCGGCAGTCGTGTTCCGGGCTTTCTGGAGGTGAGATCCCTGGTGGACGGTGCATGAGTCATGGCGCTGCAGAGCTGCTGGTGGCGTGGTGTGATCCTGGAGGAGGGGGCTGTTCAGGGGGCTCGCGTCGCCATCATGGGGCTGGAGCGTCGTCAGAGTGGCTCATCTGTCCATCCGCCCGTCGCCCTAGCCGAGCAGCAGCGGCCATGGCTGTGGTAACGGGGGAGGCCACAACGCCGGGACGGCCCACCGCCAGCAGCAAGATCGGGCTGGAGCGGACAGCACCACCGGTGGCGATACTGACTCTGCGATACTCCGCGCCAGGTACATTCTCCTGATGCGAAGCCTCCAGCAGGCCTACTGGCTCGAGCCCGCCGGCTCGCACGGTGTGTGGGGCCTGGACGACTATCACTTTTTGCCCTTCCTGTTTGGCTCGGCTCAACTGACAGGTACGGCGCAGATAGACTTGGGAATCCACAACGGGCGGTCACCGAGGGCGAACTCTGAGGACGGCGTGGGAATGGCCGTCGGTGGTGGTGGCGGATGCTGAGCAGAGGCTGCACCGACAATATCGCCACGAGGGCGTGATTAATGCATGGCGGTACGGTGGCATTGGCTGGTCCGGAAGCATCGATTCAGCGACACACGCCTGCCGCGCAGTTTTGCGATGGTCCTGCGCTCTTGCCAAAGCCTAACAGCACCCATGCCGCCGCGCAGACCACAGACACATCCGACCAAAGTCCATCCACGACCCGGATATTCTCGAGCAGTTTTCCAAGGACTACATGTACCTGGCGTGCATCGACTTTATCAACTCGGTCAAGACAGAGTCGCTGCGCTGGAACTCACCGATGCTCGACGACATCTCTGGCGTCAAGAAGTGGAGCAAAGTCAACGAAGGCATGATCAAGATGTACCGCGCCGAGGTGCTGAACAAACTGCCGATCATGCAGCACTTTCGCTTCGGCAGCCTCATCCAGTTTGAGGCCTCGGGCCCGATCCCGCACGACGACGAGATCGGCAACGACCACGTTCACGCCTTTGGCATGGAGCACCCGACTTGCTGCGGTCTGCGAGTCCCCAGCGCGTTCGGGGCGGCCCTGGAGAAGAAGACGGCCGGTGCGCTTCGGAAGCCGATCCCTTTCGACTAGGTCTTGGGAAAGAACGAGGCAGCGGAGCGCGGCGGATGGAGAGGGGTGGATGTGGAGGCAAAGGCAGGGGTGGAGGTGGAGGTGGAGGCGGCGGGCGGGGGGCGAAGAAAGGACCTGAACCCGATTGGATCGAGTCTGCGCCGAGACCTGGACTTGCTCCGGGGGCTGGTCGCCGGTTCCCACGGTGTTGACTGATGTTTGCACAAGATGAAAACTGACGAGCGCGATGTGACCCATCGTGGAAAGCACACTCTGTTTGGGTTTGCGCACGCAGAGGGCCGGTGTTGGGGCGGAGGTCTGGGGTGGGGAGTCGACGCCGCCTTGGACAGATGTCGTCTGCAACCAGACTCCTTTGCCGGGTGATCAGGGTGGGTGCCGGGCAGTTGACCCAATGGGATGGAACGGGTGGGCCGGCCGGGAAGCCAAGGCGAGCGAGCGAGTCAAGTGCGATCTGGCCGGTGGAGATGCTCGTGCACGAACAAAGCCCGAGCAGAGTGGTCGGGGGATCAGGCTCACGGGCAAAGAGTCAGATCGACGCCGGCAGGAGGTACTCCTTGTGCGTGGGAAGTCAGGCAAGGCAAAGGCAAAGGTAAAGGTAAAGACGTTTCAAAGCCCAAGGGGCGGAGAGGGATGCGGCTGGATCGGCCTGCATCACGAATCGGCGAGAGCTGGCAAGCACCTTGGCCGGGCATGGCGTGGACTGACATGGATGCGGTCGTGCTTCTCCCATGCAGGATGCGATTGGCTTCCCGTGGCAGCGATGCATGGCACGTCGCCGAGCGGGGTGGTTGACCCGGCGTCCCATCTGCGGAGGATCCAGCGAGTCCCGCACTTGACCCACCCGCACTTGACACCGCGGCCGCATGTGTCGCCTCCTTCTCCCGCCTGCTTTCCCCAACCCCACCGGATTTTTTTTCTCACTCTCCCTCTCTCTCTCCCTCTCCCTCTCGCTCTTGGATCTGCGGGATGCGGTGTCGATGCAGCGGCCTCGCAGCCACCGAAACGGCGCCGGTTGGGACGGATGCTGATTGGCAGCGCCGCCTCCGCCAAGCGCCTCGCTCAGCGCACAGCAACACAACCGTGGCGGTGCCGCGGGCCAAAAGAGGCAGGACTTTTTTTCTTTGCGAGACGCGCCGCGAGCACGGCTCCGATTGGTGCGCCGCTGCCCGTTGGCGGCCGCTGCGCACGCTGCTGCTGTCCCGCCGCCGCCACAGTGTCTGTGCACCAGCGCCTCTGTTTGCGGCGGCTGCGTCGGCTCGTCCGACTGTGGGCTGCCGTCCCACGCGCTGTTCCCTGTGCTGTCCCGGCTCAGCATGCCGTGGCCAACCCCCCGTGCATGTTCAGACCCCACGCGACTTCTGCCCCCCCCTTCGGAAGAGCGAAAAAAAAAAAGATTCCTGTAATGGGCAGCTTGTACACACGCGGCCGACCCGCGAGCCCGGCCCCCTCGGAATCCTGGCGGTGGGTCATGGAACCTCACGTCCGCAACCCCCACGCAGCCCACCACGTCACCCACGCCGCGCTGTGCCTGCAGGCGCAAAAAAATCGCGGCTGGCATTCAAATACCGGGCCCTGTGCACCGGCCCTCCGCACTCGTCCGCTCACTGCACCCCACCTGCACGCTTTACTTGCCCACCTGCTCCAGCCCAACCTGGCTCCTCTTCCGATTCGCACCCTTCCGATCGATCCAATCACAGCCATGGCGATCATCCAAGTCAATGAGTCGTCTGACAAACGTGCTGCTGTGCCCTTCCAGCCATCCACCCGCCAACAGCAACAACCCAACACTCCCGCCGCACAGAGACTGCAGACCCAGACCTCGGGCCAGAAGCCCTCGGTGGTCCTGGTCGATGCTCCTTCGCGATGGTCGATGCGCAAGCTCTCGGACATGTGGTCGTCGCTCAATCTGGGTCCATCCAAGGACTCTCGCACAGAGAACGGCATCTCGCGCATCTACAGCAACGCTGCCTTCAGCATCTCTGACAGCAGCCTCAAGTCGTGGACTCCTCGGTGCCTGTAAGTATCTGTCCTGGTCTGGGAAAGCCTGGCAATGCGGCAAGCCGTCCGGATCCGTGGCTTGGCCTCCAATGCCACCCACACCCACACCCACACCCACACCCACACCCACACCCACTTACATATACTCTGTCTCTGTATGTCTGCAGGAATGCCAACGACTTTAGCCTCTACGAGCTGCTTGGCACCGGCACCTTCTCAAACGTCTACCGCGGCGTCAACAACTCTACCCAGGAGGAAGTTGCCGTCAAGGTCATCAAGCCCGAGAAGGTCTGTCTCAAACTCAAGAAGGAAATGTACATCCTCGAGTACCTCGGCGGCGGTCCCAACATTGTCGGCTTCCACGGCTCGTACTCGACCACGGCCAGCTCCGCTATCCCCGACACCATGGTCATGGAGCTTGCCAACAGCTGCCGATGGTGCGAGCTCGACGAGTCGATGGATCTGATGCGCATGCAGCGCTACCTGTTTGATCTGCTGCGTGCCCTCGACTACAGCCACTCACGTGGCGTGATGCACCGCGACATCAAGCCCCAGAACATCCTGTACGATATCGCCTCAGGCAAGCTGATGCTGGCGGACTGGGGACAGGCCGAGTTCTACGAGCCCAACAAGAAGTACTCGACCCGCGGCGTCTCGTCGCTGTACTTCAAGGCCCCCGAGCTGTTCCTGGACTACGAGACCTACGACTCGTCGATCGACATGTGGGCCGTCGGCTGCATCCTCGCCTCGTTCATGTTCCGAGTGCCCTTTGTCTTCAAGGGCGCCGCCAAGGACTACCCCTCGCAGTTCCAGGCGATCGTCAAGATCATGGGCGGCAGCGACCTCCAGGAGTACTGCAAGCGTTACTCGATTCCTCTCTACAAGGCCCAGTCGCTTCTGCCTGGCTCGCTGTCCGCGTACACCAAGATGGACTGGGAGTCGCTCGTGAACGACTCGAACTGCTCGCGCGTCACCGACGAGGGCCTGGACTTGCTGGAGTCGCTGCTGCGCTACGACCACCAGGAGCGTCTCACGGCCAAGGAGGCCATGGCTCACCCGTTCTTCAAGGAGATGTTGAGAGCGATGTAAGCTCTTGTCATTCCAGACGGAGCCAACGCCCGGCGCCCCGCGGCCTGGACGGCCATTTTTGCTTTCTTCCCTCTCTCTTTCGGTCACGGTCGCAAAGACCTTCTGATCGCACCCTCCTGGACCCGCACTTTACCACTCGACCCATCTCCCAGTTTTGGACACTGGCCCGATCCGGACAGGATCACGAGCATGTCTCGGCCAGCTCACTGTTGTTTACTCGCACGGACTATAGACTGCATTTCTGTTTCAGCTCTCATCTTTGATCTCCATTCCTCATCGTTCATCCATCCATCCATCCATCCATCCATCCATGCCATTGTCGCCATGTAATATCGGTTCTCGCACATCATCAAAAATAACATTGGCATGCCGTGCGCTTGCACACGTGCGATACCCTCGTACAACTGCCTTCGTCCCGTGTGACTCCTGTCTGGCTGCTGGCTGGCGGCGCGCTGCCGCTGCCGAGGGGCCGACCACAACCGCACCGGCCCATGCGCGAGCGCGAAGAGATCGCATATGGGCTGTCTGCCCAGTCCACCGAACATGTCCGTCGTCCGGCTGGCTGGCTCGCTGGCTGGCTGGTGTCCATGCTGCGCGTCCCTCTCTTGCGCATCCCCCGCACGTGTCTGTCCGCGTCTGTCCGTGTCTGGCCGCTGGGACAATCCTCCCTCGCCGCCTCTCGCTGGTGGCCTCGCTCGCTCTCGCTGGCTGCGCACTCCGTCCGCGCGTCAGTCGCGGCTCCACCGTGTTCTGTCCGTGGCGCCCGGCTGCTGGGCCACCGCGCACTCTCTGTGGCCGCGCAGCTGTGATCGCCGCGTGTGGCTTGCGACGCCACGGTCACACAGCGGCTCGAATGCGCGGCTGCATTCCAGTCTGGATCCAGCCGCCCTGTCTCCCCGCGGGCTGTCACTGTCGCCACTGACTCAGAGCGGCTGTCACCCTTGGCCGTTCCCCGTCCGTGCGACCCGCCCATAAAAGCCGCCGTCCGTCGCGATCTTTTTTCTGCCTCACCCCCGGTCTGCAGGATTCGCTCCTCCCACGCCCTCTCGCCTTCTTTGGCCCCTGTCTCCTGCTCCCAGCGATTGCTGCCTCCGTTTCTGTCTCGGATCTCTCGAGCATCCTTTGTCTCCGTCTGTCTTGTTGCTTCCCCCCTCCCATCCCTCCCATCCCTCCCATCCCTCCCTCCCCTCTTCCCCCCTTTGCCGTGTTGCTACAGCCGTGAGGTCTCCCAACTCCCCCCCCCGACCACACCGACTCTGCACTCCTCCCTCCCCTCGTTCGCTTTGACTACCGTCTCTCGTCTCCCCTTCTCCCCATTCTTCATGTTTGCATCGCTGTCCCATGCCTCTCTTCAACAATTCACTTGCTTCGCGTTCAGCGCCGCGTCCCCTTTCCCATGGAGATCCCCCCCTCCAGCATCCTAATCCAGCCATGCATCCGGAGTTTGTCCCGGAATCGCCCCTGCAATTCGTTGGCCTGGTTCAATCTCGTCTTCTTGCCTCCCCGGAAACCCCTGTCTCGCCCTGCAACAGCTCCGCTCCCGCCCCGGCTGCCATGAGCCTTGCCAGTCTTGATCCTGCCCACCGTCGCGGTGGCTGGGCCATGCTGAATCCCTTCCACGCCTTGTCGCCGCGACAGGTCGCGCGGAAGCCTCTCCAAGATCTCCAGGCCGATGGCCAGCCTGCAAGGAACTCGTACACCCTGCTGGCAAAGCTCTTTGGTCATTCGGTTGGCTCCAAGAGAGCGCAAGGCTCCAGTATCCCGGTCGTCGCAACTCCCCAAAGTCCCTCAAGCTCGCCAGATGCCCCCAGCCCCCCGGAACCCCGTCCTTTGCCCCCATCCCCGCCTTCCTCTCCCCCGCGCTCTCCCCGTTCCAAGACTGCTCGTCCAACCTCGCTGCTTTCGCTGTCGAGTCTGATGAGCATCTCGTCCAGCTCCTCCAGCGGCTCTTGTGCCGACGACTGCGCCGAGTCCGAGTCGCCCGCAATGCCGCCCGAGTGCAAGGCTCTTGATCATGCCCTGGAGCTGATGCGCCAGGACAATCACCGGTCCGCCGCCGAGGCTTTCTTGGACGTTGCCTTCTCGAACACGCCTCGCTCGCCGCCGCCGCCTCCGCCCTCGGACGATGCCGACGACGACCCGGACGACATTTCCTCGGCCCCCTCATTCCTTGTTCGAATGCCGACAGAGTCGACGGTCATGGCAAGGCGCCTACGCCACCTGGCTTGCTACTGCTACGGGGTCTGCTTGCTCTACGGATACGGCATCGAGCAAGACTACATTGCCGCTGTCAAGTGGCTGACCAAGGCCGCCGTCAACAACGAGGTTCTTGCCATCCATGAGCTTGGGCTGTGCTTCCAAAAGGGCTGGGCCATCCAGTGCTTTGGCTCCATTGTCGATCGCCAACGCGAGAAGGCCAAGCTCAAGCAAATTGCCGTTGCATGGTTCAAGAAGGGTGCCGAGCTTGGCTATCCTGGTGAGTATCCTTGATGATGGGTGCTATTGTCCATCTGGTGGGCCCTTGGGCCTTGCTGCAGCTTTGCCGTGCTGGTCATGGTGTCCGTCCGTCTGCGGCATTGCTTCCTCCGCCCGCTCTCTCGTTGGCCGCTTCACCCCTCCCGCCACCACCGCCGTCATTGGACAGGCTCCCGTTTCCTCGTTTCCGTCTTTCCCACCCATTTCAGCCTTTCAATGCGTCTGCCGCATTGGTTTCCCCATAGTCCTGATCTCTCTGCGGCTGGTGTCTGTCCGCCACCACTCCCAACCCACCCTTATAATCGAGTTACATCATCCGATGCTGTGTTTGTCGCTCAGCTTGACTTGCAGTTCCTTGACCGCTTGCCTTGGCTGTCCGTCGGTCCGCTTGACTAATTGACTCGTTTCTTCCGCTCCTCGTCCGTGCGCAATCGGGGCCAACCCATTGGCCGCCCCACAGCTTCCCAGTTCAAGCTCGCAATGTGCTACCTCCAAGGCGACGGCATCAAGTACGACAAGTACGAGGCCGCTCGCTGGTTCCGCATGGCCGGCGACCGCGGCTATCCGCTTGGCGAACACTCGTGGGCTTACCACAAGCACTACGTCGACCCAAGCACCTTGATGTTCTCCAACGTGCTGAACCAAGGCTCGGACCAGTTCACGCCCTTCCCTGCCTTCCAGAACCACTACAGCGGCCAGTGGCTCAACTCGCTTCGCATGGGTCTGCTGACGTGCGTCCAGGGATACCGTTCCGGCATCGAGAACGTCTCCCTGATGCTCAGGGCCTGGACCTTTGTCGCGATGGCTGCCCAAGAGCACCAAAGGCGATGCGCTGATGCGAACGACAGAGGCGTTGATGGCCGCTGCCACAGCACCGCCGCCTCCCCAGGCCGCCGTCACTTGGTGGTTCCCGCCATCGATTGGTCCATCGACTAACACTGGTCCGGGTCTTGGGACATCCTGGTGTGTGTCCGGATGTCCCCGTCCGTCCTGTGTCGATTGTATTGTAGGAAATTATGAGCTGTATTGGGTTCTTTTAGTTGCTATCGGACTATGTACATCACTGTTATTTGCTTCATGTCTGTACTCTTGCACTTTGATTCTCCGTTTCCGCCTCTGCTCGCCCGGCTGTCGTCCGAACCACTGTCACTCGGAACCGCGCGATGTTTTAGACCAAGTTATTTTGCGAGTTCGGTATCGCCCTTTGCTTTCGATTCCGTCACTGCCACTAGTAGTTGCTCATGTCTCTCAGACTTGGCAATGTCCTCGGCAAATGAATATACATTCCTGTTATTGTTTGTTTTCAAAGGCAGTGTGGGCTCGGGATTCAGAGATGCAACTCAAAATGACCGTTGTATTGATGGTGGACTATCGCGTGCCAGACGGGGGTGCTCGTTCTGTCGATGACGACTCGCCACTCTCTTATTTCCGGTGCTATGGCGGGGCGGGATGCGGACATCGACCTCGAGACCATTCTAGTTCTGGGTCTTGCCCAGACGAGCCATCTCGATGGCGGCCTGTCCCCAGTCGATACCATGGTTGTGGCCCTTGGAGCTGCCACGACCAATGCCGGCACGCTCGTGAGCCTGCTCGTCATTGAGACATGTCAGGACCCCAAATATGACGGGGCAGCCCGTCTGCAGCCCGACGTTCATGATGCCTTGGCTCGTGGCCTCACAGATGTACTCAAAGTGCATCGTCGAGCCCTTGATGAGGACGCCGATGCACACGGCTGCATCGTAGGGCCGAGCGCTTTGCTTCGAGGCTTCGATCAGACGCTTGGCCGCAAAGGGGAGCTCAAAGGCGCCCGGGACGTCGACCACATCGATATCGCTGACGTGGTTTTGCTCCAGGGTTGAGCGGGTGCCCTCCACGAGGGCCTGGACAATCTCGAGGTTCCATCGAGTGTGGACTTGATGATGGGGATGGGGATGGGAATGGGGAGGCGGAGGGCGGGATAGAGGAGCGACAGCAGACGAATGAAGAGAATGGATGTTCGATCAGAGCGTTGCATTTGAAATAGGACGTTGCACCAGAGGAGACGTATTCGTTCAATTCGATCAGCACTTGGATGTGGAGCTATCGAGGTTGGAGCTTGAGCAGCCATGGCCAAGTTGCGCTCCCCGTTCCCAGCCAATCCACCGAGCCATTTGCCGTCTTACCGATCAGAACGCGGAGACCCTTGCCGTTGAGACGGTCGCCCGAGAGAGGAACAACGCCCTTTTCAAACATGGTGGTGTTGGTGCGGGGGCAAGGCTAGAAGGAAGGGGGAGGGATTGATGGATCGTTGAGTCGTTGGATCGATGAGTCGTTGGATCGATGAGTCGTTGGATGTGTTGAGTCGTTGGATCGATGATGGACAGCGAAATGCAAGATCGGCAAGCGACAGGTGGCTGCGCGCGGCTGACTCGGTCTCGGCGAGAACGGGCGAGAGCGCGGAAACACCTCAAATCTTCTCCGGCGATGGTCATGGCCGTGCATGTCTCTCACGGCTTTGTGTGTCTCAGCATGGGTTGCTATGAGATAATGTGCAGAGTGTCGCTGCAAAGGTCTCTGCCATCAATCTCCACTCATCACTCACGCCGTGCGTACATCCCTCCCTCCCAAAGTACCCTCTACCACTTCGGCTTCCTCCCCAAGCCCGAGAATCCATCGAGCTCGCTCAAGGACGAGGAGTATCCCGAAGTCAGCATCTTTGTCCACACCGGCCGCAACTGATCAGCAGGACGAGATCGCTGGATATCCATCCTGTCGCTCCGATCGCAAGCCTTCGAGTGCATGTCCTCGAGCCCAATCGATGCCTGTGTCGGATCTCGAGATCAAACCTTGATCAAGCCGTTCTCGCATGCTGGTGAAAGCGTCTCGATTCTGCTCCATTTTCTGCCCATTGTGCTGTTCTTTCTCCTTGCGTTCTCGGTCTCCGTCTTTCTATGAATTGCAGTTCGTCTCGGCGTCTCTTATCCAGTGTCGCCGCTCAATTCCATACATCCGGTTGAGTCTGTGATAGCCGCCAGCTGCCCTGCTCACATTCCCGTCCGCTGCTTGACGACAGACCGTTCGCCTCGAGCGTCCAGAGTGCGGCCAAACTGCCCATATTCCACTGCAGTGGGTGTCTTCCACCATCCACGGCGGGTGCTTTGCTCGTGGGACGAGAGAGCAAAATCCAAGACAGGAGGTGTCTGTGTCGTGATGGCATTGGGCCGATCAGCGACGAGCTGTGGCCGAAGCCTGCTAGGATATCGCTGCGGGACGAGCGGCGATTCCAACCCAGCGATTCGGCGGCGCCGGTGTGCTCCGAGAGCATCGCCCTGGCCAGTTCTTTGATCTTCCATGTGTTTGGACCGAGCTGGCCGACGTCGGTGAGCAGCCGGCTCGGTTTTTGACAATGGGCAGAGCGGGCTGCAAGCACGGCAGCGAGCAGGGCAGCGCTTTTGAACCGTTCCAGCCAGGCCCAAGCCACACCCCGATCACAGAGTCGATTGTTGTTGGCTCGTTTGGAACTCGCGCATGAATGCCATTGTGGACATGAATGCTCTTGGGAGACACAGCCTGCGGCTTGGTAGGCGACTTCATATCACCCAGCCAAGTCGGGCTCCGGCAGATTCCTCTGTTTCGACAAGCCTTGCCAGGGACTGGAATCCAGCAGCGCTTTCGTCGATCGTTGGTCGCTTCACACGAAGCTCTGCATACCGATCCGCATACCGATCCGCAAAGTGTACTGCTCCAGCCCGCCATTGTCGATGCCGTATCGGATATGTTGGCCGGGCCAATCAACGCTTTGTATGTCGTCAATTCTCGGGAAAACTTTCTGCCCGCAGCCGCACAAATGTCCCAGCAATCAATCACTCGGAAGCACAATGCTGCAGCTATCCCCCATCGCGGCCCCAGGCCGCCCCTCTTGTCTTGACGCTTGCCTTTGAATCTCGAATTGGGTTTCTGTTGTTTCGGTTTCGTCCGACGACTACTGCCTCGTCCTCGAGCACTCGCTGTGCCTCCGTCCCATCACTTCATCGCTTGCGTCCGCACAACCTACATCGTCGGCGCACTGTCGTCTCCAGCGTTCACCTTTCCATTCGTTATCTCTCGGTCTCCCTCCGCCGGCTGCTCTAGCAAATTGCCAATCCTCACCGCATCATTACCGCAATGCCGCTCACACCCGGTCACAAAGGCAGCGCCAACTTGGTGTCAGGCTCCTCGCCCAACATCATGGCAACCCAAGAGCAGAAATCCAGGAAATCCGAGCATTCCAAGCTCGCCCCTCCGCTGCCCTCCAAGATCTCGGCAACAAAGTCGCTCAGCCACTCCAACTTTCTCGATCCACAGAGCCCGCTGCAGCCTGGAGGTAGTTCGCCCAGCAACAGCCGGCTCGGCACCGACAGGAGCAGCCCGAATCTCAGCAAAAAGTCACCAGCCGTCTCGCAGGCTTTTCTATCCCGTCGACTCAAGGCCGATCAAGTCACTTCATGCGAAGACATTATTATCGTCACCCGGTTCCACACCTGCACCAACACGCGCCTCTACCTGGCGGGATTGGTATCTGAAGTCGGAATGGATATGGGCGAGACCAAAACGCCGGCGCTCCTGACGGTCAAGGTCATGCGCAAGCGGGATGCCAAGCACCGCCAGCTCGAGAAGGCCTTTGCGACCGAGCGGGACATTCTCCGCGAGCTGAACCATCCGTTTGTCATTCAGTTTGTCGGCAGCTTCCAGGACCCAAAGAATCTGTACATCGTCATGGAATACGCGGGACTTTCGCTGCGCCAGTTCATGCGGCAGGCTCGGGTGAGTGGCTGTTGGATGTGCACAAGCCAATCTGCGAGCTACTCCTGACCAGAGCGACATCGAGCACAAGGGCGGTCTGGGAAGGCATCTTTCTATCGTGGCAGCGCCCGAAAGCTGCCACCACACCTTGATGTGCCGATCCATTGACCCTTGAGACAACGTTGCACTTGGGTACATCGCTATTCCATATGACAATACAAGAAAATCCTCGAAGATCAAGCGCGGTTCTACATTGCAGAAATCATCATGGCCCTCGAATACGTCCATTCCAAGGTTTGCAATCGCCCTCATCTCGCTTGGCTGATCGCACCGATATCTGTGCTTTCCAGCACATTGGGAGAAGTCAAGGCAGCGGATCGTACTTTGGACCACCAACTCCCTTTGTCTCCGCTATCTTGCCACCCCCCCCCATATCCTCAACACCGAACCCTCAAACTTTGACCACCATGCAATTCAACACGTCATCGCACGACCGGCTCAATCTCGACCTCGACCTCGACCTTGACTTCATGGCATGGCTCCAGGGCATTGTGTACTGCGATCTTCGGCCCGAAACAGTCCTGATTACAGCGACAGGTCACATCACGCTGTGCTCGTTCAGTAAAGCCCGGCGAATGTCCAGCAACTCAATAGTCCAGTGGAGCAATTCCAACTTGCCAGAGAGCTCAGGATGTAAGTTTGTCGCTGCTACGGTCGCGGCTGGAGTCGCAGTTGGCTGAGAAGCTCGCTTGATTCGGTTTGATTTTGGGGCTGTGTTCTAAGTGCTCCTGCGGTGTCTCCGACGGCGTGAGATCGCATGGGATGCGATGCGATGCGATGCGGAAGCTCTCTCATGCCATCCCATCCACGTTTGTTCTCTCGTTTTGATTTGACTTGACCCAGATGTGCCGCCAGAGCTGATCAGCCATGGAGTCTTCAATCAGACCTACGACTGGTGGGGTGTGGGCATCGTCCTCTACGAGCTGCTTGCCGGCGATCTGCCCTTTGGCAAGTGCGACAACCCTCAGCTGTACATGAAGTCGATTCAGTCGGGGCCATCCCCGAATGCCCTTGCCGATTCGTCGGCCGCTGCCAGGGACTTGCTCAAGCGGCTGCTCACTCCGACCCCCCGGGATCGCATCGGCTCCTGGCACGACGCAACCGACATCAAGTGTCACGTTTGGTTCCATTCGATCGCTCGCTGGAGTGCCGTGAACGAGCTCCACCTGACCCCGCCACTCATACCCAGTATGAACGAGCGCAACGAGACGACCCAGACCCAGAAAGCGCTCGACGACCCATGGGGCAGACTCAAGAAGGTTGACGATGACGAGGAAGAGTGGGAGAGGGTCGGCGGGCCGCTGGACGAGACGTTTGAGTGTTTCAATTTCTAACCAAAGCCGCTGTCTGGACCTTTGGGGTCACTGCTTGGACTGCCAAGCTGCACGGCGAGCCGTCGAGCCCCAAGACAGGCCACACATAGGACAATACGGCATCTGTATACCTGCATTGCTATTGGTATATCTGCAGCATTGCCCATGTCAATCACAACCTCAGTGGAACAAATACAGATGCCAACTCGACTGAGAGCACAGACCAGCCGCACCGACAGACAGAGATGGACAGATGGACGAAACAGAGCAGCGAGAGGGAGCAGCGCAACATCGCTCCCCCCCCCGACGGTCACGCTACAAAGTAGTTTACAAAATCAAGTGCCGGCCTCGGGGCCCACGGGAGGGTGTTGAGCTTGGCCACGGCACTGAGGAGCCAGCGACTTTCCTGATTCAGCTCCGTCGAGACCGCGGGTATGTCCTTGCCATCGAGGCTCGGCGTCCATGTCTCGCTCAATGACCAGCCATTGACCCGAGCTGCCTGCAGAATCAACAGCGGCCACGCCATCAAGCGCCCGATGCTGTCGTCGCGGTTGGCGGCCCCAGTGGCTCCTTGAGCAGTATCGAAGCGGCTCCACAGGCTTGTGCCGCCAAGATTGGTACCATAGGCCCGTGTGACCCGTTCGGTGTACTTGTCTCGCGGGACATCGGTCAGAGCCACGCTTGGAAACTGGGCCTGGATCATGTACAGATCGAAGGGGGCGATAAGCGAGAGTGAGGCGAGAGAATAGACCCGGTTCGTTTCCAGCTGTCGCAAGACGATGTATGGGATGGGCAACGGCCCGAGGGTGGAAGCGTAGCGGCCCCACAGGCGCTGGATCGGGGCTTTGGTTGAGGTGCTGACGCCCAGCCGTTTCATCAGGTGGCACGATTTCAACATGCGGTGAAGAGCAGTTGGGGTGAGCTGGAAGCAGTTCTGCATCGAAACAAACGACAGCACATGCGCGCCGTGTCGGGGATGAGCCGTAGCCATTGATGGGAAATGTGTTGGTGTTTGACACAGAGGTGCGAGGCAAGCAGTCCATCGGTAACGGGGGGTTGACAAACATTGACGATTCGCAGACAATTCACGGAGGAGTTGCCGGAGACGCGGCCGAGAGGGCAAACGGGTCCAGTCGACAAGTAGAGAGCATGTATGGGTCAGTTGGATTGAGACAACGAGACCAGTGGCAGCACAACGATGAATCCAAGCACTCGACCGACGATCCGACATCCTGCACATCTGTAAGCGACGGCCACAGTGTCCAACAGACTCACAAATGCATAGAGCTCCTGCAATCCCTTGCAAGATGCAGCCAGGGCTTCCAACGACAGATCGGTGACTTTCCAGCAATCGGAAATATCCAGCACCCGGATTGTTGCTCCGTGGGCCAAGGCCAATTCACACAGACCGACATCGGCGATCCCAGAGCGCGCCAGGTCGACGGTGACAAGCCGCGAGCCGGAATGTTGCAGCGCCGCAAAGAAGCCGTGGAATGTAGGAAGGGCCATCGGAAGCGGCGATGCAGCAAAGGACACCTGGAAGTGCTCGAGCTTGCCGCAGTGACGAGATATGGCCGTCAGCAGGTCCGGGGACGGGCTCAAAGTCACGCCGGAAGCGTCGAGTGCGTTGGTAGACAAAACAGTCGACACCGGCAGTATTGGCACCGCCGACGGCTCAACCGTGGGAACAAGGCCGTGATGGACAATCGAGAGGCGTTTGAGAGCCGCCCCGCCGACCTTGGTGAAATCAGTCCAGAAGCGGCTGCCGACCTTGACTTTGACAAGGGACAGGGTTTCGAGAGCCGGGAAGCGAGCGAGCAAAAGGAGCAGATCGACGTCGCGGATCTCGTGCTGTGTTTTGGACTCGATGGTGACGGCCCAGAGCGCCGGATACTCATCCTCGAGGCTCTCCAGGAGCGAGGCGCTGACCAAGCCGGCCGAGAAGTGCATGTCGCAGAGCCAATGCAGATGCGCTAGAGCATAGTCAATGCATCCCTCGTCCAGATTCTCACAGTTGAAGAAGTGAAGGACGCGCAGGAGTGGCGAGTGGTCCACGAACTGGGTAAAGCTCTGGTGGTCGATGCCGGTGTTGGAGACGTCGAGGGAGCGCAGATTCGGAAAGTTTCGGGAAAGCTTCGAGAAAGCCAGACTGGACAGGTTCCGACATCCATTCAGGTGGAGGGTCTTGAGGAGCGACGAGGGCGGTGCGAGCGGCAACAACGACGGCGGCGACGGCGGCGGCGGCGAGGAAAGCGGTGTCATGGACCGGGATGCCGATCTCCATCTGGCTTCGTGCGGCATCGCAAAGGTAAAGTCGGCCGACTCGACCATGCATTTCGAAATGCGAATGTGCTGTACAGACCCAAGATGCCGCGACAGAAGCCCCAGATGCCGGTCGCGGATGAAGGAGCAGCCGCTGAAGTTGATGGAGAGCAAGGGCCGGACGAGCCACAGCTGCAGCTCGCGAAACAGATGCACCCCCAGCTGCGACTTGTCAAACATTGAGCATTGGGAAAAGTCCAGCTCCTCGATCATCTCTGCATAGGGATAGAGCGATCGATCCGGCTGGCGAAGCTGTCGCAGCAGCATCTCGACTTCCTTGATGCTCCGAAATCGGGGGTGTCGATAGAGGACTTTTGAAGCGCACTGGTTCCAATGGCGATTGACCAAGGCGCTGCTGTAGAGCTCGGGTCGCTCCGAGTGCTCGAGGATAAGATGAAGGACCTCGACGGGCAGAACGGGTGGACGCTGCAGAGTGGCGGCGGGACCGATCTGTTGAAGTAAGCAGATGTGAGCAATGGGTGCGGGTCGATAGTAGCCTTGGGATAAATGCAGGGTGCGAGTCGATAGTGACTAGGACAGATGCAGGGTCGACTCGCTCGTTCCCAACGAGGGCCCTATCGGGTGTGGAAGGCCGGGATCGGATCGACATCCGTCGACCGGATGAGTGCGTGCGTGCTGTACTTGCTGTGCCTGCTCCAGAGAAACAGCCCACCTTGGCCCGAGACAGCGCTTTGAGCCTCGTGTGAAAGAGTAAGACCGACTCTTGCAGATTCAGTAGGACATTCCGGATAATGTATCTCCCGACCAGAAGGAAGAACAGCGAGGCCCAGACGCGCATGGCCCACAGTCCAATGATCAGTAGACTGCCGATGACGAGCTGGACCAGCGTCCGTCGAGCGGGCGGATAGGCCATGTGAGTGCTTGTTTTGGAGTCAGGCGGACGTAGCAGAGTCGAAGCTGGTATGCAGATGTCGATCCTGCCTGTGGGGCTCGCACAGATCGAAGCGGATGGGGTCTCCGAAACGCAGGCGATGGGAAGGTGATGAGGGGGGGGGGCCGATAGGGCGGGAGAATCTCAGGCGGTGTGATTCGCAAGCGATGATAGCTTCGCAGGCGGTAATGTGATTGGATACGTGACGGGCCAGGAATGCTAAAGAGCCAGGTGCACATCCGGCAGAGACAGAGATGCGGCTGGATGAGATTCACACCACAGCGAAGGCGAGCCAAAGGACAGTTGCGATGTCCGGATTCGCACGTGTCGGACCGGCGGCGATGAAGCGGCCGACATGGGATGGCGTGGGATGATGCGGGCGATGCGGGCGATGGATTGGCCCGGCTCTCGACACGGCAGAGCGATACCGCCGTGTCTGGGACGCACTCTGTCTCGTCAAGTATTGCATTGTATTGTATTGTCGATAGAGGCGAGAGCGCCAGGATGTCCGAGAGAGATGCGTGGGCACAGATGGATGTGGGAGGGGGGAATGCATGGGGAAACGCTGCTGCAAACACCGCTGCTGGAAAGACAGCGATTTCTAGATACAACTGGACATGGAACAAAGGACAGAGTGAATCGATGGACGAGACAGAGTGCTGGTATCTGGAGAGGAGGGAGAAGCGTTTGGTGCAGGATCAACGGCCAGAGGCTTTCCGCAGGCGATGCCGCGCGGGCCAGCATCCGGTCGTGCTGCTGCTGTTCGGGCCATCGAACGTATCCACAAGACGGACAACTGTCTTGTCCTCGGCAATCAATAGTCGTCCGGCTGATGCAGGTGGTTGCGGATCGCCTTGGTCTTGCGGCCGGCCTGGACACGGCCGCTGACATTTCTTTCCTTGTCCTTGCGAGCGTATTCGGTTTGCAGTTTCATTTCCTTGCGGGCGGCGATCGACTGGTCGACGTGCGAGTCGTCGCCACTGTCGTCGCTGTCGTCGTCGTCCATGTGGCTGTCCTCGTTGTCGCTCTCTTCGACATCGAGGTTCTGATTGGAAGCTTCGCGGCCGCGACTCTTCTTGGGGGCTTCCTGCACAGGGGCGCCGTAGCGGCGAGTCAGAAACCAGACGAGATTCGAGTCTCGCTGAGCAAGACGGCGGCGGAAGATGCTGTCCAGCCCGGCGGTGTCGAGGTGCTCGAGCCGCCAAAAGAAGGCCTGGACCTCCTGCGGCAGGCGACTGTCGTCGGAAAGGGCTGCGGGCGGGAAGGAGCCGGTGATGATGGCGACGCGATCTTCGAGCGGGCCAAAGGCAGGGGGCAGGTTCTCGGAGAGGTCTGGGTTGCCCTCGAGGTCGAGGATCTCAAGGTCGTCGAGCATGGCCAAGCCAGGCGGAATGCTCGAGAGTCGGTTGGAGCTCAGGTCCAGGGCCTCGAGGTTGGGGAACATCTTGTGCAGATCAACCGGGATGGTGCGGATGTTGTTGCTGCCAAGCAGCACATGGGTGGCATTCTGGAGCTTACAGGCCTCAGGAGGGATACTGGTCAGATTGAGGGAGCGCAGGTCCAGCAGGCCAGAGCGACGGGCCTCGGCGATGCGCTGTCGGACCGTTGGGGTGTCGCTGTTAGGGTCGACGGCCTGCGATGACGCCAGGTTGGTGGCCTTGGTTCGGGTGGGGCGAGTGCCGTGCTTGTGGGAAGTCGAGTACATGGCGGGGACTTTGTCAGGCGGTGGGAGCGACGGTGTTGAGCGAATGGCTGGGAGGTTGCGATTCAGGGCGAGGCGAGAGGTGGGGAAGAGGGCCGGGCGGCGAAGGGCCACGAGAGATGGAGCTGGTGTTGACGAGGGTGTTGTTTGGACGATCGCTTTGGAAGCGCTGTGTTGACACCGGCTGTGTTTGGACAACGACGATCGCCGGGTGTTGAGAGTTGAAGATGACGATAACTGAGCAGACAATTGAGCAGACAATCGAGCAGGAGATCTGGCAGGAGATCCCACGGCCTTCAAATACTTTTCGAGCGAACGACGTCCGAGTCACTGTGACATTGACTGCGCCGCCGCAGCATGGCCACGGCCAATCAGGCCAGCCCCCGCGTCTGCGCCAGAAGGTGCGAGCGGGCTGCGGCACCGGGGCAGATCGGAGTGAATGTCAGAGGATATCGAGTGAATGTCAGAGGTATCGGGTGAATGTCGGAGGGAATGTCCCGTTTCATCGCCTTGCGAGTCCGATATGAGCAAAGTAACGACATCAAAAGTCATCTTGGGCCTGATGTCAAATCACGTTTCTTGGCCTCCACACGTGCCAGACGGCGTCGAGAACAGAGACGGCCGCATCGACACCATCCAGCCAGGAGATCGGCCATAGTGGTTCGGCCCCATCCAATATCGCTCGAGCCACTCCCAAATCGGGCTGGGACACGAACCCGAATCGCCCTTCCTGTGGTTCTCGCCCCGCGCCAGCCAGCCAACGGCCTGCCCTTCCTCGATCTGACCAAACTCGCTGGCGACGATGGCCTCCTCGACGACAACTGGAGACAGCCGCACGGAAGACCCGGCCTCGCAAGCCCTCGTCACGACCACGCCGGACTTGGACGGGCTTGTCCCCGACAGCCCAGCTCCAGCGACATGGATGCAAGCCTGGGATTCCACCTACCAGACATACTATTGGCACAACCCGGCCCTTGGCCAGTCGACCTGGACCAACCCGTCCGCTCCCTCGCCCTCGTCAACCGCAGCTGTTGCACTCACGGCCTCAACAGATCAACGTTCCGATCCGGCTGTGTATCCGCATGTTGACGACAATGCCGCAGAACCGGCTGTCGAGCCATCATCGGCGTGGTACTTTCATTCGCAAGACGCCGACGGCACCGATGATACCGCCACCGACACCTATACCGGCCACGCTGCGTACAACCCGTATACCACAGGCGAAGCGTATGCCTCCTACGATGAATACTATGCACAGGCGCACTATGATCCCGAGGGGCATCTTGCACATCCGCAGGTCGCTCAAGATTCCGACAACACTTTCGACGCCCTCCTTGACAAAATCGACCGGAATGCGCGGCAGCTCGACGTTGCCCTCGGGGTCACCCACTCACCCAGGGCCGACGAAAGCGTGCGTATGGACGCCACCACGGTCGCAAGTGCCAGTGGAAGTGCTGATGAAAGCGGCGATGTTGATGGGGCTGCCCCCTGGACAATACCTGTCGAACCCACCGCCAGCGTCGATCCTGCTTGGCTTTATCCGACACAGGCCTCGTCGTATGGACAGCAAGCCGAAGCCAAAGCCGAAGCCGCTTACTCATCGGGATGGTGGCCGGCATCATCTTATGAGACTCTGTCGCATGACGGTGGCCAGGGCAATGCGTCACAGCAGAACTACTCCGCCGACTACCACCACCCGAATGCCAAGGGCCTGCGCCAACTCGGTCACTACTTTGACCACGAGCAATATCAGCTGGAGCAGACACTCAAACACCAGCTCGAAGGCAGCGACTCGGATGCGCAGAAGAAACAGCGTCGTCTCAGCCGAAAGGAGGTCCTGGACTTCAAGGAGCAGCGAAAGATGCGCAAGCTGCAAGCCCTGCGCAAAAAGTATGCTGACTGATTGTTTCTTGGGGGCCTTTTGCAAGAAGGACCGTTCATCGAGAACACCACGTACATCGTCCCCGCCATGCGCCCTGGGTCTATCTCGGTCAAGTTCGGATTTCAATGCCGCCACTCCAACGCGAGCCCGCAATGACGCCACCCCCTGAACAACGATGCATCGTGAATCGCTCCAGATGGATTGCACTGCGTGTTTGTCGTCTGCGAGTCTGCGCCGAGTCAAGGATAAGCTCCTACTAGCACAGAGAGATCACATCCGCTCGCAGGAATGAGAGAGCACAGCGAATGCGCCCGCTCGGCTTGCACCGTGCGACCGACGGCTGAAGCCATCAGCTGATCCGACACGGCGCACTGAAAATACCGATCGAAACAAGTCGAAATAAAGGCCGCGGCCAACGAGCATCACATCTTCAAAATGGAATCTATTCACGCACGAATAGACCTACCTCTGTGTTCTGTGGGGAGGGGCAACGGGGATAAGACTGACACACGGGGCTAGGACGGATCCAATAGAAACTTGCGAGGGTCTGCGCCAAGAAGAAAACCGGGGGGCAGAAGCGAGTGAAACGAAACGAAACGAAACGGCGGAGGAAATCAAAAAAGAAAAAAGAAAAACCAGAATCAAAATTGCGGCCAGGGTCGCCAGGGTGGTGTGTGATGGCGGGGAGATCGCTGCCGGGATGGAGGCGGCAGCGCTGAATGGATGTAGCGTGCGGTGGGGGATTGAGCAAGTGCCATGGATGTGATGTCCAGGGCGGGCAGAGGCAGACGCTGGCCAGGAGGGTCGATGGCGGAGAGAAAGGAAGCACGGAGCAAAAAGACAAGGAAACGAAATGAAAGAACCTTGAGCTATGTACAGGCTGTTGCTGAGATTCACAGTAAACTGGGAGAGCGCCTCAAAGCTTGTATCCGGAAGGAGCGACTTGGTGCCAGATTTTGAACATCTGCAGGCAGCCAAAACTGACAGAGATGAGCCTGGGGCAGCAAACTCGGCCAGACGTAATCAGACGCCCATGACTGTGACTCCGCTCGGTGGACATGACCGCCTTCATGTATGCCCAAAGGCGGTGCGAGTGTCTGTCTGTTCACGGGGCAGCGGCACTGCACCATCGCACAGTCTTCCCGCACCAGGGCCAGCGGCCTCAAGTGCAGCGCGCGGGTTCCTGCGACTCAAACCCACCTTCTTGGCGCCGTTCTTGTCGACCAGGGTGGTCGGCTTGCGCTCATCCACACGGGCACAAAAGTTCTCCTTGTGGAACTCGGTGCGGCAGTGCTGGGTGGTATTGGTGACGGCCATGTTGCAGTCCTCGCAAAAGTACTTTGCCTTTTTGCCGTCGGTGCTGGGAATCTTTCGGACACGCTCGCGGATCTACATAGTTGGTTTCGGTGGATAGAACGGATGTGGATGGTTAGCACATTAGCACGTTAGCACACCAGCATATTAGCACATCAGTACATTAGCACATTAGCACATCAGCACATTAGCACATCAACATGCAGCAGCCTCGAAGCGCTGTCGGTCGACCCGGCCGCTCTAGCCGCGGGGCCGCTGTAGGCACCAATCGCTCCCCAAGGATACCCACCAGACCGGTATCCATGGCCACCTGGAACAGGCATTCAATGTGCTGCTGCGACTTTTTGTGGACGCTATAGTTGGAAATGTCCATGCTGCAGACGGCGCAGTGCTTGCGGGGGGCGCTGTCGTATTCCTGTGGAGGCAGGATCACATAGGGCGAGGACGAGCCGTGCGGATACAGCGACGACGAAGGCACAGACGAGCCCGGCGACGTATCGGACGCGGACGGGAAGGGCAGATTTGCAGGCGACAGGCTGTTCTTCCGGAGCTTGGAGGGGCGCTGGTGGTTTTGGTTGGGCTGGTGACCATCGAAAGGCAGCGGACCCAGCGGATGGGACTTGAGCTGATCGAGATTGTGGAGAGTCCGGTGGTCGCGGGTTCGCTTCAGCGACGACGAGATCAGCGACGACGACGGGGACGAGAAGACCGACGGTTTGGGAGGACGAATGCGATTTGGGCGCGAGGCAGGCCGATGCTGCTGCTGCTGCTGCTGCTGCTGAAGGAGCGACCGAGACGAGAGGGAGAGCTTTCCGGAAGCGATCAAGTGCAGAGGCAGGACGGGCAGCTGCACAACGGGATGGTCCAGAGGCGAGCAGGACCGGGCCGAGTCGATCGAGCAGGACGACATATCCGAGACGGACCGGGCATCCGAGTCAGGCAGCTCGTCGTGGGCGAGGGAGGGATTGCAAGTCAGCATGGCGAGCGGACGGTCGGGAAGGCGCAGGATGGATCAGCGACGGAATGCGCAGAGAGCAAATTGCGGATGAAGCAAAGCAGCGACGGCGACAGAGGACCGAGGCCGGCGACGGAAAATGGCGGCCAGGGCGGGCCGTGTCCGGGCGGCGACATGGGCGGCCTGTGCGCAGTGGGCTGCGGGGGGCGCCACAACAAGGCGGGCGAGGGATCGGACGGTGGTGCGGCAGTGGCAACGACGGTCGGCATGCGCAATGATGCGGGATGTCAAGTATGCGAAGATATCGAATGTCGCGCATGCGGAGCTGTCGAATATCACGCATGCGGAGATGCGATGTGCCGGGTGGGTGTTGAGTGGTCTATGCGGTGCTGCGATGCCGATGTGGCTGTGCAGCCAGGGAGCTTTGTACAACATCACTCGCCATGTCCGCCCGCTCGCAACAACTCGCATTCGATCGTCTGGGCGGCTGCGTGGCTTCTCGATGTCGAGACAATCGCTTCTGGGCCGTGGATGTCTCTGGCGATGGATGGGCGTGTATTCAGGACCCGAGAAAGCGGCATGCGACACTCAAAACCGTGTCTCGTTTCGTTTCGGAAAAGTTGTATCATCGGCAACGCAATCCTAAGCAACATCGCTCGCTATGTCTTATCATCCGCACGGCGCCATTGGATGGCGCTCTCGACCACCAGCAACGCTTCTTCGCTGACAATCCCAGTGCCCAGCCCATGCAATCGCTTCAGCCGGCCGTATAGTCCCGCCAGAGCCGCTCGTTTGCCAGTGGTCGACCCAGCAGCACCAGCACCCCCCAGATTTCGTTTCGGCGAGTCTGATGTACTCGGCGTATCCGCCACCAGCCTTGCCGCCGGGTCTGTGGCCGATCGGATCTGGGACTTGGTGGGCCGGTGCTCCTGGGCCCGAGTCTGCTCCGCGAGTTTCTCGACCAGATCCACCATGAGCTCTGCATCTACCATTGTTGTTGTCGTCGTCGTGGTCGTCGTCGCCAGAGTGTTGCTCGATAGGGTCGCTACAGCCGTTGTCTGGCAGGTTTGGTCGTGGCGAATCTTGTCCCACAACATCGACTGCTCGTATGTCTGCACAGTGGGGATCTTGCTGAGATCGTGGACGCCAGCCCGCCCTTCTTCAAGCCGAATCAAGCGGTCCAGCACCTGGCTCAGCGTCGTCAGCGCCACCTCGGGCTCGTTCAGGTTGCAGAGTCTTCGAACATAGAACTGGAGCACCGAAGGCGTCAGCGCCAGACCGTGTCCAAGCGAGTGCTCCAGGATCCGCTTGGCGCGTGCAATCCACAGCTCGCAGAGCCTTGTATCGCCGAGTTCCTGCGCCCGATGTGCCTGGCGGAAGCACAGGTCGCCCATGAGCTGAGTCGTCCGGGTGTTTGAAACAATGGCTCTGCGTGGCCGCCCCCATTCCTTGAACGCCGACTGGATCTGGCCTTCCATGATTTCCTTTCGGCGGTTGCGGCGGTGCTCGATGCCCTTTTCGAGCGCCTCGGAGGTCTCTGCAGGCTCGCTGTGAGGGTCCGGAGCAAGATTGCTGCCCCAGCGCCGCTTGCCTTCCAGAATAGGACTTGCTGACGCAGGTGCCCGTATCGAGCGGGTGGCGAGATCACGATCGCTGCTGCTGTTGCGGGGTTGGAGAGCCGCTTCTCGCGTTGCAAGCTGCCCCCACAGTTCGTACGCTCGGTGAGGCTCCCGTCGGCTATACATCCGCAGGATGACGTTCCAGGTAAAGTGGTTGGGCTCGATTCCCGCGCGATTCATATGGTCCAGGATCCAGTCGACGTACTGATCGTATTCCTGGGCGTTCTCCAGAGAGAGAAGGTGCGAGAGAATCGAGCAGTAGAACTGGTTGGTCGGCCGGATCTTGAGCGAGTCGAGCTCCTCAAAGATGAGCTTGAGGTTGATGATTTGTCCCTTCTGCGCAAAGTACTCGCCAAAGAAGGTGAGCGTGTACGAGTTGGGGGAGATTCCCATCTCTCGGAACCCCATAAACAGCCGATGCGCCTCTGCCAGCCGGTCCGTCTGCAGGTAGCCCTGGATGATGATGTTGAAGTGGTCGGGCGGCAGATCCGAGATCGCCGTGATCATGCGTCCGTGCTTGACGGGGACATAGGTCCACCGCCGCTCGGTCGCATCGTAGTGGTACGAGCCCGACCATATGCCCTCGCCCGACTCGACAAGAGCAACGATTTCGTTGAGCTGCTTCTCGGCACTCTCCATCATGTTGCAGCGCACCAGCGCCAGGATGATCTCAAAGTACAGGTTGAGCGACCTGCTGTGCTTGCCAGGGAGTGCCTTGGACGCTGATATCAGCGAGTTGATCATCTCGACGTTCTGGTCCTTGCCGTGCAGGGAGAGCAAGAGTCCAAACGTCTTGGCGGACAGCTGGGGCTTGACTTGCTGCAGCTGCTGCACAAGGTGCGTGCCGGCCTCGCTCTTGCTGAGCACCACCATGAGCTTGAACATCCGAAAGTACACCTGCACCGACAGCGTGTGTACAGTCGCGGTGAGGTCTTCAAACAGACGAATTGCGATTTCCTCGTCAAGGTGGAGGTTGCTGGTGTAGTGCACAATCAGCGCCGTGTACGATTCGCTCGACGGCAGAATGCCGCTCGACCGCATGTCTTTGAAGAACTGGAGGGCAAGCGCCGGATCGATGCGCAGGAGACGGGTAAGGATGGCACTGTCGTTGATCACGCCATCGCTGTCGGCGATGGTCTTGAGGTCAGCCAGCACAAAGGTAGGATCCATATGCCGTTTGTAAATCTCCGTGACGAGGAAGACATGGACCCGAGCAGCAGGCGGACTTGGGCTGGCTGATCGTGCCAGTGCGTACATCCGGCGCAGCAGCCCTGCTTCCGAAGCGGCCACCAGGCGTCGAAAGATGCTGATCAGTGTTTTTTGCATCTGTGGATGGTCATAGATGCAGCGGTACCGGTCATCCCGGGCGAGCAACTCGAAAAAGCCAACTGCTGTGCCGAGATTGGAGTGTCGTGCCATGTCGCTGACAAGTTCGTGTCGGTCCTGCAAGTCAAAGTATCCCCGGCGACTGCCCAGATGGCAATCGAGGGCTGTCACCACCGTGGGCCATCCGCGACGGAGCAGGGTTGTAAGCGTCTGCAGCCCCGTTTCTCGGTCGATATGGACTTCAGCTTGCACAAAGAGGGCAAATAGCCTGCCCAAGAGTCCATTGAGCTGAACAACAGTGAGAGCTTGAGCACGACAGGTAAACTCCACTGCCCGGCGTGCGAGCTGGGCGTCCAGAGCGAGCTTCAAGGCGCAAGCATGTTCCATGATCGTGAGGAGGAGCTCGATGGATGTGTTCTCAGCCTTGCCATTGAGCGTGTCTTCGAGGGACGAAAAGGTCGCTGCTTCGCACTCTAATTTTTCCAGAGCATCGCCCGGGTTGGTGCGAGTCATTTGCGAGATGAAATGCGCAAAGACTGCTGATGCGTTCTGGTAGTCACCTGCGGCAACGAGTTCCTTGAACTGGTTGGAGAATGCAGCTGGGTCTGCCTCGATGCGCTCGCGCAGAAGAGAGTCCAATTCAGGGGATCGATGGTGCCAAGGAGAGGCGGCGTGACGGTCTAGCGGATTCGTATCGGCTTGGCTGTCGGTAGCAGGCTCAGGGTTAGTGCCTGGTCGGGCCCCACCAGGTCGACGAGCAGTTGGGAGTAGTGGCTGTGATGGCAGGTTGATGGGTAGCTGTAGCAGCTGAAGCGATTCAGGCACCGGCATGTCAGGAAACGGGCGATCTTGCTGTGTCTCGAGGCATCCATATGAAGCTCCTGGCACGGGGTATAAACTGCATGGGACGGCTGAGCGCGGCCGAGAGACGCCCGTATCAGAGAGTGTGGGCATGGCGCTGATATCCACTGTCGAGAGGATCAAGTCCACAAGATTGGGCTCGGGCGCTGGCAGGGGATCTAGAAGCAGTGTTGCCGTCCTGGCCCGGTGCCGGGCTAGCCTTGGGCGTTCCGGGAAGCGGAGACGGGTCTGTGGAAGTCGTGGCGATCGGTTGCTGATAAGACGATTCCGTCGACGAGATGGCGGTCGGGATGGGCAGACAAGAATCTGCTCGGGCTGGCGCATCGCGGCGAGTTGCCCAACAGCTCGGCGGCTCGATTCTGCAGACGTGCGGGGCGCTGGCGAATCTGAATCGGTCGAGTATGCCGGATACGCCGGCAGGGTTGGGTGCGATGAGTATGCCGAGCGTATCGATCGCACACGGTGTGCTGTGAGTGTTGAATGGTACGACAGATTTGATGCGCTTGTGAGACTGTTCGAATGAGCTGCTCGAGCTATTGAGTCCGAGGTAGCGCTGGAGTGCCCACGACGCTGGGTCGACAAACATGCCAACCGTTGCACCCCAGTCGATGGGACTCTTGCAATGCAGAGCAGCCGTCTCGGCAGGAACAGCAGAGGGTGCGACTGGCAGCACGACCGAGACATCCGCAGATAGGCGAGGAGCGATTCAAAGACGCTCGGGCGCCGCGGCTGGAGCAGACTTGCATCCAACGCCATCGAAGGTGCCGTTGCTGTGGCCGTTATTGCAGCCGTGGTCGTGCTCGCAGGGTGCGATCTGCCCGAGGCCGCGGGCATGGCCTCGAGACTGGGATGTCTGGCTGAGACAATCGGCTGCGGTGGAGCAAAGGGGCACGTGCCGGGCGATTGCCAGTGACGGACACGTGGACACTGCGCACGAGCACGTGTCGAGTGCTGCGCCATGTCGGAGTTTGGGGCTGTGTGCGACGGGCACGGCCGTGCCACAGGGCGCGTGTGGCGCTCCCAAAGCCGATTCCAGCGACCCGAAACAGACCCGAAACCAAGTGGCCGGCCAAGACCCAGTGTACATATCTCCGCTCTCTTGGGCTTCTCTCTCCGAGTCCTCCCTCACCCTTGCCAAGCCCAAACAGAGACCCTCGATTTGCGATCCACCCTGCAAGCATCCAGGCATCCGCGCTGATCAACGCTGGCCAAGTCCCACGGAAGAGCGGTATCATTCCTGTACCAAAGCAGCGGCCGATCTTGACCGAGAAACACACTTCAAAGGAAATACAGCACAAGTTGAGGGCGCGAGAAGCATGGTATTTGTAGCAAGCGCGAGTTGCACAGCGAGTCCGCGAGAATGGCAAAGATACAACTCAAACAAACGGCGGGAAGAAGCACAGAAAATAGGGCGAATGGAGCATCGAGGGCTCGTGAGGAATGATACAGCCGCGTTAATGCAGCCGCGCACGGCACAGACAGAAACGACTTGCGTAAGGAAATCATGGTGTCGAGGCACAACACAGCAGGTCCGAATGGAAGGCGACGGATGAGTCGGGTACTAAACAGGCGGAATCGGGAGGGATCGATTGGGGGCGGGGAGGGAAGAAGCAAAAAATTGCATACTGGAGGCGAGTCCCAGTCAGATCCAAGCCAGAGACCGGGCGGCGCCGGAAACACTAGCGCATCGACGACGAGGATGATGAGACTTGGCGACGAGCATCGTCCTTTCCACAGTCGCAGTTCAGCCTTGAAGCGTCTTGCAGGAGATCCAGGGTGTCGACGCCGAGGTTTTCAAACTCCTCCTCTGGATTGGACTCCAGCCGCAGCATCCTGGCCTCGTACGAGTGGTGGTTGGCGAGGTTGCACAGGCGATTGACGCAGTTGGCACAGACTCCCAGATCCATAAAGCACATCTTCTGGGCGCACTCGAGGAGTTGCTGCTCAAAGAGATGGTGTGGCGTCCCCGGGTAGCCAAAGGCCTCGGTCATATCGATGTGGAACTGCTGTGCGTGCTGCGTGTAGCGACTCAGATCCACAATCAGGGCCAGCATTGACGCGCCAAATGCTCCGAGGACGCCGTAGAGGTGCTCGGCAGTATTGTTGATGACAAGTTGGAAGGCCTTGTCGCCAATGCGGAGGTAGTTGTTGGACCGCCGGGCCGAGACTATGGCGTCGACCTCGCGCACGCCGTGTGTGAAGGCGTTCAAGCCCGACTGCAAAAAGTCCTCGAGCAGCTTGGTGTCGCTGCCGTTCAGCATGTTGCCGGCGAACTGAATGATCAGCTCCCAGTAGATCTTGCCGATCGTGTTCGAGCAAACGATATTGGACTTGCGGAAGACATCCATGTACGCTCTGTTGGCCGGCAAGGGAAGCACTTGCCGGATCGACGACGAGGCTTTGGCGTGCTCGCTTATGTACAGATACAGGTCTTCGGCATGTTTGGACAAGAGGCTGATCAGCGTGCCTTGGTCCTGGAACATGTCCGCCTTGGCGTCGATCCGGAGCGCGGCCAGCAGTTCGTTGATGGGCTCGGCATCGTAGATGGGCAAGCCAGACAGCTCGCTGTAATGCGAGGCCGGGAAGAGATCGACGGTCTGGTCGGTGCTGCTGATACGAGCCAAATGAAAGAGGGCCTGGGTGAGCGCCGACTCAACTTGGGGACGAATGATCTCGGGAAAGTCTGTGGCGATGAGCTTCAAAGACTCGTCAATAAGATCCTCCTGGCGCGCCTGATTCACGTTGTGCCATTCGCGATCCATTGACTGGATGACTCGTTCGAGATAGTACAGGGCATAGTACGGCTGTCCCTGGGCGTTGAATGCCGATGCTGGCGGCGCAAACAGGCAGTACATGCGGTGTCGATGGAATTGATAGAGTAGCCGGCGTCGAGGGGGGTAATTGGTGTCGATGAGGCAGTCGGTGCCGAGGGAGCACGAATGAGGCAGAAAGAACCGTTAGCCACAATCGGCGGTGCCACTGCCTCAGCGTCGCATCATCCGAGCCGACTGCTATCGATCTAACGCGGCGGCACCGGACCGCAGCTGTGCGTGAACCCATCGCGACCCTTCGCCCGGCCGGCGCAGTGTCAGAGCCTGTCCTTACCGATATTGACCCAGATCATGCAAAGACTCATCCAATCCTGGCACGACTTGAGCATGTCGATACTGTCGTACGTCATGTTGATTCCGTTGCTGATGAATCCCGAGCCTGCACTCATGGGCCCAGACTGGTCGGTGGGAAGCTCGTGTGCCATCTTGTGCACATTGACTTCGGCAATTCGACAGGGGCCCCAAAACTTTTCAAAGCTGCGGAGGTCTGCGTCCTCGGCTATGGCCTTCTCGATGCTCTTGATCCAGTGGATGAGATTGACGCGATAGCCGACGTGCACAGAGATTGTCGCCAGGTTGGCCTGTTCGATTGCTTCGTATCTCGGCCGCTTGAGCCGCCGGAACTCCTTGAGGGACATTTGGTGATTCTCGGTGGCTGATGCTACGTCCCCAAGCGCAAACTTGGCGTTCGCTTTGTTGGCGAGGATGTGGGCCCGATACTCCTCCATGTAGGATGTGTCCTGCTGCGATTCAGACTTGCGCCGTCCAAAGTGCTCCACGGGGCCGATCTGGGATGTGTAAAAGTCGACGAGCGCAAGGGCTTGATCATGGTAGTTGGCAGCTATCTGGTCCAAGCCGAGAAATTGGTTGCAGATGCCCAAATGGGTCAGGGCCCGGGACTGGGCCGAGATCAGCGACCGGTGCAGATACGAAAAGCGGATGGTCTTGCCATGTTTCTCTCGGCGCGACCCTGTCGAGCCGGGCGAAGGCAGGACGACTCCTCCAGGGAGCGGATACTCTTCAAAGATGCTGCGCGCAATGTTGTAGCATTGGCTGTGCACCTGGATGGCACGGAAAACCTGCCTGATGGCAAACAGTGCGTTTCCGTTGGTGCTCATGAGCTCGAGGAACCAGACAATCAGCCAGGGCCCGGGCTGGGCCGGAAGTTTCGGCATCGAGGACGGAGAGTCCCAGCCGAACTGACCGTTGCTCGACTCGGGCTCGGCCAGACATGGCAGGACGTAGTGAACAACCTGGTTCATCCACACGTTGAAGCTGTCGTGGTGCTGGAGCAGCCGGATGAGAGTGACGGCGGTGTTGAGGGCATCGCCAATGTAGGCCTTGCTTTTGACGATCTGTCCGAGTGCCCGGAAGGCGTTGGAGAGATTGGAGAGGATCTTGGCTTTGTTGTAGTAGTCTTGGTTGCGAGAGGCGATCTCCAGGGCCAGGCTCCAGTGGTGGATGGCGGCCTGGTACTGAAACTTGCTGTAGGCGAGCGCCCCCTCGTGGATCAATGGATCCACATCGACCTGCTGCGAGGATGACTGCAATGGGGCCGTCGCAGGCGACTGACAGAGACTCCCTTGGCTCGGGGCAGCGCCGGTCTGGATGATGGTAAGATTTGAAAACTCTGTGGGCAGATGGTTCAACTGCATAGTGTCGAAGAGAGAGGGAGAGAGAGGAAAGGTGAGTCGAAGTGCGATAAGGCTGATAGGACGAGCAATGGGACGGCCCGGCTCTGTGGCCGAAAGGCGGGCTGGGGCAAGTCGATATGGAGGGACAAGCAACAGGGTGCAGCAAGGGCCCCACTCCGAGAGAAAGAGCAATGTGCGGAAGTAGTCCGAGCGGCCGGAGAGTGGGCGAGTGGAGATGGTGGAGCGAAGGGGGTGCAGTTTAGAGAGGAGCAACAAGAGCACCTGAATGCGATAGTAGCTCGGGCTTGCTCTCGGAGGAACCGGCGGGACAGATGTCGTTGGAACTGCAGACGCTCGGCGGTGCTGCGAAGCGCCGAAGCTGCTGGGGCCTGGAATTGGGGCTGAATGGCTGTGGTTGTTGACGGGATGGTGGTCGGCACGGCGGGGAGGAGTTCGGAAAGCGGACTCGTCGGATGGCGGGCGGCGTTGGCGGGTCGTCACAGGCACCACCCTGCGAGGAGGAATGGCAAATTCGGGGTTGGCGGTTGGGTCGATATACGGGTTCATGTTGAAGGATGGACGATGATATCGGCGGCAAGGACGGAGAAGAACGACCGGTATATGTGAGATCCGGGTGGAGCTGCTTGGCTGCTGGCCACCTGCGATGGATGGAGTCGAGGCCGAAGACGGGCGCTGGGAGGGTGTGGTGTGGAGGCGGAGGCTTTGTCCTGGCGATACGGAGGATACAGGGCAGCGCAGGGCGATGCAGGATAGCGCAGGACGGCGTCGGGGAGATGATGTCGACGCCCAAGGCCGCCTGTTGCGGGTGGGCCACGAGAGAAAGAGCCAACAAGGCCTGGGCGAGACGGACGCCGCCGCACGACGGCAGGGCTCGATGGCACCGACTTGGGATGTCCATGCGACGAAGGTGCAGAGTGCCTCTGCATCACCGCCCCAGGGCGATCGGGCAGAGCTCCGTGGATCAGAGTGATTCGGATGGGCCGACATCCGCCCGGCGAGCGCCGTCAAACGGTCAACCCGGCCGCCCTGCGGTGCGAAAGTTGCTGCTACCCATCGACCACCAACACGAGCATCCCACGCCATGTTCCTCGGGCGGTTTCTCGCAAAGGACGAGCAGCCCAAGAAGGTCGCGGAGGGATCCGAGAAGCGCCTCCGAACGCCCAGCGAGCATCTGAATGTCCTTGCGAAGGACGGGGGCGGGCCGGAGCTGGCAACAACACCCAGGGACGTCGCCAAAGCGCTCTACGGATTCCACAGCGAGCATCCCGATGATCTGAGTTTTGACCGAGGCGACCCGATCTTGATCTTGCGCAAAGGTACGGATGTCGGGGAGGGGTACATCCAGGGGAGGGGCGAGTTATGTAATCGCCACTGCCATCAACGCCATCATCTCCTGATTTACAGTCTGTAATCGCTTTAATCACTTTGATTCTCATCGCCCAATGACTCCCTTGCCCTATTCCTCTCATCACCTTCGTCGCGCTCCACAGACAACGATTATGTGTGGACCGGACAGAACCAGCGAACGCAGCGACAGGGCGCATTCATGTGCAAGTACGTTGCCTCGGATCCACCTGCAGTCCCCGGTGCATACCCATCTGCCAGCAGCATCGACAGCCATTCCACATCTCCGGGAGTATCAGACAACCCGCCACCCAAGGTGCCGCCGAGACCTCGAGGACCACGCAGTCGGCCGCCAAGCCCGTGTACCATGTCGTCGTCCACCAACCCCAACGAGGATGCCGCAGAACAGCCGGCCCAGGGCCTCGGGAGCAAAGAATCGCCTCAGAGCATCGAGTCAAACGTCTCCTCGATCGGAATATACGTCGACGAGTGCTCGCCACGAACCATCGACTCGTCAAAGACGGCGGGCACCGCTGCTTCTGATGCGTCGTTCTCACGGACCAACGCACCACGAGACCCAGACCAGCCTCCAATTCCACCACCAAGGACCAGGCGGCCGCTATCGCCAATCCACTCTCCTGCACGCTCAGCAGCAGGCCCAAGGGGCATCGAAAGCACAGCGACGGATGGGCCGCCACCACTTCTGCCTCCTCGGAGCAGGAGCCCATCCGTCTGCTCGGTTCGCTCGGTGTCATCAGCCTTCCACGAACCCGCAATGTCTTCGACCATCCCAAATTATCTGGAGGACTTTGATGCCGACGAATCGGATCGGGCGCTGCTCATCAAAGGTGTGTATGACTTGTCGCTGTGATGGGCATGTGCCGCCAGCGTTGCAGAGCTGATGCGCTTCCTTCTCGCTTCCCTCCCTCAGAGTCGAATCTCGCAGCCGTCGACACGGCCGCAACGCATTGTCCTGTCCAACATCAGACCACACCGGCCCAGTTCGCCGCGGCTGTTCTCACCCGACCTTTCAAGTCGAACATCCAGAAGCTGCGAGCGATATTCTTTTGGATCTCTCAGTTTGTTCAGTACGAGCGAGAGGATACCCCCGATGATCCGCAATCGGTCCTGCTGAAACGCAAGAGCGGACGCAGGGGATTCGCTGCACTTGTAAGCATTCCTGGGCACGCATGCGTTCCGAGTCCTTGAGCACTGTCTCACGAGATGCGAGCCTTGAACTTGGTGAATTCACATAGTGTGTCATTGGTAGTGGCGCTGCCACAGGCTCGTGGAGCCCCGACTGGGATTGAGACACTAACTGGCCTGCTTCTGGACTGTCTAGTTTCAGTCCTTGGCTCAGGCTGCCGGCCTTGACTGCTACCTAATCGATGGATACTACAAAAGTATGCCCCACCCACGAATGTGTGTGCACATCACGGCTCTCGGCGCAGTTACATGTCGCTGACCGTTTCACTGTCGCACTTGATAGAGTCTGGTTGGGAGATCGGAAGCACCGACAAGATCGTCACGAACCACGCCTGGAATGCTGGTGAGCGGGAGGGCATCTGCATTGGCAGCCACACCGGTCTCGGAAAAGAGATTGGAGCATGTTCTTGGCACTCCAACTTTGGAAGTCATCCGGAGGAGTGCTCAAACCCGGCACAACTAACTCCCCCCCCCATCGTTCACGAACTGCTGTGGCTAGTGCGACTGGGAGATCGAACATGGCTGATCGATAGCGCATTGGCCACACGTTCGCACCCGCTCCACCGGCACCACATTCTCGACCCAACCTATCTGCCAAACTCGCCTGCTCCAAAGTGGGCCTTTGACAGGGACTTTTACTTTCTCTGCCCGCCGGTGCAGCTGGCCTACACACACCTTCCTGGCACGCCAGACTACCAGTTCCTCGCCACGGGCCCGATCTCGCCGCAGACCTTTGCGCCTCTCCCGATCTACACGCCAGTGGCATACCAGCACCGAATCCGACTGCTCTTTGACTCGCTCACGGACTGCAGCTGCTACGGAGGATACATCCAGGTTCCCATCAGCCCAGCCCTGGCCAACCAGCCCCGCAGACTCAAGATCCAGTGCATCGACGGCACCGGGGCGTTTAGCGAACTTGTGCTCCGAGGAGAGGAGAAGAAGCTGGGCCGCACGAGACGAACGATCTGCCAGGGTGTCTACCAGAAAGCGCTTTGGTCGCCGGAGGGATCAAATGAAGCCAAGGATCAGCCATCCCAAAGCAGCGCTGCTGCTTCTGCTGCTGCTACTGATGCAAAGATGAAAGAGTTTGAAATCGAGTTCAAGACCCTCGGTCTCGTCCGCGACAATTGCGACGGTATCTTAAATGTGTACCTTGGACCCCGGGTGACAAATGTGAGTGCTTTGAGAGGCGATGGAAACCTGGCTCGTACGGCTTCTGTTGCAGGCACCGGTGCGGAGCACATGGTTGCCTCGATCGATGATTGGCCTCTTTCTGAGCTGATGGCAGTTGGATTGTTGAGAACGACGGCTTTCTGTATTTGAATGTGTCGCAGAATCACGGCCCTTTGCTGCGGCAATCGAGTTGACTGCAGCTCTAATGTGTCTCACCGATCCTCTCCTCGCTGAACGCCCGTTGCCTGTCGTCCTGTCCTTGGCTCTAGAATCCGCTGAACACCAATCCGTACTCCCTGGCCATGACGCTGCGGCTGCACTTCACGCCGACTGATGCTTCCAAGTCGCTGCCACAGTCCCATTCGCAAGGAAGGCTGGATCATCTTGCCAGCAACAATGTACCGGCCGGCGACGCCACCAAGGACGAGTACATCACGCTTCACTACAACCCAATCGAATTCGCGGTGCTCTCGCCGCTGTGCGTCAACTTGTCATCTACCGAGCGACAGTCGTTCCTACTGCGCCCCGTGGCTCCCTGCCCGGACGGACTGGCGCCGGCGAGGGTGTTCTTGAGGAGCCCAAGCGGGGCGCAGGTGCCCTTCACATTCGATATTGGATGGAAGTACAAGGAAGGGCCGACCTACGAGCTGATTGATGAGAAAGTCAAGGAGCCCGGCATATGGCAGATCGTCTATGGCCTGGAGAAGGGTGGCTTTGCTATTATTACATGGTATCGAGTTCGATGAAGCATATCCAAATCTCAACCTCGATAGGATGGGCGAAGCGGAAAGCAAATCCATTGAAGGAAATGGCCGGCTCTGGATGATAGCCGACCGGGCAAAGGAAGGTGCGGACAGGGGCCAGGAAGGCAAGTTAAATCAATAAAGAGACAACAACAGCGATAGCAGCATAAAGAGTGTGTGAAAGAATGAGAAGCTGTATATTGGGCGGCAGCGACACAGTAGCAGTAAGCTGGCAGCCCCACAGGCAGCTTTGGTGGGCGAATAGGAGCGCAGTTCACTGGGCAAGTTGCGACAGAATTGAAAGCAGTTCAGAGAACACTCCAACGAGTGCTTGCAACAGCAGCGAGGCCGCGGCAGGTTTCTAAAGGTGGTCGAGGACACAGGGAAGGAGCCGGCGCTCTAGTAGCCTGAGGTATAAAAGTAGTAAGACTCCCAGAAGACTTTGTAGTCGTCCAAGAGGCCGGCGGCAATGGAGATCAAGGGGACTTTGGACATGCCAGCGATCACCGACGACAACTTGGGTCTGAAAAAGAAGCAGGGGAGGGGTAGATGAAAGTGTGTGGGTCAGAGTGGATCACAGACATTGCGCGATGTGAGGACAGCCCTTGCAAGAGTTGGCCAAACAGCCTCAGGCATGCGTGGGGCTCGGTGTTTGGCTCGAGACAATGCTGGTGATTTGCGGTGCAACGGATCGACACGCTTGACGACCGTCCCAGACAACAGCCGTTTGTCACGTCGGCTCGGCCGAAAGCGCATACGAAACAAAGCGTGCTCGCCAACGGATCCGTTGCGGACCAGTATGCTCACCTGGTAACAGCTTCGTAGCAGGGATTGCGGAGCAGATAGAACAAAAAGTAGCTCGCACGCTTTCGATACTCTTCCTTCTCAAGCGAGCTCAGGTTCTTCCTGAAGTTGAGCTTAGAGTCCAGTGAGGCGCTGAAGCTGGCGAGCTCCAGAAACAGCGAAATCGCCCACGGCTTCCAAGATCGACGGCCGTACTTTCGAATCGCCAGAACTTTCGGCATGACCAAGTGGCGAGAATGAGGACAGACAAAGAAAGACACGCGGTTGATCAGAGTGTGCGAGCCACGAGTCAGACATCGAGAGCAGACGAATGCTGGCTCCGATGCGGTTTTCCTGTATCCGCTTCCAACTATAGATTCGACCGCTGGTACGTACCATAAACCAAAGGCCGGAGAATGAACATCCACTCGGCTATGATCCGCTGGCTGGACAACCCTGGCACCAGATCCTGGGGCACGCGATTTGGCTCCGCGAGAGCTCGGGAATCGAGCAATCGCGACAAGCCATCGACGCCGCTGTCCTTGCGCATGACAGAGGAGAGCGACAAGATGTTCTTGCCGGATCGCGGCGCACGCCAGCTGCCGGCAGGGGGCAGCAGGTCGTCCAGGGGATCGACGGGATGCAGCGTGGACATGTCATAGTCCCGCTCCGGGACTTGGGAGTGGAGGATCATCTTGCGATCGGACAGATACAAGAGAGCAACTCGACAAAGAGCCCTGTTGCAGAGTCGATTCACGAGATTGAAGGCGTGAGTGGTCGGGCTAGTACCAGCATCACCAGCATCACCAGCATCACCAGCATCACCAGCATCACCAGCATCACCAGCATCACCAGCATCACCAGCATCACCAGCATCACAGCGAGCACCATCAAAGTCATTCCGTGGCGCCTGCCTACTTTACGATCTCGAGCGCTGTAATGGTGTTCCACTTTGCCTTCTTGCCGCCTGTTCGTTGGGCAACCATTTCCGTCAGAACTTCAGTGAGCTGCACAACGGTGATGGCATAGGCAATCTTTTGATAGAGCGAGGACGACTTGAGCATGGACAGGGTGAAGGAATTGAACTGGGTGGAGGGGCCTTTGAGCCCGCGTTGCTGATCGCGGGCCGACCGAGCCAGGATCTTGTCGTGCCAGAGGCCCATGAGGTTGGCAAAGGTATAGACTGCGGAGGAAGTTGAGCGGACACGTCAGATAGAGCAGCAACATTAGCATCAGCACTCTGGTTCGGCAGGGGTCGCAAGCATCGAACGATGTATCGCAGCAAGAGAATCCGGCAGATTAGAGACTGGGTGTTGACCCGGGATGTTGCAAGGTGCTTAATCTGAGTCACATACGTGCTTCGGAGGCTAGCTCAGAGTCATGGAAACGGCCTTGGCAAGAAGCAAAAACGCAGGTCAGCATCGAGGACACTTTGGGATCAAGCACGAAGATGGGCTAGGTGCTCATCAGTGAGCCAAGTCGGCCAAGGCATCGACGTGGCTAGATATGCAGCTCGAGCACAGAGCCCTGCATGCAGAGAATGATGCAGCAAAGTGCCCGTGGAAGCGACAGCCAGCTCGACGACGAGATCGATTCGGCAGCTGTAGACCCATGGAGCTTGTGACATCGACGCACCAGGGAGTAGATATGTAAGTGACTTGAGGGTGCTCTCCAGTCCGCTGACTTGGGAGGCGTTCCGGAGGACAAACTCTTCGTAGGATTTGATGAACTGCATGGCGACCTGCTTGGATGAGCGTTGGCGTTTCGCGGATCGGGCACGAAGTCACAGCAGCAGATGGGCTTTGAAGATGAGGATGCGCTGACGAGCAAAGGCGTCGGGAAGACGGCGCCGGGTGGTGCTTGGAGAGGAACGAGGGACGTCGTCGTCGCCGCTGTCGCAGGCCTGGGAGCTTGGATGAGGGGGAAGCAGGAAGCGAACGAAAGGGAAGGGAAGAAGCCAACTGCTGGCCTGGATGGCTGTTCGCATGCTTTCACGTGGCGCAAAGGGCGCCAAACAAGCGGCCGCGATGCCGGGCGAGCATGATCCCACGAGACACTTGGCGACGGACGTGCTGTGATGGCCTGGCGCTGAAGCTGATGCAATATACCAAGTGTGTCTCGTCTTATGCGACCCGACATCCTCCGGGCCATCTCCATCGTGAACCTCACTGGCTGCTGATGTTCTCGGCATTCGATATTGGTTTTGGTTTTATGTTTACAGACCGCACATTTTCATCTCTGACGACGACCATGCGATCGACCTCCCCAGACGATGCATCTGTGCTCAGACAGATGCAGCTTGAGGGGTGGGGCCACGCATCTCCCATACCAACATTTGCAATCAGCGACAGCGCCCTTGCCAAATGCTGGCGGTGCCGCCGTATTCCACACAGGAAGCCAACACCCATGCCGCTCCCACAGCCACCCCTCTGTCGAGGTGCAGGGCCGAGGTGCGGCTGGGCTCACGCACTCAGCGGGATTCTGTGCAGCTCAGCGACGTGCTCGGCCTTTCTCACGATCGCCAGCGCCGTCTTGAGTTCGTCACAGAGTTCCTCTTCGAGCATGCGACATCCCCAGTATTGGTTCATACTCGGAGGAGCGCTGGGCTGGATGTTATCCAGCCCAGCCGATACGGAGCCCCTCATGGTCCGCAACTTGGGATTCTGCAGCGCCACCCAGGGCCCCAATGCATCTTCAAAGACCATGTCGATAACCCTGTTTGACACGCAATAGAGCGTCGGATCCTCCATACGCAGGGATTTGAGCATCATTTCGTTGAAGTCGCGGCCAGGGCTGTAGTGGAGCTCGAGCAGGGTGTCGAGGCCGCAGTTCAGCGTGATCCAGAAGCAGCCCGAGAGCTTGGAATGCTCCAGGATCCTCTCAAAGGCCCTCATGGACCGGGCCTTGATGGCATCGGTGAGGGCGTATGAGATGATGGTGACGATCTCGGTCGGATCGAGGTCGGAGCAGATGGGCAGGTTGAAAGCATGGCCGTTCTGCGCCGCAAGCCTGTACAGCCGGCCGTTGAAGCTCAGCCAGCCCGAGGTTTTCGTGGGCTCCTGGTTCCCGAGTGAGACTTCGGAAGGATTGCGGTTGGGCTTGGGGTTTGGATTGACGGATCGATTGACCTGCTCGTAGTTGCTTGCGCTGTTGTTGCGGAAGCTGGACTTGCGGGCCAGGCTCTCGAAGCCCATGCGCGAGCGGCTGTAGTTGGTGGGGGCGCCCTGGCCGAGGTCCTCGTCGCAACTCGGATGGTCGTCCTTTTCATGGGCAGATTCGGCAATGTCCTGGTCGCCTGTGGGCACGACGCCGTGCTTGAGAAGATGGACTTGGTCGATGGGGTCCCGGTCGCCCTCGAGCAAGCTGTTGCCTCGGGCGATGGTGGAGGCTGCGGCCAGCCGTGTCGGGCTCTCCTCGACGATGGTCGAGGTGTGAAAGTACTGGATCCCGTAGATCTTGCCAAACTCCTTCAGAAGCGGAATGAACCGGTAGTGTGTCTCGTAGTGCATCAGACAAAACTCGAGTGCCTCCATGAGCATCTGCAGAACACGGCCGACATCGTTGCGCTTGAAGATGGCGTTGGTGACAGGGCCACCAACGCCGCTGCTGATGTTGCCAAGGCCACCGCCGCCACCCGCACCACCAAGGACCGAGCCAGGCTCGATGGTGCCGGCGAGATTGGTTTGCAGGGCACCGCCGAGTTTGGGCAGGTAGCCCGGGTTCGTGGCGTTGCTTCCGGCTCGCCTGCGGAGCAGGCCGTGGTAGTAGTCGGCCAGGATCGCCATGACGATGAGTGGGTCCTTGTTGAGGATGTCGATGATGCGTGGTTCCTTGGTAAAGCCCCAGCACTGGGCTTCCTCGCACGTCTCCTTGAACTTTTTGGCCGATTCAGAGACATGCACCCGCACCAGCTTGTTCCAGTCCTTGGAGAGCTGGCGGATTTGATGCAGATTCGGGGCCAGATACGACAGAATGATGTGCAGTATCGTGCCTGGCAGGAGCTCCAGCTGGATGATGGGCTTGCTGAGATTGGGGTTGCTGGCGGAGGAAGTGTTACCTGTGGCTAATAGCGGCGTGCCAGGTAGGTCCGAGGTCTGCGTGGAGAGCACCTCATTCAGCTTGCTCTTGACCGGCGTTGACGATGCACTGACATCATTTCCGGACTTGAGGGTATCCTTGCGTCCGAATACCATGGCAGGACGGTCAGAACCTCAGGGATAAAGAGTGGTGATGGTGCGCCGTTGAGTGTCGGATGAACACGGACCTATCCGGAAGCAACAAGCGATGGCCACTGAGCCTAGGGCGAGGGGGATGTGGACAAGCAGAGTATAAATTGTGCTTCTGAGAAGCAGTTTCGCACAGCCAAATCCAGGATGTAAGACGGGAGCACGGGTGGCCACCTACCAACAGAGTGCGCTATACGGCCGCGAGGGGATTTTCTTGGTTTGAAGCGAGACGGACGAGTTCCCACGGTTCGGCACCTAGCGTGCTGCTTATCTATCTGGACGGGCTGCCGACAGGGCGGGAGGGAGGGCAAAAGTGATGCAGGAAGCGGACAGGCGACCCTGGCAAGTGATGCAGAAAGCTACTGCGGGTCGGGGGGGGGGCTGCCACCACAATCGCCGCGGTGGAAACTTCGATCCTCGCCGAGTGCAGCCAATCACGGATGGCACAAAGACGATGGGCGAGGCGTATCGCCAGCGGTTCGGTTGCCTGCGTTGGTGCAGCTTGGATAGAAGGAACTCAATGTTCCTGGACTGGACTCGCACAGACTTGTACGGCACGCAGCATCGCAGACAGACCACAGCTGCATGCAGATCTCACACAGGATCATTGCTGATGCGAGACATCGCGAAGAGGAGGGCCCGGATCAACGCCATGACGATGACCAATGCCCGGGGTTGCACATGCACAATCAGATTGGTGAGGAGCGAGGTCATCATGACGAGCACAGTCCAGCGCACCACCACTGGAAAACCGAGCGGGCGGACCAGTGTGCAGATCAATTATATATATTCAGTCAACACAACGAGTGATTTACTCGTTGCTGGCTCCGCTGACGGGGAACTCAAAGACAACATCCTTTCCGGTGAGCTTCTTGTAGGCAGAGGAGAAGGTGTCAAGCTTGTACTCGAGCGAGGTGTGGTCCTTGCGGTCAAGGAAGCTGTGGCCAAAGAGGGTCGGTGATTAGCAACCGCAGGCTCTAGGCGAAGGTCGTGTTGAGGTCGCAGACACAGCCACATGGCAGAATGATCCGGCTTGGTGGGACGGGACCATCTCCCCGAACGAGCCAGAGAGGCCAAAGCGACGAGTTGAAACAGAGCCGATACGCCGAGTGCTGGCTGCTCCTGACCAGCCATCCTGCATCGACAAACTACTTACACCTTGATGAGCTTGGAGCCATCGACGCGGACCTTGGTTCTCTTGCCGACAATCTCGGTGGGGTAGACGAGATCCTCCAAGAGCTTCTCGTGGACCGAGGTGAGGGTGCGGGAGCGGGGTCTCATCTGGCCGACACGAGCGCCACGAGCGGGCTTGCGGACGATGCGGCGCTGGGCAACGAAAAGAACGTGGCGGTCGGAGAACTTCTTCTCGAGCTCACGGACGAGGCGGCTCTGGACCTTGTGGCACTGCTTGAGCAGAGGGAAGGGGACGAAGATGACGATGGCGCGCTTGCCGTGGCCAACCTCGATCTGGTTCGGAGGATTTGTTGTTACAGACGCACCAGTTAGCAGGGCTACGATTGAGCAGCGGGGAGAGTGCGTCGCAGTTTCAGCACAACTTGAGCCGTTACCTCGCGAGCAGCGGTGATCTGGAGAGCGCGGAGATCGACCTTGAGCTCGGCAACGTTGTTCTCGAGATCAAAGATGTGCTGAGCAATCTGGAGCTCGAGTTCATCGGCCTGCTGGCCGAGGGGCTTGACGATCTTATTGCGGGCGCTCATGTTGGATAAATGTGTCTTCCAGGTCCTACGTACCTAGAGTTCGGGGGGAAGCAGGCCAGGACGATCAGCACCGCTTCTCCGGATCGACGCATGGAGGCCGAGGCGACGCTCTCTGCGACACGCAGCAACCATCCATCCAATCCAGTCCCATCCGTCGGGTGAGCCATCAACCAGCCAACGCCGACCGAGTTCCAGATAGTCGACTGCCACCGTTACTCGTTGATATATATATGCCAATAAACGACGCTGTCGCTGAGTTGAAGAAATGGCGCAGATCACGGCGATCCTATCCGCAATCATCCAGGCCGAGGACGCCTTCGTACAGACTCGCCCAGGACCACACTCCGCATCGGCGACGACAGGGCCGTCAGCGTGGCTGATTGACTCCAAGTTGAACGGCGATCGGTTGGCTGGGACGCAGATGAAGGAGCCGAAATCCAGTGTCGGTTTGCCGCCGATCGGGCGCTGTCGCTACCGACGGACATGACCGCAATGCTCGGAAAGTCTTGGTGAATCCCGATTGCCAGGATGGCCGGCTCGATGGTTGCGTGTCCGGTGCCTCAATGATCCCAATGGACGGATGGATGGATGGACGGGTCGGCGGATGGGTGGATGGACTGACGGATGGACGGATGGATGGATGGATGGATGGATGGACAGCAGCGTGCGTCGCGGACTGGCAACAGACACTTACTCCAGAAACGGACACCTGTTTGAGTCAAACGAAAGGAGGGAGAAACATTTCGCTAATCCCTCGCAAGACTTTTGGGTGCATCGCGGCGGCGCACTGGCCGCTAGGGTTAGGGCCGGCGCGGGCTAGCCACACACACACACACACACACACACACACACACACACACACACACACACACACACTCGCAAATCCATATCGACGATATACACGCATATCCGTGGTGACGATATATAAGTTGCATATCCATGTTGGCGATATCCACTGTACACATGTAGCGACAAAGCATATCCACATCTGGGCCAACCACGTCGGGCTGCGGTCCCACCAGTGCCTCCTGTCCATCTGGCCATCTCTGTTCCCGAGAGGTGCGATTCGCCAACAGGCCTGCTTGATCGACAGCGATTCAAGACGATCCGTCGCAGCCCATATCAGCTCATCGCACCGACACATTGCACCGACACATTGCACCGACATTGCACCGACACATCACAACGGTCCATCGCATCGGCCCATCGCAGCACCAAGGCTCCCGGGCAGCAAAGTCGCCGAGCCGGCTGTTTTGTTTCTGCTCGGTGTATCCCCGCGCTGCGCCTCGGCCGCCTTTGGTCCAGTTCCTGCTGCCCGCCTCGTCATCCGGCGGCCTTGGTGCTCATCTTCCGTCTCGACTCATTCACAACCTTCGCGGACCCAGCAACCGCTTCGAGCCCATCCCCGTCCTCCTATCGCTCTGCAAGCGACCCTCGACCCAGTTCCCAACCATGAGTGGCTACGACCCTTCTTCGATAGTGCCGCCGCCCAGGAAGGCCGTCCCCCTCAGCAGCTCTCCTGGGCCCGGCCACCCTTCCAATGCTACGGGGTCTCCCAACCCCTATGGTGCTGCTTACTCGCCTCAGTCTGGATACAATCAGCCCAGGGAAGCTTACCAACCCGCCTGGGATGGTGGCAGTGGCTACTACAGCCCGTCCCAGCAGGCCACCCAGCTGCCACACCACCAGCACCAGCACCAGCAGCTCCCCTATCCGACCCAAGGAGGAGCCCTCCCTTTCCCCCAGCCCGTCTCTGCGGCCCCGCCTGCCGCTCGCAGCTATCCTTACTACGATGCCAGTGGCCGCCCCATCCAGCACAACGACCTTCCCTTCCCATATGCTGGAGCACCGCCGTCGAATGCCGCACGCAGTCCGTTCCCAACCCCTGTGTCCATACCGGGTTCGCCCAACTACCCTCCAGCAGCGGCGCCATATGTCTCTAACGAGCTGGTCGAGTCCCCAGTCGTATGTATCCGGTCGCATGTCGAGCCTGGCTGCGCTGTCGCTGCTCTGTCAGTTGCCGCCATGCTTGGGTATCGGCCAACTCGACTTGGCGGTTGCCCCCGGTCAGCCTGATAGCATCTCATCCCGTTGGACGGCATGCAGCCGACGCCACGGTATCAGTCGCCGACTCCTTGCGGATGATATTGACGTATTTCACCACCGTCTACCTTGCCTTCATTTTCGTTCATGCCCACAACGCTGCCCGATGCGGCCACCCTGGATATACCCATCGACTTTCTCCGACTTCTGCCTCGTCATCGTCGCCAACCGCAACGCTGCCGCCAATCGGACACCTGGTCGCTGTGGCCATCGTCGCAATGCATGTCGAAACGTCATCTCCCAAACTTCATCCGACATATCTGGGTATTCCCCCCCTCCGAAACCCTCCCAATCGACCACTCGTTGCTCCGATCCCGATGATCATACCGCGGCTGTGACTTATGCTCGACCCCTGGATGGCAATAATGCCGGCTTTGAATCTGCTGCGTGCCTGCTGGGATTCAACCCGTGTGCTTCGCTGGCGAACGTGCGGGCCATGGCTCGTATGCAGATCTCGCCAAATAGCTCGCTTGCGGGTCAGTTTGCACTGCTGAACACTGAATCACGGGCCTCCACCGGCCTCGGCATTCCGACAATGCCCACCCGCAGCATCTCCATGCTGCAACACGGCCAGTCTCTTGTCGGTCGGATGGCCACCAACGGTAGCGATACCACTACGACCAGCGAAGAACCCGGCACTCCCCTGATCGACGGACCCACCCGAGCCAACACCCAGATCAACTCTGCCATGACCCAGGGCCAACTTCACTTTTCGCAGAGCCGATATTACTCGGCCATCCAGTCCTGGTACGGCGCCGCCGACGCGGCCCACCACGAGGGCGACAAGATTGCCGAGTCCAGGGCTATGGCCAACATCTCCTCGGCCTTCCGCCAGCTCGGCTATCTGGAAAAGAGCCGGACGGCCCTCGACGCCGCCTTTACGCTGGCCGGCCGCTTTGTCAAGTCGCAGCGCAGCGATGACCCCTCCAACATCTGGATCATGGCCATCGACAAGTACAACCTCAGCCGGGGCAATCCATATGATGACGACACGCCCGTCACTCGCCACGCATCGACGGCCTCATCGACTTCGACACGCTCGGCCGTGTCTGCCGATGTGGGCCCATGGCTGGTTGTCATGTTCCTGGAGCTCATCAACAATCGCGCCAACCTCGAGTATGTCTCGGGTCGGTTCGATGAGAGCATCAGGCTGCACAACGAGTGCTTGAGCGTCGCGCGTGCGCTCCTGGAGGAGTACCCGCTTCCTGCCGGGCTCCATGTCCCGCTCACCCTCGCGAGCATCGCCAAGGAGCAGCGCCATGGCAAATATCTCCGGCTCTCGTACTTCCACCGCTCGCTGATGCTGGCGCTCGCCCGCGCATTCTCACATCTGGGTGCGTGCTACCTTTCCATGGGCATGGAGAAAATCTCACTTGGCTACCAAGAACAGGCCGCCGCCGTGACCCGGTTCATGGCGTCGCTGAAACCGCCGCTGGAGATCCAAGGCAAGCGCCACTCGCCCATCCTGGCCGCCGATGCCGAGAGGCTCGACATTCAAAACGCCGTCATCTCCGCCAACACGGCCAACACCCACTTCCTGCTCGGCGACAACACCAAGGCCGTTGGACACAACGAGACAGCCCTGCATTTGTTCCGCAAAGTCAAGAGCTCCCTGGGCGAGGCTCGACAAAAGGCCAACTTTGCCGCCATCTCGCTGCAGATTGGCGAGCAGATCAATCTGATCCACTGGGTGAGCTGCTACGAGACCACCAAGCGCCGGGGCGTCAGCGGCCGTTCGCCCGAGTTTGAAAAGTTCCATGGCCCAGTGCGTGTGGCCGAGGTCAACGCCAGCCGGCTCGGAGAAAACGTGCCGGTGTACGAGTCTGGGCCGATGGGCGCGGGCTCGGGATATGTTGATTCGGGGCTCTTCTCTCTCTTTGAGGCGGCCGATACCCTCAAGGTAGCCCAGGACTGGCTGGGCCTCGTAAACGTGTGGATCATGATCGGTAAGAGGGTTTGCGTCGATCGAGACATTGGCCGTGTCTGTGGGGTGGGGCTGTGACCTGCACGATGCACCGGCTTGGGCGGCTGCGACCCTGTCGGATGATTCCATTCTCTTGCCTGGTGCTGACTCTGGGTTCCTCCATGTCCACAACCGCCACTGTGACGGATTGTTGGCGTTGCCCTTTCAATGTCATGCAACTGCTCAGCGAGCGGGTACATGATCCAGGGCCAGCCGTACTATGCCCTCTATTTCCTCGTCCGCGTCATCCAGAAAATGGACACCAAGCAGCGCCGCGGCGAGCCCGTGCCGTCCATTTACGAGGCGGACCACCCGAGCTTCCCCAACTTTGCGCGCCTCCAGCTGTCGTCGGTGCTGTTCCAGATACTCTTCCAGATCAACCGCATCGCAGCTAGCAAGGACGGCGTAACCCTCTTCCCGTCCTACGCCAAGAGCGAGGTCAACAACCTTCCCGTGTACGATACGGCGGCGCTCAAGGAGATGCTCATGGCCATGGGTCTCAACACGCCGCCCGAGTCCTTCAAGAGCTCCGATCTCTTCTTGGTCTTCCTGAACCAGCACACCGAGCTGGTGTACAAGTATGTTCACGAGCGATCTCGGATCTACGGCCTGTTTTCGAACAACGTGCCCTACTACAAGCTCCAGCCACCTCTGGATCTGCTACGGAAGGCGCACATCTCGGCGCTCAACACCCTCAGCAAGCTGCACTGGCACCTGGTACTGCCGCTCGCCCAGAGCTTCGACATGGTTGCCCTCAACAGCAACGTGGAGCAAGCCCAAAACCTGCTTGCCCGCGGCCTCCGTGAAATGGACATGATCCTGAGCTGTCGACAAACCTTTGGGAAAGCTGTGATCGGACAGATGACCTTTGACATCATCAAGAACTACCCGATCGATCGACAGCGCGAAATTTTGGGATACTGCGGCGCCAAGTTTGTGGCCTTGGTTGTCGATCTGAGCTCGTTCGTGACCATGTCGCTCGAGCGCGGCATCGACCTCGAGGTGCCCTTTGGGTACCCGAGAGACTCGATCTTCATGGACAGAAACGTGTTTAACCTGGACCACTTTGAGCTGATGCTCCTGGACAACGCCAAGCAACTGGCCTCGACCAACCTTGGCATCTGCAACCGATGCATCGAAGACATGTGCACCATCGCCAACCGCCACTCGTACGAAGCCACCCAGTGGATCGCCGGAGAGCTGGAAACGCAGGGTGAGGATTCAAGCGGAATCAAGCTGATTGGTATCGATGCCCTTGAGCTCCTCCGCGACCGATCCAGGCTCAACTCGGGAGAGTGTGAGTGCGTCAAGAAGGCCAAGGAGCAGGCCGCACAAGTTGCCGCCAGCAAGGTTTAGGGGGCTGCTGCTGAGCCAAAGGGATCCGGCTCAAAGGATTCCGGCCAGCAGGCTCCGAGCGCCCTCGGCTGTGCTCTACCCGCACACTTGCTTCGTCGACCCATCGTTCCGTCGGCGGTTGTTGTGGTAGCTCCGTTTCGCTGAGTTATTCGCTCGATCTCGCATTTTGTTGTTGTTGCCGTTAGTTTCGGCGATCTTGTCGTCCCCCTGGCTTCCTCCTTCCTCCTCCTCCTCCTCCTCCTCCCTCAAAAGAAAAAACAGCGAGCACTTTGGAATACAGTATTTGATGTGAATGGCGCCAGTCACTGTATTCGTTTCCTGTCACGCTGTTGCAATGTCGCGGATGGACGTCGATCAGTGTAGCGATCTCGGTGGTGATCAGCTTGCATACCACGAGTTGGTGCCTGGACATGCTGTACTCCATCGCCCAGGGGATAGAGATGGACATTGGATGGGCGAACATTCACATCCACGGTTTCCCCAGATCGAGGGTCGAATGCGTATTGTATTCCAGCGCCGTGATTTCCCCCATTTCAACAGAAGGGCAGTGGCTGGTGTGGAACCTCACTTGTTAAGGGCAGCCATCATGTTGGTGGGGTATCGGTCTCCGCTGACCTCGAACGAGTCTAGGATCTGGCGAACGGCGGCCTTGTCCTCGGCAGTGATCTCCACATTGGCAGCCCCCATGTTCTCCTCGAGGTACTTGACCCGCTTGGTGCCGGGGATGGTGATGAAATCCTCGCCCTGGGCCACGACCCAGGCCAGGACGAACTGGGAGGTGCTGACGCCCTTGGCCTTGGCGATCTCTTCGAACTTGCGGACCAGGTCGAGGTTCTTCTGGAAGTTGTCGCCGGCGAAGCGGGGGCTGAAGCGGCGGTAGTCGTCCGCGGCAAAGTCGTCGAGGCTCTGGTACTGGCCCGTGAGGAAGCCGCGGCCGAGGGGCGAGTAGGCGACGATTGTGACGCCGAGCTCGCGGCAGGCATCGAGCAGGCCGTTGGTCTCAATGTCAAGAGTCCAGGGGCTGGAAGTTTGGTAAGACGCAAAAGCACAGGGTGTCAGTCGGAATGGCACCGGAATGGCGCGGTGATGAGCCAGTGGTGGGTCGACCGAAAAGTGTCATTGGACGAGGTGAGCCGAGCAGCCCTGAATGACTGTCAAACCATCGGCTGCTCGCAAAGATATCTGATCTGATCGGACTGCGTACCTGTATTCGACCTGGACGGCAGCAATGGGATGGACGGCATAGGCACGGCGCAAAGTGTCGCCGCTCACCTCGCTCAAGCCGAGATACCGGACCTTGCCTTCCTTGACAAGTTCGGCCATGGCGGCGACGGTCACTTCGATGGGGCTGCGGGTTGAATGACGAGATAGCGAGACGAACGAAAGACGATGAGGTGCGGGAGCAACGTGCGAGGTGGCCGAATGGATTGTACCAACCAACGAAGTGATATCCGCCAAAGGTGATATCCACAAAACGGACAATGGCAGCTCCCCGCGATCGACTCGTCTCACTGCTCTGCGCTGCTTCATCGCCCTCTCGCGACTTACATATTGGGATCCGCTCTATGAAGGTAATAAAGGTCGATGGTCTGGACTTGGAGCCGCTCGAGCGATGCCTCGCATGCTTTGCGGACATACTCGGGCGTACCCGAGAACCCTCGCACGGTCGGGTCGGTGCGGTCCCGGACGATGCCGAACTTGGTGCACAGGAAGACACTGTCGCGGCGGGTGGCAAGGACCTTGGCGAGGAGCCGCTCGTTGTCGCCGTATCCGTAGCTGCAGGCCAGCCGGGGTGTGGTTGCCGATGTCAGCGAACGATCGTCCATTTCACTCACTCGACTGTCCGGTCGGCCAGCATCAGTCCAACTCACATGTCGGCCGTGTCCCAGAACGTGGCGCCGAGGTCGATGGCTCGATTGAGGACGGCGATCGACTCTTCGTCGTTCGAGGCTCCGTAGAACTCGCTCCTGTATGGATGAGCAGCCCGAAGCGCGAGCGGATAGACCGATGCGTGGTGAGAATGATAGAGCCGATTGGGGACAGCGCGCCGATGCCGAGGAAATGGAATCACCGACAACATGGAGACTCACATGCCCATGCAGCCGAGGCCGATTGGGGAGACAAGGGGGCCGTTGCGACCGAGACGGATCTGGCGGGGAGACATGTTTGTGGGGCTGGAGCAGCGACGGGGGGGGAGACTTTGGTCAAAAGTGGATGGACGTAAGGCGGGATGAGACCAGCCCGGAGCTCTTTTTATCGCCGTTCCGCTGCCAGCGCGGCCATGAACATTGAGCCTGATCTGAGAATTCCAAAGCCACCCGACAAAGCCGCTGGTATTTCTGCCTGAATGATCGCATTCGCACGAGCGCCGCCACCCCGCTTGATGGCTGCGGCAGCCGTCACGGCCGGTGCTTCATCCGCACGCAGGCCCAGTTCCCATGGGTTCGGTGGGTGCATCTTTGAAACCGGACACTTCCACACACGGATGTCCTGCGTGGGTTGTGTGAACCAGACGACTTTGATCGGCACCCGAACTCCATGCATCTCCCTCACCCAGTGAAATGATCGACTACGCCGTGTTTGTCCGAATGAGACAATGTGTCCTATTTTTCTTCCAATACGTAGTATACACTGTATTCAGGGGGAACTGAGACACCTGCCCACAACCCATTTGTCAGCGTAGTATGCGATGGCATGCGTCTAGCTATGCCATAAGAAATATAACATATCACTTTGGCAGCCTCCGAGTGAACACCACCGGTCGCAGTGCAGCGATGCGGGAATCGAGGGTGCTGTGTTTGGTCATGAATGCAATGAGTGGGTCTGTGTATTCAGGTCACAGAAAAAAACCCTGGCATGGCTCAAAACGGGGGTGTCCCATTTCATTGTGGAAACGCTGGAATGGCAAGGCACCAGTCGGCCATGTCACCCAAGGCCACCCAAGGTCACCCACGGGGAGACGGATTGATTCATTTTTCGCAGACATCTTTATTGTGGTATTTTGTTCTGTTTTGCACCTGGAAAGGTGTGTGTGACTCTGTGGTCTTTTTCTGGTTCACTTTCAATAACCGAGGCCCAGCGGGCACGCTCGGCAGCAGCAGCAGCGACGAGAGAGATAATCAACCCACCCACACCAAAGCGCAATCAATCAAATCAAGCAGAATGCCACCAGGTCGAGTTGTCGATGTGTTTGGGGCGCGGTGGGGTCGAAGTCGGGGTCGTGTCCAGATGATGCAGAGTCAGTTGCGACGATGATGATGATCCCAGTAATGCGAAACCTGACACGACTGTCGGGTGCGATGAGCTGCCTCTGCCGAGTCGATATGGTTCAGGGTGCAGCTGACAGTCGGGATGATGTTCGGGGGTCGATATTGCCTCCGCTTGGATAAGGGCTGTCGATAGCAAGCAGTTGCCCGCCCACCCCAAATCCGCAATGAAACGAAAAGGATCCCGCAGCAACTATAGAATACTCCCTATGGCATCAATAAAAGTCATACAAGAACACACAGAGGGGGAGGGGAAATACTCGTTACCTATCCGGCATCATCATCATCGTCGTCGTCGTCGTCGTCATCGTCGTCATCGTCGGTTGCCGAGTCGCATGAGGTCAAAGTTGAAGGTTGCGGCGTCGAGGGGAGGGAGTTGGCCCCGCCAAAGCGCAAGCCGAGCATGATGCTGATGCATAAGGGTAAGGGCACAGACAATGCCCCGCGATAACCCGTTTTCGGAACTGTCAAAAACTGGCAAGGTTTTTACAGGGAAAAGGGTACCGACAATACCCCGCATTGACCCTTTGCTGGCGGACTGGCGGTTTTGGGGAGGGGAGAGGGAGAGCTTGAGGGAAAAGGGTACAGACCATACCCCGCATTGACCCTTTGGCTAGTGGACCTGGCTTGAGGGAAAAGGGTACCGACTATACCCCGCATTGACCCTTTGGCTGGTGGAACTGGCTTGAGGGAAAAGGGTACAGACCATACCCCGCGATGACCCTTTGGCTGGCGGCTGAGGAATCTTCAGGGAAAAGGGTACCGACTATACCCCGCGATGACCCGAAGAGGCAGCTAGTGATGTGACGACGATAGAGAAAAAAGAAGAAAGAGACAGACTATTCCACGAGGGAACCGGTTCCGGGAAGCGGATGCTGGTTAATGTTCCGATGTAGCCTCGCAAGCATGGTAGTGTTATTACCACACCTTTCCGGCAGGAGTCACAGACCGAAGTCGTATGTACAAACCCATGTTGCGCTCACAGCGCACAGTTCGAACGGACCAGGCCGTCCGGATTGCGGCTGTGAACGAGATTCATCATTAGTATCACAAAGACCAGCAAATGGGGGAGGGTGTGGGAGGGGACTGGCATCCGCATCAGGCGAGAGCCAGGGAGAAAGGAATAGGGTGGCGATGGAGGTGTGGCGGAGAAGGGAGTCTATCTGCAAGTCAAGGCGATGGATGGCGGTGGAGATAAAGGCAGCGGAGTGACCAGTGTATCGGAAAGGCAAAGAGAGAGAGAGAGATGGGAAGGGATATGAAAAAGCAATCTACCAAAAATCATTAAAAGCTTGACAGTTGTATCAAGGAGAATCAAAGAAGGATGTGAAGGAAGAGAGAGGGAGGGGAAGCAAACCCGGGTGCAGGACACGGGCTGCTTATTCACTTGACGGACGCTTGACCTTGCGAGGGACCGTACTTGGGCAGCGGCGCTTGCCGCCGTAGAGTTCGGGGTCGATGCTGTGCTTGGGCGACGAGGGCTCGACGTTGCCGGCAATCTCGGAGGCTTCTTCGGGCGAAGACTTGTGCATGCTTTGCAGGTGGCGGCGGAGATCGTGGCGGCGGGCAAAGGCCGACGGGCAGTACAGGCAGCTGAAGGGCCGCTCGCGACAGTGTGTTGATCGCACATGCGAAATCTGCACACACACATCAGGAGACAGGGGACGAGGCTCAGTGCACTGCGTCAACGACCCACAGCCGGACCTGGGCGTGCATCAGTCGGGGTGCGAGACTTACCAGATTGTAGCGTCTGGTGAACACCTTGCCGCAGCCGTCGATGGTGCATGTACACGACATCCTTGAGGGAGTGGGCATCTTGGCAGGCATGGAGTTTTTCGGGATGGCGACGGGACACGACATGGCTGGCGAGCCCGAGTGGCTTGAGATCGGGGTCATCAGGCCACCGAGGGAATCCACAGGCAGGTCCATCGAGATGGTGCTGGGAGAGATGCCGGCGGGGGCAAAGGCATCCACAGAGGCACCGAGTGGGCCCGAGACGGTCTGGAAGGAGGTGATGGAGTCGATCGAGGAGCTCGGGCTGGCCAGAGGGGTGTCAAAGAGGAAGTTGCCGTGGCCGTGGCAGTCGGAAGATTCGCAGAGCGAGTCAGGGGTGAAGTAGCTCAGATCGAGATCGGAGGAGATGGGCGAGATGGGAGGAGTGAGCGAGTCCATGGCGGAGCAGTCGCAGCCGAGGCTCTGGATGGGGGACGAATCGAAGGAGAAGGCGGCGGACTGGTCGACAGAGCAGGAATTGCACATCTCCAGGGCAAAGGAGGGGAAGTTGAGGAGCTGCAAACTCTCGCTGTCGGACATGTCGGGGAAGATCTGGGTCGAGGGATCGGAGGAGACAGGGAGGATCGAGTCGCCCATCCAGGCCGGAGGCGGCAGCGAGGCAGCGGCGGCCTGGGTGAGCTGGTTGGCGAGGGACTGGGCGATCAGAGAGTTGGAGAGCAAGGGCAGACACGAGGAGGACGACGAGGACGAGGAGAGCTCGGGCGAGGCGGTCATGGGCTGGGGCGATTGGGAGGCCGAGGGAGCCATGAGGGACGGCGAGCGGAGGAGGCAGCCGACAAACTCAAGCGGCTCGATGTTTTGCTTTTCGGCGATCATCTGGACGAGGGCACCAAGGATTTCGGCAGTGTTGGAGGGAGAGCCAGAGGGCGACTGGGGCTTGGACGAGGGCATGTAGAAGTTCATGGCGAAGAAGGGAGGGCGAAGAAGGGCTATATAAGCAGAGGCAGGGCAACGCAGGGCAGAGCGAGGACAGGGCGATGACGTGTCCGGAAGAATGACGTGGGGCCGAGGGAGGCGGAAGGACCAAAGGACCGTGGGGCGATAAGGCGACGTGGCAGGACCGAAGGCCAATCGAGGGCGGGAGGAAGGACCAGGCTGAAGCGAAAACGCTGCGGGGCGAACGAATATAATATGAAATCAGCGATCCGCAGGCAGGCGGGAGGGATCTTCCGAACACCCGGGACTGCCCGAGAGGCCGCGCCGAGGCCGCCTCGGCGCCAGCGAGAACCCTGCTCGGGGGCCTCTCGCCACCCACCCGCCGCTGTCGCCGCTGCGCGCCCGCACTGGCCGCCTTGCTGCCTGCGCAGACCAATCGCCGCCGCGCGGCGGATGATGTCATCGTGCCGCTGCTGCGCTGCGCATTATTAATGTAGTGCAGCCCAGCCTTGTGCGCGCCGGCACGCGTTGGCTGCTGTCGCACCGTGCCTGGTCGCGCTCGGCTTGTGTCTGGCTTGTGTCTGGCCTGTGTCTGGCTTGTGTCCAGATTGTGTCTGGGCTGTGTCTGGGCTGTGTGGCACAAACAAAACTCTCGGCCAAGTAGCGCCGGCTGCGATTGGCCAGAATCGGCCCTGTGCGGCCGCGGCTCTCATGTGCGTTGTGCTGCAACGGCACTGGGGCGGCAAGGCGAGAGCGCAGCAGGGCCGATCAGGAGACGTCGCTGACCCAGCCGGGGACGAGCCTGGTCGAGCGCGAGGCCGAGAACGAGAGCGATAAGGAGGGCGATAGCGGACGAGCAGAGCGATGCTCGTCGGGACACGGCGGGCGGTCGCTGCGTCGCCGGGGTCGAGGTTGGGGGGCCCCCAAGCGGCCGTCTGGCCGATCAGATGCCTGATCATCTCGCGGATCATCTCGCGGGCAGTCTCGCGGACAATCTCGCCGTGACATCATGGCACAGGACCGCACAGCCGTCTTGGGGCACGTTTTCTTTGGCGGCGTGGGACCGGGCAAGGCAGGCCTGCTGCGGGAACCTGTTCTCCTGTATCTGCCGTCGCTGTATCCGCGCTGTGTCTGTGCTGCAGCCCTGTGTGGTCGATACAAGGTTTGTGTCGACACAGACGCCCAACCCCAGCTTGTTCCCACCGCCTTGCCCCGTGCGGATCAGCCCCAGCCCCGTCCAAACACGGCCGAGGCTGTGTGGCCTGTCCCACCCGGTTTTTTCTTCTCCTTGTGGCTCTCCCGGTGTCGGTGTGGTGGCTCCTCTGTCGGCGTCTTGCTGCTCGCACAGCACAGGGCCGTCGACACCCCCACTGTGTGTTCTTCCCGCCCGGCACGCCGGTCAGATGGCCGCCTTCTTGGCCCGGCCTGGCGCAACCCGCCCTTGTCGGCGTGCCCTTTGGCCTCGTCTGCGCCGTGGGGCTTGGCGTGTCCCTCTGGCCCCAGGGCCATGTTGCGCCGGCCAAATGTCCGCCTCGGTCATGGGCGAGTGTCTGCCTCGCCGTGGGATCCAGGCATTTCGCTCCAATCCCAGCGGCGGGATCAGAGAATCGGAAACTTCCAGCTTGCGGATTTATTCAAAGTGCACCACTGGGTGATATCGGGCCTATGCGGCATCTCCACCGAATTGCCGCCATGAGAAACGGGCCGAGCATGCACCCAGCCCCCTGCTTCTATCGCATCGGTACGCCCCGCGCCCTGGCAAACCGGACCAGCGACTCGCGGATCTTGCTGTTGCGGTTGCGGCTCCACATGGCGTCGGTCGACTGATCCAGCTCGTTGGTCGCGGGGCTCTCGTACGAGGCCAGCACCGTTCGGAGCAGCCGGGCGGCTTCGTCGGCCTGTCGTTCGCCATAGACGTGCTGGTTGCCTGTGCGGACAGAGCAGCGTGGTCAGTCGTCGATGGCCACGGCGATCTCCCATGCCAAGAGAGCATCGCCACCGCAAATCCCATCAATTGCATCGGTCGCATCGATCACGCCGAACCTATCAACCGCATCGGCCCATCGCCACCATGACCGAATCGACCCCGGCATTGCAAATGTCGGCAACTTGGCCTCTCTCCTCCCGCTTCCTCTTGTCCTCGCCCATTCGCTCCTCTGGTCATTCCCCCCGCCATTTGAAATCGCCCATGATGTCAGCCCGTGCTGGCCAGCCATCCGCCGGCGCTCCCCGACATGCGCTGGCAGGCACCTCGTTTGGCCCCATCGCAAAATCTTCTCAGGCGGGTCTATCTGCCTTCCCAGCCCACACGCAGGCATCCACCCCCCCCATCATCCTCCTCGCTGGCCTTTGCCCCTGGTCGATGCATGCGCTCACCCTCCCCTCCCGCCATCGGCATTCTCCCGCTCATTCTCCCCCCCCCAATCCATGCATCCACACCCTCCACGCTGGCTTACCGAGATCTTGCATCATCCGCTGGTAGAAAGAGCTGCCCCGGCGGAACCGATCCACCTCGCTTTCAAGAATGGCTGCAATCTCCAGGGTTGCTTCCTGGAAACACAGTCGGTCGTATCGCTTGATGCCCTCGGCAGCCTTGCGCCGTGCAACATGGGTGATATTGATCTCGAGCGGGCTGTCAGGCACAAAGTAGGCGTTGAAGATGGTCCGGGCTTCGTGCGCTTGCTCCTCGTATGACCGGTGGTTGCGCTGCTCAAAGTCTCGGACGTCGCTGATAAAGAACTGGGTATTGGAGAGCAAAGGAGATGACAGCGGGATGGCGAGAGCAAGAGACATGGCAGAGACGCGGAGAGTGGGAGATAGGTTAGAGTAGGACATGATACCCTCAGCGTCCGTTCCACTCTGCTTCATGAGCACCATCGAGTTGCATGGACCATGCGGCAGCCGAGACATGAGAATTCCGCCTCATCGACGAGCCATTCCGCCCAGCCTTTCGAGGACCCTCCCCTCCCCTCCGTCCCCGACAACTCGCATCCATCTGTCGTCGCTGCACCGGCGTCTGCTCTATCCTTACCAGAGCCTCGGCGTTCTGCTGGCTCAGCAGCATCGCCATAAAGTACAGCACCGGCAGTCTGGACTCGAGCAGCGTAACGAGGCCGTTGCTATAGACTTCCCGCAGACTGACGTCCAAGGGACACGAGTCGCCCATGATCACCCGGAGCTTCGAGACCGACTGCGTCGTCGACATGAGCGGATTCAGCAAGTGCCGCTGTCGTCGGTTGCCCCAGTCCGGAGCCGTTGTGGGAGTCGTTGTGGGTACCAGCACCGGCGGCTCGGGATCGTCGGCCGTGTCCAGACCCAGATCCAGACCCAGATTCAGGGCCTGCCCTGGTTCAAAATCGTCGATCGATGGCATCCGGGACAGCGTCGAGGCCGGCTCGGTCGCGAGGGTCGAAGCGGACTGCTGGCGGTCCTGGTGGGGGCTGATGGCCTCGGCCACGAGCTTCCCGTGAATGCTGGGGATGTTGGTGATGTTGGGGATGCTGGAAGTGCTGGAAGTGCTGGGACACACCAGAGCCCCCTCCGACGCCGTCCCGGCCGACGTCGAAAGGCTTTGGGATGTGCTTTTGCGCCCGAGCCAGTCGGCGCGGTCGCATGAGGGCTTTCTGCTCCATGGTAGCAGCATCAAGGACGATCCCCGGGACGAGAACGGCTGCGAATGTTCCTGTGGCTGCGACGGGTATTCTTGTGGCGCTACCAAAAGCCCAGGCAGCGGGCACTGTTGTGAGCATTGTTGAGGGTCGGGCTGCTCGTTGTGCATCCGCTGTTCCTGCGGATGAGGCACATGCTGCGGACCCTGTTGCTGCGATGGCAAGGGGGCCGTTGTTTGGCTCGGAGCCAGCGGCTGTGGTTGTGGTTGTGGTTGTGGGTGCGAGCGATACAGCGACGACGATCGCTGTTGGTGCTGCCGTTGCTGTTGTTGTTGTTGCTGGTGGTGGTGGTGGTGCTGTTGCTGTTGCTGTGTCTGTGGATCGTTTGGTGATGGTGGCAGCGGCGTCGACAGCGACAACGGCGACGGCGGCGAAAGCGGCTGATATCCATAAAAGTTGCTGAGTTTCGAGGCCGAGCCTGTGCCGATCTGAAACCCGATTCGAGAGTCGCCAAAGAACTGCACGGCCTTGTCGCGGGATTTTTGATCCCTGACGTGGTAAACGAAAGCGTCTGAGTGTCGTGTCGGCGGGAGCGACGGCGACGACGGCAGCGGCGATGGCGACGGTGATGGCAAAGGCGATGGCGATGGCGACAATGGAGCGCCGGGTAGCGGCAGCGGAACCATTAGGAGCTCGGATGAAGTTGGGATAGCGGTGCATTTGGGAGCCGGGTGCTCGCGGTGCTGCGAGGAGCCGTGGGATCTGTAAAGCAGCGTCATGGAGCCGAGGCGAGTTTCGTTCAAGTAAAGAAAAGGGTTTCTGGGGGATCGCGACAAAAGCTCCACACTGGCGATGGCGATAGTCGATCGGATGATGGCAAGAGTTGCAAATCAATCGGGGAGGACAAGCAGAGTCTGCAACGAAGGATGCTGTGCAAGGAAATGCCGGCGATGGGGTTTTTGTGTGTGCAGCCGACGCTCGAGGCGGGGGCAGTGGTCGTGGTGAGTGGGAAAAGGGGTCTGACCGGCGGAGAAGCAGACGGTCGGGATGCGGTGGGCGACGGTCACTGCGACTGTCTCCTTCCCTGTTCTCCCTCATTCAGAGGCCGTGCAGGGATATGAACAGCGGCAGTGCACCGGATCCGCCGTCAGCACGAAAGTTGTGGTGAGAAAGCAGCCTCTGGCGATTGGGGGTCGGGGGGGGGAGGAGTTGAGATGGGTGGGCCACACTTGCCAAGGCAACTGCTTCAGTAGCTGTTGAGAGCCCGGACTTGAGGGGCGACGAAAGGGAGAAGCACCTCCCTCCGATTGAGCGAAATTGGGCCTCGATGGGACAGGAGTCGGACCGCATGAGACCGATGTCAGACTTTGAGGGAAGTGGGCAGACAACAGCATGGGTTTGTGGGCATGTACGAGCGGTGTTGGGCCGAGTCGGGAGAGGCGCTTGGGCTGCACCCTGGTACTTTGATCACATCTTGCGCGGGGCTGCTTCAGCGAGTCGGCGACGAGGGGTCGAGCCGGTGCGGGGTACAGGGACCGACGGCCGCCCGTTCGGTTGGCGAAGGTTGCATTCTATCGGCGGTCGGTTGTTCATGTTGCCGGTGGGAATCATCGCCAGCGATGCTTGCAGCGAGAAACGGCACCTTCGGGCGACATCACAGGACCCTCAGCAGCGACAACGGAGATACGAGTGGACGGGTTGATCTCGGGCCAGGGCCGGCGGAGAGCATGCGGCCGCCGAGGGAAAGAGGCAAATGTGCACTCCCACCTGTTTCCCGCTCGTTACCGCATGGCGACAGCCGCAGATGGTGGATATCGACCTCGGCGGGCCATCCATCCGTCCATCCGTCCATCCGTCCATCCGTCCATCCAGCAACCAAAACAGGCAGCAAGACCAGCGACGACACCCCATCAGCCGGCCGGCAACATCATCGCCCGCTCTCCACAACTCTTTCCTCCGTTGTGCAGATGCGAATCAACACAGGACCGACCAAGCATCCGCTCGTCACTTCAAGACAGACAATCAGGGCCTTAGTCGATGGATTGGCCCACAAAGAAGCTCCAATCACAGCCTGGCTGATGGCAGTAGCAACAGCGGCACCAGCGGCAACAGCGGCAACAGTGGCAACAGCGGCAAGGCCAGTCCAACCTCCATTCACGCACACATCTGGATGAAATAGCACGATGGAACGATGGCGTGTCCGTGTTGACCACGGCGGCGACGATGAATACTCATATTGGGCACTCTTGGGCTGCCTCTCGTTCACTGTTTCGGCGCATCAGCAGCAGGAGATCTGTTGCGTTTCGTTGGACCGAGTCCGCCACTGCTCATCGAGATATGGAAAGAAGATGGCCGCCGTTTTATTCAACCGCCCTCGCCCAAGCGCACTCTTTGGATATCGGGCGCCATTCGATGAAACAGATCAGGCAGCCGCCAAACGCCGATCCGTGGAATAATGATGCCAGTCGTGCCTCACCTCTTGCCGGAGCATGCCGTCTTGAACTCTTCCCATTCCTTCAGACACTTTGACCGATCGCCTTTCCACCATAGCCAAAGCCGGTACCAGCGTGAATAAACGGAAACGTGCCATCCATGACCACAGAACCAGTGTTGCCGAACGAATCGCAGTTAAAGGGTCGACGGGACCGCTGCAATTGCATGATTGTCGTGTGTCTAGATAGTGGGGATCCCATCCAGACGGCTGCTCGTCGGACCCGGCCTCTACCTTGGTGCTTGTCAAGACACTCCCGCAGAGGCTTGTAGTCGCAAACCTGGACAGGGGTCGTCTCCTTCTCAGCGTTCATGGCCTTCGTGATCAACCAGCGCGAACGAAAGCTGGCAGCCGAGAGCGCCACGCTCTCGATCTGTGCTCTCGCGAGAGGACCATGATCACGGGATGGCACGTGCACCCTCTGTTCTCGCCGAGAGGCTCATGGTTCGTGGCGCGCGCTCCCACCAAAAGGACAGCTCCCTCCCAGGCCGCCGATGCGCTTTTGCTCTCTGGATGCTCGCTCGACCTGGCCATGGATCCTCCGGCATTTACTCACAACTCTCGCAAGCGTCTGCACACCGAGCCGCAGTCTCCGCCCCATTCCTGCGGCGGGTTTGCCCTCCCGGTCTCGCCCAGGTGCAAGCCCCAGCCGCTCGCGCGTCGCCCAAGCACTCTCTACGACCACCGCTATCTGCTTGTCAAGATCTCCTTTGCGCTGACCATCCTGAGCATCTTTTGGATCCTCTGGATTGTCCTCAAGCTCAAGGCGCATCCATTCTTTACCCTGTGGGAGCTCACCTACACCGATGCCGACGAGCGCATCTCGATTCTGCAGATCCGCAACGACTGGAAGATCATCGTCCCAGATTCGCGGCTGCCCGAGGCAGCAGACGACGCGCGCCTTGATCAGCAAAGATTGCCGCTCCAGCCCCAAACGCAACAGCAATCGCAGCAGCTGGGCCCGCTGTGGGCTCGTGGCGATCGCAAATCAAAGCTCGTGCCCGTTGCATTGCTGCCTCAGCGATATTCATGGCTTTCGGCAAACACAAGATGGAGAGAGCTGTTTGGCGCGTCCCCGCGGGTGCTGATGGCCATCCAGACATCTCAAGGCCATGCCGTCTCGCGGGTGCCGGTTCAGATGGTCACCTTCTTGAAAGGCCACAGCTTTGTCCTTCTTGCGCGCGAGCCCGGCGTCAGCGTTTCGAGCCACCATGCCCTGCACATCTCTCCGCAGTGGATTCCAGAGACCGCCCCAGAGATCCCTGAGGATGGCTCGGGTACGCCAAAGCAAGTACTCTCAGACCCGGCCCTGGTCGCTGGCAGCCGCGACGGCCTCCAATCGGCACAGCTCCGGTCGCCTGCCGTTACTTCAGTCCATCGATCCCACAGCAGCCCGTCACCCGGCGCCTGGACGGCTCTCCAGCGTCTCCTCGCTATCGGGGTCCTCTACGATTCCCACCCGCACAGCGACTGGTATCTGCTCGCGGACGACGAGTCCTATGTGTTTGTCCAAAGCCTGGCCAGCCACCTCGCCTCGTTGGACGCCAGTAAGGAACACTATCTCGGCTCGATCCCGATGCCACAGACCCAGGAGGCCCAAAGCAAGCCTGTGTCGTTGCTGGAGGCATTCAGTCCAGTCCATCCACTTGCAGTCTCCCGACAAGCCGCCAAACGCATCTCGACGGAGCTCGAAAAGTGTCTGCGCAGACATGAGCGAGATGGAGACCCTGCATCGGAAGCATCTCAACCCACAGACGCATTGCGCTGCTTGCACAGCATCACCATTCCCTCCGCCAGCGAGCTGCCGGGGACTCTCCGCTTCAAGGCGGCGGCATCCGCGCTCGCCACCGACCCAAGCTCTGCCAAACCGCCAACTTTCCCGCCGGTCTCTGGGCCGTGGCCGGCCGATCCCTGTTTGGCGCCGACTGTGCTCTCTGGCCTGGCCCCACAAGACATCCAATGGCTGCACCGTTTCGAGGGACGCATCCACAACTATGGCCAGCTGCTCGAGTGCATTACGAGTGGAGAGATTTCAAAGAGCAAGGCTGTGCAGGACTATCGCAGTGACATTGGTGTCGCTCGCGGTGCCGTCGTCAGCGCCCCGTCGGCCGACTCTTGCCGCGATGCCTGCATCCAAGACGATGGCTGCCAGACCTGGGCTTATCAAAACGCCAACACATGTCGACTGACGGCCGGCATCGACCAGAGTGTCGCCGACCTCGGCACTGGTTTATGGGGCATTATCGCCAATCGCTACCAGTGCCCCCTGTGATCAACGCAGTCCCACAATCGACTGTGGGAGTGACCGTGTTGCAGCGAGCGAGTCGAATACATCAACGCAGCAATCGGCTGGTGGTATTTGTGGGGGGGGGTAGTAACCTCCCTGCCCCGGCGGTATATCAGCAACAGCGAGCATTGTCTGGGAGTGCAGGGAGCGCATGTGCAAAGGACAACCAAGTACAAAGCCATCCACCGCCAGCGCCATTCGAACACGACAGGAAATATACGATGTGAACCGAGATCGCAGCCACGACTATGTACTGGCGGAATAAACAGACCATATCAACGAGTATCCAGAAGAGCGGGTGGCTTCAGCTTGGAAGTTCGTTGTAGTGACGTGTATTCGCGGTTGGCGCTGCGGGTGAGAGCGGGGCGTGAGCAGCGAGTGGACAGGGAATGAGGATAAGGTCCGATTCACAGGACGGGTAGAGTAGCGCCTCAATGGGGCTTGCCGTGGTGCATCGCCAGCTCAACTTGCGCAGAATTGCGGTGGTGAAGCAGGAGTACTTGATTGCTACCATCGACGCCACACGGATGCGATCGGGCCCGCTTCGAAACATCAAGCTGACTTTTCACTTGATTCTTTGCTGCTAGATTCCTCGCTACTAGATTCCTCGCTGCTCGATTCCTCGCTACTAGATTCCTCACTGCTCGATTCTTCGCTACTCGATTCCTTGCTACTCGATTCCTCACTGCTCGATTCCTCGCTACTTGATTCCTCGCTGGTTGACTCATCGTCGGATTCTTCGCTGCTGGAGCTGTCATTTCTCTCCTCGTGCGATGTTCCGGAAGCAGGTCTCTGGCTCTCGTCGGCCAATCCCTCGGCATGACGAGGATCTGTTGCAGTCGCAGCATCCTCCGAGCCGTTCGTCCGCGACATCCACCTGTACTTGCCCGCCAGGCGATTGGTAGCTGCGATGGTCTCTTGCCTTGGTGCTTGCGGATCACTGGCGACTGGCTCTGCTTGAGACACGGAAAAGTATCTCCCTCCTGCTTTGCCGTGTGCCTTCACCCGCTTCGGCATCCGCTCGGAGGGCTGGTCGTTGATCTGGGACTCGGCCCACTTTCGCTTGCGAGTCAAGCGGACATGGTTCCTTCCAGAGGTCGACATGCTCGGCTCTGCTGACCCACGACACCTGCGAGCACTCGAGGCAAGTCGATCCGCAAACTCATTGCCGGGGTTTCCCTCATGCGATTTGATCCAATACATCCAGAGCCGGCCCGTCCGAGACTCCATCAACGCTTTGATCTGAGCCACAACCGAGTCGTCCCTGAGCTCTTCGCGGTGCTTGCATCCTTCCATTGCTTGTGGTTCCATTTTGGTAAGGAAAGAGTCCCCCCCCCGATCCGAGAACATGGGAACGGTGAGCTGTCATCGCCTTTGACACCGCCAAGTGATGCTCGTCCTGACTGGTTCGCACATATCGCTCACAAGAACCTACCTGCGATTAGTTCCTTGCAGTCCGACACGATCACCAAATCCAACGTCGATCGCTGGAGTGCCCGCAGAACGGCCTGTCGCGGAATTCAAGAAAAACAAGTCAGAATGGGGGCAAGTTTTTACCTCGGTTGCGGGCCTCTGGGGCCGAATCAGTGACGAAATGTTCCTGACCTCAGCCTCAACATGGAACGAGTCTCGCGCCCCGGCAAAAGACTCGGATACGTTCCTGCTCCGCCATACAGAACTAGATTAGATGCGAACGAATGGCATGGACGCGGTGCTCGTGCGCTCAGGCATATGGCTGAAACCGAGACCGGTGGCAAGGACTTGCCAACAGGCAAATGAATTGGCCCACTCACTTGCTCACTCGCTCACTCACCTGGGATCCCCGAGTCCAAAGAAGCACCCGACTCCTCCAGTCCTGGTTTCTCGGCCATAAGATCCGTCGGCATACACGACCTCGACAGAGGTCGGAGGAGGCTCCTTTCACATCGAATGGTGCAAGAAATCGTCCGGGGGGAAATCAGTGAAAAAGTTGATTTCGATTTTGCCGAGGCAGACATAGACGGTCGGGGACCCTTCAAATGCCATGGCAATCCATTGCTTGCCTCATTGGAGTCTACTGCCACAGAGGGCTGAGTGCCAAGATGCGACTTAATCGCCGAGTCCCTCTGCGTTTGATTCAAGTGACATCGGCAATCCTACCAAGCATAAGCCCGGCCCCGTGGTGTCGTCGGGGATCATATTCTCGGTCCATCGTAAGGTGCTGTCGATGCCGCAAAACCTGGAGGCATAGAACCGATTGCTGCCAGCTGTACGTCTCAGAGTGCGCTGCAGCGAGTCAATGATGCGACAGTTCTCGATCCGGTAGAGGACCATCATCGCCTGCGATGATGCTTCGTTGAGTTGGTACACTATTGTATCTGCGTCACAGTTCTGCAGAGAGAAATCTCGGACCATGCATGGCATGAACTGCTGGCTGTTGCTGCTTGGGTAGCCGGGTGCGTGGAGGCCGTTGTCGGCTCGCCCCCATTCCGTGCTGCTCGTGAGATCTGTCCCTGGAGCTGCGGCTTGAGCACAAGCGTATCCTGGCTGCTGAGAATCGAGTGTGCGAACAGACCAGGTGGAAGCTCCCTCTGCGGGCTGATGCTCGCGCTGGGGTCGATGCTGAGATGGCTCGGCTGTAGGTTCGGGAACGGAGTCGGGCTCGGCCACAACTCGAGTGGACCCGAGCGTAGCCAACGACCGCAGCATCCGGCAGCGAGTCAGCAGCGATGTCATGGAGAGCCCAGCGGTTTCGGGGTCGATGCTGCATGGGTTGGCCGCATACATCCCGGCAGCTTGACAAAACGCAGCGAGTTCGGCCGTTCTAGAGGACAGGATCTTGTCCAACGAGATTGCACTGTGTTCAAGCGAGTTGCATCGGCCACAACTCGCATCGGCCGGCGGAAGATCGCCGTCGATTAGCTTGGAGACCCCGCACAGCAGATGGGCCCTGACGTCGGCTAGCCCGAGAATGTCGCTGAGGCTGGACCAGACCAGATGCCAGAACTCGTCGAGGACCGCAGACGTCGTTGCTGCACTGGCTGGGCCATCGGACATGGCGCAGTGATCGCTCGACGGATATCAGGACCGGCGGCCACGATGGTACGGCCGGGCAGGGACGATGCCGTGTCGAGTTGGAGGAATGGGTCAGGGTCAAACCAGAGGCGGGAAACGGGGCCAGCGCCACACGCAGTCCAGCCAGCAGCCCTTGCCCTCCGGTTGCTGAGACCGCCGGGCCGCCGATCTGGCCGTGATCGGCTCTGCCACCATCTCGACACACCCCGCTGCTGCTGCTGTTGCTGCCGATCGACCGAGAGTACAAATATGGGTGGTGGAGATCTGGTATGTTGGCCGTCTAGTTTGCCATGCTATCCGCCGATACGATGCACCGTTGATGATCTTCAGCACAGCCGATGCTGCCTCATAGCTGGCGGTTTGCTTGGTTCCGGCGATGTTGGTTCAGCCCCCCCCCCACAAGCATTAACAGCCAGCTCGTCTGTCTTGCAGAACCTCAAAAAATCATGGCATCCTGGAACGCTTCGCTTCCAGGAGAAGGTCTGGAAGAAAGAGAAGCAGGCCGAGGATGAGCGCAAGAAAATGGAGCAGCTTCAGAAGGAGCTGCAGGAGGAGCGGGCAATGGCCGAGCTGCAGGCCCTCCAGGAGGCTGCTGGGAAAGTCAAGTGGGTAACTCTGCCTCCAGTCTTCCCAATGGCTGCAGCCTTGACTGCAATTTTTGGACTCGAAATCGTATTAACGCCATCACCATCACCATCACCATCACCATCACCATCACCATCACCATCACCATCACCATCATCGCAGGCCAAGGATGGGGCGGATGGACTGGATGTACGGCGGTGGTCCTGGCGGCTCCTCGGCTATCGCAGAGGAAAAAGAGTCCTATCTGCTCGGCAAGAAGCGGATAGACAGCCTGATCGAACAAGGCAAGACCACCGAGGAGGCAAGTGGCTCCATCGATCCGATCTGGGCTGTCGATGCTGATGGGTGTCCTGGACAATTGCTAACCGAGCTCGGGCGCACCGCGGCCACCATGCTTCCATCCGCCACCCTCCCGGCACTCGTCACAGCTCTCTGCCTCGAATGTATTCTCTGCTTCGGCAGCTGGTGTGTACGGTGCAACGGCCAACACATCCCGAGACGTTCAAACCAAGATTCGAGAGGATCCCCTCCTGGCGATCAAGAAGCGCGAGCAGGATGCGCTGCAGTCGGTCCTCAGCAACCCGTTGAAAGTCAAGCAACTGCGGCGCGAGCGCGAAGAGCGAGAGGGCAAGGACAGAAGCGATAAGAAAGACCGGAAGGAGAAGAAAGAGCGGAAGCACAAAAAGGAGAAAAAGTCCCACCACAAAGACTCTCGTCGCAGCGATGACCACGACGACGGCAGCAACGACCGAGACCGGTCGTCAGGCCATGGTAGCCGAAAGCATCGCCGGGCCGACTCGGAATCCAGTGACAGCGACAGCGACAGCAGCGATCATCGCCAGGGAAAGCGCTCCCGACCCGAACCACAGCGCGAGGCATCGCCTTCCGCACGACTACCCCGGAGGACACCAGCCGGCCCAGACGATTTCGTTCACAGCAGCCGAGCAATTCTGCCACGGACCGGAGATCGAAACGACCGCGGCCAGGACCGGGACTCGAGAAGCAGTCAGGATTACGACCGAGACCGACGTCGCCGCAGTCCCGCGAGAAGCAGAGATCGAAGCCAAAGCCGAGAGCGCGATCAAACCGACCGTCGCCGTCGGTCGATCGACGATTCGAGCCGGCGCTCGGAGGGCCAGGACCCGAGGGGCCGAGGCAGGGAGAATGGGTCTGACGGCGCGGATGCTCGCTCTCGTTACAGTGGTCGCAGCAGCCCTCGTCCCAACGACCGATCCTACTCCCGAGGAGATTCCCGAGCTCACGACTCGCGACAGAACTATCGCAGCCAACCAGCGCGGCCCCATCGTGACCGTCAAGAGCCCTCGCCCAAGCCCCGGCAAGACGACCTCGACCAAGAAAAGCAGCGAAAGCGGCTCGAGCGCGAGGCCAAGCTCAAGCAGATGCAGGTTCAGGCTGAGGACTGGGACCAAGAGCGGACACAGCGCGTCCACGAGGGTCGCAAACGAGATGCCGAGGATGCTAAGAAGGATCTGGAAGAGAAGATTCGGCGTCTCGAAGACGGTGGGTCGTTCTCCCGAGATATCCACGAGCAGGCCTACAAGGGATTCACCGCAGCCGACATGATCAAGCGCAACAGGGCGTTTGCACACAAAGGAGATGCGATGCTGTAAGATCAACATGAGTCTACGCAGGGACGGTTCCTGTCGATCGATTCGTATATCGTGTCTCTTTGTGAAGAGCCTTGACTCCAGCGTCGAACAAAATACACAGCACAGGTGGAAAAAAACAAGGCCTGGCTGGAGACTCCTGAAGAGTGAATGGATGAATGGACATAATGGCGCAGGCCACGAACTCGATCTAGCCGAGCTTGCGCATGGGCTCGGAACAGCAGTGCCTGTCGCAATGAAGTGGATACACTTGAGGTGGGAGAGAAAGAGGGAGAGGTGGAAGAACGGAAGCAAAGATAGATCCAAAGTTTCACAAGAAAACATCAGCACAGGGGGCCTGGAAGCGTGCAGAGGGTTTTGGAGCGACAAGCTGGATTCAAATGAATGGTGCAGGCGACAAAAAGCGTCAGACGCACGCACGCCGGACCGTTGTGCCAGGAACGTGCCATCACGAACGAGCTACAATTCAAACAAACCCAAACAAAATAGTCGAGGACAGAAATGGTTGGCCCTGTATGCAAGGACGAATGCGGATGGCTGGTGGAAAGTGTCTGTGGAGCGGAGTGACTTTATGGAGCGCGAAAGCTGCGGGAGCGTTCTGTGGACGACTTGCTCATCCAAAGTGGATGTACTCCATGATCGGATAGGCAATGCCGATGATGGCCGCGTAGGCGATGAATCCAGCCGGAACGCCGACAGAAAGGAAATCGGCGACGCTGAGCCACTTGACTCCAGTGGGATCCTCCTGCGAGATGGCGTTCATGTTGGGGAACGACGAGACGGGAAGGCCCATGGCGCCACTGCACATCAGGGCTGGTGACAAGCAAGTTGAGGAGCAGTTAGCCGACGGCTTGGTGCCGAGGAGAATCGAGCCGAAGGGATGTGGGGATTTGGATAGCGAACCAGATAGAGGATGGGCTGCACCGAGAGAGAAAGGATGTATACCACCAAGAGGGACGCCGACACCAAGCACACGCCACCGCAGTTCCCACAAGCAACTAGGAAAGCATGCGTCTGGCGCGATAGCCGTCATCGGGCAGCACTTACTGGTAGCCATGACGAGAGTTCGCGCACGAGGATCCGGGAGGGTTGCGCCCACTTGCGCCACAACAGGCAGAATGATCAGAGCGCCAACGGTGTGCGAGATAAAGCTGGTGACAAGCAGAACCAGGCCCGAGAACACCACGACCGTCCAAAAGACCGAGAGGCCGTTCAAATAAGGAGCCATTTGCTGGGTCATCTCGGTGAGGAGTCCCGATGATTCGACAGCCTTGCCGAGGGCCGTTCCGCCCATCGCCAGAAGCACGACGGGCCACAGGAACGCATTGAGCTCGTCTTTGGGCAGGATTCCGGTTCCAAAGAGCGCAAGGATCGGCAAGATGGCAATGACACCCATTTCGCCAACATACTGCTCGATCTGTGACTCGATGCACCACAGGAAGATGGTGAGCATAGTGATGAAGAGAATGTAGAACTGCGTACGGGACATGGATGCCATGCCGCCGCTCTGGTTGTTTTGGAAGAGCTCCGGGGGTTGGAGATCGGCTGATTCTTGTCCGTTGGGGTTGAACATGAGTCGAAGCAGGGCCCAGATGAGTATATCGATGAAGATACACACGGGGAGGGCGATCATGAACCACTGAAGCCAACTGGGGGAAGGCTGCATGATACTCATAGCGATGATGTTTTGCGGGGACGAGATGGGCGAGGCCATGCCGCCAACGTTGGCAGCCATAGCGATGCCAAGGATCAGGCACTTTGCATAGGGCGACTTGCGCGGGAGGTTGCGGAGGATCGGCTGAGAGGTGTCGAGCGAGAAGATCCCGTTAGTGAGCAGAGCGGTCCAGGGTCTCGTCGGGCGATGATGAGGAGGACTCTGCTGCGGATTTCAAGTCCCAACCGCACGATTTCGGTGGCGGCTCGTCCAAGACTCACGCAGACATACCTGGATCAGCGAGATGCAGAGGACTGGGGCCGCGACGTTCGAGATCCACATGGACGCAAAGGTCGAAACAAACATGTTGGCGAGCAAAACGGTCGAGGGTCTTGAGCCGGCCTTGCCCAGCACAAAGGCAGCAATGTTCTTGGCAATGCCGTATCGGGTGAGAGCGGCGGCGATGGTAAAGCCACCCAGGAGCAGCATGATCACGGGCGAGAACATGTCTGAGAAGATCTTTTTGGCGGCAGGCTTGGCGCTCATGCGAACGTAGCTGACTGAGCCGTCTTTGTTGACCACAGGCTCACGAAGAACACGGAGACCAACGACCAGCAGAGGCACCAGGATGGCAGTGACAAAGAGCTCGGTGCACTGTAAGGTTGGGAGTTATCGATGCGTGGGTAAGAGGCTGGGATGGCTCGCACGCAAGGGACTGGTCCAATTGCCCCTCCCGCTGCAGCGTTGGTGATCTTGCTGAAATCGATCATATCGGCTGGATGGCGGACGGCAAGCACCAGCAAAAGCACCCGGACGATGCCAGCAGTTTCAGAGCGCCATTTTGCCGAGCTCCGCTCACTGCTGCCGCTGGATCAGCTTACCTCAAAAGCCCACAAACTCGAGGCGAGCACAAGGATGGCCAAACAGTTCTGCTGCTCGGGAGAGTCCAAGATCGGGTAGGCGAGCAAAAATCCAAAGAGGGCAATGGAGACGAGCAGACTGATGGGCTTGGCGGATACAAACGGCAGAGCAATCTTGAGACCGCAGATGGACCACTGGCCGCCACGCTCGGTCTCATCCTTCTCGACAACAGCGGGCTTGAGCTCGATCGCTTGGCTCTTGCGCTCGTGTTCGATCAGGTCCCTCCAGATGGTGTTGCGCTCCCAAACGATGAGCTCACGCAAGTTGCTCTGCAGCTCGGTTTTGGCGAGGCTGATGCGACCTTCGGTGGCAATACGGGCATAGAGAGCAATGACACGGTCGAGCTGCTCGGCAAGGCTGGCTTTGGTGTTGGCGCGGAACGAGTAGGAGGATTCGACCTTTTGCAAATAGGTGCGCTTGAGCCGGCGCCCAGTCACCTTTTCGTACTTTTTCAGGATCTTGGTGAAGCCAGTGTAGTTGAGCTCGACATAGGACTGAAGCTCAGAGAGGATGACAAAGAGCTCGGTTGCCTTTTTTCGGAAGAGCTTGCGCTGCTGCTTCATCTCGCTGTCGCGGGTTGACGACCAGACGCCGATGATGCGGCGCTCGGTGTTGTCGCGGAAGCCGGACTGGCTCGAATGCCGGCGAGAGACCGAGCCCCAAGGACCTTGGGAGTAAAACGAAGCGTCGCTGCTGGGAGTGACGGGCTGCTCAGGGGCGCCCTCCGAAGTGGAGAGGGCGCTGGTGTCGACGACGACATCGAACTCGTCGTTGACGGCCTCGAGGTAGCTCAGATCGTTGTGGAGGGCCTCGACCTCGAGAAACAAATCGCGTTCCTTGGTTCGGTAGAAGCGGTTGATCTTTTCAAGCTGTTCATCGAGGGCGGTGGTGAAGACGGCATCGGGATCGGAGACGAGCGAGGCCGAAGAAGGCGAGTTGGTAAGGAGCGGAGTGCTTTCGCTTGCGGCGGGGGCGGCGGGGGCGGCTTCGCTCTCGAGCTGGTTGAGCGACGTTGGCATGGGGGCCAAGCCCAACGACGCCTTTTCAAAGGCATAGATGAGCTTTTTGAGGTTGGAGTAGTTGCTAAACGGAGCAACGGAGCAACGCCGCGAGAGGGATAATGCCAGTGTTAGCGTCGGAGCGATGCCGCGGAAGAGAGAGAATCGGCCACCCGAGAGTGCGCGGCAAACAACAAGTGTGGATCGAGTTGCTCAGCATCCATGTGCTCGGTGCAGGATCAAGCGGTGCTGAGCCGGGGCCGAGGCCTGCGACTCATGGCGTGAGAGGAAGCCGTGGGCGGTCTCTAGCAAAGGCACTCACAGATAGTACTCGACCCACTCTGGGGAAGAGTTTAGCTGGATGGAGTGCGAGAACTTCATTTACGGACGCTGGGATCCGTGCAGCCGGAGAGCGAACGGAGGGGAGCAGGAGAGCAGAGAGGAGGACGGGCTGGTGTGTCCGCTGCGAATGAACTCTCAGGAGCGAGCGGCTTGCGGATGGCGGAAGCGCGAGGAAGGGGGTGGAAGAGCAAGGCGATGGCCTGCAGGCGAGCTGGTTGATCGCTGGCTGATCGCTGGTTGATCGCTGGCTGATAGCTGGTTGATAGCTGGGGTGTCGACGGGTCAAGGCTGTGCCCAGACCAGAGATCGGAGCAAAGATGAAGCAAAGATGGAGCACAGATGGAGCAAAGATGGGAACAAAAAGCGCAAAGAACAGGTTTGGGAGTGCTTGAAAAGTGCTTCCTCACAATGAATTTCATTACGCATTCCAGCCGCGGCTCCATCCGGCACTGCAGCCGGCTCGAGCCGCCACCCAAATTAAATGGTCACGTGTGGAGACCGAACTTTTTTTGATCCCTCCGCTGCCGCTGCCGTTCCGCCCCCAGCACACACCAACGATCGAGAGGCCAGCCCACCCACTCGCCAGACCACACCCCTCTCCGACGCCAGCGCAAAACCAGGTGCGCATCGAGACGCAGAGTTGGCTGAAAGCAATACCGCGGCGCCGTTGCGTGGCCGCGCCGAATCCCACAGAGCCGCCGCAACTGGGTCTAACATCCATCCTGTCCGTCGCAGATCATCAGCCATGCATTTGATGTACAGCAAGGACGCCGCTGGCAAGCGAGTGTACACCCTCAAGGTACGGGCCGGCGTGAACCTGTCGCCGGGATATGGATGATGGATGAGGAAAAGGATCGGGTGCTTTGTGGAAGATTCGCGGATCAGAGAGAGCCGACAGCCCATCGCCGGCTCGCTGGCTTGCTGGAAGAGTGCATCGATCGAAGCATGAGATCCGGTACCTGAGTGACGCACTGATACTTCTCGCTCTGCTTGTTTTCCGGGTACGGCTCATCAAATGCTCGCTGGCTGCTTGATCATGCTCGATGAACGAACCCTCTGGATAACGGTGGCCCCGCTGTCCATGCTGATGGACATTCCGTGGTGATGCAATGCCGCTCTGTCTGGCGATCTGACCGTTAACGAATGGCCGCAACAACGGTGATGCGCGCAACGGACGGATGGAACGCGGCGACTCATGGGCTCTGTGGCGTTTGGAAATCCATATTGTCAACACCGGAATGGACTGGCTCATTCGATACGGCAATATCTCGAACGCACCTGTCGACCGGGATCACTCTAACCAATTATGAATCGGATCGCCCTCGATTCCATGGCCGATAGAAACTCACCGCTGACGGCACAGTCACCAAGTCGGCGCATCCTGCCCGATTCTCGCCCGACGACAAGTACTCCCGCCATCGGGTCACTCTCAAGAAGCGGTTTGGTCTGCTGCTGACGCAGACCCCCGCCCGTGCTGTCTGAGCGAGATAGGTCCCGGCTGATCTGGAACGGGAGGATGCCTTTTGACCAATATACACTGCCTCTGCTTCCAACCTCTGCTGGCGCCTTGTATGGCAGAGCCGCTTCGGCCACGGGCGCGCTGCATCTCGAACCCGATGCCCGATGCCCGATGCCCAAGCCGCTACATAATCGAGAATTACCACACCAGCGGAACCACGCTTTGAGGAGCGACTCCACAGACGCACCTCTATTGTTCCCGGATGCCAGTCTCTGACGAGGGCAAATCAAGTGCGCACAGTCGCAGCACGGCATGGCTGTGAATAGCGGCGTTTCCGATAGATGACATTGTACGGCAGATGTGAGCGACACTGTCGGAAGTCCACTGGGCAAATCCAAGTCGAGCCGCATGGTGATATCGCGGACAGGACATGGCGTCGTGGATTCAACTCGCGGTCCTGTCAGGATGACGGTGTCATGCTCGATCGCAACCCGGCTCGGGCTGGCAGACATTCATCGGGAGGTGCATGCCACTCTGTCGCCTGTGCTGGGCCACTCGCAAGCGCCTCGCCGCCAGTTTCAGAACATCCGCGTGGCTGTCTTCATGTTCTATTCTGGAGAGGTGTACGGGCTTGGGTGGCCGTCGTCCGCGTTTTGCTATTTCAGCCCCGCGATCTGCGATTGGCTGGCGCTCATACCCTCGGCCCTTGGTTGGCTGGAGGCGGTCGCTCGGTCCTTGTCAAAACCTTCCGCCATGACATCTCAAACCGATGCCATCCATTGCCACCAGCGCCATCGGCCTATATATTCCCCCCCCCGCGGCGCTGGTCGTCTTCGCCCGCATCGACGCACCCGCCCGCCTCTGCCTTCTCAACCCGGCCCGACTCTCAGTCTCGCTCTGCCAATCCATCTACGTCATGTCTCGCTCATACCACCCAACCGAGTCCCCTCTCAGGGGAGACCGCCGCAATCTGAAGCTCAAAAAGGTTGGTGTCGACCCAGCAGTATGTGCTGATTGGCAACTTTGTGAGACATGTCTGCAGCGAGGGGCCCAGGAGTGGGTCGGACCCGGGGCTGCATCGGAGAGGCTCTCTATCTGCTCCGTTCCGTCCTTGCGTCTGCACCCAGACAGCTCCTGACGTTGGCTCCTTCCGCACCCGCCTCGCAGCAACACCAGGCCGCCTTCCGGAAGCCATATCCCCGCTTTGTCAATAATCTGCTGGATGAATTCGACATGTTCTTGAAGCACTCTCCCGCCAACCTCGCTTCTGTGCGGGTGCCACATGCGGCCTCCTCGACCGTAAGCAGCGAGACCATGGTCGAGTCTGCCAGATGGACAGTTTGGGTCTCCCCCGCGGTTCAGGACAGGTTCCATTGTCTCAAGAAGCTCTCGGGCGCCGCCAACCATGCCGATTTTGTCGACATACTCCTGAATGTGCATACGAGGAACCAAGCCCAAGCCAGCATGCACTCTCAACCAGCTGTCCGCCACCGCCCCCGACCAAAGCAGGCCAAACTCCTCCCCAAGAATACTGGTCCTGCCAACTTCCTGCAAGTGTATGTAACTGCTCTTACTGACCCAGCTATCGCCTCGCATCATGCCTGCACTTGCCACCATAGCTAACAGTCGATCCTCACCTTTCCTCACAGTCCCATCGCGGGTTGGTCCGAGACTTTTCACCAGTTACCCACCCAGTCGACTGAAGCCTTCAACTCTAGGTCGGCTGTTCCCAATGGCCAGCCCCAAGTGCCTCCGCCAGAGTCGGCCTCCGTCGATGTATTTTGCATGAGCGAATTAGCCACAGCGCTTACCCCGGAGCAAAGCATCGCGAGCCCCCATGCACCTGTCGTCCCAATGGCTCACCCGACAATCCCTGCAGAATCCACGGTGAATGTCTTTGCCTTCACCAAGAAGGAAATGGTATTGCCTCTGCAGCAGCTCGGCAAGGATCTTTTCGATCCATCTGGTCATATCTGCGACCTGCTGCCGGAACGAACCATGTCCGAACAAACCCTGCCAAAGCAAACCATGTCAGTGTCTCCAAGCGGTCCGCTCACTGATGTTTCTCAGTTTAACGAAGTAAATCGCACCGATGATTACTCGAACTGGCTCAACTATCAAGCCCATATTGATCTCGCCACTCTCATTGTGGACAAGAAGCTCCTCCAGTCCCTCAAAGATAATATGCCCGATGTCCACATGGACGACAGCCAGCCCCTCAAGCTACAACATGTTCCGACCGAGCCATCGGGCTACATCGCCTGCGACTCAGTCGCCTCAACAGGCACTGCCGACATACTTGCCTATGCCTTCGCCCCGTACGATTTCCCCACACCCAAACTTCCCCCAACAACTCCGGACCTTCCACTGACGGCCTTCCTCTTCCCAAACGATTCGTCGAGCCATGACACTCTCCGGAGCCGTCCCGATACCGCCCAGTGGCTTGACTACGAGAGCACAGGCATATCATCGCCGGCGATGACGTCCCCCGGAGCGCATCCTGAAAACCCATTTCTATCGCTCAATCTTCCTTTGTATCCAGTCAGCTTGTTTGATCTAGTTCAGACGCAGAGCAAGTCGACGCACCCTCCCCTTTCGAATGACAATGTCGTTCTTCCGCCGCAATCTCCATTTGACTTTCTTGAATGCGCCCCCTCTTGGACAAATAATGGTTTTTAGCTTGACCCAAGTGCCTAGAGTTATCGATTACATACCCGGCTTTTACCCGCTGTGATGATCCCAACAGTCCATCGAGTCGGGTGGCCCGGGGTTTCTGTCTGAGCGAATATCTTCGCTTGCGACGGCACATCTGTGGCCCTGGTGGATGCTGCAAACACGAGCGGACAACGCATCATGGAGAGGCAGCACCCAGATCCGCACCCAGATCTCCTGCATCCAGATCACCAAGACTCTGCCAGGCGAACCAAACAGGGACGTTGCCGGTCGAGGGGTCACAGTCTGGTGGGGCTCGTGGCCGTCGCGCCAGCCTCCACTGGTCCTGAGCGGGACGACGAAAACAGTGTGAGGGACCTGGGTGCTTGCTGGCCAGCCGTATCTGCACCTGCGACAGCGGCCTCCGTCCCAAAGGCGCCTTTACATCCCGCCGCATCGACTCGATCTGGGGCCTGCTGGTCTTGGTTTCCCGCAGGCTCGCCTTTGCCTCGGGCCTGTCAATGGACGAAGCCAAGCACCCCGTGCGCAGCCGACAGGACGGCCCCGAGCGGTTCGCCACGGCCGTCACGTGCGAGCGCCTCGCCCTTGTCGCCGGCTGCGCAGCGTCCGTCAGTGGTCCGGACCTCGCGCGGCGCTCTGTGGCCACCCTGGCGCGGGCCAATGCCGTTTGGGGGGGGGTTCACTCAAATTGCGGATCGGCTCGATGTGCTGTTTCGATGTGCTTGGCGATGCGTTGCTTCGATGTCAATGCGCATGCCGATATGTATGTCGATGGGCATGTCGACTTGTATGTCGATGAGCATGTCGACTTGTATGTCGATGGGCATGATCCTCGGAGCCATCCCAGGGGCGCTGATTCTGCAGCGACGCCCGCACCATATGCCGAGCATCGCTCAAATTGCAACGCACCACCACCGAGCTCGCACCACCAGCATGACCCCAACTGCACACCTCGACACTCAACCACACTCAGACACACTCAGACACGCCCAGCTCGTCCCGAACACAGCCCGTCTGCGCTTGCACCACACCGCCGAGGGATCACCGGCCTTGGCTCAGCTGACCCTCTCCTGTCCCGCTTGCCTCGGCCTCGCCCCGTCTATAAATATGCCGACTCGCTCCTGCCTCACCTTGGTTTGCATCGCCGGCTCGGCTGTTTTCCGCCTGTCTTTCCCCTTGGTCTCTATCGTCTTGGTCTCTGGTCGCGCCGCCGCGCAGGGAGAATGCTGCCCGGCTCCCCAGCCCCGGCGCTCTGCTGCTGCACCGACCGCCGAAGGCCCCTCCCTTCCCTGGTTTCTCTGTGCATACTGCGTCTTCACTTCCAGGTCCACATCTCACTTTGTCGTCTGTTGCAGACAAAAAGTGACATGTAACTTGGATTGGAGAGTAGTATCATCCGCGAGCCCGCCATATCTGGACCAGGCTTTTTCTTCTCTCTCTCTCTCTGCCTGTCGCCTCTCAGCCTATGGCTTGTCCCCGAACTCTGTCCGGACTCGTCTTCATCCAGGTACCCTGCTTTCTCCTCAGGCGGTATGCACAGTGTGTCCGCTCATTGCAGCCGCCGCGATACAGGACCGCCTATAGCCCCAGGCTATCCTCGCCGCGGTTGGTCCCACAGGTTCCAAAGACAAGCACGACGATGGTATCGAAAGGGTGGGTCCAACGGATCCGAGGCACTCTCGATCGCCGAGTGGTTGAAGAGAGCGCCGCCAGTCCCAATGCTCGTCTGGACAACGCCGGTCGAGTGTTTCAAGACTCAATCGCCTGGACTCGATCGCGAACCTCTGCACCGGCTCCCCGAGATGTGGTTTCTCAGTCTTTGACCCAACAATCATGGCCGGCAAGAATCGTCGTGACAAATTATGATATCACAAGCCCGGCCACAGCCCCATCGCTCCCACAGCAAGACCCCTGCATTTGGCGTGTGGTGTGCCTCATCGCAAAGACTTGTATTTCGACGGACCTAACAACCAATCCTGTCCCCGTTCTTCTGCAGGGCGCGCCTGACAGTTCTGCCACGGCGCCTCGTCCTCAAGTGCTATTCAAAGTTGCAGATGCCGTGGTTGAATAGTATTGCTTTCAGATGCGCCAGCTCGTCCTGCAAGATCATGATGCGGTTCTTGAGCTCCTGGTTGATCTCGCCCATCTTTTCGTTGTGGGTTTTGAGATTGGAGATCCACTCCTTCTTTTTGAGGCGGTTCCTGCAGGGAGAGACCGATTGTTCAGACGTGTATGAGAGGGAAATGGCTGCAGATTCCCGGGGACAGAATGTGGTGATCGGCAGAGGACACGGCGCATTGTCCAGACGAAACAGGAGGCTACTTTTGCTCTGGTGGCTCATGTCCGAGACCTCTATATGCCCCCTCCACTCCAACGCAGATTCTATCGCGCCCGGGCTTTGCTCGTTCCCACAACGACCATCCTCGCTCAGACCCTCACTCATCGTCCATCGCCATGGCCAGCAGCACAGCAGTCACCGATCGCTCTGCCTCGGTCGGCTTGCTTGCAGATCTCCTGTGGCCTACCTCCGAGCAGCCTCCCGGTTGCGGACCAGACGCCGCTGCCGCTTATCGTCCAGCGCAAATTCCTCGGATGTCTTGGTGGCGCCAGTGTCGTTGGGGCCGTTCGACGACATGGCATCGTCGTCCGAGTCATCCTCGCCTGAGCTGCTGTGAGCCAGGCTGTGGTGGTGGCTGCCCAGCCCTCGGGTTGCGCTGGGATAGCCTCCGGCCATCGAGTAGTTTGGCGGCGTCTGAGCGTTTGGGCCGGGGGGCGAGACGGCGTAAGGATGGTATCGCCGATACTCGTGTGGCTCAGATAGACCCTGTGGGTGCGTCTTTGGATTCTGAGTCGATGGAAGCGCCGACGGGGGATGCAGATGTGAGTGTGGATGTGGATGTGGATGCGAGTGGGGGTGGGAGTATGAGTGTGAGTGTGGAATCGGGAGCGAGTGTGGGTGTGGGAGCGGGTGTGGGTGCTCCAGCACAACAGATGCAGTATGATAGAAGGCTCGGCCAAAGCCGGGCGACGAGGTTGAGGACGGAGCGAGTGCGCTGGCTGGTGTCAATGCGGACACAGGAGTGGATTCGGATGCGAACCCAGAAGCTGGCGGTGCCAAAGCGGGTGCGATCTCGGGTGCTGGTGTCGAGGAGGCGACTTGGGCTGGCGATGCAGGTGGGAATGCCGCTTCGTGTGAGATGGATGCTGCTTGCTGCGTGGTCGAAGCGACGTGTAGGAGGGTCGACTCGGGTGCGATTGGGTCTGCTGCAGCTCCAGGTGCCGCGGCTGCAATGGTCGGCGTTGTATCTCTTTGGCCAAGCAGCGAACCGACAGAATCGCCGGGGCAGTGATGATGGAGTGAGAATGCCGCGGCGCTGCTGCCTTCTGGATTGCAGGCCGACGAGGGCGGGGTATCGATTGCCGGGCAAGACTTTTGCGGCGACAATACCAAGCCACCGCTTTTGCTGTCGATGCCGCCATGGCCCTCCACGGGGGCACTGCCTTCGAGAGTGCCGCTGAAGTCAGAGGAAGGCTCGCCTGGAGACAGCATGGCATCGCCCAGAGACAGGGCCGGCGGTGCATTTGGTTCGTCGGAGAGGTAGTTCCGGGGCAGGTCGGTGGGGCTGTGGGACCCGGCACTCGCTGAGGACATTGCAGCAGAATCAGAGCCGCCGTTGAGCATCTCGGCGTGGGAGCGAGTACGTCAATATCCCTGGTGAAGCAGTTGGCATCGGCAGAAGCGAGTGTCATTGGTGAGCAAAAGTGTCAGGGTGCCGGTCGATGCCGGAGAGCAGGTCACAACGCATCGAGGATTCTGTAAGCCGAAAGTACTGCAGCATGTCGCATTGAAATACAAAGCACTGGAGTCTATCGCATTGCGCCGCATCTCATTGCACCGCATCACACGTCGAATCGCACTGAATTCCATCACGTTCGACTGTGATCCCCGCGTTCGAGGTCATGGCAGCATCCATGCGACGGCCGGGCTCGAAACTCACTTACTGGCTTCGAATGGTGCTGCTGCGGGTTGCCAGATGGCAGCGAATGCGTTCTTCGGTTCAATCAAGACCTCAGCCGGTCGAAGCAAGAGAACAGAGTGCACCCGACGAGCAAAAGTTGCCTGCCCGGATATATACCCCCCCCCTCAATCTCTCGCACCTGTGATTTACTGCCAAAACGAATGGCAGAATGCAAAATCTCCGATGGCCGCCTCGATCTTCGCTGCACCAATCTGGGAAGGGCAGGCCGGGCTGTGGCTGCAGCTGGTTGGCGGGGCTGACCTCACTCGCATGCATGCAATCCGCCATGCACCGGATCAGAAAGGATCGAGTCGATTCGGTTGGCGAGCGGGAGGCATATTGTGCTCCCTCCCCCCTCCCCGACCGGACTTGCTTGTTCTCGGCAAGAGACATTGCCGCTGAAGTCATCGTCGCTGTTGTCCTGGAACTACTCCTCTTGCGTGAACGAGCTCGCTGTGCACACATACATGTGTATATGCAGGCAGCAGAAAGCAGGGTCAGATCCAGTGGGCCGTCCGTCATGAAAACTCCCGCTGTGGATCGAGACAGTGCTCGCAGCTGGCTGGCAGAGGTGTGGGATGCACTGCAATCGCAGCCCGCAGCATGGTCCATGTTGTCTGTGGTGGGCCGACGACAAGCCCCTCGCCCTCGCCCTCGCTGCCCGACAAGACCCCCGAGAGCGTCCTCGCTGGTCTCGGCCTGTTTCGCATGTCGAAAGAAAAAAGCCCCGTCTGGCTGCGGCTTTGCCATCATGCTCGCGATCGTTGTTGCCTCGTCCCCTCGAGCTGCCATCGCCCGTCTGCAGGATCCGCTGCTCGCCTGCTGCTCGCCTGCTCCTCGTCTCTACCTTCGCCGCCATAAGCAGACAGGCACCCATGCTGCCATCCAGGATATGTCGCCTCCGGATATCGTCGCTGCGCCATCCAAGCTCCCTCGTCCCGCGGTGTCGCAAGTTCCAGGCCAGCTTCTGGCCTCAGTTTCCTCGGCATAAGCACTCGTTCGAATCGGGCTTGTCCATTCCGTCGCCGAGACCGCGATCTCGTCGACCTCTCGGGACATCCGCGGACAGCGGGGACTCGGCAGCAGGATCATCGCCGCCACCGCCGGCATCGTCAGGCACGCCGCCCAAGCACTCGCCCTCTGCCGAGCAGCGTTCGAGGCATGCCCATTCGGCCTATCTCGCTGCCCGAGCCGTGCTGGTGCAAAAACTGCTGCCGCACGAAAAGAACGATCTGAACTTCAAGACCCTTGAGTACCCGCACCTGGAGCATGTCCGAAAGATTCTCCTCTCCAAGACCCGGGCCGCTCTCTCGGGCTATGAGAAACGAAACATCATCCTGTCGTGCCCACACCCCGGCGCCGTGAGCTATCTGGAAGATACTGTCCAGGCCATCGCGGGCGAAACCCAGGCCGACTTTCTTTCCCTGGACTACCTCAGCTTCCTCGACTTTGCCCACAAAGTGGATCAGGCCCATGGGGGATCGGGAATCTTCAGTATTCGAGGTAAGGACATCGAGGGACCGATCTGGGGTGTTACATGGGCGCCATACGACAACTAATATACCAAGGGCAAGGCGAGCACGGACGGATATTTGGAGCTCTTTGTCCACATCTTGCCGCCAGAGGATATATTCGATGCAATTCACCCCGCTATGCCGAGGATGGGATCGAGTGCGGCAAAGCTACAGCTAGCACAAGAGGTCGAATGGCATGTGCCTCGCGGGACTAACATAGAATTGTCTGTTTTGCCGTCCAATCTCCTTCCGCATCGCTGTTACTGTTGGCGTGCTGTCCTGTCGTCAAGAACCCGATCTCAACATGCCTGTCCAGTTCAGTGAATCGTTTTCACCTGGCCTGTACGAACCCTACGACTCTCGATCTCGCGAGGATGACGATGCCGATGAGGAAAATGACGAAGAAGAGGAAGCCGACGACGATGAGAAGGGATCTGGACATCGCCCCTCGAACGGCTCCTGGGACATTCTTCCATTCGGCACACGCTCGCATCCGGATAGCTTGGCTGCGTTTGTGAAGAACCTGAAACAGCGCGGCATCTCCGTCGTCGACTTCAAGATTGGACAAGGACAAGGACAGGGTCAGGGACCGGCTACCTCGCTCAACCAGCCGTTGGTGCTGAATCTGAGCTTTGTCCCCGGCAAGCACGACGGGCTTGCTGGCGTTGGCTCGGCGAAGCCCACGGGCACACCTCCGGGCGGTGCAGTCCCAGGCAAGTCTCCGGCCAACCCCATCTCCATCGGCCAATTCCATATCCGCGCTGCCCCTGGCGCGGGTCTCTCCGATGATGGCACCAACGATGCAGCCGGATTCGGATGGAGCGCTTTCGGCAAGCCCTTCTCGGGCGGGAACCGCCTGTTTGAGGGGACGCTCTATGGCAAGGAGTTTACCGAGCTCCAGCTCAAGAACGCCGTCGAGTACCTCATGCGCTTCCTGCTGGCCCACAGCACCCAAGATACAGCGCCAGCAGAGGCTGCATCGGCTGCATCGGCTGCATCGGTTGCATCAGCTGCCACTACCTCTGCCACCGGGACTGTTGCAGCCGCGTCTTCGCCATCGGATTCTGCGGCTGCATCGCATGCATCTGAGGGATCGCACTTTACACATTCTCCGCCGCCGCCACCGCCGCGACGCCGCAAGCTCATTCTGTATATCAAGGACCTGAACGACATGCTGGAGGGCGGAGGCGAGCACGGCATGATTGCCCTGATGACCCTGCTGCGATGCGTCCAGATAGCCCGCACGACATACCAGGTGCCCGTCGTTCTCGTTGGCGGATCAACACCGAGCGTGCTCGAGTCCAGAAACCTCCATCGCAGCGTCGAGAACTACGCCAAGCTCTTCAACAAGAACGTCGTTTACATGGCTGATGATCCAGAAGACGGCTCGTCACTTGGCAGGAGAGATGTTGAGAATCTCTGGACGGACGAGATCATGTTCGACTCGCCTGTCGACCATCTCACCGAGGTCTTTTCCAAGGTGAAGGTGCCCCCGCCAGCGCCGCCTCTGCTGCATCTACTCGATCCCGCAAACAACCCGCGTCCGTCGTCGCAAAGCGAGGCCGACCCAGAATCCTCAGCCCGACCGCCGCAGCCGCAGCCACTAGAGTCCAACATCAACCGCGAGGAGCAGCCCCTCATCGCCTGGCTCAAGAGCCTCGATGTCGACGAGAAAAAGCGAATCCTCACAGTCAATCTACAGAACCTGCGATTCGTCTGCTCCGAGCGCGGCATCCGCCTCCGCGAGTTCCGGGAGCACGACGCCGACCTGCTTGTGGACCAGTTCGTGCGCAACAACACGGCCGACGCCGCCCATGCCTCCAATCGAGCCACCGACTCGTCATCGGCTGTCTCGGAGCGCAGCACGCAGCATCGCGCCAGCAGCAGCCGATCTCCTGTGACGGTTTCGAAGGAAATCGACGAGATCTTTGTGCAGCTGCAGGAGCGAGTCTGGACTGCGGGCGAGATGGAAGAGTGGATCCGCATCGCCATCGGCGAGCGCTTGGCCATCGTGGACGCCCTGCTTTCTGGCGGACTGCAGTGGGACACTTGGCGTGAGCCGTTGGACCTGACCAGCATCCACCTGCTCCAAGCTCTGCGGTTGTACCAAAAGGATCAACTCTATCTCAAGGTTGGCGACCGTGTGGCGGCATCGAGCCTGGATGGCGGCGACAACGACGGCGATTCGGACTCGGGAAGTGGTGGCGCATACAACACCATCCTCGTGGATTCGACGGCAGCCTCGTCCGAACACAGCGAAGGTGCCCATCTTCCTCGCAACATCAAGGGAACCATCACCGAAAACGATGAAGGTCTGGAGCAGGAGGAGCGTGTTGACGGCACACCCGTCCCCGGCGCTCATTCACCCTCGCAGACCACGACCCATCCCAACGACCCCATACCGACCGACGGACTCGGAGCGTCGCGCGAGACAGAATCAACTTCGCAGACATCCAAGCCGTCTGGAGCGCCAGGTAGTCGCCCAGCGGGCTCCAAGAGCATCAAGAAACTGCTCGAGCGCCAAGGACACAAGCTCTCCACATACGAGAAGAAGCTACTTGCAACTGTTGTGGACGCAGGTACAGAGCACATCCAAGACAAAGCAAACTCGTAGATCGGTGGGAGAGTGAAGCATCCGGATGCATATCTTCTGTATAGACCCCGGTTGCTGACTCGTGTGATGCGGTCTCTCATAGACACTATCCCTGTGGGATTCAAGGACATGGTTCTCCCTGCCCCGACCAAGCTGGCGCTGCAGACGCTGGTGACACTGCCGCTCCTGCAACCCCACCACTTCCAGAACGGCATTCTCGGGCGTCATTCGATCAACGGTGTCCTCTTGTTTGGTCCTCCTGGCACCGGCAAAACCATGTACGTACAGCGATAGAGCGGGAGCATCGATCACTGACCATCACTCATCAACCATCAGCCATCAGCCATCGATTGGGCTTCTTGGCTCTGGGCCACGTCGTGGTGACTGATCCAGCAGCCAGATGTGTCCAAGTGGGAGCGGTGTGCCGCGAGGGCTCCCTTTGATTGCAACCGACTACCAAGATCACCGTGGGCTAACGTTGGCGTGTCTCATACACCCTGGCCCTCCGCAGGCTGGCCAAAGCCGTCGCTAAGAGTGGCGGTGCTCGGTTTATGAACGTCTCGCTCAGCGATGTCTTTGACAAGTATGTTGGCGAGGGCGAAAAGAACGTTCGGGCCATCTTCACTCTGGCCAGGAAGCTAGCACCCTGCGTGGTGTTCCTGGATGAAGTCGATGCCCTCTTTGGGGCCCGTCGCAGCGACGGCTCCAACTCCAGTCGGAGAGAAATCATCAACGAGTTTATGAGCGAATGGGACGGGTAAGTTGACCGGGTGCTTCCGCCAGCAGCACATCATCGGTGTCGCTGGCCATCCAGCGTGTGTGTATGAAAAGCACTCCGACGCCAAGTATACTCGGCATGGAAACCTGGATGCTGATCCACCCCTTTGCATCTCTCTGCAGACTCAACTCCAACAACGGCGGCGTCATCATCATGGGCGCCACCAATCGGCCGTTCGACCTGGACGACGCGATTCTGCGGCGCATGCCGCGGAGGATCTTGGGTATGTTGCTGATGGCCACACCGATTTCTCTCGACCCATGCGCTTGTTGGTTTCCAGGCTGCCCGTGATTGGCTCTTGGTCTGGTTCAGGCCTCATGATGAGCATGGAGGCCTGTGACACTGGGCCCTACAGCCATCGAGGATACCTGTGCTCCGAGGCGGTCCTTTGGATATCGACTGACATGAGCTCCATCCCCTCACCTCCCCAATGCTCAACACCGTGTCCAGTTGATTTGCCCACCGAGAGCCAGCGCGAAAAGATTATCGACTTGCATCTGCGGGGCGAGACCCTCACTGCGGATGTCTCGATCCCCGAGCTCGCGAAGCGGACGCAGTTCTATTCAGGCAGTGATCTCAAGAACCTTTGCGTGGCTGCGGCACTGAGCAGCGTCAAGGAGCAAGTCGTGCGGGGCGTGCTCGAGGCCGACCCCGCCGATGCAGCATCATCAAACGAGACTGCAAAGGCACCTGGCCACGACACCGCCGACGTCCTCAAGCGTGCAGACGAGATTGACGACTGGACTCAGTTCTTGCAGACGGCGCCGTCAACATCGGGCCTTGGAAAGTCAGTCAAGCACGGATCGGCCCCTGTGAAATCAAACTCCTCGCCCCAGCCCTCTGACGAACAGCACTACCCTGGACGGACTCTGAATCTGAGCCATTTCGAGGTTGCCTTCAAGGAGGTTCCACCGTCCCTCACCGACGATATGCAGACGCTCATGGAGCTCAAGAAGTGGAACCAGATGTATGGCGATGGATCGGCCCGGAAGAACGCCAAGCCTGGATGGGGATTCTGAGACCAGCGACGCAGACAGGCTGAGTGGTCCGAAGCATCGGTAGAGGAGGTGGTGGTGATCTTGGGGACATTATGCCCCGTGCAGCTGCGCTCACCTAATCCCTGAATCGACAGTCGCAGTCGCAGCGGTGTCAGCAAGCAGCCGTAATAGCAATCGAGATGATCTTGTCGCTTCTGGAGTGCATTCGAGTGTATTTACAGCGCTAACGAGCATCGGGAGTTCCGGTGTGTCTGGCTCGAGAGTCGGTTTGGGGAAAGGCGTGGTCGGCGGCGGCGGCGGCCACACACAAGGTCCAAAGATGAGATCAAAGAGATTATGGATGCGAGAAGGAGCAGTCGGCAACGCTGCAGCGGCTGCCTTTGGCGCCAGTGTCGCTGCCGGTGTTGCCTGTGCTGCTATGGCTGTTGCTGATGGCGCCAGAGAAACGTCAAGGTCTTCTTGCCAGAGGCTAGGGCCCCGGATGCCGACATCCAATGCCATCGGAGAACTGCTCGATTTGTCATGACGAGGCGGCAGAGCTATTTTCGGCAGGCTCTCCGTCCTGGAGAGCGGTGTTGAGGATCTGCTGATCGATCGCCTGCACAATCTCCTCCTCTGCAAACCCAAGTTGATAGTCCACCAGTCCATACCACTCCAGCACGTCGGCCCAGGCATTGACAGACTCCCGAATCGCCGCCCAGTCCTTGGTGGTCATAGAGCTGATGGCGTCGGTCATTACAACATCGGTTTGCTCGGCTATGGACGGCTGGTTGGACAGAGTGGTTGAGGGCGATGGCGGCAGCGATGTCGAGGCGTCGGCAGCGTTCATCGGATGAGATGGCTGCTCGGCTCCAGCCAGCGCACCGTCGGTGAGCTGAGGCGTGACCAAGGTACCGACGCAGAGAGACTTTGTGCCCGAGCGGATAGTGAGGAGCCATATGTCGTTGATCGAGTCCCAGAACTCGAGCTGATCTTCGTATGAGAGGGCGACTGACTGGGACGGATCTCCTTCCGTCGCAGGACCGGGCCCGAGCAGTGCTCTCGGATTCGCCGCTATCGATGCCGTAGCAGCGCTAACGGCGGCCGCAGCAGCGACGGCAGCCAGTGCCGATACGGGTGTATCGAGCGTCAAGATCGGCGGGATAGGCAGAGCCACGGACGATGGCAAGAGTGCTGATTGATCTGACGCAGGAGCGGGATGAGGCACAAGGCCAAGGGACTCGACATTCTCGACGATCGAGTCCATCACGGCACAAAGGGTGTGTAGCGCTTGCCGCAGATTGTCCGATGAGTTGAGGAGCGACGAGACCAGATCGAGGCTCTTGATGATGGACCCGAGATTGGGGGTGGCGTCGTCCGACTCTGGTGGGGCGTTGCTCATGAGCATAGGGGCGAGCGAGCGGGTGGGTGGGTCGAGGTCAGGTGCGATGCGATGCGATGCGATGCGAGCCAGGCGATGTCTGAGGAGCTTTGGAGCGTTGAGAAGCCGATGCGAGATGCGAGATGCGATCGTGGAAGAGCCCGAGTGGCGGCGGAGGGACAGCGGGCGCGCTGCACGGTCTTGGCGAGGCCGAATGCGAGGCCGAGCGATGGGGCGACAGGGAAGCGACACGGCTGCATGGGCACGAGAGCGATATTGGTGTATTGATGTAAGTGTGGTATTGGTGTATTGATGTATTGTGTGGTATTGGTGTATTGTGTGGTATTGGTGTATTGGTGTTGTTCGGTAATATTCGTATGTTGTTAGGAAGTATCGGCGGTACTGGATGTTACCAGCGAGTGAGTGAGTGAGTGAGTGGGGGAAATGGCGATCGTTCGCTAACATCGGCATCCACAGAGTCAGCGACAACGAGCGAGAGCCGAACGATTGCCATGTCCGTGTGGCGGATATCGCTCCTGGTGTTACAGGCAATCCAATAAAAAACGGGACACCCGGGTTTTTGACCATTCATCGAATATTTTGTTACCCAATGTTATCGCGCGCTGGCCATGACCATTCGCCAGACGGTGTGGAATCGCGACGTCAATGCGGCGTGCAACATGATCACAGTGTGCAGGTCGATTGTGGAGACCGGAGAGCGACCGGTGGTCTTCACTCGGAGGCTGCCAAAGTGATCTGTTTTATTTCTTGTGGCTTTGCTTGACGCAAGCACAGCACATACTACATGTTCATGGAAACGGCTATGTTGTCCCGTTTTTTTTTCTGAATAAAGTGTATATCGCCTCATTGGTTGACATTGCTTCGTGGTTGATGAGATCCATCACTGCTTCGTGGCTGATGAGATCCATCACTGCTTCGTGGCTGATGAGATCCATTACTGCTTCCGCATCTCATCGTCGTTCGTGCGCTTCGCCATCTCGTCGCCAATGCCCCCCCCCATCCGAGTGCTTCCCAAATATCGACATGCACATGTCCCAGCCCCCCGCAGCGCCCCACAGCCCTCAGCCCGCACGTGCGCCTTGCCCCATATCATGGCGCGATCGCATCGCTCGCTGGCGTCATTTTTTTTGCCGCCCCCAACCTGAACAGACTCCTCGTTTGCATCTGCAGCTGGCCGATATCACCCGACACAACCCGATACAGGCCGCATTCCATCCACACCGCATCACCCGGACGCCGATTCTGTCAGGATTACAACAAGACAGCGTTCGCCGAACCCGCCTGGACCCGCATCCCTGATATAGCCCCTGCCGTCGTTGACACACTTTCCCCGCCAACCCATCACCATCGCCCCGTCGATCGCATCATCCCGGTCTCCATGAAGACGAGCCACAGCAGCAATTCTCTTGCCGGAACCCTGACCGGCCGGCCTATCATTGTCCAGAAATATGGCGGCACCAGTGTCGGCTCGGGCGAGCGCCTCCTGGAGGTTGCGGCGATTGTAAAGTGCGTTTGCTCACCCATGTCTGCGTGTTTCCTTTCACCATGTCGTCGTCTGCATCCGCACTGGCAAGCAGGGCGGCTGCATCGCTCTCTTGTCGGTCTGCTGCTGTGTCTATTCTGATCTGCAGTGGCCTGTGGACTCCATTCTGGGCACTTGCTTGCCCTCATGGATCCACCCTGCATCGCACCGCCGATCCGTCACTACCCGGCTCTCTGCGTATTTGCTCCTGTCTCTCTGGCGCCTGTCCTGTGGGCCGTCCGTCTCTCGCATATCGCCATTCCGGCTCACCGGGCTCCGATCCTATCTCGTCCCTACGGCGCTGATCTCTTCACAGGAATACTGTTGTTCGGAACCGCCTTATCGTTGTCCTCTCCGCCATGAGCAAGCAGGTCAAGAGCGAAGGCACAACCAGCCGGTAACGCCGCCGGAGCGATGGTGTCGCTTGCGCATCCATATCTGCACATTCGCCCATCCACTCTGGATCAAACTGAGACCCCTGATTGTCTGCCTTCCAGGCTGCTGGCTGCCCTGAATGACGCCCTCCAGGAAGACACCAAGCAGAAGCGCTTTCTGGGATATATGGCCGCCATCGAGCGCGACCATATCATTGCCATCCGAAAAGCCATCCGGTCGCCACAGCTCGGCGACGAGGCTGAACGCCTCATTCTGACAGAGTGCAGTCGGATTCGCGAGTTTCTCTCCGCAGCGCAGGTAAGCACTATCGCACGTCTGGCACCTTGTCGACGGAGTTGTATCGACGAAGCCATTAGGTTTCGCTGGGCCATGGTGTCAGCAACGGCCTGGTGTTGGTTGGCGCATCATGCCTCACCTGAACCCAAACCCAGTGGTACCGACAAAGCATCTTCCGGCTCGAATGATTGGGACTCGGTCTCGTTGCTCGGGTCTCGTCCTTACTGCCTCGTCTCATCGCCACGTCTCACACTTCCCTGTGACTGCCCACGATTGCCCAGGTTATTGGCGAACTGGCGCCAAAGTCAAGGGACGTCGTCATCAGCACCGGCGAGAAGCTCTCGGCCATCTTGTTCACCTATACCCTGCGCGACCAGGGCGTCGACGCATTCTACGTCAACCTCGAAAACATCATTGAGGCGAACCGATTCGATGCCAAGGCCATCGATCAGTCCTTTTACGACTACATCGCCGTCCGACTTCAAGAGCGGCTTGGAGACTTTGGCGATCGAGTTCCCGTGCTGACGGGTGTGTATTTGTTGTGCTGTATCTGGCCTGCTCACACAGACGAGCTCAGTGCGCCGTGCTACTCTCCTGGCATCGTTGCATCGCTTGGGTCGGTAGTAGAAGGCTCATCCACACCCTGGCTGCTGCAGGTTTCTTTGGTCCCATCCCCGGCTCGATGCTCGAAACCATCGGTCGAGGATACACCGACCTCGCCGCTGCGCTTGCTGCCGTCGGCACTAGTGCCTGTGAGCTCCAGATCTGGAAGGAAGTCGACGGTATCTTCACAGCAGACCCGCGCAAGGTCCCCAAAGCCAAGCTGCTGGAGCGCATTACCCCCGAGGAAGCAGCCGAGCTGTCATACTACGGATCCGAGGTCATCCATCCATTCACAATGGACCAGGTGATCGACAAGCGCATCCCGATCCGCATCCTCAACACATTCAATCCCTCAGGCCGCGGCACGCTGATTGAGCCCAGGGAGGAGGAGAACGACCGAGACGACGAGAGCGACATGTCCAGGTCGGTGTCCATCATCAAAGAGGAGTCTCCGGAGGAATTCTGGACGCAGCTCCCGGACCGCCCAACATACCCACCGACGGCCATCACGATGAAGGAGGGTATCATCGTGGTCTCAGTGCGATCGAACCGCAAGAACGTCTCGCACGAGTTCATGTCGCAGGTCTTTGCTGTCCTCAACAAGCACGGCATTGTCTCGGACCTGGTCTCGACATCGGAAATCAACGTGTCGATCGCGATCTACTTTGGTTCCCAGAGCCAGGACGACGACGCTCTTATGGTCAAGCTGGGCCCCGCCGTCCAGGAGCTTGGCAAGTTGGGCAGCGTCGCGATCGTACCCGACCGGGCCATCATCAGCTTGGTGGGCAAGGCAATGAAGCACACCGTCGGCATCTCTGGCATGGTGTTTAGCATCCTCGGACGGAACCACGTAAGTGTCGGGTGGTGGGCAGTGCACAGGGAGGAGTAGTCTCTGACTCTGCGATTCGACCAGCTATTCAAGCTTAACCCGCTCCCGGACCCTTCTTCGCGCGGTCCCCAACTCCCGTCGACCAGATCAACGTCGAGATGATCTCCCAGGGATACCCCGAAACCAACATCTCGGTCGTCGTCAAATGCAGCAAGGCCGCCAAGGCCCTGCAAGTCATCCACGACCACTGCATTCTGCTCGACGGCCATCCATCCAAGTACTCAAATCCGTCCCTGCCGTCGTTCTCGCCCGCGCCCTTCTAGCTGTTCTTGCATAGCCATTCTCTGCCTGGGTTCTGTCAGATCGCATTGACAATACACCTGTCGTTTCATCAGACAGTGGCGCGCGAGGAAGTGAGGAGACCATCGCCCTGGAGACAATGTGCGCATCAATCACGCCGACTGCTTGAGTCTCGCATTCGCGATGCGCTGCATCCGTCTGTCAAGCGACGTTACGCTCATCCTTCTCTCCCATCCGCCCAAGAAGAACCATGAGCAAGAAGGCTGGGGCACCCGCATTGTCGGCCAAAGTCGCGCCCAAACCCCACAAGAACCCAGCCCCCAGGCCACCCAAAGCCGGCCCGCCCGAGATCTCCCGACACCGTGCCCATGAGAGCCATGAGCCACCCGCCAGCAGCCGCACGCCCAAAATCGACTCACCCGCCGACGACTCTGCGAAAGCATTTGTGCCGCTTGAGACCGGCCTGCGCCGCATCCAGCTCCAAGGACTCGTCGATGCGATCAAGCCCATCCTCACGCATCCTGTGCGGCCATACACGCCCCTGATCCTCGACAGGGCAGGACACACCGACGCCTTCTTCACGTACGCGAGCGAATACGGCGGGCTCTTTGTGGATGCCAAGAAGTTCCTCTCGCAAGTATCGATCCAGAAAACCATGGATCTCGCGCAGGCGCTCGAGGAAATGCGCCGGACGCTCGTCAGCGCAATGAAGTACGGCAAGACGCTGGTCATCCGCATGGCCAACACCGCCGTCGACTTCCAGAGCAAGTTCACGGGGCCAACGACCTTCCCGACTGCCGATCTCTTGGTCGAGGGGGGCCGGCGCTTCCACGAGGAGCGATACTGGCGCTCTGTCGTGCGCGACGAGGACATGGATACAGGGTGTTTTCTCTGCCGCCCCGAGTTCTGCGTTGTCGTGACGACGACATTTGCCAAAGAGGACTATAGGGAGTATCTTGAGAAGGCCCTGCCGCTTGGCGAAATGATCCCCGTGTGCATTGACGAGTGACTCGCGCCAACATGGACGAGTAATCCCCGTGAGAATTGACGATTGACCGCAGAGATATTGGAGCCATGGGCTGACCTCGGGGATGGAGATGAATTGCCCGCCTTGTCTGGGAAAGTATCAGCGTCGGTTTGGACGCCTTTCCGGTTTTGCCCCGCCCCACCTTTCTACCGCGCCAACCAAAGACCATTGCCGCTTTCGATCCCCCACTCGGGAGGACAGCCGTGTTCCAGGTGGGGTTCCGGTCCAAGGTGCAGTCCTGTTTCTGGACGAGGCTTTCGCCCTCCCCCCACCTGCCTCATCGCTTTCGGTCCATCGGCCACGGCGCTCATCCTTCGTTCCTCATCGCACCTCATCGCACCTCATCGACGCATTCCTCATGGCTGCAGCCGAACAATCGTCCTCGTGGACATCGCTCCTCGAAAGGACCGGAAACCAGCTCCCAATCCCCACACCCGCCCATGGATCAGGTGCAATGTCCATCCCCTGGCAACCTCCACCAGGCTTGGCTTGGTCTGCTGTCGTGGGCTGCGCTGCGGACTGGCTTTCGCCATGCCTCGTTGTCTCTCGTTGTTCTTCTGCCTATGCCTCACTACATCTGACTCTAATCTTAGCAATGTACTCGCACCCCGCTCGCTCGGCCCGCCAATCCCCTGACATCGCCGCCACCAGCCTTCAAGCAGTATCTGCATCTGTGTCGTCCCTTGTGGAAAGCCGCCCGGGAAGGCGACTACTCAAAGTTCTGCAAGCATGCCGAGATCAATCCTGAGAAACCTCCCGCCAGCCTCCCCCGCAAGCTCGGACAGGAGATCCGTCAGCGAGGCGAGGAAAACGAGACCCTGCTGCACGTCGCCATTCTCAACAGCGACCCGAACCCGCGCGACGCCAGTGGAAATCGAGTGGATGCAACATCGTCTGGATCGTACAGGATCGTCCAGCTGTTGCTAAAGTATTCTTCTTGGTTGGCAAACGAGCCATACGGCGAGGGCCGCTACCAAGGAGAGACGCCGCTTCACCTCGCTGCCGTCAAAGGCCATCGCGCCATATTCGATCTTCTCGTGGAGAATGGTGGCCAAGAAACCTGCTGCGACCATAGCGTCGGCGAGCCCTGTTTCGACGACTGGTTTGATCCAAATGACGACGACTCTGGCCCCGTGTCCGGAAGAGCGTCCGCGCTCTCAAACTACTCCAACGACCCAGAGCCCCTTCTCCCCGATGAGACCCCTGATGCAACTTCGGGATCCAGCGGCCAGATGCTCTCTGCTGGCCCGACCGAGGGAAACAATGACAGCAGCGAAAGCACTCGGCTGGACGCTCCGCCTCCCCTGTCCGGTGCCGCATTCAGACCCGATGAGCAGAACGGCTACATGTACTACGGGTATGGCTCTGGTCCAAGCACGTTGATGTTGTCCTGCCTAAAACATTGGCCATCCTGACCGCTGGTACTGATCATATTCTTCTATCATGCGCCGATGGCCCCGATACTGCCTCGCTGCCATCACAACAACGCCGTCTGGTTTCTTACAAACATACCCAGCAAGTCCGTCCTGTGAGTAGTCAACTGAGGAAACCGGCGACAGATCCGCACCATCATTGCGCATCGGGTCGATTCCGTATTATCCCGCGCGTTTGTCCGATACCATGCAGCCCTCCGCTCACTGTATGGTGTGTCGTTGCCGTCATCTCTTGTGCCATCGCAATGAATGCGCACCGCTCACAGGTCCTTTGCCGCCGTTGCTGGATCGAACGAGATTGTGGAGAAGCTGCTGGAGCGCTACGGCAACTTCCGCAAACGACAGCGATCCGGCTGTGTCCAAACCGTCGGGCCATCTTGTGCAGTCGAGGATAATGGTGGGGTTCCAAACAGCCAGCCAAATCATGATGAGCCAGAAGGGATGGGATGATATTGTACCGCTGCCGTCACATCGTTTGCATGGGTGCCAAGATCGACCGCAGTGAGTGATGATAGGGCAGAGAGTATGCGTGTGGTATGGCGCTCGGATGTGCAATCCTTTCGCAGTACTGACCACGCTGCTCGCATTTTCAGGCAACACTGTGCTGCATGTGAGTCAGCGCATATCACCACGAGTACCCAATACCGGCGGGTCGCCCTCACGACCATCTCCGTGAAGATCCCCTGTGCCCATTGGCCATTCTAACGCAGCGTGCTCTTGATTCATCTGACCGACTGCAGATCTTGGCGTACTGGGGTCTGTTCAACTCTGCGAACTCTCAGAAGGAAAGCTGCTGGGATGTGATTGTCCGCTACTGCGACTCGGTTTACGGACGTGCCTCCCGATCCCACCCATTTAATATCCGAAACAACGACAATCAAACACCCTTTCTCCTGGCCATCTATCGCGGACATGCTGAAATACTTGACAAGATGAAGGTCCCCATGTGGGAGGTAAGGAGCAGCCCGACTGCATCGAGGATAACGACACGCAGCCAGCGCTTTGCCAGATAATGCCACCTCCGGTAGCGCCCCGTGGCTATACGACCAGCTTGGCATGACCATGTTTTCTTTGCGCGACACAGTTTGGCATGTCTCGCTCGTACATGTTCAGGGTCGACGAGATCGATACCTGGAGAGACAAGGACATCACCGAAACTGGCGCCCTCACCCCTCTCGTGCGACATCTGACCGATGGCCAAATCAACAGCGGCGAATATTCCCATCTCTTCACAAAGTTCTCGCCCACCATCCGCGTCAAGTCGGCCATCAAGGTGGCCATCGAAAAGGGGTACCACCATCTGTTGGCACACCCGATCATGCACTCGGTCCTGCGCCTCAAGTGGGAGGCCTCGGTGCGCAGGGCCTTCAAGTTCGACCTGTACCTGCATATCGTCTTTATTGTGGCGTTCTCGATTTCGTTCATGCTGCTGCCCTCGCGCTACGAACAGTGGAAGGTGTTCATCGTCCAAGGCTCGGGCTGGCGCCATAATGCGGCGCAGTGCCTCCGGGGTGTGCTGGAAGCCTTGTCGGTCATACTCGTCGCCATCATCACCGTCCGCGAGGTTATGTTTTCGCTTGCTCGCAAGCAGTGGCCGTCCTACCGCCCGACTCCTGGATCTGGCTCCGGCGCATCCTCAGCCGCCAGAACCCCCGACACCGCTACGCGACAGACCCGAGCCCAGACTCCAAACCCTGTCTCAAGTCCGGAGTCAACCACTGCATCGCAGCTCTTCTCTGTGCTCCAGGACAAGGCCAGGTCCCTGATCACTCCCCTGGGCCCTTCCAACATCCTCGTGTGGTTTTATGACCTTACCACGTGGTCGCTCATGTTCCTCGTGTCAGCAATCGTCGTGATCCGATATGCCCCCGTTCCCGGCGAATACCAAGGGACGCAGTACCTACTGGAGAGCAACGCCGTTATCCTCCTTGCTCTGGCCGGCTGGCTCCGCTCGCTCTACTTTGGAGTGGGCTTCCCAGGCGTGGGCACGCTGGTGGTGGCCATGTGGAGCTGCATCACCCAGGATCTAGTCATCTGGTCGGTGATCTATGCCATCACGTTCTTTTCCAGTGCTCAAATCTTTAGTCTGCAGATGAGAGACCACTCAGGCAACAGCAACCCCGACGCAGTGCACTGGTCCAGCGCATCGATTGCTATGCTGTCGCAGTTTGGGTAGGTTTGGCCCTGGCCAGGCTGCAAGTGTCCGGCTGTGCTTGATGTGACTGACTTGTTCGATATCGGCTTGAAGGCTGATGGTGGCTCCTCCGTGTCTTGTGTCAGATTCCTCTTTGGCCAGGGACAGCCGCTCGACGAGTTCTCGACCTCCATCGACAAGACGTTCACCCTGATCGCGTACTCGATTTACCAAATCGTCACCGGTGGGCTGTCGGATTGTTTGGGCTGCAGCAGGAGCGAAGCGGGTGACTCTGGGCGCTCCATGTCGCTAGTCCAATATTTTGGCGCTCTGGACGCTGTGATGGAGAAGTGACTGACGCATCTTGTTGTATCCTCTGGGTCAGCCATTTTGCTTCTGAACCTCTTCATCGCCATGCTCAACAAGACTTTTATGGATGTCTATGAGAACTCAGAGACTCACTGGCACTATCAGTGGGCAATGTAAGTATCGCGAGCGAAGCTGTTGTCTCAAGTCGTTCTCGGATCACCCCTTGCAGCCCGTACCCTCGCCCGGATACGCTCGTCGTTTGTCCTCCCAGTCACAATCATCGGATCCCTCGGCAGCTGAGCCAGGCTGACAGAATGTGGGGTTCGTCTGCTCTTTAGCCTTGTCAACCACATCGACAGCCGCGTGCCAGCCGTCACGACCGAGCAAAGGATGAACATGAGGGGCGTGTCGCCACTCCTGCTGCCTTATGTGTACTGGATGAAGCGCTTTGGCATCAGTCCGCGAGTGCCCATGGGCATTCCAATGCCTCTGCACCTCATCAAGACACGAAGCTCCCGCAAGCGCGGGCACGCTCGGGACACCTCCGTGCCCTTCGACCTTGTGCCTGAAGCGCCAGCCGACCCCGACAAGCTGGCCCCATTGCCTTTGAGCTCGTCCCGTCTGCACGAACGCTTCGTGACCGCCAACTTTTTGATGGTCCGCGAGCGCTGTGACGGCTACTCCCCCAACGACCGGATGCGCAAGTTTATTCCTGTCAAGCTCATCTCAGGCTACACAGAGTATCGTATTCGAGGCTTCCAGCTGTCCAAGATCTGGGATAGCTGGGAGAACGCTCCCGAGAGGGTATCCGTTCCCAATTCAGGACAAGAGGAGCTCAATGAGGGCGCACCGCACTCGCCGCATTCACAGGCCCACCATCTGAATGGCGGCTTGAGCTCCTCGTCGGCCCAGCCGAGTCCAAGCATCCTTAGTGCACACGGCGCAAACACCGGGCTCCGTCACCGGCCGCTGAAATTCGACCCCATCAACACCAGCTCTGGGGCCCGATAGGCCAGCATGCGCATTCGTGGATATGGTGTTGCTTGTATGAATGGACCAATATCCAACCGGAACGTGCGGTAGTAGCCACCCCTGCCCTTGCTAGGGGCTGACGGCATCAGTACAGGGAAGGCAACCTTGGCTCATGTTGCAAAAACAGTAATGCGTGGTCTTCTTGCTTAGCCGCGAGCTTGTCTGCCTCTCGATGCGTCAATATACTACATATCCATGACTCGCCTGTCCAAGACTGCGATCAGTTACAAAGGATAAGTCCAGAGGTGGAGAGGAGGGGGGGGGGCGATCCTCGCTGAAGACGTGGTAAAGGCCGCTGTTGTGTTGCTGAATCTGCGCTATCTTGCGTAGAAGCTTGACGGGAGGAACTCGAACTTGGTATCGAACGGCAACAACTCTACCTGGCCCATGCTGGGGCTAAAGCGCAGGGTATAGGCTCCTCTTGGATCGTCGCGAACCACATGGCTCCTGACCCAGCGTAACAGCGCATAGCTGAACCCAAGGCACACATTGGGATCCCAGAGATGCTTCTCGCGGACTTTTCGGGGGATCTCGAGAGTGTTCATGGTTTCCAGATGGGAGAGAATGCCCTCCTCTGTGCGGAACCCAAGAACAACCTTGGGGATGCCAAGCAAAAACGACTGCGCCCAGATGCGCAGGAGCTTGAATCTATCGAATGTCGCAAAGCGACAATCAGCAGGCAAGCAAGGGAACCGTGAGCCACGATGGAACGAAGAGTCGGGTGTCGATGGCCATTCAAAAAAGAAAAGGGTGCCAGCGAGGCGGACGAGGCAAGCAGCATGTGTGCAAAGCTCATCAATGTCTGCACCAAGACCCGAAATCTGCGGATCACATCAAAATCCACCGGGCAGCAGCATCAAGGCAAGCAGTATCAAGGCAGCAGCATCAAGGCGGCAGCCATTTCATCTCGCAGGCGCTTACTTCTCAAAGTTGAATTGCTGCCGCTCGTGCTTGAACACTTTGTTGGTCTTGAGTTCGATGTAGTTTGCAGAGGGATTTGCAGGATCGCGGGCGCCCTCGGTCTGGCAGTCGACTTCGCCGCCGATGATGAGGGACAGATCACCCAGTTTGGTTTTGCAGACGGAACAGAACTGCTCGTTCGTGTTGATGAGCTTGGGCTCGGTGGAGTCGCTGGACGGATCCAGCTCGGAGGGCGGTACATCGGCGGTAGATATGCTCTCGAACTTGTATCTGCAAATACCAATATAGCCACCACAAGAGCGAGATGCCAGAGCAAAGGGAGCAGGTTGGTTGTGGGAACCGTGCCAGCGTGCGTATGCACACGCAAAGCATCGTTGTTGCGGTCTGATGCAGACACAAGCAGCCCAGGACAAGCCACGACATGGACGGGAGCTCACCCCATGTAGGTCATGCGGCGGTCTTCCTCGGGGCTCATGTTTGAGTACTTTGACGGAAACTTGTGCTCCTCAATGTAGATGGTACCCTTTGGTGCAGATTGAGTACCGGTGAGCTCGATAGCCAGGGCGAGCAGCTCTGGATCCGCCAGACCAGGCTTGCATGGGATATATACAAACCTCGAAGAGGGTGAGACCCAGTTCCCAGGGCTCGTTTGCATACGGGGTGCACATGATCTTGGTCATAAGGCCCCGCCCTGCGACCCGGATAGAGATTGATCAATGATCGACAGCAGCCCGGGCATCAGAGTGCACGAAGAAACGAGGAAACGAGGAAACGAATATGCTGCAGGCCACACATGCAGGCGGCGTTCCACTGCCACCCAGGGCTTACAGGTGCAAAAGTTGGGGGTGAACGGCTCGAGGGACTTTTCCGTTTGCTTTTGGTTCAAGGCCTGCATGAAAGTGACGAGGCCATCGAGGTGCTCGTCAATGTCCTCCCGGGGTGCGTAGAGGTCGGGATAGCCGGCCAGAAGCGACTGGTCGAGGGCCGGTGGACGATACCATTTCTTGAACAGATAGTTCGTAAGAATGAGCGTCCTGCGGCTGTGGAGCACAGATGTATGTGCTCTGGTCGGCAAGGCGGACTGGGAGACACAACGATGCGCGAGGCAAATGCATTACCAGAATCTGATCACTGAAGAAATGGATCTGTCGCTGGTGATCGAACGAGAAGAACCCGATCTCCATCGGCTGCTTGTACTGAGCTACCGGAAGACCGGAGTTGGGTCTGCGAAGATCTGATTTTGTTGGCACTGGGAAAACTATGCGGGGACTGCAGTCACCCTCGGGGGGCCCGTCGAGCTGGCCGGGGTGGGTAGTGAACGCAGGACTTGATCTGGTCTCGGAGCGGCTGTCGAATCGATTGTTGGAGGGGGTGCCCTGACGACCATCGAAGCGGTTGCTCGGGTGGCTGCCGGGGCGGCTATTGAAGCGGTGGCCCTGGCGGTATTCGGATCGACTGCCAAAGCCGCTATCCGGCCGGCCGTTGGGATGGTGGCTATTTCTATCAGGGGGTGCAGCGCCGGCTCGATTGCTGGATCGATAGTCTGGCTCGTTGTCTCGATCCGAAGGAGCGGACCGCTGGGACTGTGATGGACTATCAGGGCCATCATGGACACGCCTGGACTTGTTGGGCAGCATATGCGGCAACGGCAACGGTAGTTTTACGAAGCGGCGCGAGAAGTAGAGAGCGAGGGGGCTTGTTGCGCCGGAGGTCAAGGATCGGAGCATGCCAGATGCGAGCAGAGGAGGGGGGGGAGCGTCGAGCAAGCACTTCAGCGCGAACGACGGCCTGGCCAGTGGCAGTCCCGAGCGGGATATGGGAGAACATGGACTGGACGGGGCGCGAAGGAATGGTTGTCGAGAGAAGAGATGCATGGGCAAGCGAGTGCCGACAAAAGTACACATATCCATGGTCGCATGGTGATGGACAGGAGAGTTGGAACATGAGCGCTTGAGACAAAAGTGCTGAAAACAAACGAGAGGCAGACCAAAATGAGAGGGACAAAAGGACAGCGTCAGAAGCAGGATTCGAACCTGCGCGGGCGAGCCCATTGCATTTCGAGTGCAACTCCTTAACCACTCGGACATCCTGACTTTGATTGTGACTGGCATTATTTCCAAGCCCAATTTGAACATACTAAGAAATCGAGTTGGGCATTGTGGCGATCAAGCGGCGGCGATTCCAACCATTCACAATTCATCTCACTCACGAGTCAACCAAACGAGTCAACCAAACGAGTCAACCAAACGAGTCCTACCACTCACGAGTCGAATCGATCAGGTGATGCTGCCTGTTCGGTTGATGTATCGTGAATTGATCTATTTTTGTCCCTCTTTCAAATGCTTCTCTCCGAGAGCCCTCTCGCCGCCCTCTCGTCCGGTCTCGTCCCGATCTCGCCCCGTGCTTTGGCTTCCGTTGCTGTCCCTCCTCCTTCTGCCCTTCCTCCTGCGCTTCCTCCTCTTCCTCCTCTTGCTCTCCATCGCCTCCACGTCATCGCCTCTGTTGGGCTGCCGCTGATCTCCTCAGGGCATTTCGTCTGCCGCACCGCTCCTTCGCTCTAAAGCATCAGAGTTCAGTCGCTCTTTGCCTCCGTCTTCTACTGCAGCTACTACTGCCACTGCTGCGACCCCTGACGATCCTGGTCGTCGTTGTGCTGCTTCGATTTCCCAGTATATCCAGCATACCCAGTTTGCTGCCGCACCAGTTTCACTCCTGGCCAATCCCCGCCATGTATTCGCTCAAGAGAAAGGCGCCTCCTACCGCCGACGCTGCAATGGATATGCAGCAGGATGAGCGATCGGTGCTTATTCCCAAGCGCATCCGTCCCAGCCACTACCAGCAGCCCGATTCTTCGCAGCCGCTGTTCTCGCAGCCCCCTCCGTCCATCGAGCCCCATGCGGTCGCTGTCGCTGCACCGGAGCCTGCGGCCCCCGCAGTTTCTGTCGATCCCCATCTGCCCAAACTCTTGGCCACCCTGGACAAGGCTGAGTTGATCGGCATCATCACCCAAGTCATGTCTGCCCATCCCGCCCTCCACGCCTCCATCACCTCGCTTGTGCCTCGGCCCACGCTCTCCACCGTCTCGGCGCTTCTGATCCAGGCCGAGAAGAAGCTCAATGACGCATTCCCGTACTCCAAGTTTGGCCAGGACCGCTCCGATTATGCTTTCAACCGGGTGCGCCCCCACCTGTTTGAGCTCAAGGAGCTGGTCCTCCACTACCTCACTTTCTTCACCCTGCCGCAATCGTATCCCGAGTCCATGTACCACGAGTTCCCCCAGTGCTCGATGGCATACCTGCACTTTGTCACCAGCCTGGTGCATCGTCTTCCCCGCTGGACCAACGAGGTAATCCTCAGCCCTTCGCTGTGGGTGGTGACTCCCTCATCTCTCCGGCGCCTCCCGCACGACACCGGATGTCTTTCGTTCGTGCTCGAATGTGGATGGCCAGGTCCTGCTCATCGTTTCACATGTCTCGATGCTTCAGCTCTGATTGATGATCTCCCACACATCAATCCGGCCTTTACTCCATCCACTAAATCCCTCCCCACTCTCTTCGTCCACAGACACACAATATCGAAACCACCACGGACCTGTACGTACAGCTGGCTCGTGCCTGGAGATTCGCCTATATCGAAATCGGCCGAAGATTCAAGGAAGAAGGTGCGTCCTGGGCAGTTGCGGGATGGCTAGGTTGTCTAGTCGTGTGGTTGTCCGGATGTGGGTTCGTATCGCTTTATACACTTGGCTGTACCCTCCCTAACTGCTCTCTATCCCTCCATCCCTCACAGGCAAGATCTTTGGCGCCAGCGTCATCGGTGATTGGGCCCGCAGTCTCAACCACCACTATACCGAGTGCAAGGGTGCCCACGGCTTTGACGAGGCTCTGGAAGAGTTCAAGCGTCAGCTTGGTTGGCTCATTGGCCTGAACCCACGATCTGGTCTGCCAGATCCGTCACTTGGTGAGTTTCGCTGGCTCCTGATCGCTGCTCGCTGCGGCTCATGGGTCACTGCCGCTCTGGATCAGGGCGATGCCTCATGTTCGGCAATCACGATACTGATGCATCTTGGACTGTTGCTATCTTTCGTGCCCTCGCGCCCCAAACCGGAAACGGCACCGTTGCCATCGCCACCACCACCACAACCACCAACCACCGCTATATCGCCTGTCAATCCACCCAACTGTGCACTTGCTCAAACCCTCCTGTGGCAATCCAAATCCCTGCCTCGCCCGCCTTGCCCTCGCGCTGGTTAATCTATCAGACTCAAGCCCCCTGCGTCGAATGTCCACCGGCCGCTCCGTCTTTGGCTCTCTGCAGGGCTCCCACGGGCTCATCAACCAGCCCTGTCTCTGAACGCGCAACTCACTCGCCACCACCACCACCACCGCATCTGCGTCACCAGGATTGCATCTTTCTATTTATTCCCACATCGTTTTTGGTCTGTGTTCATCAACACTCCCTTTGCATCCACCCGTTGCTGTCTGAGGCGATCAGCGCTCCGCCACTGGTTTGTCGCAGCGATATTCTCACTGCGATCAGCAAATGGCACACCTTTTGGTGAGGCGACGAGCCACTTCTCGAGACGACCAAGGCGGGCCCCGGCTGCCCTGTGACGCATCCCTCCCCTTCCCCCAGCTACAATACATCAAGCGATTTGCGCGCTGGCCATCTTACCGCTCATCTTCCACGATGCCCTCTCGTGTCCCCCTCATATTGGTCTGCAAGTGTGGTCCCACCCGGGCGAGATCTGCATCGCCTCGAGGCTCAGGTCCTCGACGGCTGCTGCTCCGAGGATTTCCGCGGGCTTTGCTCATATCATGGATGCAAAATGGCGGCAGCCGTCGGCTGCGGGTGCTGGTCTCGTCCCTCCCGCTTGGCTGCACGATCCTCACTCTCCACTGCTCCTCTACAACCGTCCATCTCGCTCCTGGAGGCTCCCGACGTCGCTACTTTGCGAATCTCGCCTCGGCCGCGTCGAAACCTATTCGCGCGTGTTGTTGCTCATTTGTCGGCGGCCACTGCTCCTTCTGTTGCTCGCATTGCCCTGTGCACTCCTCATGGCGGACACTGGCCGAATCGCCATGCTGTCCCTGAAGCGCAAATCAATAGAAGACCACCACCATTATCATCGCCACTATTCGGCTGCCGACGAAGGTTCCGCTGTGATGCAGTGCGTCTCGTCGGTAACCGAATCGGACGCCTACTTCAAACGCATGAAGCCAACAGCGAATCCCCAACTCGTCTCCCGGTCCTCACCAAACGATTTGGCTGCTCTCTCTGAGCCGCCCATCTCGCCACAAACGTCACGGCCGGGTCTCCACAGCCTGCTCGCGACCCTCGACCGCTCCCAGCTGCAGGATCTGGTCGCCAGCCTCGTCGAGCAGCATCCGCAGCTCGATTCAGACGTCAGGGGGCTGATGCCGGCTCTCAGCATCCCACACGCCAAGCACACCCTACTGGAGCTCGAGCGGCGACTCAACGAAACGTTCCCATACTCTCGATGGGGACCCGACCGCTGCTCCGACTATGCCTTCAACCGGGTCGCCCCCGCCCTGGCGGCCTTGCAGGACTCGCTGGTCTTTCACCTCGACTACTTCACCGAGCCGCGCGCAGGACGGGAGCCGGAGGGCCTGGCCATCGATGCGAGCTACCCCGTCGATGCCCTGGCGTATCTGCACCTGGCCACTGAGGTGGTTCATCGCCTGCCCGTCTGGCAAAACCCCAGCCACAATCTCGAAACTCGCATTGAGCTCTATCGCCGTCTGGCCAGACAGTGGCGCTTGGTCCTGGTCGAGATCGGACGGCGGCTCCGAGACCAAGGTGAGTGGAGACGGAGCCATCCTGGTCGAGCGGCTGTTGCTGGCGCAGTAATGTGGTGTGATTCATGGAAGGGAATGGTATTTCATTGAATTGTATTCCATTACATCGGGGCTGTGCTTGTGGTTGTGGGCCAGCCGTTCAATCCATATTGATAGTCGACGCTGTTGTCCCCTCCTGCTTCGACCACATACAAAGAACACTCACCGTATTGTACCGCTGCGGCACCGATTCATTCCGCTTTGTGGAAAGCAGGCAGGCTCTACGGAACGACCCTTGTGAGCGAATGGGCTCGAAATCTTGGCCATCACTGTCGCGAATGCAACGGCGACCACGGCTTTAGCGATGCATACGAGGAGCTCAAGATCCAGCTCGGCTGGCTCGTTGGTCTCTATCCTGCCACGATTCCATCTTCACATCCGGAGGAGCTGACGACAACAGGTTTGTCGTTGTTGCTGCACTGCCCGGATCGGATCGGATCGGATCGGATCGACTCGGTTCGGCGAGCGGTTGATGAGAGTAAAGTGTGGGAACGATACTGTTTGGAGCTTGTGTACATCGTCGTTTGTCGCTCTTCCTAATGCGAGTTGCCGTCTCTGCTGCTCTAGAGGTGGATTATGGCTTTCCCAAAACGAAACGGGACCTCCTGTTCTAAGTCAGGGTTGTTATTTTTCTGGTCCTGAATACACACCCACCCGTCGCTACGATGGCCAAGCACCGCAGTCTTGATCTTCGCACCGCTGCACTGCGATGCTTCACAGCCTGCACAAGTTGCCACCACTTCAGTATGTCCAAGAGCATCATGACGGTCGTATCCAGGGCGGCTGTGGCGACCAGAGAGCGACTCGTGTCCCTCGCTTAGAGGCTGCAGAGGTGATCGTTTTCCTGTCTTATGGCTTTGCTCTCCGCGGGACGTCTCACATATCGCTGGGAAATGGGATGGGCGTGTGTCTCGTTTGTTTCGGATTTAAGCGTTGGCGCTGAGGATAACCCAATGGTGGCAGCACCCGATTTGCTCGTGTGTCTTGAAGGATACACTGCCCGTTCTGGAGGACAATATGAGCGATTGTATCTCCAAAGGCGCAAGTACTCGGCGGGAATGTGTTCGGTCAGTCACCAGACCCGATTCGTTCGATAGTACATCTTGTCGAGTGTCTGGCCAATGGATCATGTGCTGCCACACCCCGATCGGATCAGGTTGCAAAGAATCGATGGCGTATGCACCGCTGGCTTGCATCAGCATCACCTCATTCTTTCCTTCATTCCCTCGCCTGTCCCGAAAGGAGGGTTGTTCTCAAGCCATCGGGGCATTTGAATTGCGGTTGCTCTACTCGGTCTCCATCCTGGGTGTTTGATTGCCTCCAACCCATCGCACGGCACCATGTCTGGTCTGGGAGGAGCAACCAAATGTCCTCGCTGTTCGAAATCCGTATACAAGGCCGAGGAGGTTCGCAGAGTTCCCAGGAGGATGGGAACAATTCCGTCACGATGCTGCACGACACCACCTCCACCACCACTACCACAACCATCAGCACTATCCATCACCTGTCCATTCCCACACGCGATTCTCACTTTGGAATCAACACGACCGTTTCCGTCGGGGCTCGGCGCTCGGTGCTCTGTCCGCTCTTATTCACAAGGAGCGATATCCTCGTCGGATTCTGAGCCTTACTCCTTCCGTCTTTCGATATTCAGGTTATCGGAGCAGGCTCGGCCTGGCACAAGAGCTGCTTCAGCTGCAAGGTGAGTGTGAGGGATACGATTCCGGCGATAGACACCGTCGAACCATGATGGCGTCGTGGTTCGAATTCAATCCGATGGGCTCTGCGATGTGCTGCTCCTGTTGCTGCCCGGTCGTGCTCATCGCCTCTGGGCCCAGGAATGCCGCAAACGACTCGAGTCCACCACTTTGACTGAAAGCGCCGGAGAGATTTACTGCAAGTCTTGCTATGGCAAGCTCTTTGGTCCCAAAGGTGAGGCCATCGGACCTGCGACGAGACATCCAGTCCTGATCTCTGATGGGTCTTGAGAGACATGTGACGGTATTCAATTGCCTGGTGCATGGGGTCAGATCAAGCCTGGGAGAGTTTTTGGCTCGGCCGATGGGATTCACCGGACATGGAAACTCAATGAAGAAGCCCGCGCAAGAGTCGGCAAGCATTTCATTGATATTTGACGGTCGTTGTCTCGTGTGATGGGGCCAGGATACGGCGGCTGCGGTGGTGGTGCTTTTCTCCACTGTGAAGGCAAGCCCCAGTCCAACCAGGGCCAGGGCCAGGGCACTGCCGAACCAGGGACGGGCACCGTTGCTTCTGCCGAACCAGCACCACCACCAGCAGCACCACCGACAGCAGCACCCATGGCAGCTTCTGTTTCAGCTGCACCAAGCACCAAGCCCAATTTTGGCTCGACCGACATGTGCCCTCGCTGTGGAAAGGCCGTATACTTTGCCGAGCAGGCGCTTGGCCCTGGAAACACAAAGTACCACAAGTCTTGCTTCCTGTGCTCGTGAGTGCTCTCGTTCGCATCTGCAAGTTATGGCCGCGAAGTGCTGTCGCTCACGAGCAGAAATCACTGACGGAGCTCGCGGTGTCTGCCAATGGATCTAATCCTACTGCTGCTGGCGGCTGGCATTGGTTTCGCGGTGACATATGTTTGCCACAACGGGATGGGGGACGGCCAACAGCGAATGCAACCGGACTTTGGACTCGTCGTCGGTGGCCGAACGAGACAGCGCCATCTTCTGTCGCTCATGTTATGGGAAGAAGTTTGGACCCAAAGGATTTGGGTATAGCGGCGCGCTGAGCCACACCACTTGAGAATGCAACAAGATTTGCCGCGTGGGAGCGACGAAGGCAAGAAGCTGCAAACGGATGACTTGACAACAAACATATGTATTGGCAAGCAATAGCTGCTGTATGTGTTGACAGAGAGATATATAAAAGTACATGGGACATATAGGAGGGCTTACGATGCCAATCATAGAACATGTACAGGGTGAGGCAGATGGCTCGATATTCATCGACGATTAGAACATCGTGGCAGCGAGAGCAACACCGCCGATGAGGGCGGCGCCGAGCGAGAGCTTGGAGGTGCCGGCCGAGCTTTTGGCGGGAGCAGGGCTGGAGGGGGCAGGGGCGGAGGTGGCGGGGGCAGCAGCGGAGCTGGCGGCGGGGGCGGGCGAGTTGCTCAGGAAGTTGGCACCGCAGACCGAGTTGATCTGAGTGGTCATGGCCTGGAACTGGCTTGCGGTAGTGGGGTTGGCCGCGGAGTTGCTCTCGAACCAGACGATCACATCGTGGTAGCACTGGGTGCACAGGATCTTGGCAGCGGCGGCGGGGTCGGTTGTGGTGGCCAGGGACTGGGCACTCTGCATGATGTCATCGTAGCAGTAGTTGCCGGTGGTCGTGCTCTTGACACACATGCCAATGGAGGTGCAGAGCTGGGCGCCAGGAGTAGCCTGGGCCTGGACCTGGACGGCCGAGGCAGCGGCGAGGGCAATGAGGCAGGAGAGCTTGAACTGCATGGTGGTAGCGGTAGAAGTAGTGGTGGTGGTAGTGGCGGTCGAAGTGGTGGTCGAAGAGGCGGATTGTGATGGTGGTGGAAGTGAGAGCGGCGGGAGGGTGGTTTTTATATTCTAGAGCCGGAGGCGAAGTACATCGCCGCTGGGCTTTGCCTGCCTGGTCTGCTTTGCAGCGTTGCACCGGGCAGAGCGACGGCGGCTGTATGGATTTGTTTGGGATGTGATCGTTTTCTGCCGAAATGAACAAGATAAAGTACAGCGCATGTGATCGAGGCCAGACCCTCCATAGCCGGACTGCTTGTTGCCGCCTGCGATGCTGTGAAGGCGAAGCGGCACAGTGCAACTCGCACCACAAGCCGGCGCGCGCGGTGCGGGGGGGGGATTGGCTCGACAATCCCCACAGCTAATCCAGCCCAAGTGATCAGCCGGAGTGTATACACATCTGGCACTGGATTGGCTCGACAATTCCCTCACAGCCGGTCCGCCCCAGAGATCAGCCAAGATTCGTGCACATCCGCAACCGCCTGGCGCGGAGCATGTGAGCAAAGACTCGTCCTCAGGGGCTGGGGTGAAGGCTCTCTTGCCGTGTTGGCGGCCTTGGGTGCTCTGTCGTCATGACCTCTTGGGCGTCGATCATGTGTATCTCGAGTTGACCATGTCCCACGTTGTCGTGTCGGCGCAAGCCATTGTGCAAGACGTTTTGAGTTGCAAGCAATCGACTCTCCAGCGACAAAGACCACTGCACGCGGGCGAAAATGGAAAGCAAACAAATCGTGCGCGCACGGCGCCGGGTCGGCTGTCCCTCTTGTTGCCCGTCCTCTGTTGCCCGTCCTCTGTTTTCCCCCCTCGCCTCCACCAGCTCGGAAGCCCCACGGTATGGCTGGTGCATTGCCACTGCCAGAAAAGCCTCGCTGTTTCTTCGGCTCTCCAAGGTTTCTTCCCTTGGTCGGATCCTGCTCCGGTCGATCCTACTCCCACACAGCGACATCTACGCACGATCTCTTCACCCGCCATGAGCCAGACCTATTGCGTCAATCAGATCTGCGTCCAAGGCAGCCAGCCGGGCACCTATGATTGCACCATCCCCACCAGCACCCTCACCGCCGGCAACTGCATCGGCGTGTCCCCCCAATACATCACCAGCGCCCAGAGTCTGATGGCCTCGGACTCGCAGCATCGCCTGCTCGCCCGCATGTGCTGCAACTTCAACGGATGCAGCTTCTCGGACCAAGCCATCAGCCCGTGCGCCACGACAGACGACAACTTTGCCTGCGTCGTTGGTGTTGTCGCCGGCCAGCCCTATGTCTCCTGCCGCGACCTGTTCTTTGGCGACAGCAGCAACTTTTGCACCTTCTCGTTCCCGTCCACCTGGACTCCTACGCAGTGCAGCGTCGCTTCGCCGTCAACTACTGCAGCTGGCCCTGTCCCCGCCCCTGGCACAACTGCGACATCTAGGGTCGTCCCCGCCCCTGGTTCAACTGCTACATCGAGCCATGTCCCTGTTCCTGGTTCGGCTCCTGCATCTGGTCCGGCCTCGTCTCCCTCCTCTTCCGACAGCAGCGATTCCAGCTTGCCTATTGGCGCCATCGCGGGAGGTGCCGCCGGTGCCGTGGCTGTGATCGCCATTGTCGGCTTCCTCGTCTACCGCTCTCGGCGATCCAAGCCCATACCGATCCTCAACGAGTCCGCCAACCCACCCTCGAACCAGTTCGGCAACCAGTTCGGCAACCAGCCCGGTAACCAGTTCGCCTATCAACCCGCCAACCCGACCTTTGACCAGTCCGCCAACCGGCTGCCAAGTGGCAAGTATGACACCTCGGCCCCGTTCCAGCCCAATCCGATATCCCCAAACCCTCTTCCGATGTACGCCCCAGCCCACAGCAACAGCTATACACCAAACGGAGCCCCTCCATCAGTGCCATCGCAGGACATTGCGCTCGTGCCCGTCCAGTCTGCTTCCGGCATGCCTCAGCCTCCGGCAGACGCCTATGTTCCTCACCAGCCTCATGTGACCGGCGCTCCTGCCGCCCACCATCCCCGTACCATCACAACGGTGGCGAGCTCCGGCAAGGGTGATTTTAACAACCCAGCCACCTCCATGCCATACGACGGATACTCCAGCGCACCGCTCGCCGCCAACTCGGGCTATGGCGGCGGCAGCTCGGCGTATGCTCCCGTCGGCGGATCAGGACCGACCAAGCTGGAGATGTACGACCCCAACCCGCCTGCATACACTCGCTGAGTGATGGTGCCTTCGCAGCCCCTTCGACCATCAGTACTATCTACCGGTGAACCTACTCATCCAAGACTTGGCTGCTCGCGATGCGCGGTACTAATCTATGTTCCTGCTGTTAGTGAAAGCTATGAATACTATGTCTCTCTGCCTGATACGCCGTCGTGAGCCTACGTCATTATTATACACCGCCGTTGAATACGCCCTAAAGATGGCGAGGGACGATTGCTGCCTCGTGCACCAATGGCAGGGAGTTGCTGTCCCATCCCTCTCCAAGAACGACCGCCGTGTCCTCGACGCCTTCTGATATAGAGTAATAGCGCGCACATGCCAACGAGACTGGGTCTGTTAGTTCAACATAACGAGCACCGTATGCATGTATTTTCTGGCTGAGGGGGAGGGGAAGGAAACAACAGTAGTGATCCACACTCTCGGGGGGGGGAAAGTTTGAGTTTATCCATATTTTTGTTCGCTCTCGTTCTTGGGCTCGTTGTGGGGGAGGGGAATGATATGAGTTTAAATAGGGTGAGGATGAAATGAAAAGGTTTGCTTCTACTAAAAGCCGATGGGCTGGTTGAAAATGGGCCTTGGCGGATGATGCTCAAAAAGTGAGAGAGTGGGCCCGAAAGACAATGCTTGCATCAAGCGTAGGACGCCACACGGAGTAGGACACCTCACGGAGTAGGGCACCACATCGAGTGGAACACCACACGGAGTAGTAATAGAGGAAATAAGGCTTGGTCCCTCGAAGCCACAGTGGCCGGGAAATGATGGGTGAGAGGACGGCGGAAAGCCCCTTGTAACAAGTGGGCTTATTAGGCGAGCACGGCAATGAGAGCGAATGCCGCGGTGGCAAGGGCCGTTGCAATGGTGCTGGCTGACATGGCTCGGGTCGAAGCGGCACCGGAGGCGCTGAGGCTACCGGCAGGAGCAGTGGAGGCTGCAGTGCTCGCGGCTCCGGAGGCTCCGGTGGCCGAGGCACCAGCAGCGGACGAGGACGCGCTTGAGGTGGCAGAGGTCGAGTTGGAGCGGTACCAGGGCTGGTTCACGCAGGTTCCGACGGGCTCGATGGTCAGCGGAATGCTGGCGCGGTTTGCATCAATGTACTTGAGGTAGCCGAGGACAACCTCGCTGGTGAACGGGGTGATGTCGTGGCTGAGGGAGACGAATCCGGGCTGGTTGGGGAGGAGCCACTGCGAGGTGACGTTGTTGATCAGGCCCTGCGCGATGGCAGTCGAGGTGGTGGCCTGGTCGGCGGCAAAGTCGTCCTTGTCCCAGATGGTGATGGTGTAGCCGAGGGCACCAAGGATGGAGCGGACACGGTCATCAATGTCACCATAGGGAGGGCGGAAAAAGTTGGGCACTTGGCCGATGGTTTTGTAGATCAGGGCCTCGGTGTACTTGATCTCGGCAACGATCTGCTCGTTGGTGCACGAGGTGAGGGGATGGTGGGTCCAGGTGTGGACGCCGATCTGGTGGCCGTCGTTGTATTCGTCCAGGACAATGTTTGGGCTCTCGATGAGGTTTGTTCCGACAATGAAGAAGGTAGCCTTGATTTTCATCTTGTCGAGCTGGGCGCGGATGGCAATGGAGTCGTAGTGGTTGACGGTGTCGTTGGTCGGTCCGTCGTCAAAGGAGATTCCCCATGTGCTCTGCTGGGGGCACTGGAAGACATCGGGCTTGTAGTTTGCGGTGGCAGTGGTGCGAACGCATTGATTCGCGGGCCAGTAGCAGTTGGCGACGGCTGCGGCAAGATCATGGATGGGGCAGGGTGGGTGGCGTGCAGAGATAGAGAGCGAGAGCAGGGGGTGAGTGTCCCGGGGACTTTTATCGTGAAGCACTTGCCCAGGCCAGCACATGGACCAGAATGGAGCAAAATGCGTCGCAACAAGCCAACGTTGTCTTGGAGACACTCACGATCAGAGAGATATTTGACAGTGGGTCCGCTGACGTAGGTCGACACAGGGATGTTGAGGATACTGGCGGGCACCACGGCTTGCACATAGGCCAGGGCGCTGAGGGATCCAAACAGAGGGGGATGAGGTGGGGTAAGCAGCGAGGCGGAGGATCGACGGTCACTCGAGATGGTCCAGTCGGGGAAGAAGGATGTGCCGAAGAGCTTACTCTTGGACAAGGGGGTCGGCGAGGAACGAGGCAGGGATAAAGTGCTGCTGATCATCCGGCGGCCAGGCTGGAGACATGGGAAGGGGGACAGCATGGTTGATTGGCAGGGTCAGTAACGTCATGGCATATCCCGCATTGCTGCCGACAGACAAACGTGCTTACACTTGGGCATGGGGGGAGGAATCTGCAGCGAGGGGAGCGTGGCCAGGTTGGCGGCCTGGTGGCCACCGATGTAGGGTCGGAGAGCGTTCAGATCGTGGCCAGCGGGTGCGGCGGCCAAGAGGGACGCAAGAGCCAGAGAGGCGAATGCCCAGGAGCGGACGGCGAGGGGGTTCATGGCTGGACAGGCGACTGCAGGGCCGATCGATCGAGAACGTTGGGCGACAAAAGCCAGAAGGAACAAAAGTGCGAACCCGAGCGAGAAGGCCGCGGGAAGAGCATTAAATAGCCATGGGCGGGGAGGGAGACGGCGTCGAATGTTCCACGCGACACGAAGGCGGTGGCGCATGGGCGGGCAGGCAGACGCGGCGTGGGCGCGATCCGTGCACGGCCACAGGCGCCCGCATCCGGACGGCGACAAGGCAAGTCGGGGCCTGTGCTGTGCTGCGGGCCGGTGGCGTGGGGGGTGCGCAGCGGGCGGGCACAAGCGGTCGGGCACAGGCGGACAAGTAACGCTGCCTGAATTGAACGGCAGTGCATTGAAGCGATGACTGTCCGAATAAGCCGCCGCGGGTGGTGGGGGTGGTGGGGGCAGCGCATGGGGGTCGAAGTGGCGGCAGCGGCAAAGAGGACAGCAAAGACGGACAAACAGAGGCGCAGCCGCAAAAGCAAAGTCGATTCTCTCATTGAACGAACGAACGAACGAACGAACGAACGAACGAACGAACGAACGAACGAACGAACGAACGAACGAACGAACGAACGAACGAGCGGCGAACATCTGCGGTTGGAAAGAATACTATTATTTTGTCCTCGGCTCTCATCTGTCCAATTGCATTGATATCACAGCCACTTGCCGTGCTTCTCGGGGTGGTCGATGGCCCGTGGGAAACCCCGCGGCCATCAAGAAAGCTCACGCCGAGACAGCCCTGTCCGTATCGATTTCCTTGCTCGGCCGACCGGCGATACCACTCTGCTGCCTTGGCAACATCCTCAGCGGTTCCGTATCCGTTGGAATAGCACACACCAACCTTCCACTGCCCATACGAGTTGCCTTGGCGTGCCGACTCGCTGAACCACTCAAGTGCCCTGTCGTTGTCCTCGGATATTCCTCTGCCGTAGAAGCAGCACCTTCCAATCCATACTTGGCTGTCGCTGTGACCGTCGATGGCGAGCTGCTCAAACATACCCGCCGCCTTCTTTGCATCCTCCGCAGTTCCGAGTCCGTTCATCAGACACACAGCCATCAAGTGCTTGCAGAGCCAGTCTCGCTCCGATCCCAGCTCACACAGCTGGTGGAACTTGCGAGATGCGGGTGAGTGGGAGCTGCCATGATTGAATCCAGCCAGAGAGTTGTCTTCTTCCAGAGGGAAGTCCTTTGACTTGCTCTCTCGGATGAGCTTGGCTCCCTCTTCCTGAGATCGCTGGGTGCCCCGGCCAAGGTAGTGCATCCATCCGACCATGTGAGTGGCGATGGGTTTGATGATCGGATCGGTGGACTGGATGCTGACTTCCTGCCAGCGGTTGAAGGCATCGATGTCGCTCGGCTCGACACCACGGCCGATGAACGAGAACCATGCTTGCAGGAACACAATGTGGAGTCGACCGTCTTCGCTGCCTTGGTTTGCTGCCTTGGAATACCACTCGATGGCTGAGTCAAAGTCTTGATCGACACCTTCGCCATTCTCATAACATCGTCCGAGAGCGACTTGGGCCCGAGGGATTCTGCGATCCGCAAGACTGCGGTACAGCTCGACGGCCTTTGCGTGGTCTCGGTCGAATCCAGAGCCGCTGAGGAAACAGCCAGCCTGGTAGAACTGTGCCATTGGATGGCCAGAATCGGCTGCCGACTTGAGCCGGTGGATAAATTGCGGTTTTATGGACGAAAACGCACGGTAGTCCACCGCCCGCACTTCGTGAAGCTCGATTTGCAGGACCCTGGCAAGGAGATAGGAGGCAGATGCGTTTCCTTGGTCCGCCAGAGCAACGAGCCAGGACTGGCTGCCAGTGTCTTGGTTCTCGCAGTGTAGCGAGAGCGCAATCGTCTCGCTGGGGGTCAGGCCGATCTGCAGCGATTCGCCAGAGCGACAGAGCTCGGCCTTTGACACCAGGTGTGGAAACGAGCGAGCTTGAAGCTCAGCAGAGGGCGGACTCGTTTGCAAACTCGGAGGAGGGTCTTGATGGTGTTCAGGTCGAGGGCAAGCTGGAAGCTGTCGTTGCAGCACACGACGGCGAAGATGTCTGGGCTGTGTTCGAGTGAGAGTTGGGCCATGTCGAGAGCGGATGGATGGGCCGGTGGTGGTGGTGGTGGTGGTGTGCAGCGAGGCAGATGGCGATGCGATCGGAATGAACAACCCGACCAGCCAGCCAACCCGATCCATCGCCAATGCCCGCCGCGCCATGATCGATCTGCCCTCCGTTTTGCCGTTTTGCCGCCGTCCCCTTGCTTCCCAGAGCTCAGCCACCCAGCAATTTGCCGTCGATATCCTGGTCCGTTGCCTCGCCACCGAGACAGGTTTTTGGATATATTTGCGAGTGTCGCCGCACTCCCCGCCAACTCAACCCGGTCCAACCTCCAACATGCTTGTCGACACCTCATCGCTGCTCGACTGGAAGCAACTCTCCTCGGCGCTCTCGCAGCAATCTCTGCTGTCGATCGCTGGCACCTCCTCGCTGGTCGCTGCTGCCTATTTTGGTGGCCGCCTCGTCTATCGCCAGTACCTTCGCTTCCACGACGAACCCCCGCTGGTCTCTGGCTGGATGCCATTCATGGGCGCCGCCTTGACCTTCAGCACCCTCGGACCCGAGCTGCTCCAGACCCTCCGCAAGACCCACGGCGAATGCTTCACGCTCTTTGTTGCCGGTCGCCGAATGACCTTTGTGCTGGACCCATTCACCCATCCGACCATCACCAAGAACACCACCGACTTGCGCTTCCGCGACGTTGTCGAAGAAATTAACGACAAGGCCTTCCTGACCCCGCCGCACGCCCTGACCCACATCCACGACGATGTCCACATCCAGTACAAAAAGTTGCTCCACGGCGCTGCACTCGACCAGATGATGGTGTCCTTCACCGACCAGCTCAAGGCCAAGCTGCAGGCCGTTCTCCAGGACCTGCCTCGAGCAACAGGTCCGGATGCGCAGTGGACGCAGCTGCCCGGCTTCTTTGAGTTCTGCCGCAAAATCTTCTTCCATGCCACCACCCGGGCCATCTTTGGTGAAGCCGTCGACCCCACCATCCTTTACGACGGATTTGCAGAGTTTGACCGCAACTTTGCTGCTCTGATGTTTGGCGGGCCCGAGATCTTTGTCCAGCATCTGCGTCGGCTGCAGCACCAACTCGCCAGCGACCTCAGGAAGGCCTATGACTCGGAAGACAACACCAACATCAGCCAGATTGCCAAAGCTCGCCACGAGACCTTTTCCCGCTCGCTCTCAACCATCCAGCATGACCAACTGCAGTTTTCGCTGCTGTGGGCCGCTGCTTCGAATACCCTGCTCGCTGCTTCGTGGACCCTGGCGCTGATCGTCAGCAACCCCGAATGGCACGCCGCCGTCAAGGCCGAGATTGCCGCCGTCCAGCTGAAGCAGTCCCAGAACGGCTCCGATTCCACAGAGTCCTCGGCCAGCGCAGACGACGCCAAAGCCACCGAGGAGTCGCAGTCGGACTACCCCATTCTCATGGCATGCATCTCCGAGTCCCTGCGGCTCACTGCGATCGGCCTCTTCAACCGCATCGCTGCCAAAGACCAGATCCTGACCATCAAGTCGACTCAGCAGCAGTTCCGCATCCGCAAGGGCGACACCATTGCCTGTGTGCCCTATGCAACCCACAGAGACGCCGAGGTCTATCCCAACCCCAAGAATTTCGATCCCAGTCGCTTCCTAGCCTCCTCCGACACCAAGTTTGTCAAAGACGGCCGTCCCGTGCGCAACAACCTCACTCCCTTTGGTGGCGGCCCGTCCATGTGCCCTGGCCGAGTCTTTGCCCGCCGCGAGATCCAGCACTTTGTCATCCAGTCGCTGCTCCATGCCGACTTTGAGCTGCTGCAGCCCGTGCCCGAATTCGACACCCGTCCTGACTATGCCATCCTGCCGCCGCAGCATGATATTCCCTTCCAGCTCCGTGTGCTCTGAGCCAGTGCGCACAGCAGCTTCGGCCAATTCATAATCCTCATATGAGCTTGAATACACTCTGATGGCCACAAAATTGTCCAGCGATCGACTGTGTGGGCTTGTGAGTGATGATTTCGAGATGCATTTCGCCTCAGCATCGCGAACTGTGGCCCGCATATCCCCCACCCTTGGTTTCATGTTTGTGCGTTGCGTCGTCGACGCTCCTTTGCTCCCGCGCACCAGCCCGGGTGCAAGGGTCGATTGCGCTGACATATTGGGATGAAACACCCAGCCTCCAACAAAGTGCTGTCCAGCGCGCAGTATGGCTGGCACTACTTTGTTAGCAGGACAGTCCACACGGACTAATCCTTTGAAGAGGGTGGCACCCAAACCGGATTTGACCAGATCCAATGGGAAGGCATTTTGAGAAAGATCCGACCCTGTTGAAGCAAGGGAAATTATGGACACTAGTCTTGTATTTTCGTGCATCCAATAAAAGCCGGAGGACTTACTCAGAGCCAGCTTCAAAAACGGCGGTCGCCTCTTCAGTCGGAACCAAAGAGCCTTGTGTTTCTCTCAAAGTAGTGACACACACAGAGGTTTCAGGAGGACGCATTTGGAGAAACCCATTCTTCAAGGTTGTTGTCATGGAGCATTTTGCAGTAACTGATCATTTGGTTTGTGATGGTTTCTATTTCTGAATGGTCAACACTCCGACTTTCTCGGCACCGATTCGGATAAATAGGCCCACAAATGTCCCAGCTCCAGTATCTCTAGTCAGTCTCTCAGAGCCCACATCGCTTCTGACCTTCCTCTAACCATCACAATGAAGTTCATCTCGCTCTCGACTGCCCTGCTTGTCCTCTCGGGCTCCCTCGTCGCCCTCGCCGAGTCCATCGCCTTCACCAGCCCCAGCCAGGGCGATCATCCTGCCGCCGGCTCGCAGATTAACATCGCCTGGACCGTCGGTGCTTCTCCCGCCTCCGGCCCTGCCCTGAGCCTCGGCGACACCCTCACCTTCACCCTGACCCGTACCGTCAACGGCCAGCAGGCCAACCAGTACATCGGCACTGCTTCCCCCAGCGCCGGCCAGCTCGCCTACACCATCCCGAGCTCGCTCACCCCCAGCGCTTCTCAGGGCGACACCTACATCTTGGCCAGCAACGGAAAGGGCTACTTCAAGGCCAGCCCCTTCTTCTCGGTCGACCCCGCTGCCCCTGCTCCTCGCCCGCCTACGGCCACCACCACCACCACCACCACTACTACTACTACTACTACTGCCACCACTACCACCACCACCTCGGTCCCCCCCCCTGCATCACCACCACCCCCCCTTGCATCACCACCTCCTCCTGCATCACCGCCAGTCCTTCCCCCCACATCTTCATTACCACCACAGCAGTCGCCCCTTCCGCCTCCCCCTCCTTCGCCGCCACCAGCTCCATTTGCCCCTCCCTCGCCTCACTTCCCCATCGCTACCACGGATACCCAAACTCGATCGGTGGTAAGTTCTGAGGCGCATCGACCGCAACGGTTTCATTCTGGCTCTTGACTGACTGGTTACATTCCTGACAAATCGATCGATAGCCGACCCCGGCTGTTGCCCTGCCTGCCAGCCCCGGTAATGTCGCATCCGATACTTCAAACATGAACACCATCGTTGTGGCGGCCTCGATCGTGGGTGGCAGCATCCTCCTCGTCGGCTTGATTGTTGTTTGCTTCAGGAACAATCGAAAGCCTGCTCAGGCGTACCAAGCCGACATCGTTACCCCGGCTGAAGTCGACCGGATTGTCGTTGATGCTCCGCAACACGAAGCAAACCTGGCTCGGGATTCAGAGAAGCGCCAGGCCGCCTTCCGCCACTCTGACATTCCATCCTCGGCTCAGGGCACCTCTCGGGTCGGGACATCCGATCGCAGTGCGCCAGGGAAGACAGCTTCATCAACCAGCTTCCCGGCCCCGGTTGCCTCGGGAGCAATCACCACTTCACAGCCCCATCCCATCGACGCCCCACCGCCGTACGCTGCGGTGCCATCATCGCCAGCGACATCGACTTTGACCGTCGGCCGCTCGCCCTCCCTCACCTCCGCCGCCACCCCAACACCCAGACCGCAGTCGCTGATTTACCTCCCCAGGCTCGATTTTCGCGAGGTCATCTGCACGCGACCCGCCGAGCAGCCCGACGAGCTTTCCATTGTGATGCATCAGCGACTGGTGGTGCTTCAAGAGCTGCCGGACCAGTGGGGTCTGGCCGAGTGCGAGACGGGGCAGCGAGGCTATGTTCCTCTGAACCATCTCAAGAAGTTCTAAGCAAGAGCACTCTGATGCACGGACGGATGGCTGGGCCCGCGCCTCATGCGAGTGGAATGTGGCGACTAAATATTTCCAAAATGCTTCACTGTGCGTTTGGGTTGCTGGGTATTCGCTCCGTTCTGTATCCGCCTCATACTCCATTCGTGTATTCTATGTTGTATCGTAAACGTTATTCATGGCTTCTATGAATGTATCGTCCGCCAAATGACGCCGTTGTCGGTAATTCGGGAACAGGAGTTGATTGGTTGCTGTTACGGATGCTGACCCAGACTTGCCAGTCATCCTGAGCAGATGCTCTCACCGTCGCTGTTACAGGCAATCCAATAAAAAACGGGACACCCGGGTTTTTGACCATTCATCGAATATTTTGCTACCCAATATCATCGCGCGCTGGCCATGACCATTCGCCAGACGGTGTGGAATCGCGACGTCAATGCGGCGCGCAACATGATCGCAGTGTGCAAGTCGATTGTGGAGATCGGAGAGCGACCGGTGGTTTTCACTCGGAGGCTGCCAAAGTGATCTGTTTTATTTCTTGTGGCTTTGCTTGACGCAAGCACATCACATACTACATGTTCATGGAAACGGCTATATTGTCCCGTTTTTTTCTGAATAAAGTGTATCACCACCGTCGATCTGGAATCAGAGCCCAGCCACCCCAACCTGTGCCACATGTGCAACCGCCGCCCTTGCTGGGGCTGCCTGTGCCACCCAAACAAGTGGCTGAACCACCGCCAGCCGACCGCCCTCGGCTTTCGCCCCATCTGCCCCCGTCGTCTCGCCTGCATCCCCGGCCGATGGACACCGAAGGAGGAGGCATCTACATCGGCAACGATCCCGAGGAGATCTACTCCGAGGAGCCCTTCTCCGAGGAGCCCTTCAGCTCCAAGGACTCGAGCACCAATGTCACCGCAGTCGTGACCGAGACAGATCGCCGCGGAAATCTGCACCATCTCGAGGCGGTCGCCGTCGAGCACCACCACACCTTCACCGAGTTTGGCCAGCGAGGGCAAATCAAATTCCTGCCTGAAGTCGACGAGCATCTCCACAGCTTGTTTCCCGCCATCCGCCCTCGCCAGTACTTTATCGATGGCGTCCTCTACCGGGAAAAATCGCTTCGCAAGGTCACCTGGGACGAGGTGGGTGGCCGTCAATGAGCAGCTTTCGTACCGAGCGAGGGTGGGCAACGAGTGGAGCAGCCACAAAGAAGCATCCAACCGAACGACTAGCCAGCGCCTGGCTCGCACCACTGATAATTGACCCTTTGAATATCAGCTGTTCCTCGACCTGGTCTATGTTGCTGCCTTTGACCGGCTTGGTATGTGGCTGGGTCGCCCGATGGCGATTGCCCAAAATGCATCAGCAACAATCCGCCGTTCACGGCTCGCCGCACCACCAATTGACAGCGTCCTGCACGTCGGCAATCCGTCCCCTCTGCGACCCAGGCTATCTCTTCAAGCACGACAATGTCGATGGCATCGCTGTCAACAGCTACATGCTGGCATTCCTTGTTGTCTGGAAGTACGCTTTCGCCAGCCGTCATGCCGATATCGCTCAAACTCGGTTTCCTCGTCCAAGCCGGCTCACATCCACTTTGCCCCCTCCCTGACACCCAACCGTGCGCACACACTTTCTGACTAGCTCCTGGTCCATGATCCACATGAACGTCAACCGCTACGGAGCCGATGGCTTCGTCCACCGTCTCTTCACCTGGGCCATGACCGTGCTCGTCTCGGCAATGGGAATCAACATTGTCCACATCTTTGACCAAGGCGACAGCTCCACCGCCAATATCTTCATCATATTGTTCATCATTCTCCGGGTCCTCAACTTTGTCTTTGTGATCATGGGCAACCATCACTCTCGACAGGTAAGCCGGTGTGTGCTGCGGCGACTGGCTGCAGTGGCCGCTACAAGCGTCGATGCAGGCGGCTGCGACAGCCTCGACTTGACACGGTTTACTCGCCCTCTTTGCCGGCTCGGCTCCGTGCAAATCAGTTCTGGAAGGATGTCTTTCCCTACCAGCTCGGACACTATTTTTCCACCATTCCCTGGCTGGCATCGGTGTTTCTTCCTGCTGCCTATCGCACGCCGCTGTGGTGGATATCGTCACTTTGCGACCTGTTTCTTCCAAGTATGTGCGCGCTGGCCACTCGGTAAGTCCGTCGCATCATTCCAGCACATGTCCATCCACCCATCAGGAGCACCAATTCTCGCAGCCAAGACTCTTGGCCTCGATTAGGACTGTGGAAACCTGCTCGATCGCCGGACACATGGATACATTCGAATTCATGGGCCGTGTTGTCAGCTAACGCATCCATCGCCATTCCAGACGGTATCTAAAAATCAGCCACAGGCTCGCCATCAACATCGAGCACAACACCGAACGATACGGTGCCCTGACTCTGATCGTCATCGGCGAGATCGTCGTCGGGTTCCTTTGGGACTCGCCTTCGCCTCATATCTCGACGTCGTTTTTGGCCACGATCTTTGGAGTGCTCATCGCCATCTTCTTCCACTGGATCTACTTTGCGATCGACAGCAGCAACTACTACGTGCATGCGGCTCGCCGGAAGGCCATTGCCGGATGGACATGGTACTTGCTGCACATTCCGCTCCACTCCTCCCTCATTGCGGTTGGCTCGGCCATGGGTTACGTCGTCACTGAGCATGCCAACGCTGTGAATGCGGACCTGCCGGCTCCCGCCGTGACCGCTGCACATCGTTGGATCCTCGCTGCTGGGTGCAGCATCGCGATCATCAGTCTCACTCTGATGTCGCTGGCCCACGAGCTCTATCCGTGCCACGACCGGCGTGTGTCCGACACCATTCGGTTCGTCATGCGCACTGTAGTGGCCGTTGCCATGGTCGTCCTGGCGGTTTGGGGCGAGAGTCTGTCGATGCTGGCGCTGATGGGCACGATTGTTGGCCTCCTGATGTCGCTGGCCCTGTTTGAGGAGTAAGTTTTACTGGTCATGCTGGTCATGCTGGTCATGCTGGTCATGCTGGTCATGCTGGTCATGCTGGTCATGCTGGTCGTGCTCTGCGTATGTCATTTGTCCTTGGTGCAGTACTGACCCATCTGCACAATCTCTGTACAATCTCTGTACAATCTCTGTGCTGATACTGGTGCTGGTGCTGGTGCTGGTGCTGGTGCTGGTGCTGGTGACTGCATCTCATATTCCAAAGGTATGGTCGACTGCGGATCAGTCGCCCATGCGCCGTCAAATCACCTCATGTGTAAGAGCAAACTCCAGGGAAATGTCCATCCGTCTGCACCATGAATGCGCATTCCCTCCGTTGGATTGTTTTCGACTACCCTATTTGTGCGATTGGGAATCTGTGGCACTGAAGTAATCGTTCGCCACACCTTGAATACAGTCTATCCAGAAATAAACGGGACACTTTCCCTTTCTGGCTTCAGATGTCTAAAGCCCGCTGACTGACGGTAGGCCCAGTGAGCAAGCCATGAGATTGTTTCCCGTCCTGGTTGGCAATCGAGTGGTTTTGGTTGGTTTGGGAAGCACAGTCTTGAATACACCCGGTCGATCTCCTGTGGCGATGATCGACTGGCATACCGAGATCATGTTCCTGGCTGCATTGATGTCTCGATCCCACAGCGTATGACAGCTTGCACAGCTCCGGACAAAGTGTGGTTTCTCGATATCAAGATGCTCGGGTGACTCGAGTCGCTTGAATTCCCGACAATGTGAGCACACCTGGGATGTGTTGAACCCGTTCACAGAGCACACATGGATCTTGGAGATGGATCGGTCTGGTGGGCCTCTCTGGTGGTGGTGGAACTGCTCAAAGTACTTGGCAAACCTGAGTCTCCTGGGACTGGAAGCATATCCCTTCCCCTGTTTCCAGGATGCATTCCCAAAGGCAATCACCACTTCGGTCTCCGGTGGTGCCTGGTCGATGACTTGCTTGCACATCTCGTGGACGGTGCGCTGTCGCTTGCTGTGGAGATCGAGTCGCTTGAATCGCCGTCGCCGGGTCAGGCTGAAGTACAGCTGTTTGTCCAGCATGTCTCCATCGAATACATGGCGTCCTTGATTCAAAACACAGAATGGTCATGGCCAGCACACGATGTGTTGAGTGACAACACTCGCCAATGCTCAAAATCACTGGTGTCCCGTTTTTCATTGGATTGACTGTAATGAATACAAAGATGTGGGGCCTGTGGTCTCGTTCATTGCGAATGTACTCTCCGAGACGGCGAGAGGCCTCCTCGCCGTCTTCTCGCCATTCGCGGTCAATCTGTTGTGCTCGTTGTTGGCCCTCCGCAATCAATCGCCATCTGCATCTATCCATCTGCTCGCCTCAGGTGCTGTCGGCCGCAGCCATGTTCCGTCTGCCCCAGATCGCCCGGCCGGTCCCAAGGCCTGCACGCTTTCCGCTGCCCAAGCCCGCGAGCCCTCTGACACTGCAGGTTATCGTGCTGCCCACGATCAACGGCAATGTCGTCTTCCACTCCCGATTCCTGACCCCGCGCACCCCTTTTGAGCGCTCGGCCCTCGTCCTGGGCTACGTCTTCCGCAAGTGGCGCTATCAGATCTCGGATTTCTTTGCCGCCTACTGGAACCGGCTGGGCCATTCGTGCTCGCTGGCGTCGCCAGCCGCTCTCGGCCTCTGGAAGACCGTGAGTCGCTGGGTCACTCGCCGATCCGTCGATGAGTATTTTCTGAAGACGGTCCCGAGCATCACCCAGAATGTAAGGAAGCTGGCGCTGATCATCGCTGAGGATTTCAACAGGCTCGGCCGCTGTGCACAGCCAGCAGCAGATGATGGGTCATACTGTGGCTCTGTTTGTCGATCCAGCTCTGTGACTTGATCTGGCGACCCAGTCATGGATATCGCTGATCCGGCATTGCGATTCAGCCGCTTGAGCCTCGAAGCAACATGAACGTAGTAGCTGACATGACGCTGTTGCCTCTGCCTCCATCGGTGCGTCCTCTGCATCGTCTCGACCCTCTTGGTATGCTACCGTCACCATTGCCTTGCAAGATCGAGTTCCTCTATCCGCCCAGCCTCAACGAGGCTCTGCTGAAGAGCCAAATCTCAAACTGGATCCAAGGTGCGTTCGCCACCTGCATCTCTACGACGGCCACCTGCATCTCTGCGGCCATCACTGGCATCTCTGCGGCCATCACTGGCATCTCTGCGGCCGTCGCCGCGACCAAGCGCTGACCAGGCCCTCTCTACGCTTTCTTCAGACGACAAGCACAGGCGGATGCTCGTGATCTGGTCCATCTTCTTCCCCGGCTCGCTCTACATCGCCAAGGTCCATGTTGCCTTGGCCAACCTGTTTTTCACCTACAACGTTTTCCGGGTCAACTCGCACTACCGCGCCCACTACGGCTTTCGCACCCTACGCAAGCTCATCGACGAGCGCAAGGTGGCGTGGATCCCGTCGCCCGAGCTCGAGAGCGCCATCAAGACCATCACGGACGAGCTCTCGCAGACGAACGTCGCCAATGGACTGAAGCCGCTGCAGTTCCATCCCTTGAAGGATATGGACGACGAGGTGGTCACGAGGCTCGAACAGGACCTCAAGGCCGTCGAGCTCTCTCGCTCCTACCGCCGGACCCGCACCGAGTACTATTTGTACAATTATCACCTTGTGCCCGATCGCAAGGCTGTGTCGTGAGCATGCGCCATCAAGCCATCGATGATTGAAGCATCCCACCTCGTTGCTGGACATTGACTTTGTCGACCAAGAGTTGGGCAATGGATTTGTCGATGGTCCGTCTCAGCCATAGTCACCCCACCTCCAATGCCACGGATTCTCAAGCTCACTCGATCGACAGCTGCACGATCACCATTCGCACACAATCCGAGCACCACTCTTATCGCCAATTCGATGCCATCTCTGGTCCTCTCGACAACGAGCTGCGACCATGCGCCGTCTCCACAGGTACAGTCGTCATGTTGAAGCAATATACAAGGTCATTCGGCGTCGATGGCGGGTCGATTGTCGTCGGCCTCGTCTCTCCGGTCATAGAGCATCAGCAGCTTTGCGATGGAGGAGTGCCCAGCTTCTTTGGAGTTGAGGAGGGCCTCAGAGTCTTTGGCCCGGGGATCAGCCCCCCTGGAGAGCAGGACCATGACTGTATCATAGTGGCCAAACCTCGAGGCCCAGCGCAGGGCATAGTCCTGGCAGGCATGGATGTTGGCGCCGTGGTCCAGCAGGGTCTTGACCACCTCGGTGTGGCCAAAGGTTGCTGACCATCGAAGCGCATGGTCAAAACAGGCTCTCACGTTCGCCCCGCTCTTGAGCAGGAACCTGACGACATCGACATGGCCATTCTCGGCAGCAATCCGGAGTGCCTGATCGTCGTTTTCGTGGACATTGACTGTGGGGACAGGCAGGTTCTGCTCAGAGAGCTCCTCCCCGAGCTTGCTGTCGCCTCGAAGGGTTGGATGCTTGAGCTGTGAGGAGTCGGCCAAGGAGTTGACAGGGGAATCGACAAGGATGTCACAAGAAAGCAGGTGCCGCAGGAAGCCGAGGTTGCCCTTCTCGGCGCCCCAGACCAAGAGCTGGCTTCGGGTCGAAGGCGGGAGGGACGAGAGTATCCGGCGGATGTTGCGGAGGACTTCGCTGTGGTAGAGCGAGCGGATGCGCTTGGAGACCGTCAAGAACATGTACAGATCCCGCAGCCGTGTGAACCGGGCCAGCAGCTGGATGACGATTTCCGGAGGCAGGTCGTGCAGCATTGCGGGCTTTGCTGGTGATGTTCATCAGTGCGGGTATTGCCGATGTTGATTGTTGCATATCGCCGTTTTATCGTCCCAACATTGCCGGCATCCATCGTCGCAGGGATTGCCATTTTATCATCATAAACAGTATCGCCGTTGATAATTGCGTCGGGACATCCGACGGATCCACCCGAGCCGATACAGCGCAGAATCAGTGAACATTGCGGCGCACGCAACGGCGGATATGCAGAATCGCACATCGGACACCAACCAGACTGTCTGCAAGTGCTTCCGTTGGTTGCCACTATCCATCACGCATCCATCACCACTCATCCATCACACCTTCCTGGCGGCGGCAGCACTCTGTCGACTCCTCGGCCAACCTACCTCCGTTGCGGGTGGTGCTGTCTTCGAGAGCGGGAGAGTCCCACAGCGGCCGTCCTCTCGCCCGCATATACTTGTGCACTCCGGCTGCCTCACCGCCCGGCTCAGCTGCCTGGCACTGCCCCAAGACGGCCGATGGATGGCAGACGCAGTTGATTGGCATCGATCGACCCAATCCAATAGTCCATGTGACGACGGCGGATGCCCTGGCAGCAGCAAAATGGCTTCCCCGCAAGTGCATTCTGCTTGTCGCTGTCGTCCATCTGGCCAGATGGTATGTTGGATGATCACGCCATCGATCGATATGCCGTCGTCGCAACGCGGCCGGCTGCCCTTCCCCGTCCCATTGCTGATGCCTGCCATTCTGCTGTCCAAATCAGTGCCATAGTTGCCCCAGGCTGTCGTCGAAGCTCGCCAGTGTGTCCTGTGCCATCATCAAATCACCCAGCATCACTAAGCCCTTGCTGTTGCTGTTGTGAATCGCCAGCTGCTGCCAAATATCCACGGCCATCGGGCCATCCCTCATCCCTGCCAGAGCTCCGCATCCTCCCGGCTATGGCGCTCAAGCCCGACCTTTCGCCCGTGCTGATACTGCTGTGGGCGGCCGTATCGCTGGTGATGGCAGCGGCCCTGGTCATCGTCAACAAACGCGTCCTGCATGAGTTCCCCTTCCCACTTGCACTGACCTCGTTGCAGCATACCCTGCGCTGGGCCACCATCTCGCTCGCGACGATCGCCTTTGACTTTGATCACTTTGAGCCCTTTGGACCCTCCAGGGGCCTGCGCGACTACTTTCTGGACAACCCGCTCTCGACTGCGCGTTTCTCGCTTTGGAGGGCGGTGAAGCGATGTTTGCGGCTGCCCAACATCACCGGCGGTCTTGGACTGGCCCTGACCTTTGCCGTCGGAACGCTGTCGACCAACTGCAGTCTGGCCTTCAACACCGTTGGGACATCTCAGGCACTGAGGTCAGACAGGATGCGGTGCCTCTGCTGGCATTCTCACCGGCATCGTCGATTCTTGCGTGGTGTTGCTGGGCTGGAACGACGACTGTCTGGGAAAATATGCTTCCAGGACGGACGCTGTCGATCGAGATTCCTGACATCGCCAGCGGATGTCCACGATACCTCTGTCTGCGCGCTGCTGACTCTGGCTTGATCCTTCCCCCCATCAACATTCGCACTCGCATCTGCAGGATCCTGAGCATTCCGCTGACGGCGCTCCTGCAAGCCCACACCTGCACTCGCCGCAGTAACGGAACGGCCGTCTCGATCGCCCTGATCCTCGCCGGCGTGGGTCTGGCCACCTTTCGAGACTACTGGCGCAACGTGGTCGGCATTGTGTGGGGCCTACTCGGGGCCGTTGCCACCGCCCTCACCAACACGGCGCCCTCGCGGCCGATCCATGCCCGGCTCGGTCGATTTGGTTTCCAAACCATCCAGTTGGTGACGCCATATGTTGCCATTATCTGTCTCGCTGGCAGCCTTGTCTTTGAGATGCCCTCGGCCCTGGCTCTATCCGAGTGGAGTGCGTTTCTCGGGGCCGCGACTCATTCCCACAACACCTATGAGTACATTCGCATCAAGGAGGCCACCGGCACCGACAGCCACCATCACCACGATCTTGCCTGCCCAGCACGGCCGGGCGAGACTGTCTGGGTCGTTGGACTCAGTTGTGTCCTTACTGTCCTTGCCAACAGTCTGGACTTTGGCCTGGTCTATCTGTGCAGCACCCCGACCTTCTATCTGGTGAGTATCGGGACCACGAACGCTGCTTGACCATGGCTCAGACGGACTGCATCCTCGTCAGAGCATCGCATCGGGTCCATCGAATTGAAACAGCCTCGGAAGAGCACAGTAGCTTGTGGATGTAACGCCCCGCTCCATCCTGCTGAACCTCTTTTGCCCATCGGCAGGTTGGCCATCTCAAGTCGCTCCTGATCGTTCTCACGGCCCTTGTCCTGGTCCATCGTTCCGACCAGGATGCCCGGTTTGCGGGCGACTCGCTGCAGCTGATCGGGGTGCTGACGGCCCTCGCCGGACTCCTGGGCTTCATATACTCCAAGAAGTCATCGGCTGGATCGGGAGCCATGGTCACATCGACACTCACTCCGACACTCACTCACGGCATCAAAGCTTCCCACCCATAGAGATACTCCAGCCAGCGATGTTTGGTATCCGTTTTGTTATGGATGATTTGCCTCTGCCAACAAAATGGAGTCATAAGGATGCTCTGTGCAGCCAGCGATTCGACTCGCAATACTTCTCTGAATACAACTGCTGACTGCTGACTGCTGCTATGCCTCTGTGTCGAAAGCGGTCTGCACAAGTCCCTCAACGGCAGCCTTGGCCTTGGCAAAGACCTCGGCTCGGCTCTGCTGGCCATCGACCCGTACAACTAGTCCCAGACTCTGATAACGTTCGATGACCGGCACGCCATCTTGGTAGAAGCTCTTGAGCCGCTTGCTTATGACAGCCCGGGCATTCGGGTGAGCCGGTTCCGTTGGCGTCTGCATTTGCATCTGCGCCTGGAGACGCTCGGCCAGGACGGCTTCTGGGCAGTCCAGGCAGAGAACGAGGTCGGGGGCGGCGATCTGGTCTTCAAACATCAAGGCTTGCTTCATGTTGCGCGGGAATCCGTCGATCAGGAAAGTCTCTCCAGGCATCGAGTAGATTCGGTTGCGGAGCAGGCGGATGACAATGTCGTCTCGGACGAGCACACCCTGGGCCATGCACTGGCGGATCTCGTCGGCCGTGGTGCTCTCAGGATGAGCGTCGGCGGCCTGGAGGAGCACCTCGGCCATGCTCAAGTGAATCAGACCCATCTCCAAGATCAAGCGGCTGCAGACCGTTCCCTTGCCGCAGCCTGGCCCGCCAAGGACAAAGATGAGCATCGGGTCTCTGCCGGCCTCGGCAGCCTCGTCGGGCTCAAGTCTTGGTGTCCAAAAGCTGGACGAGAGCGCCGGCATATCCAGCGGGAGGCCCTGCGGCGTCAGGCCCAGGATCGTCGGGATCAGCGGCGGGGTGGATGCCATGGGCGTCATGGGCGAGGCCGGGACAAGGGTGCCTCTCTGGGGCAGGGCTGCAATGCCAGTCAGGCCGGTGGGTCTCTGGTTGAGCTCCAGCGAGCGTCTCGTTGCTTGAGGTTCCTGTTCAGCAGGGCGGTCGCTCATCCTGGTAGTGCCTAGATCGAGATAATCGAGATGATTGAGATGATCGAGGACGGGAGCGATGCGATGGCGGGGAGGTGGATTGCGGGCGATTTTCGGCCAGCAAGCAATCCCTTTGGCTGCCCATGGGACCATGAGTGCGGGACGCACATGGCCATTCGGACGGGCCAGGGGTGTTGGGAAATGGACATGGGCTGCTGTCTCGGGCTGGCTGTGATCCCTGCGACAACCATGCAGTGCCCATGAACTTTGCATGCAGGTATTCCCACATTAATTCTCACATTCTCACATCCATTCGCACATCCATTCTCACATCCATTCGCACATTCATTCGCACATACATTCGCACATACATTCGCACCATCGTCGATGCGCAGTGTCGGACTCGGTTTGATATTCTCAAACGCCGTCGCAGGCGATCGGTCCCGCCGGGCCTGATTGGAAAGCCTTTCAGCAGACTCGTTGTTCATCAGGCGCCATCAAGAGCAACGGCGACTGCACATCGATCGCATCGCTCGATGGCACTTGGGGTCGCCATGGGTCGTTACGGCCCCCGCTCAAAGCTCCTGCTCGCCGTGGCCCTTATCACACTGGTATCTGTGGGCTGGCCCAACCTCGATATCACCATCTTCTACACGCTATTCGCTGGGAATAGCATCCTCGAGGCGCTCACATGGGGTATGGTTTCTTGCGCCTGCTTGGCTCGACAATCGTCGTTTCTGATTTCGCACGGCATCGGCACACCGACAGTGCTCTGGCCCTCACGCTGGCTCCGCCCGATGTGCATCCAGATCTCATGAACATGTACTTCAACTTCCTGTGGAAGGCCCTTGCCGTCATGATCATGTTTCCGTCGCCGCCGACCCAGCGCCGCATGGCCATTGTGTTCTCGCTGCTGGCGGCATTGATCCGGGTCGGCCTGGCTCTCCCCAACAAGGTCGGCTCCGTCTACGGGACGCTCTCGCACTCAATCTATCTGCCAGGGGTGCTCGTCTCGGTGATTGTGGGCTCGTGCTGGGAATTTGTCGGCTTCCCGCTCGCCCTCGCGTTCTATCTTGGCCGCTTTCATCCCGTCGCCAAGCCGACTCGATGCCGTGCCATGGAAGCTCTGATGGCCGTCTGGATCACAGCCTGGTTTGGTCTTCTGCTGTGCTTCCAGCTGCTGGATCTCTCGGGCAACTTGTATGCCTACTGGGCGCTCATGAGCGGGCCAATCTGGGGGTTTCTTGTGCTTGCCGCGGCAGTAACCTTAGTGGATATGCACGGGACCAAGAAACACGGCCGCACCATCGCCCGGGCTCCCGGATACCTCGTTATGTATCTGTGGGTCGTCGCCATGATGCCGCAGATGGGCGGCTCGGTCCTGTTTGCCTTCAGCAGCAACGGGACGGGCTACTACTTTCTCATGACGGTCGTGTTCCACATTGTCTTCCAAGTCATCCGTCGCCTCATCCCATACGGGTAGGACTCGGCCATCTCGATGTGTCCCCTCGGCCAGGATGTTATCGGGGCAAATGCCGGCGATCGAATGTTTTGTTCTAATGTGCAGGGATCTGCTGGTATGTTTTTGGGGTACCATGCTGTCGTCGCAACCAACTCCAGATACAAATGGGCATCTCTGGACGAGAGCGGCGGGCCTGCGCTGCTGTTTCCGGTACAATTCGCACAGCAGGTAGGCTTTCAGCGGCATGCTCTTTCAGCCCACTCGGCCTCTCAGCGACATGCCCTTTCAAATATGCTATGCCGCATCCAGTTTGGACTGACGCTTGCTCCAGTTCTTTTCGTGTATCTTCTTCCAGGTGAGGGATCGTTTATAGAGACGCCAGAGCCATCGTCTTCCAAGCCGGCCTCGTCGCCGTCACCGTTTCTCGAGACTGACTCGGGCATCTGATCAGTTCAGCGACCCTTGGGCCTCCACCGGCAACATGGTCTCCTTTGTCCTGCTGCTTCTCTTCCAAGGGCTTTGTATCATCGTTTCCGACACGGACATCGGCACCCGTGCGCTACTTTGGTTCCGAGGACGGTATATGCAAAATACTCTCCTCGCCGTCGAGCCATCCAGCATCGACTCCAAGCTCAAGGGCATCCAGACTCGCATCCTCCAGGCTGGCCAGTCGCTGCTTGCCGACATCCTCGTCTGCTTCTCCATCTCGTCCACGTACTACATCACAGCAATCTTTCTTGGGGTCCTGCAGACCGAGCTGGTTGTCGATTTCTTCAACTACTGCCTGTTCCATATCGAGGAAGAGCGGTACGGCGCCAGCTTTGGCAAGGAAATGGGCGAGCGCTTCGGCGTGATTCTCCTCGCCAGATCAATCTTTCACATCTTGAGCCTGATGTACCTCAAGTTGCGGCTCAAGCGTCTCAGCCGAGCCCTGGCTGTTGTCTCGACGGCAGAGGATGTGTCCGCGATGCAGCTGGCTGATCAAGCCCGCCCGGGCCTGCGTGAGAACAAAACCCATCGCATTGATGTACAGCCGCACCACGACACCACCGAGGCACTTCATCTACTACCGCTGGCAGACTCGAGTCCAGTGCCAATCTCGGTCGCCGCCATGTGTGCCCGCTACATCAGCATCGAGAAGGCCGTTTTCTTCATCCTGGTTGCGATATCGCTGCAGCGCACAGGCTTCACCATCGCCAATAACATGAGCAATGCCCTGCCGTGCATCAACACCCCGACCACGGCCGCCACTACCTCGACCGGCATCGTTGTCTCCTCGGTCTATATCCCGCAGTCGCCCCAGATGGCCGGCCAGAACACTGCCGTGCAGAACCAGACCGCCACCCAGGCAACATCGACCGTTGCGGCTGTCATCCTGCCTCACGCCGCCCTGCCGGCAGGCCAGGTTCCGTCGCAGGTGCCTCCCAGCAACACCACCATGCAGCTGCCGTATGCAAACGGCACATACAGAGCCACGACGGTCTCAAGTGCACAGTCGAGCACCGCCTCAGCATCCCCTCTCACACCGAGCACTGCATCGGCCTCACAGACGGAAACAGGCGCCTCGACACTGGCCCAATATGCAAGCCAGCAGAGCTCAGGCACGGGCTCAGCAACAACGGTGACAACGGCGACAACGGCAACGGCGACTTCATCGGGATCGGGAGCAACCCCATGCTCCACCCACTCGGTTTGTCCAGTCGCTGCATACCAGCAGATCCTCGAGCAGCCACTTCAGCACTCCGTCGGCAACGGACATCGTCGCAGGCTCCAGAAGCGGGACACGGAATTCTACTATGTTTTCAGCATCCAACCGGATCCAGGCGTGTACTGGATCTGGACCGTCCAGAATCTGCTCAGCAGTTGATTCGATCGATCGATTGAACATGTATTGCATTTGCTCCTCGCGTATCGGCGATTGGACAAGATCGAGCGCTTTGGGTTCGGCGGGAGTTCATTTTGTGGACACGAGCGGGGCAGCCGGTCAAATCGGGTGGTTTGAGAGCGGCTGGCATCCGCCTTTAGTTGCTCGAGCCATCGGTTCGTGCCGCAGGTTGCTGGTGGCCGCCTGCTCCACCGGCAGCACCGCCTCGCATGCCGCCTCGTCCTCGACCCCGGCCGCCGGGGCCGCCACGCTGAGCGGGCTGACCCGCACGTACTTGCTGGCCTTCGGCAGAGAGGGCACGATTGACGATGTTGGCGCCACCGCGGGCTCGGTTGGCTTGCTGGCCGCGGATCGACAGGCCTCCTCGGGGAGCCTGGGTGGTGGTTTGGGGAGTAGCTGCTGGGGCCGTTGGGGCCGTGGCTTGGACTGGGGCAGTCCCTGGGGCTGCAGCCGTGGCTATAAGACACAGTAGTTCAGAGCATGAATAACTGCGACTGTGCACACATGCATTTGCAGACCCATTCGGTTGTGAAAGACACAGGTAGAGCCCTGAAAAGTGAATCAAATCGATGCCACCCACCAATTTCGGGAGCCTTGGTGTTCTGTGTCCAAACGATCGGCTTGGGTCTGCGAACCGGGGATGCCGCTGCCGGGGCATCGGTAGCTGACGCAGCGGGTGCAGGGGCAGCAGGAGTTGATGCTGGAGTGGCGCTTGGCGGCGCTGGATGGGCACAGAACGCACATTAGCAAGAGCATGTGGCAGGTCTGTGAGTGTCTCGCCGGACTCACCTGGCTCCGAGTTGGCGTTGGTGCCGGCAGAGGATGTCTCGGTCGATCTTTGGGCGTTGGAAGCCTTCTCGGCAGCGAGTCGCTGACGCAGCAGCTCGAGCTTCACCACTGGACAAGCACACACGGTGTCAGCAATGATGAGCCCGGACACAATAAAAGCGTCGTCACAACCGCTGGGTAGGACCACGGTACTTACATCGGTCAGAGGGATTGGGGGCAGAGTTCTGGGCTGCTGGTGGAGCTGCAGAGCACACACGGTTAGAAACCTTTGTTGAGCGTGACCCAAAGCAGAGCAAAGGCGAGTCCGAAGGACACTTACCAGGCACCGAAGGTACAGGGGCGATTGGGACTGGCATTTCAGGCTGTGTCGCAGCTGGTTTCGAATCCACAGCGTCGCTTGTTGATGGAACAATAGCTCCGCTCGACGCAGGAGATGCTGATGCATCCGGGGCCGGGACTGCAGGAGCCGCCTCGGAAGCGGGTTGCAAGGATGGCCGCTTCAAGATGATCTTTGGCGGCACCGTGGAGGCAGATGCGGCCGCATTTTCCTGTGAGGTGGCAGTCGAGACCTTGCTAGCCTCCGCCGGGATGACGGGGGTCTGAGGCTCACTGTTGTGGAGCGACAGGGGTCTGTTTCAGCTCGTGGTAATGAGCAGGGGCGAGGCGGATCGACCCATTTCCACGGATACAAGGCAACACAGCACATCATGGAAGCTCCAACTCGCACATGAACGAACCTTGCTACCGCTGCTGATTCTACTTGTGTCGTTGGCGGAATCTAGAACCGGCAGGAGCGAGCAACACATCAGCAACGCACAGACGAGCACCGCGACGACGGCGAGTTGCTTTCCAGACGCACTTTCACCGACCTCTTTGGGAACAATGGGTTCTCTGCAGAATGATAAGAGACGGCCAAGATCGTCGGCGATTTTAGTCAGCGATAGTGCACGCCAATGGTGGATCTGGTCATCGGAGAGCTATGCCAGTGCGGTCATGGACATTGGCTGCATGACATCCGACGGGGACGATCCACTCGGCACTCACCTTTGGATGCTCTCAGGCCCAGCCACAGATGCTTCGGTGGCAGCGCCGCTGGTGACTGTGTTTGGATTGCGATTGATGTCGCCAGTGAGCAAGCGTATCGATTCGTGCAGCTGGGTCGGGCGGTCTGCTTGAGCAAAACACATACCTTCGACACCCTCCATGAGGTCGCCAGGCTGTTCATCTGCCGGGAGATGGCCTTCGGTGCTCACTTGCTGAGATGGTGTATCCGCAGGCGCAACAGAAGCATCACTCGCGGTGGCGGATGGTACAGGCGTCAGACGCAGCTTCTTCGATGCCGGGGTCGGCGCGTCTTGTCCAGGGACTGGCTCGATGGTAGCTGCTTTGTTCTGTTCGCTTGAGGCGCCAGCGGCCTCGGCCACGTTTGGTGCTGGCGGTGTCTGCAACTCTGAGTGAGATCGCTTCGCTGAAGTCGTTGCGTTGGGCTGGCCCGCAAGAGGAGCGGCGACTGCACCAGTAGGGACAGTGCGGACGGATGGATTTGCGAGGCGAGGCTGGGGTGGTGCTTGGGCCTCAGATGCACTGGCCGGAGACCCAGCGGCAGCGGCTGGGGCTGTCGATGGTGGCTGGCCGACACCGCGGGCCGGACTAACAGGTGTGGGCTTGGCGGGCAGTCCTCTTCGCTGGATGGCTGCAGCCGACGCAGGGCGAGCGTGGCCCTGGGGATGAGGGTGGGTCGGACTGACGATAGAAGCGGCACCAGCGGGCACGGCTGTGGAGGGTGCTGCATTCACAGGCGGGGCAGTTGCAGGCCGGGGAGGAGCGGGAGCCACGGCCCCGGTCCCGGTCGAACTTGGCGAAGGCTCAGGGATACTGATGTTGTTCGAGGTAAGGGTCTGCTCGTAAAGCTTTGCTTTGGCCTGAAGCCCTTCCTGGGTTCCCCGGAGCTTGTTGTTGACGCTCTCGAGCAAAGTGATCTTGGCCTTATAGCGCAGCTCGACTTGGTCGACCGCCGCCTTGGTAGCGGCTGCCACGGATTCTTTGACTTTGGCATCGACCTCCTGGGAGGAAAGCTGGCCGGCGGTTTCAGCGGCGGCTGCGGGCGCCGCTTTGGCTGCAGCAATCTCGGCCTCCTTCTCCTTGAGCTGGTTCTCCAGCTGTCCGGCCCGGGTTCGGAACATGGCCATCTGGTTACGTAGGCCCGATGCCGTCTGGTTGGCTTGAGCGGTGATGCTCTTGATCTGGTTGGACGATGGACCGGAGAGTCAGGACGAGCCAAGGCGACACAGAAGCAGCATCCCCACATATCGCATGGCATGAGAGTGGGCCAAAGGGACGCTTACCTTCTCTCGTTGCTGGTCGAGCTCGGCGTCTTTCTCCTTGAGCTGAGCCTCGAGTCGCTCCTTCTCCTCGGGGGCAACGCTGGGTGTCTCTTTGACTTTGGTCAGCTCGGCTTGGATGGCCTTGAGAGACTCCTCGGTCTCTTGACAGCGCTTAAGGGCTTCGCGCGCCTCGCGCTGGTGCTTGCCGGCGGCGTTCTTCAGGAACTTTTCCTGCGGGCCAAGGCAAATATCACAAGATCAGCGGCTGCTGTGGCTGATCAAGCGGCACGGGCTGTCGCGACCGGTCCCACATTCATCGATCGTTGGCGTACCCTGTTGTCCCACTGCTTCTTGGCCTCGTCCAGATCGGCTGCAATCTTGTCCTTGTCTGCCGTCAGGGCGCCGACCTGTTCCTGCAGAGATGATACTTGTGCGCGCAGGGCAACGGCCTCTTCCTGGAGCTGACGATGCTCCACCGGATCGATGCGCTGTGTGGTGCGGCAAATCTGCGTCAGCACACGGCGGGAGCGATGTGGGCGTGGTAGGAGGTGCCTGGCCAGAGCATTCAGCAATGAACAAGAAGCGGTGCAATTGGAAAGGTCGTTACATCGTATTTGGCCATAATCTGCTGGGTGCGCGCCTTCCATCGCTTATTGTCTTCATCGAGCGACTTGATCTCAGCGGCCTTGGTCTCGAGATCAGCCTTGAGGTTGGCAAGCGATTCTGCGAGTGGGTGGTATGAAAATCGTCAGTCTCAGCGGCAACGGCAGTCAACGGTGGGTCCGCTTATTGAGTAGCATCAGTGTCGGTGCCAAGATCCTCATTTAGCCCGTTAGTATGCACTCGCGAGTAATAGATGCCATTGCGGCACGGCCCTCGGAATATAGCGCCTTTCCGCTCCTAGCAAAGCTGCCACATACCTTTAAGCGGGATGATCTCAGCCTGCGACACACGCAGCTGTGCCTCGAGATGACTTGCGCGCTTCGAGTTTGTATCGTTCTGATCGCGGAGGGTGATGTTGGACTCGCGCAGGATGTTGATTTGGTTGAGCTTCTCCATCAGCTCGACATGCTTCTTCTCATCGCCGAGGGCGTTCTGCGCGCGGTTGCGCTCCTACAACCAGGGGAAGGCGTCAGGACAGGCACACAGGGGGCGGAGACAGAGACGGAGAAGCGCTCGCCATACTCAGCGAGTTTCTTGCTGGCAGCCCCTCACCTCGTAGAGCAGAGCGCGTGTTTCGTCGAGGTCCTTCTGGAGATGCTCGGATTGCTGCTGCAGTCTGGCGCATTCCTGCTTGACGAGCTCGCACTGCGCTTGGGTGATCTTGTTTTCGTTTCTGAGATAGTTGACGATGCCGACCATCTCCTTTCCGCTGGGCTCACCCAGTGCTGCGTCGCTGCCATGTGCTTCGGCATTGGCCTGGCTGTCGTTCACGGCGCGGATCTGTAGCACCGGGCGCATGATTTCCTGAAGGCGATCATGCAAGTTCTCGTTCTGTTGGGTGAGGTCCTCGCAGCGCTTTCCAAGCTCTTCGATCTCCTTGTGCAAGCCCTCGCGCAGACTCTGCCACGACAGCTCGGACGATTTGAGGTTGCTCTCGGCAGCAGTAGCGCGGTTCTGGAATCGGTGTTCGGGAGGCAACGGCACAGTCGGGCATCAGCAACAGCTCAGCAGCAGCCCAGCATGCCGCCATAATAACGTGTTCTGCGCGGCTGGTCTCGGTCGTGCAGGCACATGCACAATTCTGCTTTAGGCGTCCTGCTTGGCAAATCGCTCGTTCTCCGACAAACCTTGGAGGTGAGCAGCTCATCTCGCAGCTCGGCCATGGCCTCCTTGACCTTGCCGAGGGCCTGGATGTTGTTAGCATTGTTCATGACTTCGCGTTCATAATTGCTCTGGGTCTCGTCAGCGACACGGGCTTGGCGTCTGACATCCTCCTGTAGGGCTGCAATCTGACGCATGCTCTGGAGGCACGGTGCATTCGTCAAGGACAGATGTCAGACGTGATGGCTCCAACTGCTGGGTTATGGCTCGTGCCTGGTTCGGCAGAGTCGAAGGATGCTCTGACAGTGCATGGCCGTGGTGGCTACCAATTACCTCCTCTTCGCTCTTCTTGAGGCAGTCGATGAGCTCCTGCAGGGCAACCCGCTCGCTGCCCCAGGCTGCAGCCTCGGTATCCAGCTTTTCTTGAGCCTGCAAGACTTCGGCAGTGGCGCGCGAGAGACCTTCTTCCAGTTCGCTGCGCTTGGCTTCGAGTTCGGCGATGCGGGTCTGGCCGGAGCAATATGAGGAGCTGGGTCAATGGGTGGACGAATGGGATGGCCATGCGCGCCGACTTTCGTCGCCCTTGGCTTTGATGCGAAACAAGACCGAGAACAGAGAGCACAGCGCCGGAGCGCACTGAGAAAGCACGAGACACCCGGTATCATGCACAAGCCACGGAACACACCTTGGCATCGGAGAGCTGCTGGTCCATCTCTGCCCGATACGCCTCGTATGACGAGTTGAGACCCGCCAGTTCCTGCTCGTTGGCCTGGGCAACAGCGCGATATGTCTCGACTCGCTCGCGCTCCAAGTTGAGCTCTTCCTTGAGCCCGGCGACCTCGCCGCGAAGCCGGACGACTTCGGTCTCCAAGGTCTTGACCTCGTGCAGGGCCGAGGCAGGGTCGCTCGAGAGGCTGAGCTTCTTTTCATACATCCTGAGCTTCTCCTCGGCCGACTCGAGGCGCTCGGCTGCTTCCTTGGTGCGGAGCGAAAGTGTCTCCTCCTTGATCTTACTGATGGCCAGGGCCTCTCGTGTCTGGCTCAGGTCGTGCGTGACCTTCTCAAGCTTGGACTGATGGTCGCGCATGTCGGTTTCGCGCCTGGCTGCCAGGGCACGGTATTCGGAGATCTGGTCGCCATGTTGCTTGCGGGCAGTTTGCCTTATTATAGCCGCCAAAGAAAACGGTGGGTGTCAATCGAGCGGATCGAGCAGATGCAGTGCTATGATCGTATAAGTGTGCAGCGCATCGATGGAATTGCACCGGTCGAGTGGACGCTCCATATCCAGGCGAGCAAACACACAACGATGGCACGCAGTCCAGCTGGTGCGCTGCAACGACAATGAGACGTCGATCGGTTATGACCATGTCACACGACAAGTAACGTACATCTCACGCTCCAATTCCGTAATCTTGTCTTCCATTTTCT